TGACATGCGGTGATGGCCTAGACGACCCCGGCACTGCCGGCTGCGGCAGTGACGGCGGCTGCGTTGTAGGCTTCTGCAGCCTTGACGAATGCGGCGGAGCTGCAGGCGACGTTGTCGCCACGGCTCCCGCTACACCGGTTACCGTCAGCTTGCTTGGCGGCAACGGCGGCGGTAACGGCGCCGCCGCCAACTGCTTCTGTCGGGAGGAGGCTGCTGCTGCCGCTGCTGCACCGCCTCCCCCGCTGGAGGGATCACCACCTGCTCGTACGGCCCCGGTCACGCTGCTCAAGAGTCTGCCGCCAGCTGCTGCCGCTGCCGCCGCCGCTGCATGCTGCAGTACGACACCGCCGCCGGCAGCAGCGCCAGCCTGCAGAAGACCGCCGCCGCCGCCGCAGCTAGGTTGCCCCCGGGCTGCCGCTTGCCCGCTAGCCGCCGACGCTGTCCCCACTGCCGTAGCCGCCGTCACCGCTGTCGCCGAGTGTTGGGCCCCAGCGTTGGCACGTGCTATAGGTGCAGTCGTACCGTTGTTCAACACAGGCGGCTGTATGCGCTGTGCTGCTGCTGCTGCCGCCGAGGCATCCAACGACCTCAGGGGTTCATGTGCCCGGGAGGTCCCCAAAGAGGGCGGCGAGACTCGTCCAGGCGGTGAGACCCGCCCTGATGCGGTTGCTGCAGTTGCTGCGCTAGCGGCCGCGGCGGCGGCAGCGGTTAGGTTTGCGAGTATGGGTGAGTGGCCCAGCGGTGGCCGTGCGGGTTTTGCTCCGTGTGCTGCTGCTGCTGGGGCTGCAGTGGCCCCAGTGGGAGCTGCTGAGGGTGCGCTTGTTGACAGCGGCGCCGGCCCGGGCCCCGCCTGACGTGTGGGGGGCGAGGTGCCGGAACCAACAGCCGCAGCGGGTGGCTTGGGGGCAGTCGCAGCCGACACAGCATGTGCGGGCATGGCTGCATGACATACAGTCGCCGCGTTCACTGCTGTAGCTCCGCCGCCCCAATTACCACCTGAAGAGCTGCTCCTGACACCGCCTTGACCGCTAACGCCACCACCAGCACCACCACCAGCAGCAGGGGGGACGTTTAGGCACCTACTTTGCTGGACTGGGGTTTTCCCGGCCGTTACCCCTCCTGTCGCCGCCGCCACCGGCGTCCCCGCAGCTGCAGACGGTGGCGGCTGAGGGGGGCGCGTCCGCCCCCCCGCCAGCTGTGTCGCATTCCCGCCGCCGCTGCTACTCCCATTACTCCCCGCGCCAGCAGCACCACCCCGCATCGCCCCAAGGGCATTTCTCCCCATCCCCGTTCCCGTCGTCGTCACCCCCGCAGGCGTCGCCGCGAAGCCGCCGCCAACCCGATTCCGACGACCCACAACCGGTGTAGCCGCTGCTGCTGCCGCTCCCCCTCCTGCCGGCGTCCCTCCCGCCGCTGCTGCCGCCGTGATCCTCCGCTCCTCATCGTCGCCTCCCTCAATTGGCTTGCCTGCCACGCTGCAGCTGAAGATGAAGGACACGTCGGGCGCCGCCACTCGGCGCATGACGGCGTCGGGCACCGTTTGGGGCTCGGGGTGGTGTCCCCAGCTGGCTAGGTCCTCCTCGGCCGGCTCACCCACCTGCCGGGATGAAGGGGGGGTCAGGTGGTGTAGGAGGGCGCGGGTCGCATAGCCGTATGTAGTGTAGTCCATTGGGCCAGGCGGCAGGAGGCATTAGATCTTTAAGGAGGAGAAAGCGCTGGGAAACAACGTCCCATTGGGATGGAACCATGGAACAGTGGTGAGCTACCGCCCACCGGTACACACAGGAGCGTACCCTACCTGGAGCTTGTGAACCGGAGGCAGTCGGCTCCCAGGGGGCGGCTCCTGCCGCGCCTCCGCGCCTGCCGCCGCCGGTCCGCCTCGCCGGGCCTTCTTGCCCTTGTCAGTCACCCCCCGCTTACCCTCCCTCCCTCCACTACCGCCGCCATCGTGGCCGTCCCAATCCCCGTCCTCATCGCTGTCGTACGCTGCTAGGTCAATAGGCCCTGCCCCTGCCGCTGTTCCAGCCCCGGCTACTGCTGTTGCCTCCGCTGCGGCTGCTGCTGCCCCTGCCGCTCCGGGTCCGCCGCACATGCAGTCGTACGTGTCACTCCAGCTGTCCGAGTTGAGTGTGAAGAGCTCCCGCAGGTCCTCAGCGGTCATCACATTGGCGGCTGCCTTGCCTGGAGCGGAGTTTGGGGTGGGGTGGGGTTTTGGGGTAGGTAAGTGGGGGAGTGGGGGAGTCGGGTCGGGGGTTTGGTGGAGGTCTGGGGAACTGTGCCTCGTTTGAATGGTTGTGACTCCTCCCGCGCTCCTTGTCACCCTCCTTCACGAGTAATTTGAGTATGCACCACATCCCCGCCTCTTCCCGCCCGCCCCCCGCCCCCACCCAGTTGTTTCCTCTTCACGCCCCCGCTCCCACCGTCTCATCGTGTCAGGGTAATGGTCCCATTCGTGCCCTCCCCCCCGATCATGGCATTCCTCTTCTCCCTTCCCCGTCCGGCCTCTCCCATTCCCTCTGCCCCGTCCCACCGTTCTTGCTGACCAGCTGCTTGAGTCCCTCCTTGCTGAGCTGCCGCTGGTAGACCTTCTCCTCGATGCTGCCGGTGGACAGGAAGCGGTACACAAACACGCGCTTGCGCTGGCCGTCGCGCCATACCTGCAGGGGGGTAAGATGGGGATGTAAAAGGTCAGAGATATACCAGAACCACATGGGTTATGAATGTACAGGCGAGTTTTAGGGTTGGGTAGTTCATAACACAGAGTGAGATGGGGGAGGTTTGGGAAGGAGAGAATATTGAGGTCATGACCCGCATGAGCGCATGCCAGCTAGGGGAGCTCAGAGGCAGAGGAGGCCCAGTCCCTGCATCGTCCAGTTTAACCTCGCCCAGCCGACATGACACCCTCTCCCATGCCAGCCAGACCCACCCGTGCAGCCGCCTGCTGGTCGTTAGCGGGGTTCCTGGGGGTATGGGGTGGGGGGGTGGGGAAGGGGGTTGGAGGGGTTGCTGGAGGGAGTGGGGACGAGGAGCATGGGGTTGCGAGGACAGTAGCTGGCATTGGGTGCAGTGCTTGTGGCGCTAGTGCTTGTGCTTGAGCGGGTCTACTCTCACGCAATTTCGTCGACGGCGCAGCCCCATCTAGCTTAGAGCCGCTCCGTGCCGCGGCTCGCCTCCCTCTCCCTCTCTCAGCCTTCCCTTTTTCTCTTCTCCGCTTCTGCTCTCTCCCTCCGTCTCCCCTGTCGCCTTGCCCTGACACGCGGGCTTCCTTTATACGATTTGGCCCCCTCCCTCCCTCCCTCCCTCCCTCCCTCCCTCTCCCCACCAGTCCGGGTCGAAGAGGACCAGCCGGTTCGCGCCGATGAGGTTCAGGCCGCAGCCGCCCGCCTTGGAGGACAACAGGAACGCAAACTGCCGCTCAGCAGGGTCATTGAACACCTGGAGGCGGGGCGAGGGGGGGTCAAAGACAATACCAGAACCACAGGTTATGGCAGGGCAATACCACCTGGGCGGGGTAACGGTGTGTATACACCCCGGTAAGGGGGTCAGGGACACCATACCAGTCCATAGGAAACAACAGGTTAGGGCAAAGCAAGGGGGGGGGGGGTAAAATCCTAAAATTGTGGGTGTATGTACCGGTAGGTTACATCGCAATGGACTGGATAAGTAACAGGAACAACACCTGGGGAAGGTGAGGGGAGGGGGGACGGGGTGATGGGGTGCAAATGCTAGTGGGGTGTGGTTACGGTGGTTGTGGTGTGGTGTGGAAAGGCGGGGTCACGGCAAACAGGGCAAACGGCTGCCTCCATGCACCCACCTTGACCAGCTTTTGTCGCTTGTTGATGGTGGTGGTTCCGTCCAGTCGCACAAAGGGGTAGCCGCGCTCTCGACACAGCTGCGCAAAGAGGTCGAGGGAGGAGGTGTAGTTGGATACAAGCACGATCCTGGGGGGGCGGGCGGGTGTGAGGGGGGGGGGAATACGTGAGAACTGCAACAACGGGAGACCGTGTGAGGGGGAAGGGGAGGGGAGAGGACACCCAAGCCCCACACAACCCTCCTCCTTCTTTTCCGTCCCTGCCTCCACCTGTCCCTGCCCCCATAACATCCATCCCCAAGCATCCGGTTTCTCCCTCCACCCCACCCCAAACCCACCTGTGGTTTGGTCTAATTTGACCCACCTGTCCGACGTCTCGGTGTACAGCACATGCAGCATGCGAGCCAGCACCGCCATTTTGCCTGACACCTGCTCCCAGCCGGGGGCCATGCCGCCCCGGCCCACTCGCCCGTTGTCAAACAGCCCAGGGGGGAACAGCGACCCCACGTCCTAGTGGGGGGGCACGTACCGGTGGTGGGGTCAGGAGGAAGTGACTCATGCAGCATGACTCATGCAGCCAGTGGGGAGGTGCGGGTCCCTGCTGGGGTACATAGGATCAACGCAACCCACCAAGACAAACGAACAAACGAACATATTGCGGCTTGCAGTCAATGGCACCATGCCAGGAGACATGCGCATATCAAGTGTAGCGGGAAAGGAAGCCCCTCCGGATGGGTGAAAGCATGAAACGCTTCCCCACCACCACACTACGCCACCGCCATGCGTCCCATCTTCCCATCCCCTTCTCACCTCAAACCCATCCGCTCTGCCGCCCTCACCATCATCTCCTCCTCCACCCGCCACCGCCGCCGCCTTGCTGTGCACCGCATCATAAATCAGCTTCGGATGGTTGCACAGCTTCTTCAGCGAAGTAATAGCTGACAGCACGCCACTCGTCCGCCCATTCAGCACCCGCCGCGCCGCCTTGCTTTGCAGGAAATGGTGGTAGAGCTGCTGCTGCAGGGGCGTCAGCCGGCAGCACACCACCTCAATCACCTTGGGCGGTAAGTGCTGACTCAGCAGTTTGTTGGTTCGCCTCAAGATGAAGTTGTTGGTCAGGCCGCTGAGTTCCCGGCTGCGCTCCTCTCCAAGCACCATCTCCTCGGGAGCCGCGTCCGGCTCGCGGCCCGCCAGGATGGGCTGTTCATAGTAGCGGCGGAACTGCGCGGGCGGCCCCAGCACTCCGGGGTTACAAAAGTCGACCATGGCGAAGAACTCGTCGAGGTGGTTTTGCATGGGGGTGCCTGGGAGGAGCGAGAGGGGTGGGGGGTAGGAAGGAGGAGAAATAGTGGGGGGGGGGGGTAAATGGGAAGAGGTGAAGTTGGGGAGAAAGAAGAAAAGACCCAATGTGTTGTTTGGTAATGGTAAACTAGGTGACAAGCTCCTGGAAGTTGGGGGGAGGAGGGGAACGGGAGTTGGAGAAGGACGGTTGGGAGGGGAGGTGTGACAAGGATGCTGGGGAAGGAATGAAGACTCGGTTTGCACAGCTGGCCAGGGTGCATTGCAGGTTGCATCATCACCGCAGCAGCAGCAGCCGCCACGACTTGCCTGACAGCAGCACTCGGCGCTTGCAGGGCAGGTTGTCCAGGGCCTGTAGCAGTGGGGGGAGAGAGGCAGTGGTGTGGGGGGAATGACTGTGGTGGTGGAGCGTGGTTGGGGCGAACCCTGAAGAGCGTGACCCATGGGTCACACTCGCACTAGAGGATATTCCCCTGAACGCCACACTCCGTCGTCTTGGATGCCGGCTAGCTTCGAGTAAACCTCGCCCTCGCACAGGCCTTTTCGCTCCCGCAACGCCGCTGGTAACCCCACGCCCTACAATCATAGCCGCATGCATGCCACCCTCCCTCCTCAATGCCCCCACCCTCCCTCCTCACCCGGTTGGTGAGTGTCGCATCATTCTTGAGCCGGTGGGCCTGCGGCGGGTGCGGTGTGGCAGCGTGAGGAGAGGGGCCGGAGAGGTGAGGTGAGGTGAGGGAATTACTAGTGATACATATTCCGCATTAGGCTGGAGGGGAGGGGATGGGAATTTCCCATGCCTCCTCCTGTGGGACACCGCCCTCATATCCCTCCTCCTGTGCCCTTGCGACTTCCGCAAGCCAAGCCCATCCCAGGTCCACATCACCCACGGCGTCCGTCCTTCCGTCTGCTGCAGGCATCTCCCTGCAGCCAGGCGTGTGCACCTAGCTAGTCACGACACAACCGCCCACCCCCAACCACCCCAGCCGCCCACCCCCCACCCCCCACCACCCCATCAGCCGCCCACCTCATCGCACATCAGCAGGTCGCATGCATGAGGCACCTGGAAGCGCTCCGCGTGCAGGCGGAAGGTCTCATAGCTGATGATCAGCACCTGGGGAGGAAGAGGTGGGGCGGGGCGAGGGAAGAGGAGGGGCGGGGCGGCGGTGGTAAGGATTGAGACCAGGTTGGCAGTGATAGCGGCAACCCCTATACTCCTCTGGGGGCAGGGGATGGCAGGGGAGAAGGGGTGGGGGGAGGGAAGAGGAGGGGCGGGGTTGTGTTATGTAAGCCAGGTCAGGAAAGTAGGGTTGTCTTTAGGACAGGAGTGTGCAATAAGGAAGGCGTAGATGCTGTAGAGCGTTCCTCGCCTGCTTTCGCGCATCCCTGTGACTTTTGCCCTGCTGTGCCCCAGCCCCGGCCCATCCCTTGCCTTGTAGACGTTGGATGGGTGCAGGAAGAGGCCGATGTTTGCCACCACGTCCTCCCGCGAGCTCTCACACATGGCCAGCGTCTTCAGCCGGCCCTAGAGGGACAGGAAAGGGCGGTGATAGGGACAGATAGGCACACGAGTACAAGTCCTAATAAAGGCGACGACCCACGACCTTAAGCACCCTCGCGGTTCTGACATCTGCAGTTATGATACGCCTTTTCGTAGCCAACATAACGACAGTGCGCATAAAACGCGCATATCTTTGCTCGCTTCACGCTACTCCCGACTCCCACCCAGGCACTCAGCACCCCCGCGCTGCCGTAACCCAACAAGTATGACCATATGCTATGAAAATTCCGCCAAATGTGGGACAAGTATCCCATTTCCCACTTAAATAAACATGAACCCCCGCACCGCACCTGCAACCACTTGACGCACTCGTTGTCCCAGTTCGACACCAGCGAGGTGGGGCACACAATGATGGCCCGCCGCGCCACCGGGCAGCCCCCCAGCAGCGGGTGGCCACCGCTGAGCAGCGTCCACAGCAGCGTGATACCCTGAAGCGTCTTGCCCAGCCCCATGTCGTCAGCCAGGATGCAGCCTGGGGGCCGGGGCGGTGGGGGAGGGGGAGAGGGGGTCAAGCTGAAGGAATCGAGGGGGTCAGGGGAGGGAGTTGAGGGGTCAAGGGGAAGGGGTCATGGGGTCAAGGGGAGGGCGTAGAAAGAGGGTTGGCGTTCAGAGGAGCGTCCGCACCAAGGCTTTTTAGTTCTAGGATGGAGGGTTTGCGGGAAACAACAAACAGAGCCAGAAGAGGCGCCCAAAAAGAGACGGAGCGAGAGAGGGGCTATGTGTGTCGTACATGTCGCATGCATACATGCATACACGCCCTCGGGCCCCCCTTCCCCACCTTGCCGCCCCTCCAGCCGCTGTCCGGTCACGCAGTCAAACATAAACTGCACCCCCTCCCGCTGGTGGGGCCGCAGGAAGCGCACCAACATGTTGTCCACAGCCACCTCCCCGGGGCCCTCGGGGCAGCCGTCGGGGGCGCGCCACAGCACCAGCGGCTCGATTCCCTCGGGCAGGCCGGGGGGCTGCGGATGGAAGGGAGCATGTGTGGGGGTATTGCGGGGAATGGCTTGAGGGGTGGCTTGTGGTGTGAGGAGAAGGTCACGTGGCAAGGGTAGCAAAGCAGTTCACTGTTTATCCCATGTCACGGCAGCAGCAGTGTAACACCCCCGGTTAGCCCCACCTCGGGCGGTGCCGGCTCCTGCTGCGGGGGCTCGGGCGGGGGCTCGGGGGAAGCGGGGGTGGTGGGTGCGGGTTTCGGGGCCACGGTGGGCACGGGCATGGGCGTGTTGCTGCCCCAGGGTACAAAGTGCCGCCGAGCAGCCAGCTTGCGTCGCAGGGCCTGCGGGTTGCGGGGGCAACAATGTGGGCCGAGAGCCCCGAGACAGATGGAAGGAAGTGGTGCGGCACAAGGCACAAGTTATGGCCTCATGGGACAAGAACACAAGATACAGCGGGAGAGGGAGAGCACAGCCCTTCCCCACAGCAGCAGTCCAACCATGTTCGCTGTCCCTCCTTCGCCCCTCATCTTTTCCGTCTTTTTCACTCAAACGGCTCGCCCCAACCCGCATCCCACCCTCTTCCCCCAACCCCAGCCGTACATCGCTCATGGCCGGTCTCCCCTGCACGGGGCTCTGGAAGGGCTTCCGCAGCGTTACCTCCCCCTCCAGCACCGTGAGGAATTTGGACAGCAGCGGCTGCCGGCAGGTCTGCAGGCTGCGGGGATGAGGAAGAGGAAGAGGGGGCAGCATGGCGGCAGCATGTGGGGAAGCATGACGCATGAGATGCAAAAGGATGAGATGGTGGTGTGCGTTGTTGTCACACCAGGATGGAGGCGCAGGCGCACGTTGCAGACGGGATTCTCATGCCTACCGGCAGTACTGGCAGGGCTTCGCAAACAGCCCGCACAGCAAAAAGATCCAACCGCAAATCGCCCCCACCGCACCTGTTGCTGACGAGCGCCTTGATATTGGCCTCCCTCCGCCGCTGCAGCGCAGCCTCACTGAGGTCCTCCTCCTCCTCCACTTCGCCCGCATCGTCATGCAGGCGACCGACCAGGGGCCGGGAGGGCCGGGGCGGGAGACTGGAGGGCGGCCTGGGCACGAAGGTGGAGACATCCATCCCATGGTAATGGAAGGAAAAGTAAAAGGCCAGGTCAAGTAAAAACGCCCCCCGTCAAGGTGAATTTCATTGTAGGGGTAATTACATAATATTTTTTGTACAACCGAGAGCTCTGTTCTACGCGTTAGGCGTGCTCTTGTTGGCATGTAATTCCAAGCCCAGCAAGGATAGGACGCGAAAAGCACAGCGCAGAAATTTGCAGCTTCGCAGGTGGTCTAATAGCATTTTACTAATCATTGCTGCTCACTTATATTGCTGGGCGCGAAGGGAAGCTCCGGGCGGTCTGGGCGGTCGACTCGACCCAACTGCAGGCTTGATCGCGGGTTTCGCATTGCTTTTCGACTGGTCTTGTGCGTCAACTTCGTCCTCGTCCTCGTCGTTACCAGTGTTCTCTTCAGCGTCCCCGTCGTCAACATACTCCTCGTCGCTCCCGCCCATCGCCGCGCTCTGAGGAAGTGACAAAGCAGCAACATCGTTTTACCCCAGCTAAATAAAATGAGTATGCTAACGTAGAACACTGCAGCACTTGCCGATAGCTGCTCCTCCTCCTGCTCAGCGTCGCTGCCATCATCGCGCGCCATGCTTGCGCTGTCCTTAAACCAGCAATCACATTGGGGAGGTTACAAGAGCGAATGTCTAGCTAATTGTTAAGTATGTAAACAGCTAAATTGTTTAGGTCGTGGAGTTCTCCACAGTAACCACTTTAAAGGCTCCGGCATGACGTGCGTGCTGTGCCCGACCTGTGTCGTATCATTAGCCATAGCAGTTTAGGTAGTTTAAGCCCTTCAATTTAATAGATTCGAGTCATCAACGATACTTTTATACAATGCGTCCCTAACCGCCCTAACCGACCTTTCACCGACGCACAGGAAGCCCACCACTGCAACATGTCAGCCCCAAGTCGCTTGCAAACCACTCTTGGCATCCGGCCCCAACTCGTGCAATTATTGGGGCCGGATACCCAATAAAAATACTGTTATTTCTATGCTAAAACCACACATCCTATCGCTCTTACGAGCGCCTGCACCCTTGATGCCAACGCACTCCCAGTACCCCTCGCCACAGCTGCTGCAAACCTCACGCTACCACTCATTCGTTACCGCCCTTCGCCGCATCACCCTTCCTACCCACCCCATCCCACCACCCTCACCACTGCTTTCCAGCCTGCTGCCCCGCCCCTGCCATATCAGTCCCTCAGTCAGTTAGTTGTTTCCTCTTTGCCCGGCCCCTGCCACCGCCGCCTGTCTGCCCGCCTAATCAGGATATTGGATTGGAGCCCCGGTTGCTGCACCTCTCTTACTTCTGCACCTATTTCCTGCCCGCCTCAAACCCCACCAGCTCCTCCGCGCCCACCCGCCCCTCCAGCACCAGTCGCGCCACCTCGGGAGCATGCAGCGGCCCCTCGGGCGCCAGCACCTCACACAGCCACCGCAGCCGCGACAGGTAAGCCTCCCCCGGAACCAGCGCTGCCCCTGTCGCCGCTGCTGCCGTACCGCTGGGCGCTCCGCCTGCATGGCCGCTGTTGCTGCCGCTGCCGCCACCGGTAATACCATTCGCCGCAGTCGCAGCCCCCCCGGCTGCGGAACCACCGCTCCCCGCCGGCGGCTGCTCCCCAAACTGCTGCAGCAGCTGGGCCTCTATAGCCAGCGCCGCATCTAGCGGATGTATCTTTGTCGTACCCGACAACGCGCTTTCCAGTACGACAATGGCCTTGTCGCGCAGCGGTTCGCCGGTGGGTGCGAACGCCGCGACGACATTATGCGGGGGCAGCTGTGATGCCGGGGCCGGTGTTGCCGCCGGCACTCCTCCTCCTTGTTGTTGTGTTGCTGGGTTGCCATCGGCTGCTCCCGCGCCGCCCGCAGCCCCGCCGGCCGCGGGTGCGGGTGCTGCGGGGGATGCATGCTGGTCCGCCTGCATGGTTGCGCGCAGCGGCTGCGTGGTTTTGGTCGTACTCGACTTGTTGAGCGCCGACACCGCCTGGATGATACCCCGCATGTCCGCTGCCGCAGACACCAGCGTAGGCGCCGCCCCTCCGCTGCCATTACCACCGCCACCACCGCCGCCGGCGCCGGAACCTGTCCCTTTCCCGCCAGCCTTCGCCGCGGCGCCGCTGCCGTCAACCCTACTCGCCTTCACCACCGACTTGCCCAGTTTGGAGTTGCGGTACGCGTCAAAGCTGTACGGCAGGTCAAAAATGGATTGCGCGGCGCCGTGCAGCTCCCGGGCCACCTCAGCCTCGATCGCTCGCGCCGCCTCCAGCTTCCTGAGTGCTGCATCGATGCGAGCCGCAAGCTCGGTTAGCACCTGCTCCTCGGAGCCCCCGCCGCCCGCGGCGGCGGCGGCTGCGTCGGTTGCGGCGGGTGGGTGTGCTGCGGAGGAGGGCATGGCGGCGGGCGCGGTGGCCGCAGGTGCCAGGACGGCCCTGCTGGGCGGCGCGGCGCCGCCTGCGATACGGGCACAAGCAGAGAACCGGTGGGAAGAGGAAAGCGCGCGGGACACGGGTGTGTGTGCTGTGAGCATGTGACGAATAATACCCTGGTAAGGGGCCCTCCCCCCTTACGTGCTGATTTCCTCTCCCTCGTCAGCTTATGTAAAGGTGTGTTGTTCAACCCAGGTACAATACCGGTACCGGACCTCATCCAAGATCCAACCCAACTAACATCCGCGCGCGCACAGCCCCACCTGCTTCCGACGCCGGCTTGATGCTCTGCCGCTTGGCAGCTCGGCGGCCACCAGCACCCGCGCCCTCATCGCCCTCCACGTCAGCAGCCGCACCGCCGGGCGCCCCCGCTGCCCCCGCCCCCGCCGTTGGTGACACCGCATGAGGGCCCTCGGAGCGCTGCCGCTTGGGCCGCTGGGCGGTGGACGGAGCAGCGGCTGGGGCCTCCGCCTGGTGATGACACAGGGCGGGTGGGTGGGTGGGTGGCGGCAGCGTTAAGAATACTGGTAGGTGAAATGTGGTGGGCTGGGTCGTAGCAGGCAAACGGGCATGACACAGCGTAGGTGCCGGGACTCCGACAAAAAACACTAGCCTTCGCGCCCCGCAAGCTCCCCCCAGCGTTGTGCACTCGAGTGGTGGGCACCTCAACCCAGCCCACCGCACCCACCGCTTCAGCCATCATGGCGTCCTCAATCTTCGGCTGCACCGCCGCTGCAGCCCCCACCTCCGCCGTCCTAGCGCCCTCCTCCGCTGCCGCCCCTGACGGCCCAGCGTCCTGCTGCGCTTCAGCAGCTGCCTCCGCTTGTCCCTCGCCCTTCACCTCCGTCTCCTCCTCCGCACCCCTATCCGCCCCGGCTGCCGCCTTCCGCCCCCCACCCTTACCGCCACGGCCCTGCCCATATTGCCGCTTTGCCCGCGCGCCTGCACCGCCGCTCCGCCCACCGCCCGCAGCCTTCCCTCGGGTCCCCCTGCCATCCGCCTCCTCCTCCTCCACATGCGGCTCCGCCTCCGCCTCCGCTGTTGTTGGCTCCCCGCCGGCACCGACAGCAGCCTCCTCCGCCGCCGCCGCTCCGCCCGGCCCCTTGGCGCCCGCCGCCGCGGCGGCAGCTGCCGGCGAACCCACGGCTGACAGCTTGCGGCTGCTACGGCGGGTGCCCAGCTCCGGCGCCTCGCTGGCATCAGCGGCTGCGCCATCCTCCGCCTCACCTCCGCCTCCACCGCCACCCGCTGCGGCGGCCTTCTTCCCAGCGGCCCCTCGCGTGGGCGGCCGCTTGCGGGTCCCTACCGCCTCCTCCGCCGCCCCCTCGCCCCCGGCTCCATCTGGACTGGCTTGCCGGGTCCGGCCTCGAGCGCTGGGCCCCTCCTCTGAGGAGTCCTCTCCCCCTGGGCCCTCCTCGCCTGCCGCAGCAGCTCTGACGGCTGCCTCCCCGCCGCCCACCGGCGCTGCTGCAGCGGCTGCGGCGGCAGATCTAGAGCGGGTTGCGCGGACAGTGGGACCGTCCGCTGGCGCGGTGTCCGCCCCAGAGCTGCGTGTGTTGCGCCGCGGTACTGCCCGTCCACCCCGTGCGGAGCCAGACCTGGCTAGGGCGGGTGGAGCCGAGGGAGGGTCTTGCTCTGCGGGCTGGGAGGCGTCCGGCAGCTGGGTTTGACCCTGCGGCTCCGGTTGTTGCAAGTCCTCGCCAGCTGGGGCTTTGCTAGCGGCTGGGGGTTCTCCAGGCGCTTCGCTGGATGGTTGGTCCAAGACCGCGTCTGCATCGACGCCGGCGCCACCCGATGGCTGCCTGGAAGCTGTGGCTGCCGCATCCGCTGGTGCAGCGGCATCACCCTCATCGGCGCCCTGCTGTTTCAGCCCACCGCTGTTAGCTTGCGCTTGCTTGCCCTGCAAGCGCGTATGCGTACATTGACAATTGTGTCATAGAAAAGAGAAATCTAAACGGGATGACTTCCACAGCAATAGTGCTAACGATTAACTTCCTACCTTTTGGACCATCGCCTGCCTGCAATAGCCAAAGGCTAAGGAGGCTTTTGTGACAGGGCAACCGCCAGGTATCAGTACCAATGCATCCGCAGACGGTTAGGAAGTGTCTAAAAAGTCCTTAAAATATCAGGACGCTTTGCACATATGAGGGTAGGAACTTTGGTCCTGGACTTGAGTTTCACATTATGCTTGTTATTTTCAGCGTGCGTATACTTCGTCCACTTTCCATGTACGCCGGGACCTGATGTTATGCCGTACAATCGCTGGTAGGGTTGACGGCCCTGGAACGCTGACGCAAAATGCTATGCTCTAGACGACTGAGCCAGTAAGATTCACAAGTCACTCTCATTATCGCGAGCTGATGTATGCGGTTGTCGATCCCCACTGGCTTGCAACCTGTGGAGTTAAAGTTGTAAACGCTCTAGCACCTTCCTACTACTTTGCACTGCTTGACACTGGGGTATAGCCCTAAAGGCTTGAAGGTCGTGGTACAGTCGGCGCTTCCTGAAGGATGTCTGCGGCAAAGCGCCAAGTGCTGGCCATCCTAAAGCAAGCTGCTCGTTGCTCGTCGGAAAGGTGAGTTATGTACATCGGCTGCCGTAATGCGTGCTGCCGCCGCTTCGGCAACGGTCACGCTTGATTAGCGTAAAGGTTACTCCTGCCTTCGCTCCGTCCAACAGTGCCTCACACACAACGGGCTGTGGGCCATCAACCTCATATGGCCCAATCCTTGGTCACGGTGCTGCGGCCTTGCGAGGAACACGATTCGCGACCCACGCCATCCACACCTTCGCGCGTCAACGAGGTACAGCCCGACAAGCTAGCCGTGCGTTGCGCCGTGAGACAGAGGCATTCCTGCGGCAATGGCGCGGCTTTAAGACAGTCGCGGTCGGAAGCGGCGTGGGCATGACACAAAACAGTCAGGTATGCGGAAGGCTTTATGCTATCCGCCTTGCCCTACTTGACTGCTAGATTGCAGCATTGCTAACTTTCATCCGGCTGCCCCACCTTTGCCGGTCTTGCGCCTTTCCAGGTTTCACCTTGACAACCGATGCGGTCATGTCTCCGCCCATTCCTTATCCCCTCCTTTGCCCGGCCCCCCCTCCCGCCACAGGGCGTGCTCACCGCTCTCCTCCCACCCGCGCTCCTCTGGCTCCTCATGGTCCTTCCCAGCGGGTACCACACCTTTGCCCTCCGACTGTTCGGCCTAGGGCCCAGCTCCACCCAACCAAAGCACCCCAACCGCTCCCACGGACGCAGCTCCAGCGACTCCTCACCCTCCGAAACCAGCAACCTTAAAGCCGCCTTCTCCTTCCTCATAGCCGCCATACGCGACGAGTTCTTGTTAGCTGCTCGCGCCACCTACCTGTGTCTGCTGTTCCTGCCCGCGCTGCTCTCGGCGCCGTTTGTGTCGCTGCTGGGCGGGCTGGGTCGGGAGCGCTGGCTGAGCCTGGTGCAGTGGACTCTGGAGCGGGCGGGCCCCGCATTCATCAAGTGGGGGCAGTGGGCCTCCACACGACCTGACCTCTTCCCGGAGGTGCGTATGGCAGAGGAGGAGGGATGGAGGAGGAGGGAGCAGGAAAGGGCGGGGTGTGGCGAGGCCAAGGCAGGGAGGAGCTCCCTGCTCGTTGTGCTCCCTGTACCCAGCCAGCTCCCCCCCAGCCTAGCTGGGGCTTCCTGGATCCCCTCACGCCCCTCCTCACCTACCTGCCTCTCCTCACCCAACCGCCCTCCCTCTTCCTCCCTCTCCCTCCCCTTCCCACCCCCGCCTCAGGACCTGTGCACCCGGTTGGAGCAGCTGCAGACCTCCGCACCCGGCCACGCGCCCTCGCTGACGCTGGCGGCGGTGGAGCGGGCCTTCGCGGCGCCCATCTCAGACCTCTTCCAGGAGTTTGAGGCGGAGCCGGTGGCCAGCGGGTCCATTGCGCAGGTGTGGGGGGGGTGGGTGGCAGGGGGCGGGGAGGGGCTGGAGGGCGAGGAGGGGAGTATAGGTTAATGGGGCTACCAGGAATGTGGCAGGGAGGGGACGCGGCTCGAAGCGCACATCAGCCTTCTTCCTTTTCCTCCCTCTTCCCTCTTCAACGGGTCCTCCAATGGTCACGGTCGGTGTTTCCTCGTGGCTCAGTTTGCCTAATCCCCCCCCTCTCCCCTCCCCCCCCTCCTGCCCCCCACCAGATCCACGTGGCCACCCTCTCCCCTCTGGGCGCCAAGCTAGTAGGCGGCGGCGCGGAACCCGGCTCCCGCGTCGCCGTCAAGGTGCGGCACCCGGGCGTGTCGGAGATCATGCACCGGGACTTCATCCTCATGCAGCGCGCCGCGGCGCTGTGCTCCCAGCTGCCGGCGCTGCGGGAGCTGCGGCTGGAGGAGAGCATCCGGCAGTTCGGCGGGCCGCTGAAGGAGCAGCTGGACTTGTCGGTGGAGGCGGAGCACCTGCGGCGCTTTAATGCGAACTTCCGGGCGTGGGGGAATGTGCGGTTCCCCGTGCCGTTGTACCCGCTGGTGAGGGGGGGAGATATGGGGGCGGGGTTGGAGGGTGCGGGTGGGAGGGGTGCGGGTGGGGAGTAAACGGAGGAAGAGAGGGTGGTATGGGTGGTGTGGGATGTGGGAGTGGCTTCTCGGGGCCGCCCCCGGCTACCTGTCTGACGCTCCTCCGTCCCTCCCTCCACTCGCCTCCCCCTCCTCCTATCCTCGCCCCCCCTCTCCTCCCCCAGGTTAGCCAGGACGTGTTGGTGGAGAGCTACGAGGACGGCGACCTGATCATGCGCTACGTGCGCTCTCCGCACCGGCACAACGCCATGCTGGCGCAGACGGGCGTCACGGTGTTCCTGGCCATGATGCTGCGGGACAACTTCATACACGCGGACCTGCACCCGGGTAGGGAGGGGAGGGGAGGGGAGGGGAGGGGGGCTGCGGACGTAGCGGGGAGTGGGAGAGGTGGGGCTGGGTGCGGGGAGCGGGATGGGGGTGAAGGTCTGGGGGTTGCCTGCTCTGCTGCTGGCTGCGATGGGGTCAGGACCACAGCAGCCAGGGCCCTTTTGCGGCTCTCTCGATCACGCCCTTGTGTATGTCTCCCCATGCCCACCCTCAAAACCCACTCCTGCTTTCGTCCCCCGTTCCCCCTGCCCAGGCAACATCCTGGTGAAGGAGGCGGACCCGCCCTCCCCGCTGGTCTCCGCAGCCGCCAAATGGCTGCCTGACAGGGTGCGATCCTGGCTTGTGGACCGCTCGCCGCAGGTGGGGGTGGGGGTGGGTGGGTGCGGTTTGCATGCACAGCCCCGTGTAAGCGTTATCTATACAGCCAACACCCCACATCTCCGCCTCCTCTCATCCCCACATGTGGACACTCCAGCGGGCGGACTCAACGAGCCAAGGCTGAACCCTTCTCCAACACCGCCTCATTAAACGTATCCTTCTTCCCCCTGCTCCCCCCTTCCCCGGCCCCTCTCCTACCGTCCCCCCCCGCTCCCCCCTTCCCCGGCCCCTCTCCAACCGCCCCTCCCCCCTACGTCTCCCCCCCTATCAGGTGGTGTTGCTGGACACGGGAATGATCGTGGAGCTGAGTGACCACGACCAGGCGGCGCTGATGGGCTTCTTCCGCGCCCTCACGCGCATGGACGGCAAGGCGCTGGCGGCGCAGATCATCAACATGTCGGTGGATGGGGCGTGCAAGGTGAGAGGGGGGCAGGAGAGGGGGGCAGGAGAGGGGGGCAGGAGAGGGGGGCCTGCAACCACATGCATCTCGCTGCCGCGCCCGTCGCTGTCCTTGCCTCACCCCTCGTCCTGTCCCTTGCCTCACCCCTCGTCCTGTCCCTTGCCTCACCCCTCGCCCCCCGAACCAACCCCCTCCCCCCTCTTGCTGCCCCAGGACCCCGCTGCCTTCGCCGCCGAGCTGGACAGCATGTTCCGTTGCATGGACCGCGAGTACCTGCGGCTGGAGTCGCAGGCGGTCATCCGCGACCTCATCGAGCGAATGAGGCAGCACCAGGTGGGGGGGGGTGAAGAGGAGGAAACAGCGAGGAGGAAACAGCTAACTAATGGGTGGTGGGGTGTGGGGTGAGGTGGGGGTGTGGGGTGAGGTGGGGGCAAAAAGAAGACCGGTTGTGGTGCGTGCGGGGGCAGGGGCACGGGGGGGCCCAGGGGCAGGGGGAGGAGTATCCGACGTACCGGTATCCTGCGTTGCCTTGTGTCGGTGCATTCCCGGCCGCACGGCGCGGCTATCCGTCTCTCATCGCTTTCCTTCCATCACGTCGCCCCCCCCCCGCCCCGCCCCCCCCCAGGTGACCCTCCGCTCCTCCGTCTCCACCGTTGTTGTCACCTCTCTTGTGCTGGAGGGCTGGAGCAGCAAGCTGGACCCGGACGTGCGCATCCTGGACACGATGCGCGACATGCTCGCCATGGACTGGCCGGAGCGGATTAGCATGGCAGTGGACCGGGTGGTGGGGTCGGGGGGGCTGCTGGAGGCATGAGGGGGAGGAGGAGGCGGGAGAGCGGAGCTGGGAGGCGTAAGAGGGGAAGAGGAGGTAGGGGATGGGAGTCCATGCGGAAAAGGGTGGCATTCTTTAGGTAGCGTAGGTCTTGGAGGTTTGGTGGAGTGTGGGTAGAGCATGTGCATGGCGCGTGTGGATGAAGCGAGAGGTGGGAGCTGCTGCAAGGGTTTAGATGTGCATGTGCTGTTGTTGTTGTTGTGGTGGTGGTGGTGGTGGGTGAAGGAGGCGGCGGCAATCGTAAATCTCGGAGCAGAGGAGTGATATGATGGAGGGCTTGTAGGTGTGAGTGTGAGGTAGCAGGCAGGCAGTCGAGGGGGGGGAAAGGCGCATGAGAGACGATCAGGTCAAAGCTTTAAGTCGGAGCCCTTGTGCAGAAGGCGTGTGTGGTGGTATACAGGCCAGCAGCGTTGGAAGGGCCCTAACGGGATATGGGCGGCGGGCGAGGTGGAGCAGGCAGTTGGCAGCTGGTTGGCTGCTGTCCTTGCAACTGCGGGGTTGGGGGGCCCTTCGGGTCCTCTGCTCAGTGCATGATCACCCTTGTTGCATGCATGCGCAGCGGGCGAGGTGCAGATGTGCGGGGGCACCGGAAGAACGGGGGAAACGAAGCAGCGGCTGATGGCTGCAGACTGTCCCGCTAATTTCCTGGCAGCATATTGCCTTGGTTACTGCGGTTATCTGGATCTGCGCTGGGGGTGGTAGCGCTGCGCCAATGCAGGGTCCTTCTGTTGGTCGTGTGTATGTCGGCTGTCAGCCAGAGGTGTGCAGTGCCTGTGTACATGCGTCACACCACTTGAATTGGACTTGAGCTTAACCGGTTTAGCTATGTGAATGGAGAAGGGGCGGAATTCTTTAGGAAGAGAGGTCGGAATAGGAGGTTGTTAGGAATTAGGGATGATGTGCATGGTGCGGCTAAGGGATTATGGGGCGCTATTTGCAAAGTAGGGTTGCGGTGACGGTTGCATGGAGTGACGTGACAAGTCATTTCTGCCCCTTGGTGACGAGGTTGAAGGCAAGGGCCCCGCCCTCTAGGCGGCTGTGACAACTTTCAAAGTGTGCTGCACGCATGTGCTTTGCGTGTGGAGAATGAATTCGTGTGTGTGTTTAGGCCTGGGTAAAGCGGTGAGCTTGATGTCTCTCGCTGCAGACGTGCGTGCATGACAGCTTTCGTTTGTGATGGCAGGTAGGCTGAATTGTTTGGGATGGGCACATCCCTTCTTGTGAGCAGTGCTGTTTGGTGCCGTGTTGCAATGCGTTTGCTGTGTCAGGTCTGGAAGGTCTCATACGCGCGTGATGTGCGCTGCCATGCTCATGCAGGTTTAGCTGCATTGGCTAGCTCTGATTCCCTCCGAATAACACTTCTGATTTATGCTGTTGTGTTCTTTTGCTCTTCTTTAAATATCACACTGCAAGGCGGCAGATTTCTATGCGGGTTTGTCAGCTGATACACAACTTTTATTCACTGTTATGTAAATCTGAGGACATAATAGCAACGCGTTTGCACACTGTGCCGCACATCATTGATTGTACCAACTTTTGCAAGGTTTAGAAGAAGGCTACGCAGTTTGAGGTTTAACACCCAGAAGGGAAGATACGACATGCATGTCGAGACACCCAATTACAACTTTCTTCTACACACCGAGTGAGCTTAACAAGCTTCACTCCACAGAACGCAAACTGGGCACGTAAGCTGTAAATCTCATTACCTCACTCCCCGTCCTTCTCATCCATACCCCACCTCATTCCCCACCCACAATATACATATGTATACTTCCGAGGGGTGTCGCACTTTAGAATAAGAAAAGTTACGAAGCCTCTCCTCCCCCCTTCACCCAGAAGTTCTCCTGTCGCACCACAACCGTCACAACCCAAAACACAAAAAAGATTGTATCGTATCCTGCTACACAACCATACATGAAGAGTCACCAATCCTGTGTCTCGAGCGAGGGTCTTACGCCAGCATTGCATCCCCAATACCTTACCCACAGCCGAACCAAGGGTAACAGAGGACACCAATGCAGCGAACAACAACAACAGCAATCCAACCAGCCAGCCAGCCGGCTTCCTACCTACCGCTCCGGGCGCTTTACAGGCAAGCATACATTTATTAGCGCTTGATACACACATCGCCGTGCCAAGACATTTCAGAACAGAGGCACGCAAGAGAAGTAGGATAATCCCGATAATTTTATGTTAGCTCCTCCTCCTCCTCCTCTTCATCATCATCATCATCTGAGGGACCCAACTTGACGAAGTGTAACTCTCATCCACACATCCGCAATAAGCGGGGTCAAGCAATGATGCAAAGCGCTTTCCTGCCTCTCTCTTAGCGTCTCAGTCCGCCAGCAGGAAAAGAGGAAATACAGAGCGGGAGCAGCTCTCCCCAAACCATACATCATCACCAACACGTGGTGTGTCAAAACGGCGACGAGCCGACAGCCACGGCAGCCACGGCAACACCTGTCTATCAAGCGTCGAACTGCTTGCTGCCCTCGGCAACGATAGCCACATACCAGCAGGCTTTGGCAACACCGCACATTGCTCAGCACTGCAGGAGCAGCACAGAAGCAGTTTGTTGATTCGTTCCCTCTTTATATTGCACCAACATTATGATTTGGTGCACATTCATCACTCGTGTCTCTCGGGGGCGCTCAAGTAGTCAGACTTCACAGCCCGCTCCAACGACTAAACAAGCTCTCGCACGCAGTCTTTTGAAAAGAGGGCTCATCAGGCGCCTCTTGTAGAATAGGCTCAAACCAAACGTCTCACCGACTTGTGCAACATTTATGCCCCAGGCAGCCGCAGAATGTATCTTCTCTGATCTTTTCTTGCGCCAACAATTGCTAGGCGCCCCCTCAAATGACTTTCCGTAACTTCAGTATTGATCTTCTCTCCACCACCCGCGACGGCGTTGGTGTTCCAAACCGAACCGGCCTCGGCAAAAAAACAAAGAGGCTTTAAACAACATATTAAACTGGGCTCAACGCAAAATATAGCCCTGCCACCCCTCTGGTAAAGATTTCTTCCATTACACAGCTGTTGCAACCTCGGCCATTTCCGCAAATAGAATAGTGCTCCTACCAATCAAAACGCGCCTATGCTTTGACTGAGTATGCGAAGAGACAAACAATTCCCAACGACGTACCACCCTTCTTGCCCCACATGTTGAGCTGGCTGAATTTGTAATTCGGTTCAGACACACTTGGTTCCGGATCCAGAGCGATGACAAGCTTTCGCTAAGCCCTGAACCGGCTGATGTTTTGCCTGACCGACCTGTATAAGCTACAACTGCTCACGAGGCGTGATATGTCATACCCGAATGCCAGCATAAAATATTGCCTTCAGACCAGAACAGTGGCCTTGAGGCGTGCATATGTCTTCTACTACTATTCACAACACACAATCCTTCGAGACACGCATATATCTATATGGGCTTTGTCTTTGTCTCTTCTCTTTGCCTGCAGTGCGGCCCTCATAAGTAGTGAACCCTTAAGCCGTGCGCCCCTCTTCTCCACTCCCCGTCCCTCATTCGATATTCTCGCTTCTTCTTTCTACCACATCCCAGCTCCCCCCACACAGCTTCTTCCACAGCTTTTCAAACCTGAACCATGAACGGAGCTGTCGGCATAGGCACCGGAGGTACGACGCCAGCAGAGGACGGCAGCGTCAAGCCGTGCATCGCAAACTGCGCAAAGACGCTGGTGGTGCTTGCGGCCGCGGCGGCAGCAGCGGCCGCCGCCGCCGCCATCGCCGCCGCCGCCGACTGCGCTGTCGCCCCCCCGGCTGCTGCCGTACCTGCTGCTGCCGCAGTAACCGAAGACGAGGTGGGTGTTGACGTCGCCGAGGAAGCAGCAGCTGCGGCCTTGCTCTTTACTGCTGCGGCTGCTGCCGCTACTGCTGCCGCGGCAGCAGCGACACAGCTGCCGGAGGAGGCTGCGGAGGAGGCGGGGAGGCCGGTGGTGGGGGTGGGGTTGGGGACGGAGGCGGGGAGGGTGGGGCTGGTGATGTCGTGGATGGAGGCTCTCCGCTTGTCCTTCTTGTTCATGCTGTTGAGGCGGATGAAGTACTTTTGCGCGTGGCTGGCGACCTGTTGCATGGGGAGAGGTGGGATGAGAGTGGGTTGCGGAGAGGGCCCAGTGGGTGTGGCCTTAGAGACATATCCGCTGTCATATGGTCGTGTTTGGGACAGAGAGACACGAGCAGAGGGGGAGAGAACGCACATGTGCTTGTGTAGAGAACAATCATGTCGAGGAGGAGCAGCAATAACAGCAGTTAGAAGGTTCCTAGCGCTGTTCCAAGGGTATGTGAAGGTTACGGGATAAGAAGCCTCCGCAGCCGCGCACCTGGGTGGGTGTCCGGGAGACCACGAAATTCCGCGCAATGCTCCGCCAGTCACCCTTTCCGAACTTTGCGAGGCCAAGTAAGAAGAGCCGGTGCTCTTCCTCGGTCCATGGCACTCCTTTCCGGCGATCGCCGTTTGCTGGAGTGTCCGTTTTCGCCTTCTTGTTAGACTGCGGCGGGCGCATGTGCCGTTAGGATGTCCGAGCTTGCTATTTTAGATCATACAGTCCGATATTTTGAAACATTATACTTACGCTTTCCTCTTGGCGCACAGGTGAAGGAGCACTCTGCGCCGCGTCGCAGCCCTCATCAATGCGACGCAGGTCATTCTGTTAAGCCATTGCACGCCAGGATATTCGTTAGCGCATTGCCAGTAAAGAAACACAGACTGCACAATGTGCGACCAAATGCTGCGGGAGCGCTGCAGAACCGTGTTTAACATTGTCCTCCGCACCTCGAGCTCACGAATGCGCTTCCGAACATCGCTTGGTGTCTTATTTGGAAGGTAGGATGCTATCCGTTCAAACCTTGGAGAAAAAAGGTGAAGTATGGTGAGCAGTTGTAGGGCGCCGCGCACAAACAGAACGGTGCCCCTTTCACACCTGTCCTCATCGAAATAGTGCTTTGCGAGGGCAACCTCAAAGATCTTGTTCTCCTCCAGCCTGTTCAGAACCATTTAGGGATGAGGACCCTCCATTTACAAAGCGACTGTAACGCCTTTCTGCCAACGTGGCATTGACTGAACTCACCGCCAGAACGTAGCTACGCCCGACGGCTGTACAAAGTCTCCTGCTAATGAGATGCCGACAGTCATAATGGCGCCCCTTGCGCCGGTGAGAAAATTCGAGGCGTACTGCTGAGGACCAAGAAGCCGCTAAAGAGTCGCACTTGCACTAGTATGTGAACGTTGTTACAGATGACAGACGTTAAACAAAAAGACGGACTATTTGGAAATGCGCGGCGGAGGACTTCGTTCATAAGGGGGCGCGCCAGGACCGTCAGTCGCTAAATAAGGCCCAGTAAGCATATACGAGCAACCGTCCAATGCTCGTTTGCCGCAAGCTTAACACGACCCTGCAGCGCTTTTGTCAGGCATCAACTTTGCATGGGCAGAGGAAGGCGAGTACAATTGGCCTTCTCCTGGCTACCGACGCGGCGCGGTTTGAGCCACTCGTTTGTTGCAGGACCGGTTTCACGTGGGGTACTGCTAAGGCTGCCAGCCGGTGCCTGTGCATAGTCTGTCACACCCTTCTATTGCTATGGCAAAAACAGTTGCAGTTGCGGGGTTGGGACTGCGGCGACATGACACCGAAATAACCTGAACTGCTGCTTGGAACGGACTCAATGCAATTCCCAAGCGTGGATAAAATGGGGTATATGTTTTCACATCACCATTCCGAACGCGTTGCAATTATCTTGCAGCTGCGATAAAACTCCGGCAGGGCCGCAACACGGCAGCCTTGCGAACGCTAGCTACTGTACCAAGAAGCAAGCCCTGTTAAAGAGTGCGCATTCACTTATGAAGCTATCTATATCTTCATGCGAGCCACACAGTGCAGGCCATTAGTAACACCACCGTACGACGCCGCGTCTTGCCTTGCGACAACTCATTAGGAAAGGTTACAACAGCTGCTGCGAGTGAAGACGCTGAGGGTCCCTGTCCAAGGCTAGACAGAAGCCAGCACCTCTACTCCCAGGTCCAGGCATGTCGCTCCTGGCCATTACACTTAGTTGTGCAATGCACAGTGCACATCCCCAACTCAGGACGTTGAGTACGGTCAGACACGACACCTGAGGCACCAGGTGCACCTCTCTCAATGCTCCGGTCCTAATGTTCCGGCGGACCCGTGGGCGGGGTGTGCTACTAATAGAGGAGTCGTTTGACGCCCCTGTAAGTTGTTGTTGTCGAGCACTTTTGGCGTGACTAATAGCAAGGACAGTCGAGAGTATTGTTGAGTCGATCGACGCACCGTGTGACACCGGGGCACGACCCCGACCAGTTCAGCCAGTCTCAGCGGCAATCAGTCTTCACACACTAGCTGAGACCCATGTATCCACCATTCTTGTACCCGTGTCTCTCTAACGTCTCTACTGCTGCACCACACCTGACAGTGAGCTGCACCGCACACCTAGCAGCCAGGGCTGCCGAATCATGAACCCCCAAAGCTTGCAACACCCAAACAACTAACCTAACAAAGCCCCTAGCCCAGCCTAGCCCCCCTCTTTCCCCAACTAGCACTCACCAAACCTAGCACCCAGCCACCTCCCACCTCACCCCCGGCGCCCCGCCGGTGCCGCACTGGTGGGTCGAGAGGGCGGTCCGCCGTACAAGATCTTGCTTACCCCCACCTCCAGCTGCCCCGGCCCCGCCCCCGGCCCCGGACCGAACCCCGCCAGCCCAGGCGACATCCGCCGGCCGGGCGAAGCACCCGGCGCCGCCCCCAGCCCTCCCGCCCCCAGCCCCGCTAACCCCGTCGGGGAGGTGGGCCCTCCCGGCCCCCACCCCTCAGCTCCCCCGCTACTGCCACCCCCACCACCACCCGCTGCTGCCAGCGCAGCAGCCGCAGCTGCACTCGCCGCCGCCCCCCTGCCCGGCCGCGCACTCAGCGGCCGAGTCCCCACCCCCGTGACCCCCCCTCCGCTCATGCTGGCACGCAACGCGTATGTGGCAGCGGAGGGCGGCCGGGCACCCGAGGCGCCCACCCCCCTCCGCATGGGACTGCGACTGCCACCCCCGCCGGGACTGCCGGTAGCCGCCCCCTTGGGCGAGGGGGCCGGACTGCTGCTACCGGCGGCGGTTGCTGCTCCACCCCCGGCTCCTCCCGACATGACGTTAACATCCCCCCCACTGCTCGTCACCACCGCCTGCGGTCGTAATCTCCCCGCCGTACCCGGCCGGATGACTCCACCACCCCCACCCCCACCACCACCTGCTGACACTGTCCTTACCGGCGAACCCCGCGCGAGTGCCATCGCCTCCGCTACCCCCGCTGGCATCGCAGCAGCAGCAGCAGCACTGTCGCTGATGCCCTCCCCCTGCCCCTCCCTCTCCCCCTCCTGCTGCGGGCGCGGGTGTTGCAGCGGCAGCAGTGGGAACTCCAGCGCCTGCACCAGGTCGGGCGCCAGGGAGCGCAGCGAGGTGAGGGTGCGCCGCAGCGCCGCGTTCTCCTGAAGCACCGCCTGCTGCCGCGACTGCAGCTCCTCGTACCTGGGAGGGGGGGCAGGCGGGGTGTGTGTGGAGGGCAGGCGGAGGGGAGAAACACGGGAGGGGGTAATTAGCGTGTACTACGGGGTTCCGCCCTGCAACCCCTGCCGCCCTGGAACCTCCTCCCGCCCCCCGCCCGCCTACCTTGTCATACAGTTCGTCAGTTTCCTATTTTTTGCCCGCCCGCCCTGTACCCCCCCACCCGCCCTGCAATCCCCTCCTACCTGCGCGACAGTATGTCTGCCTGCCAGGGTGTGAGCCCCGCCTTGTTGTACAGCAGGCTGGTGGCCGCCTTGCCGCCCCCCGCCGCCGCGCAGGGGGGCTGCTGCTGCTCCAGTCGCAGCAGCCGCTCGAAGACGTCGTTCTTGACGTGGCGCTCGGTGACCAGGTCGGCCTTCAGACGGGCGATCTGGGGGGTGGTGGTGGTGTGGGGTGAAGGGTGGGTAAAACTAAGGAAAATTGATGAGGCAACTAACGAGCTCGGGGGGGGGGTGCAGGTGGGGTAAGGAGGGATGGAGGAGGGGTGAGGAGGGGGAAGAAGGAGGGAAGGGCCGGCAGGAGGAAGATGATGTGCTGGAAGGGAGGGCAGGCATGGACGTTGGGGTTGCGGGTTGGATGGAGTGTCGGGTTGCGATGCGGGGCAGCAGGGGGGTGAGCGCCACCAGCGGCACAATACGGACTGAGCGGAACCACACTGAGCAACACACACACACGCATACCGGTATCGCCCCGCCTCTCTTTCCGCTCTGCCACCTGCATCCCATTCTCTTCCCCCTCCACCCCTCCCCAGGCCCCCAATCCCCACACCCACCCCCCAATCCCCAACACGCACCTCCTGCTGCATCTGCCGCCGCTCCTGCTCCCACTGCTGCCTCGCCGCCTCCAGCTCGCTCACCTCACCCCCTGCCCTACCCCCTCCTCCTCCCCCTCCCTCACTCCCCCCTCCTCCTACCCCCACACTCCCACCTCCTCCCCTGCTTCCCCTCTGCACCACCACCATCCCCCCCTGCCCCTGCCCCGCCCCCGCCCCCGCCCCCTGCCGCTGCGCCGCCAGCAGCTGCGCCCCCAGGTGCCGCATCAGCCCCTGCTTGCTGTGCACCCACTCCAGCCACGCCTCTCGGTGCCGCGTCAGCTCCGCCATGCGGACCTTGAGCGCCTCCATGCGCGGCGCGGTGGTGATCTTCCACTTGAGCAGCCGCTTGTTGGAGGCGAGCGCGTGGCGCAGGTCGGAGGCGTTGCGGGCGGCACCCGCACTCACGGCTTCAAGGTCAGCCTGGGGTGGGGGTGGGGGGAGGGGGTGGGGTGTGTCGAGAACACTGGTCGGGTGTGTATGTGATTGATAAGGCTGTGGGGTTATATACTGTTCCGGCCCTCTGCGTACAGTAAGCCACGTGACGGGACGTCAACTCCCGGAAAGCAAGTCACAACACCTGAAACCCAAGCACGGCGCACGGCCACATGCTGTGGGTGCAGGTAATCCTTTGACCCCTCCACCCAAGCCCACCCACTCGCAGCCTGCTTTCTTACCACCCACCCTCCACCCACCTGCGTCGCCCTCAGCTGCGCGCCCATCTGCTCGAACGCCAGCTCGGCCCGCTCCCGTCCCTCCCACAGCTCCGACTCCAGCGCCTCCGCCCGCGCCCGCGCCGCCCCCACCTCCGCGATGCAGGCGGTGGTGACGGTGGCGGTGCGCATGCGGAACCAGGCGTGCGCCTTCATCAGCGCGCGCTGCAGGTCGATGATCTCGGTCTGTTGTGAAGAGGCGGGGCGGCAGGAGGGGGAAGAAGGAGGAGGAGGGCGGAGGGGGAGGGCAGGAGGGTCAGGGCAGGGGGGAGGAAGGGTATGAAAGGCAGCTTGAAGTCCAGCCCCTCGTCCCTGCGGCCCCACACACCCGCCCTTGCACTCAATTGTGGTTATTTCCGGGATGCCACGGGTTGGTTCCTCCTTGCCCCCGTCCGCTCAGCTACCCCCCAGCACCCTGCCGGCACCCTGCCGCCTCCTATCCCCAATGCTTTGCCCTAACCTGCGGTTTCCTATGGTATGGTTTGCCCCCCCCCCCCAGTCCTCTCCCTCCCCCAACGCATGCTAGTTCCCCTTCCCTCCCCCTCTTCCTTCATGGCCTCCCTCCCAACCCCCCCCCCCCACCTGCTGCTGCTCCAGCTGCTCCTCCAGCGCCAGCATGCGCCCCACCTCGTCGCACATCCGCATGGCGCCCGATGCGAAGGCGCGACTCAGCATCTCCCGCCGCACCTCCACCAGCGCCTCCAGCGCCGCCTTCTGCAGCTCGTTGCGCATGATTGAGGAGTTGGTCCTGGGGGGGGTGGATGGGGAGGGTAAAGGGGGGGTGGGGGGGCGCACTCGCTGCGTGTTGAGTCGGACCGCCATGGGATCGAAACACCCCAGTGCCTCACTACTTCTACTACCGGTGCATTCCCCCCCCATCCTCCGCGCCCTGGAATGGTATGGTCTTTGAACACCCCCCTCCTCCGCCCCTCCTCTGCCCCCCCTTCTTTCCTCCCCCCCTACCTCGCCACCGTCAGCTGGTTGTGCAGCTCGTCGATATGCGCCGCGTACTGCCGCTGAGCCGCTGCGAAGGCGCTGTCCATGGCCCTCCGGCAGTCCTCGGCGCAGCGCAGGGCGGCGCGGCGGGCCTGGCTCAGCTCCTGAAGCAGGCTCATGGCGCGATCCACCAGCTGGCGGGGGGGGGGGGGCGGGGAAAAAAGAAATTCCAAAGTGTGGTGTGGTAATGATACATGTTGCTGACAATCCCTGGTGGAATCAACCGTGAGTCGAGCCGAAATGGTGGGGCGGGAGGGGGTTAGGACATGAAGCAAACCTTAGCAAAACAATGGGGGAAGGAGGCGGCAGGGTAAGGGGGAGGGGGAAGCGGGGAGAGAGAGGAGTTGGGAGGGAGAGACGACCACGGGGGCGAAGAAGAAGAAGAAGAAGCAGTAGGCCCTACGTTACTACCATCACACCTACTCCTCAAGCATGGAACCGTCCAGCCCCCAACTCCTCCTCCTCCTCCCATCCATCCGCACCTCTTCCACCTCCACCACCTCCTGCTCTCACCTGCGTCTCCACCTTGATCGCATGCTGCCGCATGAACGTGTCCTGCTCGTGTGCCAGCCCCGCCACCGCCCCCGCCAGCTCCCCACCCAGCCGCTGCAGCGCCGCCCGCTCCCGCTGCCCCGCCGCGGCAGCAGCCCACATGCCGGCGCGCGCGGAGGCGCTCAGCTGCACCGCCGCCTCGGCCAGCCAGCGACCCAGCTCGTCTGGGAGCAAGGGGGGGAGGAAATCCCGATGATGAAGCATTGCACGTTCGGGCGGAGCAGGGAGAAGGGGGGGAGGAGGAAGAGGAGAGCTCCTAGCTGCAACACGGTGGCACTCCAGAAGAGCAAGCACGCATGCAGTCCCCGTAAGCTCCTGATCCAAGCCCCCTCACGCGGCCTCATGTACCTCCCTCCCCTCGGCACCCCCACGGCTCCCATTCACCCCCTATCCTCCCCGCCGCTCCCCCATCCCCCCCCCTCCCGCACCCACCCATGCTCAGCTCCACCACCACATCTCCCCCGCCCGCTGCTCCTCCAAAGCTGCCTCCCGACCCCGCCCCGCCCATGCTGCCACCCATGCCGCCGCCCCCGTACGCCCCCCTGCGTTGCCGCGCGGTCAGCTTGCGTGCGAGTGCCGCCAGCGCCGCCGCGGGCACGGAGTGGGGGTGCAGCGAGTCGGCGGGGAAGGGGCTGGGTGAGGAGGCGGCGGAGGGGGGGAAGGAGGAGGAGGAGGCTCTGGGGCCCTGGGTGACTGTGTGGATGCCTGGAGGGGGGAGGTGCGGGGTTGGGAGGGGGGAGGTGCGGGGTTGGGAGGGAGGAGGTGCGGGGTTGGGAGGGGGGAGGTGTGGGGTTGGGAGGGTACGGTACGGTTGGACTGAGGGGCCAGCAGACGTCAGCAGGCAGGTGTGAGGTAGGGATGGGATGCGGCAGGGGCCATTTATCAAGTGACAAGAGTGTTAAGAGAAGGGCACTAGCAGCCACCCATGCGGTCTCCACCCCTCCAACCCGCCCCCAAGCCCCCCCTCACCCCAGCCCCCCCCCCCCTACCCGCCAGCCCCAGGCAGTCCTGGTGCAGCCTCAGCAGCGCCACCTGCACCGCCTGCAGGTCCAGCAGCTGCTTGGACACCACACAGCAGCACTCCAGCAGCCGGACCTAAGGGGGGGGGAGGGTGGAAATAAGGATTGATGTACCGGGTGCGGGACTGCGGGACTGTGAGCGGGCGGGCATGATGGGTGTGAGAGAGGGGTACATCCTACATATGATGGAAAGGCGTTCATGCGGCGTTCATGCGGTGTTCATGCGGGCTTCATGGGGCTCCGCTCTCATCCGCTGGCAGCCGTGTCCTACCTCCGCACAGGCCCAAGCCGGACTGGCCGCCAGCCACGCCGGCTTGCCCTCGCCCTCCTTCGCTCCGCCCTCCTCCTCCGGCTGCACGCCTGCGGAGCGGGCGGCGGAGCGGGCGGCCTGCAGCGCCTCCGCCTCCGACACCAGCATGCGGGCCTGACAGGGGGAGGTAAGAAGGATTCCCAATGTGTGACATGGGAAGGGGGGAGGGGGGGAGGGAGAGGGGGGGGAGGACGGGTTTGGGGTGAAGAGGGGGACAAGGAGGACCCACTGACATACCACACATGCACACAGGCAAGACCAGCGTTGCCCTGATCTCCCCCCGCCACCCCACCACCCTGGCGTGCTCTTCCGCCCCCCCCCTCTCCGCCCTACCCCCCCACCTGCTCCGCCACCTTGCTGTCGTACAGTCGCTGCAGCGCCCCCACGGTGGGGTGCGGCGGGTGCAGCGAGGGCGCCAGCGGCAGCGCGGGCGAGTGGTAGCGGCGCAGGTAGGCGCCCGGGTGGGGTGGTACGAAGGGGAAGCTGGAGGGCGACTCCATCAGCAGGGAGCGCCAACACAGGGCGTCACGCAGCCTGGTGGGTGTGGGGGTGGTGGTGGTGGTTTGGGGGCGTTTGAAGGGTGTGTTGCCGGGATCCTTGTAGAGAAGGGAGGACGATTTAGGGAAAAGAGGGGCTAGATAATCGTCTAGGTTGGAGGTCTGGAGGACCTCCAGAGTCTTCACGCATGCTTTCATGCATGCATGCAGTAGCAGCAGCTACCGCTATACCCCTCCCCGCACGCACGCAGTCACCCCCGCAGCTCCTCACACTCCTCACCCCACCACCCTGCTTCACCCCCCCCCGCTCTCACCTGTCATGCACCCACATGCCCGCCGCAAAGTACTCCCGTATCGCCATCACGTCATGCGGCGCAGTGGCGTCAGGCAGCCGGCACGCCCCCAGACACGCCTCCAGCGCCAGCCCCAGCCGCCCCAGCTCGTTGTGAAGTGCCAGTCGGTCGGGGTCGGGCAGGCGCAGGCAGGCGGCGGGGCCCAGAGGCAGGCCGGGGGCGGGCGGGCAGGCGGGGCCGCCGGCGGCGGAGGCGGGGGAGTCGGCGGGGGAGGGCACGCGGGCGGCGGTGCGGGCGAGGAGGTACTCCAGGGCGCCTGGGGGCGGGATGCGGGGTGCGGGGTGAGGGGGGTTAGGAGGTATGGGTGCGGGAACGGAGAGAGAGATGTGTCCACCTATACATGCGCACCCCGGGGACAGCCAGGTATGCACCCATACGTTCCAACTCGTGGCCAGCTATCTAAACACACATACAACCATGCTCGTGTGCGTGTCCCTACCCACTACCCGCCTGTGAGGTACCACGCGTGCCGCTTGGCTGCCCCCCCTGCCAGCAGTCCGTCTCGCACCCTCGCCGCCGCCATCACCCTGCACCCCGCCAGCAGCCGCAGCTCCCGACGCAGCGCACTGATGACGTCATCCGCGGGCTGCGTGGGGCGGGGCTGCGCGGAACCGCCTGCGCCGGGGCGGTAGCCTGCCGGGGCCATGGAGGGGAGGGTGAGTAGGCCGTGTGGGAAGGCTTCTCTCTCAGTAGCCTCCTCTTTACCGCCCTCCTCCTCCTCCTCTTCCCCCCCCATCCCCATTCCCCTATCCCCATTGCTTTGCCCTAACCTGTCGTTTTGGTATATCTCCGCCCTCCCCCCCACCTGGTCCCAGCGGCGGCCGGTGCAGGAACTGCAGTCGCGCCTGCAGCTTCACCAGGTCAGCCGCCAGCAGCGCGCCGGGCAGGAAGGAGCAGGAGGCCGCGGACACACGAACCTGGGGGGGCGGGGAGGTAGGGGGAGGTGTGAGGTGTGTGAGTCAGGGGGCGGGGAGGGGCTGTGAATTGCAAACGTGCGGTAGGGTTTGGGCCCCAGAAAAGAGTGAGCCGTCAGGGGGCAAACCCAGCAGGCATAGGCTGCTTGCTGGGTACTACCGGTAACCCACCTCCCGCCCCGGTTTCCCGCCCTTACCCTACTTCGCTCCTCATGCGCCTGGGAACAGCAGTGCGGAACAGCCCCATCCTCCTTCCCTAATCCCCCTCCCCCATACGTCTCCTTTTCTCCCCCATTCAACCCGCCCATTGGTTGCCTATGGTTCGGTATGGTCTTTGACCCCCATTCAGAGCACGGAATTTCCTGCTCCTCGCCCAACCCACCCCAACCCACCTCCGATTGCTGCACCAGCTGCTGCCCGGTGGCGGGTGCGGCGCTGTACGACAGCGGGGAGCTCTGCGCCACCCCTGCCCGGGTGAGGGGAGCCAGACCCGCCGTCTGCCCGCTCACGTCGCCGCCGCGGGCGAGCACGGAGGAGGGCGCCAGCAGCGAGGCGGCGAACATGAAGTGCCTGGGAGTGGGTCAAAGACCATGCCGAACCACAGGAAACCACAGGTTAGGGTAAAACCGTGGGATAGGAAGCAGCAGGGAGTGGGGTGAGTGGGGGTGGGAGGAGAAGGGAGGTGGCAAGGGTGAGGACTGGAGGCTGGCGGAAGGCCGCTTGCAAGAGTGCAAGAGTGCAACCCAGCACCGGTACACTTGTACAAGTCGCTTGTGGGCTTTATACACGATACACACCTACATTGGTCAAGATCAAGCTCCCACCTCCCTCCTCACATCCCCCTGCCCCGGCCCCCCGGCTCCCCTTCCCCCCCCCGCCCCGCCCCCCCACCTGACCACCTCCACCACCAGTTCCGCCACCGCCACCCCCTTCTCCAGCGCCGCCAGGCCCCCCGGCCCCGGCGGGTAGGCCACCGCGGCCCCGTGCAGCACATCCCACTGCCCGGGCAGACCCCACAGAGCATCCAGACGAACAAGGCAGGGGCTGCTGGGGGTGGTGGTGGTGCTGGTGCTGCCGGGCTTTGCACTGTTACTGCTGCTGCTGTTGGTGGTGGTGGTGGTGGTGGTGGTGGTGGCACCTGCCGTTTGCTGCTGCTGCTGCTGTTGTGGAAGGGATTGCTGGGGCTGGGGTTGGGAGGCTGCTGCTGCTGCTGCTGCTGCTGCTGCTGCTGGCCCTGCTGCTACTGCCGTCGCGGGTGCAGAGGAGGAGGGGGAGGAGGAGGTGGAGGTGGAGGGGGCAGCGGTCTGCAGGAAGCCGATGGCGGTGGGCAGGCCGGCGGCGGGCGCGGCGGGGGTCCAGTCCATGGGGTCCGGGTCGCCCTTCTTGTCGGCCAGCTGGAACATGATACCCTGGGGGGGGGGAGGAGGAGGGAGGGGAGGAGGTGGGAGGGACGAGGGTGGAAAGAGGCGAGGTGGGCTAACCCCGAGGGAGGCTAACCCCAGGTTGACGTCTTGACGGTTACTCGCTGGCTGCAAGGCTTGGAAGCCGCTCCTATACACACACACACACACACACACACACGCGGCCAGTTTTCTTAACACACGCACAGCGATACACGCCACACATATCCCAGACTACCGGGATACTCATTCTGCTGGCTTGCCATTCCTTACACCCCAACCCCTGCCCGCCCAGCCGCCCCCCCCCACCTGCCTTGCGTTGTGGCACCCTGCCGCTTCCTATCCCTATTGTCTTGCCCCAACCTGTGGTTTCCTATGCTTCGGTATGGTCTTTGACCCTGTGGTTCTGGTACCGATATATCTTTGTACCCCCCCCCACCTGCTCGTTAGTTGCATCGTCAGTGTCTCCTTTTTATATTTACCCCCCACCCCCCACCCCCCCACCTGCCACATGGGTGCATACTCCAGCACTGCCGCCCTCAGCGCCGCCTGCCCCTCAACCCCCTGGAACAGCGGCCCCCGGTCCTCACGCGCCGGCACCAGCAGCTGCCCCTCCGCGTCGTACTGCAGTCCCCAGTCGGCGCCGTACCCGCCCGTGCCGCCCAGCACCAGTACGGCAAGCTCCCGTACGGCACCTGCCAGCTGCGTGCGGGCTGCTGCGGGCAGGAGTTCGGAGAGGAAGGAGGCGGCGTACTGGGACTCGGTGTCGGCGCGCACTGCGGCTTCCACCTCGGTGCCGCTGCCGCTGCCCTTGAGGCGCAGCAGGCCCTGCACGTAGCTGCGACGAGCCTGAAGGCGGGGGGGGGGAAAAGAAGGATATCCAATGTGTGTGCGGGGAGAGGGGGAAGAAGTAAATGTGGAGGGAAGCGACTGGAGGGAAGCAACTGGAAGGGGAAGGGGGAAGGGGGAGGGGACCCCATGCTTGGAATGGTAGCGGCAAGAGTCGGGTGCGGGAGCCGGTCGGAGCCGGGGTCGGAACGAAACAAGCCATGCAGGAGCAGCGTCAGCCGGCCGCCACACCCGCCACACCCACCCCTATACCTGCACCCTCAGCCTCAGCTTGATCTCAAACACGTCCAGGTACAGCGCCCCCGCTGCTGCGGTGAGCGCGCGGCGGCGGGCGCGCAGGTCCTCCCGCGCCGCCTCGTCCAGCAGCGCCACCACGGGCTGAGAGCGGGAGGCGCGCAGGGCGGCTGCGGAGCTGCTGGTGCGCCTGGGGGGTGGTGGGGTGGAGGTGGGAGGGCGGGGGGGAGGGAATCAATGGAAAGTAAAGCGAGGTGGGTGGAGCTGGGGGTGGAGGTAATGCGGGTGGGGTTACAGTGTGGGTGGAGAGGCCAGTTTCCTTGTCACGCGGGGACATCCTCTTCCGACAGTCACAGTACGTTCCTACTCTCGGTGCGTGCGTGTTTTCTTAACACACGCACGCACCTCTGTTTGCGGTACTCCTCGATGCGCTCCCCGGGCGGTTCTCGCAGCAGGGGCGGCACCAGGCGGACCTCGCTGCCCCGCCCGCCGCCCCGGGGGCCCGGGGGGGCAGGGGTGCTGCTGGGGGTGGCGGCGGAGGCGGGGAAGAAGGGCGGGACTGCGGTCCGCAGCGCGGGGGCATACTCGCCGGGCGGCCCGCCCACCACAACATCCATTGCCTGTTTAGGGATGCAGCGCGAAAGGGATGCAGCAGGTTTAGAGCTGAAACCTTGGAAAAGCGAGGTGGGGATGGGTGGGGATGGCCGTTTTTCCAGCGCCGCCCGTGTCCCCTCGCAGGCTCTTTCCCGTCTCCTCCTGCCCCCAAGGCCCATCCTACCATTCCTAGCCACCTACCCGCGGCGGCAACGGCAGCCCCACCCAGCAACCCGCATTCCCCCCCTCCCCACCTGCTCGTCCATCACCCCCTCCATGGCCGCTGCCCGCCACAGCAGCACCCGGCGGCGCCGGTCCAGCTTGCGGATGATGCCGTCCAACAGCACCTGCGGGAGGGGAGGGGGGGAAGGGGCAGGGCGGGGCAGCAAGCCAGCAAGCAAGCAAACACTCAGCAAGCACTCAGCCAGCCTCAGTACGGCCCGTACAGTACGGCATTCCAACAGAAGCCCAGAACAGAGTGCCAGCCAGAATGTACGCCAGTCAGGCTGCTGGAGAGGCCCGTCACTCTTAACATATACCCCAGCCATGTAGTCCTCCCGCCTGCCGCGCACACCACTCAAGCGTGCTTCCCGCAGCAACTACATTCTACCATCAGCACGCAGAGCCCATCCCACTCCTTTCACCTCGTCATACAGCTTGTCAGTTTCCTTATTTCTCCACCCCCCCTCACCTGGTTGTGCCGTACCGACACCTCCAGCGCCACCGCCCGCAGCACCTGCGCCCGCACCGCCGCCCCCAGGCACCCGTGCGCCGCCTCCCCCCGCCGCAGCAGCGCCCGCATCCCCGCCAGGCAGTGCGGGTTGAGCGCCTCGGCGGGGTGGGTGGAGAACTCGGACAGCGCCAGCGGGGGACTGCGCCACACGCCGCCCAGCTGGCCGGAGGTGCCCACCGCTAGCATGAGGACTGGGGGTGCCGGGGGGAGGGAGTGGGAGAGGAGGGATTAGTAGGGCCACATGTTCCGCATTTGGCTGGATTACAGGGGTGCAAAAGGAGGGTTGCGGGCGGGTGGGAGGAAGGTGGAGGTGAGGAGGAGAGGCGTGCGTGAGGAATTGGGGGGGGGGGGTACAAGCCGGTGTGTGGGTCGGGGGCTAGAGCGTGTGTCAGAAAGCACAACAGCAATAAAAGCGCGCTGGCTTCACGCAAGGCTCACGAGGAATCTTACCTCCGGCCGCCGTCGCCGCCCCTCCGCCCTCCTCCTTCTGCCTGTCCCCTGCATCCTCCCCCTCCTCCTCGCTCTCCTCGTCCTCACTCTCTCCTCCGCTGTTCTCCCTCCCCGCATCACCTTCACCCTCCTCTTCCTCGCTCTCCTCCTCCTCGTCCATGCCATACCCGCCTCGCCCGCCGTACCTCCCTCCCCGCCCACCACCCCCTCCTCGAGCCCCCCGGCCCCGCCTCCCAGCCTTGGGTCCCCCCGCTTCCCGGACCCCCTCCGCCTCCCTGCCCCCTCCCGGGCCGCTAGCTCCCGGCGGCGCTGCGTCCTCCGGCTCCACCGCCTGCGGGGTGGGACCCCACCCACCATCATTAACAGCAGGGGGGCTGGGAGCTTCAGGCAATCCAGTAGGATCCTACTCGCGGCAAGTTTTCATAACACACACCGTTAGTTTTCACAACACGCCATCAGAGGTGCTTTGCTGCTCACACACAACTGCCATGCCATGAGTGCGTGAAAGGACGCCGCCGGCTATTATTGAGTGTCGTCATCCCGCGGTACCACAGGTCTGAAGCCCTCTCACATCCCCGCCCCCCTACATGCCCGCGTGCTACTACAACTGCCCCGCCCGCCCCGCCCTGCCCTGCTGCCCACCTTTACAAATTCATGCAGCATCTCCGCCTTGAGCGAGTTGCCCGAGCCGTCTATCTGGCCCCAGTCGATACCCGACAACTCGCTGTGCGCCACCTGTAGGATGACGCATGGGATAAAATAGGGTGGGGTGGAACAGAGGGCTGCTTTGTTGAGGTGGAACATGGTGTTGTGAGAAAGGCGTTTGTTCGCGGCTCGGGCGACGACGCGGAAACACCCCTCTGCCGGTACCGCCCCTGGCAGCCCTGTCCTCCTTCCCTCCAAGCCCCTTCTGTTCCCTCCCTCTCTGCTCCCCTAAGAAAGGGGAGCAGGGGAGCAGGAGCCGTTCCGCACCCCCTCTCCGCCCCACCTTCCTCCCCAGCGCCCGCGCCTGCACCACGTACACCAGCCACAGCACCTCCCCGCGATACAGGTTGCGGATGAGCGACTCCTTGTTCAGGAAGACCTGGGGAGGGGGCATTGGAATGAGTGATAGGAAGGAGAGATGGAAAAGAAGAAATGGAAGAAGAGAGAAAGAGGAGGGTCTCATTCGCGCACCGTGACGCATTCCTCGTGTGCTTGCCGTGATGTATCGTTGTGGGGCTGTGTGCCTGGCATCCCCGTTCCCTACCTCCCCGTGCCTCCCTCCCCTCCCTCCCCTACAGCAAAAAATCAAGAAGAAGGCCTTGCTTTATTAAAAGATGGATTACCTTTTAAATAAATTTTCTTTTTTTATAAAATTTTTTAAAATAAACAAAGTAATCTGTTTTTCTTTTCACAAAATATAATAAGAACAGCTTCATAATATTTTTTTATTTTTTTTTGAACTTGGCCCTCAGCCATGTTACTGTTTTTAACTTGTTAAAACCTTGCAAACCCAAAGGGCCACCTAATAAAAGAAAATATAAAACGAGACAAGGCTAACAGGATGGATTCTTATATTTAATATTATATTTATTGTTTTATATTTTTTATTTATTATTTTTTAAACTTATGTTACTGTTCTTAATTCGTTAGAACCTAAATAAATATTCCCCAATAATTCGCCTAATTCGAGGTTTCCTATGGTTTGCTCTATCTAGACCCCCTCCCCCTCCCAGCCCACCGCCTCACCTCCAGCGCGCTCCTGGCGCCCGCGCCCACCTCCTGCGCAGTCGCCCGCAGCACCTCCGCGTTGTCCCCTACATGCGACGCCAGCAGCCAGTTGCCCCGCAGCAGCGCCGCATCGGGCGCCAGGTCCTTGCGGCCGCGGGAGGTGTCGTACATGGAGTCCTTGGGCTGCCGCTCCAGGGGGGCGCGGGCGCTGTGTGCAGGTGGGGGGCGCGGGGGTAAGGAAGAGGAGCAACAGCAACCAGGTAACAAGTGGGTGGGTGGGGGGATGAGGAGGACCAATGCTTACCCTACCCCTTTGTGCCCCACCTCCATCCGTCCGTTACAGCCCTCACATACACCATAAGCCACGCACACCTTCACTACAGCCCTTCACAACATTCCCCAACTCCAACCCTCCCACCGGTGCGCCTCCTCCCTGGCCAGCACCCCCAGCTCCGCCACCGCCGCCCCCAGCACCGCCCGCCGCAGGTCCGCCGCCTCCACGTGGTGTCGCAGCTGGTGCGCGGAGGCCAGGGCGCTGCAGGCGGCGCGCAGGCAGCCGGGCAGCGCAGCGGCGGCGGCACCGCAGGCAGCCAGGCAGGCGCCCTCCTGCAGCAGGCCGCGAGGGCCGGACTGCGGGGAGGGGGGTCAAGGATATGGCAGAACCACAGGTTAGGGTAAAGCTATGGGTAGAAGGGGGGGAGGAGGGGAGGGGGTAAGAGGAGAGCGGTGGTGGAGAGGTGTGGGGAAAACGAGGAACGAGGTGGGCATGGGGGTACCACGTAAGGAGTGGAGAGGGAGTTTTCAGGACGTAAGGCGTGCTGGTGCAGTAGTTTAGAAGCAGGGGTTCGGCTAGGCGTAGGGGGTAGCACAAGGACAGCAGGGGCCCAGCACAGGAACCAGGAAGAGGAGCCTCTCCCCATCCCTTCCCTCCCCTCTTCCCTCCCCTCCCCCCCACGCACCATGAGCACCCCGCCGTACACCACACCCGGGTTATACCCCGGCTTCCAAAGCGCCTCCACCACCCCGCTCTCCCCTCCTCCTCCTCCTCCTCCTCCAGCTCTCCCTCCTCCTCCTCCCCCTCTCCCTGCCAGCAGCGCCGCCGCACTCGCCGCACTGCCCGCCGCCGCATGCAGCCCCGCCAGTGTCTGCCGCTCCGCCCGAGCCGCCAGCCCGCACAGCTGCGACACCAGGCTGGCCTCCAGCTCCAGGGAAAGCGTCTCGGTGTGGTAGCGAGCAGCAAAGTAGCCGTCCTCCTGGGCCAGGTTGGGACGCCTGGGGGGGCAGGGGGGCGGCCATGGAGAGTGGATGTTGGGGGTGGGTGGGAAGAAGGGTTGGGTTAAGTTTGGATTTGCGTAGGGTTTTACGCACGGTTTGTGTCAGGGATTATGGGAACAACTCGGCGGCAGGTACGGCTACGAAACTAGAGGGGCATGTGTTAAGTCTGTAGTTCACGAAAAAGTCGGGCAAAACATCATGGCACGTGATAACCCACGGGTCGATCCTAGCGCTTTGTAGCGAGCTTTCTCCACCGTACCCGTTTCATCCTACCTGAACGTCAGATCAACCATCTCCCGCCGGAGCTGCCGCCTGGCTCCCAGCAGCTGAGGCTGGGGCGAGTTGGCAGCGGCCTTCTGCCAGGCCGCGAAGCCATCACCGCCGCCGCTGCCGTTGCCGGCACCACCCACGCTGCTACCGATGCTGCCGCCTGAGGCGGTGGCGGCTGGGGAGCCGAAGGGCTGCAGGTCCGCGCTAACACCGCCCCACATGTCCGGCAGGCCCCAGCACGTTGCGTGGCGGTAGGCCTGGGGGCAGGACACGGCGGGGGGGGAGAGGGTTTCGGGCGACAGCTGTACTGAGGCTAGTATAGGGTTGGTGGAGCATGCTAAGGTCAGGTTTGGTACTGCCTGCCAATGCTTGCCCATCAATCATTACACAGCCCTGATTCTCTCTATCTGGTAGTATTGTAACACCAAACATCTCACCTGGTAGTAAGCTAACAGGGCCTTATGTCGAGCCGCGCAGTACTGCGCCTCACACTCCCACATATCCGCCACAACCGACAAACGGTCAACCGCAAGCAGCGCGTCGCCGGCGGCGGCAGCCGCCGCCGCCGCTGCTGCCGCGGCAGCGCGAGCGCCAGATGCTGCATCCGTACTTCCTGCTGCCCTGGACAATCCAGCCCCGCCGGCCCCCCCTGCAGCATCCACCTGCGCAGCATACGCCTCCAAGTGATACGTAGCCACACGCAGCAGCTCCGTTTCAAGCTCACGAAACCGATCCAAAGCCGCGCCGTACAAGATCCACCTCCCATCAGGCGCCCGTACGGCAACCCCCGCCTCTGGATCGTCCGTCCAGCTGTCAAAATCCGCCTCCGCGGCGGCGGTGGCCGCAGCGGCGGCGGCCGCCGCCGTCGCCGCCGCCCCCGCGACGGTGTGCGCTGTTGCGGCTGCATAGGCGAAGGGGCACGTAAAGTCTTTGGTTGCGGTGGTGGGGAAGGGCTGTGCGAGGGGCTCCTCGTCTCGCTCGTCGCGCAGGAGCTGCAGCTGCAGGGACACGATGGCGTTGAGGTAGTGCAGGACCTGTGGGGGGGGTGGCGGACATGGGGGGCATGGGGGAGGGGGCAGGCAGGATTGGTGGGAAGGAGGCCAGGAAAGGTTGCCGGTATGAGGGATTCAGCTGAGGGATCAGTAAGTAGCGGCGGCAACCGTTCGAAGGGAAAGCGGCGAAGGGAGCTTTAAAAAGAGCACCGGTCCACGACGCAATATACCGGTACAAGCGTACAACGTTTACCGGTACCCTTCCCCCATCCTTTCCTACCTTGATCTTATTCCTCTTGGTGGCCAGGAAGCGGGCAATGTACAGCGCCTCCATGGTCTTGTCCTGCAGCCGGGGGGCGCTGACGGCACGCGGGGTGCTGTTGATGCGAGCCGCCGCAGCGATACGGCTGCCCGCCGCCTCCTCCGCCGCCGCCCCTGCAGCAGCCTGCGACGACGACGATGACGAAGCTGATGACGACGAGGGAGACCACCTGTCCACGTGCTGCTCGGCCAGGCATTTGAGTCTGTCGTACACGGTTTGGTCCTCGCACTGGTCGATGAAGGCGTTCTCGGCCTGCAGCACCTCGTCGATCTGGATCGGCAGGGGAAGGGGGCGGGGAGGCAAGGAGGGCGGGGAGGCAGGGAGCCGTTAAGGGGCGGGACGCGGTAGTTCAGGCGAGAACGGCGTGCGTCTATGTCCCGTGATACCGGTATCCAAAAGCCCCCTCCTCCGAACCCCATGTCAGCTTCCACTATTTTCCCTCCCGACCCCCAGCCCAACCTGCAGAGGCAGTGTCCGCAGCACCGCCACATAGCCCGCCGACTCGTCCCCCTCCGGCGAGGGCACCAGCGCCGCCAGGTGCTCGTCCATCACCCGTACGACATGCACCTGGTGCTCCGGCGCGGAGCAGGCGGGGTCGTCCTCGGCGTAGGGGTCGGGTGGCTCGGCAGCTAGGCCGGCTAGGGGCGAGGCGGAGGCGGCGGCGGAGGAGGTGGCGTAGGTGGCGCCGGCGATGGAGGCGGCGGCGTCGGGTGGTTGGAGGGGCGGCGCGTCGGCTTGGGATTGGTCTGTTGGCAGGGGCTGCAGTTGCGGTTGCTGCTGCTGCTGCTGGTGGTGGTAAGGGGATTGCGAGCTAGGTTGAGGAGATTGCTGAGATGGTTGAGGTGGTAGTTGTGATGGCGGTTGTGTGGAGCCGGGCAGGCTGGAGCCCGGCCAGCGGAGGCGGTGCCGGGCCAGGAGCTTCATCGCAGGAGGGGGTGGGTGGGAAGGAGACACGGGAAGCAGCACGAAACGGCAGATGTCAAGAAAGAGGCGAGGCGAGGGCAATCGCCAGCGATGTAACATGTAAGCAACATGTGGGACCAGCAAACGGCTCTGGAGCCTCGGCAGCTTGGCAAGGCCGCATCCCCTTCTGTTGCTTCCTCCCCAGCCCCGTCCCACCCTGGGATCCCCAGCCCCATCTCGCCTCCCCAGCCCCGCCCCAGTTCCGCCACTATCTTCCCTCTCAGCTCTCACCCTGGGCAGCATCCTGCGCGCCTGGTAAGCCGCCCGGTGATGGCGTACCGAGGGCGCGTCCGCCTCCGCCGCCGTCATGGGGAAGGTGTCGCTCAGGTCGCTGGACACCTGGAGGGGAAGCGGGAAGGGAAGGGAAGAGAGGGAGAGGGGAGGGAGAGGGCGGGGGCGGGGCAGCATGTGGGAGCAGGCTAGGCGGATGAGGAGGAGAGCGTCATGGGTGGCAACGCGCGGCCTAAAGCCCCTTCCTGTCAACCAGGCTTCGTTCCCTTCCCCTCCTCAGCCAACCCCGGCCCCCGACTACGATTTTTTACACCCCATGGTGAAGCCCTGCAATACGGAGCTCTGCAGTTTCTCCCTCTTTACCCCCCGCTCCCCACTTTTCATTTATGTTTGCACCCCGCTCCTCCCCCCCCACCTGCTCCAGCAGCTCCCCCACCCCCAGCTGCTCGAACAGCGCATCCAGCTGCTGCAGCGACTCCTCGTTGCTGGCCACCACCCGCGGCGGCACACGCAGTCCCGAGCCCGCGGCCTGCTGGTCGCGGCGCAGCGCAGCACCCGACACCTGGGGTGGTGGCGGCAGTGGCGGCGAGGTGAGGCGGGGCGAGGCGTGGTGAGGCGGGCAAGGTGGGTGCGGTATACAGTACCGGTGGATGCGGCAGGGAGGAGAAACCGCGCAACCACTCCATCCCCTGGTCAAGAGGCGGGCAGATGCAGATGCAGCAGCCCTCGCACGCACCCCCACCTGCTCGTAGATGGGGAAGCGGTGGTGGTGGCTGAGCGGCAGCAGCCTCAGCCGGTCGAAGAAGCGCTCCGCGGGGCGGCCGGGCGGCAGGCGCGAGGCGGCCCAGTGCAGCGCCGCCCACCAGTCGCTGTCGTCGGGGGCGCGCAGGGAGGTCAGGCGGGCCAGGCGGGCGGCGGCGTCGGCCTCGGCCAGCTGCAGGGCCTGTGGGGGGCGTGGTGTTGCGTGGGTGTGTGCCCGGGGGGGGGAGATGCCGGGGGGGAGGAAGGAGGAAGGAGGAAGGGTTTAGGGCTGCCGCAGAGGGTGTCCGATGGGCTCCCGCCCCTCTACGTCTCCATGGCACCCGTTCCCTGGATCCCCTTCTTTCTCCTCCCGCTTCCCAACCCTTCGCGCACTCCGCCAATCGGGGACTGCCCAGTCCTCCCCTCTCCCCTCCTTTACCGCCCCTCCGCCCCTCCCTCTCACCCACCCATACGCTCGTCAGTTTCCTCTTTCTTCCCACCCACCCATCCGCCCACCTGCATGCACTGCGCCGCCAGCGCCAGCTCCCCCTCGCAGCTGCAGGCCCGGATGCCCGGCTGCCAGGCAGTGCCCGCGTGGTCCAGCTGGTGGGGCCAGGGCGGCAGACGAGTCACGCCCGCCGGCAGTCCCGCCTGCCGGGCGCAGGGCCGGGGGTGAGGGGGCGCGCAGGGGCAATGTAGGGAGTGGCTGACCAGGCTGACAGGGCACCGTATCGCACCCACCCTCTTCTGCGCTTGGGTGTGTGCACTGCTCGCCCCATGGGACCTCATGCGGCCCTGCCCTTCCCCCCAAGTGCAGCCCATCCCATCGCCCCTCCCCACCAGCACCAACTCAGCGCCACTCCACAGCACCATCATGACTGCGGCCCTGCCGACTTTCCGCGCCGCCAGCAGCCGCCTCGGCGCCCCCGCCTTCACCCTCCTCCCACCTGCTACGGTACCTCCCGCCCTGACTGCTTGCTGTTGTTGTCGCGTTCGGACCGGGTCACCCACCCTGTCAGCACTCTCCCACCCTCCCCCTCCTCCATCCGCACCCGCCTGCCTCCCTCCCTGCCAGCACCCTGCCTCCCCCTCCCCCTCCCTCCCTCCCCCCCGCGCCCCACCTGCCCCACCACATGCGCCAGGTGCTGCCGCCTCAGCGCCACCACGTGCCGCATCAGCTGCCGCTGCTCCACCACCAGCTCCGCCTGGCGCGCTTTGAAGTGCCACGTGAGCGCCGTCAGCTCGTGCAGGCCTGGAACAGCAGGGGGGAAAGGGAGGAGGGGGAGGCAGGCAGGCAGGGGGGAAAGGGAGGAGGGGGAGGCAGGGAGGCAGGGAAGACGTTCGTGTCATGCTGGCTGCGCTGGGCTGACCCAAGTGCGGGGCACCCATCCAGTTAGCCGTGACCCGGACTCAAGACCCGGACTCAAGATTTTGGACTCAAGATCCGGACTCAAGACCTGGACTCAAGAAGTCTCCACACCCGGAGCCCCCGGCGAGGCCCCTAGCCATGCGCCGTAAACACTCCCCCCCCCCGCAGCGCTCGCGATCGCGCCCCAGCGGCGCACAACGCCCCGTCCCACCAGGCCACGCCACCATGCACCGCAGACCCTCCCCCTCCCGCTGCTCCTCCCCCGCCGCCCAAGCTGAGCACGACCAAGCCCTCCACCGGGCCCCCCCCCCATCCACCGCCCTTCCCAGCCTGCGCACCCGCCAGCGGCCGCCCAGCCGCCTCCACCGCCGCCCTGCATGCCTCCGCCATGGAGGGCTGCTGCCGCCACTCCAGCCCCAAACTCAGCTCCCACTGCAGCTCCCGCCGCTCCCGCTCAATCGTGGCCGCGGTGGCGTTGCCACTGAACAACGAGGCAGGCAGCGGCTGCTGCGGGTGCTGCTGGGTTGCATGGGCAGGGGCGCCGCTGCCGCTGCCGCTGCTGCCGGAGCCCGGGGCTGATGCGGAGGCAGCGAGGGCATCGCCCAGGATGCGTTTGACATCTTCAGTCTGCAGCTCGCGGCGCTGCGCTAGGAGGGTGAGCAGGTGCTTGGAGTAGGCTTCGGCTTCGGGATGGGCCACGTAGGCAGCATGCCTGGTGGGGGCGGTGTAAGGGGAGGGGTGGTGGTAAGGTGGTTGCTGTTGTGAAAGGGTTAGGTGGGCAGGTGGCTGGATGGGGGAGGGCTGGATGGAGTAGTGGCGAGGTTTGTGTGGGTATGGGAGCGGTTGCGAAAGAGGGATTGGTAATTGGCGCTGGGGTAGTAGGAGGGTAGGGGTATGCCGCCTACATTGAATGCAGGGCCGGCACACGGGCCGCACGTACGTGGGTGATACCCGCCATGATTAGCTTCCGCATGTCATGCGATATGGCCATTTGTAGAAGTGCATTTGGATGCGTGTTCGAAGGTTGCAACCCGACCTACGGCTTGCAGCTTGGCGCATGTTGCGCTGAAGTTTCTCACCTGGTACAATGTCCCGACCCTTCCATTTGGTATTTGTCCTGCTGATTATAACAATTGTCGATTATCCTAGGGACATGCAGCGCCAAACTATTTGGCTTAAACCGGCAATACACCTCCTTAACGCCATTTCCTGAATCGTAATCGATGGTATTGTAAAACGTAAGTAGTTTGCCAAATCCTGAGCTATCTGCGCTTTACGGACGGGCTTTCTCTAAGTAAGGCAGTACGGGAAACGATTGCTTGCGCAGACCAACGGTGAAGCAAAGCGTGTTGCGACGCCCCTCGCAAGCATTGCTTCTATTCCTACTTTCATAATTTAACCGTTAATGCTTTATAACCACTCTGCTTGATAAACCTGGACCGCGGCTTTTGCCTTTGCCATCCTTTCTCTACAAGCGTACAGAACAAGTCATTTTTCATTTATGTTAACTCCAGTTTGAGATAGCACTTATACCAGGGATGAAAGCAGCGTGAAAAAGGGACGGTGCCGTTTATGAGCCAGGGTCGCCGCGGAGAGAAGCCGGAGGTGAGCATCTCTGATTATAAAATTACTATAGTAACTGAAAGCAAGTAAAGATAGATTGTTTAACTTTATGGCGGTCGGCACTGCGGGGCACGATGCCACCCTTGTGCGGCTGCCGGTCGCTTTTCCTTACTGACAAAGATTGCCTACATCCGAAACACCAACCATTGTATCCTGCTGCTCGACTTCTTGCGCCGTGTGCCTGTCGTGTCTATCCGCCTGCCGCAGCTGCACTTTCACCCGCAACTGGGCGAGCACAGTGTCAGCACGAGCTATGCTCATACGCAGAGAGGTGGGTCTGTTCGTTTACCGTTGTCGCGAGTCCATTTAGTATGGTCGACGATAACCGTTAACCCAACATGCGAAACTCCCACCAGTTTTTTCCAGCCGTCGCATTTCGGCGATGTGAAGCCCCGAACACCTGCTAATTGATAAAGCGTATGCTAATCCCGCGTGCCTATCAGGTTACGACCGGAAACCTTCACGCCAGGGCACGCGGACCCAAGCAGCGCACGTCGACGCAATGGGAACCGCCCAACAGCTCAGCAGCTCGCTACGCAGAGTTGATACACCAGAACAGTCAGGAGGGAGGGATGCACTAGTCCGCAGCAGCGTAGGCATTAGGCCAAGCCGTGCCTACGCTGTAGGAGGGCCACCCTTGCCACAACCTCAAGGAGTCCGGCCCTCCAGCCGACCGACGTCCTCCCTCGGTCCTCTCAGTCCTCGACAACAACTCACTACCTCCTACCGCGATGCAGCGCTCATCGCGGCCCAGCATGGCCTGTCAGCATACGCCCAGTCTGCGGCAGCCACCGCTGCCGCCGCCCGGAACTCGGCCTCCAGGTCAGGCGGCAGCAGCGGCCTTACCTCCTCCCATGGCGGCCGGCCGCCGCCCCCACCCCGCAGCACACAACAAAGCACCCCAGCGCCAGTTCCCTACCAGCCAGCCGGCTCTGAGCGCCTGCCCAGCCGCAGCGGGCTAGCAGCCGGCCCCGGCCCCAGCAGCCGCCCCCCGAATCGTTCCAGTCAGCTACCCAGCCGTGGCAGCGCACCTCCAGCATCCAACCCCGGCGCCTTCCATCGCACCACCGACGCGCCTGCAGTCACGGTAACCTACAATGACCTCGCATGGAGGGGCGCCTTTGGCAGCTTCCAGCACCATGAGCATGAGGATGTCATGCCGCCAGGCCTGGCGGGGACACAGTCCCTTGGGCCGCCTGCTGCATCGAGAGGCATGAGTCCGGGCTGGGGCGGTCCCTCTGCCAGCGCCTATGAAGCCGATGGCCGGCCGGGCACGCGCGGTGGGGGTCCACAGTTCGACATTGACGGGCGTCCCACAACGCGCGGCGGACAGCGGCCACCCTCCCGGGTACAACTGGGACTTGCGCCGCCTCGGCCGCCCAGCCACGTGGCTCCGTTGGGCAACGCCTTTGGCTTACCCACGGTGTTTGCCGCATCGTTGGGGCAGGACGCGTCGCCCACGAGCACCCTGTCTGGGGGTGGAGCGGCGACGGTGACGGTCAGCGCCAGCGGCGAGGGGTGCGACTTTTGCGGCTCCCTACGTCGCCAGCCGCTGCCGCTGCCGCCAGCCATGTCTGCCACGTCAACATGCGGAGCCGGAAGCGGCGGCGGCGGCCGCAGTGGCGGCGGCGCTGGGCCCGAGGGCTGCGGGCCTGGCGGCAGCAGCGGGAGCTTCAGCGCGGGTCTGGGCGGTGGCGCGGGTCTCCTGTCATGCCTGGCATCATCAACAACACCGGGGTCCCTGCATCCCAGCTCACACATCCATTCCTTAAGCCATCCAGGGCAGGAGGGCCACTTATGCTTTGATACCGGCAGCTCCGGGACGACCCCGGGGCGACTCCTGGTTGCCAAGCTCAGCAGCATAGCGGAGGTCCCGGGGTCGCCGGTGGGAGCGTCACCAGCGGCAGCGGGGGCGCCGTTGGGGAGAGCCTCGACGGAGAAGCTTGACAGCTTGGGCGGTCGCAAGTCGTCTTTCGAGCGGTTGCCGGGCGCTGTTGATGGCTTGGAGCCCAGGATTTCGGAGGAGGTGGGTTGCGTGCTATGGGCGCGGCAGGGTTGCGACGAGCGTTTGGTGAGAGGGTACAGAGCACTCGGTTGCATGGGGCCGATGTGCACTGCTGCAGGATGGTACGGTAGTGCTCCTATTGGTATAAAGAGGGTTTGGTAGCAGTTGGGCCACCGCTCCGCAGCCTTCTGTGAAGTAAAGCTCTTGCGCGTAGCACTTGCCGTTCAGACGGTTGACTTGTTTGTTGCAAAGAACGGATGCACCCTCGGCAAGTGGGTGGCCTCGCACTGTGTGGTGGTTCCGTGCTGCACACGCAGTCACAGCCCACACCCGCGGTACTGAAACGGGCGTGAACCGGGCGTGCTGCACACGCCCGCCTCATACAGCCCACGACCGCGGCACTTAAAAAAGCAATCCCTCCTTCACTGCTGTTCTTCCGCAGGGCAACGATGACTCACACGTTTCGAACCTTGACCAGGACGGCAGCAACCGCTGCGGCAGCGGCCGAATGAGGTCGCGGCGCACCGTGACAGACAGTGACAGCAGCGGCATTGACCACCGGCAACACGGTGCGCTCGGCGGCGGCAGCCGCTTGGGAGCCGCTGTGGGGCCGCCCTTGCTTGGACCGCCGGTAGGTTTGGGTTGAGGTGCTGCCGACCGGGTATGTGCCGGGCTTCAATTGAGCGAATTGACATTACTTGGCTGCTAGGGAGAATGCGCTAGGGTGTACCTTACAAGAAGAGAACGATGGAAGCCTGTTCTGCCCGGGCCAGCTGTGTGGAGGGCTATTGAAGGGTTCATGCGAATGTCGTGCGGATAGCTCATTATTAGGAGTGGTGTCCCGCTTGCAATTTTCATTGTGCTCACTCTTTTGCCAATCCATACTTGCCACATCTGGCCCATCCTGCAACTGACCTTGCCTACCTTGTGCCTTTCCACAGGCTATCCGAGAGACTTCAATAGCTGGATCACTGCGTTAGCACCAACCAGTGCCTGACAGACCAAGACAAAGCATGCAAGCTAGCTACGTATGCCCGCGGTGCCCTTAACATAAAAGGCGTTGAAGCAACGCCACATGACTGATCAGACTTGTCATTGATGGAAGCTAGGAGTCGGTGTCGGTGATAGATCCAACGCTAGCCGAAAGCTGCAAGTGGGCTATTTTGCATGGCCACGGAATTTATGGCGTCGAGTCTTTGTCGCGAAGCTGGGTGTGTTGAAAAATTATTTCTCTACATTTTGAGACTTTTGGATGATGTAGGCGTTGATGGACTTCATTTCGCATCCAACGGACCTCCGGCATTGTAACTTTCGCGATCGCCAAGAGTAAACTGATATAGGCATTGCTTATAGGTGTCGATATACAATACCATATCCATCCTACATCAGCCGTCAGCCCATAGCAGTCGCTAGAATGGCGAAGAAAACTAAGTCCCCTCCTGCTAAGGCGCCTGCAGCTCCTGCGAATGTGGAGCCAGAGGTGAGGCTGAATTATCGTCAATTGTGGTCTCGCAAAGCCTGACATCCCTCGTCGTGGAGTTGTGGGTCGCCGGCGGCTATGTGGCTCAGAATGGGTTAGTGGTTCTTTGGATTTTGCTTTCTGGCAGGTTGCCAAAAAGGTTGTGGAGTTGAAAACCGAGGGAAACAACTCCTTCGCTCGTGGCGACTACCAGAAGGCTCTGACCATTTACGACGATGCCATTAAGCTGCTGCCCGCCAACGCTCCGGAGAGGGCGGACTTCCACAACAATAAGGCGGCATGCTTCATTGGCCAGAAGAGGTGCGCTTGGGCATGCACGAAACCTCACGCCGACAGGCCTGCAGCCCTGCGAGGGCAGTGTTGCACCCACATAAGTGAATACCTAAAGCCTTGGGCTCCTGGCAATGCATGGCGTGGCTTAGGCTCCTTCAACAACGGCCCTTGGAGAGGTGTGACGATTGGTACGAAGGGTGCCCCACCGAACTGTCCCACTGTCAGTGACATGCAGCAACCGGGACAACAGCGGCGACGATTGGGCCATGCAGCCTAGTCACCTCCCTCACATACCCTAACCATTGACGGCAACACCCTAAACAGCTCGCTTAGACGCCCAAGGGTGACATTAGCCTTCACTGTTAACTTGCAATCCAAAGCTGCAGTAGCGGGGACGGGTCGTGCGCATGCGCTGTACGTACCTCCTCCAACACCTTCCCTCACTCTGCCTTCACCCCCCCCCCCTTCACCAACTCACCCCTCCTTCACCACCACCCGCCTCCTCCCGCTCCGTTCTCCCGCTCCTCCCCCACAGGTACAAGGAGGCCGTCAAGGAGTGCACCTCCGCCCTGGAGGTGGCCCCCAACAGCGTCCGCGCGCTGCAGCGCCGCGCCAAGGCCTACGAGCAGCAGGGCCTCTTCAAGCTCGCCCTCGCCGACATCTCCACGATCAACAAGACCGACGCTGCCTCGCCCGAAACCCAGGAGCAGGAGCGCAGGCTGCGCGAGGCCGCCGCCAGGCGCCCCGCCTCCGCCACCGCCGCCGCCGGCGCTGCCAACGGCGCCGCCGGCGCCGCGGCCAGCGGCAGCGGCGCCAGCAAGCTCTCCCAGCTGCAGCAGGGCCTGTACACCGCCAAGTGCTCGCTGGGCGATGACACCAAGCTCGTCCACCTCAGCCTGGCTCACAACTACGCGGATGTGTTGACTGCCGTACAGGCCAAGTTCCCGGCCGCCGGCCCCTTCGCACTCAAGTATGTGGACAAGGCGGGGGATCTGGTGACCATCACCTGCAAGGCGGACCTGCATGTGGCGCTCGGGGAGCTTGTGCAGCAGTACCAGCGGCAGGTGGCTGCGCAGGGCAGCCATGGGCCCAAGCTGACGGCCTTCCCGCCCCTCAAGCTGCACCTGGCGCCTGTGGCGTCGGCGGTGAGGAGGAGAGGGGGGAGGGGAGGGAAGGGGGGAGGGGTGAGGGTATGGGGGTAAGGGGGAAACCAAGGTTGCTGACTGGGATGGGTTGGGCGGGTGGGTGGAGGGGTTGCTGATGCTGTTGTGTGTTAAAATAACTGTGCATGTGTGCATGTGTGTGTTTGGGAGCGTGTTGGTGCACAATGGTACAGTTCCTCGTCCCTCCTGACCCCCATCCTCATGACGCCCCCATGCCCCGGGTTGCACACACCCTCACACCCGCCAGGCCGATGTTCCCAAGCCGCCTGTGGAGGAGGAGCTGGAGCGGCAGCAGCTGCTGGCCATGCAGCGGGGGCAGGGGGCCGACCGCAAGGTGGGAGCAGCGGGGGGGCGGCGGTGGTGGCGACGGAGGGGGGAGGGAGAAGGGAGTAGCAATATAGCATGCTGTGCAAGATGGTGGCGAGCGGTGGTGACAGCTCTTGGGGCGGTGGGGCGGGAGGAGGAGGAGGAGGGAGGAGGAGGAGGTGGGAGGGTAAGTTGGGGGAGCTGGAAAGGGTGTGACTAGGCGAACTAGCCAGTTGAACCCACCCGGGCCAGACCTGTGGCAGGCAAGCCAAGGCTAACCTGGGTGGAAGAGGAAGAGGGAGATGGGAAGGCTGGAGTAAGACCGAAATGAGGCGGGGTGTGTTGGAGGCAGCGCATGTCAGAGCGGCGGTGAGGGTTGTGGGAATCTCCCTGGGTCCAAGGGACTGGGAAGCGCCCTGAGTAGGCGGTAAGGATCGCAACCACCTCCCCTAACCGCCCCCCCCCCAGGAGTCTGCCCCCTCCGAGGAGCTGCATGTTGACAGCTGGCTGCTGGAGTTCGCGCAGCTGTTCATCCAGCAGACGGGACTGGAGCCGGACAAGTGAGGGGGCGGGGGGGGAGAGGGAGGGGAGGCAAGGGGGGGGGATGGGAGGCAGGGAGGGAGGCAGGGAGGAGAGGGACGGGGAGACCCTGCTGTTCACAGAGCTCTTCCGCGGCTGTGCATGTGGTTGCGAAACCCGAAAGGGGGGCGGTCCGGTGGGCTCGGTGGTGGCGTGCTGCTACCGTAGTCCTGCCGTAGGCTCTCCCATGACGCATGGGGCGTGCATTGCACAGCTGCTGTGCGGATGATGGACGACATGGAGGCCGAAGCAGCATACCCCGATATTTGCCACCCCTGCCCAACCCTTGGCCGCCAACTTGGACACCTCCTCTGGCCTCCGCCTCCTTGATTGCCCCCGGTTGCCCTGCCTCCCCGTGTTCCCTCATGTTTGCTCCCTCCTTCCCTCACACTTTGGAATTTCTTTTTCCTTCCCTCACGTGTCCCTCCCTCCCGAAGGCACGTTGAGCTGCACAACATGGGCTGGGAGGCGGTCACCAAGGCGCTGGACGCCACGGTGCAGGCGGAGGCGGCCGTGCCGCTGTTCGACAAGGCCAAGGACAGCTTCCGGGACGTCACCTGCACGGGACTGACCAGCTGGGGACAGGTACGACACATCTGTATCCTGGGGGTATGCCGTACGCTGTACACATGCTAGTTGGGATGGTGGAATGTGCTGGTTAGGAAGGAAGGAAACCAACGGGTGGTTGCCTCTGGATGGATGAGGGGAAGTCAGATGGGCGCCTGGCATGTCATGTCATGCCATGCCGGCAGATGGCAGCAAAGAGTGTGGTGTGACCCATGGGTCACTTTGACCCACCCTCGTCACTGTGGCTCCCTCTTTACCCCTTCCAACCCCCTCCCAACCCCCCTCACACCCCCCAGGTTCACCAGCTGCTGGGCAACCGCGCGCTGGAGGCCGCCGCCAAGGCCGGCAAGGGCGCCGCCGAGGTACGGGAGTCCGTGCTGGCCGAGTTCGAGCAGGCGGAGAAGAAGTACAAGGAGGCTCTGTCGTACAACTCCGAGTTCTTCGACGCGCTGTGCAACATGAGCCAAGTGGAGTTTGACCGCTGCAAGCTGACGGCCGGCCTGATGCCCAGCGAGCCCAAGTGAGGGGGAAGGGGCTGAGTGGGGGTGGGCTGAGTGGGTGCTGATGCCGCGGTACTGTTTCGGCTGTTTTGTTTTTGGCATGAATAGCTGGTATATACCAGCTACCAGTACCGGTGTCTTGGTTGGTATCATGGTATATCCCTCGTTCCCCTCTCCTCCTAACTTCCTTCCTCCCGCCTGCCACTCGCACACCCAGGCCCGCCGAGGCCGCCGCCGACAAGACCCCCGAGCAGGCCGCCGCCGACACCGCCGACGCCGTCAACGCCGCCATGCGCGTCGCACTCGCCGCCGTCAACGCCGACGGCGTAACGGCTGCACAGTCGCTCTTCGAGTCGGCTCTCTCCTGGGCCGAGCGCGCCATTGCCGTCGCGCCCTCCATGGACGCCCGCCAAAAGGAGGCCCAGGCCAAGGCCGCGGCCGACGCCTCTAGCCAAGGCGCCGCCGGTACGGCAGCCCAGCAGCCTCCCGAGTACGACTTCCGCGCGCAGGCACTGGTGCTCAAGGGCAACTACATCTACGAATGGAGCCAGATGCTAGCGGCGGTGGGTCAGGAGTGGCGGCCGCAGCTGGACGGCGCGGTGGGGTTGTTCCGTGAGGCTGGGTGCCCGGAGAAGGACATCCGGGTGGCGCTGCGGAACCACTTCAAGGTGGGGTGGGCTGGGGTGAGGGGAGGAAGGGGCGGATGGTATGGAGAGTCGCGCGTTTGGGTGAGGATAGGGTGTGTGGAGGAAACAGATTTGAAGGCTCCAGTTGCTGCACTTCTCATATACTTTCACCCCTACTAATCCCTTCCCTGCCTCCCCCATCTGTTCCTCTCCTCCACCCCGCCCGGCCGCGCTCCTCAGGCTGCGGAGCTGGATATCCCCGCGGAGGAGCCCGAGGCCGCCCCGGAGGCACCCAAGCAGGAGGAGGACAAGCCGGCGGCCGCCAAGCAGGAGGCCAAGCAGGAGCCGGTGAGCAGGCGTTGGTTTCCTGGAGGGGGGTATTTGCACTATCTTACGCTATATAGGACTGTGGGGGGTGCGGGTGTGTTGCAGGAGGTTACAGGGCCTGGGTGGCCGGGTGGCTGGGTGCTCAGCTGCAGACACTCCTCCTGCGCTTGCTGGATTTCCCGCATCGCCTAGCGCTCGCTTGTGCCGTTGGCATTTGAGGAGCGGCTCTGCAGTCTTGAGTGCGATCGCTGCCGCCCTCTCATCGCTGCTGCTGCCGCTGCCCCTGCCGCTGCTGCAGGCTGCTGAGGAGAAGCCCAAGGCCAAGGGGCTCCCCTCCCTGGAGGTGAGGAAGGCCAAGAAGTAAACGGCGGTAGCAAGGGACCGAACTGCGGGGTGATTGGAAGGATGGGGGGAGCGGCGGCGGGAGGAGGAGTCCGGGGCTGGTCCTCCGGTGGGATGGCGGGAAGTGCTGGTGATGAGCGCCAAAAGCTTCCCTATTAAGAATATGGATGATGGTGATGATGATGATGGGTGCATTCAAGCGGCTGCGGCGATTGCTAGCGGGCAGAAGGAATGTCTAAGGAAGAGAAGGACAGCCATTCCAAGCGAGGCCAGCTTTTACTTGCAGCAGCACCTGGCTTGTGGTTCCTTGCGGCCTTTGGTGGTTGTCGTTTGCAATGGCAGCTGGGTCAGGTAGACACGAAGTAAGCTATGCTGACGTGGATCGAAATGGAAAACGGAGTAGGGGGGGGGGGGCATGCTGGTGCTGCTGGCGGCGCTTCGGCAAGGCAGGGAATGGCCTCAGGCGCTGGGACCCTCACAGTACAGGTGCAGAGAAAAGTATCGCTGGCAGCTGCTGGAAGTGCTGTGTGTTAGGTTTGGCAAAGCTAGGACGGTCTTGTGCATCGGGAAAAGAAGCTTGGAAAATAGCTTGGATCTTATCAAGCTGCAGGCCTTGAACAGAGGCAGGGGCGGTTTCGGGTTTGGTGCGTTTGGTATGTAAGTGGTTGGTGTTGGTGTGTGGTGTGAAACGAGGACATGCAATTCTGTGGATGACGAACCTTGACTGTCCTGCTGCGGCCTGGCGAATTTTCCCTTGTTGACGCCTGGCGGATTGACTGTGCAGTACCTGAAAACGTTTGCGCAGGCTTCGGGCAAGCGCTTTTGAACCTGCACACAAAGGTTGACCGTGTTGCCGGTATGTGTCCCAGTGGGTGCTGGCGCGCCGCGTTCAATGCCCCCATCGGAAATCCTTTACCGTCCACCCACGCTGCAGCTCCCTTAGCTTTTCCTCCAGACTTGCATGCGGCGATGTGCCAAGGTGTGCGACTCTCATCGAGGTCAGACCGTGACAAGTAGAACTGGGTTGGACCAATCACGGCCACTTGAGCGCTCAAGACCGTGAGGGGCGGCGCGTTTCCGAGCGGGGAAAAGTCAGAGCGGCGCACCACCTTGCGCCGAGGAGGCAAGAAACCCATCAGCTTCGCAGACACGAGGGCTCGGCCCCCCAAAGAATTTGGCCTTGACGTAACGCCTCGGTACGACCCTCTTTGCATACTGCATACTAAGACTACTTCCAAAAAAGGGGCGGGTCAAACAGTGGTTTCCGCGGGCACAGCTCATGACAGGAAGGGCCGTCAGGACGATGACGTACAAACCCATGTAATCGCAGTCGACGTTGTTAACGGAAGCTCACCAGAAAACCTGTAGACAGGCAATGCCGAACCAAAGGCCTGCGGTTTCAGCCGTAACAGCTGTTACGCTTCCCTTCCATTGCCATGCTTGCGAGCTGCGGATGAGACGCTGACGTCTAACCAGCCTAACTGCATCGCTGTAGAACACACCCTAATTCCAATATCAGCATATAAGATACACGCTCAATGTCTGCTGCAATGATTGTGGTAAAGTGATGGAGGGGCACTCCGCATGACGAGGCATGATGGCCCAGCGGGTCTGTGCGTCCGCCATCACTTTCCTGAACGCATTAGCGCCTATCATGTGCAATCCCGTCATTTTAGTAATAGATTGTTTCTTCGCCATTGCCTATGCTGGCCGCGCAGAGATGGGTGCTGGTTTGTGATGAGCTGGTACGAGCATTAGTCGCGCAAACTACTGTGGCGCAAGCCGACGTCGACATGGTGAAAAAATTGCGCCTATTTTCTTGATGCTCTACAGCGCTTGCTGCTAATTCTTACGCTAACTTTTCGCTTGGTTACTCCTTTTCCACGAAGTCGTCATCGCGTTCCTTTCAAAGACAACTTCGTTTCTCATCTTTCTCAGTTAATTCGATGTTACAAAGAAAGGCTACAGTCAATATACGCCGGCTCGGGGCGAGCGACAATGTGCCGCTAGTAGTGCATCGCCGAGCCCTAGCGAAGGCTTGCCGGCCAGTTCAGCGAGCGCAATTTCGGCCAACATGCACAGCTCAGACGCAACCACCGGCCCCTACAAACGGCGCTGTCAACGGAAGCCATAGCGCAACTGTTTCGCCCAGCGTTGGCGGCGCGACAGAGTCCGCAAACCCATCTCTTACTGCCAATCTGCTGCTGCAATGCCCGGACCAAAAGGGTGTGATCGCCGCTGTCAGCCAGGTGAGTGGTGTCTTGCGCGGGCAGCAGTGGCCTAAGTGGGTACCGTACGACGACAGCAGCACCGGGTACGGGCTGTTGTGCGCGTGGGGCTATACGCCACCCAGCAAGGATCAACGCCAGATGTAAGGCCCCTCTAGCTCCAAGCCGGCCAGTAGCCACCTTGAGTGGATCCGGCTCCCGTCCACATGTTGTCTGCCTTCCTCCCTCCCTCGTCCCTCCCCTCCCCTCCTCCCCTGCCCAGCTGCTGTACGGCTTCGGTTGCAACATCATCGCTAGCGACCAGGTGAGGGCGAGGGGGCAGGCAGTGGTAGTGGTGGCAGGCGGGGAGGGCCCCTTTCAGCCCTGTATTCGGTAACAGGGCTGAGAGGGCTGAAAGGGAGGGCGGGTGCCTTGCCTGCCGCCTTTCCTGCTTCCATTACTCCTGCTGCATTGTCACTCCAGCACGACAGCAACAGGCCAAGTGGTGTCCGTCCCTTTGGCCTACCCTCCCTCCCATTTCCCTACCTTGACTCCCCTTGCCCTCCTTGCTTGCTGACCTCCTCGGCCCCCCTTACCCGCCCTGCACCCCCCTCCCTCCCTTCCCCTGCCTCCCAGTTCTCGGACCAGACGTCGTCCATGTTCTTCCAGCGCATCACCTTTGACTTCTCCGACATCGTGATCGGCCCCGGCAACACGCCGGTGCTGGAGAGGGCCATTGCGGAGCTGGCGCAGCGGTACGGCATGAAGTGGCAGGTGGGGCGGGGAGGTTGTGGAGAGGGGCGGGGATGCGTGCTGGGGGGTCGGCACACGGGTTCCATGGGCTCACTGTTCCTCTCCTCCTTGCAGCTCCGCTTTCGCTTCCGACCATCACGTGCCTCCCCCTGCCGTGTGCCCCCTCCCCCCCATACACACACGCGCCCCCCAGCTGTCGTACACCAACAAGGTGAAGCGGCTGGCGATCCTGGTGTCCAAGCAGGTGCGTGCGGGTGTGCGTGCGTGCTTGGTGGCGCGGCCGCCGCCTGGCACCTGGCTGAGCCGGAAGCTTCTAGGGGCAGAGCTTCATGGTGATGCTAAGGAAGGCTGAGTGGACCTCCTAGGGACCTCCTGGGGACCTCCTAGGGACCTCCCAGGGACCTCCTAGGGACCTCCTAGGGACGTGTCACGCTGCACAGGCATGCATGCTGGGCTGCCCTCGTGCGGCGGGCCGATGATAGCCGACTAGACCATCCTGCACCATCCGACTATCGTTAGCTGCACCATCGTTTCCTTCTTTAATTCCCACACGCCTCGCCCGTTCACTTGTGCTTCCTTTGCTTCTCCACCCGCCCCGCCCCGCCTCGCCTCGCCCCCCAGGACCACTGCCTGTACGACCTGCTGATCCGGCATCGCTCCCGGGAGATGCGCTGCGAGATTCCGCTCATCATCTCCAACCACCCCGACCTCAAACACGTGAGAGCCGTGCTGCGCCCGGTAGCCCGCCTGTGCATGCGCCTGTGCCTGCGCGCATGTGCCGGCTCTCTCGCTCTTCCTCTTGCATGTCCGCCCCGGCATCATGTAGCCCCTTGCGGCGCAGCGGCCCACGTCATCCCTACTGCTCCTGCTACTGCGTGCCTACCCTGCCCTGCTCCCCTCTCCCTCACCGCACTCCATCCCATGTGATGACCCCCCATGCCCCCCCCCCCGCGACATCGCGTCACCCCCCGCCCGCAGATCGCCGATACCTTCGGTGTTCCCTTCCACCACCTGCCTCTGGGCAAGGAGGCCGGCAGCAAGCAGCAGCAGGAGGCCGCCATCGAGGCGCTCATCGCCTCGGAGCGCATCGACGTCCTCATCCTTGCGCGCTACATGCAGGTGTTCTCGCAGGAGTTCTGCGAGCGGCACTGGGGACACACCATCAACATCCACCATTCCTTCTTGCCGGCCTTCGAGGGCGCGCGGCCCTACCATCGCGCGCATGAGCGCGGCGTGAAGATTATCGGGGCGACTGCGCACTTTGCGACGGCTGAGCTGGATGCGGGGCCGATCATTGATCAGGGCGTGACACGCATTACACATCGGGACAGGTACGCGGGGCGGTTCTTGCGGCTGGCGGGGGGGGCTGGAATGGGTGCTTTGCTCCCCATCCCGGCTCAATAACCCTAATCCCCATCTCCCGATTTCCCGATTTCCCGTCTGCCAACCTGATCCCCCCGCCCCCCCGCAGTGTTGACGACATGATCCGCAAGGGCAAGGACCTGGAGCGGCTGGTGCTGGCCAAGGCAGTGCGATGGCACCTGGAGGACCGAGTGATGGTGCACGGCAACAAGACGGTGGTGTTCGAGGACTGAGGGGGGAGAGGAGGGGAGGGGTGAAGAGGGGTGTAGAGGGGCAGTGGAGGAGAGGAGGAGGAGGAGGAGGAGATGCAGTGAAAGGGTAAACGTGAGGCACTGGGAGGGAGGGGTGCGCGGCGATATTCATGTGACTCCTGGAGACGGGGTCAGGGAGGGTGCTGCACATGAACATGAACACAGGCGCGCGGTACGGATTCGTGCCTGGATGCTTGTATGAGGTGCCAACGTTGCGACCCTTTACCCCATTTGATGGTGTCACTTGACATGCAGCTGAGAAGAGAACACATGGTGGCTTCGATGGGGCTATGCGCATGCTCGACAGCATGCTCCTAGTACTCGGGTGTACCGCTAGGAACACTAGATTCATTTGTTAGGGGAGAATGGGGACTGCCTCTTCATGCGCGCTCGTGGATTCATTGCTCCCGGAAATCCCCCGGAGATTCGAGGAATGATAGGAGGAGGAGGCTGTAGCTGAAGTACGGTAGTAGTCCTTGACCGGGGAAGGTCGCATCGAGAACTGTTGAGCGATGTAGTGCGGGTAATGTGGTACGAGGGCAGGTGCCAGGTCGCGGCGTGTGAAACCTCGAGTGTACACTGCACAATGGAGCATGTGACAGCGGCCATGTTTGCTGCGCCCGGCGGGGCCCAGCTGCCATTAAATTTAAGCACGCATGCGTGCCCCTGGGGCCACACATGGGGTGGGGGGGCCCAAAGCGGGAAGCCAGCGAGGTACAGTGTATAGGGTATGAATTCCATGGAACTCCAGGAGCACCATGGGCAGCGCGGCTGTCGACGACACTGACGGTCAAAAGCATCTAGGAACCCCAGCGGAGAGCTCTGTAGTGTTGCATTGCTATCAGCTTGTCATTGGGCATGTAAGGTTGATGTTGTAGTGCCGCGGAAAAGGGAGGCTCCATGTATAGCCCTTGTTGCAATCGCTGCTATAAAAGTTTCAGTGTAGCTAAGCTTGTGCCATATGTGAAATTATGATCTACGACCATGCCATCACGCCTTTGCAATATGTTAAAGCCTTGTACGACGCAAGGCCTCTATGGCAGTGCGTTGCGTTCTATAGCCCAGGGCAAGCCACTTTTGCTCTCTCTCCTCTGTTGGTAAAACGACCCCAAAATGGGAAAGAAGGGCAAGGGTACCGGAAGCTTCGGTAGGTCGGGGCTGCTCCGCCGCATTTGCAAGGGGAAATTTATATGTATAGGGCATCCTGGCTTCCATTGAACCTTTACTGATCCTTTATTTATCTGACATTTGTAGGCAAGCGCCGCAACAAGACGCACACTCTGTGCCGTCGTTGCGGTCGCACCAGCTACCACAACCAGAAGCACACCTGCTCGGCGTGCGGCTACCCTGCTGCCCGCAAGCGGACTTGTGAGTACCACCAGCGGCTTTGGCAGACGTGCGCGAACGCAGCGGCCCAGCATTGTCGGCGCCGCAGCCATCTGCAGTCCTGGAGTGCTTCCTAAGCTTTGGTTCATATTCTAATAATAGTGCATAATAGTTTTAAACAAATGGCACTGGGCTTGAGAGCTGACGTTATATTGCTTTTGGGACTTGCAGACCAGTGGGGGCAGAAGGCCATCGGCCGCAAGACGACCGGAACCGGCCGGATGCGGTACATGAAGACGCTCGCCCGGCGGTTCAAGAACGGCTTCCGCGAGGGTAAGACGTCTTTGAGGCCGGGGTTAGGCACGGCAGGACTTCCGAGCTAGCTGGTGCCTGTCACGTGTGCTCAGGGTTCTGCTAGCTTCATGCCCTTTGTGAATGCAGCTTTGCATGTCCTTTACTCCTCGGGTAACACACTCAATAATCATTAGGCACCTTGGACAATCCTGTTGGACCCCTCCCCAAGGATATGGACCCCCAACCAAGCAGCACATGGGGTAGCATGCATGCAAGTAGCACGCCATGCCATTTCCCCGCAGAGCCATAACGCTGCCCTCCCGTGATTGACCCATTCTGACAGGTGCCGAGGCCAAGCCCAAGGCTGCCACCGCCTAAGCGTAGCAGCTTGGTGGAAGCGGCATGGAATGGCGAACGTGTAACCATGGACGCGTGCTTATGCAGTCTCCAATAAACAATGCTCCATGCTATTTTGCACAGCAGCCCTCCGCGGTCCGAGCAGCTTAGCTATGAGGGGATGGAGCCGCACAGCCAGTACAGCGTACGTAACGCAGGGAGCCGGCGCGAGGGTCGTGCTTCCATGTTGCCCACATGGGCACCTATCGTGAAGGGGGTCCCTAAGCGACCCTCATACCGCGAGGGATCTGTCAGCCTGGTCATGAGACCTAGTGACGGCTACACAAGCTCCCCTGAAGCCACCAGGCGCAGCGGTTACACCCACGCAGTGAATATTTGCACTGGCGTGGGCATCAGCGAGTATTATTCGAGCCAGGTACCGTAGTTAGCCTAATCCATCGCCTTCATTGGCACCCAGACGCTGATCCCGGCGCCTGGGTAAGGGCAGTAACAGCAGTGCTTTGACGCGTTACCACATAATTGACTTCGTCTGCTCTGGACAGCCACAGGCCGAACGACTGGGAGGACAGTATCCATGACATCTTGGCATGCAAACCCCTCTGTATAGTATCCTCAGAAACGGCATGAATTCTCCCAGCATTCCAATGAACCACGGCCAGCGTGCACGTTGTGCTACTGCCATGTCCTCGAACCACGCCGCCCGTAGATGCATATTACAGCTTTAAGACCACACTACAACTACAGAACCTAGCTCCTTGCACAACTCAACTACTCCATGGATCACCAACTAACCGTGAAGGCAACCGGTGTAGCATAGCCCCAATTTAAAGCCCGAAACGCGGTAATAGTCCTAATGCCCGATGCACACCTTGCGCGTGCCATTTCCCATGTGACATATTGCTGCTCGAGCAGTTCGTGCGCCTTGTTGAGTTTTCCTCCGGGACGAAAGCAGCTATAATAACTACAGCACCCCGTGCATAACTAAAGCACAGTCAGCCAAGGCGTACGGCAGGTAGGTACTTAACGGCCAGCCAGTCCCACCCCTCCAACCAAAACCACGCTAATGCTTCCTTTCCTCATTCATCCGCTCTAGAGTCTTGTAGTACGCCACATCAGACTCGGCCTTCTTGAGTGCAAACGCAAGCCGCTCCACCTGCTTTGTCTCCCGCTCGATGGCCGCCTCTATCTCGTTCTTCATGAGGTTAAGTCGCCGCAGGTGCAGCTGCGATGCACCCAGCGCTGTGGCTATGACCTCCTCTAGAGGCGACATCTCCCTGTTGCATCAGCATCCACGGCGGGGGTACAAATGGAGGGTACAATGGGGGCTACAAAGGTAAAGCATGGCAAGGGTCACACAAGCAGTCTCAATTCGAGAGTGATATTTACAAAGCAGCAGACCCCAGATGGGTGCTGCACCTATCCTGCTCACCTCTCCCCTTCACACGGTAACGGCCATTGTTCATGCCATGCATGCCTCTTGTGACTCGTATGTACCGGTAACTGCACCTCTCCCCCAAAACAACGCTTTGCTGAGTTGCCAATCCTTCTAAACCCTGGACCTGAGACCGCATGTCATCCAGCCTGGAGCACAACCCGCTCCCCACACGCACCTGCGTGCAGGCGCCTGCGGTACGTACGGCACCGGCGTGTAGTCATCATCTGAGCCGTACCCACTAGCCAGGTCCGCCTCAGCTTGCTGCCGCTCCAGCGACTCCTTCAGCGCGGCTCGGAACTGGTCCGTGAAGATGGGCCGGTCTATCGCTCCGAGCTCGTTTTCGTACGGCTGCGGCTCCTCGTCTTCCTCGCCTCCGGAACCCTCCCCGCCGAATGCATTGCCGTACAGGGGACTGCGCTCCAGAGCCGCCTTCAGGGCCTCCTTAAACGCGTCGGTGAAGAGGCCGGTGCCGTCGGTTGCAGTTTCCGATGTCATGTCTTCTGCGCCTCCGCCGTTATCCGCAGCTTGGGTGTTGCTGCCCTGGTCGGGTCGAAGGGCGCCCTCGCTGTCCCAGTAGTACGACTCCCCGTCCTCGGGTTGGTCATGTTGATACTGCTGCTGGTGCCGATCGGGATAGCTGGGAAACTCCTCTTCGATTGTGGCAGCGGCTGTACGGCTGTCGTACAGCGTGCGATAGTCCGCATCTACATGTGTGTGGATACCGTTGCTGTTGCTGCTGGTCTCGCTGTCGAGCTCAGCACGCCAGTTGGTGCGCCAGGACCCGTTACGGGGAGAGCTTGAGCGGGAGGGAGGCCGGGCCCGAGGCACCACGAGGAGTCTGCCGTGCTGCGCGATTAGCAAGCCGTGCATAGTGCGAGATTAGGGAAGTGGTGGGTTTCAGTCGGGCGACAACGTCAGCGCGGTTAGAAGAAAGCGCGACAGACGGTAGTTGCACTGAAGAAAGCAATTTTGGACGCGCACGAGGCATTAGTAGACACCCTTACCTGCAAAAGGGGTGTTGCGGCACCGGTTCGTGCAGGCGGAGCTGAGGAAACCAATAGTGAGCGCGAAAGCATTGCAAGCTACCTAATGACTTGTTATGCTTTAAAACGACTTAATATATCATAGCGCTTTCAAATGCGCATATAGCGAAGGGCAACGGCACACGTGTAGTCTAAAGGATAGGAGGTTCCGTTGCCGTACACACAAAATCTGTTAAAGCTGAAGGACAGCTGCACCTAGAGTTGCATTACGTATAGAGGGCTCACCTGAAGAAGACTCTTTCCAGCAGGATTAATACAGATTGTCAGATTGTCGCAAGATATTGCGCTTGCCTTGCAAATAGATATCTCCGACCTGCCAGAAAGCACTGTGAATGGCTGACGTTGATATAGAGGAACTATACGCTATTGGTCAGGAGATTATTTCCCTTGCTATCACTCGTAATTTACCGTTAGCGGGGGACGATGGACTCCATGCGCTTAGAGCTGGAGGCTGGAATGTTAACGTCCACACCGCGGATGGACCTGGCTTATACGCAAATCGCTTTGACAGGTCGACACAGGTACGCTGCTTGCGAGGGACGCCCTGTCCTGTCTCCAGGCTTCTCTCGCGCCCTTTTAAATTCAACGCTTCTTCAGATCTTCACTCTCATTGCCTCCGGCCCCCGCAGAGCGATGCCTTCTTGACCGTCGGGGAGTTCGACGCGCCACCGCTGCACCTCTACTGCCTAGTACGAGAGTTCGACGCAGGAAAGCTTGCAGGGCAGCTGTGCGACTTTCAAATCCTCAACAACTCCGCTGCACGCCTTCGGGCTGACTACGTATCAGCGCTGCCCTGGCCCTTTTGGCCACGTTGGCTGCAGGTCTCCATGAAGTTCGGCGTCGTACGGCAAACCGGTGCAATTGTCGTACTTGGCGAGAGTACGACACCTGTAGTAGCTCCCGATGCTGCGGGTGGTGTTCAGCCGCCCAAGGGAACCACACGGGGTACCGTGCACTACTCCTTGTACCACATCCTTCCCTCGCCATCCAAGCCTGGAAAGTCCATTCTGCGGCGGATTATTAATGTTGATATGCACCTGCCGCTGCCGAGCACCCTGCTGCGGCGCTCGCTAGCTGCGCACTACAAGGGCGATGCGGCAAGCATAGCGGAGGAGATGGCTGGCTGGGAGGGCAGCACTCTGCAGCAGCGGCTGCGAGATAAACAGTGCTATAGGGCGATGGAGTCGGCGCTGTCAAGGATTGGGACGTGTGGATGACAGGGCTGGGAGCCAGGGACCCGGACCCTAAGTGAGCTTGCAATCCCGCAGTTCAGAATGGAGTCGGATTGACATCTCGATCCTCCCTGCATTGTGTCTGGGATGGCTCAGTCGGCAAGGATCAGGAAGGAAAACTGCAATACCCCCCGGTGCAGCCGAAGATGGTCATACGACGGTGGATGGTTTGGTAGGATGCCATGTGGCACAGGGTGACCATGATGGCTTATGTGGTGCAGCCCCTTATCGGTGGCCATCCTGTCCTTGCAATACCGGCACGTGGAGGATGTCTCAGTCCGAAAACCGTCTACGGTAGTGCCAGGCACGTGATACAATGTCGCTTCAAGTCTCAAAAGAGCTTAACCGAGCCTATGCGCAGGCAGCGTCCAGCGGTTGTACAGGTCCCGTTGCGCTTCCGTTGTTTGCACAGCATGGGGACTGTACATGGTACGGGTCCGACACCCGTACATCGCCAACGGTCCTGGAGTACGCACGTTCAAGTACTTGAATGTTGGGAAGGATGAGCACATATCTGCAAAACAGTCCTGAATCCTGTTGCTGCGGACTTCAAGACATCACTGTCATCATACATTCCGGTAAAGGCAAGTGAAACACAATTTCCGCTTGTTGAATCGCTCCCTCCTCACTCCTCGCACATTCCACACATGGTTTGGCATTTCTTTTCCCCCACTCTTCGTCATCTCCCCTGGCACCCACGCCTGCGCACACACCCGTTCCTACTCGCGGCCCGTTTTCTTAACACCACCCTCAAGACACACTCCCCGCGCAAATAATCACAAGGCAGCACTGCAGCCGCCCGCAGCCCTCTGCAACCTGCCCCGCCCTCTACTGCCACACTCGGCTGCACCGAGCCATCTCCAGCTCCGAGCAGCACACCATGCCGCCCGCCCAGGAGAAGAAGGAGGAGCCGGTGCGGCTCTGCGACACATGCCGGTGACACTCGGTGCAGGTGGGCATGTCGGGGTGCTGCCGCTCCGTGCCCTGCGCACACAGCACGTCGGGCTCCGGACCGCCTGAGAGGAGGCGGCGGGAGGCAAGCAGGCCAACAAGCAGCGGAAAGACGGGGATAAGAAGACGGGGATTACGCCTACTACCGGTATAGCGCTATAGGATACCTATCTATAGTAGTGGATTGAAAAAGGAACAGCATCAAAGGCCGCCGCGACAACCATGATATCAGGGGCCCACATAGCAAGCTGGAAAGGGGACCCATGTATGGGTGGTGGCAGCTATAGCAGCGGAAGCAACAAAAGCAAAGCTAGGGGCTGCAGGCCAAGTGTGTACCCAGGGGCACTCACCCAGTTCGCAGTTGGTGAACTTGCGGAAGCGCTCGTCCACATCCATGTACTGCTCGGGGGGGAGGTCCGGGTACTGCTTCCGCATGCGCAGGATCTCAATGATCGTCTCGAAGGCGTCTGCGTCATGAGGGGGACCATGACGACCCATGGGTCCATGACCGTCGGGAAGCAAGAATGGCGAGATGCAGCGATGGGTCAAACGAGCTTAGGACGGCACCGCGAGCCACGCTGCAATACATACACACTCAGACACACCTGACGCACAAACCGGTACCACCAACACGGCGAAGGCTTCCCCTACAGCTCATGGCCCCCAACTGCAAGGTCCATCTCTTGCGCTTCACACACCCCCAACGCACCCCCACACCCACCGTATCTGCCGTCCTCGCCAATAATCGCCCCCAGGCTGCTGCTGTAGAACATGTGCTGCGCCGCACAACGCAACCGCGACTGGGGCAACATGGGAGGGGGGGATCAGAGGAAGAGAGGTTGCGGGGAAGCTGAGGTGTACTACAGAGCTACAGTAGCATGGTGACGGATTCCTGTCTGGATGCCCTCCTCCGCGTGCCCATGTGCCGGTACCACCCAGGAGCCGACCCAGGTCCCCCGCCTGGCTCCCGTCCACACCTGTACGCTGCACACACCCTCACAACCAACCCCAACCACCGCGGCGGTGATTCCTTCCTCTTTAACCCCCACCACCACACCACACCACGCACCTGCATGGTGGCCACCTGCTCCTCCGTCACAGCCCCCAGCACCTCATGCAGCCTGGCAATGTCCCGCTCCGGCACCGGCACGCTGAAGTCCGCCCAGCGCAGCTCCGGCTCGAAGGGCTGGTGCACGCCGTCCGTCAGCGTCACGGGGATGCAGCCCATCAAGGACACCAGCACCTGCCGCTTGCCGTGACCGCCGCCCGTGGGAGCCAGGCAGAACTTGTGGGAGGAGATGTCCTGCGTGGTTGGGGGCGGCAGGGCAGCAGGGCAGGGAGCGGTGGAGGGTGTTAGGGCAGCGTCGTGCATGTTGTTGTGCGCTTGGTGGCTGCTTGTTGGATGGAGGCATGAGCCGTGAAGGATGCGACTAAGCCTCACCCAAAGCCCCATGCAAAGGTTCCAGTAGGACGGTGAGCTGCGTTACGGTCCTGTTAGCAGCTCGGTAACGCAGCTGGCTAGCGTCCAAGCAGCAGCATCAACAGCAGCCGCAGCGCACCTCTAGGTATGTCCGGGTGCCGGGTACCACCTTGAAGCCCGTCCGGTTGTAGTGGTGGTAGTACACCTGCGGGCGGGAGGGCAGCGGCGTACCGCGGGGCAGCATGCGGTCAATGCGCGTGAACGAGGAAAGTGCGCAGGCTGGTGGAAGCAGTTGGTCTTTCATGTAATCATGTTCCACGCATGCCGCGACCCCAGATGCCCTCTCCGAAGGAAGCGCATGCAATAAAACGCACACCCACTCTTTGTCGTACTCCCGCGCTGTAGTCTAAACGCCGTGGAGAGCACTCGCCCGTTTCCGGGTTTGGAGGCTTGCGGTCGCCGCAGATGCGGCCCTAGGGACATGGATGTGGGGGGAACGACCCATGGGCCGGTGAATGGGAAAGCCAGAATACCAAATGCAGTCCGCGTCGTCAAATATCGCACAAAGAGGAAGCACCGGTATAAGGATTGAAGAGAACTTCAAACGTGCCGTACGGCAGCTCACCGCGAAGAAGAAGGTGCCGTTTCGACTCAAGTCCGCGCCCTTCTTCCTCGCCTTCTGCTCTATGCTGGGGTTGAGGGGCGATAAGTGGAAGCCAGCCGTGGTAATCATCACAGGGATCACGATGTCCTGGGGAGGCGGGAGGCGGTGGTCAGTCGGGGAAACACGGCAGAGGAGCGAGTAGGCTTGCGTCGCCAGTAGGAGCACAACCGCACATACCCCCTACACATGCCCCACCATCTTCCCCGCCCTGCTCCTACCTTGCCCGGTCGGTGCGCTGGGTGCCACTTGGGCCCCGGGTGGTAGGTGTGCAGTCCCCAGTGGGTGAGCCAGGTGAGGTTGGAGAAGGTGTCGTTCAGCTGCCGCCGCATGGTTAGCGGGTACTCCTGCACCCTGAGGAGGGGGCATGGTTTCCTTAACACACAGCCGCACGGGCAGCAGCAACAGGGACAGCAGCAGCAGGAGCAGCCGCACGGGCCAGTTGATGCCTTGGACGTCCACATTGGAACTCCCTATGAGTGGGCCGAGGGGCGCCGACACATGGCTCCGCCCCACCAGCCCCACCCGTCCACCCACCCGCCCCACTCACCCCAGGTCCCCCGTGTGTATGATCAGGTGGCGGTGCCCCCCGTCACCCGACCACCAGGGCCACGTGCGCCGGATGTACGGCAGCACCCACTCCGTGATGCTCGCGGCGTTGAGGGCGCGCGTGTTGATGGGGATGAAGAAGAAGTCCGCCTCCTCGCCGCGAGTGGTGCGCAGACCCGCCGACATGAGGCGCTGCCAGAACAGCAGGTGCAGCGGCCGGTCTAGGCGCTTGATGTTGAACCTGTAAGCGGGTTGGTTGGTGAAGGGGTTGGTGGGCGGGGAGCCGGGGAAGGGTTGGTGTAACAGCTAGCGGGCTGGCCCCCTTGATACAAGTCCACGCGGCCCTGCCTCACATGCTAACACCCACCCACCCCCCACCCTCAACCCCTATCTCTCCCGACACACGCACGCGGCCAGTTTCCGGCTTCCGAAACACACCATGAGGTGCAGTTGGGCGGCAGTTCGTACACGTAGATCTTGGGCCCCTCCCGCCGCGGCACGTAGCCCTGCCCCGCCAGCAGCTCCACGCCACCATCCGGTCCGCGACTGAGGGAGCAGTCCATACCCCAGAAGCCTGCCGCGGCAAAGAGGAGGAGGAAGAGGAGGTGGTGGGGCAGGAATGAGGAGAGGGGTACGGGAGGCCCGAGGGCAGGACCGGTACGAGTGTGGGCGGAGATTGGGGACCAAAGGGAAACTGGGCAGGAGGGCAGGAGGAGGGAAGGGCATGGGGGGAAGGGTGCCCGGCAGAGAGCAAAGTGCATGCTGTTGCGATGCTAAGCGCACCTTTGTTAGGCCCTGCTATGTATTACAATCATAAAAGCGGCGGACCTTCCCCGTCGTTGTCTAGCTCACTTACCAGGATGACAATGGCAAAAGCCGGAGACGCATTTCCCCCGATTGTTGCAGGAGTTAAAGCATGGGGATGTCTCCCGGCAGGTACGAAGCGAGAAGCCGTACTCTTCACATACTTCTTCAAGGTCTGGGTTCACCGTTCGGCAGTCGGGTCCGGTGTAGTGGCGCGGGCAGTCGCACCTGATGAGCGGAGAGGCAAGTGGACAGCACGAAGATGGACGCCAGGGAAAATGCCCGAATGGCTGTGCATCTAAGTAGTATGCTATTGCCCGACCTGCCAAGCTCCTCGTTACATACTCCGTGCTCGGAGCAACCCTGTGGGCAGCTCGAGTTTGTACCCGGCAAAGGGTCCGAAATGCCATGTCTAACCGCCTCCAGCCTCCGACGAGCACCCCACGTTGAAAGGTCCCCGTTCCATATGTGGCGACTACTAGCAGAAAATCTATACTGTGCACCGAATGTCTGTGTTGCGAAAAAGAGGCTGATGGCTAGAGCGGCCGAAGCGATCGACATTCAAATTTGCCTAATTACCGAGAATCATAATGTAAAGGTAAGCCACATAGTAAGTGTTCTATTCACATTTCGCACATAACTGTAATGCGACGAAAGGGACAGGTATCTGTCGGCGTCCACATTGTATGTCTTGAGCGACTGGTAAAGGGATGGAGTGCAAGCTGCTTGTAACGGTAGGGGTGCAAGGCTAAACGGTAGCCGTTAAAAGATACACTAAACAAGCACAGGATGAAAAGGAGAAGAGTAAACGCCGTTCGTACGGGCCAGGCTAGGCTGTGCAACCGCAAACTTCAACCTGACAACATATGTACAGGCCAAAGCCTTGCAAGACTCTTCCCGGCACAAGAGCTCAACACCTGCACAGGTAACGGCCAAGGTAATCTCTACAATCCTCTCCTCCCTGTACGAACTCCAACCTAAATGTGCCCTCTCCACCAGATGCTCAGGAAAGGACACACCACGCAACTTAATTCTTCTCCATTCCATTATTCCCCTGCATGTTTATAACGGCTCATACTCAGTATGTAACCCCTTCCCTCTCCGCACACCTTCCTCGCCATCTTTTGTTTACTGCTCTGCACACCGTTACGCACCCTCCCGCCCCCTTCGGCCTGCTTTCGGCCCAGTTTGGGTTACCCCACAAGCACTACCCTTCTCCCACTCCCTCCCCCCTCTCTATGAATGCTCTTTAGTACTAGCCCTCTCTCATGCTGTCCTCACTTCATAAGCCCTCTGCCCCTAGCCCCTCACTCCTGCGGCCCCACCCCGTCCATCAGGCTGGTCTGCAGCGAGCCCCGCAGCGGCAGCTCCTCCACCAGCCGGCGCCAGGGAGGCGCCCCCACCCCCGAGGACCTCACGCTGCCGTCCAGCTGCACCTGCACGTAGCAGTCGGGGCGGGAGGCGGACAGCCCGGCGAGCTCCCGCTGCTCCAGAAGCCAGGACTGCGGAGGGGGGAAGGAGGTCGTTTTGTCAGCTTTGCACGGGCGAGGACTGTGCATGTCGCCGCCCCAACAAGTGTCGCCCCCCTAACACTACCCCCTAACATGTGTCGCCTGTTCGCTGCATGTTGGCCCCCCCCCAACACGCACCTTCCACTCCTCCACCTCGTGTGGCTCCAGGCGCCACTTCTTGTCCGACTCCACCAGACCCCCCGGCGCCTTGCCCGGCTTGCTGGGAGAGGAGGCCGCCTCGCCGCCCGCTGCTGCTGCTGATGCCGCCTGGCGACTGCTCTCGCCAAAGCCCTTGCCCCTGCAATCCAACCCAACCCAACCGTCCGCACGCATGCATGCACACAAGGTGTGAATAATAGGAGCTTGTGTGGTTGGATGCACTGCGCGGGATTGGGGTTTAGGCCAGGTGTTGGAGGAGGTGGCTGGGCGAGGGGCAAGCAGCCCCCCATGTTCCTCTAGTTTCTGCATTAGAATGCAGTTGAGTGCACCACGTTACAGCGCTCATGACGCCCATTACAGCCAGTAACAGCAGTAGCACGGGTCAGTCCCCTGCAGGGAGGGCTGGTGGGCTGCCGGTGGCTGCCACCTGCCGCCGCCACCCCAGTAAACTACGGTCAGGGTCAGTGTTTCCGCGGCTCAGTGCATCTGTAACCCTAACCCCCACCCCCACAAAACACGCCACGGTGACTATGAGACTCACTCCTTTTGGAGTTCCCGCTTCAGCGCTCGCAGCTTCTCCTCGGGGTCCAGCTCGGAGGGCGGGGAGGCGGACTCGAAGATGACCGGGATTACTGCGGTGGGGTGGGGTTGGGGGTGTGGGTGGGGTGGGGTTGGGGGTGTGGGTGGGGTGGGGTTGGGGGTGGGGAGGCTAGGTACATTGGGAAGGGTGTTTGTGGTGTGCTGTGTACCGGTGCAGGTTGGGCCAACGGCTGGCATAGTTTCTCATCTTCTTCCCCGTCGTCGCCCACCGGTGCTTTTCATCACACTAGCCCCCCCCCCTCCGCCTCTGTTCCCATTGCTTTGCCCTAAACTGTGGTTCTGGCATATCCCTAAACCCCCACCCCACCCCACCCATTGGATTGGGATTGTGTTGTTGCACTTTTTTATAATTTCACCCCATCCCTCCGCCTCCCCCACCCCTCCGGCCCCTCCCCCTCCCACCCGACACCGCCCTGTCCCGCAGGTTGAGCTGCTGCCCCTCCGCCTCCCGCAGCGCCCGCTCCACGAAGGCCCGGCTGCCCGCCACGATCACCGGCCGCACCTGCCCACGGAACTTGAGCAGCGGCAGCACCCGCCCGCCACCCAGGTCAACCTGGGGCGCGGCAAGGGGGGTGTCAAGGGAGCGACCGGGCCAAAGGAGGCTGTGAAAAGGGCAGGAAGGAGGCGGCATGGGGAGGAAAGGATGCCCCTCCCGCCATGGTGAAGCGCCATCATACGGTTAGTGAATTGTTTGCCTTCTTTACCCCCCCACCCTCTCTCCCTGCCCCCACCTGCAGCCTCCCCAGCAGCTCCTCCCGCGTGCTGATGCGCACCGCCTCGCGCTTGGCCCGCAGGTCGCGTGCTAGCAGCGCCGACAGCGCCAGCACCGCCGCGCTGTTGATGCCGGCGTTGGTGAGGCTCTCCTGCAGGTCGGGCGCGTCGGAGCCGCCTTTGGGGGGTGGGAGAAGGAGGGGGAGGGGGGGTGGGAAGTATGGTGTAAGGATAGGGTGGGGTTAGGGGCTTCGGGAAGAGGGTGGCGTGGGGTCTGGATCCATATGACGGGGCGGAGACTGCAGGAGGAGGCGTTGACGCATGGACGCCTTTCAGCCCATGCCACTTCCCGAATGTACAACCCCGTGAGCCCCGGCAACAGCGGCACCGGCCACCACAGCCTGGTTGGGTCAGCCTGGTCGGTTCACCCGGCGGCTTCAAGCACCCACGCACGAACGCACCCCCACACACGTACCCACCCGCCCACACATACCAACCCACACGCACGCACCCCCACACCCCCACACCCACCACCACGCACCCTGCACTGCTCGCGCCAGCCGGCCCAGGATGATGATCAGCCCCACGCCGGCGCTCAGCAGCAGCCCTCCGAACAGGATGATGCGGGGCAGGCGGAAGGGCGCCTGCGGGGCGAAGGGGTGAAGAGGGCCGCATCAAAGCCACCACGCCGACACACACACACACACACACACACACACACACACACACACACACACACACACACACACACACACACACACACGTTTCGCCTCGCGGCCAGTTATTTTAACACACCGGCGGTTCTGTGGGGACTTCATCTTCCGACATCCCAGTACGTTCCTACTCGCGGCCAGTTTTCTTAACACACCGGCTCATGCCTTAGGTCGGCACCTTGATACCCCTGCCCCTTGTTACAGCGGGGTAAAGAGGAAACAACTAACTGACTGAGGGATAAGAGCAGCAGCGGGGTGGTGGGGGAGGAGTCCTGCTGCACTGCAGGCTGCGTGCCAAGGGGTCACCAAATCCGGTTACCGGTGGTCTACCGGCGGTGAATGTTCACACATAGCTGCAGTACTGAGTCTGCTGCCAGGCTGTGCTGTGCCCTGATTGCTGACTGCTGCTACCGTACTCCTCGCTCCTTCACCTCCTCCTCCTCCTCCACCCTCGCTGTGACCGCCAGCCGAGCTGCCTAGGCTGCCTGACAAGCAACTCTGCTCCGCCATGGCACACTATCTCGAGCTGCTCGGCACCCCCTTGCCACCCAGCGCCCAGCTGCTCTCCACGGCTTCCCAACCACATCACACCACCGGGCCAGCCTGGGCGACACAGACACGGCAGCCCGAGTCAAGCCCCCTAACGCGGCAAGGCAAGGCAACCCGCTGCACCTCCATGACACTAGCCGATCGCCGGACCGCTCCCTGCTGCTGCTGCGATTGCTATTGCTGCTGCTGCCGGTGCTGCTACTGCCGCCACCAACGCAGCTGCCTCTCCACCCGTCGAAAAGGTGGACCTCGCTTCGGCTGACCTCCCGCTCCAGGGCGTCGCCGGGCTGCAGCAGCTGCACCGGTAGCGGCTCAGCGCGTGCGTCGCCCCTTGCACCAAAACTCACCCAGCCCAGTCCATTAGGTCAAGCCCGTCTTCATATGCCATTCGCGCCACCCACGCCCCGCCCCGGCCGCGCGGGCGCCCCGCTCCCGCTCCTATCCCGCCCCGCTCCCGGCCAGCCCGCGGGCGTACCTTGGCCTCCGTGCGCAGGTCCGCCTTGACGTCCCGGGAGATGCCGCCCCTGATGCGGGTGGCAACCGCGTCCAGCCACTCGCGGCGCTCCCGCAGCTGTGCTAGGTCGTCATCCTGGCAGCAGCAGTAGTAGTGGGTTGGGGAGGAGTGGAAGGGCGGGCAGGGAAAGGAGGGGAGGTAGGAAGGGAGCAGAGGGAGCGGAGGGGGGGGGGTTAGGTGGGGCGGGTGTACAGGACAGGATGACGTGGAGTACAGCTGGTGGCAGACATTGGGGTAAAGAGGATGTTAATTGAACCCAACGGCACTCCTCCTGCGTCGCACCTTCAGCGCCACGGACAGCTTTAGCTTGTAGTCGTTGATGGCTGAGACGATGCAGTCAGAGGCTTCGGCCCATTTCTTCTGCTTCGCCAGCGCACACCCCATGTTGTAAAGCGCAGCTCGCGCCTCATCATCGTTGGGTTTAAGTTGCAAACTTAGGCGGTATAGGCGAATGGCCTCATCGGCGTCCTGTTGCTCCTTGAAGGCTCGCGTCGCGGTCTCAATTGCGTCCCTGGCGCTGGTGGGCTGGTAAAGTGGCTTGCTAACAGGGGTCGATTTCGCGGCCTGAGCTAAAAGCAGTAATCGGGGAAGGCGCGGAGCTATACGACTGGCTGTAAAGCACGGTCGACAAGAGCGGAGGATTCGTTGTGCTTGCACGCCGGAACGCGCATTATGATGGCAAATTGGCGACATAAAGGTTTGCGAGTGTAGCAAGGTGCGATTAACTACAAGTGCAGAATTGTTCAGCTATCTTTATTGGGCTTTTACTTGCGTAGTAGTGATCTACAAGATGCTGTGCAATGGCAGTAGGCAAACGCTCAAGGGAAGCATTGCAAAGACACATTGACCAAACCGTTCATGCTGCTTCCGCTCTCTGAGCACGTACGGCCTCTTGGCTTCGGAGACCGGAGAAGAAGTTAGTCGCTGCCTCGCTGAACAACACGCTCATGCCTAGCGCAGACCAATGAGTGTGATTATCTTTAACATACTTGCATTGACTTTATTCGTCAAGACGTGTACGCCCACTCCGGTAGTATTCAACTTCTCATCCTGCCCTGAGCTATGTTACGAGCACGGAACTTGTAATCCAGAAACCAAACGGTAAGCTCAAATGCATTTCTCCATGTAGTTCAGCCCTGCATCTTGCTTTCTGGCGTCTTGGTGAAACCCTTCTCCGTACCCGCGGCCTGACTTTTCTAGTCACACACCACTACGTGCATCTCCTGACCGGCTAAGACCCGCGCTGCTACGCGACGAACGTGAAGCCCGCACGCCTCTTCGCTATCCTATGTACATGCCACGTTGCCTAAATCAGTATCCCAAGGAGACCCTGAACACAGCCCCGCAGCCTTCCCACACTCAAGACCCTTCTCCTGCTACTGCAGTCACCCCGCTGTCATCCCCTGGCTGCAGGTGCGAGTGCCCGCTTGTACGACACGGCTTCGATTGCAGCATCCCGCTGTCTGACCCGAACAGCCAGTGCAAGGCCTACAGCCACAACTCCAAGTCCTGCGACAGCCGCGACAAGACCCTCTGCCTGAACAGCTGTAACGGGCAGGGCTGGTGTGAAGGCGGCTTCTGCCATTGCAAGCCAGGTGGGCCCACTGTCTAACTGCTGTGAGCTGCTGTCACCGTTACTGCTCCTGCTGCGGTCTCCAGGATCTGCAGTGCTTCTTGCGGCAGCTCACGATAGCATCCTGGGTACGACATCTTCTTACCGTACTTCATACACACCACCACCGATGACCACCCCCATGTGTTCTTCCTCTCCCTCTCCGCCGCCTCCTATCTCCATTGCCTTGCCCGGACTTGCGGTTTGGCTCTCCCTGGCTTTTACGTTTGGCTCCTCCAGGCTTTTATGGCGCCGACTGCTCCCTAAGCACGGGCGCGGATGGCCGACCGCAGCTGCTGGCGGGTCAGGGCTACGTGCCGCGGCGGGAGGGGCCCAAGATCTACGTGTACGAACTGCCGCCGCTGACAAATACATGGTGGGCCCTGTGTGTCCTACCAACTGAGCCTATCACAAAGCGCGTTGTGTTAGTGATGGGGTGCCGTGATGGTCTTGGGGGCGATGGGGGCACGGGGCGGTGTCGAGGCGGGGTGAGGAGCGTGGGATGGGGTATTATAAGGGAAACCGGCCGCGAGTCGGAATGTGTACTGTAATTGCCGGAAGACTGTGCTGTGGAGTAGGCGGTGGTACAGCAGGCTCACGAACAGCGCGATCGGATAACGGTTTTCTAACGCAGCGTTGCACCCTTCCTTCCCATTTCTGTCCTCGCATGTGCTGACGCAACACCGCAGGGTCTACATTGCGCGCGTGGGTGAGTGCTGTCTGCACGCGTATCGGTGCGTGCATCGGCGCATTCATGCGGCAACTTGGACGCTGGGACGCCTTTAGCTTCACGTAGGCCCAATCGCAACCATGCATGCTCTCTCCACACATAACCTCGCACATGCGCACCGGCTCTCTCTTGCCCACCGCCTCGTATACCGCCGCACACACTCCCGACTCCTCAACCTCCACACTTCCTTTTCGGTCAGCAGCTATGGCCAGTACTGTTACGATGTTCAGCTGGCTGCACACACTCTCCACATTCCCCACACATCCCACAACCGCTACCCCTGCTTCACCCTCCGTCCCACGGCTCCCCCCCCTCCAGACCGCCCGCTCGTGCAGCTGCTCATGCAGCGGCTGCTCAGCTCCGGCGTGCGCACCGCCAACGGCGATGAAGCCGACTACTTCTTCATCCCCTTCCTCATCCGCACACGCACCCACGCCGCGGGCCACCTGGCCGCCACGTTGCACTACGTACGGCAGCACTGGCCCTGGTGGGAGCGACATGGCGGCGGACATCGGCACTTGCTGGTGGCGACGGGCGATCTGGGGCGGCGCGGCTTGCCAGCTGAGCTGTTGCCGCTGAGTGAGAATTGCACCTTCCTGACGCACTGGGGCCTGCATGCCAGCCATGCGATTGGGCGATGGGAGGCGTCGCACAGACCGGGGAAGGTGCGTGTGGATGGCAGGCGGTGACGCGGGGCGATTGATGGGGGCTATGTTGAGCGGGAGGCGGGCTGTGGGGGGCTGGTGCTGGTTACTTGCTTGTCGTGTTGTCTGGTGTGCTGGCGGTGGATTACGGTAGCTGCCGGTGTAGAGCTCCTGCCATTGATGTGCACACGGCGCTTTAGACATCGTTTTAATGCTTGCTGCTACCGATATGCTCCCACACGCAAACGCAGGACATTGTGGTGCCGCCGCTGACCAACCCGGATGACATCATCGTGTATTCGCCGCTGCACCCTCTCATCCGCCGGACGCACGACCGAACCAAGGAACTCTTCTTCGCAGGTGAGGTGTCTGTTCATAGCTGGGCTGGGCTCGGGCATTGTGTCATAGCCAGTTTTCCGACCAGCCCTCGTGACACCGGTAGGTAAGCTGTCTTGCTGTGGCTGTCATGGGCCGACGCTTGTCGCCAGTAACGGCAGTGTTTGTTGTACGTTGGTTGTTTTCACGCTTCATTTCTTTCCTGCGTTCCGTTTCATGTCAGGTCGTATCTGTGGTGACAACCAGAAGCCGGTGAATGGGACGTGCAGCGACAAGCGGCGTGACTACAGCGGCAACACACGTCAGCAGGTGAGCGGCCGGTCTTGGCTCCTTTCATATTGCCGGCGTGGGGGACCTCCTTGTAGACAGCAGCTGGTAGACAGCGGGCTTGAAACCCGGGGCTTTGAGCCCCCGCTCTTAGCATGGTAGAGCTGCGGCATTACCGGTACATCTGTAGAATGGGTCCATGGATCCATGACCACTCGTGACCACTTTCCTCGCGCACCGTTCGTTCATGGTTCTTCCGAAACCTCGGAAATCTTAATAACCCTCCCAAACCCTCCCACCCTCATCCCCAACCCTCCAGGTTTCTCAGCATCATTGGAACCGCACTCACTGGACCATCACCACCCAATCGCAAGGCTACGTGCTGGGACTGTCCACCCACAAGTTCTGCCTAGCTCCCACCGGCGGCGGCTACGGGCGGCGCAGCGTGCAGGCGCTCATCATGGGCTGCATCCCCGTGACGCTGACGGACGGCGTGCACCAGCCCTTCGAGCCGGAGCTGCGCTGGGCGGACTTCAGCGTGTCGGTGCCGGAGCGGGACATTGGCCGGCTGCATGAGGTGCTGGGGGCGCTGAGTGAGGCCAGGATTGAGACGATGCAGGTGGAACAAGGGGTGCGGCTGGTGGGGGGAGGGGGGGGGTTTTGGATGGTGGGGTGAGTGTAAAGGGGACGTCGTCTGCTGCCTGGGTGCTCATTTTGCTGTTTCCTGTGTGAGACCGTGTGCGGCTAGCCCCTTGATCAGCGGCCTTGGGTTTCCTTCCATTGCGCTGGAACCTGCAGGAACGGATTCGCTGTGCAGCGCAGCACATGTACTTCAGCAGCACATTTGGGGAGGTGATGGGCGAGGACGGCAGATACGGTGGGTTGGCATCTGGGCATGTGGGTGCATGCCATGGGTGCATTCCCCTCAGCTGATGAGCTGTGTTCGCCCTTGCAGGGCCACTGCAGGTGGTGTTCCGCCGGGCCTCCCTGCTATCCTGTACCCTGCTTAGTGCTTACCCCACCAATATACCGGTACCAAACAGTCAACCTTCCCCGTGCATGACGCATCCTATATCTCGCCTAGCCTGACCGTCTGCTAGCTGGTGCCTTTCACCGCATGCAGACGCCTTCGAAACGCTCATGGAGGTCCTGCGCATGCGGCGTGACTATCCGGGCGTGGATCCCAGCCAGTACACCGCACTGGACAAGCGCTTCGCGGACTTTGTCAACTGCCAGCTAGGTAAGTCGATGCGCTGCTGTACCGGGTGAGGACTTGAAGATGGTCTTGAAGTACGGCAACCATCAATGCTGCCATGACCGTGTATGACAGACTGCTAGAAGTGGCAGTCAACACTGCCGTCCCGCTGCTGCTGCTGCCTGCAGAGCCAACGGGCGGCCGAGTGCCCCTGTGCACACAGAACCGGCTGGCCAAGGGCGACGACCTGCACCACTGCCGGGAGTCCTACATGCAAGTGCCGATGAGGTGGATGCACATGTTCTACAGCTGGCCGGGTGGGGCGGTGTGCGGCAAGAACCCAAACGTGGCCAAGTGTCCTAGAAGCTGGCTGTAATGGATGGCCCTGGATCCCCACTATACCCCAACTACCTCTCGTGGCAAGTATGTTACAACCCTTTGAGGGCCAATGCTGCGCTCGTCGTGCGTAGCAAGTGCCGCGCCCAAGCAAACAGCCGGCACGCTGCAGACTTCAGAAACGGTTGTACGATGTACTGTCATGAGTAGCCGTAGTCCATTAAGTGTACTGCTGGCACCAAGGCCAGCCCTAGCCCGAACCATCGGCCCACATAAAGCGAACCGGAAGAGGCTCCAGGCCAAGAACGGCGCGTTCTGTGTCGCGTCCTGTGCGTCCTGTCCAACGATCTTGAGCACCGTCTAGGGAGTCTACCTAACACCGTCAAGCACGTCGTAGCAACACTCGCAATGACGAGCATTACGTGTTCGACGGCCATTCAAGCAACAAACACGTTAAATCTAACTAGATGTGGTGATCACCGACCCATGGTTCCATTGCAGCGAAAATAAGTCCTACAACCTGCCCACTGGGCGCCGTACTGCATGGACAAGTGCATCGTGGGCAGCAAGTCCATTCCACATCAACCAAAGCAGTAAAGCATTTCTCTCTCGTGTTACGCACTTGACCCACTCTCATGCACAAGCGTTTTGGCTCACTTAAGTACGAACAGATGTCGAACAACCACCATCATCACCCTCTATGTCGCTGCAGTCCTAAACCCATGTATGTCGTCTTTGCTCTATTTCTGGTAATCTCTTTGCGCTACTTGTGCAAAGTGCAAGTGCATGTCGTCACAATATCACCCCTTGCGGCCTAGCAAAGCCGCCCGACGTATCAACGCACTAGTACAAAGCCACCCGCGGGACCACTGCTCCATGTCTCCCTGGTCAAGGCGGCCACTCACAGGCGCTTGAGGCCCTTCTTCACCTTCGCCAGGGTGCTGTTCGCGGCGGCCGCTGCAGCCTTGCCCTGCTCCGATTTGGCCTTTTTGAGCGAGGGCGAAGATCCCTCCGCCGCGCCCTCCTTCTCTTTCTTGGTGTTGTCCGAGCTGCTGGTGCCCCCGGCGTTGGCGCCGCTGGTGGTCAGCGGCGTGGGCGTTGGCCGTTTCACGGCGCACATTGCGTGGATGCTGGTCATCAGCCGTGCGCGCTTGTCGTACTCGTCATAGTCCTCGAGCAGGAGCTTACCCGCCTCCTCGTTGAGAGCGGAATCGGGGAAGGGCTGGATAAGCAGGCAGCGGATGATCTGCGCGGATAGGTAATGGTTTCGGGGGGCAAGGGATTGTTGCTGTGTTGATCCTTGGAAGCAGTCCTCCCAACGACACGCCAAGGCGTGTGCACATAGGGGACAGGAGACGGGGACGGGCCTAAGCTCAAACGCAGTGGGCCAAACCCCATAAGGATTGCCCAGATGAGGCTGACGCCAAAACACTTTCACACCCCACGGATGCTTTGATACGCTGCAAGACAGACGTTATGACCGGTCAAAAGCAGGTAACTGACAATGCAAGGTCTTGCCATCCATACCATATGTAAGCCAAAAGGCTTATCTGACACTAGTGACAAGCGCCAAGAGAAAAGTAGACGAGGATACAAGGCGACCAACATACCATGAGGACGTGTCGCAACGTCGTCTCGCTAGTCCAATCGCGCTTTAGCACGTTGACACATATATCGCCAGTTGTCGACACGTTGGGATGGAAGACTTTGGTGACAAAGAAGCCCTTTGGGGGCGAGGCTGGGAAATCCGCTGGCAACGTTAAGCGGCATCTGAAAACGCCTCCCTCAAATGGTGTCCCTTGTGGCCCATCAAACTCCGCCTGGATATCTGTCAGGTTCTGCTCGTTAATGAATACTCGAATACCCTCTGCGGGGTTCGCAACAAGGTCTTGTAGTTCCCTAGTAACACGTCTCACGACCTGGGCTGAAAGTTCCATGTTATGTTCTTTGAAGAGTCGCGGGTATCACAATAATGAAACTTGTGAAAGGACAGCTGTGAGAAAGTCTAACCCTAAGTTACAGGACCGTAATGTGGAGGGGTATTTCTTCCTATGAGTTGCGTGCCCAAGTGTGTAACAGATGACAAACAACAGCTAGTTTGAAGAGCTTTTGGGGAACGTTGACCGAAGATCAGTTCCATTTTGGTCGTACATATACATGTAGAGGACCATACGTTTCCTTGCTCGCTCAGCCAGTTAATTCTGCACCCAAAACAACTACGTTGCTGGCGTATTACGTTTCGAAGTCAGAAGCAAGGAAGCTAAAATGCAGCTTCGGGCGGCTCGGCCATCGGTCCTTCCTCAGAAGGGGCGCGCTCGCTGTGTTGTTGTCCGGGCGTCACATCGACTAGACGTGGCGTTGACCGCGACCATTTCTGGCGTCGCCCTTGGCGTGGTGAGGTTGGCGTGCAAGCAGAGTTCACAGCATTGTTGTGTATCGACTAACTCTTAAGCGAAGTAATCAGAGGGTTTATGCAAAACATTACCATAGATTTTCTAAGATGGCGCTTCCTATTCCTGCCTTATAGTAACTGCTGGCCTTTCGCTGAACGGTCGCGCAGGCGCTGAGCAATGCGCCGCTTGCGTTCGCTAGCGACTACACGGATAGTCGCGCACGTGAACAGGAGCTCTTGACTATTATCAAAGAACGGCAACGGACAGCCACGAACAAGGTAATGTCCGTTACAGGTATTTTCTGTATGGTACAGTCGCTGTACCCATTATCGCTCCCCCTAACCCCTGCAGGTAGAGGCAGTGGCTCCCAAGGCCTTCTCCGCGCCCATCATCCCAGCTCCCGCACCAGCAGTAGTAGAGGAGCCCATCCCAGCAGCGGTGGTGAGCGCCCCTCCGCCTCAACCTCCGGCAGTGCAGGTTGCCGAGCCGGCGCCCAGCCCCGTGGCGCCAGCAGTGGCAGAGGTGGCACCAGCAGTGGTAAAGGCTGTCGCGGCCCCAGAACCCGCTGCCGTGGCAGCCCCTGCAGCTGCGGTGCAACCCGTGGTGGAGGACGCGCCTACTCCCTCCCCGGCCCCGGCTGCGGTTGAGTCGCCAATAACCACAGCAGCACCAGCTAGCAGCGACAGTAAGTTCCAGGGTCCGGAAAGCTGTGTTGTTGCTGTTGTACGCGCCTTAAGTCGTACGGTGTGAGCTGACCTGCACTCTCACTTTAATCCTTACGACAGAGACGCTGCTGCTGCTGGTCGGAGCGGCAGCTGTTGCCGCTGTGGGGATAAACGCTGCCATGAGTGAATCCTCGAAGGCTGCCACGAAGCCTGCTGCGTCGAGCCCGGCCCCCACCACGACCAGCAGCAAGGAGGCCTTGGCAGCCCCTGCTACTGAGGAGAAGCCCGTCTCTTGAGGCTCCGGGTGCCGAATATTTCAATAGAGCGCATTTTTGAGCGTTGGGTGTCTGTGTGAGAGGCGACATGAAGAGACAGAGAACCAACACCGTGAAATTTTTACATTTGAATCTAGGATTACACCAAAGAGATGCAGGGTTTCTGGCAGGTTGTCGAAAGTAGCGCCGTCAGTTTGCATCGACCCATGATGACATGCATTTGTCTCCGTCATTGGCTTCCCGGAATTTTACTACTGCTGGTGTAGCGCCATGAGCATAAGGTAGTGTGCCTCACGAGCGCCTGTTGAACCTCCTGAAGCAAGGTCGAGGTCTGGGCTAGGAGCGCTTGCGTCCTTGGGTGATGACGATGCAACAGTCCACTTTGAACGACTCCCTGGCTCTTGCGTTGATTCAGTTTGCTGGCGCTGCTGCATGGAAGACCCAACATCCTTAGGAACCAGGAGTGCCGCCGAACCGCGCAATATTTCTGGCATGCTTTCGGCCACGATGCGAACACCTGCTGCCAGCCCTTTCGCGCAGCTGCAGGTTGGAATGGGGCTCAGACTGACGCCTTGCAAAACAGCTACTGCCGCTTTGTCCATTATTTTTGTGAGTTAAGGAACCCTACAAGAAGGCAGGCCAGCTGGCGTTATGTCGCAGGCTATGCTTGCTCGCTCCTATATCCCCAACGACCAAGAGGATGCTTGCTTTTATATAAAGTGTTCAACAGAACGTATGCGGTAGTCATTCGGTACAGTGTATGTGGTAATCATTCGGTACGACGAATACTTGTACAAGGCGTGACAAAGCTATGCTGACGCGCAACTGGGACTCAGGCGCGTCAAGACTCTCAACGCACTGTTGACATTGTGATGCATAGTTATAAGTCCTAGGCAGTTCGGACAATTTCATGCACACCGATGAGCATGCAGGTGCGTGTACCAAGCCAATCAAGTAACACGCACCCTACCTCACGTCCCAACTTCGTCCGTTCCCATCCAACTCAACCCTCTAACCAAGTATCTTGCGTTTGACTTCCACGTTCCTCCTTCTACACCCCCTTCCCTCCCTCCTCACGCCGTCCGCTGCCGCTTCACCCCCTCCCCCGCCTCCCGCTCCCTCGCACAAGACGGGCACACATACACCCGCCCCAGCCCCTGCGCGTAATCCTTGAACGCCCCCAGCCCCGGCCGCTTGTCACACGAAAAGTGAGCCCACGACTCGCAGCAATCGCAGCACACCCAGTCCGAAGACACCGCGTCACCTCCGTTGCACAGCACGCAGCGGTCCAGCGTGACGTCCTCCGGGTGCGCCAGCTCGTACTCCCACAGGTAGTTCTGGTAGTGGCGCTTGAGCGCGTTGCCCACACCCGTCTGCTTGTTGGTCTCCGTCCAATTGCGCATGCGGGGGAAGACCTGGAGAGGGGCGGGGAGGTGGAGAGGGGCGGGGAGGTGGAGACGGGTGGGGGGGGGTGAGGTGCGGCGTTGGTGTAGGTGAGGTGCAAGGCAAGGCGGGGGGTGCTAGGAGGCAGGAAAGCACCTTCCCACACCCTGCTCCCACACCCTGCTCTCACACCCTGCTCCCACACCCTGCTCCCACACCCTGTTCCTCGACCCTAGCCACCCTGCCCCTTAACAAAAGCCGCTCTCGCCTCCTCCCGCTCCCTCACTCCACGCCTCCTCCACCCACCCACCAGGGCTTGTCAGCTAGTTTACCACTTTTGTCACACAACAAGTTGGGTGTTCTTCCTCCCCCCACCCACCTGTCCCTTCCCTTCCCTCCCGCTCCCTTTCCCGCACCCACATGCCCCCACCTCCTCCCCCCACCCACCTGTCCCTTCCAGTTGATGCCGTTGCCCACCCTGAAGCCCCCCCGGCTGACCACCTCGCGGTACAGGCTGAACAGGTCCAGAGACACGCCGTTGAGGACCGCCTCGGGGAAGCGACTGCGGTCCAGGGGCTTGCCGCGCAGTGCGGTGAGGAAGGCCACCAGGTCATCGTAGAAGGCGGACTCGGAGCAACAGGACAGCGGCGGGCGGGAGCAGACGTAGCCCTGGGGGGGAGCGGGAAGAAGACCATACCAAACCATAGGAAACCACAGGTTAGGGCAAAGCAATGGGGATACGAGGCAGGGTGCAACGAAAGGGGGGAAGGGGGGCGGAGGGAGAGGGGACGGCGAGGAAGAGTGAGAGGTGTTGACAGGGTTCTGGTATGGGGATGCATTTACTGATGGGGGGGGCTGTGCCCTGCGCAATGTTTTGCATGGTTAGGGGGGCTGCATGTGAGTGAGAGGGAGGGGTACCGGCAACAGGCTAGTAGCTCACTCACCGGGAGCTCCCCCCTGAAGTTGGGTGCCTTGTCAGACAGCGGACCCGCGGGTCGGCACACGGCTCCTCGCGACCCCGCACCTCCACAACCGCCCTCCCCTAGGCCGCCGTCTCCGAAACCATCCCCAGCGAATCCATCCGCTGGGGAAAATCCCTCCAGTAGCAGCCCCGCCGACGCGCCGTCGTCGCCGCCACTGCTGCCGCCGCCGCCGCCACCAGCGGCGGCGAAAGGGTCCTGGGAAACCGGCGCCGTCGCTCCTCCTCCTCCACCACCGCCGCTGCCGCCACTACCATCCATCGTTAGTAACTGCCCATTGAGTGAGTAACCCATGAGCGCGTCGTTGCCAAAATAGGCGCCACCGTTGGCGGCGGCTGCGGATAGGTCCATAGCTCCCTCTGCGGCCGCCGCCGCCGCCGCTGCCGCCGTTGCGTCAACACCGCTACTGCCCGGCTGCCCTGGCGGCGACGAGGGCTGCGTTTCCGTCAGCTGTTGGCCCCCCGCCCCCGCCCCCGCCCCCGCCCCCGCCCCCGCCGCCGCCGTGCCCGTCGGTGCTGCTCCAGGTGCTGCAGGTGCTTGCGAGGCCGCGAGGGTGGAGGGCTGTCCGAGGCCGTTTGCGATCAAGTTGTATCGCCGTACATCCGCGGGTGTGAAGGAGGTGTCTGCAGAGTTGCCAACCGCCGCCACACCCAGAGCGGCTAGGCTGTGGTAGCGGGAGTCCTGTACGGCGCAGGTGTACGGCAGGTATAGCAGGCTCATGCGGCTGCATTTGCCAGGAAGACATCATGTGTGAAGCACATACACACAGTATACCAGTTTCTCCTTAACACACAGGAAACCAGCTAACTAGCCACACCCACCCCGCCCCCACCTTGCTCAGCTCCCGCAGCAGCTCCACCGCCCACACGCTGGTACCCGCCACGCAGTCCACCACCGCCGCCCCGCCCGCCACCCGGCTGCTGCGGCGGGGCGCGGGCAGCGACAGCCCGGGCGGGGGCAGACGGAACTGCAGACTCACGCTGTCAGCCACCAGGGACATCCTGGGGAGGGGGGGGGTGAGGGAGGGAAGGACAGAGAGGGTAGGGGTGGGAAGGAGGAGCGGAGCTAACCATGTGATGTCAGCTGCCACCCCAGTAGCCGGGGTTTCCAGTTAGTCAGTATTCCGGCTACCCAACTCGCCCAGAGTTGCGCTCCCATCTAGTCAGGTTGCTGCTCGCCCCTCCCTCCCGCTCCTGTTTCCCCCCCCCCTCATGGTGAAGCCTTGTCACACAGCTAGTTATTTGCCTCGTCAGTTTCCTTGACTTCACCCACCTGAGCGCATGCTGCACCAGCTCCGGGTGCCGCAGTACCCCCGGCGGCCCCCCCAGCACCACCGCCCCCGCCGCCCCGCTGCGACTTACCACCCCGCACCGCACCGCGGAGCAGCCGGCGGGCAGGTTGCGGGGGGGCTGGGGCAGCGGGGTGCAGGAGAGCAGCTGGGGGGGGGGGGGAAAGAGGGGGAGGGAGAGGGGTAATTGAGGCGCGTGTGGCTCGGATACGGGCGTTAAGCATGAAGAAAGACTCGTGCCGTGCAGGTTCCACTGTCTACCCGACCTCCACGTAGCCTTGCCTCCGCCGCCAACCCCTCGCCTTGCCGCCCGTCATTCATTCATTCAGCTGCTGCTGCTCCTGACGCCCTACTCGGCGGCTTGCTTTCGGCAGCTAGCGACACCCATCACACACCCATCCCAATCCATTAGTACGTTCCTACTCGCGGCCAGTTTTCTCAACACCCACACCCACGCCCCAGCCGCCACCTCCCCCACCTGCACCCCCCGCGCCTCCATGACTAAAAGCGCCCGCAGCGCCTCCCCCAGCCACCCCAGCCGCCCCGCCTCTAGCAGCGTGCACCCGCCCGCCAGCAGCAGCCGCAGCTCCGCACGGGGGGCCAGCAGCCGCACCTCGGACCAGCCTGGGGTGGCGGGCGAGGGGTGAGATGGTGGAGGAGTGGTGAGATGTGCGGAAAAGGGAAAGGAGTAAGGCGCTTTACGTGCTCGTGTTTACCACTCGGAAACCATCAACCACATCCCCGGGCAGCCATGGCCGCAAATGCCAGGGTGCCGCCCCCTCTCCCTCCGTCCCTCGCCCTCCCCGCACGCACCCGGGAAGCCCTGCGGCCCCGCCGGCCCCAGCGTCAGCCCCGGCCCCTCCGCCAGCGGCGGTATGGATGCGCTGTCCGGCAGCCCGGGGCGCACCGACGACACGAATGCAGGCAGCGGCGGACCGCTGCGACCCCCGCCACCTCCACCACCACCACCACCGTTACCTCGTCCTCCTGGGCTGGGGCTGCCGCCCTCGGAGCCCTTCTGTGGTGGCGCTGCCGGGGCGGCTGCTGCTGCGGGCGCTGCTGCAGGTGGGGAGGAGGAGGCGGGGAGGGCGGGCGTGCAGGTGCAGTGCGCCTGGGTGCTGTGGCTGGCGGCCGCAAAGGCCTCCGGCGGTGAGGCGGCGCTGCTGGTGAGGAGCGCGAGGAAGGCGGCGTTGAAGTGCGCGGCGACGGGGGTGGGGACGGGGCTGTCGGCGGGCCAGACAAGCACGTGGGGGATGCCCCGCTGGTGCAGCACGGGACCTGGGGGGGCGGGGCGGGAGGTGGGAAGGGGTGGGATTGAAAGTGGGCGGAGGGGAGGTGTCGTTACCTGCAGCCGCCCGGCTCACCGACGTTTCTTCAAACCTGTTGTCCTCGCCCCTGCTTCACTCGCCCCTGCTTCACTCGCCCCTGCTTCACCCGCCCCTGCTTCACTCGCCGCTGCTCCCACCCACCAAAGTGCGGTGACACCACTGCATCCACGTACGCCACCTCCGCGCCGCTCTCCTGCAGCGCCGCCAGCAGCACCTCCTCGCCCGCGTCAGGGGGCTGGTCTGTGGGGGGGGGGGGAGACGGAGGGATGGGAGGCGCGGAGGGAGGGAAGGGCATGCAGGGAGGGGGGGGGGGAACATGTGGAACGGGGGTCTAGGGGTTGAGTGATCGGGTGTGCCGGGAACCAAAGCCGTTCTGCAGGTGATGGATGGCAGGGCAAAGAGGCGCTGGGCGCAGATGGCGTGTGGGGAAGGCGCAGACTCGGCATGCGGGGTATTACGGGGAAGGGTTGCTTCTCGCTTGGCTCAGGTTGTGAAAAGTGCTTACCTCGGAACGTGAAGGAGCCGACGAACCCCGGCTGCTTGTCGTCAGTCGCTGACGAGGGCCCGCAGCAGTAGATGAAGTTCGGCCGTTTAAGAGCGACCAAAGCGTTGAATTCCGACAGAGAAGGGTGTGTTAAGACAGACACCTGGGGCGCATATCCGATGGAGGAGCGATAAGATGGCACCGGGCGACGACGGAGATGTTCGGACGCTCACGGCAACGCCCTTTGCCATGCGAGCCTGGCTTTGATAAGAGAGGGTTGCTTGAGGAATCTTACCTGCACGTTTGCTGGCTGTGTTTCAGGCTTGGCCAAGTCCAAAAGCGCTGAGTGCACTCCCAGGGCTTCGCCATCGGTCTCTGGCGCGCCAATGCACGCCAGGACACGCCATTGAGGCGCGGAAGCCATATCAATCTAATGACACATCGTAAGTCCTCTAGACATACGATACACGTCCGAAGTGTTAATGGCAAATTAGCGACCAAGCACAGTAGAGGAGCGCAGTTCTTAACAATTTTATGAACAGTATAGTTGTATGCCATCTTGAAACTCTAAGCATGACACAGGGAAAGGCAGAGGCAATCAATGGTCTCGGAGCTGGAGAGTCGTCTTAAAGAGGCACTGTAAGCCTGTGCAAGGCTGTATAACTACACGCCTCTGTTAGTAAGTCACTGCAAGGATAAAGTGCGCTGTCGACAATGGACGACTTTTATCTTGCGAGAAGGACAGGCAACCTGCGGGTTAACACCCCTATTGGACCGAGGTGAAAAGGAGCAGTAGGGCACCAGGCTAATCCTATTACCGTGAAGGACGGAAGGGGAATCTGATCACTCATGGCGTATGCCGGCAACCGCTACCGGGGCTCCCAGTTAGGTTTGCAGGAATAGGCGCACGCAGCACCCGCGCCCGCGCCCTCCCCAGACGTCAGCATGGAAGGTGTCCCGCACTGGCCAACGGCAAGAGAGCATGCATGCAGGCATTCCCGCACTGCCCGAGCTCAGGCGTCACGGGAGTAAGTGGCAAGCCTGCAACAACAGCCCGTTGTTTTTTCCCGATTTTGTTGCACTCCTCTTGCAAATGCTGCCACCCATTCGCATGCAATAAACCCTGTACCACCCTGCATGCAGGCATCACCGCTTTACCTCACTGCTGGCCCCCATACCTGCAAGCATTACCACACACATGCACCCCAGCCAGGGCCGGGAAGGGGTGCAGAATATCTCGCCCAGACAGGACAGTGTGTGATACAGCTGAAGCGGGGTGCAATTATTCCGCAGCCATGCACCCTGGCGTTTTCACGAGCGCTTACATTAGCATGCACGTGTGGCCGGCCAGCGGTCCCGCCCTGGCCTGACCCGCGGTTGGAAGCATCGACATATGCGCATCTCACCTCTAAAACTCGCCTTCCTTACCTGCACATAGGCGGGCTTAGCGCCATGGTGCCTTTTGTTCGACTCATCCCTGTACAATACGTTGTCCTGCTTCCGCAACCACCCGAAGCTATGACAAACGTGCCCAGTGATTGTCGCCTTCTTTCCCGACCGAAGAGAGGCTTGAAATGGCACAAGGAAAGCCAGGGGCATTGCGGAATTGGATGGTCCCGGAGCTGGAGGGCGTTTCAATCCTTTCAAAGGTGCACATTAACACCTGAGGGAAGTAACTTTACAAGAGATCAAGGTCGACATCGATAATTTCCACTGTTAAGGGTGCCGCCCTTTGTCAAATTCCACACTTATTGTCTGCAAGAGGTCGACACATAGATCGCTACAAACGGATCATCACGCACTAACATTAACGTGATTAGGTAGCAAATCGCCTTCACTACCGCAGACAAGTGCGGGCCTCAGCGTCCACGCTCCGTCGGTGCCCGTTTCCGCATAGCGGCTTGGGCTTTACCTTACCCTTAGGCGGCAATGAGCGTTGTCGAGGATGACGACGCGGCGTCGCAAGGCATTAATAGCGTGATCGATGAAATACTCGACCAGGTGAACCACGTCAGACGTCGGACAATGCCATCTGCGTGGAGGCGCCAACGGAAGCTTGTGTTGACCGCATTTTAGCCGACAACCCAAACCCCCATTAACATAACACAGATAGGGCTTCTACCTATCACCAACCGCGTAACTTCCACCTGCGCCCGTCCGCGCTCTTCTGAAGCTCCCACTCATCAACCCTTCCCCCTCGCCCTTTCCTCGTTCTTTCCCGACTCCCACTTTCAATCCATCAGTACCGCTTCAATTGGGAGCCCGAGCACAGGATCAAATTCAAAAAAGAGTGGGTTCGCTTGTACGCCGTACGACAAATGCAGCACCCTGTCAGCACCTTTTCATGCCGCACCCTACTCATGCCGCAACCCTACATCACAGCCCTCAACCCTGCGCCATGCACGGGTCTCCACACGACGACACATATGCCTCTTACACGGAGGCCTATACTTACTGACACCTTACCATTTGCCGTACCTGCTCACCTCATCCCACTACCGTACACCACCTACCATGTCACTCCCCCGCAGCGCTCCATCCTGCGGCTCCGTCCCATTACATTCCACTGCATCCACGTCACCTCCCCCTTCAGGCTGGCTGGCTTCTCCCTCGGCGTGGGCCTCTCCAAGCCGCACTTGGCCCCGGCGCGGCTCAGATTGACGGTGGGGCCGGGCCGAGGGATCCGCAGCCGGCCGTCGCGGGTCACAGCTGAGGGGAAAAAATAATATCCGATGTGTGGTGTGATAGTGGGAGGGAGAGCCTTCCCCTTGCGGCCAAGGGCCAGCCAAGCCGCAACCATGCAGTGTCACGCTGCGTGCAGCCCTCGACCCGCCCCTCGTCCTGTCCCCTCACTCCGCTGTTCCCTCCACCTCTCCATCGCCCCACCAGCTGAAGCCACCTCACGCGGAAGAGACCAGCAGCAGCAGCAGCAAAAGCAGCACTAGCACTAGCACCAGCACCACCAGCAGCAGTACCAGAAGCAACCGTGTTGCCGGGTGGTACGGCGCCCCAGGGAGGTTCGTACAAAAGGTGTTGGTGCTGCCGCAGCAGCGGTTCGCGGCGCTGTACAGCCGCAAGCTGGCGTGGGGCTTCCTGCGCTGCCAGTTCGTTGCGGGGTACTTTTGGGACCGACGCAAAGCCAGCCTGGATTACCGGTGGGTGAAGGAGAAGGGGTGAAGGGGAAGGAGAAATGAACTAACTAACCGGACGGACGGGCGGTGGGAGAGAGGGAGGAAAAAGGGGAGGGAGGCTTCATAGTTTTTAGTTGTGAACAATGCACGCTGCTCCCCCCCCCCCAGGTTGTCCACCAAGTGGAATGACGGGCTGCGATTCAAGCGGAAGGAATACGTAAGCAGGGCAGGGAGCGCAGGGCTGCTGCTTGACCATGAGCCGCGGCATGAGCTGCGGGGCTAACCCTGGTAGCGGTCCCGGTTTCGCTGCGCCGCCTATGTCCCATGCCAGCGCTAGCTTGTGAGGCCAGAGGCACGTGGCCAAGAAGTGCCTTCGCTACGTGTCCAGCATGCTCTACACAGTGCTCGGTCGCAGCCCTCCTCTCCCTCCCGCTGACACCCCCCCCTTCCTCCCCCGCGCCTCCCCCCCCCCCATACACACACGCAGTACCAGCCCACCAACCACCTGCTGCTGCGAGCCAAGTGGAACCTGGACATGCAGCTGCCGGATGTGGAGGGGTGGGTCGGGGGGTGGTAACGGGATGTGGAGGGGTGGGTAAAAACTTAAGAGACACTGACAATGCAACTAACGAGCTGTAAGGGGTGGGTCGGGGAGGGGTGATGAAAGCGAGAGGCCTTGCTGTGGGTTAGGAAAGATTACCGGGAGGGGGACTGCGGGTCTGGGCTACATGCATGTGTGTTAAGGAAACCGGCCGCGAGTCGACCCGTCCGCGCCTGGCGCCTGCAGGCATCTGGGCGGCGGCGAGGGCAGCACGCAGGTGCCGGTGGATGTGGAGTACGGCAGCTTGGACTTTAGTGTCGTACAGGTGCGGGTGGTTGGGAGGGGAGGGGGGGCGGTGAGTTGGGAAGGCATGGGAAGGCGAGGTGTGGGCGGACAGTAGCACAACGTTGGGTTTCAATCAACACCTGCTTTCCGCTCCTTCCTCATTGCCGAGTCACATGGCTCCTTCTGGCTCCTCTGTACCCCCTGTTCCCCTCCTTCTGGCTCCTCTAACTCCTTACCATCCCCTCCTCCCCATTCCAAACCACTCCATACCTCCACGCCACGTCAGCTCGACTGGGTATGCGACTTGGACGGCTTCAAAGACCGCCGCAGGCACCCGCCGCTGCCCGACCTGGCAGCGGCCGCATCAGCTCTCTCCCTGCCCGCAGCACTCGGAGGCGCAGGTGGCGGAGCCAAGCAGGCGCAGGGGCATGCGGGGGCGGGGGCTGCGGCGGCGGCGGCGGCAGGCAAGGTCCCCGGTTCGATTCCTGAGCCGGCCCCGGCGCTGGCGGGGCGGATAGCATGGCCCTGGCAGTCGGGATAGGCGGGAAGCGCTGCTGGGGAAGGCTGCTGGCGGGGCGGCATGGGGGTATGGGGGTATGGGCATGGGGGATTTCCCGGCCTGGTTTATTGTGAAGTTTGTGGAGGGTCGGAAACGGCGTTGCTGTGCGGTTACGGGTCAGCCTGGCGTCTCTGCTGTGGCTTGTTTCCCTTATTGCACTAACGGATTGCTCTGACGGCGTGGTGGAGACAGGAAAGGCCATGCTGGTGTCTAGGGTGCGCTCCCATTGATTTTGACGTTTGGCTTTGACGCCGGCATGGTGGGTAGCTGTGTGGGTTGAGGAGGTGAGGAAGTGGGCGGTATGTGTGCCTTTGGGCGGGGCCCGTAGCGGTCTTTCTGTCGCTGACGAGTCTGTCTTGGGTACACCCGTTCGGAACCCTATCGTCCCTTACCGTGTGGGAGAAAGGGAGGAAGGGACAAAGAGACATAGAGCCAGGGAGCGTAAAGGCGCCCTTCGCTCGCACACGCTGCGCAAGGCCAAAAGGTTTGGGCACGCTGCGTTCATGGTGCGTTCGGGGACTGTTACACACCACACCACAGGGGTACACGCCTACACTGAAAATGACAGGAGCTGCCTGTTTGGGGTCATGGGCAGCAACCAATGTCACACACCTGCACCACACAGCTACATGTTGGCAGGCTCGGTTAACGGCCAGGAGCTGCTGCTACGATAGGGCCGCATTGATGTCAAGGAACGAACGCGTTTCAAGTAACCCGTTTACGTAGATTGCATGCATGCGTCCAGGGGTGCAAATCGTTAGGCATGCATATCTCATGGATTCAGGTGCTTCTGAAGGTATGTTGTCAGAAGAGACATGCACGCGTAAGGGTACCTAAGGATGACTATTTGGAGGGGTAATGCAACATTTGGCCTTGTACGGAGGGCAATCTTTTCGCCGCTGCTGCGACACGGTGATTATGTACGATAGACTAACACGGCTAGCCCTAAAACGTAAGCACGTGCCCGTTTATGAGGGTGGTGGAGCTCGATACTTCTCGTTAAGTACACCTAAAGCGCTGCTTTGAGCTGCGTTGAGGCTTGTCCCACGGGTCAGTTGCTAATTAGGCACAATGACCGCCGGGACGTCTTCGGAGGACACTGCTCAACGGTTATGCAACTTTGATGACTGCGTCCTGCTTTACGGTGCGGTGCAGTGCGAAAGGCAGCGGCTTCTGTTGGCCCACGAGTGTGTGCGGTTCGTAAGGATCCATGGCCATCCGAGAGACCTTAACAAAAGTTACATATTGCAGCATCTCATTGTGTAAAACCTTGACTCTTTAGTTATGAAAGTTTATATGCCCCAACATACTGGCTTCTGGCGCGGCGAACAGCCAACCAAGGCGCTAACAGTACGTATTCAGGGCAAGCCTTGAGCGGTCTTCGCACAGTGAAATGCCATTTGTGACCTTTTATTGTGAAAAGGTTAAGCATATATAGTATTTGAGAAGATAAACAGTCAAGAAACACTACTTTCTGGCCTGGGCAGAGACCAACGACCGGTTACTAGTAAGGGAACCCAGCATCGCAGTTTCGTAGGATAACATCAAGTAAATCATTTCATATGGTGTACGTTTAACTGCTTGCCCTGTTACCTTGCTGTCATCAGGAGTCGAACCAATCAAGCAAACTTCATGTAGGTCCCATCGCTTTTAGCATTATGAAGCTGCAAGCTGCCACTAACCCACATAGTTTTTGCATCTTTAAACATATTTCCTTTTGCGCTTATATATCTAATCGGAAACGCAAGGAGAGAACGCACGGTGCCACTGAACTATGGAGAATAATGACCGTGATCCCATAATGCTCTATTCCGATACCAGTCAGTAATTGCCCACAAGTCATGATGCTTTTAAGGAAAAGCGTGCAGCGACAGTGTTAGCGCCTCGAAGCATGGCTGGTACTGAGCGCTTCCGCTTATTAAGACACCGTTAATTATTGGGCACACTTGAAGCCAAGATGGCGATGTTCTCGAGTGCGGCAAGCACGAGCAGCAGGGGCTCTGCTTCAGAGGAGGGAAACACAGGACCCAGGCGAGTAGTGGACGCTGCGCTGTTACATCTACGACAGCAAACACGTATCACTCGACGTCATAAGTATGTTAAAGCATCGACCTCAGTGAACTGTTAGGGCCTGCTTCGGGCGCCATTGCCGTTCGCAGCCGACTGAAGAACGTTGGGAGCCCAGATGGTGAAGAGGAAAGGAATGATTTTGAAGAAACACACAAGATTCAGGTAAGTGCTGTTGAGAGCTAGTTACGTTGCGTATTTTCGCAACCATGCTCATGTTGCTAATGTGTTTTGCCCTAACATCGACTGCAGGCGGGCGTCTTCTCCGTCCTATACATTTTATCAAAGGAAAAGATGAATGAAAACCTCAAGTTTACAATCATTAAGCTGATGTTTGATTTTACGCAGGTAGGGGTACATCGTGGGTGGTCTTAAGGATGGGGGAGCACTGATAGAGCAGATGTACGGGGTCATGCATGATTGGCGCGATGTGACACCTTCCGCACCTTCCACGGGAAGCTATCGCACGGGTGCCTGAGCCGCGTGTGCGTCAGTGCAATCCAGGGACGCAGCTTCAACGGGCCTAAGCGGCCTCAAGCATGCCCGCATGCATGGGAGGGGCAATATGTGGTTTAGCTGCTGCCAGGCACCAACTTGTCTTGTGAGGCGCATCTCCCGACGTGCAGCGGTGTTGCATGAGCTGTCACTTGCGGCAGCAGTTAAACTGTGATTGACCCGTACCCCACTTGTGTACTTCATATCAGCGGGGTGGCTCAGCACCCCTGTCGCTGAGCCACACCTGCCATGCAAAACTGTATATCAGTTGTCTGTTATCTGCACAGTGTGGAGTTGTAGGCACGGCGCTTAACAGCCCTCGCCGTCTCTTACACTTCAGCCATGTCATCCTGCGCCATCTCCTCATGCACCCCCTCACTGCTAACGCCGTACACTTATCACACACCCGCCGCCTTGTATGGCTAACCCCTCTGCAGCTGTTTGCCTTGGTGGTGAATCCGGCTCACGGCTGGGCAGTGGACAGCTCAAGCGTGTAAGTGGTTGGGCAGGGAAGAGGATCTTAAGTGGCAGGGGATTGCTGGGGGATTTGGGGTGCCCTGGGGAAGATGGCTTGCCACGTGTGTACGGAGTTGTTATGGCAGAACGGGGGTGCCGCACATTCCAGGGTGCGGCAATGCATGTCTTCGGATCTTGCGAACCTTGCCGACATCCCCTTTGCTCCCTGCCCTCCTCCCAGTTACTGGCAGGTTCTGACTTTCTCCCGCTGGGACTACATCGTCTCGCGCTTTCTGGTGGGTAGCTGGGTGGCTGATCGCTGGTCGTTCTTTAATGGGTTGGCGGGTAAAAACACCCAGACCACTGTTGGTTGGCACAGCTTGTTCAGGCAACGTCTAGCGTGGTCGTGTGGAGCTTGATTGCCGGAACATCACTCACCATGTAGTCCTCCCGCTGCCTCCGCTGCGGCTGGTAACCAACGCTGCTGCTGCAGTGCGCCAACTACAAACGCTTGCCCTTCCCGCCCTCCCCGCCCTGCTCCCACTCTGTCTCGCAAACAGTCATACCGGTAATCAATACTCCCGACTCCAAGTCATCTCTCCCCCTCCACTCCCCCACCCCCAGGGCTACAAGGCCTATGTCGCCATCCTCTACACGATCACCGGCATGCTGTTCATGGCGCTGGCGCTGTGCGGCTGGATCGCCTACTCCTACAAGAACAGGAGCTTCGCGTACCTCTGGTAGGATGGAGTTGTTGTCTTATGTGTGTTAAGAAAACTGGCCGCGAGTAGGAACGTACTGGGATGTCGGAAGATGAAGTTGTTATGTGTGTGTGGGGGGGGGACCGCGGCAGGCGTCGGGGTTCATACCTGAGTTGATGATGGATTGAATGATCGATAGCATCTGCCGGGCCTTTTAGGTTCGTGGTCTGAGCTGTTGCACCCACTCCGGTGCTCATGGCCCAAAGACAGGCCACCGCTTTCGCCCTATCTGCTCCCTACCGTTACTTTCCTTCTTTCAAGCAAAACGCCTTCCCACCCACCCAACTGCCAAACGCCTCCCCGCAGGCCCACCCACGTGCTGCGAATCTACGCCACCATCCATTTCGGTTTGTTCGACATCGCCACGCTCACGCTCATCCAAGTCTCCTACGACTGCCAGTTCCTTGGCAGTGGCAGGACAGCGCGGGGCCACATGGCCACCTTCCCGGAAAAGAGTGAGTGAGCATCGAGCGAGAGAGAGGGAGAGATGGAGCGTGGGAGAGTTTGACCAGTCTTCACTCTCTTCACCTCCACTTTTCACACAAGGCTCCTTGCCTCCTTCCCCTGGAAACTCAACCATCACAGCCACTACACTGACCTCTCCTCTCATCCGTCACCCTGACTTGTGGTTTGGTTTTTTCACCCCTCGCCCTCCCGCCGCAGTTTGCTACCACACACCGCACATCATCCCCTTCATAGTTGGCCTCATCACCCAGGTTGTGTTTGTGGTTGCGGCCGTCATCTTCTTCACGGGCGAGTTCGAGGTCAACCCCATCAGCCGCCGCTTCACCTGCTGCGCCCACAGTCACGTGGAGGTGCGCGCCTTCCTGCTCAAGGTGGTGATGACCATGGTGTACGTGCTGCTGGGCTGGCTGCAGGTGCAGACGGCGCTGCAGGCGTTCCTGTGTCTGGCGCTCACTTGGATCTTCTTCAAGAATGTACGGGGGTGGTGGCTTGCTTGGGGGCAGGAGAGGGGAGGGGAGGGGAGGGGTTATTAATGGATGGAAGGGGTGAGGGTAGAAAAGAGAAGGAAGAGGATGGGGGGAAGTGGCAGAGGTGTTGATGAAATGGAACCACATGCGGGACATGCCTGTCTCAGCCCCACCCTTTCCTAACCAAGTAAGTTTTCTCACGACACACATGCTCCCTTGTACGACACATGCTCGACAGATGCCGTACATGTTTGGCATCATCAACCACATCCGCGTGGGATCCTACCTCGCCGTCTCCTGGGCCGCCATCCTGGCTGTAGCCATCCTGTTTAAGCCCGGTGGCGGCGCCACTGCCGTACAACGGTACGAACAGCGCATCACCGATGTGATGTTGTACGGCCTGGGCCCCATTGGCCTGCTGGGCTTCCTCTCGTCGTACCTGAGACTGACAACCTGGTCGCGATTCGTGCTTAAACGCTTCAAGTAAGCAAGCTCCGAGCACCGCTCCGTTTTCCCACCGCGTGTCTCGGATGAGCATGTCATTGGGTTGGGTTCCTTCTTAGACACGTGTCTTGTAGGCTTGGAGCCTTGCATGCATTCCCTCTTTCCGGCAAGGCAATGCCGTTCACCGCTTTCCAGTCTCGTACAAGCTTCCGTGATACAACCCCTCTCCCCTTTGCTTCCTGACCCCTCCCTCCCTCAGCGGCTTGTCCATTACCCTATCCCGCAACGATCCGCCGCCCTTACCACTATGTGCATTTGCCGTACTTGGCACTACTTACCGCACCCCCCACCATCCCGCCACCCCCTCCCCCGGTCTTCCTATGCCACGGTCAGTGTTTCCTCAGTCAGGCTCAGTTTCTGTAATACCCGATCCCCCCAGGGAGGCCCAGCCCGGCAGCAAGGTGAAGGACATATACCGCTTCTCCGACCCCATCGAAGTGGAGATCATCAGCCGAGTTGCACGGCACTGGATCGATGACGAGGTGTTAGACATGGAGAGTGTGAAGGAGGCTGAAGCCATCATCAAGGCGGGCCTGGTGCTGTTCCCCACGCGCGCCTTCATGATCATGCTGTATTCCAACTTCCTGTGGGATGTGCTGGATAACCCGCAGGTAGGTCTGGGGAAAGAAGAAAATCAAATATCGGGGGGGGACGGGGGAAGGAAGGAAGGGCAGGCGGGCTTCCATTCCTCATCTGTTGCCTTGCCCTAGCTTGTAAAAATTCTTCGTTTCGTCCTACGCTATCTCTTGTTCTCTTCTCTCAAACCCCAGGCGGGCTACAGCCAGCTGCAGGCCGCTAAGAAGGCCAACCCCAACTACATGGAGCGCTTCGCCATCTACCGCCGAGAACAAGAGCACCTGGCACGTACGGCACAAACCAAGGGGAACGGCGAGTCCACGCTGGACCTGGTGTCGTACGTGGAATTCCAAAGGAACTACCGGTGCGTTGAGTGGTGTGTCTCTGTGCTTGTTTGGTTGGCTGGCTGACTGGCTGGGAAGTCGTGTGAGGAAAGAAGGGGGCCCAACCTCCCTGGCTGGAATAGTTACCCATGCTGTTCCTGTCGTACATTTACGTAAGGCTATGTCGTAAGGCTGTGCCGACGTAAGGTTGGACCAACACCACAATTTCATAGCACTTGCATGACCCCTTCGCCTCGCCTCCCTACTGGATATGGCCGTTGGTTTCCTCTTTACCCATCCCGCCCCTGTCGTTAGCAACTTAATCTTACCATGTTTGCTGTGTTTCCCCCTCCTCCTAGACTGGCCATGCGGGCCCACCGGGAGGCCTTGGTGGCCACTCGCAACTTCTGGCAGTACCTGCTGCAGCAACACATCACCTTCACGCACCTCTCCAAGAGCCTCAACGCCATTGAAACGGCAATCATCAAGGTACGAAGAGGCGGGATGGGGGTTGGGCCGGGTAAACAGCTTGGACAAAAGCCTAGTTCTGGAAACCCAATCCCATGGCCCAAGGGGTAGGGTGGGGCATTTGCAATATCGATATGTGGGAGGTGAGCTGGACATCCTTCGCTTCCGGTCTTCCGAAATTCTCCTCCCCCGACCCCTCCCTGCTGCCCCAGGCTGACAAGGTGTACCGCACCGTCCTGGAGCGCTACCCCTACTCCGCCAAGATGATCAAGGGCTACGCTCGCTTCCTGGAGGGGGTGAAGAACGACCCCTGGCGTGCCTCCAAGTTCTACACGGAGGCTGAGAAGCTGGAGGCGGAGCGCGAGGAGGAGGCGGCGGCGCTGGAGCTGGAGGGGCTGGACGGGGACAACGACTCGCGGCTACTGAATAAGGTGTGGGGGATGTGGTCGGGTGGGTGGGGGTGTGGATGGGGGTGGGGGTAGGGAGGACGGAGGACGGGAGGTGGGCTGGGTGAGGGAGGAGCAGGGGACTGCATGCCGGCGTGCTGCTGCTGGCTACATTGAATGTGGGGGAGGGGGGCTAAATATGAGTGCTTGTTCGTGATGTGATTTCGTGATCTGGTTGGATCACCTGACGTCAAGCAAGGCCTAGCGCAAGCCAGCCGAAGCACTTGGTGAACCCTTAACTGGTACTGCTGGTGCTGTTGGTACGGCACTGCTGCTGCAGGTGGACGAGCGGGTCAACGCGGTGATCATCATCAACAGCCGCGGCCAGATCCAGATGGCCAACAAACTCGCCTACAGCATGTTTGGCTACAACAAAGGTAAACACGAACAGGACCAGGACCATAAGGCATGTCGATCTCAACAGACTCAGTGCATAGGCAAAGGAGGCCTCCCCAATCCTTCCTTCCTCCCACTCTCCTTATCCTTCCTTCCACTTCCGCCTCCCCCCCCTCGCTTCCTCCCGCCTCCCCCAGGCGAGCTGGAGGGCAAGAACGTGGCCATGCTGATGCCGCTGCCCTTCAGCCAGCGCCACAACGGCTACATCAAACGCCACATCACCACCGGCCGCGAGACCGTCATGAACCGCGTGACGGACCTAGTGGCGCTGCACAAGGACAGATTCGTGTTCCCCTTCAGGCTGGCAGTGTCCAAGGTGTCGGGCGCGGGAGACGAGTGAGTGTGCTGCCGCAGGGACCTATCGGTATCTAGTGCGGGGACCGAGCATGCAGGGGAAGAGGAAAGGAGCATGCATGGAGCGAGGGGGGCTGCTGAGGTGTAGGGGCTTTCCTGGGGCTTTCAGACGGTAATGTTCCATCGGGTGTTCGGGTCCATGTGGGCCCCTCTGGGCACGTGAGTGTCTCCCTGACTAAATTCTGCAAACCCCTTTCCCAACCCTTCTCTCTTCCCCCTCCCACCCACCCCCCCGTAGTTCGCTGTTCATGGGTGTGATCATGGGCGTGGAACCGCCCAGCGACACCGCAAACGTGTACATCTTGTCCGGAGGCGCGGTGGCGGCGGTGGATCAGGTAGGTGGGGTCGCGTGCATGGGGGCAGCAGGAGGGTCAGCAGGGTGCGCGGAGGGGCCCTACCAGCTCATCATCAGGACGGAGGGGCGGTTTGAAGAGCTGGGCTCCAATTCTTCATCTCTTCAACTCGACGTTGCTTCACTTTTCATGTAATATTCCCCCTCCCCTCCCTTCAGGCCTTCGTGGACTGGTTCGGCTACACGGTTGAGGACTACCTAGGTCACCCCGTGCACACCCTGGCAGTGGACCCCTCGCCCTTCAAGCGCCTGGTGGAGGAGGTGACGCGGCACGACCAGCCCGACGAGGACGCGGTGTGCCCGGTCTTCCTGGGAGCCAAGCACGCGCTCATCAAGCACAAGTACACGGACCCCGTGGATGTCAGCCTCAGACTTAAGGCCTCGGGTGCGTGAAACGCTGTTGCCAGTACTGGCAACCCATGCATCCCTGCATCACGAAGGTTCCGCTTACTGTGATGCCACCACCTTTTACTTGTACGCCCCTGCAACGTATGCTCAAGTGCCTATGTCTACATGCTGAAGTGCCTATATGCTTACGCATACATACCTAAGTGCCCAAGTGCCGATATGCCTATATGCGTACGCGCCACAGGTTTGGGCACGGAGACCATCTACCGCGTGGAGATGCGGCGCAACCAGCCGCCGGTGGAGCTGGTGCTGACCAACCGCAAGGGGCGCATCTGCTTCATCACCTCCCCGCTGGCCCGCATCCTGGGCCACACGCCGCGCTCGCTGCGCAAGGTTGACATCGGGGACCTGCTGCCGCAGCCCTTCGGGGCGCTGCATGCGGCGTGGATTCGGGTGAGCGGAGGGCTTGGGGTTGCAGGAGCCGGGTGCCATAAGGCCGCGTGCCGTGGTGCGTATCGGGTTCTGAAAATGCACCTGTCGTAAACGTACCCAACTGGAGCCCTACCACTCTCCAACCAACCTCACACCTGCGGTGTGCCTCTTGCTTCCCTCCCTCCCTTCTCCTCCGTCTCCCCCCCTTCCCCAGGAGGCTGCCGAGACCAAGCCCTCCCCGCACAGCTGCCGCGCCAGCATCACCATGGTGCTTGGACCCACCCCCAAGACGCAGCAGCCGGTGCGACTAGCCATCAAGTCAACCGACGAGTCAGGCGAGCAGCAACATGTGGTCAAGGTGAGGTCCCGGGGTGCGCGGGTGGCTGGGTTGGGAGCGGAGTGTGATTCGGCGAAGTGTTATCATCGGGGGTCCTCACTGCAGATCTCTGACGGCATCTCAGGTATGTGAAAATCCCTGCCCCGCCCGCCTGCCGCTCCTGCCGTTCTGTCCGCCGCTCGCTCCTTCCCCCGCCGCAGGTGACTCCCTCCACACTGGTAGAGGGCCTGGACGAGCGCCGCCTGCGCATCACCATCGACACCACCGGCACCATCACACAGGTTGGCTCCTCACCCACCTGGCTCTTTGGCTTCAAGCCGGCAGCCCTGCGCGGCCGCTCGCTAGCCGACTGCATTGACGTGCTGCACCAGAACGCCCGCGCCGCCAGCACCGCCGCCGTCGCCGCAGGCAGCGGCGCCGCCGCTGCTGACGCGGCTGCTGCTGCGGAGCTGCGCAAGGTGGTAACGTTGCTGCTTGGGCGTGCGTTGGAGCGACCGGGAACCTCCTGGCGAGTGGGGGTGATGCCGCCGCTTGAGAACATTCGTTCGCTGGGCAGCATCGCGACGGCGTTGCTGGCTAAGCAAACCCGGCCTGCGGTCATGGAGTTGGATGTGAAGGTGGACCTGGAGGACTTGGCGGCGGGTCGGGATGTGATGATCAACATCTCGTTGTGGCGTGCGGATTTGGTGTGTGGGGTGCTCGAGGTGGATAAGGAGGGGCTGGTCCTGACGTCGCAGGAGCACCCGTTCTTTCCGTCTGGGCTGCTGTTTGGCATTTCCTCGGCAGGGCTGCTGCGGCAAGGCCTGGGTCGCTATTTACAGCTGGGCAGTCGATCCGTTGAGTCCTTGTTTGCGAGTGAATCCAAGACGCTTTCCGGGAAGAAGGGCGCGCTGAAGAGCAGCGGCATGTCGGCGAGAAAGGTGGGGCCGTTGAGGACAATCAACGGCTTCCATGCAGACGGCGAGCCGTTGCCGCTAACGGTGCAGCTGGTGCGCAAGGAGGGCACTTCTAGCCGCTCGTACGTGGTGATGCACTTCAAGGAGCCGACCCGTGGGTCACGGGACTTCCTCATGCACCTCCAGCGTGGGCCGGTGGAGCCGCGGCAGCAGAATGAGGCATCGTCGGACGGCGCCGCCGTCGCCGGCGGGGTGTCAGGTAGTGGTGCGGCGATGGGGCCGGAAACCCCCGCGGTTGCAAAGGTACGACGGCAGAGGTCAGCGCTGGATGCGGTGCCTTCCCGGAGTGCCTCGCCACCGGTGTTAACGAGAGCGGCGTCCATGGCACCGCTGCGGAAGCCCACGTTAACAGAGCTACCGCTCCTGGCTCCCCTCCCAGCGCTTCCGCCGCCGGTTCCACCGTTGACGTTGCCGCCGCCGCCCCCTCAAGCGGTTCTAGCGACACCCCCGCCCGTTCCGCCGGCGCCGCCACCCGCGGCGCCGCCACCAGATATAACACAGATGAAAGGCGCTGTGGGCAGCGGCAGCGGCGGCAGCGGCAGCAGCACCGACACTCCCAACGTGTCGACGCCGCCTAACACCGACGTCGTACCGGCGACCACCACCGCACCACCAACAACAGCGGAGCCACCGCCGCCACCTCCGCCGCTGCTGCCGGCGCCACCCCTGCCGGTTCCCCCGCCGCCGCCGAGGGTCGTCCGCACACCAGCCATGGACCAACCGCGTGTCGTAGGGCGCATCATTCCGCTCCAGGCGGCTGCCGCACTAGCTGCTGGCGGCGCCGCCGGCGGCGGCGCTAGCCGATGGTCCATTGCGCCGCAACAGCCGTACATCACAGATGCGCAAAACGCTGCTGAGGAAGCAGCCATGATGAACATCAGCCTCCAAGATTACTTAACGGGTTCCAACGGCGGCGGAAAGAATGCGGAAGACCTGGCGGCGCTGTGCGACAAGGCCGCCTCCGCCGGCGACTTTGGCGACGCCACTGGAGGCGCCGCGGCGGGATCACTTCGCGCTCGGCCTGTCGTACGACGCACACCGCCCTCGATGCGTTCCATTGCACAGGGAAACTCCAGCTTTGACCGCAGGCTAAGAGAGCGCCTAGCTGCTGCTGCGGCGGCGGCGGCGGCAGCCAATGGCGGCGACGGCAGCGGCGTAGGCAGCGGCGATGGTACGGCATCTTCCGATACAATGACGCCAGTGACCACCATCAACGCACCGGCGACACCTCGTGAAACAGCTTCCACTGCTGCAGGGACGCCAGCCACGGGGCCGCGTCCCGGGTCGTCCACCCAGCGTCGTCCTTACTCCGACGCTGTCGTACAGCAACTAGCCTCCCAGGTGCCAGCGGCGGCGGCGGGACTGAGCGCCCTATCTGCCGCCGTCGTACGTGCGACGACGCCGCCGATGGGTGCCGCCAATGCCGCCGTCATGAGTGCGTCGCGACGGATGGTATCCTCTCCGACGGCGGCGCAGCTAGCGCCGTCGTCGCCACAAGGGCCGCCGCCGCTGCCCGCTAACTTCTCCCTGCCGAATTCCACAACCGGCATGCTAGACGCTGAACCGCCGATAGTGCTTACAAAATCGATGAGTGGGCGGTCGCATGGTAACGGCGGCGCTGTATCGCCGCTGCTGCCGCCGACACGCAACGTGAGCATCGCTCATGAGCTCAAGTCCAGCCTCAGCCGAGACTCGCTGGGCAGCAACGACCGCGGAGAGGCTTCCGCATACGGTGAGCCACTGGGGGGGGCGTGCTTGGGGTTCTCGTTGGGGCGCAGGGGTTACCGGTGTGTGAAAATGCTTGTGACGCGTGACGGGTGCTTGAGGTCTTGGGGCCATTCCACTTTCATTTTATGCCCCCTGCTGCTCTCTGCTGCTCCTTCCCCAGGCTCCAACAGCCGTCGCTTCAGCAGCACGAAGCAGGTCAGCTTCGCGCCCTCGCAGCTGATGATTGACCCGCTGGGTCACGTTGAACGACTGCCGTCACGCGGGCAGCTGGGGCCGCTGACCAACCTAAGGGACGGTGACGGCGGCAGCGACGGCGGCGACGGACTCTCCCGGGGACAGAGCACGGTCGACAGTGAAGGCGACGGCGTCTTGTACTATGGAGACGGGCAGAGAGTGCTTCTGACGCCGCTGACAGCGACGTCGACGTCACCGGCGTTGTTGCTGAACCAGCCGTACGGCAGTGGGGGCGCGTACGGCAACGATGGCAACGGAAGTGATGAGGCGTCCAGGGCGCCGGGCAAGTCCCGAAGCAACATCAAGCTGGACCGCATCCGGGAATGGGTCATGACAGAGGTATGGAGCAGGGATGTTGCACGCTTATGTAAGGGCGAGAGTGAATGCATGTCGCCCTGGAAGTAGTGAGAATGTAGTTGCAGTTGCGGAAAGCCTGGTGCATCTGGTGGCCTCTCAAACGCTGTCTCAAACACGGCATTGCTGCACTGTCGCGGAAACCGCAGGGCGAGCGTTACTTCCGTCTCGAGGATGTGCGAGACATTGGAGACACGGTGTACCCCTTCGGACCTGACCTGCTCATGCGCGAGGACTCCAGGTGGGTGGCAAGAGGACAGTGGGGCTGGCTATCTAGGCGTCTGCGAAGCGATGGCAGGATAACGGTTGCCGTACCAGATATGAGGAAAACACTTGTTCAACACTATCTAAACACCATCCTAACCCCCCTGTTCCTCGCCTGCAGTCATCAACTGGTGTTGGACGGCGAGGGTGGCGACCCGGACGGTGATGAGGGCGATGAGGAGGGTGCTGCTCCCACCAGTCGTTGGGCGGACGTAGACGGGGCGGATCCCGACTTCCTGGATATGCACGAGTTGGAAGACGAGGAGGGCGGCGGCATGGGCGGGGGAGGCGGCATGTACGGCAGCGGCATGATGCTGGAAGCGGCGTCACGGGGAGGAGGCGCGGAAGCGGGGCGCGGAGGAGGGTGAGTACGGCGTGGGGAGGGGTTGGTGGTCGAATGGGGTGATGTCGATGTAGACGTTGAAGAGCGAGGGCCTCCGAGTGCGTAATAGCTGCTTAAGCTGCATGGCTTTGGGATGGGAGCATGGTGTGCACAAAAATGACAAATTTATGGCGAGGTGCCTGCTATATCGCTGATGTTTACAGTCCTTCTTTATTCCTTCTTACCCTCCCCTATCATATACTTGCAAGCAGTCAACCATCCGACAGCGACGAGCACGGCGGCGATGGCTCCGGCGGCGGCGACGGGGACACCGGCTCCGAAAACTCCGAAGACAAAGAATCCAAGGCCGTCGCCGCCTCAGCCGGACAGCAGGCAGGAGCCGCAGGAGCCGCCAGTGTAGCTTCAAGCAGCGCGCAAGCAGATTTCCGCCGCGGCAAGCGTTGCCGCAAACTACTCAAGATGCTGTCAACACCTGCCGTGCAACGAGCCACGCTTGCGTTCCGCTGGCAGGCGCTGCTAGCGATTGCCGTACAGCTGCTTGCAAACCTGGCGTGTTTCGTGCTGCTGACGTTGCTGCTGACGCGGCAGGCGCGGGGTCTCACGGAGTTGAACGATGTGGGGCAGGCGCTTGTGTCCTTCCATGACACCATGCTGTCGCTGCAGGTGGGTGGGTGGGAGGGAGGGTGTGGTGTGGTGCGGGTGGTGCTTACTGGGTTTGCACTTGGACGTCGTAGGTTCCAGAGGTAAGGTATGGCTTCAGGCTTGGGCTGAGTGGCATAGTAGTAGGGCTACGAGAGTCCTCGGAGGAATTCATGCCCCTCCTGCGATCCTGCATCCGTCCGTCAGTTCCCATTTCCCCATTCCCCTCGCCCCTGCCCGCCCCTTCCTCAGGTGATGGACAACATCTACTCCAACCGCTCGACTGCCAACGTGGGGCTGTACGACCGTAAAAACATCACCCGGCTGGCCCGGGAGCTCAAGACGGCACTGGATGTGAGGAGATGATCATGTGGCGAGGCGCACATAAGACCCTTATTAATGCTGGACTCGTGATATATTCATCTAGAGACACCAGCTTGCCCACTATTTGCCCGCTCCCTTCCATTCACTCCCTTGCCTTAATCGGCAACGTCCATTCGTCCCTTCCTCACCCCCCTTTCCTCCCTCCCGCACCCTCTCCTGCGCTCCCCTTCCCACCTCTCTTTCCCCCCCCTTCGCAGACCTCCTGGACCAACCACAACAACGTCTATCTGGGCGCAAACGGGCTGCAGCAGCTGCCCTCCGCCTACAACCTGTCCGCACTGTGGAACGAGTGGAGGCACACCGAGCTGCTGTTCTACGGCCCCGCCGCCACCGACCAGCGCGCCACCACCCTATGGCGGCTGGGCAACGCCTTCCTGCGTCAGGGCTACGAGCTGCACCACAGGCACGGGGACCTGGTGGGGGAGCTGGGCAGCCTGGCTGCCAGCGATCCGTACAAGTGAGTGGGGAGGGAGGGAGCGGTGGGGAGGGAGATGGGTGGCCGGCCATTGGCATGGCGTCATTAGCTGCCCTAGTATTTTCCACCTGGATTGCCATCATGAAAGTGCTTTATAAGGCCCTGGCTGGCCTGAATGCTTGCCTGCCGCATGTGCCTTCCTGCTCGCAGGGACTGCCCTTTCAATCACCTTTCAATCCCCCTGCTGCAGCCCGCCTCACCCAGTCACCCCCCCCTCCCTCCACTCTTTCCCTCCCTCCACCTAAACCCCTTGGCAGGTACATCCACAGCAACGGCCTGTTCGAGCTGTTCCGCGGCTATCAGCTCACCCTCAACGCGCTGGTGTACAAGGCGGTGGACACCTCCAACACCATCAACCAGCTGCAGCTGGTGCTGCTGGTCATCGAGGGCTGCTGCATCTGCGCGCTGGTGGTGGCCTACATGGCCTGGCTGCTCAGGAAGGTACGCTCCCGACAAACCTGTGTAACGCCATTTGTACGTAACTGATGTGCCCAATTCAGCCAAGGCTTACTTCCAGCCCGGATTATCCTCTCCATGCACCCCGCTATACGCTCACTCTCCCACCTCCTGCCCCCCATCCTTGCATGGCTAACAGGTGGACAACCAGCGGTACGGCATGTACGGCGTGTTTCTGATCGTGCCGGTGGGCCTGGTGCGGGGCCTGGCCTCCAAGACGGTGGCGGTGGAAGAGGAGAACAGCGACGGGGAGGAGGAGCATCACGAGGATCAGGTGATGAGGAGGGGGGCTGGGAGGTGGAGCGAAAGGGCGGGCTGGAAGGGCCAACCGCGCAAGCCCCCTGCTGATACCGGTAGTTCCTAGCCTGACTTATTGCGATATTGTTTCCATTGCTGCCGTACTCAGGTGGGGGAGGATGTGGCTGGGGGTCTCCCCACGGCACCGCCGACTCCTGCGGGCCACGGCGATGGAGGCGGCGGTGGCGGCGGAGGTGATCGGGCTGGCGGCGGTGGTGGTATCCGTATTAACATGGATGGTGGCGGAGGCGCACCCCACGTCAGGTGCGAGCACACACATACTTGGGTCACACGTGCTATGGACAGTGCTTCTGCTTAGAGGAGCATGGACCAAGCTTTCTGTACCGCTTCGGCAACGCATTACTGTGTCGCTGCTGCAAAAGCTTCTCTCACGCCGCGTCCCCCCGTTCTCCCCTCGCTCCCCTCCCCCCTCGCTATTATCAGACGCTCCCACGGTGGGCACTCCAGCCGGCTGCGGGGACTGTACGACCGCATCGCGTTCTGGCGGCTATCCGCAGTACGACACGGCAAGCGCTCCATGCTCCGCAACAGCAAGGAGAGCTTGTGGCTGCTGGCGCCCTTCGTGGTGTGGGGGCTGGTAGTGGTGGTGATGCACTCGCTGGGCTATGTCACCATGGAGCAGGTGGGACGGGTGGGGCGCCGGGTGGGGTGTGTACGTTGGGTGTACCGGTATGTGTGGAGGGATGGACGTGAGGGAATTGGGAAGTTGAAGCGGAAGGCCTAATGTCTCTTCTTTCTATTCCCTAAGCAAGCTCCATGCTATGCACCCCTCCCCTCACCACGCCCGCCACCCCTCCCCAACGCCCAACCAGGCCAGCGCCCCAGTTGCAATGACCAACGTAGTGAATACGGTGCTCACGCGGGTGCACCGAGTGGTGTACTTCGCCCAGGAGCTGGCGGTAGCAGTGGGAGGGGAGGCGCAGCAGGCGATTTATCCAGTGCTGCAGGTGTGTGTGGACTGGATATGGTGGCAGAAGACGGAAGGGCAGTGAACCATTCTTGAGCCGTCAGGACCGCCCCTTCGTATATACCGCAGAATAGGGAGGCCCGTAGGCCCCCAGTACTTAGCGTGTTTGAGGGGTAGAGGTGAGGTGCTGGCTTGGTGGAGGGCTTCTTGCTCCCACGCTTCCCCCTCCCGCCCGCCTTCCTCAGCACCCCGTTCGCTCCCCTGAAGCTTTCCACAGCCCCCAACACCACACCGCTCCCCTTCTCACCCCTCCCCCCTCCTGATGTCCCCCACAAAACCACAACAGCAAGAGGTGGCCGACTTGAAGACGGAGTGGGACGTCATGCTGTACGGAGCCAACGCCACGCAGGCTGCTGAGGCGCACTTCAGCCTGGCTCGCCGTGGGGTAGCCTTTGAGAAGGGCGCCGCCACGGACACGCTGTTCACGCCCGGGGTGTCCTGTTGGATGCCTGACATCGCGGACTGCTACCCAGCCGACCACCCCTACGCGGCGGTGAGCAGGGCGGGGGGGCCCTGCTGGAGTGCAGCCTAGGGGGGCGGCGGGTGCTGGTGCGGGCATGCTAAGGCTGACTGTAGACGACCCCATTCTATGTACCGGTGTATACAGCCCACCCCATTCCATCGATACCACCCCATCCCATTACATCTACACCTTCCATACTCACCCCTCTCCCCAGGTGGTGTACCGCGGCCTGAACGCCATGATGCAGCGTTTCTTCGTGGAATCCGACCTGCTGCTCCGCGACGCGCCCTCCGCCTGGACCCTCAACTCCTCCCGCCTGGACTATCTCTACCACGAGGGCACCGGCAACATGCACTGGGCCATGGCGGCCCTCACGGAGGAGCACCTGGCGCGGGTGGTGGCGCTGTACATGCGCGTAGAGGTGTTTCATGTGGTGGTGTTTGTGCTGAGCTGGCTGCTGGCGGCGCTGTTCTTGTTCGGCATGCTGAGGCCCTTCATGGGGCACACGCAGGTGGGTGGGGTGGGGAAGAAGGAGAGCACACACGCGGGAGGTTGCATGGGGGTTATTACCGACGTATACACGGCATGCATGCATGCACCACCCATCCACCTGCAACGGCCCCGTCCTGCTTGCGTTTTCCGTACAGCGTGAGACGGAGCGCATTGCCGAGATGCTGAGTCAGCTGCCGGCTGATGTGGACGTGGAGGGGTTGCTTAACAAGGCACTCATCAGCATCAAGGGGGAGGCGGTGGCATCAAACAGAGGTAAGGGAGGAAGCGCTTAGGGGATGTGAAGAGGGAGGGGAGAGGAGGCGGGAAGAAAACTGAAGGGCGCCAGGAAGGAGATTCCGCTGGTTGGGTAGGTAGGCAGGCAGGGGAGTAAAGTGGTAAAATAAGCGGTCGCCCGGGAACCGTCCTGAACACGACATTTGCTGTGCCAATATGCCCTTCCATCCAGGCGAGCAGCGAGCGGGTCGCAACCGGGTGGCTCCGCTGCTGGCGCCCTTCGACGCCGAGCAGGACACGCGCGTGGCGCCCAGGACAGAGTCCCGCATGCGAGCTGCCAGGCTAGGAGAGGGCGGCGGAGGACTCAAGTAGGGGAGGTAGGCGTGATTGGTGAAAGATGTGGAAGGGAGACGGGGCAGTAAAACATATGAACATTAGGTTGGAGGCTGCGTGTGTGTTTGGGGCGCCATGGTTGGGTTGGGCAGGCTGCCTTTGTAACGTGCTGGATTGATAGGAGGGGTTGTGGTGGAGACCAGTGACGGAGACGTTGGACGTTTGCTACCGTTGAACGAGACGTGCACATGACGCGGACGAAAGTAAGGGCCGTGTCTTGGATTGGAGTCGCTGGCTGGTGGGCTGAGGTGGACCGGAAGAAGGAAAGGTGGTGCTGAGAGAGGAACACCAGCGAGCGAAAAGTGGGTGACATAAAACCGCAGGTGACAGGGGTGTTACCTCTTTACTTCGCTTATAGTATGAGAGCTCTGAAGCGAGTGTGCGAGCAACAGATCTTTTCTCGGTTGATGCTTACGTGTTTCGGATAAGAGCGACGTTTTGCGACTTCTGAAAGCTGCCTCTGACATACAGCCCTGGTCGCCGTATTGTACCTGCGCAAAGGGCGGGCGAGAACGTTACGACCGTTTGATGCTGTTTCACGGCTTCTTGTGATTTGGCAAACCTTTGCCTAAATGGGGCGAGTTTGCGCACTCCGAATCGCAGCTGCCGGATTGCAGAGATTTTTTTATCAACCAGAGGCATTTTGCAAGGCACTTGAAGGAATCTACCTTAGGCGTCGGTTTTGTAGGCATTCAATGTAGGTAACTAACGACGCAAGGACGCATGGTGCGGATGTTGTGCAACAGTCGCTTTAGCGCCGTTGTCCGTCGCTGCAGTGATGATTAACAGCACTAGCGGCTATCGAGGCAGCCTGCAGCTGTTTATTTTCGCAACTCGCGCTGTGTCTTCTGCTGGTCTCGCGTATCCGCTTTGTTGCATTTTCATACGGCAGATGGCAGCACTGCGCCGTACTGCTGTTTCGTGTGAGGGCTAGGAGGGGAGAGCTGTGAGAGGACCGAGGGCGGGGAGTACAGTGTATAGTTAACCGTGGAGAGGGAGCAGTGCTGCGGCAGCGTTGTTTGGCGTGAAACGTGTGACGAGGCGAGAACGTACATACAATAAGCATATGGGGCCGCGGAAAACTCGGCAGAAGTGTTCCGCTACCTTGCAGCTCCTTGCATACATGAAGATATGGATTGCATGAATATACACATCTCTACCCAGTAGACCGACATACTTTTGGCTGTGTAACGGCCATTATTGGGGCTCTTGCCCTCTGGCTGCTAATGGAAGGGTTGCCAACATGCGCCATGTGACGGGCGTTTGGGGCATGTACGGCACTGTGTGTACGAAACCTAATCCGCTGCTGCCGGCAATTGGTTGATCCTCTGACCTTGTCATCGTACGTCATCGTGCGCAGAGTGGTCCGTACGTGAGGTATTTATGGTTGAATAGGAGGAGCGTTAAGACGTCATGCGGTTCTGGCTTGGACGTAACACACGTTTAGCATGAGTTGTGTTGGGACACAAACGATATGGATTCGCTTATCGGCAACTGCTTTCGTGACGGGGTTGGATTGCCGTTAGGGAGGGCTGTGGACCTACCCCTGCTGCTGGGTGCGGGCGCCATGGGTCAAACGTGCCTCGTGCGTGTATTGCGTGACATAGCGTCCTAGCATGCCTAGGTGTGGCCTAGCATGCCTAGGTGTGGCCTAGCATGCCTAGGTAGGCCGTTCAATATGGTGGCTGCCGGTCCAAAATTGGGCTGATCATGGCTTGGTACAAACCTGCGCCTGCGCCATATGTGCTTGGCGCAAAGGCCTCTACTGTGGTGTTGGGCATTCAAGTGGCTGCGGTTAAATGGCTGCGGAGTGTCAAGGTAGCCGGGAGGAGGAACGTACTGGACTGTCGGAAGGGTGATGACCCCAACGATGCGTTGCGTCGGGTTTATTTGGCGTTTGAGCAGTAAAAAGACTTTTGCTGGCGGCACTGTTTTGTGCTTCTGTTTAGGAGTATATTAGTACACATGTTTGAGACGGTGACCCGTGGGTCGTTGAGGCGCCCATGTGGAGGGTGCTCCCGGCCGCAAGGGGGATACTCGTCTGGGAGGGAAGGGGCCTCGCTGGGAAATAATAAGCAGCTGGTGGCTTGTCCTGGCAAACATTTGTTTACAAAATCAACCACCGCTGGTAACACTCATTTATCGTACTTTGTTCCTGTGAAGGTACAGTACCTAACCGTACACGCAAATCTGTAAACACGCACTCTAGCGTACACGTCCCCCTCACGGTCATTCCGCCACCGTTTAACGACGACAGCAGCCGCTCGCATGCTACATCCTGCTGCAACCTTGTGACACCGCGCCCGCATGCTTTTAAAACCGAAGGATCACAGAGGCACATTGAACATGCATCGTACGACGCGTGTTGCTGTCATAGCTGCTGCGCCTTCAACGGTCCGAACTTGGCTTCGTACGTCCGCCAAAACATCTCACGGCAGGGTACCTGCGGAGGCGTACATGCAAGGTTGAAGAATCATTGATGGGTTGCAGCGGGGGTACCGGATTGTCGGAAGGCAATCCCACCCGGTTCCAATCGTCAGCAGACACAACGCCCCTTAATGCCCTCTAAAGTCCCTCCCCGCGCTCCTCCTCGCAACCCCACTCTGCTCCACCCTCCACCCCCCTTAGCTACTCCCCTCCCCTACCACTCACCCGCGCCTTCAGCTTCATGCACGCCAGGAAGGCGCCGCTCAGCTTGCGGTGAAGCGAGTAGGCCTCCTGCGGCGGCGGCGTCAGCCGGTGCTTCAGCATGATGGATCCCAGCTCCGAAACCCGGCTGGTCATGCCGCCGTGGGATCCAAAGTCGTACAGCCCGGGTGCCGCGAAGGGCACCCCGACGATGAACCCGGCCTCCGTGTGCGCATCCATCATGATCTCCGACTCGTCACCTTTCGGAGGGAGGTGTTTGAGGGGAGCAGGCGGGCGGGTGACAGGTCTGGAGGTTACGAGCAAGGAAAGCTTGTATAACAGATTAACAGTTATTCCCGATGGAGCGGGCAGGAGGTTGGGAGAGCAGGGAAAGGCCCGCAACCTTCCACCGGTAAAACCACACCACCACCTCGCGCGTCCCCCCGCCGCCGCCGCTCCCCACCCAGTCCCCCACCCGTCAGGAATCCCAGCTTGGTTGACATGTCGATGACCGCCTGCCTGTCCCGCTGCGCACACGCAGCGACCATGCGCATATAGTCCGACACAAACTCCTGAGAGCGGTGCAGGGCAGGGCGGGGCGGGAGGGCGGGGGAGGGGTTGCAGGGACACGTAAAAGGGCGCCTCAGCGCAGCGGAAGGGGCGACAACATGCATGCATGCAGAAGGCACCCCACTCTCACTCAGCAATATGCAGTCCCATGCCGGCTTCCAGCCTCCAGCCCTCAGCAGCCCCCCGCGCCCCCCACCCACCTCAGGGTAGTCCTTGGAGGCCCCAAAGTCGATGAGGTTGATGCGGTCCGCCTTCGGGTCGTACAGGAAATTGCCCCAGTTGGGGTCGGTCTGCATGAAGCGCCACTCGAACAGCTCGCGCAGGGTGAGCTCCAGCAGCCGCGAGCCCACCGCGTCGCGCACCTCCTGAGACAGCTCGCACACCTAGGGGGGGCGGGGGGATGAGGGGCTGAGCAAACCTGCTCTGCTCCCTAGCCCCAGCGGCCCCCTGCCCCTCTTCCCTGCCCACCTCCTTTTCCTCCTCCTCCCCTCCTCCCACCCACCTTGTCAATGGGCACCCCCTGGACCCACTCGCTGGTCAGGATGCGGGGCGAGCTGAGCTCCGGAACCACATCCGGGACGTGGAAGTGCGGCGCCAGGCGCGGGTCGGCGGCGATGAGCTGCCGGTAGCGGCGCTGGCAGCCCAGCTCGTAGGTGTAGTCACACTCCAGCGCTAGCTCGCGCTTGGCCACCTGAGAGGAAGAACGGGAGTGAGGTGAAGTAACTCGGTAACGATAAAGAACACCCCATACGTCCTACCATTAAAGTACAACAGGGCGAGGAAGGGGAAAACAGATTCAGAAAAAAGGACAGGCAGCAAGGCAAGGCAAGGCCGTGCGCGCTCTTCCAGTCCTCCTCCTCTACTCCTCCTCCTCTGCTCCTCTGCTCCTCCTCTGCTCCTCCTCTGCTCCTCCTACCTTTGCCGCATTCTCCGCGTACATGCCGCGTGGCAGCACATTGGCCACCGCAATGAGCCGCATCAGGTTGTCCACGTCGCTCTCAATGGAGCGCGCCACACCCGGGTACTGGATCTTGAGGGCTACTCGCCGCCCGTCGGGCAGCACACCGGTGTGCACCTGGGTGGGGGGGGGAAGTATAAATAAGTGCAACAACACAATCCCAATCCCAATGGGGGGGGCAGGAGGGGGAGGAGCAGGAGACTTGAGTAACATCTTCTTGGGTGGGATTGGGGGCAGGCAGGCAAACCGCTATTGAGGCAATTTCAATGCCAACCGCGTCCCAGCCAAGCCAACCCACGCCGCCCATCTCGCTGCCTCCCACGAGCACGTCCCCCACGTCCCACCTGCCCAATGGACGCCGCCGCTCGCGGCTCCCAGTCAAACTCCGCGAGTCGCTGCTCCCAGTCGGCTCCCAGCTCTGAAACCAGCACCCCCTCCAGCTGCGAACGAGGCATCACGTCGGCACCCGCTCGCACCCGCTCGAGCGCAGCCTGGACCTGTGGGGGACAACGGGAGCGGCAGGGCTGCTGTAAAGGTAGGCGAGCGAAGTGCTTTCTGGAGTGGTCTGTACAATGAGTGGGTGAGTGGCCGTGCGAAGAGCAGGCAGGGAACGAGGCTAACGCGGTAGCGGCGGCTTCTGAGCTGGTACAGGTAAAGCGAAGTAACGATGGCCAATACCGGTAGGTAGCCCAAAGCCCTTGGGTTAAATACCCTCTTAGTCCCGGGTCCTTGCATCGTCAGCTCGAGCTGCACTGCTCCTACAAGCTTCCGGGCGCCCCATCCACCAGCCCACTCCGCTTGCGGCCCATCCGCCCACGCCCCCGCGTTCCCCCTCTCTGCCTGCCCACCTGCGGCGGCAACACGTTCTCATCCTGGATGGACAACATCTGCCCAATCTTCAGCGCAGCTCCCCGCATGCGACACAGCGCGTTCGCCAGCCGCTCGGCATTCGCCTCCGTCAGGAACGAGCTGCCGCCGCCGCTGCGTCGCGCACTGCCGCCACCAGCTGCTGCTGCATGCTGCTGCTCCCCCTCCGCCGGGGTTCCGGAGCCCCTCAGCGCCCGCCCGATGTTGTCCGCCAGACTGCCCATCATGAGAGAGGCGCCCAGACCCGCAAAACCCAGGGCGCGACCCAGCGGCGTCTCGGGCACCCTGCGGTATGACACGGGGTGCGGGTGAGGGTGAGCGAGTATATGAGCGAGGGCTGAGCGGGTAAAGGACAGGGGTTGGGCACGAAAAAAGCAGCAGCGGCAGCAGTAGGGATGGGGCCTGTCACACGTCAGGTCTCGCTAGGCCTCGACAGGTCTAGTGCCCAGGCCTTCAGCTTCAGTTCCAACCTATGTTGCCAGCAGCAACCGCGCACCTTCTCTCCCTGAGCTTCCGAGCCGGCGCTTGCAAAGGAGGTGGTGGCGGCGGCGGCAAGGGCTGCGCCTGCGCCGCAGTAACGCCGCCGCTCTCCGCTGACCCCGCCTGCTGCTGCTGCTGCACCGGCTGCTGTTGCTGCTCTCCCATCTCCGCAGCTGCTGCTGCCTCCCCTGGCCGCCCCTGCCCCTGCCCCTGCTGCAGTGGCTCCTGCTGCAGTGGCTGCTGTCCGGTGGTGCCGCCGCCGCTGTTTGCAATGGCAGCCACCACCACATCGTCATGCACCGAGGGCAACATGGCACCCGGAGCCACGGACGCGCCCTCATCCGCAACCACCGCTGCCACTGTGTAACTGGGCGCAGCTGGGGACTCGGACCTCGCTGCAGCTGCGGCCTCAGCTGGGGTGCTGGCGGCGGCGGCGGCTTCCGTGGACACCGCGCCAGAGGAGGAGGCGGGTGATGTGGAGTACGGTGCAGCTTCGCTGGCAGCAGCAGCGCTCACAGCCGACTCCGTGATAGGTGGCGAGGCGACGGTGGAGGTGGTGGTAGGCGCAGAGCTGGCAGCCATATCCTGCGCAGCGGTAAGCGGCTTTGGCACGGCCTCTGCTGCTTCCCCCGCGGCAGGTCCTGCAGCTGCGGCTGGTGCCACGTCAGCGAGCGGCGCAGCATGCGGGGTGCTGGCGGCAGCAACGGCGTCACCGAAAGCCGCCATCACCGCTGACTCCGCCCCCGCTCCTGTCGCAGCTGCTGCTTCCGCCCAGTGCTGCTGAGCCCGCTCTGCCGCCTGCTGTGCTAACGCGTAGCCCTGGGAGGCGAACGTGGGAGCAACGGTGAAGACGGAGGCGGGGGCGGAGGCCATGGCGGCTGACGAGGTGGAGGCGTCTGCTGAGGGCGCAGCGGCCGGGCTGCCACTGCCGCTAGGTGGAGGGGCGGCGGTCACCTCGGAAGAAGAGGTTGCAGGTGCGGCCGCTTCCGCTGCGGCTGCTGCTGCAGCGTGCTGGGCAGCATCCGCTTGTTGTTGGAGCAGATCCGCTGCATGTTGCAGAGCCGTTTGGTAGTCGGATACCGCGGCACGCCGGGCCAGCTTGCTGTGGGGGACGATGCGCGCAGTTCCATCAGCGGTTGTATGGTGAGAGTGACAGAGGCGAAGGCACGCATGCAAGAAAATTTTGGAGGATACAGTCATCCGTGGATTAACAGAGATACATCTAGGTATGGACTTGCTAAGCGAGTGCTCACCTGTCGGCTGCCATTTTGGCAGCGACCATCGCCAGCCCGCGCAGCACACGGGACGCATCCTCTAACTGCTTTGGTGCAAGCCAGGACATTGTTAATATTTTGTGTCAAGGTAATAGGTTATCAACTAGAACCCATAATGTTGATGACACTCCAGTTGTAAGCAAGCTATAATGGCAAGAGAAACCTGTGCTCGAACAAAGTCCAAGTAAACGTAAAGGTTTACTTCAGCTGCATGCGTATCCTACAGTGATCAGAAATTCGGGTGGCTCAGAGCGCCCCACGGACGAGCACGGCATAGTCGACGAAAACAGGCGCCGTGTAGCGTTTGCTTTCGTGTCTTAATTATCCCATGTACCGTCACCAACATGACTGAAGGAGCGTGCCGTTCATCGCTTGACGCAGGCCCCTTCGAAGCACGGCATGAACCCATGGGTCCTACTCCCCTGGGCCTTGCCTGCCTTCGCGGGTTACGATGCCAGTGCCCCTCATCACTCTTCCCTCGGAGAGGAAAAAGTTTAGCCCCAGTTTAGCCCCAGAACCAAGGACCGTGCGCAAATACCACATACCGCGTACAGTACATTGCAAAGGCTGTTGCAAACGCAAAGCCCGCCCATATCAGTTATGTCTTACATGTGTACAAACCATTTCGCTTAGGTGCTGATGCGCTTTAGCAGATGCAGCGGTGCGTTGCGGCCACTGCCGCGTACGCGACGCATATCCTTGCAAGCGATTAGTCGACGAACCCTAACAATCGGCGGTCTCATTACTCCTTTATGCAACATACCAACAAATGTAGCCAGCAGCGCTGCAGCCGAACAAGGAAACGAGAAGCTTAACCCTAGTAGCGAGCTCACGCTCTCGCTCCCGTTCTCATATCAACCATACACGGGAGATACCAACGATGGCAAGCTTACCACCGTAAGCCTGATGGCACTTGGGCAGCTGGGTGTATCCATCGCATTACGGTACCCGCACCTGCTTGTTATGCACCTGCTTGTATCTCAATAATCAGCCTGTACTGTCCTTTCTCCCGGGCTCGCCCCAAGGCAACTGTCCCCATTGCCATCCGTGGCGCAAGAGATGATAAGGCAGGCGCACAGCCCGTTGTTATCTTCAGCCCCGGCTTCCTGTGGCCCGCTGCCTCCTACACAGCCATCGTAGAGGGGCTGCTTGCCGAGGGTAGGTCCAGTTTTGCGCACCAGAAGTCCATAAACGCATGGAGCACGGAGGAACGTGGCGGGTAACACCACCGGCTGCTGCAGCATGCATCCTTCCAGCGGTTGCTGCCGCTAGGTACGGATTGCTTACAGGACTTACTTAGGCAACCTGCGGCGGCATACTTTGTTGCGGCATGCACATACACAGACATGTATGGTTCCCAGGGTGGTTGTTGCCTGCTGCGCAATCTAATCACACAGCCCCCCATACCGTACTGCCATGCTTTGCAACTATACTCCGTACAGGGTTCATCGTGGTGACGTACGACAAGCCCTTCGAGCGGCTGTCAGCCCTGGTAGACGACGTAGACAGCGCCCGGCTGCTGCGAAGGGTGCAGCAGGCGGTGCTGACGCGGTTGGGCGGCGGGGCAGCAGCCAGGCCTTGCTTCCTAGTGGGGCATTCCCGCGGGGCCAAGGTGGGTGTACGGTATGCCATACAACGCGGGCGGCGCGGAGCAGCATGCCGTACCGAGTTTGGGGAATGTGGGGTAATGCTGGGAGGCCATTGCATGGGTCGCCAGGCTGCATGGTACCGGTATCCGGGAGTTAAGCTGAAACCCCGATGTAGCCCCAGCCTCTTCCTCGCTGTCATTCTTCACCTCCTCCGACCCCCGCAGATCAGCATACTTGCAGCCGCCATGCCGGCAACAAGCCAGGACTCCCACGCCCTGCCGGGGCAGCCGGCCTGCCTCCCTGGCTTGCTGGGACTGGTGCTGCTGGACCCTGCGGATGGCGCCTTCGAGCCGCAGGACCCGGCGCACTTCCCCTCGGCCCTGGCTGCCCTGCAGGCGCACCCCTGCCTCGCCCGGCTGCCCGTGCTGCTGCTGGGAGCTGGGCGGGGAGGGGACTGCGTGACCCGGGGGAAGAATTACCGTGCGTTCTTTGAGGCCTGCCGTGGGCCCTGCGCGCTGGTGAGTATACGGACGTCGTGCTCATGCATTGTGCTTTATTTGGCTGCTTAGGGGAGCTGACATGGAGACGTAGGACTATTTTCCGTTTATCCCACGTGCGTGCCGAAACTTCCTCCAATCTCCTGTCAGTCACTTACGTGTCCCCGTTTCCAACTCTCCATGCGCTCCTTGTACCCCGCAAGGTCACGCTCCAAGGCGCGGGCCACCTGCAGTTCTTGGACCCCTCCGACAGCCTTCAGCAGTCGATTTGCGCTGCGGGCAGGGGGGTGAGCAACGAAGCAGTTACGAGGGCTAGCTCCGCAGCGGCAGCGGCCTTCATGCGCGGAGTGCTTCTGGCTCAGGGTACAGGTGGGGAGGCGGCAGCATTGGATGAAATTTGGACTGGGCGTGGTGGTGTGTCTGGTGATGGTGCGGGCGTGATAGGTGGTAGCAGCAGCAGCAGAAGGGCTCTGGGCGCGGAGGGGCTACGGGACTGGTGCCTGCAAGGTGTCAGTGGTAGCAAGCTGAGGCAAGCGGTGGAGGTCCACGTGCCTGGGTGAGCCTGGGGGCTGACCGCGAACGGCAAGAGTCGTGTCATTGTTTTCCAAGGTGGTGTAAGGACCACGAAGTATGGCGCACAGCCATGCATGCTCCCTAGTGCAGTGGCCATTCTAACCCTACTGGCACGGTGATGAGTAGGTTGATTTGAACCGTTAGTCCGCACATACAGACAGAAGGATCTAGAAGCCCCATGGGGTACTGGTAGTTAAAGTTCGACTTGGCACTACCATTCATAACCAAGACGCGTTGACACCAGCCAGAACACAAAGGTACAGCAACATCCATGCTCCCCTGCTATCACGTTTCAGCGGCGTCAGGCGGCTGCTACCCCGCAAGAAACCTTGTCAGGCAAAGGACCGCCGCTCGGCTGCACACCAACCTTCTGGCTAACCCACTCAGCTGCCAGCATAACACACAGCACCTCCCAAGCGGTGCGCCCATCCACTCGGGTGACCGCCCAGACCAGCCCTACGACTCCAACCCACAGAACCTACACACCAGCACCAACCCTGTCCCATAACCGACTCAAAAGTGAATACCGTATGTGCGCGCCATGCGGCACCGCATAACCTTTTGCCACGTACGGGCCACACGTCCGGAGTGGCGGCGCCGGTGGTGCGCTGGATAGGGCTCATGCGTGCCCCCGCGTCAAAGTGCCTGCCAGAGGCGCATGCAAAGCCACAGAGGCTAGCAAAGCCCCGGCTCTTGCAGCGTGCATTATGCACCTCAAACACAGGAGCAATGGCCAGGTCAAGAGCATGTTGCTGCTGGTGGGTGGGCGCGGGGGTAAGCGAAGGCTTCAGCTGCGCGACGCGTGTTACCGCAGCACGCTGCATGCTCACGGCAGCCGCTGGGGGTGCCTTGATGGCCTCGTATTGGGAGTTAAGTCGCGATGTGGGTTGCAAGGGCAGGGAGGCGAGGCTCCGATCGGCTGCCTGGGTCGATGCGGCCTAGATGAGGAGAGTGCAACGGCGCAAAGGGAGGAACGCGGAGGCGAGCCCGATAAGGAGGGTCATGTGGCCGCCCAGAATGGGGCTGCCCTGTCGTAGGGGCTGCCCCGCATTCCGCGCCGCGCCCGAGGTCGCTCTGGGAGGATGGTAGGAGGGGTGGGGGAAAGGGCGGTAAAGATACAGCAGCGGTTGAGAAACAGAAATTACAATAAGAAGAAAGGAGCAACGGGTAGCATGATGAATACGAAGGGATTCCTGCCCCGACGGCAGGACATGCCTGGATGGCAGTGCGCAGTTAACTTGTGCCGGCGAAACGACATCGGTGTCTCAGCAACCAAACAGCACCCAGTCACCCCTGGACCCACCATCCTGCAGCCGTAGCCGTAGCAGCGCGTGGGACCACAGCACCCGTTGCCGCCGCCGGCACAGCCCCACCCGTCACCGTCTCCGCCAGCGCTGTTGCAGCAACAGCAACGGCAGCTGCACCCGGCTGCTCTGCAGCTTCCGCCGCGCCTGTTGCGTCGGCCAGCGCTCCTCGCTTTCCACCCGAGCAGGCTTTGCCACCATCTCCCGCTCTGTCCTGGGGAACAGCATTCCCGCTGACTTCCCGGCCGCGCTCGCTCGCTGCAGCGGTCAGCCCCATTTCCTGTCCAACGCCAACACCGCCACGGCTGGTAGCAACGCCCGGCAACTCCTCAGCTCCGCCGCTCGATCCGGGCCCCGGCGGTACCGGCGTGCGCTTGCTGCCGGCACTCATCCCGCCCAGCTCCTTGCTAGCTGCAGAACCCGAGGCGACCTTGTTGCCGCCCGCGACCGCGACCGCGGCCGCCGCTGACATCGCAGTGGTCTTGACGGTGCTCGCTGTTGCCGTGTCGGTTATCTTGATGATGCAGTCGGGGTCGGGAAAGTCGTCGCACAGCAGCACCAGCGGGTCGGTGTTCAGGTCGGACACGAAGCCGAACCAGTAGATCACCATGCCGGGCCCGTACCTGCGGCGGCGGAGTGTGGGGCAGGCAGGGAGCAGCGGACACAGGCGGAGGGAGAAGCAGCTCATGCAGTCACAACCGATCACAAAACGAACTCCTTAAGCACGGTAGTAGTTTACAAGCCCAGACCAGGACTCCAACGTAAACATACAGCAGGGTCTCCCTCGTTCTCAACCCAAAATCCTTCGAAACCACCCTCCAAAACCACCCTCGGCGCCATGCCTGTTCACGTAGGTGCAGTACTGCTCCTCCACCTGCTTGATGTGCGTGCGGTGGTCCCCGAAGGTGGCCTTGCTGTCCACCCAGCACACCAGGTGCTCGCTGCCGGAGCGGGTGCGCACCGCCACAGGAACCTGGGAGGAACAACAGCAGCAGCAGCCGGAGCGGGAGCAGGGGGGCCAGCAGCCGGAGCAGGAGCAGCAGGAGCGGGGAACAGAGTTGGGTAGCGCAAAGGGGTCGCGAGGAAGCACAATGACAGTAAGTGCAGAGGACAGGAAGACCCGGGCATGGGGCTTTGCAGGGCTGCATGCAGGATCATGTGTAGTGCTTGGTTCCTTCTCCGAGGGACGGGCGCACGGGCCATGTGCCTGTGTTGTCAGACCCCGCGGGGGCTGCCCCCGCTCCTCCACCCTCACGCACCTTGAGCTTGCAGTCGGGTGTCTTGTGGAACCCCAGCTGCCGTAGCTCCCCCTCGCTCCAGAAGGGCAGCCCCGCCGCCGTCAGCCGCTGCTGTAGGTACAGCTCGTACTCCAGACCCGTCACCTGGGGGGGGGCACACGGGCGTGGCAAGGGGGTTAGCGGGGGGCATAGAGTCATGTACCGACTGCATCAGCAGCTTCGCTTGCAGCTTCACCAGCTTGTGCTCGATGTGGCTTTGCTCGGGGCCACGAGGTGACAGGCAGGACAAGCTTATGATAGGTTGTGCAGTGTTTGCCATGCCTATCTGAGGGTACTGACTTACTGCACCTCCCTGACGCACACGTGTCTCCAACCCACAACCCACAACCCAGCGCAATCCCGCACCGTTTGCTCCCTCCCTGTACTCCTCACTCCCGTTTGCTCCCTCCCTCCCTCCCTCCCTGTTTCACTCATATAATTTTTCCCTGTACTCCTCACTCTCTCCCTGCACTCCTCATGCACAAATGCCCCCACCCGCCCGCCAGTCAGCCCCCCTGCCTGCCTGCGCACCTGCTTGGCCACGTCGCTGAGCGGCGAGTAGCAGCAGTCCGAGTGCACGCAGCGCACCACGTCAGCCCGCAGCCGCGCCAGCAGGTCGGGCGGCAGGTCGGGACACAGCGCGCAGTCCAGCCGGGAGGGCTGCCGCAACACCTCGCCCACCGCCTTGTGTGTGTATGGGGGGGGGAAGTGCAGGCGGGAATGCGGGGGATGCGGAGGAGGAGAGGTTAAGTGGATGCGCATGACCCAGTTGTCGAACTGCGTGACAGTGGTTTGGCGTATTGGCGACCGTATGTATTAGGTGGCTCAGAGGGAATGTAGGCGGCAAGGAGGGTGGTGTCGGTGAGGAATAAGGAGGGTGGTAGGACTGGGGGGCGCCGCTGGCTTGCCTGCTTGGGTGCGTCGATGATCTTCTCGAGCATGCGGCGCAGAAGCATGCAGGGCGGGAAGTCCACGTCAGCGCAGAGCTGCAGGATGTCCTCCCCAGCCGCGTATCTGGGTGGGGTAACAGGGGGCGAGAGGGGCGGCATTGGGGCGGTATGGAGGGGGTCGGGAAGATTAAGAGTTGGTGGAGCCGGTGCCCATCTAGGGTTGATAGAAAGCACGGCAAAGGGCACGGTGCTGCTCTGGGACCAGGCACACGCGCGGACTACATATGCTACGTGCAGGTGTTGCCGTGCGCACAGATTCCGAGCAAAGAAAGCCTCTAGCAAACACGTTGCGTCTAGGGGGAGCGCCTGTGTAACCTCGGGGGCGTCCAAGTAACCGGTCTTGCGCTGCACACCTTGCTAGGTAGTGAAAGACGTTCGCCTTATGTAGGTGATGGCTCCGAATAACTTTGTACTGCTGCTCCTGACCATACATCGCTAACCATGTCTCCGGCTTGACCCTGCGTAGAAGACGCCGCGGACCACTCTGAAGCGCCGAATAATTCTATAACTAACTTGCAGACATGTCATTCTTACGTCGGGAAATGTTGGCGCAGAGCTGCAACCGAAGGACAAGCTCCGAAGGGTAGACTGACAATGGATTGCATTCGGTCATAGTCTTCGGGCGTCATGTCGCATAGACGACGTTATACAGATAGGAAAAAGTGAAAACAAGGATAGCTGCCTCGAGCTTTGGCTAGGGACATGTACGCGCCAATGAATTCGTACAGCTGGGAAATCACATGCACGCAATCGACAGAGCACAGGAGGTTAACAGAGCTAGTCCGACCGTTTCCTTGAATTATCTTAAATTGCCTGCTCCTTTTGCTCTACTAATTCTAGCCCGTCGCCTACTCCATGGATGTCCCAAATCACTGCAAGCAACGACATACTGATATCCACACGAGGTTATTTCATCAGGCCAAAACAGTGCAGTTTGTGTCGTAATGCCCTAAGGGCAGCGCGTGTATCTCTTATCTCCGGCGGAGGGCAACCGTCGCCGTTTACCGTTTACTGCCATGGCGGCAAAGTGGCGAATCTAGTCTTTCCCGAAGATGTGTGTGTCACAGGCTGGCTGAAAACCCCCAAACTCCATCTTATCCCCTGGAATGCCGTCCGTCGAGGGTTGACAGCATGTGGCAGGAGTGGGTCCATACCCTTACCGTTACCGGCCACGTTGTGCCCCGAAGTCCCTCCAGAAACGGATGGGGGCACGACAACTCACCAGCGCCTGCCTTGCTCTAATATTAAGTCCCATGACTAAGCAGCGTCATCCCTTAGTGTTCAACAAGCAACTTCGACCCGTCCAGGTCATCAGCCCCGCAAGACCTTGATCTCCACCCCAGCTGATGAGTCTCGTAACGTGCAATGCCCGCAATACCACTCTTGCACCCGCCCTCAGCACATAGTACAGTCGTCTTAGCCCCCGGTAAACCCCTCCACTGCGCCGTAAACCCAACCGCTACACCTCCACAGTCGCACCAGTCCAGCATGTGTGGCATACCGGTACGGCCCAGGCAGCTGCCGCACCCACCCTCCTCACTCTGAGTCCTCACGCACCGCCTCCATGCCCCCTGCACCACCACCGCCTCCCTCTCCCCCAGCAGTCCCAGAAGCCGCCACCGTCTCCGCCAGCTGCTTCTGCTGCTTCAGACTGAACCCAAAGTTCTTATTCCGGAAGGAGCTGAAGTTGGCGGTCTTGTCGCGGCGCTGCTTCTGCCGCTTCTTGCGTGTGCGGCCGCCCTCGCCGCCGCTGCTGCTGCTGTCGCTGGAGGCGCCCTCCTCCTCCTCATAGGCACGCAGCGTGCTCTGCACTGCGGACGCGATGTCCAACTGCGAGAAGAGAAGAACATTACAGGTTTACAGCAAGAGGCGAAAGTGGGCGTCAAGTCCCCTCTTACCGGTAATAACCATGTGTCTTACAGGAAGGGAGCAGCTCTCCTTGTCCTTGCAACCCTGTCCCTCTCCTTACCCTCGGCCCCTTCCCTCGGGGCACCTTTCCCACTTGCCCGCCACCCACCCGCCCACCTGCGAGTCTAGGATGTCCAGTCGCGCCTTGAGCACCGCATACGCCGGCGCGCCCACCACCACACCGCACGAGCACTGCACGCCGCCTCCGCCGCTACCCGCGCCGCCCTCCGCCCACTTGCCCAGCTTGGCTGAGCAGGTGGGGCACACAAGCTTGCCCTCACCAGTCCGGGGGCCCTCCGCGTGCAGACACGTCTGCAGCAGGGGCAGATAGGGGCGGGCAGACAGCTGGGGAACGCAGCGATGTCTATGCATGTTTTGCCGTACAAAGGAGGAGGAGGAGGAGGAGGACAAGACAGAAGAAAGGTCCTGGCAGGACGATATAAAGGGCGTTGGCCACTGATTTCCGGACTACAGGACAAACTTCTAACAAATGACGATCACCCCGGCCGCATGACACCTGGGGCGCAAACCACGCAACCAAGCACCAGGTCATAAGCCTCCCCCCGCCATGGCTCCCACAGCGGCGCTGTGTGCCGTACGCCTGCCGTACCTCCATCCAGGGTAGCGGGCGGCGCAGGAAGTGCATGCTGCACAGCGCCCCCTCCGAGTCGTTGGCGTGCTTGCCGCGACCGCCCTTCTTACGAGGCCTGGGGGCAGGGGGGCAAGGCGGGACAGTCGGCCATGCAGCAGCTGTGTAGCGACCGTGCATGGGCGGTCCTGGCATGCGAGTAGCGGGCCATTCACCCATCTCGTCATCAGCCCTCCGAAATCTGTTTGCTCACTGCATTCCCCTCCACACTCCTTCCCGGCATCCTCCCGACATCCTCCCGACATCCTCCCGAACCCCGAACCCACTTAGCGGCTGCGAACAGCGCCCGCTCCTCGCCCCAATGTGCCTCCGTGTCAGCCTCCGAGAACAACACCGACCGGCATCCGCGGCACGCGTAGCTCACACGCGGACCCGCAGCCGGCCCCTTGGCCGCAGCCGCAGCCGCATATTCCGCCACGAAGTTCCTAGGCGCGGGCTTGCCGCCCCGAGGAGGCCGGGAGGTGCTGCTGGTGCTGCTAGGGTCGGGTCCTGCCGCGGCGTCTGGGCCGGCGGCGGCGTCAGCATGCGGGGTACCGCGGGAGGCGGTAGGACCCGCGGGGGCAGCCGCGGGGCTGCGAGCTGCGTTGCCGCGGCGTTGCGGGGTTGAGGTGCAGGAAGCTGCTGCGCCCGTGGCGGCACGGGCGGCGTTTGCGGTGCCCTCATCCTCGTCAGCGTCCTCATCCTCCTCATCATTGTCGTGGTTTGATGAAGCGGAGGCCTTTGCGCGCCCTGTGCTGCCTCTTCGTTGTTGTGCGCCCCGCGCTGCTTTGTCGCCCTCCTCGTCCTCCTCCTCGTCTTGCAGCTGCATGAGAGAGAAGAGGTTGGCAGTTCGCCCAGCACCCTTGGCGCCACGGCGGTTACGCCCGCGTCCTTGAGCCTGCGGCTGCACCTGTTCCTCTTCATCTTCCTCGCCCTCGCCTTCAGCTTCTGCGTCTTCGGCCTCCTCTTCCTCTTCTGCTGATGATTCCTTCTCCTGCCCTTGCTTGCCTCCTCGCCGGGTTCCCTTCTCGGCTGCAGCCTTGCCCTTCGACCCTGCCCCACCTCCTGCTTTAGGCTGTTCCTGCTGCACTGCCGCCGACTTGCTTCCCTTCCCTCCGCTCGTCCCCGCCGGCACCGCCGCCGCCGCAGCACCGCCTCCCGCCACCGCTACAGAAGCAGGCCCCGCCTCCGCCGCCGCGGCAGCGGCGGCGGCGGCAGCCGCCGCATCTGCCGCCGCCTCCGCCGCTTCCCGTATCCCGAAGAACGTCATCGCGTTCCGACGCGTCGTCGCAGCTAGCTCCGCCGCCGGCAGCCCCATGGCTTCCGCCAGCGCCTCTAGGACGTATGGCAGGTTGGATGGCTCGTTACGGCCTTCCCGTACAAACACGTCGGGGATGTTTTGCGGCGTGGCGAAGGGCGAGTCGGATGCGAGGAGCAGGCGGTCGGGCGGGATGGAGGCGGCCAGGGAGCGAAGGCGCTCTGCGGCCTCTGAGGCGTCGCATACACGACCTGCGTACGGGGTTACAGACACGCCCACATGGAGGGTGGGAAACATATAAACGAAAGGTGAAGCAACAGAGTCCCAATCCCACGTGGCAGGTGGTGAGGTGGGAGGGGTGGTTGGCGAGCAGCCGGTAGTAAACTTGCATGGATCTCCAAACGCCCCTCCCCCCATGACAGCTGCCGTGCCAAGCCGCCTGACCTGACCCCGCTCTCAGTATCCCTGCATTGCCATTCCTGCGCGCCTAAACCCCATGCTGCTGCCCTGCCCTCCCGCCTCCGCTCTGCCGCCTCCCCGCCCCTACCCGTCAGCACGATGTAGCAGTCCAGCTCCAGGTAGGTCCGCAGCTCCTCCTCGCTCCCACCAAAGTTGAAGATGGCGATGCGGGTGGTGGCGGCGCGCCCCTCCCCCGCGCCACTGCTCCGGAACTCGCCGATGCGCTCCACCAGCACCTCCGCGGCACGAACCTAGCGGCGGAGGAGGAGGAGGGAAGGAGCGGGTGCGTCAACAAAACTGGCCGCGAGTTGGAGCGTACTGTGCCCCTTCCACCCTATGTAGCAACCCATGGTGAAGCCTCGTCATGCAGCTCGTCAGAGTTCCTCTTTCCACCGCCCCCCTACCTCATACAGCACCAGCGGCAGTCCCACTCCCGCAGCCAGCTCCATCTGCTCCGCCAGCGCCCGCTCCTGCGCGAACCGGATGCCCACCTCGCGGAACGCCAGCCCCGCCAGCACCGCCACGCAGCCCGGCTCCAGCGCCAGGTCGCGCAGCTGATCCAAACGGGCCGGGGACAGCCTGAGAGTGGGAGAGGGAGTTGGAGAGGACGTTCTTCGGTTTGTTATTCGACTGGCATGACGGAGACCCCTGCTGGCGTAGCGTTTGTCGGTGAGGTAGGGGATGAGGATGGCCAGGCGTGCTGGCAAGTGACAGGCAGGCAGGCAGGCAGGCGCTAAAACACACCGCGTTAGTTGTTTTGTTGACACGCGGTAGAGCACCGCCCCTCGCCTACCGTCCCTTCCCCCCCTCCCAAAGCGATCACACACCGCCGTACACCGCTCGCTCGCCACCTGCCAGCCTGCCGTACCTGTCGTTCGCGCGCTTGATGTTGTCGGAGTGCACCCCCACCATGCAGTACACCTGCCCGCCGTTCTCCTTGGCGGTGCGCACCAGCGCCTCCAGCTTGGAGTCGTCGGTGGTGTAGGTTATGATGGGGCCCACACCGCTGCTGGCGGCGCGTTGAAGCACCTGGCAGGGAGGGAGGGAGGCGGGAGGGAGACGTGATGTATAGGTGAAGCAACCGGAGTCCTAATTCCATGCGCGGGAGGGAGGGGGCGGCAAGATGAGGAGGAAGGGAAGAAGAGGAGTTGGGTGGTAGGGTTTGGCGGTGTGCTTGTGCCAATGGGATGGATGAGCGCTTTATAGCTCGGAGCAGCAGCTAGGGCGGGAATGCAATGCACAGGTGCACACGGCTGGGACATGCGGACAACATGTTGGGCGTCATTGCTAAGATTTCCATGCGCGAGGGGAAACAGGAAATGGCCCACGCCCCTAGTCGGGCGGGTTGCCCCTAGCGGGTTGCCCATGTGCATGACGAACGGGTGTCTGGCGGTGCACGGCACCGACAGAGGCAACGACGTCCTGGTAATGCTGGGTTTATGCTATGTACCGCGCCATAACGAGCAACATTCCTTCCTGCGCCGGCGCTGAGGATTCGCTGACGGTAATTAGGATAGCGCTACGCCGCCAGCTCAAGCGTACATCATTTCACTCGGTCAAACTTATAATGGTACCTTAAATTGGTCGCGATCGAACTGTCGGCTCGCGAGTTGCGCTGCCACGTCGACAAGCGCGGGACCGTCTACCGATGGTGGTAATGCTGGCGGGGGCTGTTCCGAAATTGTCGGGCGTGGCCCAGTGCGGACGTGGCCTTTCTGTTCATCCTTGATAAGCTTCTGGATCGCCTGCTTGTTACCACGTAGGGACTTCTTGCCCTCCCTACTGCCTCCACGGTCAGGGGCACCAAAGCCACCCATTTGCAGCGCTGCCTAAAGAGATAATATAAAAGAACTGTGGCGCAAATGACAACAATGTCCGCCAGCGATGGCTTATTGCATCTTCGCACGCGAACCGCGCCTAGCCTTAAGCAATTAGCAACAAGCTCTACCTAAACGTCGTAAGCATCTATCGCAATGCCCCTTGAGCAGCAGCCACATACCAACGCAGTGGAGAGCCGCAAGGGAGAAGAGTCGTGGAATCGGTTAAGGGCTATTGCCCAACCGTCGAGATGCGCGGTCTGTCTTTCCTTCTACCTGATGGTCAAAGCTAGCTCATGGACCTAATTATCTCCAAATCCAAGCAATATGATTGCATTCCGGTGGCATAGAGTCTCGCCAAACACTCCGTTGGTTCACGTATGACGGTATGAGTCCGAATCACCCAAGGCCTCTTCGAGGTCACCAAGCTCACGTTTAATAAAGTAACCAGCACCCATAGCTGTACAATGCGCAACATAACAATAGAGCATCATGGAACATGCCTTTGCGCCTGCGCAATGCCCGTTTTCCACCCACTAACACTCCTACTCGGGGGCAGCAAACAACTCTCTCCGTGCTCCGCTTTCCCCACCTGGCGGGATCTTCCCTGGAAACATCAGACTGCCGCGCTGCCCTAACCCCGGCGCCGGAGACCCCAACAACGGCGTTGCCACGCGTAGGGGCGGAAGAGTCCCAGGCCGCGCTGCACCATGTGCCGGCAACGTCCCTGGACTCAGACCCGACGGCGGAGCAGCCGGTGATGCCGCATGCCCCCCTAAATGCCTCCCCGCTGGAGCTGCTGCGGCGTCAAAGGCGTCTCCTCGCGCAGAAGCAGCGCCGCTGCCAGGCCCGCCGCCGCCACCGCCGCCGCCCAGCGCTTCTCGCGGTGTCCCTGCTGCCTGGTACGCTGCGCCCTGTTCCAGTTTGTGCCCCGCCGGCCAGGGCGGCGAACCTCGCAACTCTGGTAACGACCCCGGCCCTGCAGCAGCGGCAACAACACCACCAGCCGCCCCAGGTACCAACGGGGTAAAGTTCGGTGCACCTGCAACAACGCCTTGCCCCACGCCGCTTCCGCCTTCAGTCGCGGCTGCGGCGCCACACTCGGGCACGCAACCCTTGGGGCCAACACTGCCGGGCCCCGGCGATGCAGGTGTGGGGTCCAGCGCAGCCGCCCCTCGCACGATCAAGCTGCCGGGGTCCTGCAGCGTCTGCTCCGCCACGGCTCGCGCCACCAGGTCCTGCATGCTGGAGGTGGCCACTCCCTTCTCCGGAACCGCAATCCCGATCCCGTCATTGGCTCCCAGCGACTCCCCGCATGCAGCCTCCAGGCCCAGCTTGTCGACGCCAGGCGGCGCTGGCAGCGGCGCTGCGCCCGCGGCAGTTGCCGTGACAGCCATGGTAACGGGTGGCGCTCCCTCAGGTGCGAGTTTGGCCTGTGCCGCGTCCCATTGCGCGGGACTGCCTCTTGGTTTGGAAGTGGTGATGGCTGCGCAGGGGTTGATGCCCACCCTGACCTTCCGCTTGGCGGTTGCAGTGTCCGCTACTTTGCTAGAGCGGCAGGCTTTGAGGCCGGTGCGGACGGGGGGTGCAGCCAGCTTGGCGTCCCGCTGAGCCACGATGTAGTCATAGGTGGTCATTCCCTTGGAGATGAGCACCACATGGAAGAAGAATAGCTCTCCCAGCATGACCACCGCAGTTACCAGCAGCGCCATGTAGATAGCCAGGGACGCCTGCCAGCCACCGTATACGACGCTGCTGCCGTACTTGTCGGCGACGATCAGCCGCATTGCGTCGCTGTCCCGGAAGCTGCGTATGAAGAGCCACAGCCCCCACGCCAGCTGCAGCACCAGCATGCTGACTGTGCTGCTTATTAAGCCAAAGAAGTACCAGTAGTTACGAGCGCCAACGCAGTTATTAAGCCATTTGCAGTGGTGGTCAAACCCCTCAACGCAGCGATCACAAGCACGGCAGTGCTTGCTGCTCCTGGCAACGCTCGCCTGTGTGCAGCGGCAAACCCGGGTTAGGGAAGTCTATGGGGTACTTACTACCCGAACCACAGGCCTACGAAGGGACGCACCTGGCATAGGCTACAAAAGAATTCGCCGTCCGTCGCCCCTTTCAACCCCGGGTCTGAGGGGTCGAGGCAGCTGCACATTGCACAGTTCAAAGGTCGTATCCAGTCAGTCCTGGTTGCAGTATTCGCAGGATTGTGTGGATGCGCTACGCGAGGCTTCACCATACCTGGTATATAAGTTAAGAGAAGTAACTGCCAGCACAAGGACTGAATAGAGCGCCACGAGGAGCCAGCGAGCCCCCGCGTCCTCCACAATTGGCACATAGAAAGCGTAGACTCCCGAAACAAGGGTGAAGAACACAACCCACGAAGCCAACTGCAGCAATGCGGAATCCTGTGAGGCGTCCGGTGCACTAAGAGACGATGCCGTTGACAAAGACCTTTACGGACCTGGTGCGGGTCCAGCGGCGCTTGTAGACCATGTCTACGCATTATTATGCTATACCTCTAAGGTATTTTCAAGATAACGGCAACCTACGCTTGCTGCAGTAAATAAGTAGGTCTGCGCAGGCTATGTGAAGCGAGTTAAGGCCCATTTTGCTGTTGGTTTGACATTTTTTGCATCGTAAGTGAAAATAATCTATCTACTGGACGTGTAGCTGCTCTCCTTCGACGTATAGTGCTCGTCCGTACATCCAATTCCTAAAATCCCTTGCAAGCCATTCCACGTTTGTTGCCATGCTATTGTATACAGGGACAGGAGGATAACACCTTCTTATCCAAGTATTGGCATGCGCCACATTAAGCAAGGAGCGGTGCCGAAAACCCCTGTACGGCTCTCGAGCTCGCCAAGTGGCGGTTTGACGCCCTTTTAAGCTACTCTCGGCTTCTGAACTCACCACCTAACGCTACCTAACGCACGCTCCCATGCAGCCTTGGGGTGCGATGTCCACAGAAGCTGACACCACTTTCACACCACCCTCCCAACACCTCCCAAGTGCCATTGTAGCGCCACCATGAGAGCCCCCGCAAGTTTAACTCAACCCAGACGCCCTTGCGACGCTACGTTTAGCGCCATCTCCTTCTCACGGGTATAACAACAACCCGCCCCGAAACCATTAACCTCGCTTAAGCTCGACCAAGGCACATCCAGCCCCAGACCACCCATGCACGCCGCTAGAAGAGCCAGTCAAACAACTGCAGTGCTTGCGTTCCTATACTCCGCGCCCCTCCACACCGCTGCGTGGTGGGACCAGTTAACGAAACCCACAGTCCTAAGCACCCGACAAGCCAGTTTCCAGCAGCAACATACTTCGCGCTGCCATTGCATCAGTTACGCATGCGCCTGGACGGATCAGATACCGCCACTCCCGCCGCCTTCAAGCATGAGTTCGTCCAGCGCCGCTGCAGCTCTGCAAGACATTGCGTCCGTCCGCCGCAACTATCCGGCTAGGCGACATCAAGCCTTTACTAATAGGGATATGCTAGGTGGGATTGGGGGGAGGGGGTTAACAACCGCTGCTGGCCTCTGCCGGAGGCTCCTACAAGACCACCCGCAAGCTGCTCCGTGAGGGCCCCCGTGCACACCAGTGATACCCACTAGGAGTATGCTCCGCAGCATCCTAGTTACTTTTCGCCCGGCCTCCACTTCGTGTCCTCCTTCGGGTCCCGGGGGGTGTATGTGGGGGCTTTAGGAACCTTTGGCAGGACACCAGCAAACCCCAGCAGCTCCGCCACCTTGTCCGTGGGAGTGGCGCCCAGTGAAAGCCAGTACCTGCATAGCGAGTGTACGTGTAACCATGCTGCCAGGATAGGTATGCTTCAAGCTGCGGCCCCAACTTACTTGATTCGCTCCATCTTCAGGCCCAAGTGCATGTTGCCGTCAGCAGCTGCGCGGTTGGTTAGGGCGCATGGTTATATACGCAATACCAAACAGAATGTGTTTCTCGTCGATTTACCTGGGTTGGGATCCCACCAGCCGACGTCTTCTCTCCGCACACCCGAGTTCCGGGCTTGCCGCCGCTCCATTATAGACATTACATAAAATGGCCGACCCTACATTAAATTTTAATGCAGAGGTCAACACTATTGCTGATGGCATAGACGCAGCGTAAAAGCTTACGCGGATTCCCCATCTTGCAAGCTTTATGCGCAGTCCGCCAACCATTTCGAAACGTTTTTCACAAGTCTTAAAGGTTCTTTACAGCAAACGTGTCTTGTTTGACAGTAGACTGTGCTTGCAACTATGCTAAGCCGTTTGTCAGACGCTGTGTCGCCCGTTATGCAACTTTAAGGGTACTTTCAATTGGTACACCAGCGCTTCTTCTTACAGAGAGTTGCATGGTACACCAGAGACTGCTCTGCGTGCGTACGGCTATGTGTCATGCGAGTACGGCACAGCTATGCCGCCTATTGCCAGGCCCCGGACCCCCGGTAAATGCCAGGCATGCGATGGACCCACTGAGCGAAGAACACACGACATGAAAGAAAATACATCATTCTTCAGGCTGAACTGCATTCAGCTCTTACTTGGTTTGCTGTCGCCACATCCTACACATGCTTCAAGCTAGCTTACTTCCCTAGCAACGGCACAACCTCCCGGTCACATGACAACCCCATAGTCAACGAAGACCATCAACAGCCACGGCACTACACACGCCCAAGCCATGCTGCACTTTTCCGCCCCCTTCATGCGTCGGGATATGGGAATGGGACTCCAGTTGCTGCACTTCTATTTCACGGCAACCGTGAACCGCCCGCCAACCTCCCAGCTCCTCCTCCTCCTCCTCACTCGTCCTCATAGTCATCCTGCAGCGCCTCCCCCCGCCCCGCCAGCTCCGCATCTAGCATGGCGTCCAACGCGTCCTCCATCACCTCATCCTCCGAGTCGCCACCGCACCCGCTGCCCACAAGCAGGCCCTCCCAACCCGGACCCTCGTCCTCCTCCTCCTCCTCCTCCTCCTTGGCCACCTTACCCTTCTTCTTCTTCTTCTTCGCCTCGTCCGCCTCGCAATCCTCCTGCTCAGCAGCGCCAGCCGTGGCATCTGAGGCGCGGCGCTTCTTGTCCTTCTTCTCCTTCTTGCTCTTCTTCCCCTCCTTGACCGCCCGTTCAGAAACTGCGGCCGCCGCCTCCTCCGTTTGCTCCTGCTCAGCCTCCGCTGCTGGTACGCCCTTGTCCTTCTTCTCCTTCTTGCCCTTCTTCCCCTCCTTGCCCGCCCGTTCAGAAACTGCGGCCGCCTCCTCCTCCGTTTGCTGCTGCTCGGCCTCCGCGGCTGCTGCGCCCTTGTCCTTCTTGCTCTTCTTGCTCTTCTTCTCCTCCTTGACCGCCCGTTCAGAAACTGCGGCCGCCGCCTCCTCCGTTTGCTGCTGCTGCTCAGCCTCCGCGGCTGCCGCGCCCTTGTCCTTCTTGCTCTTCTTGGCCTTCTTCCCGTCGCCACTCACCGCCTCCGCAGCTGCCGCTCCCGCCTCCGCCCCGCCGTCCTTCCCTTCTTCCGCCGACGCCACCCCTCCCCGCGGCCCCCCCTTCTCCACCAGCTCCTTCGTCGCCGCCACAAACTCCGAAGCCACCTTGTCCTTGTACGACACATGGAACTCGGATGCATGTGCCGTGAAGAACTTGTAGTACAACGACAGCTGACGCCGCGTCATATCGAACCGCTCGTGGTAGGCGATCATCTGCCCGCATGCAAGCGCGGCTCGCAGCTCCATGGGCGGGTACGGCAGGTGCTCGCGGCTAAAGTACGACGGTTCGTACGCGTCGTCCGCGCAGCCCCATGACACCGAGAGGCGCGGCGTGTGGTAGCCCTTGCGGCCGCGGCTGCCCCAGTGGATGATGCTGGCGGGTGGGCAGATGGGTGGGCAGATGGGTGGGCAGATGGGTGGGCAGATGGGTGGGCAGATGGGTGGGAAGTAAGGAGAGTGAGAGGGGTAATAAGGAAGGGGCGCAGTACGGCGCATTGTTAACGGGGGAGGAACACCGTTTTTGAAGGGCTTGCAGAGTTTAGGCACCACAGGTGTATGCGAGACCTTCCCTAATCTCCCTTTCTTCCCCCTCTGTGCCCCTTCAGCTGCCTCCGAAACCCCCCTCCCATCACCCCCTCCCATCACCCCCGCCCCCGCAGCACCCCCTCACCGGTGGGTGAACACCAGCGCCGAGCCCGCCTCCGCCGGCAGTGCCCGGATGGTCTGGAAGTCCTCCTTGCGGGACAGCGCCACCGTCAGCGGGTCGGGGCCGGCGTCGTCGTCGCCCTGGAAGTAGCCCGGGTCCGCCCAACTGGCGGCGGGAGGGAGGGAGGAGGGATGGAGGGAGGAAGTATGTGTGGAAAGGAGCGATGTGGAAACAGGAAAGGACGCAATGGGAGATGCCCTATGCCAGCCCCCCTGCTACCGTAACCGCCTCCCTCCACCCACCCACCCACCGTGGAACCACGTAGAGGCAGCTGTTCTCGGGGCATGCGTCCGTGAGCGGCACCCAGCAGGTGGAGTACATGGCGGAGCCGTCGGTAGCGCGGAATGTGGCGGGCGAGTCGTCGGGCTGCCGGTCCCGGTGCGGGGAGAAGCCGGCGGCCCCGCGGTTGGGGTCGACCCACCTGGGGGGGGAGGAGGAGGGGGAGGGGGCAGGGAAGGGATCAAGGGAAGGGAAGGGATACAGGGAAGGGAAGGGACGGGAGGAGAGGAGAGGATGGGTTGCAGTGGCGGAGGGGGCGGGGTGGGGCACCGGGTGGACGAGTGGTGGAGATGAAACTTCCCCCCACACGAGAGAGAAGAGGAGTTGCAACCAGCACGGCATCCAGCCGCAGAGCGTTAGTAACGTCGCCTTTTACACCCCCGACTCGCGGCCAGTTTTGCTAACACACGACTCCCGCACCGCCGCGCTTGCTTCCCACTGCTCCCACCGTAGCCCCCTAGTCTGCGACCCACCCAGTCTCTCCGCCTCACCAGCACAGGATGTCCATGTTGCAGGCGTTTCCGGTGGTGGCGGCGATGAGGGAGCTGGCGCGTTGGATCAGCGCCCACACCTGCCCGGCAGGGAGGCAGGGAGGGAGAGAGGCGGGGGTGGTGTAACAAGTCGGAGGCGCTCCTGTCAGTGACCAGAGGAGGGAAGGAGCGGCACCTGGCAAGACAGGAGAGGGGTGTAGGGGCCGCTGGTGATGAGGGCAGGCAGTACGGTTTTGTTTCCCGAGCCGGGGAGGAGCGGCAGCTTGGGGAACAGCCCTAAAAGCTGCGGAACTCAACTATTTCTGGTATCCTAATTCCTGAAGGAACCAGCGCAAACATGCACAGCGCTTCTGCATGTTGTAGCGCCCAAACTCGCACACATCCTAGGGAATCCCTCGCCCCCTCGCCCCTGTTCCTAATCTGTGGCCCCAGATTTGCTGCCGTACACCGCGCGCGCCCCTGCCGTACATCCGCAGCAGCTAGCCCACCTCGTCAAACATGAGCAGGAAGGTGGCGGGCCAGCCGTGCTGCATGAGCAGCGCCATGTTGCGCGCGAGCAGGTGCACGTCCACCGTCCAAAACATATGTTCTGGTACCACCTAGCGGTGCGTGAACGAAGAGGGCCAGCATTTGTACGCGGCATGGTGCGGGATTGGAGGGATGAAAGAGATATGGATATGGTAGGAAAGCTTGGAGCGATGGGATCATGCATAGGATATTAGGATTGGGTCCTTCGTTGTAAGGTAGGAGCAATGAGTATCAGTGGCAGGGGCTTGCGACGTAGCCAGCATTCGGCAGCGTGTCATGGCACGGCGACCTTTGTAAGGGCCTTGCGCGGTAAGCCAAGATGGCGTCAAGAGAATGAAGCTTGATCGCACAAATGAGCCGGACAAACCTATCTTAAGCCTCAATCGTGTTCCTGCTGCACGTGCAATACTGTGACCAAGTGCCATTGCTTGCAGTCGCTCTTCTGGGCCCACCTGGAAAACTCCCTCGTCATTTATCTGTTGTCTAGCATCTGCAATAGATTCCTCTGGCCTTTTTAGGGGTTTAGGAACCCTCAGGCTGCCGCCAACGTGCAACTCCGGGCAAACGGCCGCCCAGTAATCTGGGTCCGCCAGGTTTTTTACGTTCCGAGTACTAGCAGCATACTCGTTATTTGGACAATGAGCAAATGGGTCTGGCAGGTTTGATCTGCGCGGAAACCTTCCAATCGGCTTGCTCATCTTTAGACCGCTTACCCAGTCACGAACTATGGGGCCTGGTTTCCAGCAAGCCTAATAAGGAACACTGCCCTTAACCGAACCTTTCAAAACGCTAATGCATCCATGTCTCCAACTTCGCGGTATCGTGCATCTCCGAAGCCACCCCGAAACCCACGCCAACAAGAACCGCAATACCGCATTTTCGCGCCTTACCCCGCTACTTTGCATTGCGCATTAATCATTGCCGACATCACTTACACGTACAAAGGTCAATAGCGATCGCCAAAACACCAGGTGCAGTTAACCAAAGTTGACCCGCCTTGCAATCGTCCTCCAGGTGTGTGCTCCTGCAGTCTCCTTGCCCGCCCTCCAACCACTTGCACCTGCAGTCACTGTCATAATTGGTTGGATTGCAGCGCCCGCCGCATTCTGTTCTCCTACCCCATCCTTATGTCGCTTAACCCGACCCCAAAACAAAATTCGTCAATAAACACTTCCTCCATCCTCCTCTCCTAGAAGCCCTCCTCGCTTCGCCGCACGAACACACTGAGCTCCTCGCCACTCACGTTGCCCCCCAACAACACATCCCACAGCACCATCTGCTTGTAGCACCGGAACGCAGCAGACAGTCGCTGCGCCGCCGTCAACCTCAACGCACGCGACACCCCCGTCGCCCTTCCTTCCTCCGCCCATGCAGCTCCGCCGCCCAACAAGACGTCCATACCGTTGCAGTCAGCCTCCAGGGAGCTCTGCCCAGGCCGCAGCAGCAGGGCCCGCAGCAGATCGCCTAAAGAAAGGGGCTGCTGTTGCGGACCTAAGCAGCTGCCGCGGCTGCCACCGCTGCTGCTGGCCGCATCTGCCTTGGGTGCGGCTGCGGTGGCAGCGGCGGAGGGCGGCAGGCCGTACCTGCTGCTGATGCCGCCGCCGGAGGTGCGAGCCGCAGGCGGCGCAGTTGCTGCTGTGGATGTGGGGGCACCCGTGGAGGCGTGTGCGTTGGTGGTTGTGGCTGCGTTGATGGCGGCGGCGGCGACCTCCCCCTCGGGAAGCAGTGCGGCGAAGCGCGGCACCAGGACCTGGTGGGGGCAGTGGTGGAAAATAGGTGAAAAGTGAAGCAAGTAGAGCCCCAATGCCATACCGCGGAGCGCGTGAGGAACCGTAATGAGCAGGAACACAGGTAGGAAGCTACAGCGGATGGAGGCAAGCAAGGGTGCCGGTATCAATTGGTTGGGGCGGGTCAGGGGCAGTAGCGCCCTAGGTTCCAGCCGCTGTAGGAGACTTGACAGACATCCCGACAGCTTCTAAACGAGTCAAGCCTTTGTTTCCTGTCCGCTGTCTCCATCACACCACCCACCTTGCAATACGCCCGCAGCTGATCCGCCCAGTAGCGCCCCTCACTGCCCGCCTCGGGCTCCACGGCGGCGCCACTGGGCGCGGAGATGACCCATGGGTCGCTGTCCGCCACCAACGCCGCCAGATCCACTAGCAATCCACCCCCAGCGGCTCCGGCAGCAGCTGTACCCACAGCTCCACTTGCTGAACCGCGGTCATCATCCTGCTCCTCCCTGACCTCGCTGACCACGGCACCGCTGTTGCAACCCCCTTCGCCGTCCCCCTGCGTGGCCCCCACCGCGGCGGCCCCATCATCCTCTTGCATGGCTCCTGCCGCCACTGCTGCCCCCGGCACCGGGGCCGCCATGTGGCACAGCAGCTGGGCGCAGCGGCACGCCACTGCGTGCTCCGCTGCGGCGCTGTCTCCCCCCTGGAGCGCCGCGAAGGCACGGATCACCGCCGCTGACACCTGCCCGCCCGCCACCGCCTGGCCACGGCGGGCAGCAACCGGTGGGGAGGCCATGAGATGCGCGGAGTGGAAGGGATGATGATGAGGGATGAGGCAGGGAAGGGCTTTGGGGCAGCAAAGAACACACAAAATCCCCAGACTCGGAAGCCACAAGTAGCGCCGTACCTTGATCTGGTTCAGCTGACGTGCAAGCTCGGGAGGCATCTCCAGTCCCCGGGACTCCTGCCCCTGCTGTTCCGCCTCCTGCTGCCCCTGTGGCGGCGGCTGCTGCTGTCCCTGGGCTGCCGCTGCCGTCCGCTGCTGTGCCTCCGCCTGCTGCTCCGCCTGCCCGGCTGCAAGTGCGGCCCGGTAGAGCGGCTCAGCCTGGTCGGGGGACAGCTGCATGCGGGTAGGGGGGCGACGAGAGAGGTGGTGGTAGCGCCGGTGCAGTTACCAGTGGTGACCATTAGGGCAGGGTCAATTCACTTCCTCCTAACCGCCCTCCTCCTCCCACACCACGTACCTGCTGCGCCCCGAAGTGCATGTAGTGCCAGTCCAGGGCCGCCTCCAGGTCCGGCCACAGCACCGCCTCGTCGTGCGGGTTGGCGCGGGGCACGAAACCTGAGCGCAGGGCGGGGGGGCGGGCGGTGGTGTGGAGTGCTTAGCGAGTTTTCCAGGGTGTGGGGTCAGGGTGTTAAGAGGTAAGGTTGCGGCCTGTGGTGCAGCTAGGGAAAGGAAGCCCCGGACCGCATCAAATCAATGTAAGGACCTGTAAGGATGAGAGTTTGTCATGCCTGGGGGCTGCTCTGACCGGGCACGGTAAGCATCTGGGGCCTAAATAGGGTTTAGTTGGGACCAACGCCTCTAGACTTCGCCGTACCGTAGTGCAGATAGAAATCGTCGTTGGACCGTTCGCCGTACGACAGAAGCAGCTCCTGGCCGGGTTGTATGTCGGCCGTTGCGCGAACCACCATGGCCCAACCACCCGAGCCATCAGGTTGCCCGGGGGCTTCCAGATCCCACCTGTGCGGAATGGGGTATGGGTCGGGATGTTGTTGCGGCCAAGTACGGCACTTCACGAGTATTGGGAGCTGAGAGGTAGAGCGTCACGTGGAAACTATGTTCGTACCCGACCCTTTTCCCTCTCCTTGCCACTTCTCTCCACCTCCTCTCCCTTTCCAAAGCCCCAATCGGGACCTCACCGGACATTATCCGTTGCCACCCTTCTGCCGCCCAGCCCCAACCTCAACCCTCCTGCTGCCAGCCCGCTCGCCCCCGCTCCCGCCTGCACCGTCTGCCCCTCCGCCAAGTCCCCCGCGTGGTTCAACATGTCCACCAGCGGCACCAGCATGCGCACCCCCACACCGCCGCCGGGGGCAGCGCTGGCAAAGGTACGAGAGTGTACGACCTGTACAACAAGGTGCATGGGTGGAGGGCAGGAGGAGCCATGGTGGTGGTGGGGGGGGGGGAGTGGTCGTACAGCTACCGGTATAAGCGACAAGCAACCCCCATTGAGGTACCTAGCGACCAAGGTCCACCAAGGACCTTAAAATGCAATACGTCACGCACGAGGGCTAAAAAGGCACGTGCGCTACCGTCCAGCCCCCCTCCGCAGCCCCACTTGCACCTCAGGAGTTCCCAACCCCGTCCCCCAGCCCCACCACCGCCGCCCCACTCGCTCCCCACCACCACCCCCGCAGCTTCACTCCCCACCACCACCCCAGCAGCCCCACTCCTCACCGCCAGGGCCCAGCTCAGCTCCTGCTCCCCCAGCCCTCCACGCGCCTCCGGACTGCAGCATGCCGCCGCATCCGCCCGCAGCCAGTCAGCCTCATGCAGCGCCTGCTGGGCGGGCGGGTAGCGGAGCGCCGCGATGTCGGGCCAGGAGAAGGAGTCCAGCGGGGTGGGCACATGGGAGGGCAGCACCTACACGCAAAGGGGAGGGGGGGGATGCGCGAGCGGCGGTTGGGGGGCAGGAGGGCCTGGGGTGGGGTTGCAGTGATTGTGAAAGGCACCGAGAGTTGACTGTGGCAATCGGCCCAATGAAGAAATAATGGGGTTTGACAGGTAGAGAGACCTTGCAAAGCGAAGCGATGTCAGCACCGGTATGTAGCTGCTAGCACGTAGTAGCCATTCTGCAGCGCAGGTGGGGATTGCCACTCGCCACCACTCGCCACCACTCGCCACCACTCGCCACCACTCGCCACCACTCGCCACCACTCGCCACCACTCGCCACCAGCCGCCACCAGCCGCCACCAGCCGCCCAGCCGCACCCTCACACCCACCCGGATGTAGGGCGCCCAGGGCGACTGCCGGCCGGCTGCCCGCTGCCGCAGCAGCTTGCACGCCAGGCGTACGCTCCAGGGGGCGCCCTGAGCAGCAGCAAGGCAGGGAGGTGCACGCCGGGGGTTGCATGGCGTGCGGAGGCAGGCGTGAGGACGGGCTGCAGCGCTGGCTGTGCAGTGCTGGTGAGGACGGCAATGCCGGTTGCTAAGCTGGAGGAACCCCTCCACATCCCCCCCCCCAACATCCCACCAAACATGCTTGAGGGAGCTTGCCCTGGTTGTCCTTGACCTCCGCACCACTCAGCAGCGTCAGCACGCATGCAAGACCCCGCTAGCTGGAGTGATGTCGCAGCCCCCCGCACCTGTCGCCGCAACGCACCTCATACAGCAGCGTGTTGGATTCCTGGTCGCCTGGGTGCTCCGTGAGCGCCAGCCGCAGCGGCACCCGCAGCACCTCCTCGCCCGCGCTGATGGGCTGCGGGCGAACAACAGCAACACGAACGGGGGGCAGTTGATGCGGCAAGCCCACGGCACCAAGTGGATGCGTCGTCGGTGACAAACGACGACACCATATTGAGTGCTGAAGCTCTTAGCCATGAAGTGCTAGCGGCCACGGCCGACCAGCCTCCTACCTACCTCCTCGCACAACAGCCCGCGTTCGCCCTCCGCCGATTGGAACAGTGCGACCTTGCTGTCCTCCCGACCGATGCCTTGCACGCCTAGGGAGGGGCCCGGCAGGACAGATGGATTTCACCCACATTGTTGGGGATGGGCGCCTAGTCTCCATGCATAGAAGTGCAGTAAGGTGCCGCGGCATGCGAAGCAGAGCGCAACGAGAGGTACTAGGCGAAAGCCTTTGGACAGCGTACGCATAGGACGTCGGGTGGATGATAAAATGATCTTGGGCAGCAAGCATATCCAGCCCACTGCACCATTAGCAACCAGCCATGCCAGGAAGCTTTCCAGGTCCACAGTGGGAGAGGTTTCTAATGTCGTTGAGGTTGGTGCTGGTGCATCGGCAGCCGCACGCGTTGAATGCAGTTGCATCCAGCGAGTCGACTGACGCGATCGGCCAGAAGATTGGAAATATAAGCGATCATTATCGACTTTGCAAGTTACACTACAGTGTCTAGCATATCGTGTCCAGACTTGCGGTGGAGGTGCAAGCCTTCTTGGCTCGGGGATGCTTCGTGTAAGAAGAGCTCCCCTCAGATGTAATTCCATGGTTTTTATTACGCTTACACCTGAAATGTCATGACAGGACATCGGGCCATCCTGTCTGGCAGAATTCGCTCGGAAATACGGCAGCGAACTTTTGAGATACGTACCGTACGACGACGAATAACGGTTTAACCTCGCAGCTTCGACAATTCTTGCTACTATTGGTGTACACCTAAAGTCTCCTGCAAAAAAATGGTTCGTGCACATGTAAAGCTTGAAGGGCCCTTACCAACACATTGGCCGAGACGCGCAAGTTTGCTCGGGTGCCTCGCAATCGGCCTGGCACTTTTCGCCACTGTGGCATACGCTGAAACTATTAACTGGGGTAAGTAGGATGTATTCGGACACTCCAAGCTGGGCGTTACTGGCGACCATCAGTCGGTTGGTGACGGTTAATGCGATACGACCCGCCGATGCAACAGCCATGACCGGCGAAAGGCCTTAAGGAGCCCTTACCTCCCTATACCATCATACAACGGAGCGTTGCTAACGCTGCAACCCTTGGGACCTAGCAATCCCCAACCCACATTGCCTGTGCAGGCCCACAAGTACGCCGCGTCCAGAGCTACACGGCAGGCGACACGACCTTCACTTTCAACCCCTGGCCCATGCACTACGCAACCGCCTCCCTCTGGTGTCAACGAACCTCCTCCAGCCTGGCGGCTGCATCCGACCTCAGCCCGGGCCTGCTGCTGTGGCTCGCGGGGAAGGTCGACAGCAGCCCTTTGGAAACCCCGTCCACGGCGGCCTCCGCAGCTGCTGCAGACACCACCGACACTGGTACTGGTGATGCAGCGTCTCCAACGCCGGCAGCTATGGCAAACTCAGGCCTGTTGTTGTGGGCGGCCGGCGTGACGGCGGAAGCTGGAACCCTGTCGCTGTGCCCTGATGCAGTGGCAGCGCAAGCGGGAATCGACACAGTGGGGTATGAGTCCGGGGTGTGTTGGAATGCGGCAGTGAAGGTGGGGGCCACAACGTCGTGTTGGGTGAAGGTGCCCTGCGACAACACCACGTATGCTACAACGGCGTCCTTCCTGTGCGTTGCCCATTCGTCCACTACCGGTGCTGACAGCAGCACCGACGGTAGCAGTATAGGTACCAGCAGCAGTAGCAGCATCTTTGCAAGCCTGTCATCTTTGTCGGCATCGTTGTTAGCTAGGCAAGACCTTGGTACAGATACTGACCTGCAGTCGACTCCGCCAGCCTTCCCAACGCCCTCCCACGACGACGCATTAATGGAGGCCTGTTTAACCGAGGGCGCATGTGGCTGGTTGCTTGGCCAGCCGTTTGAGGGAACGGCCGGGATAGCTGAAACTGCAAATGCCGCGGTCTTTGCGGTATCCCTGCCGCCGCCGCCGCCACCCTCGCCAACGCCATCGCCGCCATCGTCGCCACCCTCGCCCGTGCCATCGCCGCCGATTCAGCCGTCAGCACCGCCGCCCCTGTCTTTAACGCCGCCCCCAAGCCCAGCAGCTATCCAGCACCAGCCCTTGTCCAGTAACCGCTCCGGAGTAACAGCTGGTGCAAGCGTCGCAGGCAGCGTAGTCGTGCTTGGGGTTGCAGGGCTGGCGGTTTGGGGTATCACTCGGTTGTACGGGCGAAAGAAGCAAGCTGCGAGCGTTGGAGGTACCACCATGAATGGCGTGGCGGAAGGTGGCAACAACAGGAGCCCAGAGCAGCGCCAGGACGTGGCGGCTTGCAACAGCGATGCTCGTGTTGCCATGGGGAACGGCGGTGGAGGCGATGAAAGGAGGAAGGCCTTGGTAGCTTGCGTAAATCAACAGAGCCAGCCAGGGGGCGAGATCTGGCCGCAGAGCGGGCGGTTCCGGGCCACTCTGGAGGAGGGGTTGGGGCAGATGGTGCTGGTTCTAGCCGGGACGGCAAGGCTTGCGGAGGTGGGGAGTAAGGTCTGAGCTTCTGAGCTTCCTGTGCGCTGGACAAGGCTCCCCGCTAGCTGCCACCCGTTGTGCCACCCGTCTGTACTCAAGGAAGTTGGAGGTCTCGTGTCGCTAGACCGTTATTGTGTGGCTAGAAAGAACTTGTGCGGCTGAGGCTGGCAGGCAGGCAATAGGTGTGTTGTGTTAGGAGAACGGGTACGGTTGTGCAGTATAGTACGGCATATGAGGACAATGTCCTGTCGTCATCATCAGCGTAGCATGAGGTGCACGAACATTGATTCTTTAAGGTTAGGACTGTTTGGTGGTGTACATGGCTGATAGGATGGTAGTCGTAGCATAAGCATAAGTTCGTTGGCTCGTCGAAAAGCATCCCCTAGGAAGACATAGTGTTAGCTGCATTGGAGTTCACTTTATGTGCTGACACGACATGCTAAAGCTCGAGTCTCGGGACCAGACGTCACCTGTTTGGCAGGGGTGTTACTGTTGACATGTCAAGGTCAAGTTAGATGGCACGTGCATAAGGCCCTGATGAGGCCAGATGAACGGCGCGTGTCCCGGGAGATGAAGGTGTGTTGGACAGCGTGTTTTTTTCCCTTACCCCCTGCTGCTGTGTGTACTTTGTTAGCTTAGTTTATAAGAGCTGGACAGACGTAGTGATCCTAGCTGCTGCGGACAGTGGTGCTGCCATGCGAGATGCGACCAGGTGGTCATGGTTGCCAGGGATTCGGGTCTTAGAAGGAAGGGAACCGATGTAACGGTCATGTTCTCATGTATCCACCCAGGGTTACTACTTCTACAAACCCAAGGCCCGCTAGATAGGAAAGTGCTGAGAAGCAACTGAGGGGAGCTAGGAATGCAGAGACAGATTGACGCAGAGTGCTTGTGGATGGCACAGCATGGCATGGCCGGGGGTGGTCAAGGACAGCCAAGGCAAGAGAATAAAGCGAGTCCTTAAACTGTGTAATGGCAGTACAATTGACTACGGTCCGTTGCTGGCCATCAGCAGGAAGGAGTCTACGAAAAGATGAGAATGATTGGAACGGTACGGCAAGCAACGGACTAACGTCAGAAGCTTGTAGCTGACAAGAGGCACATAAAGACAGACTTTGACAGTAGGCATGATTGCTTCACAATGGGTCGCATACCGATTATGTTTGGAGGGCATTCGTCGACGCGGGCAATATTGCTTGCATGCCTCACAATCGGCATAGCACTCCTCACCGGAGCGACATTTGCTGATATAAGTAATTGGGGTAAGATAAATATGCATGGGCATTCGAACTCGGCCGTTTCCGACTCAATGGTTTGGCGACGCGACTCGTCGATGCAACAGTCGCGACCGGCGAAAGACTTGCAGATCCTTGACGAGCAATCCAATATCTGCATTAGTTTCATTATTTCTTTCGAGTTGTGATTTGCAGTTGCTGTTTAGCTTGTCACCTTAAACCTCGCAATGACGCGACTGCACGATAGGACCGACGACGCACCCCATACAGCAGGAGCGCTGCGCAACCTGAACCTTCGCACTTCAACCTGAATCGCCACATCACCACACTCGGCTCCATTCCACCTCACAGGTACTCACGTGCGCCGCGTCCAGAGCTACGCGGCAGGCGACACGACCTTCACCTTCAACCCCTGGGCCATGCCCTACGCAACCGCCTCCCTCTGGTGTCAACGAACCTCCTCCGGCCTGGCGGCTGCATCCGACCTCAGCCCGGGCCTGCTGCTGTGGCTCGCGGGGAAGGTCGACAGCAGCCCCCTGGAAACCCCGTCCACGGCGGCCTCCGCAGCTGCTGCAGACAGCACCGGCAGCAACAGCGTCGGTGTGACCAGCGCCTTTGCTGCGGCAACGGCATTGATATGGGTAGCTGAATTGTCAGCGGATCCTGGAGGACTTGCCCAGTGCCCTGACACGTTGACAGCGCAGGCGGGAATCTACACAGCGGGCTTTGCAGCTCAGAACTCAGCCTGTTGGAATGCGGCAGTGATGGTGGGGGCCACAACGCCGTGTTGGATGAAGCTGCCCTGCGACAACACCACGTATGCTACAACGGCGTCCTTCCTGTGTGTGACGTCCCCTTCCTCCGCCGGCGTAGACTCCAGCAGAAGCAGCAGCAGCAGCAGCACCAATCCTAGTGGCGGGAGCAGTACGGATGGTACGGATAGCAGTAGCAGCACCGTTGGCGGTCAGCTGGCGGTGCCGCCGCCGCCGACACCCCTGTCATCCAATCAACAGATGGGTGCAAGTGGGGCCATCGAAGCCTGCGTGATGGAGGGCTCATGCGGCTGGCTGCTAGGACAGCCCTTCGAGGGGACGGTCTGGATAGCTCAAACAGCAAACACAACAAAGCTGGCATTACCTCCGCCGTCGCCCTCGCCGCCGTCGCCACCTCCGCTAGCAGGGAGGCAGCAATCTTGGCTTGCCAGCCACGACGCGCTGGTAGTGGCGGCGGCCGTGGGCGGCGTGGTGGTGTGTACGGTCACGGCACTGGTAATCTGGGCATTGGTGCGCGCGTGCGGAGCGAGGAGGCAGGATGCGTACATGGTGAAGAACAGCGGCGTGAAGGGCACGGGGGTGGGTAACGGCGCCGGCGCCGGCGCGGGCTTTGCTGATCCGGAGGAGTACATGGCAGGGGCTGCTGCTGCTGGTGCTGCTGGTGCTGCTGGTGCTGTTGACGACAATGACGAGCAGCAGGGCGACCAACAGGGAGGTCCCGGCGCTGGTAGCAGCAGGAAGGCTTTGGCAGCCTGGGGCTCTCAGACGCAGTCCGGGGGCGAGGCTTGCTGGCCGCCGCAGCGGCTCGCGCAGTTCCGAAAGGTGGAGGATTGGTTGCGGGACACGGAGTTGGTGTCTTCAGGGATGCAGCAGATGCTGGCGGATGAGGAGCGGGGCACGAGCTACGTGCATGTGGAGCAGGACCCGCCGGTGCTGCCGGGAGTGCAGGTGGGAACTCCGCAGTACCGGGCCCAACGCTAGGCCTTAGGGTGAGATACGGTACATCGTGAACGCTAAGTGATGATGTTGGTTGGACGGGGTGCTGAGGCTGACGGTTGAGAGGGCTTACATTGCAGCTTGCAGATAGGGGGGCAAGGCAGTGTTGGGGGGCAAGGCAATGTGTGGCATGGGCAGGGGACGTTGCCGAGTAAGGCATTACATTACCAGACGATGCGGGTATTGCTTGACGTATGAATAAGGTACATATCCTGTGTATAAAGGTGTAAATGTACAATGAACAGTGCCTTCAGTCGGCAGCTCTAGCACTAGCTGCAAAAGTGGGGATGCGGCGATGAGGTCTGCAGCTCGACTGCAGTACAGTTCCTATTATCACACATAGTCACAGGGAGGCAGAGTTTTATGTAGCATGTTGTTGGCGCTGTTAGTCCAGGCTGAGTGATGGATAGAAGCCTGTCGTTCCTGCTTCTGTGGGACTAAAGTTAGGGTGTATGTGGGTTGCTGTCGTCCGGGTGCTCGGTCAGGGGGTTGAGCACACTTGGGACCAGACTAGTTGTGGTGCGGAGAGTGCAGCAAAGCCGCTGCGGAATCTAGCGGAGACATTATGGAAGTATGGCGCGCAATGCGGCGGCAAGATGCAGAGCCGGTGCACCTGTACGGCACTTGAGTATGCGAGCAGTCGGGCGTCGTGTATACCACATTTGGAAAATCCTAATGGCGTTTCAGTTACTTAAAAGCAAAGGAAAGGATTTGTTTGCAATTGAACAGCGGATTAACACCTCACGCCTGCCACTTGCTCGTCGTCTTGCAAGTTGCTGTTCACCTAGCCTTGCACTTGCCAGCGCGTTTTATACACTTTTAGTCTCTGATTTCCAAAGACAGCCGTATCTAAGATAAAGCGCCAGATGGGTTATGGCCGCTCAGCGCCTGGCTAAGGTGCATTGTACAATACAGCACCAAAGAAAAGACACAGTTGGCAAAAGGTATTACTGAAGATATGCAGCGCACCAATTGGGCTCGCTGTTCAAGCTTGTGGTTGCCTCGGCTTGCAGGCTTGAGCACCACATTGTTCCAATCCACGTTTGTCATGCTGGATTGCATTTGGTAAGTGCTTTAAAACTAACTATTGTGAGGATTTTTATTTTGCGCAGTCTTAACCTTATCCTTGCTTTGCAGCCGACGGCCAAACCGTCGCCACGGAGCGCGCAAGCTGGCGCAACGCTTAACAACTCTAGGGTAGCTGTAGGTGCACAGCTCATAGCGACACATTCGGCAGGGCCGGTCATCTGGCAGGTGCGTGTTGCGGGCATGGATAGGGATTCCCAATTGCTGAGGAGTACTAACTGTCATAACGCGTTCACGCGCATGGTGAATGCTGCAGTTCGCGTTACTCTGAAAGAAAGGGCTGCAAATAATACTGGCAGTATCAGGTTGTTACCTCTTCCCTATTGCCTCACAGGATGGCCCAGCCCGCCAAACCGAGGTGCTGCTGGGCCCCCCTAGCTCGCCCCTGCATAGGCAGCTAGCGGATAGGGTGCTTACCCAGCCAAACAGCTCCCCAGCCCATGGCTCCGAGCTGCCAGACATATCAGCAACCCGCCAGCCATCCGCGCACCTGCCACTCCGCACCCCGCAGCAGCAGCACCTGCCTCCATCACCGCCCTCCTCCTCCTCCTCTGCCTCTCCTTCTCCGCCCTCGCCTAGCGAAGCCGCTCTTGGCAGTCGACGCCACGTCCGCAGCCGCACCCTGCCAGCTGCTTTCCCACCCTCCGCGGCCCAGCCCCCACATGCAACCACCAGCCCCCGACGGCATGACGCACTGCTCTCCAAAGTCACGGAAGCCACCAACTGGTACGAACTGCGTGCCGTACTACTCACCAATGCCGCTGGCCCTAGAGGCGGTTTCGGAGGCGGTTTCGGAGGCGCCTCCGCCTCCACAGATCCCAAACTGCTCCTTGCGGTACTTCGGCGGTTAGCCACCATTGCCCGGTACGACATGCTGCCGCCCGAAGCCGCCGACTTTTCCGCCTTCCTGGGCCGCTGGCTGCTGCAGCACACCACCGGCTGTCTGCCGCTCATGGGCCCAGGCGAGCTCAGCCTCTGCCTGCACTCGCTAGCAAAGTTGTGCCACGGCATGCCAGCGCCGCCGTCCGCATGGGCCGCCGCTTGGTTCGCCGCCGCGCAGCCCTACCTGCTGCAGCGGGTCTTCCAGCCCAAGGACATCGCTCTCAGCCTCTGGGCACTTAGCCGCATGCAGCTGCGGCTGCCGCCGGCGGCGGTGCAGCTGCTGCTGGCGGCGGCAGAGCCCTTGCTAGGGCGGTTCAACGGCCAGGACGTGGCTATGATTGCTCTGGCGCTGTCCGTACTGCAGACGCGGTACGACAATGCCATGACGTCATCACCGCCGTTGTCGTACTCGCATGCAGTACCAACATCACCTAGGCTTCCGTCGCTGATGCCCAGTGCAACCTGGCGGCAACGCTTCCTGGCACGTTGCATGGAAGTCCTCCCGGGGTGCGGCTCTCAGGCGCTTGCGAACATGTTGCATGGCGTGGTGCGGTCGGGCCTCAGGCCGCCGGAGGGGCTGGTGTACGGCATCTGCACGGCGTTGTACGACAAGTTGCCGGAGTGTACGCCGCAGGCGTTGGCTAATGTGCTATCTGCGCTGGAGGAGCAGCAGTTCGTGCCGGATGCTGCATGGTTGGAGCGGTTCTGGCTGGAGAGCGGTGACCGCATGGAGGGGCATGGGCTCAACTGGGGTCCCGACTTCCGCAGTCCTGGTGACAGATGCGCCGATGGGGTGGATGATGGAGGCAGCAGCAGCGGCGGCTGCGGCTGCGGCGGTGGCAATGGCAGGGGCGGAGGCGCATGGCAGGGGAGGAGGGGCTGGTGTAACTTGGATGACCTGACGCATCTGGGGTCGGCCGCGGCGCAGCTGGCCTTGGTGCCGCCGCGGTGGTGGGTGGTGCGGTTGTACAGCGCCATGGAGCTGCGTGTGGGGCGAGCCAGGCCCCGGCAGCTGGCGCAGATGCTGCAGGCGGTGGCTCAGCTTTCACGCTTGACGTCCACAGCAGCGGCAGCAGCAGGGTTAGGGGCAGCAGCGCCGGCAGGAGCAGGAGGGACAGCAGCTGAGGGTTCAGACAGGGAGCATGGAGGGTCATCAGGCTTTCCCCGTGTCTCTAGTGACGTGGCCATCAGCGAGACAGCGAGGACGTGCGAGCATGACCCCGACGGCCGCTCTACCCGCCTTCCGGACTCTGGCGCACCCTCCGTACCCGCACCCTGGTCCGCGCACAGCCCGGCAGCGGCTGGCATGCCGCCTCCTGGCCCCCCTCGTTCCCTCATCACCGCCTGGCACCGCGCCGCCGCCGCCGCGCTACCCGGCTTCAACGCTATCGATGCGGCGCACAGCCTCTGGGCGCTGGCAACGCTGCGGGAGCGGCCTCCGCAGCCCTGGCTGCAGGGCCTGGTGGTGCAGTGCCGCGGGGGGCTAGGCAGCCTGCCGCCTGCGGAGCTGGCGCTGCTGCTGTGGTCGCTTGCAGCGCTGCGGTTCCGACCCACATGGTCCTGGCTGGCGGACGCGCTCGCGGCCAGCATGCCGGCTCTGCATGGCATGAGCGGCCAGGACTTTGCCATGTTGACTGCAGCGGCGGCGGCACTGGGTGCGCGACCCAGTGGCGCGTGGAGTACGGCAACCCTGGCGGCGCTGCGGCCGAGGCTGGGGTCGCTGCAGACGCGCGCGCTTGCGAACACGGCGCGGGCGCTGTACCGGTTGAGGGTGCAGCCGGAGCCGGAGTGGCTGGAGGCGCTGGCGGGGGAGCTGGTACGGCGCTGGCAGCGGCTGGCGGCGCAGGCGGCCGGGGGAAGTCGAGGGGACGGGGACGGGGGCAGGGGTGAGCTGCGGAGCGCGGTGTTGCTGCTGTGGGTGATGAGTAAATGGCTGGGGCCGCAGAGGGAGCGCATGCGGCGGCCGGGCGGTGTGGGCGGTCAGCGATTGCTGCGGCTGCGACGAAGGCTGCGAGGCAGCACGCTGCAGGCTGCCGCTGGAACGGGTGCTGCAGCTCCGGATGCCGCGCCGGATGCTGTGGTCAGCAGCCTCGGGCGTCGCAGACGAGCGGTACGTCCCGGCAACCTGGTAGCCTCGTTCGGCGGCGATGTCCAGGCTGCCGCTGCCTTCCGCCGTCGGATCGCGGACATGTTGCTAGGCCCAGCCATGGACGCCTCTCAGCCCTACCTAGCTGCCGGTGCCGCCTCCGCACTAGACGCAATCCTAATGGCGGCGGTGATGACGTCAGCGCACCACTCGGCGCGTCAGGCAGCGGCGTCGCGGCCGCAATGGGTCGCAGCCCTCTTGGCGGCGACGGCTCCGCAGCTGGGCGGGCTGTCACCACATGGGCTCCAGCTGCTGCTCAGCGGGCTGCATGCGGTGCAAGTAGAGGTAGATGCGGGCTGGGCGGCTGCATGTGCGCGTGCGGTGACTGCACATGTGTCGGGACCGCTGCCGGCGGCCTCTAAGGTGGCGTTGTTGCAGCGGCTGTGCAGCTTGGAGCCCACCTCGGCTGAAAATGCAATGGGAAGGATGGGCGGTGTGAGCCGGGCAGCTGCGGGAGCCGCACGGCGACGCGAGCTACCAGCGCAGGTGCCGCTTCAGGAGGAGAGCGGAGGAGGGAAACTGCCGTCTTGCATGCCCCACGGGGCAAGAGAAGGAAGCGCGGTTGGGCGGGGACAGAGGCGGGGCAGCTGGAGGGGTTGCAGGGTGTTGGAGCAGCAGCAGCGGCGACGACGGCAGCGGTTGTGGGGTCCTGTGGTGGCAGCAGGCCTCTGGTCCATGTGCCGAGCTAGTGACGCATCGGGGCCGCTACTGAAGCTGCATCTGGAGCTGCTGAAGGCAAAAGTGCGGCTGAAGAGGCTGCTGCTGGCAAGCGCTGCGGCGGGAGGCGCCGGCGCCGGTGCTGCCCCGACGGGACGGCGGCTTGCTGCAGCGGCGGCGGCTTCAGTCGCGGACACCGCTGCTGCGGCACTCGGGCCCGCGGCCGGAGCCGCAGCCTTGGACGTGCGGGCCCTTACGGCCGCGGCAAGCAAGGTGCGTAACACCGTGATGCATGCGGCGTTACGGCGGGGTCCTAGCCAGTGGCAGCAGCAGCCGCAGCAGCGGCGGCGAGGGCGAGGAATTCTGGGGCGCATGCCGCACATCCCCCGGGCGCAGCGGGTTTGGATCTGGGGCCGAGCTCGTCGCAGCACCGCCACCATGCTGGCGGAGTCCTCGCCCGTGCTCGTAGCCAAGCTCGTGGTGCTTACCTCGGAGTTCTGGACGGCAGGCGACCACCAGACCTGGCCCCCAGCTGCTGCTGCCGCCGCCGCTCCCATGATGCCCCCGGTAGCCTTTGCCGGTGGTGACGGCGTCGGCGCAAAAGATACGGCAACACATGTGGCGACCTCCGGGCTCCCAGTGTTGACGGAGCTGAGCTGTAGGCACAAGTCGCTGTTATGGCTAGCGGGTGCAACCAGCAGCTGCTGGCGGTTCATGCTGCGTTGCCATCGGGCCCAAGTGGCACGTGCATGGAGGCGTATCTTGCAGCGCCTGGCAGCTGAGGGGCCCCTGGGGCATGCGGTGGGACAGGAGGTGGAGGCACGGCTGCCCCAGCAGCTGGCGGCGGTGAAACGGCGCTGCCATAGGAGGGCTAATGTGGATGCGGGAAGCACCGGTGAACTCGACGAAGAGGGCAGCAGTGGCAAGCAGGGATGGCAGGGGACCAGAGGAGAGGCGGCGGTTGGAAGCATGGGGTTGGATGCAGAAATGGCTGCAGCGTAGTCTCTTGATGCTAGGTATGTGCTTTGAGTGGGAGAGGCTTGTTGGTTGCGATGTCTACAGGGGCAGGAAAGCAGGTCAGCTTTACTATAATCGACTGGGTATGCGGCCAAGCCGAGGTGCTACGTTAGGGACTAGGGGTTGCTTAACAGGACCTTACACACCATGGAAACATAACATAAACAATGTGCCTTTTGTGATGTCATAACGTTAAGGCCGGGGCTCATGCTACAAAGCATGCTTCTTACAGCCACGTCGGCAAGGTATTCTGTCACAACGGGTTTCCTGGTGCCAGAAGCAGCCCTCAAGGTTCCACGAGACTTGGGGTTGCACAAGACTGAGGGTGACGACAGCTGTTGTCCCAGCAGCCACTCAGGGGCCCAATGCAGCGACCTTGCCGTACCGTTGCGCTGCCTTGTCAACGTGTCGTACGTGTCGCTGTGCTGCCATGCAAGCATACTGGTAAATGTATGGCCTTCTGCAAGGACCCAGTTGGCTCAGGATGCGTCATGTAGGAGTACATGTAGGGGTGCACAATCCCTTGTGACCAGCTAGATAGGGAGAAAAGGATGTAGTCCGGATGCGAAATGTCTACTAAGGGGAAGGGTGCTGGTGCTTGGGGCCACCTTCCTCGCGGGAGACGCCGTCAAGGCAGAAACCGTGTACAGTGAAGCACACTCGTAGTTCCCTGTGACCGCATATATAATCTTAGGCAAGGCATATGGTACCGGTATCTGCCGGTATGATCTGATATTAGCAGCCCCTCCCAATTGTCCTTGCGCGCAAACGTAGCTAGAGCACGCCAGAGTATGAGAGCGGTCAGCGCCCCTTGGTTCCAATCGCGCAGAAATATTTAAAATGCACGAGCCGTGTTTGAGATTTGTGACCGACATAATAGTATTAAACCCGCAGCTTTGGCAGACGCTTTCGAAAAAGGCGAAGATGTCCCCCGTGCAACACCCATCGTTCCTCAGTCAACCCAGAGGGCTGCAAGGTTAAAGGAACGAATGCGTCAGTTTTATAGAGATACATTTGTTTAGATAGATACTGAAAGCAACTCCGATTGCAAGCAGGAGGTACCGGTATCAATATCTGTAGCTTACTGTACGCAAATTACATTAAACCATGGAAAGTCAGCTTGCCGGCTTCTATCCTCAAGATCCCGAAACAGTTGCGCAATAAAACCCCTTCAAATAAGATGGAGGGATTCTCCTGCTGTACGATGTGAACCACGGCATGAGTACGGGAGGCGGGAATGCAGGTCGAAGACTGTAAGGGAAGCGCGGCAACAGGCTTGGTATTGAGTTTTGCGAACAACAGTATATATTATAGCCGCTCAAAGGCAAACTGTTGTTCACGCTTGGTATCCCACGCTTTGCCCGCCAAAAAGCGCTGTGTAACTTTCTTGTTCCTTCCTGAGCTCCAGTTGCCTAAACCATACGGCTCTGAAATATTAAGCAGTTTCGTGCACTTCCCCGGGCCTCAAAGTGAAGTTGTAAACTGACATGGGCCGCGAACAGCAGTAACTAGTTGCGCCGAGGGTGTTTCCTAACACGCTCCTGGCTTCAGTAAGCGACAACACGAGTCTATTATAGACTAGGTACACTACGACGTCGGAGTTTTAATGGCGCCTTCTAGCTTTTCCTCGGGGGTTGTCAACCAACCGCGCGCGGCGATGACCAATAATAGCAGCACTGCTTTCAATTGCAGGAGTTATGCCTTCATCATCTCAAGCCCAAGGCCAACGGGACTCGCAGCGTAATACGCGCGCACAGGGTCAACCCCATCCGGCGCAGTCAGGAAACCAACAACAGCATCCAGCTCCCCAAGCGCCTCCCACTGATTACGGAACATTTCTTGCTGGCTACAATGAGACACGAAGGTAATTGTCCTGCAAATGATCCTACATACCTCCTCTGCCAATACATTTCCACAGCTTGTTCCCTCGCAGGGCAACCTCGACTTAAGCTTCCTGTTTCTTTATAACATTTTGATAGCTTAGAAGACTCAGTCTGCAACGTAGAACCCTGCGTCCCTTGTTGCCTTCAACGTTCATAGCAACCATGTGTCCATCGCAGGTACACGGTACTGGAGCTCATTGGCAAGGGCAGCTATGGAGTGGTTTGCTCTGCCAAGGACAACCTCACCGGGGAGGTTGTAGCCATCAAGAAAATCCAAGTGAGCATCTTGTCGGACTACTTACTGACACGGGATGGCTACTTGTTAGCCAAACTGCGTCGCAGTTGGCCTCACCCGGCTACCCCTGCTGCACGTGGGCACTGCTCCGTTTATTTCCGCACTCTTGCTTCTTCGTTTGTGCACAAACCCCAGAGCCATGGTACTACCACTAGCATTACGTCAGCCATGCCGTGCCATTTAGGCCACGCACACCACCCCAGTGTACCCACAGCGATCACCCTTACTCCACTTTGCCTTCACCTTGCTTACCCCGCTACTTCTCCGCAATGCAGAACGTGTTTGACAACGTCGCGGATGCGCACCGCATCCTGCGTGAGATCACCTTGCTGCGGCTGCTGAAGCACCCGGACATTGTGGAGGTGAAGCACATCATGCTGCCCTCGGACCCCAACAGCTTCAAGGACCTCTACGTCTGCTTTGAGCTCATGGAGGTTGGTTTCGAGGGCGGCAGTGTGTGGGGTGGTGGTGTATGAAGCCAAGCCTGCCAAGACGTGTATGTCCGTATATTTAGCTGGTGTGCATAGGGCTGAGGAGATTGTCGGGTCAACTTTGACTCGACGGGGCCCAAGCCCCTCGAACGCCTTAAAAACATGGACTACAACTTCCACTACAATGCGTCCCTCTCTGCGTCGTGCCATCTGGTTTCCCTCCACATCATCCCTCCACGCCTCCTCTCTCCTCTCCCGTGCTCCTGCAGTCGGACCTGCACACGGTGATTGGCGCCAACGACGACCTCACTCGCGACCACCACAAGGTGTTTCTCTACCAGTTGCTGCGCGGCCTGAACTTCATGCACACAAACGGAGTGCTGCACCGCGACCTCAAGGTGGGGTGCGGTGGGGTTGGGTGAGGTGAGGCGAGGAGGGTGAGTTGCGTACTTGGCACTGCCGGCGGCATTCCGGGTTCACGGTTCCATTGACCACTGCTCATCACCGGTTGCAACCCTACAGCCGAAGATGAATGGCTCTATATCTATGCTTAGTCCTGTTCCTTCTTGTATCCCGTGTCCATTTATGTCCCAACTCAACAGCCGAAGAACATCCTGGCCAACTCGAACTGCAAGCTCAAGATTTGCGACTTTGGCCTGGCTCGGCCCTGCATGGGCGGCTCCGGGTCGCCCCTGACGCCCGTGTCGTGGACGGACTATGTCGCTACTCGGTGGTACCGCGCACCCGAGCTCTGCGGCAGCTTCTACGGGCAGTACAACAGCGCAGTAGGTGAGTGGGTGAGGGGACCTGCACACGATGGGAAGGGATGCTCCACATGTCTGTTGCATGTCTCATATATTCGCATATATCAGAGTGGCCGGGCATAGTACGCAAACGCCCGTGTTGTACGATGTATGCCCGTCCGCGGGGCCATGTCAGCTGTTACTGAGCGGTATGTTTCCCGCCTTCCTCTCCCGTCCTGTCAGACATGTGGAGCATCGGGTGTATCTTTGCCGAGGTGCTCCTGGGTAAGCCGCTCTTCCCAGGTCGCGACGCGGTGTCGCAGCTCAACCTCATCACAGACCTGCTGGGGAAGCCCGCGCAGTCGGTCATCGAGGGCATCGGCAACGCCCGCGCCCGCAAGTTCCTGCAGAGCATGGCACCCAAGGTATGCCGTCCTGGCCCCCTCGGACACCCTGGCCCCCGGATTGCAAATTGGCATACATGCCTACGTGCATGCATCTGTTGCAAGGCACTGTTGCGCCCTAGAGTTATTATCTTATGAACCACCCCGTGTCTTCCTTCTGTCACCATTACCCTCGAACGCCTCCTCTTTCCTCTCTCCCCTTGCTCTGCCCACTTAGGAGCCACGTCCCCTGAGCTCCAAGTTCCCCAACGCGGACCCGCTCGCACTCGACCTGCTGGCGCGCATGCTCGCCTTTGACCCAGTGGACCGACCCACGGCAGCGGTCGCCCTGGCACATCCGTACTTTGCCGGCCTGCCGAACGCCGTACACCAGGAGTCGGTGCCCGTGGCCTCCAACTTTGAGTTTGAGTGTTGTCCGAAGCTGACGGAGGCGGATGTACGCCACCTCATTTACCGTGAGGCCCTGCAGTACCACCCGCAAGTCCTGATGGCGTACGAGAGCCAGATGGCGGCGCTGCGGAATGGCCTGGGCGCGGTGGACTTGCACATTCCCACGCACACGAACCCTTACACACTGGCTTCCACGCCTTCGGACTCTGTGTCGCTTCAGTTTATGTTGCAGCAGAGTGACAGCCAGGATAGCTCGGTGGAGGGGGAGGTTGCGAATGTGCTGCCGCCGGCGTCGCATGCTCCGCTGCCGCCGCCGGGGTTTGCAGCGCAGGCGACGGTGGGTACGGTGTCTGGGGCGGTTCCGCCGCCCATGTGGCGCATGCAGCACCCGCAGCAGCAGCCGCAGCAGCAACCGAGACAGCAGGTGCAGTCGCAGCCGTTGCAGCCCCTGCAGGATACGCAGCGGTACGCTCATGCAGCGTCGTACAACCACTTGCAGCAGCAGCAGCAGCAGCATTACCAGGCGCCCATTGCTGATGCTTCAGATTACTACCGGCAGCAGCAGCAGTTACAGCAGCAGCACCTGCAGCAGCAGCAAAGGCAGCTGGAACAGTACCAGCAACAGCAGTTGCAGCAGCTACGGCACGCGCCCCTGCAGGCTCAGCCGATGCAGCAGCAGCCCCAGCACCCGTTGCTTCACCAGCAACAGCTGCAGCAACAGCACCTGCTTCAACAGCAGCAGCAGCTATTGCAGCAGCAGCAACAACAGTTACAGAGGACCTCTCCTAGATACGGCTCAGGGGGAGGGTACGGCGGAGTCCCGGTGACCTCGTATTACGCTCTGCAGGCGACGTAAGAGGGCACAGTCCTCGTGACAGCTGGGCATGCTTCGTCTTGGGGCGTATCCAATCTCCAATGCATCATAACGCTTAGCGCCACTGTGTTTGGCATGAGGCGTGGTGGTTTTTCCTCGCGAGCGTTTGCATTGTGAACTGACTTTGCACGGCGTTGAAGTTGAAGCTACGTGATTGCCTGAAGTTGCTCTGGGGGTTTGTATCTATATCTAATACGCTGGCAGATGCTGTCAGTGTCTGTTGCCAGTTGTGGCCGTTGTTGGCTGCGATGAGGTGGATTTGCCGCTTGGTACCGAGTGGTAGGCAGGTGGGGTAAACACGCAGCGAGGTGATTGAGGACGTCGTGGGGCGTACCACAAACAGGCTTGCGTCTGTTTGGATCCAGATCGGGTGGCCTGGATTCCGGATTGTAGAGTAACAGGAGGGCGCGTCGCTTACAGCTGGCTGGCTCCGTGTGTGGGCGAGGTCATGGTTTGCGCAGCGTTCTCGTGTGAGACGAGTGGTGCCTTTCCATGAGTCGAAATTGTACTTGGGATGCGGGTGTGATGCTACGGCTAAAGCGGTGCTGGGAATGCTCCGCAGGCAGTGCAAGCGTGCGTGTGTTTTGTGATACGATTAGCATGCAGGGCGTCTGTTATCTACGGATGCGACCGAATGCAGATGAAAATGGCTTTTTTGTCTGCGGGAGATACATTTTTGAGTAGGTAGGGTGAGTAGGTAGGGTAAACACGGGTTTGGTAATGGGTAGTTGGTAGTTTAGCAGAGCAATGGAGGGTACCTTGGAGAGCTGGTGTGTAGTTGAGAATGGGAGGGACACGGAAGCCATGCCAGCTCACATTGTGGCAACATATGGCAAGCCGTTATTTATCATGGCCGGGGGTGTCATGTGCCTAACCCACGTGAACGTTAGGAAGCATAAGGCTACAGTTGGGTAGGCCAGAGCGGGCCTATGTGGCCGAACATAGGACAGGACCATGGGTCGTGGGTTGTGTAGGTTCCAAGTTTGTGTGTGATTAACTGCTGCCGCAAGGGGTGCATGCCTTACATCGACATTGCCTGCGCTTAATTCTTTGTTACTAGTCGCGCCGGGTCGTGTTGTTTGTCAGCATGTTTCTTTTTTGGCTTCATCTTGCGGCGTACTTTTATGGGTTTCTGTTTTACAGGGCCATACTCGTCATTACTAATGCGTAGATTGTTTGCAAAGCCGAAGTGTCTGGTGACGCGGGGGCTCATGTGATCGGCGTGACCAGTGTACGGATACATGGAAGGATCCAGGTTCGAAAGTCTGCTGGTTTACCTCTCCTCTTACTTTAGCATGGCGCGCGTGCATTTGTTGACTGGGTGTGTGGGCCTCTAGCTGTGGGATCTCTTGCCGCAAACGAGGCCTGCATGAAAGCATTATGCTGATCTAATATAATAAGTTGTAAACGTTGGTATGGCGATTAAAGCAGGTTGGACGTTTCTGTTTGTTGCAAGGGCCCCATGGCCCATGTTGCTTGACTGATGCAATGATAAGGCCCCTGGAGGTTGTCGTCCCGGAGTTGCCTTGCAGTTGGCAAGGCTTCGTGCACGAGGCTCCTTGAGGCATGGCTACTGGCTTGCCAGGGTTATACGTTGACTACTTGAGTGGGTTTCGAGTGTCATTGCAATCGGACATGGTTTACGAATGACAGTCCTGTTGGTTTCCGTCGTTGAAGACTTGCGTAGTGACAGCTGCTATGTGCCTCTTGAGTGGGCCTCGAATGACTCGTGTCTGCTGCACGCAGGCTCAGGCTTGGGATGAACACTACCCACCTGACAGTCAATAAGGTATACATTTAAGCTTACCGACGTTACCGTCCGTGCAATGTCTACAATGTTCCGGCCCAACCTGACTCCACAAGGTAACCATCAGGCAGGAAAGGTGAAACACAGATTGACATACCAGTAATCGCCACGCCTCATAGTTGGCCATGTTGGCATGTAACTTGCATTCTGCGTGGCCTTGAGACGCCCATCTTGGGAGCCGCTCATGGACGTCCCCTGGGTCTTGCATGTCTCCTGTCGTGTACATGTTGACGGTATGACTTAGAAATGACTTGCATTCACTGACGTTCCTATCGCTCCAAGAGGGGTGTACGTTAGGCGTTCTGGGCACCGACAAGATGTCATCCAAAGCGTGAGGATGTTGCAGTGAACCGTAAGAACAGTGTACTATACCGCCTCACATGTTTTCCTCTTTAAAGCTGGATATAAGCATGAAAGGTTACTTCCTGGGAAATCCTCTTGAGTGCTGACTAACGGACTTTTTCGGCCTTGTACGGCGAACACTAAAAGGCCGGCCGAAGACGGTCAATACAGGCTTGTACACAAGCCGCGCTTCCTTGGCGGTCATACGACGAAGAGCTCTGATCGTAATCGCTTAAGCTACTAAAAGGAGTGTACTGTTGCATAGCCGCCGCGCAAGGCGCATTTTAGTGCGAATGTTCGCCTAAAGTTTGTTTGTAGATAAGACATTATGGCACCAAAGGAACAGAAGAAGCGGCGGCAGCCCCAAAGTGCACAAGCTGGCGAGCAGAAAGCCGACAAGCCGAAAAATGATGAGCAGAAGCCGGCCAGCGCTCCTGCTGCTGTCGGAGAGGAGGACTTTCCTCGCGGGGGCGCGGATGGCCTAACTGCTTTGGAGCGCCGTGAGCTTACAGAGGCGGCCCGTCTGGAGGTTGAACAGGAGCTTGCAGAGGGGAAACAGCCCAAAGCAAAGAAGGCCCGCGTTTCCAAACAGGTGGGATTATGGCATTTACTTAAAAGAGATGACAGCACTCGTACCGGCGCCGCCACTAGCATCGGTGTGGCAAACCGCCATCGCTGGCTAGTTCACGTACATCGCTTTTTAGTGCTGTCTAAAGAGACACGAGGGTGAACTAAATGTCAAATTGGGTTGACGACGCCTCGGCGTCGTAAAACATGTAGCTTGCTCGACCATCCGAGCTCGACCCTGACCCCATCGCGCTCTCGATAAGCGCAGGAGCCACCCCCCTGCCGACGGTGCATGATATAGGCTCGCATATTCAAATGACCACAATCGTTTCGACACTTCGTTCTCACTACCCATGATACCTAGCCTGACTCCTGCACTAACTACCGAGCGCTGTAGGCCGAAGCCTCCCACTCAACACCATTTCCTGTACAGCCCGCTTGCACCGAACGCACTTATGCTGCCCCTGCAGTCTCACCCTTCCTCCTGTCATCCCCTCATACCCACAACCCCCACCTCAGGCCGACGACGATGATACGGGTCTGGGCAAGTCGCTGGAGGGCAAGCTGGCGAAGCATGTCGAGCTGCTGCGAGCCAAGGTAGGTCGCCCGCATAGGCCCTAGCTCGAACTTCCCTCTAGCTCGGCTGCCAAGCTCCCCCAACGCCAGGCAGACTTCCAACCTAACAACGGACACACCGGTCACGGACCTCTGCGGCCCTTGTACCACTACCTGTCTCCACTGCTGTTGCCATGCTGCGGCCTTCCCAGTCCTCCCCGCCTGATACCCTCTCTAACTCCCTCACCCTGCCGTCCTCGCTCCCTGGGATATGGGATTGGGACTCGTTGTTTCACTTATTTAATTTTTCCCCTCGCTCCCTGCCGCCCCGCCCCCTCCAGAACCTGCAGCCGGGCACCAAGGTGTGGGGCATGGTGCTGGAGGTGACGCCGCGGGGCCTGGTGGTCAGTCTGCCCAACGGACTGCGCGGCTTCGTGGCGCCGAACAAGGTGCGGGTGCGGTGGGGCTGCGGGCGTAGCCTTTTGAGGTGCCACTAGAAGGCCTCCGGCAGGGGAGGCGGCGACTCACGGCTGGACCATGGCCTCCTCCAGCTTTGCTTACAGTGCCGCACTTCACTTTTCTACACCACCGCACGTTACGCCTACGTCCTGCCGCTACTTGTCTGCAGGCCTCCGACGTGCTGGCGCTCATGCTCAAGGCCCAGGCGGGCACCGCCAGCAACAAGACGGCCGCCTCCATGCTGGAGGCGGCGGGCGGTGCGGTGCCGCCTCTCACCGACCTTTTTGTGGTGGGCCAGTTTGTGCGCTGCGTCGTGGTGGAGGGGAGCGGCGGCCAGCAGGAGCAGCAGCCGGCTAAGACGGGTGCGGAGGGCGGCAGCGGTGGTGGCCGCAGCAGCAAGCATGTGGCGCTGAGTCTGTTGCTGCGGGAGGTGCAGGGCGGGCTGGGCAGCGGCGCGCTGGCGGAGGGACAGGCGCTGGGCGCGTGTGTGCGAAGTGTGGAGGACCACGGATACACGCTGAGCTTCGGGATCAAGGTGGGGGGGGGGGGGGGGGGGGGGGGGGAGGTGAAGGGTGGAGGGTGGCGGGGAGGGAATGGGAAGGCGGCGGGCAGGGGGTGGAGGACGACGAGGGAATGAACGAGAGTTTAGGCGGTTGGAAGGCAACTCTTGTTACTGCAGTCATTCGCTCCTGCTCTGATTAAAGCTAATATGCCACCTTCCTTCCTGGGCTAAACTTGCAAAACCATCTCCGGCTCTCTGCTGCTGCTGAACTTTCCTCCCCGCTGCTCCCCCCATGCTCCTCGGCTCCAACCCCTCAGGGCACCAGCGGCTTCCTGCGCAAGAAGGACCACGAGGCGCAGTTCGGGGAAGGCGTGGCGCTGCAGGTGGGATATAGCATGTAACACAACACAGCGCAACCCACAGCGCTGCCCTTTGCTACGGTGTTGATGCACGCCTCGCCACGTCTCCTGACCCCAAGCCACCCAAATACACCCTGCCCCTAATTGCCTCCTGACCCTCCTCTCCCCCTTCCCAACCCCACCCCCCAGGTCGGCGGCCTGCTAGACGTGGTGGTCCGCACCGCCTCCGACCCTCGCAACGTGCTGGTGAGCTGCGCGCCAGGTGACGTGGCAGCAGCCCTCACACGCGACTCCGAGTCCACCACCGGCCTAGACAGCCTGCTGCCCGGCGCGCTGCTGAACGTGAAGGTCCGGAAGGTCCTGTCCAACGGCCTCCTCGTCTCCTTCTTCACCTTCTTCCACGGCACGATCGACTCCTACCACCTGCCGCCCGCCGCGGGGGGCGCTGTGACCGGTCCGGCGTCGGCAGAGGCGCTGAAGAAGAGCTACGTGGAGGGCGCAAAGCTGCGTGCCCGGATCCTGTACGTGGATCCCGCCAGCAAGCGGGTGGGCCTTACGTTGCTGCCCCACCTAATGGCTCTGTCGCTGCCGAGCCCGGTTCCCATGCTGGGGTCGGTGTTCCCAGAGGCGGAGGTGCTGCGGTTGGATGCGGCTAACGGCCCCGGGTTGTTGTTGCAACTGCCGGGGCTGCCCGAGGGCCCGCTGGCGGCCTACTGCCACGTCAGCAACGCACTGGATGAGAAGGTGGCTCGCGCAGATGCGTCGGCGGAGATGGGGAAGAAGTTCAAGCCGGGGACGAAGCTGCCCGCGCGCGTGATTGGGTACCGGCTCATGGACGGCATGGCGGCGGTGACTGTACGGAAGACCCAAGTGGAGGCTGCCGTACTGTCGTACGCGGATCTCGCACCTGGCATGATCATCCCTGCCACCGTGGCTGCCGTACCGGATCGAGATGGCGACGGGCCGCTGCTGCTGACCGTCGCTGAGGGTGTGCGTGGGCTGGTGCCGCCGCTGCATGCGGCCGAGCTCTCGGGCGCCGTGACGGCAAAGAAGGGAGCCGCGAACCGACCCGTGGGTCGCGTCAAGGTGAAGGTGGGTGAGCGTGTGGAGGCTCGCGTGCTGGAGGTGGACCCGGCGGGTCGGCGGCTGACGCTGACGCTGCGCAAGGGGCTGCTGGCGGGCAAGGCGGCGCCGCTGGTGTCGCAGGCGCAAGCGGTGCCGGGAGCGCGGTTCCACGGAGTGGTGACTGGTGGGTGGCTGGGTGCCTGATTGGGAAACAGGGGAGGGTTGGGGGATTGGTCTGTGTACGGAAGATGTGTGGGGGGATGGGTTTGTACGGAGGATATGTGGTTAGAGTCTCATTCTAGCGTTCGCCCACCCTGTCCGCCATAGCCTCCCGCCACCCACCTACCGGTTCCTCTCTGCTCCCCACCAGGTTTCCACGACCGCCTGGGTGTGTTCGTGAGCTTCTTCGGCGGCCTGTCCGGCGCCGCGGCGCACAGCGACCTGGGCCTGGAGGCGGGGCAGACCGCTCAGGAGGTCTTCTCGGTGGGCCAGGTGGTGAAGGCTACCATCCTCTCCGCCAAGGCGAACCGCATCAAGCTCTCCCTCGCACCCAAGTCGGCCGCGGCAGCGGCCGCAGAGGCTGCCGCCGCGGCAGCGGCGGCTGCCCCCGGCACACCCGTCGCTCCCGCCGCCGCTGCTGGTAACGGCGCCGGTGATGCGTTGGGCGGCTTGCAGCCTGGGGAGCTGGCGGAGGCGGTGGTGCTGGAGGTGCATGCGGGTGACGGCACAGGCGGCGGCCACTACGTGTGTCGGCTGGAGGTGCCGGGCGGCCCCGCGGGCGGTGTGCGCGGGCGGCTGGAGGCGGTGCACCTGTCGGACCACCCGGCGGCGGTGGAGGCGTTCCGGGAGGCTCTAAAGCCGGGAAGCAGGCTGGGTGAGAGCACATGGCGAGGGGTGGGCGGGTGCTGACGTGGGTTTGGGGTTGGGCCCTTTGGGGAGGGAATGTGGGGACGGCCCTGCCGGCTGTCCAGGCGTAGACGCATCACGCCTCCGCCTACACCACCTCCTCATCGCACACGCCTTCGTTCGTGCGCTGCATGCCTTCACCCGCCCTTCAATCACCTGATGCGAACCCGGCTTCACATGTCTCCTCCTGCCGCCTCAGGTCGTGTGCTGGTGCTAGACCGCCTGGAGGCGCAGCGCTGCGTGCGCGTCAGCCGCAAGCCCTCCCTGCTCGCAGCCGCCGCCTCGGGTGCCCTCCCGCGCGCCTTCTCCGACGTTCGCGAGGGGACGCTGCTGCCCGGCTACGTCGCCTCGGTCACCCCGGATGCGGTCTACGTGCGCTTCCTGGCGGGTCTCACGGGCCGTGCGGGGCTGCCGCAGCTGTCTGACGTGTTCGTGTCGGATCCGCGTCAGCTGTTTTCCGAGGGTCAGTCGGTGCGCTGCCAGGTGGCCACGGTGGACGCGGCACGGCAGCGGTTCACGTTGCTGCTGCGGCCCTCCGCGACCGCCTCCTCGGATGGAGCCTACCTGCTAGGGTACCTTAAGGAGATGCGCGCGCTGCAGGGGTTGAAGGCGGAGGCGGAGGGAGGGGCGGCGGCAGCGGCCGGGAAGAAGGGGAAAGGGGAGGAGGAAGAGGAGCAGGAGGGTGAGGACGAGTCCGACCCGTCACGGCTGTTCCCCATTGGCAGCCTGGCGGCGGCGCGGGTGCACGAAGTGCGGGAGTACGGCATCGTGGTGGACATGGATGGACATCCGGTGAGGGGGGGGGGCGGGGCCGTTTGCAGGTTGGGCTACCGGTGTGAACGGATTATGGTTTGCTGACTGTGCTGACTGTCCATGCTATCGTCGTGTCACCACCACCGCCTTGTTGCCGTTGCCGTTCGCGTGTTCCCCCACACGTATGCTTCTTAACCTCCTCCCTCCCTCCCTGCCTACCTTCCCTCCCACCTGCCCCCCAGGACGTGGTGGGTCTGGTTCCCTCCTCGCACGTGGGCCCCGGCGGCTCCTCCCCCGCGGTGGGCAGCCGGGTGAACGGCTGCGTGCTGGACTGCGTGGGGCACCAGGGGCTGGTGGAGGTCAGCCTGGAGCCGCGGCTGGTGGGGGCGGCGCAGGACGACAAGGCGGCGGCGCAGGCCAGGAAGAAACTCAAGGTGGGGAATGTAGAGAGGAAAGGAGCCATTGTGACAAGGTGGTGGTGGTGGTGGGGGGGGTGCCGGGTGTTTAGGTCAGGGCGCAGGCTCCCTGCTTGCCGCGCCCTTATGCAATGCCTTTTGGTAGCCCCTCACCAGCCAGCCGCGCGGCAGCTGCTGCCAGGTAAACTCTTGTTTTTCACGCATACCGACCTACCTACGCGCCCCACCCGCAGGCCGGTACCTCCGTTGAGGCGGTGGTGGAGGGCATCCGGCCCGGCGAGTACCTCATCCTCTCGCTGCCGGAGCACGCCTCCCTCATCGCCTTCGCCGCAGCCACCGACTACAACACCCCGCGGCCCGAGCTGGTCCCGCGCTCCTTCACGGTGGGTCAGCGCATCACAGCCACCGTCGCTGTGCTGCCGCCGGACGCCCCCGCGGGCCGCATCCTCTGCCACGTGCCCCTCACTCGCACCGGGGAGACCGCTGACAAGACCAAGCCCAAGGGCAGTGCTGGCAGCGGCGGTGCTAACAAGGGCAAGGGCGGGGATGGCCCCAAGGTGGACCTGACCCATGGGTCAGTGGTGCAGGCGGTGGTGACGGGGATTCAACCGCACCAGCTGGACGTGTCCATTGGCGGCGGCAAGGCGACGGGCAGGATCCACGTGACGGAGGTGGTGGATGTGGACACCAAGGCGCTGCTGGCTGCGGCCTCCGCGGGAGCTGTTGCGGTGGATAAGGCAGCCGCGGCGGCGCCGGCGGCGAAGAAGGCGCGCAAGGGCGACAAGGACGCGGCTGCGGCGGACGCTGCTGCGGCGGCTGTGTTGCCGACCGGAAGTCCGCTGGATGGTTTCCGGTTGCAGCAGGTGGTGGAGGCGGTGGTGCTGGGGCGGCTGCAGGGGGCGGAGGGGCACCGGAGGGGCGCGCTGGACTTGTCGCTGCGGCCCAGCAGGCTGGCGGTGGCGCGCAAGGTGGGGAGAGAGGTCGTGGGAGGGGAGAGAAGGGAAGGGGGGTTGAGCGACGGAGTCGGGTCCAGCCTTGGAGGGCGAGTGGGGGGGACTTAATGATTAGTGGAGGGATCGTAATGGAGGAGTCCAAATGGAGGGGTCGTAATGGAGGGGTCGTAATGGAGGGGTCGTAATGGAGGGGTCTTACCGGTAATGGAGGGGCTTGGTGGGCGTCTTCATGGAAGGGTCTTTGTGTAGGGGCCTTAATGGAAGGGTCTTAATGGAGGGGTCACGTGCGAGTCTTCCCGCCCGGCTCCTGTGGGCCGCGGTGGAGTTTCTCACCGCACCAGAGCAAGGGAAGTACCGCACGGGACGCGGCTGCTAGAAATTGCGCGCGGATGCCTTGACCCATGGGTCCGCGCGCATTGCGCTGCAGTCCGTGTACAATCTCCTTACTCTGCACCTTCCACGGGTGTACGGGTGTACTCCGTAACCCATCCTCCCATGTCCTCTCCCTCTCCGCATTCCCTCACATCCCCTTCCCCTTCCCTCAAACGTCCCCACATCTCCCCACCCACAGAGCGAGCCCCAGGTGCCCCCTGTCACCCTGGGCGACCTGGTTCCAGGCCAGCAGCTGCTCTGCTTCGTCCTGGAGGTCGCCGCGGACTCCCTCTGGCTGGGCGCCGGACCCGCGGTCCGCGGCCGCTGCGCCGCGCTGGACGCCTCCTCCGACCCCGCCGTGCTCTCCGACCTCTCCCGCGCCTTCCAGCCCGGCACACCCGTGCTCGCGCGCGTGCTTGCGGTCAACGCCAAGACGCACAAGCTGGACCTGTCGTTGATCGATCCCAGCTGCGGAAAGACCCATGGGTCAGTCAGCTCGTCCGCGCCTGCCGAGGGCGCCCTGGTGATGGGTCGGATTACGGGGGTGTCGGGTGCTGGGGTGCGGGTGGCGTTGGGGGGTAAGAAGTCGGGTCGGGTGGCACTCACGGACATTCATGATGAGTGGGTTGAGGATGCGTTGGAGGGGTTGAAGGAGGGGACGTACGTGCGGGTGCGGGTGCTGGGGGCGGATGGGGAGCATGCGGTGCTGTCGCTGCGGCCCTCCCGCGGCGGCGCCGTGGCGGCTGCTGCTGCTGCTGCGGGCAAGGGGCCGGCGAAGGCGGCAAAGGCAGCAGCAGCTGCTGCTGCGGAGTTGGTGGACGCGAGCAGTCTGGAGGAGGGTCGCACGGTGTGCGGCTACGTGAAGCGCTGCGACGCCAAGGGGCTCTTCCTGGCGCTGGACCGGTACCGCGACGCGCGCATCAAGCTGGGCAACCTGTCGGACGGCTTCATCGAGGACCCCGCCGCCGCCTTCCCGCCCGGCATGCGGCTGGAGGCGCGGGTGCTGAAGCGCGCGGAGGACGGCAGGCTGGAGCTCACGTTGCGGTGAGGGGGGCAGGCAGGGAGGGAGGGAGGCAGGCAGGGAGGGAGGGAGGGAGGGAGGGAGGGAGGGAGGGAGGGAGGGAGGCAGCCAGGGAGGGAGGGAGGCAGGCAGGGAGGGAGGCAGGCAGAGAGGGAGGCAGGGAAGGAGGCAGGGAGGGAGGGAGGGGAAGGGTGGGATAAGGAGGCAGGGGATGGGGTACGGGGCCAGGATGTCGCCTACTAGGGGGCGCTGCTACTGGCCACCTGTGAATAAGCAACTCTGGCGGGTGCGGCAAAGGGTTTTCTAACGCATGCATCTTTACGTTAAGGAAAAGGGCACAGCGTACGTAGCTACCACCTCTGCCCAACCGCGCCCCTAACCGTCCTCCTCCCACTTCACCCCGACGCAGCTCCACCTCCCGTCTGCCCTCCGCGGCGGGCGGCGCCGTGTCGCTTCGTGAGCTGCGGGCGGGGCAGCTGGTGGGCGGGCGGGTGCGGAGGGTGGAGAAGTTTGGTGTGTTTGTGGAGCTGGAGGGGGCGGGCGGGGCGCCGGTGGTGGGTCTGGCGCACATCAGCGAGCTGGCGGACGGGCCGGTGCGCGACATTGACGCGGCGTTCAAGGCGAAGCAGGTGGGGGGAAGGGGGACAGGGTGGGGCATGGCGGAGGGGAGTTGGAGGAGTGGATGGGGGTAATGGAGGAGGATTCGATGAAAGGTATTGGGTAAGGAAACAAGGAGTTGGATTGCTGTGATCCCATTGATATAATATTTATCCCTTGTCAACCGCAACCTTCTCCTTCCCCTTCCTTTCCGCAGCATGTTCGCGCGGTGGTGACCAAGGTGGATGTGGAGGCCAATCGGCTGTCACTGTCGCTCAAGCCCTCCGTGCTGCAAGCGGCGGAGGAGGCGGAGGCGGAGGCGGAGGCGGGCGGCAAGGCGCGCGGCACCAAGCGGCGGAAGGGGGCGGACATTGACGAGGAGATGGCTGAGGCGGCTGACGAGGAGGATGAGGAGCAGGTGGGTGGCTGGGGATGGGTATGGGGGCGGGGCTGGGTGGGAATGGTGGGGGCTGGGCGCGGCAGCAGCTTTACTATGAAGCAGGCAGGCAGGCAGCTCCTTGTACTTGGTTGCACGTGTTATTCTTGCATGGTCATGGCAAAGAGGCGTGTGGCGAGTTGCCTAACGTCGTGTTGTTGCTCATGAACACAGGAGGACGGTGAGGAGGGCGATGGTGCCTCTTCAGAAGACGGCGAGGGTGAGGAGGAGGAGGAGGAGGAGGAGGAGGAGGGCGGCAAGGGCGGCTCGCTGGACCCCGATGTGGATGTGGACGATGTGGATGTGTCGGAGGAGGAGGAGGAAGAAGAGGATGGGGCGGCGGCTGGTGCGGAGAGCGACGAGGGCAGCGAGGGGGAGGAGGAGGAGGGCGAGGACGAGAAGGCCCCGCGGGCCCGGTCGCAACCAGGTAGGGGGGTGCCGGGGTTGCGGACGCTGTGGCGTCAAGGAACCGTCTTGAGGGAGTAGTCACCCTAATCGCGAAGGTTCGATATTAGGTTCCCGCTTTGAGCTCATGGGTTAGGTCCCTAATGTCGTGTCTCCTAAATCCTTTCTTGCTCCCTTTCTGCATGAGTCGGTACATGGGACCGTGCTTCTCTTCTCATTTCTTCTTACCTCCCCCTCCTCCCCTCCTCCTCCCAGCCATGACCTCCACCGGCAACCTGGACCTCACCGCCCCCTGGGGTGAGCTCCTGCTAGCCGACGACCCACGGGTCACTTCCGGCGCCGGCGGCGCCGGCACGTCCGACGCCTCCGCTGACGCCGACGGCTCTCGCAGCAAGCTGTCCAAGGGCCAGAAGAAGCGCCTCAAGGAGCAGCACGAGCGGGAGATCCGGGAGGCTGAGCTGGCTCGGTTGTCCGGCTCTGCGGCGCCCACCAGTGTTGCGGATTACGAGCGGCTGGCGCTGAGCAGCCCCAACAGCAGCTTCGTGTGGATCAAGTACATGGCGCTGCACATCAGCCTGGGGGATGTGGACGCGGCCAGGAAGGTGGCGCAGCGGGCGCTGGACACCATCAACTACCGGTGAGGGGGGCTGAGGAGGGGGGAGGGGGGTGGGATAGGAGGCGGACGAGGCGTAGTGGCCAGTAAGGAGGTAGAATGACAGCGCGGTAGGCTGCTGCAAAAGACACGTTGTGACGCAATGGCAGTAGGGGGGGGGGAATTCTTACCAGAGGAGGTGGGTGAGGGACCTCTGCGGAAGTACCCTCGGTGGGTAAATATCCGTCACGCACGCATGAACCGGCGTGACGGCTGATTCCCACCGTATAGGAACACACATGCACGTTTTATCTACCTCTCGTTGCGGCCTTTTGCTCATTTCTACACCGCCCTGGGGTTAAAACGCCGTGCAACATGCATGATCACGACAGACGTCCCAAGCTCCCCTATTACCCTCCCTGGGGCTCCCGAAGAGGTGTACCGGTATTGTGAACTTGCTTTGCTCGCTTTTGACCCATGCGGCGTCTGTGGATAACTACTGAAGTACGTAACCCCCAAGCCTAATACCAATTGCCCTCGGTTCACTGGTGGACAACTATCCGGCGCATCCCATTACCCCGTGGAGGCCCCGGCTGATTCCCACCACAAAGTGACACACATGCACGTTTTATCTACCTCTCGTGCGGCAAATCTACACCGCCCCGGGGTTAAAACGCCGTGCAACATGCCCGACACAAGGTGCCCCATCCCTAGCCCCACTCCAACCACGTTCATTACCTCCTCATGCACACCCGCCAACACCAACCGCCCTGCCTCCTCCTCCTCCCCCGCCCCTCCCACCGCTTTCCCCCACAGCGAGGAGGGCGAGAAGTTCAATGTCTGGGTCGCCTGGCTCAACCTGGAAAACGCCTACGGCACCGCCCCCGGCGCCTCCTCCACCCCTGGCGGCAGCGAGGAGGGCGGCGGAGCGGCCATGGAGCTGCTGCGGCGCGCGCTGCAGTACACCGACCCCAAGAAGATGTACCTGGCGGCGCTGGGCATCTTTGAGCGCAGCGGGCGGGAGGAGCTGGCGGAGCAGCTGGTGCGCACGCTGACCAAGAAGCACGGCGGCAGCGTCAAGGTGTGGGGCCGAGCCATCGAGCGGGCGCTGCAGAAGGGCGACGGAGAGGTGAGTTGGGGCGCGGGGGCCGGGGAGGGGGGGAAATTAAATAAGTGAAACAACGAGTCCCAATCCCATATCCCGACTCATGCAGTGAGCGCATTCGGAGACACTATCCTAAAGACACGCATCTCCAGGGGGAGGGGCGGGGAGGTGCAGGGAAGGGATGGGATCTGCTCACAGTCCCACATGCACGCACACATGCATGCCATCCCTCCCGCGTTCCCCTCATTCCTCAACTCATTCCCCTCTGCCGTCCCTCTCACTTCCCCGGTTCTCACGGTAGCCATCCACCCATCTAACCGCATGAGTCGGAATCTGGAATTGGAACTCCTGTTGCTTCACCTTAAAACACATATTCTGCCCCACCCGCCTACCCGCCCGCCTGCCCCCTGCCCCTCAGTCCGCGCGCAAGCTGCTGGAGCGGTCGCTGCAGTCGCTGCCGGCGCGCAAGCACGTCAAGGCGCTGGTGCGCACCGCACTGGCGGAGTTCCGTCTGGGCAGCGCGGAGCGGGGGCGCGGCATCCTGGAGGGGGTGCTGCGGAACTACCCCAAGCGGCTCGACCTGTGGAACGTGTACATCGACCAGGAGCTCAAGGTAGGGGAGACAGGGGGGGGAGTGTGGAAACTCGAGACAGAGGAAAGTGACAACCTAATGGATGACGAGGGGGCATGCTGTCGTGTGTTGTTGAGTCGATGTTGTCCTTTTTCGAAGCGCGACGCCGCGAGTACCGCCGTGTGTGGGAAACTGACCTGCACGCCGTTGCGTTGCATGCGTCCGGTTGTTCGTTGTCCTTGCCTTGCAGACGGGCGAGCAGGCGCGCATCCGTGCGTTGTTCGAGCGCGCCACGCACCTGCCGCTGCCGCCCAAGAAGATGAAGTTCCTGTTCCGGCGCTACTTGGAGTACGAGAAGCAGGAGGGCGACGCGGCGGCGGTGGAGCACGTGAAGCGGCGGGCCATGGAGTTCGTGGAGAGTGCCATCAAGGCGTGAGGCGGCGAGGCATAAGGAAGGAAATAAGGAGACAAGTGAAGTGGGAAGGGGTTTTGTCTCGGGAGCAGGATGAGTCTTTGTGTGGGGACTGGGTAACTATGGGTTGCCGGCGGTTGGTCATGAGGCGCGTGCGGCTGCTCGAATTGGTTTGAAGCCGCATGCAGTCACCCATGTGCTGTGAGGCACTGCTGTGGGGACAGTATAGTGAAAGGGGATGTGTTAACACGCAGCTTGTGTTGGAGGTTCTGGTTAGACGATGTTCAGGAGTGTTGAGGTTGTGAAGGAGGGGTCTGGTTGGCTCCAGGGTTGGTAGAAAGTAAAGGCTTGGGCGGATGTAGCGGTAATCTGAGATAGAACTGGCGTTAAAAGATGCGGGTGGCCTGGCCCTTTACAGGATCCGGCGTTTGGTCGCTGTTTGTTGCCGCAGCACCATCGTATGCCTGGAAAGGAGTGAAACGGGTGTAAAAGCTGATGGCTGATTGTAACTATCCTCTGCCTAGCATGGCCTACACCCAAGAATATTATTGCTAGCGCAGAGCATGCGGCTCAATGCGAGAGGACATGCACAGCTGGATTTCATCCAGATGGACAGGGAAAGGGGGGCGGAGCGCGATATGGGAATACGACATAAACCCCACGAAGTATGTGAAGCCAGGCCGCATTTTTCAATGAACGGCCAGGACGTCAGGTTGGGCAGCCAAGTGGGCACAGCAGGGAAGTTAGGGTTCGGGTGGGATTTAACAACTTTCTGGTTTGGATCTGGGTGCCTGTCCCTGTAGATACAAAGGGGGATCATGTTATGATCAGCCTTCTAAGGCTTGGAATGGAAGAACAAGACTCGACATGCAAAACACCTATATTAAATTATACGGCTGTCACCTACCGTGGTGTACGCCAATCACGTAATATTGTATGCGAAGACCTGTACGTACGTACGGCGATGCTCCAGGAAGGTGCGAGAGGCGACTACGAACTGTGCAGCCCACCCCCCTGCTACAACTTTGCACGAGCACACTTCACAGAGGACAAGCATACAAACATACATTACCTTGTGAAGCACAGAGTCATACACATATCGTCCTAAAGGTCTGAAGAGGAAATGGCGAGCTTTGCTCGACAGCGCTCATATGCACGGTGTTTCGTTGCCTTTGCTGTTTTAGGCCTCGTATGCCAGGCCCAAGGACGACTTCTCATTATCCAGCAGGTCAGCAACTCTGGTTAGGTTTGGGGTGGAATCGAGCATTTAGCATATCATAGGCGTTAGTATGCTAACAACAAACAGTAATAATATTATCTGAGTATTTCGCTGCACAGGAATCGCGGGATGGTGCCCACGGCGTGGTCCAAGTCATTAGCGACGAACCGGGCCAGGCTTCGTCGTCTGTATTTGACTCCGTTTTTGGCTCGTCTTTCTCTTGGTAAGAGTGCTCCAAGTTGCTGCTGAGGACCAGTATGACGTGGAGCTGTGTGCCATTGTGCTTCTGGAACACCCTTGCTGGCGAAGCTGCTTGCCTTATGGCACGTCTCACACATCCTGTTGCCTCTTTCGCTGATGAACACGTCAATCATTGTTTGCTTCACCTGACCTGTCTTCGTTGACGCAACGGTGCAGGCTTCAACAGCAGCTCACACTTTTAGAGGAACTAGAACGCGCTACCATCCAGAGGCTGACGGACTCTGTGGGCTTTGCTGCGCCCCAGTACGACGTGCTCCGCGATGTGGGCCGCGCCCGCATGCGCGCTGCCTTGCTAGACAGGGTAAGCCTCCCAGCGGGTATAGCCGGAAGTTGTTGTTCCTTGGGTTAGGGCGGGAAGAGGGGATGTATTAGAAGCATGCCTAGGATATCAGCACCACAAACCTCATGTGCTATGGGAACGAACCGGACGTGATAGAAGGACGTGCCCTGCGGCGGAAGTCCCCCGGCGACCCCTCACTTTGCCCTTCCACCGCCCAACTGACAACCCGCCTGCCCCCAACCCTTCCCTGGTCCCCTCGCAGCAACTCGCCCGTCAGTCCAGCGCCGCCATTGTCGCTACTAGCACCCAAGCAGCAGCAGACACGGACTCACTGGGTTCCTCCTCCTCCGCCACCTCGTCATCAGCGCTCGATGTCCTGTCAGACATGCTAGACGCCTATGATGAGGCCGCGGAGACGGCGAAGGGCTCTGACAGCTACGACGCTTACACCTCTGCAGAGGAGGAACAGGAGGAAGAGGCTGGAGAACAGAAGCTAAAGGAGGAGTATGAGGAGAAGGTCGAGGAGGATCGCGAGTCTGAAGATTACGAGGAGGAGGATTACCAAAACGTGCCTGAGCGCTTGGAGGCGTATGACGATGCAAGCTATGACGTCAGAAGCCGCTCTGATGATGACTATCAGGCTACCCGTCGTGTACATCGCCAGCTAGGCGATGCCTACTCTTCTTTCACCACTTCTTCGTCTGCTGCTGAGACGCTTGCAACCAAGGGCTCAGCGGAGGAGCAGGTGGTGGAGTATGCCTACGTGGGCAATGAGGATGATGACGATGATGATGATAGCGAAGAGGGGGTGTACGAAGACTTGTACGAGGAGGTCGCGGGTGCCTACCTAGCCCATGTGTTTGGGGACGAGTACCAGGAGGTGTACGAAGACTACCTGGAGGTAAGGGGCGGGCGGGGGGGGAGTAAAAGAGGAGGAAATGGGCTATCCGTACGACGAGGCTTTGTGATGTGGGGTGGGCGGGGTGTGCTGGCGGGGCAGGTGGGTGTGTGAGAATACGAGTGTGAGGTGGTGTGTTGGCTAGTAATGCGGTGCTAAGATCCGTACATAACTTGCATGCGAACCCATTAGATCCTTACACGAGTGACTTATCTGTCTCCATCCCGCGTCTTTACCTTTCCGCAGCTGCGCGCCGACCCGATGCAGATGGAATGGGAGGACTACCTGGACCTGGCCTACGAGTACGACAGTGATGAGTTGTACGGCACTGACGGTGACTGGTACGACAGCGATGAGTACGTGGAGGACTACTACCTGAACAACGCCATCGCGACGCCCAACGGCCTTGCCATGCTTGCCGACATTGCCGAGCTGGTGGCCTGGACGCGGCTGGCGGCGTCGCTGTCGCAGCAGCAGCGCTCGGAACTGCAGCAGCAGCTGATGGCCCGTCTTCCCTCTGACCCCGTCGAGGATGATGACTGGTACAGCGGCGAAACAGAGGTTCGCTCCTTCGACCTGATCACCTTTGACGACATCAGCAGCAGCAACGGCGGCAGCAGCAGCAGCAGCTCCGAGACCGTGTTTATCGTGCCCGGTGAGCCCTTCGGCGGCATCTCACTGGCTGCTGTGTTTGGCCTGCAGGACCCGCAGCAACAGCCACAGCAGCAGACCCCCATGTACGACACCTCGGACTTCCAGCCCATGCAGTTGGTCAACAAGTTTGACCTGCAGCTGGTGCATCCCGACGGCAGCATCAACTGGGGTCTGGTGACGCTCTGCATCCTGGCTGCGGGCACGGCTGCCATGCTGGCTGGAATGGTGGTCAGCTGTGCGGCCCTCCGGCGCAGCATGCTCACCTGCCGCAGCGGGGGGGGCAGCTGGGTGTACGTTCCGGCGCGGCTGCCCCGGCAGAAGCAGCCGCTGGCGTGGTGCGGTAGTGAGGAGCTGAGCAAGCCGCTGGTGCTGAGTGCGGAGGAGAGCTACGGGACGGTGGTGGTGGAGCATGCGGCAAGGTACGTGCCGCCGGTGGAGGCGAATGAGAGCGTGGCGAAGGCGCTGTACAAGTGAGCGGAAAGAGAAGGAAACATGGATGGATAGGCGCGGTTGTGAAGGTGGCATCGTGGCGGCAGTAGGCGTGCTGCAGTGCCGTTGGGATGTGTGGTTGCTTGGATGCGGTGGTGATTAGCAGTGGTTTGGCTTGGGGCGGTGGGCGGGTGTGCAGGTTGTGAAGGGTGGGTGCCGCCTCTTTGCGATGTTTATATGCGGCGGTATATTACGGAGTACTAGAGGTGTATTGTTGGTCGGTTGAATACCGGTAGTAAGGGAGAGAACGCATTTGCATAACCTTGCACACACGAAGACGCCTCCAGCTTCCTGGGGTTATTTAGAAAGTATTGTAGAAACATGGAAATAGGCTTATAGAGAATAGTAAGAAGGCTGCAACAACTTGGTCATTAGGTTGGGAATGCAAGACCTGTGATATGGCTCCTGTGACGTCACGGCGTGCTTTGTGTGCTGCGAAACCCTGGGTGTCTGTCTACCAGCGTTGCTAGTCCATTACGACCATGAAGAGGAAGACTGCTTCTTAGCTGCCCATTTCATGCATGTACGACGCCCTCTTCCTGTGGCTTGAATGGGGGTTTAGTTTTGCTTGTAGCCAACCTTACACTCTGCGCCTGCGGTGCCTAGATCCGCGGGATTTCTTTGGATCGGTAGGATCAACATTTTCAAAATTACTGACCGTCGTACGCTCGCGGCAGCTGCGCCAGTTAAATGTTGTAGTTGTACAGTATGTTGATATTGCAGGCTTTTGGCTTCTTCGTAAGCCTTATGTTATATGATAACGCAGTGGGTTGCTCCCCTAACCAATTACGGAGCTAAGAAACGCACAGCTTGTGTTTCGCCTGCTTGATGGTATGTTTGTTATCTTCACGTGTGGTGTGTCCAGTCTTCCAGCTAATGGCGCAGTTGCTGGTTATATGCCCTTAAGTTTGATCTTCCTGTAAAAGACACGCTTCCCTAATTCTGCGCCTTTGGATAACATAATTAGGTAGGTGCAACATGAGTACACGACACGGGTTTCTGAGCACCCTATGGCTGTAGAAGGTAGGTACAATTCGGTCAACGGTTTGACGGAACAGCAGTACAAACGGTTATGCAGTCTTGCGGCAGCGACTAGTGGGTTGGGCAGCGGCTACGGAGGTGGCTGCAGCAGCTGGGCATGTGGATGTGTGTTTCAACGTGGGCAACTGTAACTGAGCACCGGTGGGGCCGTGCCGAGGGAACTTGTCGAAGAAATGAGCATTTGTGAACCACTACTCTTACTGAAGCATAATGGAACCTGTTTAGCAGCAGTCCCCGATGACGGGATGGGGAAATGACCGCACAGTGGGCTCGGCACAACAATCCATCCCTACGTACTCCTTCTGCTACAAACTGGGCATCGATGATATACGTAGAAGGATTATCTTGCATTTATTCAACTGCATATAACATTGGTAGACGGCCCCACCCCTTTTGCTCGAGCTCTCACCTCTCAGGGCGAATGAAACCACGCCGTACTCTAAGCCACCCCAACAATGCCGAACTTCCACTGAATTAAACAATACCTTGCTCTGTATAGACATATTTTCCCTTTCGTTCATTTGCTGCAGCTAACGCGACACCTTACATTATTCAAAGTGTTTCCTATATAAAGCTTTCCTGGTACCTCTACTTAACCCCCAAAAATGGAAGACGATGCTGCTTTTGATGGTCTTGCAGAGGATGACCTGATGGACGATGCGGAGGTGGATACCATGGTGCGCGAGTCTATCAACACTGCCATCGGGGACAACCAATTTGCACACAACAAGATTGACTCCTGGAGCAATAACATCGTGGAGGGGTGCCTCAAGCGGCTTGCAGCAATGAACAAGCCATTCAAGTACATTGTGACGTGCAACCTAATGCAAAAGGCAGGGGCGGGCCTTCATGCAGCCAGCTGCGCGAGATGGAACGAAAAGACGGACGGGAAGCTAACGGTGCAATGGGAGAACAACACAATGATTGTGCTGGTGACGGTGTACTGGTTGGCAGTCTAACCCACTGGTGCCCCGCCGTGCCCCGCTTGCATCGGCCGCAGGGCGGTGTGATCCGTGCCATGGGTGGTGTTGCAGTCTGGTGTAGCCATGGGTGCCTTTAGCGAGGCTAAGAGGCGTAAAAGAATGCATGGGTAGGGCAGGCGAGGCTAGGTGTTGTAAATGATAGATAAGGTCGTCCAAGTGTTTTACCACCCCTGTACATACGCCTTTAGGACAACACAGAATAGGTTTTTGGTAACGTGGTTGGGTGCAGCGTACCGGCTTCGTGACCTGTGGGCCACTTCTGGCCAGGCTAGCTAGGTGGCTTTCCTTGCACTTCCGCGTGACCGTTTCGAGGGGCGATTCCCTACGTATAGGCACTTGGGGCCTTTCAGTGTTAGCTATTCCGTGCGGTCGTAACTGCAGACCTAGTTCGTCAACTGTGGGTGTTCGGACAACCGCTGTATGCGGTGCGACCCTAGATGCCTTTCCAGGCTGTAATTTATACAATAGCTCATAAGCTGCCTGTTGTACAGCTACTGGGTTTCCTGGGCACGGCGACCATAAGTTGTGTTTACCAAAATGCAATGCCAGTGTTGGCGTGCCCTTCACGCTCAATTCACGCACCGGCTACCTACTGCGTACCATTACTCTTACGGTAAAGCATTTTGCGACGGACTAGTTCGACATAGCAAGACCACATGTGCATCTCCGTCGCCGCCACTTACCGCTTGGAGGGCTGGCCCTAGCAGCCTCAATTGCATCTCTACTACCTCTGATGCCTGTTGCTCAAGCAACAGCTCTGACCCAGATGAGAGCAAGCAACCCTCAACAAGTGGCAGGCATGTGGTTGAGCAGAGTCGCAAAGCAGTGGATCGCGCGACTTCAAACTCGGCCGAAGCAGCCGCTCAAGGGAAGCCCGCTCCCCGCCGCGGGCCCAAGCAGCGCATGCGGTTGGACGAGTACTGCTTGCAACTGGCGCCGCAGTACAGCAGGAACGTCATCCAGTCCTTCATCCTGCAGGGCAAGGTACGCTGCAGCTGGCGGGCTGATCGCCACAGGGCCCCAACTAACCACCCGCAAGACACACGTGCGGCCAGTCTCTTGACAATCGTCTCCGCGGCGCAACGGTGACGGGCAAACATAGCACAAGCTCCCCCACCGCACGGATGCATGCATGCGCACATACGGATGCAGCAGGCGGATGCAGAAGCAAAGCGTCATATAAGCGGTTAACCCGCTCATCTCACCAGCAGCCCCCTTCCACCACACTTCCCGGCCGGCGCAGGTGCGGGTGGGGGACAGGGTGGTGACCAAGGCGGGTGCGCCGGTGGTGGTGGGCGCGCCGGACAGCCCGGCTGTGGTGATCGACGCGGAGCAGCCCAAGTACGTGTGTCGCGCGGGGCTGAAGCTGGAGAAGGCGCTGCAGCACTGGGGCATCGATGTCAGGTGCGGCCCAGCAGAGGGGCGCGAGCAGAGACAACTAGGGGGGCAAAGTGTGCGTTGTTCGCCGGAGACGGTGAGTGTTGAGTGGTTTGTGGTGTGTAGAAGTCCAATACTGGTGCTGAGAGTAAGTAGGACGTAAGAAGCACTCTCTTTGTGGTGTGTGTGCCCGGGGGTATTCGCCAAAAGGGCAGCTACAGCTGCTGCGGGCGCCGTGGGACTACCGGACTACCGTTCCGAGCCAACCCATGCAGCGTCTCTTCCGTGGGGGAAGGTCGCCTGAGTTGCCCTCCATGCCCTCTGCCCTCCTTAACACCCTCATCCCACAGTCGTCGCCGCTCTCCTCCTGCTGCTCCTGGGTGTACTTGTATTTTTATCACAACATACATTGGAATTTCTCTTTTATTTCCTCCCTCCCCCGGAATGCGGAATACGTATCCCTGTTAATCCCCTGCCCGCCTGCCCTCCCTGCCCCCCTCCTTGTTAGGGGCCTCGTGGCACTGGACTCGGGTCAGTCCACGGGCGGCTTCACGGACTGCCTGCTGCAGCACGGAGCTGCAAAGGTGGGGAGGGGCGGGGGAAAAAAAGAAATTCCAAAGTGTGGTGTGATAATGATACAAGTTGCTGACAATCCCTGGTGGAATCAACCGTGAGTCGAGCCGAAATGGGGCGGGGCGGGGGGGGGGCTTTTGAGCGAGGCTTGGCGTGAGGATAGTCGCCTCTGTGGTATCGGTGGTTGCGGGCCTGTCCAGTGGCGGGCGCCGTTTGGACACACAGCTTGGATGCAGCCGGGATGCAGCCGCCCAGGGCCAGCGAGCGAGTGGACGGTGGCTGGGGGCTCACATGCACATGGTACCCGGCACCCATGCGCATCGCAGGCTGGGTTAGGTCTTACAACGCTACCCTACCCTGCCCCAATCCACTCCCCCGCATGCCCCCCACCCGCCCACCCCCCACCCCTAGGTGTACGGCATCGACGTGGGTTACAACCAGCTGTCGGAGCGCATCCGGCGGGACGAGCGGGTGGTGGTGATGGAGAAGTTCAACCTGCGCCACCTGGGGCCGCAGCACCTGCCGGAGAAGGTAAGGACTGCTGCGGAGCGGCGATCAGTGGGGTGACGAATGAGCCGCATCCGCCGTCATGTATGGTGTGTGGTACGGCGAGAAGGTACGGCGCACTACACGTTGTAACACCTTCAGCAACCGAGCTCCACCTCCTCCTTTTCCTCCCCCTTCCCCCCCTCGGCTACCCCCCACCCCCCTCAGGTCGACATCGCCACCCTGGACCTCTCCTTCATCAGCCTGCTGCTGGTGGTGGGGGCGGTGGCGAGCGTGCTGGCTCCCGGGGGCCGGCTGGTGGCGCTCATCAAACCCCAGTTCGAGGCGGGACGGAAGCAAGTCAGCGCGGGAGGAGTGGTTCGCGACCCCAAGGTGCGTGGGGGCCCAAGGTTGCGGGAGGTATCATCTACGAAGGACAAACACGAACCCCTTCCTGCCCCCACCCCCAATCCCCTGCCAAACACAATGGGTATTCTTCGTTTATCCCCCACCCCCTGCCGCGTACTACCGCCCCTCTACTCCCGCTCCCCCCGACCCCAGGTCCACGCTGAGGTGGTGGCTCGGGTGACAGGTGGCATCGCGGCTCACGGTTTCCAGCTGGTGGGGGTGACCGAGTCGCCCATCAAGGGCGACAAGAGCGGCAACACAGAGTTCCTGGCCTACTTCCTGCGCAGCCCGCAGCACCCAGCGGAGGCGGCGGGCGAGGCGGTGGCGGTGGTGGCTGGGGCGGATGGGGAGGCAGCGGCGGCGGCAGCAGCAGCGGTAGCGGATGCGGTTGCAGGTGTGGGTGTTGAACTAGTGGATGTGGGTGGGGGTGTGGAGCGGAGAGAGGGGACGCCAGGGGCGGCGGGGACGGGGTGATGCTGGAGTTGGAGGAGGAGGGGGGCCGGTAGCAGAGCGGTCGGTGGTGGTGTGTTGAAGACGGGTGGGGATTAATTTGGAGACATAATCCGCATTAGGCTGGATTTTAGGGATAGCAATTTATTGTAGTAAGTAGCATTAATCAACAACAAACCGTATTGTAAGCTCCATGGCGGCTGCCAAGGTGATTTGAGATCGCTCTGTATTGGCGAATAAAGACGGGTGGGGGAGGGAGAGAGGCGGCAGCCGGCGGCGGAACCGCAAGGCGATTGGTGGAGGAGGGCGGCGGGACCGCAAGCAGGCGGGAGGGTAGGTGATGGGGTAGTGTGGTGGGCAAGTGGCTGGAGTGCGGGGGTGTCGTTCATGTGTGGTATCGCACATTCGTCGCAGCTTTGGAGGCTGCCGGACCAATACGTCGCGGTGCGTACACGCAGCAGCAGCAGTTCCCGAAAGGCTGCCGTGTTTGGGGGCATTTGGAGCTCCTTTTTCAGGCAGTTGTAACCGCGGCACGACACGAGGGCAGCAACCCCCCAGGCCCCTTGGCAGGACTGCGAGTCCGATTGGCTGTGTGTCATGGTGCCATCAAATTATCAACTGGATGTCCGACCGCCGCCCAAGTATCCAGCAACCGTTGCTGCAACCAAACGGGACGTAACCAAGTTAAGTAACCCATCGCCCCCCCCACCGCATCACGTCCCGTTAGCGTCCTACCTTCAGCTGACAACGCCCTAATACCGGTACTACACCCGCCACCAGTGCACCCAGCCTCCGTCCCCATGTCCCTCCTCGTGTACCCCTAGCCCGCTGGCTTTCCCCCACCCCGCATGCCCGCACCCTGCATGTGTTCCTAGGATAGTGTCTCCGAATGCGCTCACTGCATGAGTCGGGATTCGGAACTGGGACTGTGTTGTTGCACATATTTATAATGTTCACCACGCATGCCCTCCTGCACTGGGCCCTGCTAATGGCCACACCCTCTGAGCCTCTACCCTTTCCGATCCCACGTCCTGCCACCCTGCTGCTCTTCCTCAGTCTCCAACCCCCAACACACCCCCCACAACACAGTACGGCGGCCATTTTTTTAACACACCCCTTCATGCACCCCCCCTTGCATAGGCAGCTCCCGCCCTCACGCCGCCACCACCGCCCCCGCCTGCTCCTCCCTTTCCTGCTTCGCGCACTGCTGGCTAACCGCCGCCCAAGTGTCCAACACGCGCGTGGCATCCCCCCGCCGCTGCACCTCAGCCGCCAGCGCCACCCCCTCCGCTGGGCTACCCGCCACCTGCGCAGCCGCCAGCGCGTAACCCGCATTCAGCACCAACGCGTCCGCCACCGGACCTGCAAGAGGGGGGGATGGAGGGAGGGGGGGGGGTAAAGATAAGGAAACTGATGAACTGTATGACGAGGCTTCACCATGGGGGGGGTCGTTCGGGCACGGTGCAGCGTCTTGTAGGACGGAAGGGCAGGTACGGCAAGCTAGCGGGAAAGGGGCATACATGCCTCCTTCCTCCTCTCCTCTCTACCTTCGTCTCTTCCCCCCCACGCAATCCCCCTCCTCGCGGCCGCACCTCGCTGCCCCGCCAGCACGTCCCGCAGGATGGCCGCATTCAGCGCCGCATCGCCTCCCTTCAGGTCCTCCACCTCGCAGCGCGGGATGCCCACGTCCCGTGGGTCCAGCGTGTATCGCCGCATCGCGCCGCCCGCCGCCACCTCCACCACGTCCGCAGGGCCCATGGGGGTGAGCTCGTCCAGCCCCATGGAGTGAACCACCAGGGCCTTACGGACACCCATGCGCTGGAGCGGGAGGGGGGGAAGAGGATGGGGGAGGGGTCAGCGAGAGGGAAGATGGACGTGGGCGGCATGGCGGTGGGTGAGATACATCATAACAGTGCCCAACTAACCCCCAGTGCCCCCCCTGCCGCCCGCCGCTCCCTGCCTACCATCAGCGACCCCGCCATGAGCTCCGAGATGGATGTGTCGTACACCCCCACCAGCCCGTACGCGGCGTGTGCGGGGTTGAGCAGCGGACCCAGCATGTTGAGCGCCGTGCGCACCTGGGGGGGGGGGAGGGTGGCAAAAACGTGGATAGATGGATGTGTAGATGGATGGATGCGGGCGGAGAAGGAGGAACATACCACACACCACGTAACACAGGGACTAGCAGCAGCAGCAGCAGCAGCTCATGCCCCACCCGCGTCCAGCCTCCCTCACTCCCCCAGGCTCCCCGCTTACGCCCCCAGGCTCGCGCCCTCACGCCCCGCCCCCCCCCACCTTGAGTGCCGACCGCACCGGCCTCACCGCCCGCATGGCCGGGTGGTAGCGGGGTGCGAACATGAAGGCGATGCCCGCCTGGTCCAGGCAGCGGCGGATGGAGGCGGGTCCCAGGTCGATGGACACACCCAGCGCCTGAGCGGGGGAGAGAACAGGGGAGCAGGGGAACAAGGGCAAGACGCAAAGAGCAGAAGGGCGTGAAAACGCTGGACGCAGGAAGGTGCAATGTACCCTGCGTCCCTGCCCCACCCCACATCCCACCCCAGGACCCCAGTCCCCTACTGCCTTCCTTATTCCCCCCCTCCCCCTCCACACCCACCTCCAGCACGTCCGCGCTGCCGCACAGGCTAGACACGGAGCGGCTGCCGTGCTTGGCCACCCGCGCGCCCGCCCCCGCCGCCAGGATGGAGGCGCCGGTGGAGATGTTGACGGAGCCGATGCCGTCGCCGCCCGTGCCCACGATGTCAACCACTGGAGGGGGGAGGCGGGAGGGGGGAAGGGAGGGAGAGGAGGGAGGGGTGGGTAATGTGTATGGGGGCAATCGGAATGGGGGAAGGGAGGAGGTGAGGGAAGAAGGCGGCAGGTCTTGGCCCCCCTGCCCGCTCCTGCAGGGTACTTCTTCTCCATGCCCTCCGGCTTCCTGCCTTCCCTCCATGCCCCTCCCCTCCATGCCCCTCCCTTCCATGCCCCTTCCCTCCCCTCCTGCCTGGCTGCGAGGTCTCCACCGGCACCGCCTGCTCCAACATGGCCCGAGCCAGACCCGCGATCTCAGCCGGCGTCTCGCCCTGGTGGGATGTGTGTGTGGCAGGGAGGAGGGAGGGAGGGAGGGAGGGAGGGAGGGAGGGAGGAGGTCAGGTAGCGGGAAGGAGGGGTGGCGGTGCAGTGGCGCAGGGCACAGCGGGTCTCCCCCGCCCGCCTCCCCTGGCGTGTGGGCTGGCCCCCCCGCATTCCCAGCCAAGACGCTTCCTCGTCCTGCTGCTGCTGCTGTCACCTCAGCGGCGCTGCCTGCTACCCCTGCTGCTTCCCCTCCTCGGTGAGACCCACACCATCCGCAAACCCTAAGCCGTCACATGCCGGTGCCGAAGCGGAGAACGTTGACATGCGGCACCCTTCATGCTTCCTCCTCTCTCTGCGCCAAGCCCTGTAAACCCCCGCGCCTGCCAGAGCCCCCTGCTTGCCTTGGATCGCAACAGCACCAGGAATGCCGCCGCTTGCTCCGGTACGAAGTTGCCCAGCAGGGTCTGGCGGGAAACAATTTGTCAAGTAGGAAAGTAAATCCATGCGGCAGGCGAGGGCAGGCAAGGGCATAAGAGCCGAGCTGTGAGGTGGGCAGCCACGGGATGGGCTAGTGTGTGCTTGGCGTACTAGCGTCCTTTGGCGAGGAGGGTGGAAGCGTGGAGTGTGAGTACGCCCCTGCGTGTGGTACCCAGCAAAGGCGCCCCAAGCGCCAGGATAGTGCCCAGCGTCCCCACACTCGTACCGTCAGTGCATCTTCTGCTTGCTGCTCGGTTAGGTCCTCGCGAGCGATTAGCTTCTCAATCACCTGGAGGTCAGATGCATCTGCTTAGCGCTCAGGGCGTGGGTTTCGCGCCGATAAAGGTTTCACCAAAAGCCGACCTCTCGCATTTGTAGCTTGGCCTGGCACGCAGCTCGGACACGGCGCGTCGACGGGGCCCTCACAACCGTGGGTACTGATGGTTGGCATCGCTGCGCCGTGAACGGTCGCCCTGTGCGCCTGCCTAAAAGGGTTTGCATGGTACTAACGAAGGGTCACTATGGAGATGTTACAACAGCTTTCTATCGCTGATTACAGTTGTTAGCTAGTGAAGTGAGAGTCGCTTGCCGCCTGCAACTCAAGCTTACAAAAGTATCAACGGATTATAATGTACACAAATCTTAACACCTCTTGAAATGCCCCAGCACGGTGCTTAGCTCGCATGTTGGTTCTGCACGCAATCAGTCGCCGCCCCGAAATCTGCACGGCACTAAGAAGTAAACCCAGGCAACATACCTTCTGTTTATCTCCTTTCTTTTTTTTCTTGGAGGGGTGGTAGTTTGCCTCTAGTGCAAAAGGGGCTAGTTGATCACTGTGCATGCTGACACGCCTGCTGCTGCTGGGTTCGAAGAGGTATACTTCATTACTTCCCTTACTTGCCTCTGGCAGCGTAGCTCCGATCCAGAACATCTTACTGAGTGCCAACAGCCTCAGCAAAGCGGGCTTACCTACATTACTCTCACAGCAGCAGCAGCGTCATAAGATGGTACGTTGGGTTCTGTTAGTCAACACGTTGATGTGGTGAATTAGCTTTGGGGGAGTATCTTATAGTTTGCCGCCGCACTTCGCCATGCAAACGGGTCGGCGTGGTAACCTATTTGTTCTTTCAGTTAAGTTAGGGTCCCGTTTCGAACCATGAATGAAACGAAGCATCCCATCTCTGGGCATGGTATGATCAGGCGAGCACAGAGGAGAGCAATGTCCCCGCTCCGGCGCCAGAGGCTGAGAAGCCAGTAGCCGAGCAGCCCGCGGCTGCTCCTCCTGCCAAGGAGAAGAAGGAGAAGGCTCCCAAGGAGAAGAAGGAGAAGCCGAAGAAGGAGCCCAAGCAGGACCAGGCCGATGGTGGGTATCACCGGACAGCCCTGCGTTTGACTGGGCACGGCACAATGTGGGGTGCTGGCAAACTCACTCCCCGCTCCCCACAACTCTCCTCCTTTCCCCGCTCTCCCCTCTGCTCCTCCCCAGGCAAGAAATCCGGCGGTGGTGCCGCTGGCGACGCCAAGGGTGGTCTGGGCCTTAAGAACAGCAAGAAGGACAACTTCGGCGAGTGGTACAGCGAGTTGGTGGTGGCCAGCGAGCTGATCAGCTACTACGACGTGTCGGGCTGCTACATCCTGAGGCCCTGGGCGTACGCCATGTGGGAGGTGGTGCAGGGCTGGTGAGTGGGCTGGGGGTGTGGGGTGGGGCGGGGGAAGAAGAAGACGCAATGCGTTGACTGACAATGGCAAACTAAGATGATAAGCTGGGGGCGGGGCCCGGCAGTGGGGTAGCATGGGTTGGGAGGGGACGGAAAAAGGAGCTGCAGCTCGTGCTGGGCCCTTCCCTGCCCCCACCTCCTTCCCAACCTCCTCCCTCCTCTCTCTCCCTCCTCGCCTCCCAACCCCATCTCTGTCCCCATTGCTTTGCCCTAACCAGTGCTTTCCTATGGTCTGGTGGCATGGTCTCTTTCACCCCCCGTCCCGCTCCCCCATGAGTCGGGCTATGGGATCGGGACTCCGTTGCTTCACTGTTCCTTCCCCCCCTCCCTCCTCCTCCCCCCAGGTTCGACAAGCGCATCAAGCAGCTGGGTGTGCAGAACTCCTACTTCCCGCTGTTCATCACGGAGGACGTGCTCAACACGGAGAAGGACCACGTGGAGGGATTCGCGCCCGAGGTGGCCTGGGTCACCAAGTACGGCAACTCCACCATGGACAAGCCCATCGCCATCCGACCCACCAGCGAGACGGTGAGGGGGAGGAAAATTATAAATAAGTGCAACAACACAATCCCAATCCCGAATCCCGACTCATGCAGTGAGCGCATTCGGAGACACTAATCTAGAAACACGCATCTCAGGAGGGTGAGGGGGAGGGGGGGGGCAACAGCGCATGTGCATGGCAACATCGCCTTCTTGCCATGTCGCGTGCTCATGTCATACCACGCGAGCCCCCTGCGTCCCTACAACTACACTCTACCTTGACTCTACACCTACACTCTTACCACTAGTACAACAACTCCAGCCTCTTGCGAGCAACCCCAAACGGACCTTTCCCCCCTTTCCTCCCCTCCTCCCCTCCTTCCCCCTCCCCTCCAACCCCGCAGGTGATGTACCCCTACTTTGCTCAGTGGATCCGCAGCCACCGCGACCTGCCGCTGCGTCTGAACCAGTGGACCAACGTGGTGCGCTGGGAGTTCAAGTACCCCACGCCCTTCATCCGCAGCCGCGAGTTCCTGTGGCAGGAGGGGCACACCGCCTTCGCCACGCAGGAGGAGGCGGAGAAGGAGGTGCTGGACATCCTGGAGCTGTACCGGTGAGGAGAGGGGGGGGGGGCGGGAAGGGGAGGGCCGGAAAGGGGAGAGGCGGGGAGGGGAGAGGGGGCCGGGGAGGGGATGGGAGGAATGCAGGTCACTCTTTGGAATGGGTATGGAGGTACCCGGTTTGGGGGCTTCAACGGCCGAAGTGGGGGCATGTGGAGCCCGGACGGAGGGCCGGTACGGTGTCGTGCTGTGGGGACACCGGGCAGACGCACGCCAGCCAGTCAGCCACAAGCAGCTGATAAGCACCCCTGCCACCTCCCTCCCTCCTCATCCTTCTCCTCCGCCCCCCCCCCCTCCGCCCCCCCTCAGCGGTGTGTACGAGGACGTGCTGGCGGTGCCGGTGACCAAGGGCCGCAAGTCCAAGAAGGAGCAGTTCGCGGGCGCCTTCTACACCACCACCGTGGAGGCGTACATCCCGGAGACCGGCCGCGGCATCCAGGTGGGGTGCGGTGGGGTGGGGTGGTACGGTAGGTTATAAGAAAACTGGTATCCCACACCTCTCCTGCCCTGTTGCGGTGCCCTCCGCACCCCATAATCCCCATCCGCACTCCCCACCCCACCTCCCTCCCCACCTCCCCACCAGGGCGCCACCAGCCACTGCCTGGGCCAGAACTTCTCCAAGATGTTCTCCATCCAGTTCGAGGACGACGACCGGCAGAAGCAGCACGTGTGGCAGAACAGCTGGGGCCTCACCACTCGCTCGCTGGGCGTGATGATCATGACGCACGCGGATGACAAGGGGCTGGTGCTGCCGCCGCGGGTGGCGCCCAAGCAGGTGGTCATCATCCCCATCCCCAAGGCCAACACGCCGCCGGAGATGGTGCAGGCAATGATGGACAAGGTGGGGGAGCGGGGAAAAATGGAAACTGACGAACTGAATGACGAGGCTTCACCATGGGGGGGGATAGTTGGCATTGGGTGGGAAGGCATGGCGCAGTAAGCCCGGGTGTGCAAGCAACCTCCTTAACAACCCCCTTAGTAACCCTATCCCGCCCCTCTCACTCCCCCCCGCCCTCCCCCAGGTGTCGGAGTTCACTGCGGCCCTGGAGGGCGCGGGCGTGCGCGTGGTGACCGACACTCGCGCCAACTACACCCCCGGCTGGAAGTACAACCACTGGGAGCTGCGGGGGCTGCCGCTGCGCATGGAGCTGGGGCCCAAGGACATGGACAACAAGGCGGTGGTGCTGGCGCGCCGCGACACGGGTAGGGTGGGGGCGGGTGGGGGGCTAGGAGGGTGGGGATGGGGGTAGCACAGTGGATGCGGGTGTGGGCTCATGGCTGGTCCATGAGGGAGGTGGAGGGGTGTGTGATACGTGTGATCTTGGCGGGTTTGGAGGAGCGACGGCAGTCCTGTGCGATGAGAGCTGCATCTCACCCCCACCGCCATCATGCCATCTCCTCTCCCCACCGCGCCATCCCCCCCCCCCCGCTCCATGATGATGCCTTATCACACGGTCAGTTAGTTGTTTTCTCTTTACCCCCGCTCCCCAGGCGCCAAGGAGTCGGTGTCCTGGGACGACGTGGTCGCCCGCGTGCCTGCGCTGCTGGAGACCATCCAGGCCGACATGTTTGCCGCCGCCCATGCCCGTACCGCCGACTGCACCGAGGTGTGCCACAGCTTTGAGCAGTTCATGACGGCGCTCAGCAACAAGCACATGGCGCTCACCCCCTGGTGCGGCCGGTTGGGAGGCGGGGGGAGGGAGGGGGAAAAGAAGAACACCCAATGTGTTGTGTTGGGGAGGGGAGGCATGGAGGGTTGTTGAGGAGAAAGGGGGCTCAGCGGGGTTGGTACGAACAAGACCTTTCTGCGAATCCTTCCCCACACCCATCCTCCTCCTGTTCGTCGTTTCCTCTTTACCCCAATCTTGTCTTTTCCTCCTCTCTTGCCGCCCACCCCTGCCCCCAGGGCCGACGAGGAGGAGATCGAGGAGGAGGTGAAGAAGAAGAGCACCACCCCGGACGCCATGGGCGCCAAGACGCTGTGCCTGCCCTTCGAGGCGCCGCCGCTGCCCGAGGGCACAAAGTGCTTCTACAGCGGCAAGCCCGCCAAGAACTGGGCGCTGTGGGGCCGCAGCTACTGAGCGAGGGCTGCGGAGGTAGCGGTGGCGGAAGCCCCAGGGAGGAGAAGGCACAGGGGAGTGCGTGTGTGTGCTGTGCGCATGGCAGGAGGCGGGAAATGAAGAGGAGGGGGTTCAGCGGCTGTGCTGAACGCCATCTGGCGCTGCTGCGCTGCGGCGGGCGTTCATGATGACAGCTGTGTGGTGGGATGGCTTGTGCCGGAGTCCGGAGCTTGAAGCGTCCAGAAGGCGTGTGTGGCGAGAGAGTGCATATGATGGGGAGCTAGGAATGCGGCGGCAGGGGTGCTGCAGGGAAGGTACTGTTTGGATGGATGTTCCGGGCAGGTAGTTAGCAGTCTGCATACTGGCCTTTTAGCTTTGGCTGTTCAAGGCCAGGAAAGCAGTGGGCGACACAGCTGCAAGTGCTGGGGTGCTGCGTGCATAGGGTGACTCGAGTTGGAATGGATGACCGCTCCTTGTGACCATTGCGCGCGAGGTCTGATGTTTAGTGTCGCCCAGACAGTTTGCGCAGTGAGCACCTTAGCAGTGGACGTTTATGACTGCCTGGATCTGTAAAGCGCGTGAGGGTGGCACTCTAGGCCGCGCATGCTGTCTTCGCTGTCTCGTACGTAGCATAGCACGCAAAGCAGCCCTGCCATGTCAACCTGGCCCAGTTGTTACAATTGCAAATCCTTAATTTATCCGAACGCGGTATCAGTATTGAATACTTACTACGCCACACACAACTTGATGTTTGCAGAACAAGTTACGAGTCGGCTCCCGCAGTTTCACATGCCTTTCTTCGGTGCATTCACTAGTGGCGTGACAATACTGGATACTATGTAACTGGTTTTAGCTTTTCATGCATAGTCCAAGCGATTGCCTGTGGAGGCTAAGCCCAGATGGGTGTGAAAGGGCTATGGAACTTGCTGGAGCCCGTTGGGCGGCGAGTGAATATCGAGGCCATTGCAAACAAGCGTTTGGCCGTCGGTAAGCACCTAACATCGCATCGGAATGCAAGGATAAGTAGATGTTAACTCCATGGCTTCATTCGCGAGAACTGGGCAACGTGCATATACCTTACTTACTGCTCACTCGCACTCGTGGATGGGAACTGGGCGCCACATACGATATAGCTTACGTCTGCGCTGGTAAACAGCTTTGGCCGGGAGCGACAGCCAGACCCTCATCCCAACATCGTTGCCCTGCAGACGCGTCCATATGGCTGTTCCAGTTCATGAAGGCCATGCGGGATGACAAGGGGGATATGATGCGCAACGCGCACTTGCTGGGCTTCTTCCGCCGGATTTGCAGGTGCGTGCGAGGTTTGCATGCCGACATGGCGTCATCATTGCCAACATGCTCGGACCAGCCGCACTCAGGACGAGCCCTACACGCACCCATGCCGCGTTCCAACGGCGTCGCTTCCATCCTAATGCAGACTGCTCTTCCACCGCGTGCGTCCCGTGTTTGTGTTTGACGGCGCCACACCCGCCCTCAAACGCCACACCAACATTGCCCGGCGGCGGCGACGTGAGGCGCAACAGGGCGTGCTTCGGAAGACGGCGGAGCGGCTGCTCATAGCGCAGCTGAAGAAGCAGGTAGGGCGATGTACCTGGGGAGGGGAAAACTGTGCAGCAGTAGTAGGGTGGGAGCACTAGCGGAAAGGTGTACGGCAGAGGCATGCACTCTAGGGGCATGCGCGGGTGAGATGTCACGTCCTCATGTCTCCCTCCGCCCGCTGTGATCCATCCCTCGACAACAGACGCTACAAACCGCCAAAGCTCAGCAGCAGCAGCAGCGCGAGGCCGCCAAGTCAGGACGCAATCCGGCAGCAGAGCGGCCCCAGCAGCCACCGCCCGGAGCAGCTCCGCCGCCCGGCGCAGACGCCCCTGCAGGACCCACACTCGCAGCCTCTGCAGACGCTGGGCCCTCCTCGGGACGTCCCTCAGGACCCTCCGCACATGCAGCACCAGCAGCACCAGCAGCACCAGCAGCACCAGGCCCTTCTGGATCGGGTGGGGGCCCTTCTGGATCCCGACCCACGGGTCTCTGGTCGGCAACCGGTACGGCTGCCTCGGGTTCTCAGCCCATGGCAGGTCCCTCCGGTTCCGCGGCCCTTGCAGCTGGCGGCAGTGGTGGTGGTGGTGGTGGTGGCGGAGGTGGAGAGGTGATCGATGTGGAGGACGAGGCGGCCATGCGCCGGCTTGCCAAGGGCAAGACGCCCATGAGCCGGGAGGAGGAGGCGGCATGGCTGGGTGGGTGGGATGTCGGCGGGAGAGAGGACATGTCACATGTGGAAGGGCGCATGGCATGGCGTGCGCAAAAGGGGAGCCGGCGGGCGAGCTGGAGTGCGTCAGCGGGGGCGAGGTTGCTGGGTCCATGCTGCGATGGATTTCCTTCTCCGCACACATGACCACTCCTGTATTCCGTTCCCGCTCGCCCGTCCTCACCCCCGCAGCTCGCAAGGCAGCTCTAGAGCTGCCTCCGCCGCCTGCCGCCCCGCCCCGGCCCGGCCCCACTCGCTCCGCTGTTCTCCAGGCGGCGGTGGCGGCGGCGGACGAGGCGCTGGCGCGGGAGCTGCAACGCCAGCTGGACGGACCCCAGCTGGGCGGGCACCGGGCAGGAGCCGTGCAGCAGCAGCAGCGGGAGCAGACCCGGGAGCAGCAGCAGCGGGAGCAGCAGCAAGGGGAACGTGGGAATGGGAACGGTGGAGCGGTTGGCAAGGCAGGAAGCGGCGGTGGAGGAGGTGGTGGAGGCGGTGCCTACGGCAGCGCTGAGGACTGGGAGGACGTCATCGTGGGCGCTGCAGCCGCCGCCGCCGCCAGCAGCGGCGGCGGCGGCGGTGTTGGTGACGATGTCGCCGCTGCCTTGGCTGCAGCGGCGGCGGCGGGGACCATATTGGAGGCTGACGCTGCTGCCATCGCTGCAGCCCTGGCGGAGGATGAGAGGGGCGGAGGTGGAGGCGGGGGCGGCGGGGGACAGGAGACTGTGGATTGGGAGGAGGATGTGGAGGAGCTGGATCCCACTGCCGGCATGCGCTTCGACCCGCTTGGTGGGTGTGATGGGCACTGCAGAGAGGTGTTGAAGGGGAATACATGCGGGCTACATGTGTGGGGGTTTGGGGGTATTTCTGGATCGTTCTTCTGGGGGCATCAATGAGTTCTGGGGCCAGTGAGGGCGTGTGGCACCGTAAGACTCTGCCTCGAGGAGAGGGGTTCGCAGCACACTCCTGTTCCGATGTTCCACCCAACACCTGCTCTCCATGTGGTGTCATATGTCCTCACAACACGCGCCAACCATGCATCCCATCCCAACCTCCAATCCGCTCGCAGCCAATGGCTACGTGCCACACGAACACCGCCGCTTGGGTCAGCAGCAGCGCGCCACCGCCGCAACCACCACCGCCACTGCCTCTGCCGCCGCCGCTGCCACCCTGCGGACCAACACTACAGCCATTGCTTCCATCTCCCAGATTCGGGACGCGGAGGCGCAGAATGGCAATGAAGGGGACGAGGATGAGGGTGAGGACGATGAGGCGGATGCTGACCTGCTGGCCTCCATGGTGCTTCCCGAGGACGTGAGCAGCATCGACCCCGCGGTGCTGTCCACGCTGCCCACCTCGTTGCAGCTGGACATCCTGGATAAGATACGGGAGGCGCAGATGGCAGGTGGGGGATGGCAGGAGGGAGGGGGAAGGGGGTAAAGAGGTAAACAACTACCGTACTAGCCGTGTGGTAAGGTTACATCATGGTTTGCAACATGTGAGCCAGCCCGACCCAAACCTTATCCCGTTATCTCAGCCCTTCCCTTGCGGCTTACCATTCCCTCCCCCTTCCTTCCTCCTCCTACCGTTACTCCCTCCCACTCCCCCCCCCCTCGCAGCCAACCGAGAGAAGTTCCAGGTGGCCGCTCGGGTGCGCCCCGAGAGCTTCAGCGAGGTGCAGATGTCCACCTACCTGCGAGCCAGTGCCTTCAGGCAGCAGCTGGAGGCGTACAAGCAGCGGCTGGGGGCGGGGGCGGGCGGGGAGGAGGGCGTGACGGTACGGAAGATCATGGGGGAGGAGGGACGGGAGTACATACTGGCGAAGGATCCGGAGCCGGGTCAGGCCGGAAGGCAGCAGAAGCAGCAACGAGGAGGAGGCGGTGGCGGTGGGCTGTTTGGAGGGAGGCAGCGGGGTGGCGGAGGCAAGGTGGATCAGTTGGCGGTGGCGGCGGCGGCGCGGGCGGCGCAGCGGAGCGCTGCTGGGGTGCTGCCGCGGCTGAATGCGGCGATTCCTCTGGCGGCGTTTAAGGGTTTAACGACAGTGGCAACCACCGCCACCGCCGCCGCAGCCACCGCCGCCGTCGGCGTCAGCGGCGGCTCTCCCGCTGCGACTGGCAAGCCTCCGGCGGCTGCGGCGGTGCCAGCGGCAGGGGGATCTCCAGCGGCGGCGGCGGGTGTCGTACCCTCTCGCGGTGCGGTGGTGGAGCTGGCGCTGTCGGGTGACGAGGGGGATGCGGTGAGCAGCGGCAGCGCCCGGGGGCTGTTTGGCAGCAGCAGCGGCAGCGGCAGCGGCAGCGAGTGGGAGGAGGATGGAAGGGACGGCGACGGCGGCGCTGCGCGGCCCATGACGCTTGGTGCAGCAGCGGGTTCCGTAGGCCTTCCGCATGCGACGCAACAACAACAACAACAACATCATCAGGTGTCTTGGATTGGTGACGGCGGCAGCGGCGGCCAGCCCGCGCCGGCAGAGGCGGCAGGCTTGGAGGATGTGGAGTGGGAGGATGTGCAGGCGGACGAGGCGGCGGTGCCCTCAGTGGCCGCCGCCACTGTGGTTGCGAGCGCGCATGCTCGGCCTCGGGACTGGCGGGAGCGGATGGTATCCCGGCAGAAGCTGTGGAGCACCAGCCATGGGTTCCGAATGGGTCGCAAGCTGGGAGACTGGGGCGGGGCGGAGGCGGCGGTGGCGGAGGGTGGCGGTGGGCCGCTGCAGCGGCGGCGGGGGAGCAGCGGCGGCGGTGGTGGTGCGGAGGGTGAAGGAGTGGGCGTGGGGGAAGAAGAGGAAGAGGAGGATGTGATGCTGCAGGAGGCGATCAGACAGAGCTTGCAGCAGGAGCAAGGGCAGGGGCAGGAGGAAGGGGAGGAGGCGGAGGAGCAGCAGCCTGGGCGGGTGCGGGGGAGAGGGGAAGCGGAGCGGCGGGATGGCAGGATGCCTGGGGCAGGCGGAGGCGGCGGTGGGCAAGGGGGGATAGCGGGGGGGGTAGGGCCATTGTCACCGGCGGTAGCGGCGGCGGCGGCTGCAACACGGCATGCCCAGCCGCGCGCTCAGGTGCCCATGCCGTCACAGCCACACAAAGCACCAGCCGCAGCTCAGCAGCAGCAGCAGCAGCAATCACAGCAACATCTGGCAATAGCGGATGAGGATGACGATGACGGGTTTGACTGGGAGGACGTGGACATGGAGGAGGGTGATGCAGCAGCGCCGCCGCCACCGCTATCGGCCGGTGGAACACCCGCCGCCGCCGCCGCCGCGCAGGCAGCCACGCTAGCAGTCGATGGCGGGTTGCCGACTGCGGGCCCCCTCTCCCCGGCGGCACGTCTCAGAGCAGTCGTTGCCGGCATGGGAGGAGGCATGGCTGCAACAGCTGCTGTTGGTGGAGCTGCTGCTGGTGGCCCCGCTGCGACAGCAGCCCCGCTGGCCCCGCGGCGGGGACCCCTGGCAGCGGCGGTGGCAGCCGCAGAAGCCTCAGCGCCTTCCCTCTCGCCGGCCGCCATCGTCCCGCAAGCCGCAGCCGCCACTGCTGCTAACACTACTGCTACCGCTGCAGAAGCAGAAGCGACGGCGGCGCCAGCGGATACGGGTGCTGCGGCGGCGGCAAGCTCCCTGCCGGCCACCCGACGAGGCTCCTCCGCCAGTCTGAGCGAGGGAGACCTCATCTGGGAGGCAGCGGCGGGGGCAGCGGTGGCGGGAGCAGGGGGAAACGGAAGCAGCATGGACGTGGACGTGAATGTGGAGGTACAGCTGGAGCAGGGGGGAGGCGGCGGAGGCGGCGCAGGACCGCCGTACTCCTCCAGTGCAGACGCGACAGCGGAGGCGGGGCAGGCTAATGCCGGCGGGCGGTCGCTGTTAGCGCTGCCGCGCCTGGTGACCCGTGGGTCGGTGGCGCCTGGGTCGGAGGCTGCTGGGGGGCAGCTTGTTGGAGGGTTGCAGCAGGCGCCAACTGCTGCTAGCGGCCGGCAGCGGGGGATTGCAGAAGCGGCGTCAGGCGACGTTGGCGGCATCAGCATGAGCAGCCCTGGAAGCGGTGGCGGTAGCGGGTTGCTGTCACTGATCAACAGCGCCAGTCGACGACTGCTGGATGGGCTATTGCCGTCGTCGTTGCAGGTTTCGGAGCCGCCGGCTGGGGTGACGGAGGGGCTGAGAGGCCGACGGGAGGGAGGCGGCGGAGTTGGGGAAGGGGAAGGGAGGGCTGTGGGTGCGGCTGCAGAGCGAAGAGTGGAGGGCGAGGAGGAAGGTGGGGGAGCTGGAGGAAGTACGGAGCTGGAGTTTGACTTTGACTTTCTGGAAGAGGAAGAGGAAGAGGAGGCGGAGGAGGAGGCGGTTGCTGGAGAGGCAAAGGCGGCAGCAGCTAGGGAAGAGGACACGGCTGCCCCCGGGGAGGAGGTGGCGGCAGGGGAGCTAGACAACGTGGACTTTGGGTTCATTGGGGAAGAGGAGGAGGAGGAGGATGATGGGATTGAATGGGAGGATGCGGAGGCGGGCAAGGAAGAGACAGAGGAAGAGGTTGGAGCGCCTCCTGCCTCGCTTCCTGCAAGGGAAGCCCCAGCCGCAGGCACAACTACGACGCCTGCGGTGGCGGTGGCGGTGACAGGGACTCGGGCACTGGCGTCGGCTCAACAGCAGCAGCACCACCACCACCACCACCAGCTCAAAGAGCAGCATGTGACGCAAGCACCGCAGCAGGAGCGCATGCCACCTCCAGCAGTCCCCTTCTTCCAGCCTCCTCCACCTCCTGCTCCTCTGCCTCCTCCCAGCCAGCAAGCCCATTACCCTCATGTGCCGCCGCTGGCAGCAGCAGCGTCCGCAGCAGCCCGGGTGGCTGGAAGGGGCGCGGGCGGGGAGGAGGATGAGGACGCGGGGGAGGAGGCGGCGGACGATGCCGACTGGTTCGATGAGGACCCCGATTACGTGCCCGCACGCGATCGCCATGCCTTCGCGCCGACCACCGCAAGCAGGAACAACAACAACGCAGCAGCAGCCTCCTCTAGCGTCGCAGTGCCACCGCCGCCGCCAGCGCTGGCAGGTACGGCAGCCTCCCAGAGCCTGCCGTACTGCCCGCCTCCCAACAGTGGGGGGTACCCATCAAGAACGGATGCCGGATGGACCCCAGGTGGGGATATGCCGACCGCGGCACGGACCGCGGAGGCTGCTTCTGCGGTGACGGCGGCGGCAGCGGCAGCGTCGGGCTGGCCACATCCTCCGCCGCCACCGCCGACTGGTGGCTCAGCGGGGGCAGCTGGTGTCCCAGCTGGGGCTTACGGCGGTGATGCGGCGGCTGCTGCTGCAGGCACGGCTGCCTCGCTGGACGAGCTGCTGGAGGAGGTGGAGGCGGAGGAGGCACAGCTGAGGAGCGCTCAGGTGGGGGGGTGGGTGGGCGGGTTGGTGCCGGTAGGTATATGCCGGCCCCCCCGAGCACCCCTTGATCCCCTTCTGTCCAACCGCACACCCACACCCACACTCGGCTCCTACGGAGTTTCTGTGGGGGCTTCATCTTCCGGCAGTCACTGTATGTTCTAACTCGCGGCCAGTTTTCTAAACGCCCACCCACCCACACACCCCCGGCTCCCCCCAGGCTCGCGCCAGTCGCAATTTGGAGGCCCCCACCAGCGAGATGTACGCGGAGTGTCAGGAGCTGCTGCAGATGTTCGGACTGCCCTTCATTGTGGCGCCCATGGAGGTGGGGGGGAGGAGGGAGGAAGGGAGGGGCAGGGAGGGAAAGAACGAGGAAAGAACGAAGAACAGGCATGTTGTGAACGATAGCGGTAGCCCTTGGGAGGGAGCGGGGAGGGAGAAGGTTGGGCAGCTTTGTTGTAGGGATCCTCGCATTTCTCCGGCTGCCTTCTCCTGTCCCCCTTCAAGCATGTCTCCCCCCCGGTGCCCTGCTTCCTCAGGCTGAGGCCCAGTGCGCCTACCTGGAGATAGCCGGGCTGGTGGACGGGGTGGTGACGGACGACAACGACGTCTTCCTCTTCGGCGGGAGACACGTGTACCGACACATATTCGAGAACAAAAAGTAGGAGGGGTTTGGTGGGTGGGTGGGTGGGTGGGTGGGTGGGTGGGTGGCATGCGTTGGGCGGAGCGGGGTGAGGGATGCTGATACTCTGAGGGCACTCGGTGCAAGGACTCCCCGCTCCTCTCATACGGAACTGCCCTTCTCCTGTCAACGTGTTTACTTGGTGCCGTTCACTCGGTCATTCACTAGGACAAGGACCATTACTGCTCTGCGCTTCACCAGGGCTCCTTGCAGTCATTGCGAGGTGTCTGTGTCGTGGCCCCACCTTTGCAAGCTGTTTCTTAATGTGTTGTGGCCCCACGTCGGTGCCTTCCCCCACTCTCTCTCTCAACCTCTTCTTTCCCCCCCCTCCCCCCGGCCATCAGGTACGTTGAGGAGTATCTGATGGCGGATGTGGAGCGCGAGTTGGGGCTCAGCCGGGAGCGGCTGGTGGAGATGGCGCTGCTGCTGGGAAGCGACTACACGGAGGTGAGGGGGTTTGGTGGGGGGATTGGAGGGGGGCTGGGAAGGAAGGGGGCACGAGTCTGGACTGCACGAGTCGGGACTAACAGAGGGGTTGGGATTACAGTGCTTTAACTCTTCTCTCCTTCTTGACTCCTCTCCCCTCCTGCCCCATCGGGTATTCCTCGATTGCCGTACTGCCCCCCTCTGCCCCCCCCCCCCAGGGCTGTGCGGGTATCGGTATCGTTAACGCGCTGGAGGTGGTGCAGGCGTTCCCCGGGCGGGGGGGGCTGACGCGGTTCAGGCAGTGGGTGGAGGCGCCGGATGCCGGCATAGTGGCAGCGGCTCGGCAGCTGGCGGGGGAGGAGGCGGGGGAGGGTGGGTGGGGGCGGGCGGGGAAAAGAGCCATCGTGGGTGTGGCCATGTCCCTGACTCTAGTGACGTCATGTATCAAGAAGGTATGGCTTACCTACGTGGCCCTTCACGCACGTTCACTTAACTACCGGTATCCGCTATTAATTACTCTCCCTCCCCGCCCTGCCAGTTGCTGAATAGGTAACCCTGCCATCCCCCCCCCGGTGCCCATCCCCCCCCCCGGTGCCCACCCCCCCCGGTGCCCCCCCCCCCCCCCCCGGTGCCCCCCCCCCCCCCCCCCGGGTGCCCATCCCCCCCCGGTGCCCATCCCCCCAGGTGACGCCCTGCCTGACGACAGCCCCGCCCAGCGCGCCTTCAAGCGGCAGCACCGCGGTGTGCGCCGCAACTGGCAGCTGCCGCCCTCCTTCCCCTCAGCCCCCGTGCTGGAGGCCTACCTGCAGCCCCGATTGGACCCAAACAAGGCGAGGTTCAGCTTCGGACGGCCCGACCTGGGGCTGCTGCGGCAGTTCTGCAGGTGGGTGGGTGCGCCGGTCGAAATACCGGTAGACCAAACCATAGGAAACCACGAATGGGCAACACAGGTGGAGGGGTCAAAAGACACATCAACAACTACTACAGTTATTATCGGTTATCGGGTTCCTCTGTGTTGTCCACTGTGAACTATAACTGACTTAATGAGCCATTCGCAGTATTATAGTCACTACACGGCAAGAGCTACAGTCACGGCTACGGTGTAGGCGATGAACCCCACGCACGCCGCTTTCTCCATGTTCACTATGTCAATAGACCAAACCATAGGAAACCATGAATGGACAAAACAATGGGGGAATGAGGTGGGGCGGGCGGGTAGGTGGTTGGGTGGGTTGGGATTTCAGTGCTTTCCTTCTCACTCCTCCCCCCATCCTCACTCCTCCTCCTCCTCCTCACTCCTCCTCCTCACTCCCCACTCCTCCTCCTCCTCCTCCTTTCCCGCATGCAGCGACAAGTTCGGCTGGGCTCCCTCCAAGGCTGACGAGCTGCTGCTGCCGGTGCTACGAGAGTACGACAACCGCCAAACACAACTGCGCATGGAGCAGTTCCTGTCCTTCAGCACGCGCTTCGCCAAGATCCGGTCCAAGCGCCTTCAGGGCGCCGTGGCGCGGATCACGGGGCAGGACCCCGCGGAGGGTGAGAGAGGGCTGGGGCGGGCGGGGGTTGGGACTTGGGACTGGTGGAAGACATGGGGTAATGAGGAGGCAACTAACTGACCGTGTGATAAGGCGTCATCATAGGTGGTTAGAGAGGCAACCAACAGGGTGGGTAAAGGGGAAACGGGGTGGGGGGGGGGTGAAGGTATGAATGATGAGCGTCGACGAGGGAAGCACACACACAGCCGCCATGCGAAACACAGCTGCATGGGACAAGGGACATACTGCTGCTGCTGGGATGCCACCTCCTTTGCTGGCAGCGCATGCACCATGCCGGTGCTGCTCTCTTCATTCCTCCCGCCCTCTCACACACACCTCTCTCTCACTCACTCACTCCCCTGCATCCCCCCCTCCCCCGCATCCCCATCCATAGAGCTGGTGTTGGGTGCTCCCGTGCAGCTCACTCCCGGCCGCCGCGGCAGGGGGACGGCGAGGGGAGGAGGTGCCGCTGCTGCTACCGACGGCGCCACTGCCGACGGGGAGCGTCATGGGGTGGGGGCGGGTGGTGCAGGTCAGCAGGAGGCAGGCGGTGCGGACGAGGAGGCAGGGGAGGAGGCAGGAGTGGGGGGAGAGGCGGCACCGCAGGGGGTCCAGGTAGCGGAGGAGGAGGCGGTCGGAGAGGGCGGCCGGGGCCGAGGGAGGGGAAGAGGGAGAGGGAGGAGCAGCAGGGGGCGAGGCAGGGCAGGTGGGGGCGAGGCAGGGGTCCCTGGAGGAGATCAGGACGCGGGTGCAGTGGTGGTGCGAGGTAGGGGCCGGGGGCGGAGTGGCAGAGGGAGGGGGAGAGGCGCCGGCAGAGGCGGCGACGGTGCACCGGAGGCGCCGGAGGCACCGGCGAGGAAACGGCGGAAGACGGCATCAGCAGCAGCGCCTGCGGATACGTTGACTGGCGATGAAGCCATGCAAACGGGTGCAGGTGGCGACCCGGATGAGGCTGGGGCGGCGATCACGGCCGGCGCGAATGGGAATGCTGCAGCCTCGGGGTCGAGAGCGAGGGCGGCAGGGAGGGGAAGGGGAAGGGGAAGGGGGCACGCTGGAGTCAGGGCGGCGCGGGGGCGCAAGCGACGGCGAGCCGCGAGTGATAGCGAGGACGCGGGGAGCAGCGAGAAGGAGGAGGAGGAGGAGGAAGCATTGGTGGGTGGAATGGGCGAGGTGTGGGAGAGCGGCAACGAGGAAGAAGAGGAGGAGCAGGAATCCCAGGACGAAGGGGTGGAGGAGGAGCAGGATGTTTAGTACATATACCGGTGTATACGGCGAGGGGTGGTGAGAGGTGGAGAATGGGTGAGAGGAAGCAGGATGCAAGTGACATGTGTGTGAAGGCGTGCAGGGCTGCGAGCGGATAGTGAGCTGGGGAGTGAGTACTAACATAAGAGCCGGGGGTGAGCCGGGGTGACGAGCGTACGTGTGGCGATGTAACTTCAAGATGTCTATAGCCCGTGAGAGGGAGAGGGGGACCCGAGGAGGGGAGTATATAGCAGGTTGGCTGCGGGAGGGGGAGGGGGTCAAAGAGAGACCAACCCGTTGTCAACTTACAATGGAGGGAGGCTGCGCGGATGTCCATGCAGATGTCCCAAAGAGGATAAAGTGGAAGCCATTCTTTTGACACCGTGTCCATGACTTAATCCGCCAGGACTTAAATAGCAGTCATGTACTCAGACAACCCTGCCTGCACGCATGCAGAGGAGCAAGCACATGTGTGACAGCAGCTGGCAGCAACAAACGGCCTCCTTGTGTGCCTGTGGACCTGATTACCGGTATGTGTCGAGCCCTGTTTCAGCTCTTATACCACGTAAGCGTGGAGCTCGGCTTACGCAACCCAGCGTAAAACCACTTTTACGGCAAGTACGCATAGCAGTGCACTGCCGCCTTCGAGGCATTGTTCCGAGGCGGAACGGAAGGACTCTGGACCTCGCCACGCCCTCAACTCCCATCCTCCCTCCCACCCTCACACCCATCTGCCCCCACACCCCGCCCCGATCCCAACCGCGATGCATGCAACCTCAAACCACCTCCTCCTCCTCCTCCTCTCCCTCCTCATTACGCCACAACAGCCGGCTCTCGTTCCGCCGCCGACCCCACCTCCGCGGCCCCTGCTGCCTCCTCTGCCCTCGCCGCCTGCCCCTCCGCCTCTGTCCCCGCTGCCGCCCCCTTCCCTCCCGCTGCCCTGCCCGCCCTGCCGCCCGCCGCTGCCGCCGCCGCCGCCCGCCTCCTCGCCACCTCAAGGTGGATGAGCAGTGCGGATATGTCGGCGGGACTCACGCCGCCGATGCGGGAGGCCTGCCCGATGTCACGCGGGCGGACCTGCAAGCGGTGAAGTGGTGTGCGAGGGGTGTGTTGAGGTGTGAGTCGAGGACGTTCCGCAGCGGGCGCAACTGCAGAGGCCGGAACCTACACAGACCGCAACGTGTAATAAACTGAGCCTAGCCTAACGCCAGCAACCCCCGTCCGTCCATGTACCCACCTTGGCCAGCTTCTCCCGCGCTTCCAACGACAGCGTCGCAATGCCCGCGTAATCCAGATCCGCCGGTAGCGGTCGGGAGGCTTTGGACGCGAGCGACGCCAGCTGCTTCTCCTGTCGCGTGATGAAGCCCGCGTACTTGATGTCCACCTCCGCCGCCTCCGCCTCCACCCCCGCCAGCCCCTCCCCGCCTCCCAGCCCGTGCTGCTGCAGTAGGTGGTAGTGCACGTGCGGCCGCCGCAGCAGCTCCTCCAGGGTGGGGCTGCCGGGGACTGCGTGGCCGGACACGGAGGCTGCCGCCTGGGTGGGAGGGGTGAGGGGTGGGGGGAGGAAACATAAATGAGAAGTGAAGCAGAGTGGGGGATGGGTGGATTGGGGGGTGGGGGAGGTGTAGGATGGGAGGGCGAGGAGGTGCGGCAGGTAGGGGGATGGACCGTAGGGTAGGTAGGGAGGAGGCATGGAGGGGTCAGACAGCATGGCACAGCATGGCAAGGCATGCGGTGCGGGCGCGTTTCATTCAGGTCATGGACTGACCCACGGGTCAGGAAAGAGGAGTGTACAGAGCCAGGCGGGGTGCCAGAGACTGTGTGTCCGCTACCGCTACTCAGGTATATACAACCAGCTAGGCGGGCTGCGCCACTTGCCGCTCCCCTCCCCCCTCCCCTCTACCTGCGCCAGGGGTGAGTCCGCCTTCACGCGTGTGGCCGCCAATCGGGCTTTCTCCGTCTCGATGCGCGCCTGCTTGGCGGTGAAGAGCTCCCACCTGGTGCAGGAGGGGGTGAGGATGAGGATGATAAATGAGGATCATTAACGAGGATGAAAACAGGAATATAGATGGGACTGAAACCTGGCAGCGCTCTACGCTGCCCCCCCGGCCCCACTACCCCAAACCTCCCCCCCCCGCCCCACCTTCGGTCGTCTATGAGCCCCACCTCCCGCCCCAGTGGCGTCAGGCGGCGGTCCGCGTTGTCGGATCGCAGCAGCAGCCGGTACTCGGATCTGGAGGCGGGTGGGCGGGGTAGGGGAGGAAGTGGAGAGGAGAGGAGAGGGGAAGGGAAGGGTAATGGTAAAGAGAAACACAAACCATGATGACGCCTCATTGCACGGTTCTCATTGCTCCTCTTTACCCCGTCAGTTGATTCCTCTTTTCCCTCACCTGCTGGTCAGCATGCGGTACGGCTCCCGCAGGTCCTTGGTCACCAGGTCGTCAAGCAGGGTGCCCAGGTAGGAGGACTCGCGCGGCAGCGACACGGGCGGGCGGCCCTGCGCGCGAAGGCCCGCGTTCAGACCCGCCACCAGACCCTGAGCAGCAGCCTCCTCATAACCTGGGGTGCGTGGGGGGATTGGGATTGTTAGCAGGCGGGGTTGGTGCGTGCACGATGCCGCCCCCTTCCGCATGTCCCATGCACCCCGGTACCGACCCGTGGTTCCGTTGAGCTGTCCGCTGAAGAACAGCCCCTGCAGCTTCTTGGTTTCCAGGGAGGGGTGGCACTGGTGCGCGGGCAGGTAGTCGTACTCCACCGCGTAGGCGGGGCGCAGCATCTTGACGCGCTGCAGGCCGGGCAGGGTTTGGAGCAGTGCCAGCTGCAGGCGCTCGGGGAGGCCGGTGCTGAAACCCTGGGGGGGTGGGGGGGGGGCAGGGGATCGTACGAGAACATAGGAAACCACAGGTTAGGGAACAGCAGAGGGGATAGGAGACGGCAGGGCGGAACCCTGGGGTTGAGCAGGGGGAAAGCAGGGGAATGTAGTCGGGGTGTCTTCGCCCTCACCTCCCTCTTCGCGCCTGCCCTCCCAGCCGCACCCCTTCCCCCCGCCCCCTCCCTACCTGCACATACATCTCGGGCGTGTTCCTGCCCTCCGGCTCCAGGAAGATCTGGTGGCTCTCCTTGTCCGCGAACCGCACAATCTTGTCCTCGATGGAGGGACAGTAGCGGGGACCCTGTTTGGGGGTGGTGGTGGAGACATACCAAAACCACAGGTTATGGTAAAGCAGTGGGGACAGAGGGAAGCAGTTGTCACGAGGAGGAGTCGAAGGGCACGCAGGTTAATGCCACGGTAGCCCCGCGCAGGATTGGAGTATTATCCAGACAGCCTGTGGCTAGCAGGTAAGTGCCTATATCGTAACCACGGATTGAGGTTCCCCCTCACACCACCCACAACCCACAACCCACTGCCCACCTTGCTGTCCACCCAGCCTCCGTAGATGGGCGTCTCCTTGAGGTTCTCCCGTATGAGGCGGTGCGTGTCGGGGGTGGTGCGCGTGAGGTAGCAGCACAGCTGAGGGCGCGGCACGTGAACCGCGGGGTCGAAGCTGAACCAGCGCTCCTGAGGGACGGGGGGGGGGGTGATGTGCGTGTTAAGACAACTGGCCGCGAGCAGGGACGTTCTGTGATCGCCGGAAGATGAAGTCCTCCCACAGAAACGCCACAGAAGCCGGTGTGTGGGGGAGGGTGGGGTGAGGTGGAGTGCGGTGGAGGGAGGAACGAGGGGTGCGGTGAGGGGAGCGGCAGGGGGAGGTGGGGGCGCATGGACGTGTGCTGCTGAGATAGCGGGCGGGGCTTGAGGGGCAGAGGGACGCTGACGAGGGGAACGCGCTCAGCCGCTCTCGGACCTACAAATCCATCAACTACCCAGCTCGACACCTCTCCACCCAGCACACCCAGCACATGTGCGCCCTCCCCACCGCATGCCAGCCCGCACGGGCACCGCTCCCTTCCTTCCCTTCCGAAACCCTATAAACACACCTCCCTCGCCACCCCACCGCACCCCATCCCATTCGGACAGGGTGGGATGGTCCTGCCACCATGTTTGCACCCCTGGCTCACATGTTGCAAACCATGATAACGCCTTCTCGCACGGTTTGTCAGTTGTTTCCCCTTTACCCACCTCCTCGTCCCCCGGCTGCGGCTCCAGTGCGGTGTAGTCCACGGAGCGCGCATCGATGCGGGCCGGGGTGCCGGTCTTGAGGCGGTCCGTCTCGAAGCCCAGGCCCTGCAGCGCCTCCGTGAGACCCACGCTGGCGGCCTCGCCGGCCCTGGGGGGAGCAGGAGGAGCAGGAGGAGGAGGGTGGGGTGGGGTGGGCTGGGGTGGGGTGGGCTGGGCTGGGGGGTAAATAAAGATACATATTATAGGCTGGATGTTAGGATTGCGTATAGCTAAGGGTTGGGGTGGGGTGCAAAGAGGGAATTGGTGAGCTGTATGACGAGAGGGGTGGGAGGGGGGCAGTTGGAAACGTACGGTAACAAAGGGACCACCATTCCTCTACTGTTTCGTGATAAACGGCTTCCCTCTATCCCCATTGCTTTGCCCTAACCTGTGGCTTCCTATGTTATGTATGGTCTCTGACCCCCCGCCCGCCCGCCCCCCCCCCCCTACCTTCCCGCCGACGTTATGTATGGTCTTTGACCCCCCCCTACCTTCCCGCCGACATGCTTTGCCGGCCCACCCAGATGGTGCCGTTCATGAAGGTGCCGGTGGTGAGCACCACCGCGCGGGCGCGGAAGGTGATGCCGAAGTAGGTGCGCACGCCGCGGACCTCGTCGTTGGGGCCCACGTCTAGGCCCACCACCATGGCCTGCATGGAGGGGGGTCGGGTTAGAGCGCAAGGAAACAGGTGGGAGGGGCGGGAGGGGCAGGGTTGCAGTGCAGGAGTTGCAGCCCAGAGTGGGGCTGGGCTGGGACGCCGTGCGATCTCCCTTCTACCGGCCCCCCGCCCCCGCCCCCCACCCCACCCCCCGCACCTCGTCACACAGCTCCTCAGTGTCCCTCCCTCTTCCATCCCGCACCTCCCACCCCCCACCTCGCACCTCCCCCAGTTGCTGCACTCCTCATGTTTACCCCCACCCCCCCACCTCTCGTCCAACACTTTGTCTTGTGGCACCCTGCCAACTCCTACCCCCATTGCTTTGCCCTAACTTGTGGTCTCCTATGGTTTGGTATGGTCTTTGACCCCACCTCTCGTATCTCCAGCCCCGGCTGCTCCTCCAGCACGCGCCGCATCCCCCGCGAGTACTCCGCCTTGTCCGTCTGCGCGCGCAGCGCCCACACCGCCGGCCCTTTACTGCGGTTGAGCACCCGCTTCTGCAGGTAGGTGCGGTCCGCCATGCGCCCGATCTCGCCACCCAGCGCATCCACCTCGTGAACCAGCTGGGACTTGGCGGGGCCACCCACCGCGGGGTTGCAGGGCTGCGGGAGGGTGGGTGGGAAGGAGGGGCGGGAAGGGAAAGGAGGAGGAGGAGGAGGAGGAGGCATCACACGGTTCGTTAGTCGTTTCCTCTTTACCCACCCGTCCCCCCATAACCCATATACGCATGGTGAAGCCTTGCCACAACGTCTAGTGCTTCCTCTCTACCCGCTTTCCCACCACCCACCCGCCCACCCGCCCCACCTGCCATGCAATGCGGTCAAGGTTGAGGGTCAGCAGCAGTGTACGGCAGCCCAGCCGCGCAGCCGCCAGCGCCGCCTCGCAGCCGGCGTGGCCCGCACCCACCACAATCACGTCATAGTCCTCCTCCGCGTACCAGCTGCTGGGGCTGCTGGTCCTGCTGGGGGTTAGGCTGGAGCCGGAATGGGTGGTGCTGCTGGCGAAGATGTGGGGCCCGGAGGTGGTTGGGGTGGTTGGGGTGGTTGGGGTGCTGGGGTTGGAGTTGGTGCTGCTGCTAGCGGCGGTTGAGGTGGAGGCGGTGGCCGAGGGTGCGGGCGTGGGGTGGTCAGCTGCAGGTGCTGTTGCTGCAGCTGACGAAGACGTCTGTAGGCGGAGGATTGGGTCGATAGTGGTGATACTAGTGAGGTGTGGTTAGTGGGTTGTGGGTTGATGAGGGCGACAAGCGTACGGCGGGATGGGGGCGCAAGGCGGCTGCAGCATGTACGAATGACCCCACAGCAAACCCAAGTCACCCCGCAGTATGAAAGCTTCGGTATCGCGAACTGGGTTACATTTCGGCTTGTAGGATTGAAGCTGTGGGAGTGACAAGGGTGGGGGCTACGGGCAAGCGCATGACGCACCGTGCAGCACTGTCGCCTGGCGCAGGGATGGTGGAGCGTTGGCCGCCACGAGTTGGCCCCAGCAAGCGCAGGCGCCACAGGAGCTAGCAGTTGCGGCACACTGACGGGAGCTCGTAGTAGCTTATGAAAGGTAGCTGAAGCCATGGGCGCCGAGGTCAAGGCTTTCATAAGCAGCTGCGCTATCCTTAGTAAATTCGCTAGTCTGGTGGAATTAACGCTTGTTGTGAACCGTTAGACAATTTTGCAAGCAATTCGGCTTTCCGCTGCTTTGATTCTGTCGGAACCCATATCCCACCAAGACTTCCAACCGGCAATGTCGTACAAATAAGATTGGGCACCACTGCTTTGCTGAGGAATAGGAACTGTTTCAAAATGTAACAGACGCTGATGCATAGATCTGAGGCTTTTGACTATTCATTGCGGAACCTCTACCAAAACCAGGGCGTACTCTCTACTTGGCAGACATCAGCTTCTAATCCAGCTGAACATACTGGTCATTCAACGTATTCAGATAGGATGCCTTAGTATATCGTGAAAAGCTCTATTGCTTCTCCTCCCTGAACGGAAAATCGAGCTTCCTCGTTCTTACCAGTGACTTTCCAGCCATGTCGGACTACGAGGATGAGGAGTTCGAAAATTACGAGGAGGATGACTTTGAGGTATCCAGACCCGGACATCTTTATTGCTTAGACTTCCAATGGCATGTCGAGGGTCGCTTCGCCAAGTGCCCTTAATACACGCCCCTGAGTCTCATCCCTCGCATACACGGCAACACCTGTATGGTTGCAGGTGGAGGAGGATGACGATGACGACTACGACGTGCTGCCCAAAACAAAGGGCGCAGCACCCGCCCAAGCGACCGCCTTGAAGGAAGTACCCTCCCCGCAACGCGGCCCCATGCGGACGTCATATCCTGGCAACGGACGGCCTCCTTCGGGAGGAGCAGGCCAGGGCTTTCTATCCCGGCCAGGTACGAATCCCACCATCCAGGGCTTCCCCGCGTCTCCCTCCTTGCTCAGCGCTCCTACCCTAGCCGATGCTCGCTGCCCGCTATATCCCTCCCTCCCTCCCAACATCCCACCCCAGCCCCGACCGCCGCCCTGGACATTCCCTCCTTTGCGGGCCTTACGGACGCGCAGCGCCGCTCCGCCAAAAAGAAGCTGGCGGGCGCCATCCAGCGCCGCAAGCAGGTACGGTACGGTACCCCAGCTGAGCTGAGGGGGCTCAGGTTAACGGGGCTTTTGGGAAATGTCGGCGCGGTGGACCGTCGTGGTGGTGGTGGCCGGACGTCATGAACGTCTGCCATAACAAGGCATACCGGTAGAGTGGCATGGGCATGCGCGAACGAGGACCAGCTGTGCCGTCTCCAGCGTCGAAGGCTACCGGTGGTAACCAACACCTCTCACGCCTGCCCTCCATCTCCGCCCTCCTTGCCCTTCGCCTCCCTGTCCTCCGCCGCTCCCCCTCCGCCGCCCCCCCTCCGCAGGTGAAGCTCTGTGTGGTGGTGATGGACGACTTCCCGCAGCTGCAGTCGCTGAGCAAGTACGAGCTGTACAACATGGGGCGCTCGCAGTACGCGGGACTCAAGGTGGCCTCCGCGCAGACGCATGAGGATGACAAGGACGAGGAGGCGCAGACGGACGAGGTGGGGGCGGGTGGGAGGGCGGAAGCAGGGCGGCAGGGTCAGGAACTCGGAGGACTGAGTTGCTCGCGCCCCGGTCCGGCACGCGGCCATTCTTCCCACCCCCAAACCCCCTTGATACGCAAACCCCCCCACCCCAAACGCTGCCCCTGGCTTTCCCCGCTCAGATCTACCCGCGCGACTACAGCTGCCAGGTGCCCGAGGACCGCAGCACGGTGTTTGAGGGCGAGCACACGCTGTCAGCGGGCGGGGTGGTGGCGGCGGCGGGTGCGGACGGCGGGCTGGGGGCGGCGGCGGGCAACCGCGCTGTGATGCGGATCACCGCCATGGCACCCGACCAGGAGAGCAAGCTGCTGTCGTTCATGCGCTGGGCGGGACCCATCATGCTGGCGGCACTGGGCATGAACCCAAGTGAGCGGCGGGAGGGCTTTGGGGAAGAGGAGGGGGATGCGGAGAGGTTAACCGGAGCACAGGGTGTATAAGGGAGGGAATGTTGGAGGAACGGGCTAGGTTGCTGGGTGAACGGGCGAGGCTGGGCAACGGGCTGTGGTCGGCCTCCGATCCAGCGGTTGTAGGGAAAGGCGTACACACGCGCAGCCCCGCTGGGAGTTTTGCCCTGCGAGAGTCACACGTACGACATACCCTAAGCGCGATGTGTGTGTGGGGGGTACCTGCTTGCTTGCTCCCGCCCGCAGCTGCTAAGAAGCTGGCAATCAACGGCTGGGGCAGCCTGGACCCGAGTGCCGGCGGCATGTCGGCGGGCAGCAGCAAGCTGGGCCAGCAGCACGAGGCGCTGCTGGGGCAGCGGCCGGTCACGGGGAGCGCCTTCTGCCAGGGTCCCAGCCCGCTGCTGCTGGCGGCGTATGCGCCGGTGGGGGCGCAGCTGGGCGCCGCGGCGCTGCTGCAGGTGAGGAGCTGCCCGCTGGGCTGTTGCACATGCATGCGCACGAGTTTGACTTTGATAGCGGGGTTACCATGATTATCCCACACCTTAGGGGTCTGAGGTTGAGAAGCGAGCCGGCCAAAAGAAGGGCCCGGTACACGTGTTGCTACCCATTGAGGTCTTATCTCACCTGCGTATCCTCACTGGCTTCACCTTCCACGCTTCCTTTCTTGGTTCGAACCGCATCCTGTTCAGGACCACACGCTCAACTCCAAGGGCGTGCTGTGCGTGTGGGACCTGAGCGCCACCTCCGCTCCCGCCGCGGTGATGGTCAGCGAGGGCAGCCCCTCCTGCTGCTGCTGGGCACCCGCGCCCTCCACCTCCCTCGTCTTCGCAGGTACGAACCCTACGATGCACACCCCACCCTGCACCTCTGCTAACATTGCGCTGAGTACCGTGATCGACATGGTACACTCACATGCACGCCGTCTGTTTTGACATCAACCTGTGGGAGATGAGATTCATTAGCACCACCGGCGCCAGCCTACAAGGCGGCACCCAACCACCGTCGGCTTCAGCGCCTTACCCGCATCCGCGCTCTGGTTCCTTCCCTTCCTTCCCGCCTGGTTGCCGCAGGCATGGAGGAGGGCGGCGTGTGCGCTTGGGACCTGGAGGAGCCGGACTCGCGGCACCCGCTGGAGAGCATCAACGGGCTGACGCTGTTCACGCGGCGGCCCTCCTACACCACCGAGTACCTGGCGGATGTAGCCACCACCGCGGCGCCCATCGTGGGCATCGCCGCAACACCGCTCAGTGAGTCATGACCCCTCATGACCCCTCATGAGGCTCCTTAGAACAGAGCGGGCTGTGGGGTGGCTGAGGGGTGTGGCGCAAGAAGCAAATATCACAAGCACACACCGTTACGCTGCGTTTGTTCATAATTAACGAGGGTTACCCTGTTGGAAATCCGCTCCGTTCCATGCCGTCGTCAGCAGTCCCGTCCCGTCCTTGCCTTCTGCAATCCATCCACTGCCTTCCATGGCCTCCTCAGTTGACCCCAAACCCTCCGCCCGTATGCTTCGCCCTCCCACCCCACCCCACCCTCAGCGGAGAGCCGCTCCCGGCCCTGCCAGGTGATCAGCCTCAACGGTTGGGGCACCGTCACGCTCTACACCGCCGCCCTGCTGGCGCCGGCGGAGCGCAACGCGGCGGATGCGGACATCGGGCTGCGGCCCGGCAGCCGCCTCAAGCTGGTGCGCACCACGCAGCTGACCAGGCTGGGCATGCGCACGCTGCAGCCGCTGCTGCCGGCGCGGGGGGCTGCCATGGCGGCGCAAGGGAAGGAGCAGCTGGCGGGTCTGGACCAGGTGGGGTAGGGGCTTGACGGTTTCGTACCGGTACATAATCGTTTGGCTTTTTGGGTCACCATGCTACGTGCTGTAGGTGTAGAGGAGAGGTTCCAGACATTTTATGTGGGGCTGCTGGCGACCTGCTGCTGCTCAGTTTCCCTTTCTGTGCTGCCGATTAACACTAAACGCCAGCTCGCACCTTCCGCCCTTTGGCCCATCCCTTATCCTTGCAGATGGTGCAGACCTTCTCGCTGCAGGTGCTGCCGGGCGCCGACATGCAGCTGCTGGCGGGGGCGGATGCGGGCAAGGTGCTGCGCGGCTCCATGGTGGGGGCGCCACCCGCGCCCAAGGAGTACGTGCCTGACGACCACCAGTCGGCGGTCGCCAACCGGCCCTCAGCCAACTTTGTGGCCTCCTGCGTCACCTGCCTGCACGCCTCGCCCTTCCTGCCGCACGCCTTTGTGTCGGGGCACAGCACCGGCACCGTGGCGCTGCACAGCGTGCATGGCTCGACGGCTGCGGCGGTGTGGCCGGATGTGTCGCGCGGCAAGGTGCTGGTGGTGCGCTGGTCGCCGGTGCGGCCCGCGGTGTTTTACGCGCTGGACTCACTGTGCACGCTCTTCACGTTTGACCTCACGGTGTCGCGCACGGCGCCAGTGTCTGCGCAGTCCTTCATGCTAAAGGTGAGGAGGGCAGGGGCTCTGTTGGTGTGCGACCCTGGGGACGTACCTTCCTGTCTTGCTGCATTGCGGAATGGGCGTTAAAGTGCCTGTTGACCCAGATGAACTATGCCTGAATTCCTGTGTCCTGATCCCGTTTCGTGTACGCGCAGGACAAGGGCAGGCAGGTGCCGTCCTTACCGACGTACTTTGACATAGCGATGGTGCAGACGGGCGACGAGGGGGCCAAAGGCAAAGGCACCCCCGTTTTCTGCGTGGGCTACGATGACGGGTTGTTAGATGTCAACCTTTTGTCCCAGAAGCAGGCCACCCCTGCGGATGAAGAGTTGCAGGTGGTGGAGGACATAGTGCGTGGCGTTGCGGGCGCGGCCACCAAGGTTTGCGCTCGGTGAAGGCACGACGTGGCATAGACATACGCTGTAGAGCATGCGATTGCGCTGGTTGGTGTTTTGCACTATAGAAAATCCTTTATATAGATGTTTCTGTAGCATACGGCGATGGAAACCCTGTGAGTAAAGCAGTACACCTCCGGTGGTGTACGGCTACGACGGCATATTAGTGGAAATTCAGCTTGCCCAATTTGCAATCTGTGGACGTAATAACTTGCTGTTGACCTGAAGGAATGAGTAGGTATCTTTAAGTTCTTAGCTTTTACGCTGGGAACGTTGTAACTTTTTGCCAATTACTACGAAGCGGGCCGCCAAGGCCCAAGGGCGAGGATGGGGTGCATAGCTTCGAAAGAGGACGCAACGGAACTTAGGGCGACTGCTCGGTAAGCACTTCATAGCTGTTATGTAAACAAGGAGCATACGCCGATGCCTGGCCTTCTTATTACGCAGGCCTGAAGTGAATGGCAGCGTTGATGCTGTTTCAACAAAGCCTTTATCAGCCCAGCAAGAGCAACAGCGGCTGCCTGTATCCCCAGCTGCTGAGGCACCTTCCGAGGTGCCAGCTCAAGCAGTAACCCCAGCTCCTTCGGCCCAGGTTACAGCCCAACAGCTTCCAACGCCACAGCCGCTGTATACAAGACCGGACCATGTGTCTCCAGTAGCACCCGCAGGACCAGGTGCGAGTTCTGCCGCACTTGCGCGAACTTTGTGTGGTTGGCTGAAGGAGCGTCCTTGTTGCAGCTCCGACAAACGCCCATGGACCTCCCAGAAGAGAGAGGTCCGAACTCAATAAGCGGCAAGGAACGGAGTATGAGGAGGGTTCGGACTGGGACCAATGCTCAACGGCTAACTTCAACGTTGACGAGGAGACGCAGCCAAAGGGTGCGTGGAAGACCAGCATTTACATGTTGGGAGCATCGCAACCAAGCGTGCTCTCTAACGCTTGTTTGTGCTCGCAGACTGTGAGGCACCTGTCGTGGGCACAAGCGTCATGGAGAAAGCACTCCACAACTCATTGTTTGCGCAGGAAAAGCATGTTCCTGGACCGGATAGCGAGTACAAGTGAGCACATTAGTCTATGGTCTTCCCCGAGGAGAACAACAGCACTGACTTGTTGCTTTGCGTCCAGGGAAACGACAACGCTTCGGATAGACAAAGTTAAGGGCTGCATGTTCGTTAACCAGTACCTTGTGGTCAAGTTCTTGGGCCGCGGTGCCTGCGGCAAAGTGTTTTTATGCTTGAACACTTACGACCTGCGGTTATATGCCATGAAGGTAATTACTGGGCAAGCTAGCAGCTTACCGATGGGGGTTAGCCTAATGATGAGGGCGTGGGTGGGAGGAGAGAGCGGGGACAACACTAGCTAGGGGTTGTTGGGGTTCCCATGGTGGGAGCGTTGGTGGGTATGCCAGTATGGTAGGCCCTGCGGTTGCGCACATGACACCCCTACGTTACCAAGCAAACTACCCATTCCACACCCATGCTGCTACTTTCTATCAGGCGGTGCGCAAGGTGGATCTCGAAAGCTCGCAGCCCCCGCAGCAAGGCGCAAAGAAGCGCAACCCCATGGAGGACCTAAAGCGGGAGATTATGATTATGAAAAAGATGAAACACAATAACATCGTGACGCTCAGTGAGGTTATCGACGACCCCGCTGGCTCAAAGCTGCTGCTTGTCATGGAGTTCATGGAGGGCGGGCCGGTGCTTACGCGCGAGGCGCTGGAGAAGCGCGAGCGGCTGCCCGAGAGCCTGGCGCTGCAGTACTTCCGGGACATGATCAAGGTGCGCACAATATGCGAGTATTACAGGGGGGTCAGAACGACTCAAGGGCACAGGGAGGCAGGGGTTACCTTGGGCCATCGTTCGTACTTTTGGGACCATGAGGTGGTATCCTCGGTGCGCAAAGAACGATACCTTCTAGGATGGTCACAAGGTCCCTCCACGGTATGGAGATAGGCATTTGGGTACACGGTATAGTTGCACGGTTCATGTAGTCCACAGATAGCCCGCGTAACGGCAAATCACCGGCATAATTGCAGAAAGTGGAAAAGGGCGCTTGCGACCTAACGCCGCGGAGTTTTTCCCCGCAGTTGTTGGGTTTCACATAAAAGCACTGCAGCATGCCCCTTCTCGCCAACAGCAAGCCTCCCCTTCAGCCTCCTCCGCTGTCGCCTCTCCACCTGCATATGCTCAGGCCCTGGACTACCTGCATGGCAACAAGGTGGTGCACGGCGATCTGAAGCCGGAGAACGTGCTCATGGCGGCGAGCGGGGAGGTTAAGCTCTCGGACTTTGGCTGCTCCAAAGTGTTTGCCACCGGGAATGAGTACCTGGAGCGCTGCAACGGCACGCCGGCCTTCCTCGCACCCGAGATGATGAAGCCCAACACAAGATACCGGTGCGAAATGGGTTCTGGTGAAGTTAGGGAGGTTCATGCAGCTATTGGTAATTCATGCAGAAAAAGTACGTGTGCATACGTGCCTGGCAAGCATGCAATGCACCTTCATCCACCAATGACCCGCACAAACGATGATCTGGTAAACCTTCCCTGCCGTGCCTTCCCCTCTTCAGCGGCCGCCCCACGGACGTGTACGCGCTGGGCGCCTGCTTGTACACGCTGCTGTTTGGCCGCATCCCCTTCTCCGCGCCCAACCTGTACAAGCTGTTCCAAGTGGTGCAGACGGAGCCGGTTAAGTACCCGCCCGACGTGCCCATTTCGGAGGAGCTGAAGGACTTGCTCAAGGGCATGCTCATCAAGGTACGTTAGCGCAATGGGAGCGCATGAATGGGAACACGGAAGGGTAACGTTCACCCGTGGCAATAGACGGCAATGGTTTGTGTCTTTGACAGCCCTGGCCTTCCAATATTTGCGACCCGTCTGAGATGAGCCCGTGGATGTTTGCCCGCGCCGCAGAACCCCCGCGAGCGCATTTCCATGTCGGACCTAATGAGGCACGACTGGGTGACGGTTAAACAGAAGTTCCCGCTTAAGCCATACCGCGAGCTGCGGCCAGGCGAGACGCAGGAGATGCACAGCGGCGTGACATGCGGCATGACGTTCCAGGAAGCCAACCCCAAACCGGATTTCCTGACGGGCCTAGCCAACATTAGCCGGCATGAGCGCATCTACCAGGAAGGGGACGTCATTATGCGCCAGGGCGAGACGGGTAAGTGTCTGATAAGCTGCCCTCTTTGCCGAGTTGGCTCACTATGCCAGCTCCCTCTCCGAAGAGGGTCAGGAGTTCTCTGTGGGATTACCTGTCTGGCCTGGATGGCGGCAGCTTTTGTCGCCTTAGTTTCGCTTTTGTTAATCATCTGCTGGCCTTGAGGAGCCCAGCGTTTGTTCGTTCACTATTCCACGCAGGCGCGTACCTCCTCTACATTGTTAGCGGCACTGTTGACGTCATCGTAAAGTGGGTAACGTCGCAGCGACGCAGTCAGCCGCAAGGGCCTCCCAAGGCCGCAGGTGTGCCCGGCGGAAAGCCGGGGCAGCAGGTGGACGAGATGATGGAGGACAGCGACAGCATGTCGCCCATTGTGGACGAGGAGAGCCGCCAGCATAGAGTGAACCTAATGCGGGCGAGCCAGAAGGCGGGCGAATTTGTGCGCTCGTTGCAGGCCAACGCTGGTAGGTGGGACCACCTCTAATGGTCGATGGCCAGATTGGGTATTTGCAGCAAAAATGAGAATATGATATGCTGTCATGGTTTTGGAAACATTCATTCGGTATTCTTCCGCGCATGATCCGGCTGGCCGTCTGACTCCCACGATATATGTGCGTTTAGCTAACCCCTGTTGCGGCCTGTCGAGGTCCCTACACGGTTCCTACGTGGGTTTAAGACTTTAGCACCGTGCGGTCATGACAGCGTACCCTACTAGCTACTACCACCTGAAGTAGTGCAATTCCAGTCCGCTTGCTTCAGTCCGCGACGGCTTGGAGTTAGCTGCCGCTTTCCATTGCCTTCGGTTCACTGGTGGACAACTATCCGGCGTATCCCATCACTCCGTGGATGTCCCGGCTGATTCCCACCACACAGTAGCACACATGCACGTTTTATCTACGTCTTGTGCGGCCAGTCTACACCGCCCCGGGGTTAAAACGCCGTGCAACACCTTTTGCATGCCAGGGTGTTATTGCATGCCCCGGCATGGCACGAAGCAAGTACGAGGCTTGGAGTTAGCTGCCGCTTTCCATTGCCCTCGGTTCACTGGTGGACAACTATCCGGCGCATCCCATTACCCCGTGGAGGCCCCGGCTGATTCCCACCACAAAGTGACACACATGCACGTTTTATCTACCTCTCGTGCGGCCCGCCTACACCGCCCCGAGGTTAAAACGCCGTGCAACACGTCTTGCATGCCTGCGCGTTATTGCGTGCCCCGGCATGACATGAACGAGGCCACTAAACTTAACTCTTACGATCCTTGCTCCGCAGGAGGCGCACGCGAGCTGCTGATTGCGCAGCGCGGCCCGGGGGAGCTGGTGGGCGAGATGGCGCTGTTCAGCAAGAGCCTGCTGCGCACGGCTTCCGTCCGCTGCTCCACCAAGGTCCACGCTCGCCTCATTACTCACGAGCAGCTGGTGCGTTTTGGCGATTGCTTTACTCCTGGCCTGATCCCTTGGCCCGACATGCCGCACCAGCTTGCAGATGGCCACATACCGAAGGGCGTTACCTAGATCCCCTTTCTTTTTACTCTGTCAACCGCTTCCGTTGTACAGGTTGAGTACCTGATCGCGAACCCGCTGGCGAAGCACCAGCTGCGCGAGATCATCTGGAAGAAAGAAAGCGAGGTGACGATGGTAGACGCGCTGGTGAAGTTGGCAAACGTGCAGGACGTCATCACTGCCTCGCTGGAGCAGTCACCGCCCATTACCATGAGCAGCCTGCTGCTGCAGTGATGGCCATGGCGGTTGCCCTCTGGGGCCCAAGGGCCATGTGTCTGGTCCGGTGTTGCAGTTGATGTTGCGGTGCTTAGGGGTCGCGGTGAATGTGCATATGTGCACTACGTTCATTCCATAGTTATGATATGCTGAGCCATTTTCCTGCCACGAGGAGACGTGCTTGATTAGGAATGGGGCAAGGGGAGGTGCAGCTGCTGGTGAGTTACTAATGTTATAGAGGTAGTCTTTGTTTACGCACACGAATGCCATAAAACGTCTGGGGAGCCCGAGGTCTCAAGGAATCGGCCCCTCCATAAGGGTCTTGCGGGCGCGCGAGCATTTGTCCGCTTAAAAGTACGTGCCTAACGTTGGTGAGGTCATCCTAATGAAAGAGGTATGTGTTAACGGGACTGCTTGGTGGAGGCGCCTGATTCCGAGTCTCAAGATGCCGGAAGTATATGCGTATGTATGTTCTGCGGTGTGCGCAGCCTAAGGGGCGCAGCTTGGAGAGCGGCGTGAGTGCCATGCTGACACCGAGCACTACAAAACGGATCATGCTTGCTGTGCGATGTCGGTGAACACACCTGGTGGGGTTGTCTTGAATGCAATGTGTCGTGCGCTGGCAAGGGTTTTGCCACGCTTCTTTCGTCCGTTGCCAGCTAGGGCGCGAACGTCTCGGCAAATTATTCATGAACCTAATCCTATGGTCATAAGAATTGTCCAGCCGCCACACCGGCCTTTGCCTGCTGAGCTGCTTGCTGATGTGGGGCCCGTTGTTCGCCTTGTGGGGCCCTGCCGCCCGTTGTTCATGGTGGCGGCGCTGTGAAAGTTTGCAATAATGGACATGGGCGCACTGCCACGTGTGTTAAAATAACTGGCCACGTGTGTCTGTGTCTTCATATATGTGTAGCGGGCCGTAAGAGGGGCGCATGTCCTGGTAGCGCGATAGTCTGTAGAGGTTGGTAAGTTTGGGGATGCTCGCTCTGACGGCATTCCTAAAGCCCGGCTGTGGTGGCTCGTGGCTCGCGTTGTCTGCTTTGACGCGAGCGCTTTCTTTGGCCACACGTGTTTTGTGTGGTTAAGCCGGGGGTTTCCTCCTGCGGAAATGGGGATGAGAAGACGAGAGGAAGCTGGTTCCGTACTCCACTCTTGCGGGTATCGGGAGTAGGCTTTGTCGACTTACCTTCTGTGCTTCAAGGAGGCGCTGTTGTGAGTCAAGTCACACCGATAAAGATGGATGTAAGGAACAGTGTGCTGGACTACTTCGACTTGCTTTGCGTGCGATTATGTAGGCTCGCAGGTAGTTCGGCACTCTGGGACCTGGGCAGGGATAGAAGCCCATGGCCGCGAGGCAAACCAGAGGCGCTCATCAACTGAGCAGTGGGCCACAGCTTGCAGGCCGCAGGCACAAGTCAGAACAAGAGCGTATATCAAGGCAAAATGTTGAGGTCCTTGGCAGGTGAATCCGGAAGCACTCTCAGTGGGCAAGGGAGTGGGTGTGGTCCGCCTTACTGGTTGCTACACGCACGTTTGTTGCCTTGCTGGTTGTCCTGTACACGGTACTGATATGCATTCACATGTAGCTTCACCAGACCCGTAAGCAACATACCGTTGTACAGGCTACAATAACTCCGGGGGTTAGCTCTTTAGTTATGCCCTACTAGAGTCCCGGTGTTTCGAATTGCCAGCGAGAACGCCGTCTTCATAGTTTGAAGAGACATCTTAAGGAGTGACTAGCTCTACCATCCTTGCAGCAGGAGGCGCCCAAATTGGAAAGACGTATTTTTATAAACCCTTTAACAGGCCCGCCCACCACGGCCACCAGGATATGCCGAACCATATTGTAAGGTTTAATGTTATTATTGCACCGGAAGACTGCGGGAGGGCCCAACTGGGGCTTTGCGCAGAAAGTGAATGGCCTTGTTAGTCATCTGCCCGAAAAGGTCATATACGTCAGTTCAGTATGCTTTCTTTACTAATGGTAGTGCTAATGGTACATGCTGGAGAGGTGAAATCCTATGTCCCTTAGGCCGCTGTTAAACCCGAGGCTCAACGGTGCGCCGAAGTTGACAACCCAATGTACTCAAATTTCATTAATATTTCACGCTATGAATTTGCGCTATGAGGTATAGCGTAGTTCATTGCCAGACAGCTAAGCGGGGCCATGTTACTAAGATACTAACTATTGGCCCCACCGTTGTCTAACAGGTGAAGCTCAGAATCTATATAGTAATGCGAGTACTGGTTGCTGAGCTCAATGAGTACCTGCTTATAAAATCTGTTTGTGCATTTATGTGGCTCCCTTTTTATTAGTCACATAAGTCGGGAAGGCATCACAGCTTTTAACTGAGACGCCAGCAACTATCAAATTAAGCAATGGTGAAGCTAAAGCCTGCTATCCTAGCGTGCCTTTTTGGTGGCACAGCACAAGTCGAGCTGAAATATGCTGAAGGACGACGGGAAGCAGCAGGCCCGGAAGTATCACAGCCGGATCAACGACCTACAGCACCTCCACATTTGCTGGATACTTCACCCTTCCGGTTAAAGGAACCTCAGCAGCAGGTTGTGCAATGGACCCATGGCCGTTACTTTTCTCCGCCCGAACTCCTGCAAACAGTCACGGAAATATAAATGCAGGATTCGAAGCTTGCTTTACTCCAGCTCCTGCGCGACCTCGGATGCTTGGAAGGGGGCTGGCACTCACGAGCGTGCGCGGCGCTTGCAGCCATATCTTCCGCGGTCGACGCAAGAGAAGTTCGGTAAGGAAAGCCCTCTATATAATAGCATATAATGGTTGTAGATTGAATATCAATTAACAATGCTCCCTGTGGCGAGAAGTCGACCGCTATAAGCTTAAGGTTATTTACTACGTTGATTGCCCCATACATACCGGTATTGGTTAGCTATACCAGAAGGTTCCATGGGCAGCATCTTTACTGTAATATCCCTACTCGATCCCCTTCGGCGCCCGCTGCGAAGTTTATATGGCGCTTCGACGCCCTTCGCCCTGGGCGAGGACGACAAGGGACAACAGCAAGACGTCGCACAGGCCCACCGCCCATTCATACTTCTCGCATACGCAGCCGACCCTCACACAACCGACACCAACACCACCGCTACCAAAACCCATGCCGGCACCGCAGCTGTCAGCGGTGCTAGCGGCGCCGTTAACGTTGGCAGAACTTCCCCTGCAGCGTCCGCAGCCTTCCGGGGGCCCATCAATGAGCCCGCAGCGGGCGACGACGGTGGAGACATGGGCTGGGGGCCGCAGCTGCTGCCGGGTCAGGAGGTTTGGCCTGTCGTTTTCGACGGAGGAGAGGCAGGCAGGGTGGGAGGAAAACTTGGAGAAGAGAGCGAAAGAGGGCAGCAGGGGCAGGGGCACGAACGACAGCAGGAGCTACTGGAATCTTTGCCAGTTATGCTCGGGCGTATGGTTCAAGATAAGGTAAGCGCAGAGCCCAACAGTGGCGTGTCTGAGGGTTGTTTGTATTATCTGATGGAGGTTGGTTGCAGCGTTAGCAGGGCACCCTGGAGACGAAAGGCCACCTTGCGAGGGCTGCTGTGATGTAAGCTGCCGACGTGAGGGCTGCCCTTGCATGGAACTTGACGCATATTGTTTGTCCAGGTGTCGTAAGCACGCACCATGCGGCCCGCTAGCTGATTGCCTCCAATGAAAACAATGCTCAAAGAGACAGTTCGTTTGGCCCAAACAAGCTGTTGCGAACCGGAGTGTGTTAATACTCCCGGTCACAAGCACCGGTACATGGGCGTGTGCTACCCTGCATGCCTGCTGCCCGCGACCGCCTTCCTAAACCGCATGCCTCCCTGTCTGCAGGTGCCCATACTGAGCGTTGCTCCCTCACGCAATCCCTTGCGTGAAAGGGCTGTGACCGAAGCCGCCACCTCCGCAGCTGGCAACGCCACTGTCGCCACCGCCACTATCGCCGCAGCTGACCTAACCACCGCCAACCACCACCACAACCACCACCTCTCAGGCCATTGCGTACACGCTCTCGGCACCATGAACCGCAACGGCACAAGCAGCGCTGTCAATGAGACCGAAGAAGATGGCAGTAGTGCCTTCGCTGCGATTCTACCGCTGACGACCGGCAAATGCATTACGGGGGCACTTTGGATCGCTGGCCACAACAAGAACTCAACAACAATTCGAAGCAACGCAAAACTCGGAAGGGGCGAGGACGGTGGCCCGTGCCCCTGTCCCTCGCTGCTTACCTGCCCCACCTCCCTAGCGCAGCTGGCCGTCGGTCTGTCCATGTGCCTCATGGGTGCGGCAGATGCGCCGCACGTTGCCGTACTGTCCCAAAGTCTGCGGCAGCTCGCCTTAGCCGGAAGCATGCAGCAGCTTGTTGGCGGCCTGTGTGACGCCGTGACGGCGCATGTCCGACAGCGCTTCATGCTTGACCCACGGGTCGTTGCAGCCCTCATTCCAGAGCCTTCCTCAACAGTGGGCCTTATGTTCAGCTGGGGGGCTGCTGACGCCGCGTCAGCATCTGCTGCTGCTGCTGCCGCCGCCACGATAACAACCCGGGCCCAGTCCAGGCTGATGCGCGCTTCCACGACATCTCTGGCGGGGATAAATGTCGTACCCGCAGCGCCTGATGGCGAGGAGAGCCGTCTGGAGGGGGGAATGGAAGCCGTCCCGGCCCAAGCGCGTCCAGTGGCGGCGCTGCTGGGTGCGGAGACCTTGCAGGTTTTGGGCCGCGTGAAGTCAGAGACAACCGCGCAAGGTACACGGCGCGGTCCCGCTGCCGCCGCTACCAGCGGCCGCGGCTTCGGTCGCAGTTGCAACATGGAACGTGGCGAGGTGCCTCCGTGCCGATCGGTCGGCAGGCCTGGAAGCGTGTCGCGCGTGGTCGCCCTGACTGAGATAATGAACGTTGAGACCTTGGCGGCGACAGGTGTTAGTGCGTTTTACTCTGTGGGTGGCGGCAGTGTTGGCGGCATTGCATCCGGCAGCTGCGTTGCACTCCATGTTAAGCCGTTTCCGCTGGCGCAGACCCTTTTGAAGCAGCTGGTCAGGAAAGGCAGCACCGTCGGCAGCATGGATTCGGGCGGTGGAGTTGCGGCCACCGCTGCCGCCGTGGTTGGAGCCAAAGCAACGACGTCTACTGTGGCGGCGGCGAAAGCGGGGACGTCGGCAGCTGGCGCTACCTCCTCGCGTGTAAATCCTGGAGGCACAACCGCCCACCGTCGGAAGGCCTTGGCAACGGTAATTGAGAACTGCGCTATGCACGTACAGGACCCGCGACAACCCTCAAGAGACATCCTTATGCTGCTGGCAAATGCAAACCTTCCCGGAATTGGTGGTAACGGTGGCGGTGGCGGGGCTTCCACAGGCAGTACAGAGCAAGGAAGCTCATTGGCTCCGGGACATCACGGCGGCCTAACTTCTCTGATACTGCTGGCCTTGCCTGTCGTGGGCAGCGGAGGAGTGGAAGGCAAGGGCATGCTAGGGTTGTACGTGACGTTTGCGCAGCGGCTGCCACAGCAGCTGCTCCTAGAGGCTCAGAAACACGTCGCTGAAATGCTTGAGGCGCTGTCACCCGTAGTGTCCTGGAAGATGCTGCATGAGCTTTCCCTGGAGTTGGAGACCCTGACCACCGCATCGCCCGGTTTGTATGCCGTGCTGGAAGCAGCACCACCGCAACCGCCTCCGCCGACTGCGGAGACCGCTGCTGCGTTTCTTCACGGTTCGTCTCCGCTTTTGGACTCCCGGGCTTTCTCACCTCTGTTAGGAGGGCGAACCCGCTCGCAGCTTCCCCAGGTGCCGCCACGTCAGCTTCAGCAAGTGAACGCCCGCAACTTCAGCCTCTCCCAGCTGCCAGGGAGCACCTTAGGTGGGTTGATGTCCGCACGAACCTCCGCATGTGCTGCCGGCGACTGCAGCACAGACGGCGGCGGCGGTGATGAAGGAGTCGCGCCCATGTACAGCACCATGTTCGACAGCAGCCGGCCGCCTGAAAGCAATGCCCACATGGACCTCATGAACACTGGGTTGGGTTACGGCGGTGGTGGCGGCGGTGAGCTAGGGACCGGCACGCTGTCTACAATGCGACTGTGGAGGCGGTACGAGGCGGTGGCCGCAGCATCGGCGACGACAGGGCCTGTGGAACAGGGCATGGCGACGCAAACTGGAGGCGGCGCGGGTGGCGGAGGCGGTGGGTCTACCAGGAGCGCCAGCGTTATAGTGATGGAAGAGATGGACACAGGTGCGGGATAGGGCGCGGTAATGTCGCTGTCCCTTGATACTGGGAGGTGGGAACATGGGGGCAGACGTAAGGCGGTAGCAAAACCCTTCCAGCCATCCGGTTTGTTTTCTATCACGATACCACCCCTTCCTTCTTCCTGACCCACCTTCCTTGGCCCCGCCCTGTCCGGGGCCCTGTCTTCATTCCTTCACAGCGCACAACACCCTGACTGCCCAAATGCCGCTGCTGGTGGCATCGCTTCAAGAGAAGATAAACAGCGCCAAGGCCGGGGCTGCAGCGGCGGCGGCAGCGGCACTGGCGGCTATTATTCCATCATCCAACCCCCGGTGCGCCCTGTCCATTCCACTGAGACATTGCCTCTGCATGCACCTCATATGCGTTACTGGTTTAGGTTCCAATGCGCCCGTCTCTCTGAGCACGCGCGTGGAACCGCGGCGACAGTTGCACTGCCACTTTGTGGCAATTCCAGTGTTAGCGCCTTCCCTTGTTACCGTATACGTTGGCCCTGGACCCATGTGTCAAGGCTTGGCTCTGGATTTGTTATCGCAGGCGTCCGGCGGGCCCATCCTTTGGCTCCGGTCCTCAGCGTCAGCGGCAGCTTGCAGCTCCTGCGCTGGGTGACCTGGCGCAGATAGAGCTGCACAGCCAGCTGGGGTTTGGCGGCTGCGCGGTGGTGTTCAAGGGCGCCTTGGGAATGCTGGACTGCGCAATCAAGGTTTGCGCACCCTACCCTCACTTGGTGCCGTACACAGCAGTGCGCTGGGCGTGCTTTAATACCTTGGCAGCTGCAGTGGGTGTGCTGAAGTACGATGGCGGAAGGAACTACTTCTTGCTTGTGCAATACTGTCCCAGTTTGGTGCAGGCTTGTTCCGTGGTTCAGGCTTTGCGTGATTCCAGCAGTGCTGACACCTTTCCCACCCCGCTGCCCGCTTTGCACGGCTCATGGATCGGTTGTGCGCGTAGCTCATGGAGATGCCGGAGGTACGTGTGAAGAGTCTAGTTCCATCCAGTGCTCTGCAGGGTGCCCTAGCTACATATCCCTGCACCAGCTCCTTTATGCGTGCTGCCTTCAAGCTCCCCCTAGATAAATCGGCACCACAGACCCGTCGGGTACACCTAATCCACACCTCCCACCCGCTCCCTGTCTTCAACCTCGCAGGTCGACGACGCTGTGGACCTTAACTTGGCCGACATGGGGCCGCAGTATGCTGGGAGTGGTGGTGGCGGCACTGCTACTTCACATGCGGAGGTTCAGAAGCAGCAGCTGGGTGCCCGGCGGGCGCTGCTGCGCAATGCTATGGAGCTGGCGGTCACGACCTGCATCAGCCACCCGAACATCATGCAGGTGGGCTGTGGCGGCTGCGAAGCGGGGTCCCGGCCTAAGCCGATGCAAGAGGGGGTGGGGCTGGTGGAAGTGGGCCTCTGCTCCAGGGACCGTCTGTTTGCCAACACGGTGAAGGAGCCCTGCGCGAGTAACGGCAGAGCAATGGTATCCATGTTCCTCCCCATGCGCGCTTCCTCCCATGCGTCTCAGCCTCCCAACCACACATTCTACTCGCCCATAATTATGCCCAACAACCCCTGCCATCTTCCGCCCCATGCATTTTCCAATGTTTCCTGACCTCAGGTGTACAGCACCTTCAGCAACGTGATGCTGGCTCGCAATGTGGGGCCGGACGGCACGATGACATTGAAGCTCGTGCCCGCACAACCGGAAGCGGGAAAGGACCCAGGTGGGGCCTCGCGGGGCGGCAAACAGGCTGTGCTGCAGACTCCCTGCCTTGCAGCCTGACGCTACTGCCGTTACGTGCGTAACCACATATCGCACGATGCTCCTCAGATATATACCCCACCGTTCTTGCTCCTGACGATTTTCGACTTTACTTGTTAGCGTTCCTTTCCTGCCGCTCTTTCATATGCAGGTTCGGCGCCCCCCTGCACGGCGCTGGTTTGCGAATGGTGCGACAGGGGCTGTCTGGGGTCAGCTCTGGCGCGCCGCACCTTCCCTGAGGTGTTCCTGCTCCAACACGACCCCAACCAGCACAGCCACATGAGTAGCAACAGTGGCGACAACACAGCCTCGGCGCTGCGGGTGCTAGACTACAAGGTGAGGAGGATGGCAGTGCGTGGGAGATGGGGCACATGCTACTGTGTTCAGAGCGCCTCGATGGTAACAATGAAAGGCGACAACACGGTACGCCTTATAATATGTACTTTCCACAGCAATTTGCACCTATCCTAGACCTTGCTGGTCTGTAGCAACTCACCATGCTTGCTACTCAACAGGTAGGAAATGACAGAAGGTTGCTCCCCAGGCTATCAGCAGCCTCCAACCCATTTTCATGGCCTCCCGCCCGACCCATGGGTCACTCCTCTCTTCCAATGTGCACCGTGTGAATCCCCAAGGGCATGCTGATGACGCTGCTTGACGTCGCCATGGCGCTGAGACACCTGCACTCGCACGGCCTGATTCACCGGGACGTCAAGCCGGCCAACGTGCTACTGCGCAGCTGCGCCACCGATGCACGGGGGTTTACCGCAAAGCTAGCAGGTGCGTGAGGTTTGCACATGAAAAGGGCATGCAAAGAATGCCGATGGTCCCTTGCTACGTACCAAGCGCCTGCCCATGGTGAACTTTGTAAGAAGTAATGCATGTCGCTGGGGGTGTAGCTGTGCGCTAGGATGGGCTCCGGGCCGTGTAGGGAAGGGTAGGTTAGGGAGGATAAGTAGAACGGACATTTAGCGCAAACGGACTTGGTGTGGGTGTAACCTGACTTACTACTCTCTACCAACATCTTGCCCATGCATGATGTGGTCACCCTCCGCAGACTTTGGATTTGCTACCCTGCTTGACCAGGTATGTAGGCTCCTTAGGCCCATGGACGATCTCAATCTTTCTGCTAGGAGGTCACCGAATGCATGTCTGTGCTTCCAGCTCCTTGCACAAGCCGGAGGGTTTTGGTTTGTATCAGACTTAGGCTCACTTTGTTTTCGTCTTCACGTCCGGAATCTCGCCCTGACTTCAAAGCATCACCAGTGTTGAGGGAGTAGAATCGCACCCTTCTAGCACTTTCCGCCTCCCGCCAGCTTTACCTCCCACCTTCCCGTTACCTTACTTGTCCCGCCCATTGCCCGTATACTCAAAACACAGCCCGGAGACGAAAGGAGCGGTGGACGTCCCTTCGCCATTGTAGAAGAGAGCTGTGGCACGTGAGTTGCACAAATGCTTTTACGATGCCCATCTACTGCCGAACGAACAACCAATCGCAGCTGGAAGCCAAAATATTGCGTCTTACCTGAACGGTGGAATTGCCTTAACTAACGGCCAGTAGAGGCCAAGCATGTGGCCCTCCCAACACGCCTCGTGCCCCTGAAAATAGGGAGGATCCAGGGGCCTTCACTACAGCAAACTGTGACCCCTGCATTCTTCAGCCTGTTACTTCTCGTTCATCACATCTATCTATGTTCTCCCCTAATGTTGGTCTCCCGCGCTGCCCATTCGAAACGAACCCCGCCCACAGTGTCACGCATATGGCGCCGGAGTGCTGGTCCCAACGTGGGTGCGGGGGGCAGGGGTCCGCGTGTTGCCGTGGGCGACCCATGGGTCATACTGTGGCGGTGCGGCGTTTCTAATGAATTCTACTGTCGGCGCCACTACACTGCGAGTACCAAAGCCTTATATGCAATCTTGTACTGCGAAGCTGCTCTTGACTCTTCCTCTCTCACCCTCTGCTGCAGCTTGCCGCTTGGATGCGAGCTGCGATGTGTATAGGTGCGAGTGGTATGGTGACAGAGGCCAGCATGTAGTGCTTCTCAGAGCTTTACGGTTCGCGACAAGATCTCGGCGGTTTATATCTTACGGCGCAGCTATATACATAGTATCCCATGCAACGAGATTCCCAGGCCTATTTCATGATACGTGTGGCTTGCTTGACCTGAAAACGTCGTAGCCATTGACCACTATTGCCTGCTTCTTACCTGCGCCTCAGTAAGTATCATAAGCTGTGGGTCCCTACCCCTCCTGATGCGTGGCCCTCCCTACTGTGTTTCCACATGCACCTAAGCGCTCCTGTGACCCGTTGTTACCTTCCCGTTCTGCGCTATCCTTCTCGACATCTTCCATTCACGCCATCAATGGCTTCGCCGATACAGCTTCGGCATCCTCATGTGGTAAGCTTTGGAGGGCGAGTCCGGGCGAAGTATGCTGGGTATTCTTTGGTGGGGCCATAGCAGCTTGGCAGCTTCCCCCTTTCGTGCATGCAGCCTTTTCCACTGCTGTATTATGGCAACCTTGTCCTTCCCGCACCATGCCTTTAGCCCGTTACCCATCACATCCAAACCAACGTCTTACTGTCGGTCGCTCCGGCTCTTTCGACGCCTGCACACCGCAGGGAGCTCACGGCAGGAGGTGTCAGGCCTTACCTCGAGGTGGGGCAAGGTCGGGAAAGGGTGGTCGTGGGCGGCGTCATTAGGTGTCGCAGAAACTAAGATGGCCCTAATGGGGGAAAACTTTCTCGAACACTTCCAGGGTTTTGCTTGGTCCGTACACCTCCCCAAGCCCCAACTAACGTTACCTTGCGTCCCTTCATTCGCAGGTGGCGCCAGCCAACATACCCCGCTTGGTGCTGGCGGGGATGCGGCCGGTCTTCCACGAGAGCGTGTCACCGGCGTACAGGTGTGTATCTGGATGGATACGTACAGCATACGTTTGTGAGGAGCCTGTTGTACCTTGGCCGGTGCAGTGGTGACGGAGCTGCTGTTGTCTGCTGTAATTTGCTTGTTAGGAGCGAGCCTCTGCTGCCATTCACAGCACTGGCAGCAGGTTGGCTGGACTATTACAGAATGCAAAGCAGTGTTTGGGCGCACTTGGAAACGTGTTTTTGCACCCCTTACTCCTAGGTGAGGTTGGCAGAACCGCTCCCGGTCATTTTCCCGTCATATACCTCGCAGCCTTTACCCACATACCTAAGTGCATCAAGGGATGTACACCGAATCATTGATGATTCACCCTGCTGCATGCCTGCTGGCCCTCCAACACCAACCACCCCAACCTCCTCATGCCAGGCTGATAGCACAACGCTGCTGGGCCGCTGACCCCAGCCGCCGGCCTCGCTCGTCAGAAGTGGTTACCGCGGTGCAGAGGCTGCTGACTAGCCGGCTGTTGGAACCCAAGTAAGATGGAACCCAGCAGAGAGGGAACACGGCGGGCAGGTTGAAAGGCGCTATAGCGCTAGCATACAGGACGGCCTAACCAATCCTGGTGCGAGGAACAGGATGGAGCATTGGTATTGTCATGATAGGCGCTTGCTGCGGCAAAGTGACGGTGGGAAGGCAGCTTGAGGGCGGATGGCTGCTGCTCCTCGCGTGGGACATGGACCCCCCAGCTGGAAAGCCAGCGGGCGGAATTAAAGGAGGAGGGGGGCAAGGGGATCTGTTAGTTGTTAGCAAACGTTCTGACTGCTTTCTGAAGTTTGGTATCATCTTCCAACCACTGTGCCTGCACGTCGGACGCGCACCTTCGATTGCATTGTTCGCAAGAGTGACCCTTTTCTATGTTTACCGGGCTGCGGAAGGTGGTTTGTTCCGGAGCATCGCTGCGCATGGGTATCATCCCGCGCATGCGTGTCGTCACCCGCTGTGCGCTTTCCACGGCGACGGGCACTCCGTGATTCAATGATTCAGGATAGGGAAGGGAGGTTACAGGCATGTGTGAGAATTACAGCACACATTGCAAACAATTCTTGATACTTGCTCGGAAGATGTTTACGGTGGGAATGGAGGCAGCAGGAAGCTTACCCATGCTGTTCATGGGGAGGCACGCATTGCTGCCTGCATACCTGTCTGCATGTCCTTACGTGTGTATGTGGGAAAGCGGTGTTTTCGCATGTCTGGTGGAGCTCCCTTGCTCAGGTAGCAAGCTGCTTGTCCTTACATTGTAGCACTTGCTGAGCGTGCCTGTCCCGCAACTGACACTAATGTGCTGCTTTCTGGCTAGCAGCACTGCAAACCCCGGGCCGGGGGTTGGTAGCACTTGCGAGGAGTTTCTGAGAGTTCGCATGTTATCCTTAGTGGCTCGGCTGAGATTTTCTTGACAACTGCAGTACACCGAACGGTTTCGTTTGTGCGTGTCACGCCATAGCTACTAACGGTGTGGTCAGGGCTACCCTGTTGGCGCTGGTGACTGGACGACGCACTGGGCGCTCCCAGAGCGAGCGAGCGTGGCAATGCGGATGGGTTTAGGTATCTAGTTGTAGTGGTCTGTTTGCTTGCATGCCTGGGTGGCTGGGGCGGTGGGTTGGGAGGGTGTCGTATTCCTCTGACTAATCATCAACCATGCACACTGCCGGCCCCTGCTACGTAGCCCGACTCTGGGTGTGCTGCGATGGTTGCTGCGATACTGGTATGTACTAGTATTACGGGAGGCTGTGTGCAAAAGTACTGCAGGCCACTCGGTAGCTTGCGGGGTGACGCGCTTGTTAGGTATCTTTACCCAAGTTAGGACTCCATGGTTTGTATCATGCATTCGGGGTTATAACCAACCCTTTTCTTGAACAGGGACATGCTTACCTGCGTACAGCAGGTGTCACACTTCCTTACAGGTGTATGCACCTCTTCGCAGCAGTAGAGGCGACGTGTTATTTGCGGGGCTTGTCAGCGCTGCGCACTGCTTCTCTAGGACTGGGGAGACCAATTGGACACCATCGAAGCGGTACATTCTGAACATGTCTGCTGAAGAAACGGCAGATCCCGTGCGTACTGCTGGTTGTCGTACGGTTGATTGTCGTACCGTGATTGGATGGTATCCTGGCACGGTGTCGTTGGGTTGTGTGTCATGCGTTGTACTGGCCGGCGGTTGAGCTTAACCTGCAATTATCTGTTACTTTCTTTACTTGTATGGCATGTCCCGGGCCTGGAACTAGCAGAACGAAGACACTGTCGCGCCCTGTTACCGGCACATGCATATCGGCATGCCAGGGTGCGGTTGTCGCGTGCGTCCCACGGGTCACCTGTGTTGCGGCCAAGAAGGGAGCTTGCTTTGAAATGGGCATGCGGTTCTGCGTATGGTGTAATGTGTTGTATTGCTACTTTGTCTTGAATTGGGTTGCTGGTTGTCCTGAACTGCTGGTTCCTAGTACGGTAACAAGCCCACCGCAATGACTAGGTGAGGGGGAATAGTTGTTAGGGCAACACACATGGGGGCCTTCCTGGAATGTTTACAGCGCCCAAGCAACAGTACAGCCCGCTTGCACTCCTCGCCTGGCTGTTGGCTGCACTTGGGCCATGCTGGAGCTAACGCGAGTAGCCAAACGACGGCTACCATTTGTAAGAGTACGGCACATGGAACTACACCAACCTTGCTATCAGCCTGTGACAAAAAGGCAGCAAGTATTAAGTTTTAATAACAATACAGCATGGCAGGCTTAATGAAAATCGCGTGCCTGGGTGCGGATACGAGATTGACTGGTCGTTGCTCGCTAACTGCCGTAATCCTAAATAGTGCGCTTTGTAACTTTGCCCGGTTAAAATACGGGAAACTGTAGCTTAAAGTATGATCTTCTTTAAGAGAACAACTTTCCTGTAAACATGTACGGTAGTAGCTTGGATAGGACACGTAATAATGGAGCATCCCCAAGGCAGGTTCGCGCGAATACGAAGCTTGACGGAATTGAGTTCCTTGCGTATCTGGAAACAACTTCCGCCCGAGCTGGCGGAGCGTATTGTCTCCCTCCTGCCAGCCAACGAAGTTCCATGCACAGTGCGACTTGTTAACAAAGCCGCGGCAGCGCAATTCCACGGTCCGAAGTACACGACGACGAGGCTTTCAGCGCCTGTGCCAAAGCACGCCTTCGCGCAGCGTTGGGGTGGACCCGATGCCGTGCGTGGCATGTCGCGGACACAGCGAACGGACCTTATGTGCCTCACAGCCCGCAGCGGTGTCATTGATAACCTAGCATTAGCAGCAGCATCCACAAGATTGATCACAGGAATCTTTCCATCAATGAAAGTGCTCGAGGCCGCTGCAGCGGCCAAACAATTGGAAGCCTTCAAGTGGGCACTGCAACATGGACACTGCATCCTTAGGATGGCTGCGCTCGAGTATGCATCCAGTACGGGACTGAAGGCTGCATGCGAGGCGTGCTTGGCTCACGGCTGTCCTTGGAGCGAACACGCCGTGTATGCTGCTGCTAGCAGTGGTCACGTGGGCCTGATGCACTGGCTCATTCTTCAGCGTCCGTCGGATGATGAGCCACTGGACTACCTCTATGTGTTGCATGGGGCCGCTGAGGGCTGCAAGCTCGGAGAGCTGCAGCGGCTTCTGCACGAGTGGCAGGCCGCGGGTCTGCTGGAGGAGGAGCAGGAGGAGGAGTGGAAGCCCTTCATGCTGGCGGCCGCAGCTGGCAGCGCCACAGCCGACTGGCAGGCCAAGGTAGCCTGGCTGGAGGCGCAGGGCTTTCCACAGAGCCCTAACGCATCTGCAGCGGCCGGTACCTGCTCGGATGCGCTGGCACGCCTGACGTGGCTTCAGGGCAAGGGCTACCCACTGGTCACAGCAGCTGCAAGCCGTGTCACGGAGCGGGGTGCTGCTGACGCGCTGCGATATCTCCTGGAGCGGGGCGTCTGGCCGGCTGACACTGCGGTGCATGCTGCTGCAGTACGGGGCCACCTGGACGTGCTGGTTCTGCTAATCGGACAGGGCTACCCTCTTACTCGCGACCTCGCATTCATCGCAGCAAGCGGCGGCCACGTATCCACCGTCACCTGGCTGTTGGAGACGGTGGAGCAGCAGCAGCCGGAGCAGCAGCAGCCGGAGGAGCATCCGCTGCTGCACGGCAAGTACCTCTTCCGCGCAGCCACCCAGTCGGGTAACCTGGGTCTCATGTCTTGGCTGCGGCAGCGCGGCTGCCCCTGGGATGCAGCCGCTTACGGCTTCGCTGCGGAGGCTGGCAGCGAGGAGGCCCTGGAGTGGCTGGCCCACAGCGGCTGCCCGCGCGAGCCCGAGGATGTGTTTACGGCGGCGGTGCCGCCCTACGCCATGGCTGCTAACCACGGCGACCTGGCGACCATGCAGTGCCTGAGGAGGCTGGGATGGCCTTGGGACCCGGCGGGTGCGACCTTCACGGCATGCGTTAGGCAGGAGCAGTGTCCGCCGCCCGTGCTGGCCTGGCTGGTGGCGGAGGGGTGTCCGGTGGACTGGGAGGCGGCGGTGGCGACGGTGGCTAAGCGCATGGCTTTTGCGGAAAGTAGGTGGCACCAGTGCGCTAGGGAGGCGTGGGAGTGGCTGCGCGCACACAGTGGTAGTGAGTGGTGGCAGCAGCGGCAGTTTGGGTCGCTGGAGGAGGCGATGGAGAGGGTGCTGGAGCAGGCGCGGGAGGAGGCGGTGGCAGAGTGGGAGCAGGAGGAGCAGGAGGAGGAAGGGGACTGGGAACAGTGGCCGGAGGGTGGAGAGGGCGAGGGTGGTGAGGGTGATTGGGAGGGCGAGGGCGAGCAAGAAGGGGATGGCGAGCAGGCCGCTGTAGAGGAGCAGGGGGAGCAGGGGTAATGGGAACGATTGTAGCAGCAGGATGAGGATTGCGTCTGAGCAGCCCTTCATGGCTTCTCCGTGTGCATTTCCTGAAAGGACGGAGGATGTCCGCAAGGCGGGATACGGTACTTGGCCTTGAGAGCATGTACATACTCTAGAGGTCCGCCTTGGTCCGCCAAGTCATGAGCGGCAAGTCGCTGCAGCATTGACTGCTCACTCATTTCGGGGTGGTTTCCACTCGGGGTACTGCTAATTTGTCGTACAAACGGTCACGTGTTGGGGATTGGAGGCGGACCCCTTCGTTGGCGGACCTCGTCGTTGGCTGCATTCCAAAGCTGGGATTCGGATGCATTTCAGAGCTCGGATTCGGCCATCGGATTGCCCTGTTGTGATGCGGGACGTGAGGGATACTCGGTCATGTTGGCGACAACCCATGCCTACGCCGGGTCATGGATGATGTTTTCGTGCATTACTGAACTGTTGTTCTGATTGGCTGTAGCCGGGCGATAATGTAGCCGGTACGCGCATGTGCGCTGAGAGCAATCAGAGCATGCGTACGTTGCTACCCACAACAACACATTAGGACACTACGCCATGCATATATTCTACCTTCGCTGCTGCTGCTGCTGCTGCTGCTCCTACCACCATGTATGCCTGTATACACGCGAGTTGCTCAAGGCAGGGCCCCCGCGAGGTGCCCTGGCGGTTGCCCTGGAGCTACATTTAGTTCTGGAGGACGGTTGGTGGGGTGTTGTTGCAAGAGGGGGGACGTAAGGATGGCCATGTGGCCATGTTGGTGTAGTGTCATAACGTCATAAGGCCTGGAGGCGATAGTACGACAAGCGGCCCCAAGGCCCATTAGCGCACCAACCAAACATTTACAAGTAGCTGCGGAGTAGCCGTACCACTTCCACATGGCCGCACGCAAAGCATGTTCTCGGAGTTGCATTCCACACCCTACACTTCACACCCTACATCAACCCCATGTCTTTCCCCAAGCCATGTACATTACGGCTTTACAGCCAGCATGCACCGGCAAGCGCGCGGGTGCAGCTGTTACAACATACGCCTATCATACAGCAGAGCTTTGGAATCTACAACAACTTCTTGGCAACGTTAAAACCCACATGCCGTACCAAGGCGCCACCCTCCACCCCCATCCTCCTCTCACGACCTCAACCTCTCCACCCATCCAAAGCCCTTCCCATCCCTCCCGCAGGCTCCCTCACCCCCACCTCGCCACCACCGACCCCACCACGTACTCCCGACCGTCCGCCGCCACTCCCAAGCTGAACAGCGCGCTGGGATCGCCCGCTGCTAGCGCACACACCGGTAGCGTGCCAGAGCATCCCACCCGCCCCAAACACACCGCACGTCCACTGCCCACCCCTCCCCTACTTGCCCCCACTCCCACTGCACCTCCCGCACCCCCACCCCCGCCAAACCTCCCTTCCTGCTCACCATACTCATGTCCATGCCCAACAGGGCCGTACTCATCGCATCCGTACTCAGGTCCGGGCGTGTACGGCAACGGTCCATGCTCGTACAGGTAGTGCCAGAGGCCGCTGCGGTCGGGTCCCCGCGCCCACCCCAGGCAGGTGCTCAGGTCCCAAACCCACACGCTTCCGTTATGCGCCCGCCCCAGCAGCAAGTCCTCACTCGCCTCCAGCCACAGCCCCTGATGCTCGTACGGCACATGGGCAGCAGCAGCGCCCTCGCACCAGCCATCCACCGCCTCTGCAGCAGCCCCCGACTCTTCGTCTTCGTGAACGTCCCCTGGCGACTGGCGGTGGTGGCGGCGGTGCCGCTGCCATTGCTGCCCGCCGTCCTCCTCACCTTCTTCGTCGTCCTCCTCACCTTCTTCGTCGTCCTCCTCTTCACACTCCTCCTCCTGCTGCTGCTGCTCCTGATACCCTGTCCCCCCAACCCGCGTTGTTCCGCTGCTTAACCCCGCTCCGCCATTCCCCAACACCTGCCCCCGCTGCTGCCCCTGCTGCTGCTGCCCCCGCTGCTGCTGCCCCTGCTGCCCCGCCGGCGCCGCCACCCCCTGCTGCTGCTGCCCCTGCACCCGCGGCAGCCTGGGCAGCGAGTACAGCGGTGCCGACATGGCCCTCCTGTCGTACACCTCCACCGGGGTGCCCGCATGGCTGGTGAAGACGTAGTGCTGGCGGGCGGCCGCCAGGCGCGGGTAGAGGCTGCGGTGCGTGAGTCCGAAGCGCTGCGTGAGGCCGCCGCGGGGGCAGCGCAGGTCCAGCATGGAGAGGGCGGCGGTGGAGGAGCGGGGCTTGTGGTGGCAGAGGGAGGGCAGGCCGGAGCGGAAACACTGGCGGGGAGTGAGGGCAGGATAGGGCAAAGTTGGTAATGATGTGGCGGGGCGGAACACTGACAGGGCGGTGAGCAGGGGGAGGTGAAGGAGAAGGGAAGAGAAGGTAAAGGAGAGGGGAGTACACCAGAGGGAAAAGGGGGAGGACTGTGCCCGGGCGCAGCTGTGTAGTCAGCTACCGGTGTTTCGTTTCCCAAATGAGCGCCCAAGCGACATGCCACTTCGCCGCCCGCTTCTCTGGTGTTAATTGCAAGTCAGCGCATCTAGTTGCTTGGGGCCCTTCTCTCCTCACCTCAGCGCAGTAGCTGCCATGTACGGAGCCCACAAGCAGTACATTCGGTTCGTCTTGAAGGGCACCCCCTGTTCCTCCTCCAACTGCGCTGCTGCGGGCGCTGCCACCCGCAGGACAGCAGCACACGAACTCGTGGGACTCGAACCTGAAACCCGCGGAGCAGCGGCGGCATGGCGGCAGCGATGAGCTCAAAGCGGGGATCATTGAGTAGCGCACGTTTAGAGCGTGTTGGCCGAGTAAGCACAGCGTGTGGGGGTGGAAGCGTCCGCAGCAGTTTTCGCAAAGATCTGAGCCGCTATGCCAATACATACCTTCTGACCCCTCCCCGTTACATACTCATACTTACGGATCAACCACCCTCATCAAATGCCGTTGCGACGTCGCATCGAACAGCTGAACCGCATTACGAGCCGCCGCCGCCGCCGCCACACCCCCGCCGCCCCCCGCTACCGAAAAGCTGGCGTCCTGGAGCGCCGCCAACACCGTCCCGCCACCGCCTCCGCCGCTGACGATGCTTCCAAGGAACGCAGTTGCACCACCACCACCACCACCACCGCCGCCTCCGCCAGCAGCCGTGACGGAAGTGGCGTTGCGGGCGGTGCTGACGACATGCAGGTCCACCAGCGGGTGCGGACTACCGCAGGAGGTGGTGTGCAGCAGACGCAAGGCCCCGCCGCTGTCGCCGCTGACGTGGCCTCCACCGCCGTCGTCGCCGTCGTCGTCGTCGTCAGCCCTGCCGGGGTGGTGTCCTTGCGGCTGGTAGCGGTACCATTCCACCGTTCCGCGGTACGTCCCCGCAGCCAAGATGAGGCAGTCGTCGGAGGTGGAGGGAGGAGGAGATGGCGGCGGTGGCGGTAGCAGGGCGGGTGCTGCGTCGCGTGTGGGGTAGCTGCCGCCTGCGCTGCAACCCCTGCCTCTGTTGCTGCTGGGGCTGCTGGGGGTCCGGCAGGTGCCGGTGGCTGAGGTGCTAGTGTTGTGCTGCCCGCGGGTGCTGCCAGCGCCGCTGGTGCCGGCGTCTACAGTAGCAGCAGCTGCGACGGATGCGGGACCGGCACCGCTGTCCCCGCCGGGCGCGGTGATCCATGCAAGAGAGTAGATGAGGGCGTGCTGGGGCAGGGGGTAGCTGGCGACCCTAGCAGGAGGTGGTGGAGGGCTGCTGATGCCGCCACCGCCGCCAACCCCCAACCCGCCTTCGCCTCCGCTGCCACCACCACGCTTAACACGCGCACCGCTGCTGCTGCTGCCGCTGCCGCCGGCGTCCATACCCGCGTCTCTTACCCCATCTGCATTGCCGGCGCTACCACCGCTTCCATCACCTTCTCGAGAGGCAGCGGAAGCGGCAACCGTGGTCTGCACCTCGGTCCCCCGGCCGCCCCCGACGGCAGCCTGGTAGCTGCCACGGATATGCCGAGATGGAGCCGCTGATGGCGGCATTGGGAAGAGCCAGACCTGCAGCTCCTCACTATCGGCTAAAGCTAGAAGCACATCGCCAAACGAATCCGCTTTCGAAGGTTGGATACTAGAGCTGCGGTTGCTGCTTGGCAGCCGCAGCGGTTGCAGCGCTGAGATGTAATCGCCATTGGGCCGCAGTAAGGTGTGCGAGAGGCGTGGGGGATCCCAGCCGTTGCCAGAAATGAATAGCTCCTTCCATTTAATTGCACTGTCGGATAGTCCTTGGTACGCTGCATTATGAAAGACACCATGTTCGGGATGGGCTGTTGCCGGACGGCATGTGGCAACGGATTGCTTAACGTCACCACAGCTATCGCCAGCATGCGTAGACGGTAATTGTGCGCCGTCAGAAATGCTCGTATGAGAGTCGCTGGAGGTCGCGAGGAACGCGGATGTGTTGAGTTCATGCCATCGCTCGCACGCGAGCGCGCGCCACAGAGTAGGATTATCAGCTACGTCACTCAGCTTATGACACGTGCATGATAGAGCAGTCAAGCTACTAGGGTCTAGCCATTTGCAAATGTCCAGCAAAAGGTCTGTGCCGAGCTCTGACAGGTAGTGGGTCGGTTGGGCTGGTTGCGCCATTTAGTCCGAGCTGGAGGCAATCCCTCACCACAATCACATTGTTGAGCATACAAATGTAAAACCAAGACACGAGCGATCTAAATTCGCCGTGTAGCATTTGGTTTCGGAGTCCAGCTTGAGACAAACGCACAGCCCATTTGGCACGCGTCAAACTTGTCAAACGTGCACACACTATTGAAATATGGTGCGATTGCTTAATGGCCTACACGGCCGCGTACTACGCATATACTGTGTCATGGCCGATGTCGCCTCCACGGCAGGCGGAGGGCCAACTCGGCGCTTTTCCTCCAAGCACAGCAGCGTACATCAAGATATGGACGTCGTCATAGCATTGGGCTCAAACATGGTAGGCAAACTGCCACGCTGCTGACTTTTCCTCGATGGACCCATGCGCCCAGCCCACCCGCTGCACGTCGCCCTACCCACTCCCACCACCACTCCGTTCACCCCTCGCACTCCCATGCCGAATTCCGTCATATTACTTAAGGGCCCCCCTTCGCCCTTCGCCACCTTCCCACTCGGTGCTTCTACCCGGTATACTCCCACGCATGCACTTAGGGCAACCGCGGCCTTCACCTCCACCGGGGTCTCAGACGACTCAGGGAGCTCGGAGTGCAGGTGGGAAGTGGTGTGCGACCTGGCAGGGCAGGGAGGAAGGGGAGGGGAGGCGGGGGAAGCGAGGACGGGGTGCTGAGGCAGGGGTGAGCGCACTGCGGGCACTGCCCAGAGGGGAAAATGATGTAAGAAATGCAAACAGCTAGAGTCCAGAGGGGAGGCGACGTCGCAAGCTTCACGCGCAAGCTGGTGGACGATTGGATGAAAAGGAAAGGGACTGAGTTGCCGTTAACCAACTGATCGCTGTTGAGCCGGTAGCTGTTCCCCGCCCTGTTCCCCATCCCATCAGCCCACAGAAGCCGAAGCTGTTCCCCGCCCCGCCCCGCCCTTCCCCCTCACAGATCCTCCGCCACTCCGCGCTGTACGAGACCGCTGCCGCCTACGTGACGCAGCAGCCGCCCTTCCTGAACGCGGCGCTGCTGGCCCGCACCGCCCTGCCGCCCGGGCAGCTGCTGCGGGTGGGGACTGGGGAGGAGGTTGGGAGCAGGGGGGGGGTGAAGTTGGTTACCGTCTACCTTGGTGCTGTCCTAGAGACCGTGCTCTTAATGCTGGACGTTAGCCTAAGGACCGGCGCCCCTTACCTCGGCCCTTCCTTCCCACGCTCCCCACCTCCTTTCCCTCCTCCCCCCCGGCAGCTCCTGAAGCAGGTGGAGGCGGAGGCGGGTCGCGACCTGGCGGGCGGCCCCCGCTTCGGCCCCCGGCCGCTGGACCTGGACATCGTGTTCCTGGGGGCGGGGGAGGTGCGACTGGGGGAGCCCAGGCTGGAGGTGCCGCACCCCAGGTGGGGGCTTGAGGGGGAGGAAAATGAAGGAAACTGAGGGGGAGGGGAGCGGTGGGAACTGGGAAGGAGCGGGTTGAAGCCGCAGTGCTCAGGTGGGACCGTGGCGTCCGTCCTACCCGCACGGACACACATGATACCGATACCTCTCTCCAAACCCGTGTCGCTCTCCCTAACCCCCTCCAACCTCCCCACCACACACAGGTGGCGCGAGCGGCCCTTCGTCCAGGCGCCCGTGTCAGACCTGCTGTACCGGCGGGACATGCGCCCCGCCCTGCACACAAGCGGCAGCAGCAGCAGTGACGGTGAGCTGGGTCGCAACTGCAGCAGCAGCGTCAGCAGGAGCGTCAGGAGCAGCGACAGCAGAAGTAGCGCTGGCGGGGAAGGTCAAGCAAGAGAAGGAGGGGGAGAAGGAGGGGCTATGGACACAGGCGGCGCTGCGGCTGCTGCGGCTGCTGCTGCCTGCCGTGAGCCGCTGCCTGTGGGTCACCCCGGCTCCGTGCTGAGCCACCTGGCTGAGGTGCGTCGCGTGTGGCAGGCGGCACAGCGGGCGGCAGGCGGCAGTAGCGGTGGCTGTAGCACCAGCAGCAGTGGTAGCGGGGCTAGCAGTAGTAGCGGTAGCAGCAGCAGCAGCCCTGTAGGGGGCGGTGGGGAGGTCATGAGACGAGTCACACCGCTCATCAACCTGCTTCATCCGCCTGGCCACCAAGACCAAGCCACTTCCACCACCACCTCCTCATGTGGCCCCACCCCCAGCTCCCCCAGCCCCCCCAGCAGCACCCCGGGCAGCACCGACCGTCTGCTGTCCTGGGGCGCCCGCACCTACCTCATGGCCATCCTCAACATCACACCCGACAGCTTCTCAGACGGGGGACTGTACGACAACGACGTGGGTGCGGCGGTGGCTGCTGCGGAGCGGTTGGTGGCTGCGGGGGCGGACATACTGGATGTGGGTGGGCAGTCCACACGGCCGGGAGCCAGCAGGCTGGGGGCGGCGGAGGAGCTGGCGCGGGTGATGCCGGTCGTCAGGGCCCTGCGCAGCTCGCCGGCGTTGGCGGGCGTGCCGATCAGTGTGGATACCTTCCACTCGAGCGTGGCGGCGGAGGCGGTGGCGGCGGGGGCCAACATCGTGAATGATGTGACGGGAGGGGAGGCGGACCCGCACATGCTGGAGACGGTGGGAGGACGTTGGGGTGTGGGTGGGGGAGGGTGCAGGCAATGCGGGTATGGGGGTAGAGAATGTGGGGGTTGTAGAGGGCTGTAGAGGGCTGGCGCTTGGGAAAAGAGATGCAGCTGCGCGCGGTTGCGATGTGTAATGCAGTGCGCTACTGTGGGGCGATAGGCGAGTCGGACCGCTGTATCGTGCTCGCACTGACGCTGGGAAAGCGAGGCCGGGGATTCCAGCGAAATGAAGCAACCGCTACAAGCCGTACAGCCGTTGAGATGCCCTGTCCCGTTACGACTCCCCTCCCCAGGTCGCCGAGCTGGGTGTGCCGTACGTGCTGATGCACATGCGCGGCGACTTCCGCACCATGAGCCGCCCTGAGCACACCTCCTACGGCTGCGTGTGGCGCGAGGTAGGGCAGCAGCTGCAGCGGCGCGCGCAGGCGGCGGAGGCGGCGGGCGTGGCGGCGTGGAACATCATCCTCGACCCGGGTGGGGTGGGGGAGGGGGGTTCGGGGGGTGAAGACGTGTGTGTTTAGGAATCCCCAGCCTGTCAGCCCTTCCTAGCCCTTCCTAGCTGCGCCCACGTGACTCTCCCGCCCCCGCGGCTCCCTTTCCCACGTTCTACATGCTCCTTTTCCCCGCTTCCCCCCGCTCCTCCAGGTATCGGTTTCGCCAAGACCTGCGAGGGCAACTTGGAGCTGCTGCGCCACCTGCCCGCCCTCAGCCGCACAGCGCTGGATGGGCCTTACGCAGCGTCCGCACCCCCCGCCGCCTCCCCCATCTCCACCTCCTCGCCCGCCCCCGCCTCCGCCTCCCATGCAACCTCCAACGAAGCAACCTCAGACGCCGCACCCTCCTCCGCATCCTCAGACACAGCTGCTACCTCGGAAGCAGAAGCAGAAGCAGCAGATGCAGCAGATCCCGTCCTCCTCACAGCAGCTATGGGCGGCGGCGCCGGCGGCGGTGCGCCCCTGCTAGTGGGCCCCTCCCGCAAGCGCTTCCTGGGTCAACTGACGGGGCGGGAGCAGCCGGCGCATCGCGACGCCGCCACCGCGGCTGCATGCGTGGTGGCGGTGGGGGGCGGGGCGGACATGGTGCGGGTGCATGAGGTGGCGGGGGTGCGCGATGCACTGCGTGTGGCGGATGCGGTGTACCGGGGGGGACGGGGGAGGGAGGTAGCAAGGTGATGACATGCGTGGGGGGGGGAGGCTTGGAGGGGGGGTTTGGGAGGGCATGGGAGGACATGAGAGGGGCGCTTTGCTTGGGGAGGGCGGCAGTGTTGCAAGGGGGGTGCAGGGGGTGTAGGGGGGAGAGCTGAGTTTCGTGAGGTCGGACACTTGGAACTCGTGAGCTGTGGGAGGCTGCATTACCGTGTTGTCGCGTTGGATGGGTGTACCCAGGGATGTACGGCTAGTCAACCAGATTGGGGAAGGCGCTGTTGCGCCTCCGCCCCTCGCCCCAGCAGGAAATATGGGTGCGGTGCACGAAGTTGAGTTAACATAAGCGGGGGCCTTCTATAGGCCACTATACCATTATCAGGTCAGGGGTCAGGGCTCGATTTTAAGAGCCCTCTTCAGTACAACGCAAAGGCCAAGTCATGACCCACGGGTCACCCTGGCGCACAGAAGTTCCCCACCACACGCTCATGCAGAACCTCACACCCTCTATGCTCAAACAAATGCCCAACCTGCTTCGTTGACACCCTGGTCAACACCCTGCTGCCACCACCACCATCAACCACCTCAATTCGTTAGCTTCTTCCTCACTACCTCCCTCCCCCCCCCGCCTCATCCACCTCTCACACCTGCGTCCCCGCCTCCCCTCCCCCCAGCTGCACCGCCAGCCCCCGCTCCCTCGCCTCCCGCCGCCTCCGCCCCTCCAGCAGCTCCTCCGGCCGGTACACCAGGTAGCCCTGCCGCTCGCGGTTGCGCTCGTAGCAGGCCCTGTCCCGTGGGTCACACACCTCGCACTCGCCGCACGTCTTGCGGCAGGACCCCACCTGGCTGGCGTCGCCGCGCATGTAGGCGGCGTTGCGGTCGCACTCGCCCGCCTCGCGCCAGCGGGCACACTCGGGGTGGCGGTCCGTGCAGAGGCCTGGCGGGGAGTGGAGAGTTAGGAACGGTACAAAGTCGCTTTTTGGCAAGCGCGCGCCACATTCTCACAGCTCTAACCTTACCTCATCCCGCTTTGCCGCACCTCCCAGCTCCACCCCCACCCTCCCTGCCGCACCCCCACCCCCACCCCCACCCTGCCTCACCCGGGTCTTCCTCCGCGTCCCTCCGTGTGAAGGTGCCACGCACCGGGTCCCACTCCTCCGGCCTGAACGGCTGCGTGTGAACCCACACCGTGGCTGTCCACTTGACGCCGCGTACCACGGGGCAGCCCTCGTGCTCGCTGAGCGGGTCCTCGTGCCGCCCGTCCGGCAGCACCGACCAGAACAGCAGCGCGTCGCCGCGGCGGGGCTTGAACGCGACGTTGCCCTGGGGGGTGGGGCGGGGAGCGGGGAGCGGGTCAGGAGGAGGAGGAGGTGGAAAGGTTGGTCAGGATGTAGCCTCCCTCCAGGCAGCCAGCCAGCCGCCCCTAGTTCCAGCAGTGGCCAGCCAACCCTCCGCAACTACATGCTCCCCCCGCCTGCTCCCCAACTCGCCCATGCCTCCTTCCCCAACCTCTCCCCACCGCCCCTCCCTTCTCTCTTCACTCCCTCCAGTCCCTCCCTCCCTCCCTCCCTCCCTCCCCTCCCTCCCTCCCCTCCCTCCCTCCCCTCCCTCCCTCCCCTCCCTCCCTCCCCTCCCTCCCTCCCTCCCTCCCCTCCCTCCCCCCCGCCCGCACCTGCACGCAGTCCGAGAAGGGCCCGAACAGTCGGGGCATGTCCGGGTGCACCCAGCTGCGGGAGCGCGGGAAGGCCGTCTCGCCGCCCACCTCGGGGTCCGACAGGTAGAGCAGCGCGGTGGCCAGGCGCGGCGAGTCGTCCTCCAGCGAGTCGGTGTGGCGGTGGTAGTACTGCCCCAGACCGTAGCGCAGCACCTGCATGTCCTCCTGGTACACCACCGGCACGTGGGTCAGCTGCGCCACCCGCTCCTCCACCGCAGCAATCACCGGGGTGCTGTGCCTGGGGGGTTGCATGAGGGGGGGCGGCGGGGTAACGTGGGGTAGGCGGGGGAGGCGGTGGGAGGAGGAACTCAGTCCTGACAAGGCGCCTCCTCCATTCCCTGCCACCGTCCCACCGCCGCCACCCCCACCCCTGTACGTTTCTTCATCCCCTCCACCTGTTGAGGAACCTCCCGCCCCCGCACCGCACCTGTTGAGGAAGGTTCCGAAGGAGGTGCGGTAGTCATCCAGCACGGAGGAGCCGTTCTGGGCCACCACTGTGGAGCGACGCATGTGGACCTTTTGTGTGGGGGGATGGGGGAGGACGGTGGGGGAGGACGGGGAAGGGATGCGGCCGAGGTGGGAGGTGTGGGAGTGTGAGGGTCAGTCGCCGCTGTGTGTCCCTCCAGCACCTCCTGTATCATCCCGTCCATCCCCCCCCGCAGTACACCCGCTGCCAGGTCCACTCCCCTTCCTCCTCCTCCTTCTCCCTCGCCTCCTGTCGTTCCCCTGCCCACCCGCCCGCCCCCACCTGCGCCATGTCCGCTATGTGGGTGCACTCCTGCTCCGACAGGAAGTTGCGGATCACGAAGGCGCGTGGGCGCCAGGATATGACGGATATGAAGGGCGTCTGGCCGGGGCGGGAGAGGGAGTTCGGAGGGGGAAGGCCGGGGAAGGAAAGGTGTGGGATGGGGGTGTGGGGTGAAGGGACGGGGTAGGCGACAGGGCCGGGTATCGGATGGATGATGGTGTTGGGGGGGGGGGCGGGGGCAGGCGGGGATGAGTGGAGCGGCTGGGGGTTTAAGAAGGATTCCAGGAAAACCAGCGCGCAGCAGGCAGAGCAGGCAGCACGATCTCGCCGGCTAGCCACCATCGGTGTCTCACTTGCCTTCGGCTTTGTGGGCTTGAAGGTGTCCCCTTGCCATCCTATAAGCCGCTCCTCGCCAGCTAGAGAGTTAAAAGATGCCGAGACAGACCATATGGTTACCGATACAATAATGGCTAGTGTGACCACAGGCTGGGCGCCCAGCCTAATCGTAGTTCGCCCCTCCATGTGGCAGGATTGGAGTTCGCCACTGCAGTCCTAACGAAAACGTGAACTCCCTATACTAGAGACTTATAATAAGCACATGCCTAGTTACACCACAGGTCAGGTGGCTAGTCGCACAACAGCTACCGGCTAAACTTATCACAGCTATATCGGAAATGCAGGTCTGTATACGCGTTATGTGTGCTTAGATTCAAAGGAAAGATTCAGTCTTGTTTTGGTATCTTGTGAAGTAAATTGTGTGCAAGCACGTTTTCGAGCGGGATTAGTTACCCCATAGAACTGCTGCAACGTGCATAAAGCTTGAACACATTAAAAATAGCGGTAGCGTAACCAAGTGAGTGTTGTTGTTCTGTGCCAAAAAGGTTAGTTGGCCCTTTGTACAGTATCGGTCCAGTCAAAGCTGTACAGAACTGAACAGACCAGACAGCTGCGGTTGGTTGTCAGGGTAGCCATCATGCCGGAGCTTCCCGAGGTGGAGGCTGCGAGGGCGCTGCTGGAGCGCGGCTGCGTGGGAAAACGAATCGTCAAGGTCGTCGCGGCAGAGGACGACAGTGAGTTCCTGCTCACGACAGCTCTTTCAGGCTGCAGCTAACAAACGGGCCAATTAACTCAAGAAATACTAGGTTAAAATAAGGTCGAGTGCGCAGTGTCGGGATGCAACACCCTTCCAGCGCGTCAACTCATGGTCGGCTCCTAGTCGGCCCAACCGCACGCCTGCTACAGCTCTATGAATATCACACAGATCATTAACACCCCAATGAATACCCTACTTATCCTTAAAACGGCTATCCTTTGCTGCCTGTTGTGCCGTTGAACTGTTGCCATGTCGTCTGGCCGCATGGCCCATGGGTCGCAGCGTCTTAACGTCCGCGCGAACGGCCGCCTGCCTCCCCGTGCCGTCCCGCTCCCTCCCTGCCTGTCCCCCCCCAGAGGTGTTTGAGGGCGCCTCCCCTTCCGACCTCTCCGCTGCACTGGCGGGCCGGCGGGTGCTGGCTGCGCGGCGCAAGGGCAAGTACCTGTGGCTAGAGCTGGAGGACCCCGCACGGCCCTGGCCGCTGCTGCACTTTGGTGAGGCAATGGAGAATTATGTGCAAGCGTACACCCGTCTAACCGGGCCCCTGATCTAGCCCTTACTCCGTAGTCCGTACCCTCCCTACGTGCTGCTTCTCAGGCATGACGGGCAGTATCGTGGTGCAGAATTTCGGAGAAAGCAAGTACAAGCGGTAAGAAAGCCGCGGCTGCGAATGGTGTCCTAGCTGCGGGTGGCACTTGCTCCGCCCAAAGCAGCCACAACCCACCCTCCCAGTGCATGTCAGCAGCCCCGGACTGGTCGCTGTGCTCACCTGCTGCATGTTGCGAGATGCTTCACAATGTACAATCAAGCGCCCCATCCTCATGGAACCCCGCAACATGCGAGGGTACGCCTCCGACAATTACGGTATTAACAAGGTACCAAGCAACCTCCCAACCGGCACCCGCCTGCTGCCGCTGCTGCTGCAGTTTGCACCTGGAATCGGAGCCGGACGAGTGGCCGCCGCCGTACACCAAGCTGGAGCTGCAGCTGGAGGGCGGGGGCAGGGTGGCCTTCACGGACCGCCGCAGGTGGGGGCGGGGAGCGAGGGCTGGGAGGAGTGGGGTCATGGGGGAAGGGGGACAACGGTACCTGCAAACCTGGTGAGAACTGTGAGTACGAGTGCCTGATGAACCTATTCGCAAAACAACCGCTCTCCGCCCCCTTCCTCCCACTCCCGCACCCTCGACCTGCTGCCTGCCTGCTTCAGGTTCGGTCGCGTGCGGCTACTGGTGGACCCCGCCTCCCGCGAGCCGCTGAGCCGCCTGGGATTCGATGTGCTCAGCGAGATGCCGCCGCTGGAGGAATTCTGTACGGCAGTACGGCAGCGGGGGGCGCGGGGGGCGGGCGGCAAGATAAAGGCGCTGCTGCTGGACCAGGTAAAAGGGGGGTGTAAAACGTGTTTGTTGGTCTGGGAGCCTCAGCAAGGTAGCTGGACGGGGGTGGCAGCGCGCGGTAGTAATAGGGAGACACAAGCCGAGCCCTTACCCGCAACTATTGCCACCCGCAGGAGTTTTGTAGCGGCATTGGTAACTGGGTCGGAGACGAGGTAAGGACGAGCGGGAGGGGAATGAGCAGAGGTGTGGGCAAGGTGCGCGGTGGGGGCGGTGGGGAAGGGAAGGAGGCAAGGAGCTTACCGTGCATGGCTTAGGGTGAGCTGGCTGCAAGTGACAGCGTGTCCGGAAACGCATGCGGCAGGGTAGGGCGCGTATCCGGAAATGGCCCTTCACGACGACGACGCTGCACACCACCACCTTCGTTCCCCATCGCTATCGGCGCCGCTAGGTGGCTCAATGAATTACCGTGCCACCCTCCCCTGCCCCCGCCCAGGTGCTCTACCACGCGCGTCTGCACCCTGAGCAGCCCGTGTCCTCCCTGGACTCCGCCGCCCTGGCCGCCCTGTACGACAGCATCCGCTCCGTGGTACGGCAGGCGGTGGAGGCGGAGGCGGACGCGGACAGGTTCCCCAAGGACTGGCTGTTCCACCACCGGTGAGGAGCTGAGGGGGCGGGCAGGGAGTGGGGGCAGGTAGAAGAGCCTGCAGGGTGTGCTGGGTATGTAGTTAGATACGGTTTTGGGGTTCAGTGCGGCTCGCAGGAAGTACTTTCCGAATTATCCTTTTGATCCATTTGAAGCTCCCAACCCCGCCAGGTCCCGGTACGGCAAGCCCAGCGGCTCCCTGGGCGGCCACCCGGTGACCCAGGTGAAGGTGGCCTCGCGCACCTCCTTGTTCGTTCCCGCGCTGCAGAAGCTCAAGGGAGGGGGTGGCGGCAGCAGGTGGGGCGGGGGGGGGCGGGGGCATGCAGCAGGTGGTGCAGTACAGGACACCTTGGTGGTGGTTTGTTCATGTTAAGAACGCTGCTCCAGGGGCGGTGTTCCCGGGTGCATTGCATTGCGCTGCATTGCGGCATTCCCAGTAGTGTGGGGGATGCGGCTGCCCCTCCTCAAACCTGTATTGTGTGCTGTATTGCCGCATGAAGGAACTACGTTGGGCAGCCGCAGTAGTCTGGTTCACTTGACATCTCTCTCCAAGCAGCTCCCGCAGGATCATGCACAGGCGCGGAGCAGGGAAGGCAGCGAAGGAGGAGGAGGAAGAGGAGGAGGAAGTGGAAGAGGCAGAGGAAGAGGAGGAGGAAGAGGAAGCGGGTACGGCGTTGGGTGAAAAGAAGGATATCCAATGCGTGGTGTGGTAGTGGTAAACGGCGTTGGGATGGGTGAGGGGAGGTGGAAGGGCCGCCCTCTAGTCCACGGAAGCAACTACCGATACGTCACAACACACAATCCATGGCCTCCGGATTCCTACTAAGGCCGCCGCCGCTGCCGGCACCGCTGCTGCTGCTGCACAGGCGAGGAGGCTGAGGAGGCGGAGGCCCAGGCTGGCCCCTCCACCAAGCGGCCGCGCAGGCAGGCGCAGGCAGGCAAGAAGGCCGCCGCAGCCGGTCCAAAGAAGGGAGCCAAGGCGGGGAAGAAGCAGCATGAGGAGGAGGGAGAGGAGGAAGAGGAGGAGATGGAGGCGGCTGGGGACGGCGGCAAGGCGAAGGCGCCTAAGCGGGCTCCTGCGAAGGGGAAGGCCAAGGCGCCGGCCGCACGAAAGCCCTCCGGGGCAGCTGCGGGTAGGCCGCGACGGGCCAAGGCCTAGTTGCTGTGGAGGCTGTGTAGGAGCAGCAGCACGTGCTGGATCATCAACGGAGTTGGATACTGTTTGAGAACATTAGCTGGCAGTTGAAGGAGATGTGCACCAGCTTGCGTGTACATCACTCATTGTCGTATATGACGGTTCTACGGGTATAAAGGACATTAACCACATGTGGTTCACGTAGCATATGGGGAATTGCAGGGCACGGTGTTGTCCTGGTCGGCTATCAAGCAAGGCTGGGGGGCTAGAGGGCAGGGCGCGGTTGCACAAATTGTGCATGTTGCTGTTGTTTGTTGCAGGATGATGATGATGATGATGATGATGACTACGTCCGACATGGGATGTTCGTTGTTGTGCTTCTCATAAACGGTGGGGATGACTCGTCAACGCATGTTGTTACTCATTGTCTTCCGTTGTCGGTATTGCTTGAGAGAGCTAGCCTCAAGGCCTCAAGGAGGTTGGGTCCTCCGGACGTTACTGTACGGCGGATTTGTATGCGCCCCCTTGCAAGTTGACAGTTGCACCGCCCAGCCATGCATGGGCGCTGTAAGCCACGACGCAACGGCGGCCCCGCTTGTCAGGAGTGGACGAGCTGACAACGCCGTTGTACTCGACTGCTCGCCCTGACTCGTACGGCAGCCCTGCAGGCTTGTCAGCCACCCCTAGTGAATCTAGTTCGTAACGGTCACTTATTATTATGCAGTGCACTAGCACTAGCACTAGCACTAGCACTAGCACTAGCGTACATTAGGATGTGCATCTGCCGGGGGCCCCGATTAAGTGCAGCACGCCTATGAGGCTCCAAGTTGCGAGGCTGTTGGCTCGGCTTCCATGTTGGCGCTTGCCTCCAAACTTCCCCGGCGCCAAGCAGCTGCAACCCCTCAAATTCCCAAGCTTCCTGAGGTGCAAACAGCACGGAAAGGTACCGGAAACACGTGGGGAGCGATCCAACCCCGTATCATCCGTGTACGTCAGGGAGGATTACGGCGATAACGGGATTCCTACTGCACATCAGCATCGCCACGCGCTCTACAATATAATAATCATCGTTTGCTTTATATGGTTATGCGCTTTGCGCTGGTCATCGGCGCTTACTTTGCAGCAGTTGGTCGATCGCCGATGGCGCCTCTTGCATCCTCCAAATCCTTGATGACCCCTCATTCCATAGATGTTGTAAAAGCGTAACCACTACCAGCTCTGCTCTTAATTGCGAACACCTTTCATAGTCATCACCGGGCTGCAAGGATATAGCTAAAGCGAGCCCTCCTAATCTGCATCGAGGTCGCGTAAACTAATATTCACCAAAACTTCATCATGCCGGAACTTCCCGAGGTGGAGGCTGCGAGGGCGCTGCTGGAGCGCGGCTGCGTGGGAAAACGAGTCGTCAATGTCGTCGCGGCAGAGGACGACAGTGAGTCGGTGATCGGCTGGTGGTCGGTTGGGTGCTGATGCGAGCTTGAGGGCTGGTCCCTCGAGGTTGTGCCAACGCATGTGGGCTTACGGGAGCAGGACAATGGGCTCAATGGGCTTAATGGATGTTGCACGGGTAGCTGTTGAGCATCGACCAGTCCATTCGCCTTCGCCAGTCCAAATCCAGTAACCGCAAACATCTCTTGTCTTTACCCCTGTCTCCGGCCTTGCGCCTTGTCATCGGCTTGGTTCTTCCTCCTCCCTTAGCGAAGCCCTCTCCCCTGAAGCCCTGATGTATGGGGCCCGCCACAACCTCCCTCACCTGCTCCTCACCTGCTCCTCACCTGCTCCTCACCTGCTCCTCACCTGCTCCTCACCTGCTCCTCGCCTGCTCATCAGCTACATGTATAGGCGCCATGTACAAGATCAGCTGTGCGCGCCAAAGAGCATCAGCAAACAGAACCTGCATGGCATAGGATTTGGTAATTGTAAGCCATACCTGCCTTCCGGGGTTAAGCCCGGCGGCAGATACTTGCACCCCTGCAAGCCTACCGTACCTGTTCGCTGCCGTCCCGCTCCCTCCTCCTCCTCCCCCTCCAGAGGTGTTCGAGGGCGCCGCCCCCTCCGACCTCTCCGCTGCACTGGCGGGCCGGCGGGTGCTGGCTGCGCGGCGCAAGGGCAAGTACCTATGGCTAGAGCTGGAGGACCCCGCACGGCCCTGGCCGCTGCTGCACTTTGGTGAGAGGGAGGGAGAAAGGGCTCGCTGACCCGTGGGTCTGTGGGTGACCGTAGGCATGGCTACTAGGATGATGTTCCGCTTGATATATATACTTGTAATCTCAGACCCACCTGCGCGTGCGCTGCTCCCCAGGCATGACGGGCGGCATCGTTGTGCAGAACTTGGGAGCTAGCATGTACAAGCGGTGAGCGCATGTGGGCTGCATGGAGGGCATCCAAAGGCATGTCGTCCGCCCCAACAGCTCGTGTCGGAGCCCGTTGCCTGCCTCCCCCCTTCTCGCAGTGTACATCTGGAGTCGGACCCCGACCAGTGGCCGCCGCGCTTCACAAAGCTAGAGCTTGACTTGGAGGGTGGAGGCAAGGTGGCGTTCGTGGATTCGCGCAGGTGAGGCATGCGGGGATAGTATCGGTATCGGGCCCTTGACCCATGTGCATAATGACTGCAGCCAGCTTTCCACGCTTTACAAAGACGTGCTGATGGCTTTTTGTCGCCTCCCACTCCCGCACCCTCGACCTGCTGCCTGCCTGCTTCAGGTTCGGCCGCGTGCGGCTACAGGTGGACCCCGCCTCCCGCGAGCCGCTGAGCCGCCTGGGCTTCGATGTGCTCAGCGAGATGCCGCCGCTGGAGGAATTCTGTACGGCAGTACGGCAGCGGGGGGCGCGGGGGGCGGGGGCCAAGATAAAGGCGCTGCTGCTGGACCAGGTATAGCGGGGGTGCTTGTGACAATACCTTACTGCTGTTGGTTGGGGTACTGTGCCTCGCACTGTTTAACCACCACCCGCGGTTGCCTCTCACCTCTGACCACCACCCGCGGTTGCCCCTCCTCCCGCAGGAGTTTTGCAGCGGCATAGGTAACTGGGTCGGAGACGAGGTAAGGACGAGCAGAGGGGAACGGCAAAGGTACCGATGTTGTCCGGCCAGGGAGTGTCGGGTGCTGCTGGGTCCTGTCTTTCTTGAACCCGATGAGCCACCGTGCTTTCTACCCTGACGCATGCTAACCCCAGCAATGGCCCGCTCCCTCCCTCCCCTGCCCCCCCCCAGGTGCTGTACCAGTCGCGTCTGCACCCCGAGCAGCCCGTCTCCTCCCTGGACTCCGCCGCCCTGGCCGCCCTGTACGACAGCATCCGCTCCGTGGTACGGCAGGCCGTGGAGGCGGAGGCGGACGCGGACAGGTTCCCCAAGGACTGGCTGTTCCACCACCGGTGAGGAGCTGCGGGGGCCGGGCAAGGGGGAAAGGCGTGCCTACCGGTATGCAGAGGGGTCCGGATGTGGGCAGCCACAGACCGCAATCCCCATGTGGACCCCCCAATGTGAACCTCATCACGTCAGCCCCGCGGCGTCAGGATCATGCCTTGATGCCATGTCGCCACCTTCCATGGCCACCTTCTCCCCAACCCTACATTGTTAGTGGCGCCTCCCCCTCTCCCTATCCTCGTGCCCTGTCTTTTGGTTACACAGCGGTTTGTCCCCCCCCCCCAACCTCCAGCTGGACCAACAAGAGGGCTTCCAAGTCTGCGGACGGTCACCCCATTGAGTTTGTGACGGTGGGCTCGCGCACCTCTGCCTTCGTACCCGCGCTGCAGAAGCTCAAGGGAGGGACCGCCGCAGCAGCAACCGCGGGAGGAGACGCAGCGGAGGGTGATGCCAGCGGGTGAGGCTTTGTGCAATCTTGCGTCAAACGAGTAGATTTTGAGCATTGAAGCAGCAGTAGCAAGATGACTTGTTCTGGGCGCAGGACCGGTCACAAACGTGGGCGTGGAGCTACAAGAAAGGGCAAGGCAGCGGAGGCAAAAGGAGATGAGGAAGCAGGTATGCTGTCATCATGGGCCGTTGGCGCAGGCGCCACCCGGATGGCTGTAAGGACTAGGGTCGTGCAGATGCCGATGATCGTGCAATGTTGACACCACGGTAAGGACCTTCCAGCCGCCATCGCTGGTTGTTCCTTTCGCAGGTGGCCAGAAGGGGGCGGAAACGGTGGCTGGGACCTACAGCAAGCGGTCACGGAGGCAGGCGGGCGGCAAGAAGGTGGCAGATACCGCAGTTGGGAAGAAGCGCGGCGCCAGCAGCAGGAAGCGGCAGGGGGAGGAGGAGGAGTTGGAGGAACGTGAGGAGGGGAAAGGGGAGGAGGACGAGGAGGAGGTTGGTGCCGGCCGGAAAAGGGCACAGAAGAAGGGGACCAAGGCGGTCGCCAAGGGCAAGGCCGCGGCCAAGTCGTAGGGCTTAGCAGCCCACACCCTTCAATGGCAGCTTCACGCCACTAGCCAATCACGCCAGACACATGGGTGCAAGGCGTCACGATTCCCACAGCACGTTGCACAGACAGGTCGAATCTTACAGCCAAGCTCCAGCCCCCGAGCAGTACATTGCAGTCTGGGCGTGCACGTGTACGGTGTAGGAGGTGAGAATGCGGCAGAGACCAACCCATGAAGTGTGAATAGGAGTGAAGTGTACCGGTGCATTGCGCTGTCTAGGGGGACGGGCGCGGAACGACAGCAGCAACCCAGCAGCCAGCATGTAACCATGGCAAGCAAGGCCCCGGAAGGGCCACACAAACTCCAGCTGAAGCACATACCGCGCCGGTCTCGCTACTCCCGCCGTAATGACTGCTGTATACCCACCACCACCACCACCACCATCACTGCTGTGTGAACCGCTCGCACAACGGCACGGCCACTGACCCATGCCACCGAAATCACCATTCCCCCATCCTCCTCTCTCCTCCTAAACCCAACCAAATCGTTGCCTTCCACCACCGCGCATCCCACGCTTCCCTCCCTTCCTCCCCGCCACCTCACCCCGTCCTCCGCCCCTCACCCGCCACTGGGCAGCTGCCACCCCGCCGCCTCAATCAGCTCCCGCATGTACCTCGGCAGCGGCGCAACCGCACTCAGCGCCGCCTTGCCGGGTCGCTTGATGCGCAGCTCACGAGCATGCAACATGATCGGCGGCGTGCCCACACCAGCAGCACCAGCAGAACCACCTGGCAGCAGCAGGCCGCTGTTGCGGGCGCTAACGACCCGTGGGTCTTCCCCCAGCAGCGCCCACCACTCGGGCGGCAGGCGGTCTCGCAGCGCCAGACGGGGTGGCAGGCCGTGGTAGCCGTAGCGCGAGTCGCCAATGATGGGGGCGCCCAGCTTGCGCGCGCAGTGCACTCGTAGCTGGTGGCGGCGACCTGGAGGGGGTGGTGGTGGTTGGGATTCGGGGGGGAGGAAGAGGGAGGGCGAGTGGTAGGGGCAGAGGGGAAAGCAAGGGGCGGCGGAGAGGTCGAACTGAGGGCTTGATGGGTGCTAGGCTTGGGCAAGGCGGCCCAAGATCTGGGGCACCGACGGAAGCTGTCGCCTCCATCCAAGCCTCTCCTACATCCCGGTAACCACCTAGCACCACAAACGAGCGGTGCCAACTCCCCCCCAGCCCCGCGATCCCTGCGGTCCCAAGCCTCGTCGCGGCGCACTCCCCCCGTGACAAACTGACAAACTGCTTCAGTCTATTCCCATTGCTTTGCCCTAACCTGTGTTTCTGGTACATCTCTGACCCCACTCCCACCTGTCTCCGGCGTGAGCTCCACCCACGTGACTCCGCAGCCGGTGGCCCGCACGCGGTAGGAGCTGACAGCGGGCTGGAACACGCCGTCCACCAGCACCGGGAACCTGGGGAGCAGCCGGGGGAGGGGGAGGAAGCGACGGAGGAGGGGGACATGTTAAATGAGCGGGGTTACTAGCGCTACCCAGACCGTGTCCTACGATTAGTCCGCTTAGTCACCGTGGTTTCTTATCCTTGTCCCCCTTTTGCCCCCCCTGCCGTACCTGATGCGCCCCGTCTGCCTGGGCTGCAGGTCTCCCGCTAGGAAGGCCCAATAGGTGCGGCGCACGTGCAGCTGCTCCGACCCGCCGCCATCCTCCTCCTCGTTGTCGTCCTCATCGCCCCGACGTGACGCCCCGCGCCGCCGCCCATCCCGCAGCCCTCTTTCCTCCTCGTCGGCATCTGCCAGAGCCTGTAGAGGACGGGAAGAGGGCAAGCAGGCAGCCATGAACGTACCGGTAGCCACGCATACAAGATTGCAGGCAGGGAAAACCGCAGCAGCGATGAAAGGATAACCACGCAGGGTATCAGCCGTCACACCGCTGGAGAGCCAACAGCCAAGCCATATACGTGTTGACGTCGCATCTAGCACTCCCGGACGCCTTCCCCTTTCCCGCTTCTTATCCTTCCGCTGCCGGTACCGGTACTCTGACTCCAACAAGCTGAGCAACGCGCTCATCGCCCCGCTGTCCCACGCACCTCCCAAGCCCTCCATCCCCCCGCGCCATCAAGCAATTTCAGGTAAACTACGGTCAGGGCCGTTGTTTCCGCGGCTCAGCTTGTCTAACCCCCGCACCTGCCGCGCCTTGCCGCTGAAGGCCGCCGCCAGCCAAGTCGCAGCATCCGCGTTGCGCGCCACCACCATCACTCCGCTGGCCTGCTGGTCCAGCCGGTGGACCAACCTGGGGGGGACAAAGGTATACCAGAACCACAGGTTGGGACAAAGCAATGGGGATAGAGGGAGGACGAGGGGTGGGAGAAGGAGGAGGAGGCGGTGCTGGAGCAGCCGTGCGGCGGTGCACGGTGACCAAGGCCACGCAGCGATCGGCATGTGGACCACTGTTGCTGTGAAGCCCTGCATCCCACGGACCCGGAAACCCCCACGTACCTACACGTCCTCATCCCATCTCCTACCCTCACCCCCTTCCCACCTCCCCAGCCCCCACCCACCTCCCCAACTCCCTCCCCCCACCTCGGTTCGTCATGCTCTCCGAACCGCAGCGCCCGCCCCATCACCGCATCCAGCGAGGGAGCTCCGCCCCTGCCGCCGCCTCCATCCGCGTCGCCCGCCGCGCGTCCATGCACCCGCACCCCCGCCGGCTTGTTGATGAACAGCAGCCCCGGGTGCACCCCCAGCACCCACCGCCGCACCCGCTCAGCACTCAGCAGCCCCGCCGCCCCCGCGCCCGCTGCCGCTGCCGCACCGCCTGACCTAGCAGAGGGAGCTGCAAACAGTGAGGGCCTGCCGGTAGTGCTGCCGCTGCCGCTGCTGCCGGGTCCCGGTCCAGCGGCGGCATGGGAGGTCTGGCGGCGGCTGCCGTCCGCCTCCTCCCCGGGCTCCTCCGGGGCTCCAGGGCTTGCGGTGCCCGCCGCCGCGCTCAGGTCGAGCGGGTAGAGCAGCAGGTCGCCGTTGCGGAGGGGGCGCGAGGGGCGCACGCGGACCACTCGCGATCCGTCGAACAACCGGACCTGCCGCTGCCGGAAGAGGCGGTGCAGCACGGCGTGGGGTACCTGGGGGCCCCGCCGCCGCAGCCAGGATAGCGCTACGGGAAAGGAAGGGGTGACAGGATAGGAGGTAGCAGTAGCAGCAGAAGGCGGGTGAGTGTCAAGGCGAGCAGAGGACAGGCGGGGTGCGTTTACTGGGTGGATAGAACAGCAGGGGAGAGGGGATAAGCATGTACAGTGTACCTTCATACCTGTTGGCGCAGGCATGCCGCGTATGAAGCTGACCGGGGGTGTGGGTCGCAGAGTGGCGCGGAAACGCTGCAGCAGCTCCAGGGGAGACTGGGGGGACTTGGGGGCGCCATCTGCAGAGGGATGGGAGCACGTTTGAACACGACACACGCGGTCCAGAGGTCCCTCTGCAGTTTACCTGAGCCCTTCTTGTCTACGCCAAGTCGGCGTTCCCCCGACTTGGGTCCTTGCCGCCCCGCGTCCGAATTGCCAGATGCAAAGCTGCGCCATGCATCAAGGTGTGCGAGTGCGCCAAACCATTCCTTGCGGGCGCCACCAAGGGGAGAAGTAGTTGCTAGCAGAACCAGCTGTGACTGCAACCATCGCTGCATTGATATCTAAGAATCGTGGTTAGACTACTGGGCTTACTCACATCAGCACGTCCTGCTACAACGGTTTGACGCCAGGAGAGGCCACAGGTTTTCAGTGGTATTCGCTAAGAGTTGTGTAGTAACGCTTTGTTCCAAGGAATAGTGCATGTTGCGTATCGGCTTAAATGTAACGGCGCACACCGTACTTCACGGCTATGTCATGGATTTCCTTATAGCATTCAGTTCATGCGACAACACTTGCATCGCTTTGAGCAGCAGTTACAGTGCAGCAAGCTAAAAGCATTACTTAGTCGCAAGGGACTTTCCATCAAAGCAGGACGGCGTTGCAACATGGCTTCAACAAACAACGTTTGTTCTACAGCTTCATTGCTTTATAGACTCGCAAGCCATAGTCATGCTGGCTCGTCTTCGGCATCACTCCTTGCGCCAGCCGGTTCATGCTTTGCGCAGCAAGTGCGTGAGATGGCCGGATTCACTAAGCCGGTCACCAAAGGCACCGCTACCAAGAAGAAATCACGCGTTGGAGAGGGACCGGACGAGGAGAACCCCCGCCTTAAAGCCATCGTCACCCTGCTTTCATCGCCGGAGCGTAAGGAGGTGCCGCTGACGCCGGAGGAGCAGGCAGCGAGGGCCGCATACGAGCAGGCACGCATGGCGGAGCACCACGCATGGGTCAAGGACATGAGCATCAAGTTCAAGCTGCAGCGGGAAGCCCTAAGGGCCCTTCCGGAGCGGCTACGTAAGCTCGCCATGCAGCCCGACCACACGCCCTTCCCAATGAACCGGAAGTACCTGTTTGATACGGCACCAGAGTCGTACCGAGACCCCGTCGACGCTGCAGCTGCACAGCAAGGGGGGAAGTAGATGGCTTCCAGATGGCAGGACGGTTGGTGACGGTTGGGAGGTGGTGTTGGGGACTGGGGGCCGGTGCATGCAGCTGGTGTGCCACGAGGAGGCACGTGTGATGCAAGACGACGGAACTGCGGGTGAAGCATGGCGCTTGAAATCCTAGGATTGGTTGTAGGAGCCATCTTAGCAGGGTCATGTAAGCAAGCATTGATCTGGTTCTGTCCCCAACCATTCACATGTCCCTTCCGCACGTTCGCCTGGAGGCAGATGACCCCTCATGTGCGGACGCAGATTCACAACAACGGCTCAACCCGCAACACCCGCCCTAACCCGCAATGGGACGAGACGAAGATCAACATCCCAAACACCAGTTGTATCGCCTTTTTGCCAAGCTTTTGCTAAGCCCTGACGGCGCCTCTGTGTGAGGCTTTTCCTTTGCCACGCTGCAAAGCAGGCACAGCATCCTACCCAGTAGCCAACGCATATCCTAACCTGCTTTCCAATACGCAACAGCCATGACAACTGTGCACACTTAGTAATACGCGGGCCCGTACGGCATACGCGCCAACAAGCATTTGGCAGCAGTTATGCACACATGACACATACCTAGAAAACGTTACATAGCTAATCCTAAGCTACCCAGCAATACCGGTACACTGCATCTAGTATCATATCAACATGTGGCAGCTCATCCGTGACTCCATAAAGAGCTCACCAGAACATGCCAGAACCTAGAAAATTTTGTAACGAAAGGAAACCTGCGCCGTACAACACATGTCGCCGGTGTGCCTCGTCAACCAGCCATAGGCCCCTTGATTCCAAAATGCGCACCGTACGACAGCCTTACGGTGTACGACAGCCCTGATCACCACATCATGTACAAATCCATCATGCAACCATTCTACACGTTTTTATCGTGACACTTGGAAGGTGCCTAACTCCAGCATTGCGTCGTGTGGCTGCCGGTTGCCGAATTGACGAATCTAGACCATTCAAATCGTCCGCCTGCTAGCCTGATGACGCGTGGGGGACCGTTGATGGCCCCTGCGGCAGCATCAGCGACCTGTTCGGGGCCCCAATCCAGTGAGCAATGCATCCGTCAGTGTAAGTCAAGTTATGATGAAATCGGAATAACCGCCCGTACACAACTCATGGCCATACCCAACCCAGGCCACCTGATGACTCACACTGAACGCACGCACATAAGCAAGAACCCGATACCCCTCCGCCCGCGTTGCGAAGCAGGCTGCGTCAGTTGCCAACCCAAGCGCCCAACACCCCCCGCCCGCCTCAACTCACCCCGAGAACAGCGGACTACCGTCTTCTCCCGAGGGCAGCCCCCTGGTGAGCTCCGCATGCAGGGACACGCCGCCCCCGCTGCCTCCCGGGCCCCCGCGTGACGCATGAGTGCCGGCCCCTTGCCCGTGACCCCCCTGCCCCGCCCCCGCAGACCCCGGCAGCACATGCAGCGTGCCGGCTACATGACGCACGATGGCGCGACGAGCCCACCGGCCTCGCTCCACCTTGTCTCCGGTGGCGGTGCTGCTGCTGCTGTTGCTGGAGTTCAAGCCCCAACCCCCCTGCATGCCTCCACTGGAGGAGGGCCAGCTCTGTGGGGGAATAGGAGGTGCGGGCAGGCGAGGTGGAACGGGGTGAAGAGGAGTTGTGCGCGCGCGCGAGAGGACAGCTACTCCCGCCACATCGCGATGGCGGCTATGACCCTTTATCTGAGCCTTCGATACCAGCGACCCAGCAGCACCCATCCACCTCAGCGGCTGCCCCCTCCTGCAGCTGGCAGTGCCGCCAGTGCCAGCCCCACCCATCGGACCTAAGCCCACGCCACGCTGCCCCGTCCCGCTCTGCCCCGTCCCACCCCTAGTGCCTGTCCGCGCGCACCTGCCCCCCATGCCCCGCTCGCTGCCCCGCCCCCGGCCTGTTGTAGGAGTTGAGCAGCAGGGTGGTGGTGCGCAGGCCGGGGCCGCAGCTGCCCGCCAGCTCGCCCAGCGCACCCTCCAGCAGCACTGGCAAGTGGTGCTGCAGGAACTGGGGGGACAGGGGGGAGGCAGGGGTGGGAATGGCAGCGGGAGGGCTGGTGGCAGCGGTTGGAGTGGTAAGGAGGTGGGGCGTCAGGCGGAGAGGTGGCAGCGGGAGGCAGGCGTAACAAAGGTTTCCGGTTCCCTGTCTTGGTACTAAGAGGCACGCGCGCGGTTTTTAGCCCCTAGCCACAGACCCCCTGGCACGTACCTTGAGGTTGGTTCCATAGCCCTCTGCCGCCGCCGTACAGCCCACAACGCTCGTCCCAACTCCGCGACCTCGCAACGCGGTGACCTCTGTCGGACCTAGAGCTGAGCCAGCCACAGGCCCCAGGGTCCCGACACCACCCTCCGTCGCCGCCGTGCTCGCTGCTGATGCATGGCCGCCCCGCCCCTCCGCTGCACCCTCTCCCGACCCCACACGTCCCGCTGCTGCTGCCGTCGTCCGGGCAGGTGCCGTACGCGCCCCTCCTCCTGCTCCCAACGCAGCACCCATGCTGTGTCCCGGCGACGTCACCGCTGCCCTGGCAGCTGCTGCTCCCGGTACCGCCGCCGCCGCCACCGCTGGGTGTTGCGGCTGCTGCTGGCCGCTGCTCTGCCGGTTGATGGATCCCCCATGCGTGGCAGACGGCATCAGGGAGGGCAACGGCGGCGGCGGCGGCTGCGCCAGGAGTGGCGGCGGCGCCAGGGCGGGCACGCAGTCCAGCACCACCAGCGTGAAGCGCTGCGAGCGCACCGCCCGCAGCAGCGCCTGCAGCGCCGCGCGGGAGTCGGCGGGGGTGCAGACGGGCCAAGGCCGGTAGACCAGGTTGGGCGTGTCCTGCGGGAGGCGGGGGGGAACGGTGAGGGAGAGAGGGATGCGGGGATGAAGGGGGGAAGAACATGGGCAACACAGTGATGGGGTTAGGGACAGGTTAGGGATAAGGGGGTTTGTAAAATAGAAGGGGATGGGTAGTTCGTGAGGAAGGGTATGGGTAGGGCGAGGCGGGCTGTCGTACGGGTACCTTGGGTAGGCAGGGGCTGCTGCCGGGGCCCTCCGCCGCCGAGGCGCCCACTGCTAGCCACAGCACCGAGCCGCTGCGCGCCTCCGTGAGGGCGAGCTGCGCAGCCACATCGGCGCACAGCCGGCCAGGACTGCAGATCTGACGGGACGGGAGAGGAAGAGGGAGCGCAGGATGGGCTTGGGCAGAGCCAGGCTTCGGAGACCGTTTAGAGTCAAGCAAGCGAGCTGCATGGGTGCTGCCCTAGCTGTGTGAAAGGGTGATGACAAGACTTGGAAATACCCGCACCGGCCCCGGGTGCTGGTTCCCTGCCCGACGCCCCTGAAGCCCCCCTCCCATTGGGCTTGTGGAACCCCCTTCCACTCCAGATGCCTGACAGGGGCTTAGTGCGAGCGTACCTCCACGATATTGCCCCGGCAAGGCAGCTTCGCAAGGGCCTGTGAAACTGTGTAGTGACCCGGCCACACCGCCGATGCCTTCAATTGTGGACTGCGATGGGATGGTAAAAAGCTATAAGGAAGGTTCTGGCCCGTCGCCAGTTCTGCGCATGACAGCGACTTACCGATCCATGCTTCCCCCTGCCGACGGCTGGTCCGTCGATGTATGGCCTAGCTGAACCGCGTTGGGTATGCCACATTTCCGATAAATCAACCTGTTCGCTGTGTTTGTCGACTTCTCCAAAGGCGTGGCAACAGTGCTGCCTCTGCGTGCGATCTGGAAAACACGCACAGCCGCTTGTAGTAGCCGCTTCTGCTTGGACATAACCGGCCCTGCCTGCCGGTAGCCGCAAAGTCCTAGGGCGTGGCCCGGGTCCGCTCATGCTGTTCCGCCCCGTGCAGAGGCGGTGAGCGACAAGCTAGCAATAAAGCTAATAATTTTAAATCCTTTGCGCTCGACAGGTGTTCAAGGAGCAGCCACATGCGCTTGCTTGATGCGACATATGCACGGCAGAAACGCTTGCGTGCTCGTCTTTCGGTCTTTGTGATTTTTGCAACCGTATGCCCTATCGCCGGTGGCTCTCCAGTGGGTTACAGCTGCTTTAAGATTTAACACATGGCGGCAAATGCTTTTGCGATTGGGCGCGATACGTAGGCAGTTCAGTTTAGTTAGTAAACCGTATGCGCAGTCGGCAGGGCGACAGTTTAGCTATTATGGTTGGCATCCTACTGGCAGTAAGGCTTTGGATGCATTAACCTGTGGGGGATATCCATCAGGATCTATCGTTGAGGCAAGTACCGCGTCGGTCCCCTGACTCCATCAACCTTGGGCCCCGTCTTCTGTGGTGCCACTCGACTTTTAATCCACTCAACGCGAGGCAACTACCCTTAAACTTACCTTTTATATATATATATATTACCTGCAGCTCCACGCGACCGACCCGGAGGTATGCTGGCAGGTAGCATGGCTTGCCGCGGAGGCAGCTCGTCAACGAAATGAGCACATCCTAGCATGCGGCAGCACATCCTTCCTAGACTTCGCCAAGGTAAGCCATCAAAAGGTCACCCCGCTGTACCTCCGTACGCTTGTGCATGTGTTCCATGAACACCATGCATGCCACGCATGACCCATGGACCCCTCACCACGTGCAATTGGTGCTGTACGCCATGAGCAGGCCTTGGGTGCCCGACTGGATCGAGACGTCCCGGTAATCAAGATCCTGCAACCAGACGTGCTGCTGCCGGCCATCAAGGTTTTGAAACCCGCATGCAGCTTGGTGCTCATTGACGCGCTAGCCGGAGTGGCGGAGGCTGCAGCACCCGCCGGCCCGGATGCTGCCTCCACTCGCGCCCTACGCAGCCGCCGCCTGGGCCGTTTCCTGCAGCAGTTGTCTGTAGCGCTGCAAGCGCCCTCGCGTACCTCCCTGGGGCGACGAAGCGGAGGAGGGCAATTGACCAGTAGCGGTGGGGACGTGGAGGGGAGCGGTGATCTAAAAGGTGGAGGAGCAGCAGGCGGCGGGGTGCAGCCGCTGCCGCCAGCAGTGCTGCTGTGTAACCCGCGAAGCGGCCCGCAGGCGAGTGGAGTGGGGGTCGATGCTTTTGATTGGGGATGGTGGGATAAGCTACCGTCTGTGCGCTGCCGGTATTTACCACTAGTTGTTTACCTGTAGTTCCCCAGTCACAGAAACAATGCCATGTCATACCTCTTGTCGTACCTCAGGGGCTGTACGACTGGCAGTTGCAGCAGTATGCGGTCATGCGGCTGCGGCTGGTGGCGGCGGTGGGTGCCCGGGAGGACACACAGGAGGAGCAGGAGCCCGCCCACGTGGTGGCGCACCTGCTCAAGGCGCCGTTCATCAACTCCCGGTGCGTGAGAGGGCTGTCGGCCGACGTGTGGTGGGTGCGTCAATCAGGGACGGGCGGAGTTATGGTTGGCACGAACAACATGCTTGACAGGTAACCCTGCCAGGGTGCGGCTACTGAGCCGCAGGGAGTGGAATTGATTATGAGTGTTGTTAAGGGTGCTAGGGTGTGTACGGTGCGTACGCAGGAGGAGGGACTCACTAGCAAGGACCGTATAGCTAGAGGCGAATCGTTCATTCCCTGTCTGCAGGATGGCCGTGCCCACTGTCAAGCTGTACCTCCCAAGCAGCCTTTCACAGTCAGCGGACGCATCGTGGGCTGTTCTGGATCTGGTGGCAGCAGCCAGACATCTGGGGATCACATCAATCGCCTCCAGCGGTGGCGGCGACAACGGCAAGGAGACCAGGATGCTGCGCTACCGGAGCTGCGAAGCGGAGGATCGCCACAACCTGGCTCCCTTTGCCGCCAAGCTGGTTGCCGCGGGCCTTGTGTCGGAGCTGCAGCAAGAAGTGGACGCACGGTTGCGAGGACTTCGCATGCCCCCGCGCCCTTCGATGGTGGACTATGATGACGACAAATAGCTCAATTAGTTGGATTACAGCGATAACCTCTTGAAAACGACGACAAGCTCCACCCTTATTGACCAACATGTTTGGTAGGGTGGAGAAAACATCGCAATTTAATATTCGTATGTACGGCCTAGAAAGCAAGGATGGGCCGCTTGGAAGTCTTTGAGCGTACACCAATCCCGGGCACCCGCTGAGTCGCATAACGTCACGTCATATTGTAATGTCCGGTTAGGGCAGGCTGCTGCTTGACGCCCAATGCAGTAACTATATCGCGAGTAAACCGTTGCGAGTTTGTGTTCGTCGGCCGCACACGGGCCCACTTCCGCAGGCGATTTAACCTTCGAGCGGGGCGCCCAGCCATCGGCCAATACGAACGTCACACGCACAAGAGTCATTTACCCCCCACCACCACCACCTTACGCGTCAAGTATTCACGCTCTGTGCGTCCCTGCATGCAAGAGTGCCGTCCAGCACACGCGCTTCAACGCCAATCGACACACCGCAGCGCGCCTCACACGTCCCAACTTGCTGAAAACACATCAGTCAGTGACCAACGCGAGCAAACATCGTACAGGCTGCCCTGTCCAAGCAACGAAAACCACATCATCCTTTCACACTGAGCTGTTTAGTAAGGGCGGAACCGCTGCTGCCCCACAGTGTTTCGGGCCATTGCTGAACGCCCGTAGCCTCCGTACCCCATGACGCCGTATGCCATGGCAGGGTAGCCACCGTAACCGCCGTAGGCCATCGCTGGGGCGTAGGCCATGCCCGTCATGCCGCCGTAACCTGCTGCTGTGAGTCGCAAGGAAAGGAGGAATTGGTGGTTAGTGCATAACTTGACGACAAAGTCCAGTGGGCCGAGCTCAACAGAAATGCACAAGCATATGCAGAACCGCCCCCGGACTCACCACCCATGCCGTATCCTGCCATGCCATCGCCCATGCTCTCCTCGTAGCCGCCGCCAGCAGCGGCAACGCTACTGCCTCGCATGCCGTAGCCACCACCATAGCCAGCACCGTAGCCAGCACCGTAGCCACCACCGCGGCCGCCATACCCGCCACCGTAGCCGCCGCGGCCACCACCGCGGCCACCACCACTACCCATGCCTGGAGTGGCTTCCCGTGGCGTGGCTCGCTTGCAGTCCACGGTCTTGTCCCGAATGACTTGGCGCATGACCAGCACCTTCTCCACGCTGATGGGATCCGCGAACGTCACGAAGCCGAAGCCACGCGTGACGCCATCCTTGCGCATGATCTGTGTATGATGGGGTGCGTTGGAGTAAAACGCAGGAAAACGTCTTGTGAGAATTCGGTGCTAACAAGGCCAACACGGTGTCGGTAGGATGAGCACGTGAGGAGGGGTGGAGGGTTGGGTAATGCCAGGCCTAGCTAGGTGTTGCTGCTGCGCTACTTACCACCGAATCCTGGATTTCGCCATATTGGGAGAAGTGGTTGCGCAGCTCCTCGTCCGTAACGTCGCCCTGAGGGTTAACAAGCGCACAGGCTAGGATTCAGCCGCACATGAGTACCTCGCAGAACCGCCACACAAGCGGCGGATCCAGTGCCTGGGATGATATGCGTATGGAGGTATAGTTCCACGTGGGATTGGGTTTCGTGCCGTTCTTGGCAGCCAAAACTTGAGACGCGATTGCATTTTCCAAGCGATCTGGACGGACAAGACTACCCTACTTACAGTTCCCCCAACAAAGATCTTTTGACATCTCTCTCCTGTCCCAGCCTTGTCGCGCGGCAGAGCAGCCCGCGGTTCGAGTTTAACTCCGTCAATAACATGTTCCGAGTCCAAGAGGCTCTGCGCGCACGTTGGGTCCGAGAACCTAACTACGCCTTCCCCGCTTGCTACGGTGCACTCCTCGACCTGGCCCCTAGCATACGGAAGGACACGCAGTTCATAAAGTTAGGGCCTAGCTCCTACTACGAGGGCTAGGACTTTGGTAGGGCGCCGCTGCTAATATCCGGCGACCGCGGTATTTTTTACACAGATCGCCTTACCACTGGCTGCAGTATTGCTCAAGAACCTCCTTGGTTGTCTGCTCGGACAGGCCCGGGAAAATCAGCTTTCCCTCCTGGTAAGCGTCGTCTCCACCAGCATCACCGCGCGGGCCGCCTGTTCCATATTGGCGGCCACCACCGTAGCCGCCGCGTCCACCGCCCCCATAGCCACCGCGGCCAGCCCCACCACCATAGCCACCGCCCCCATATCCGCCACCGCCATAGCCATAGCCTCCAGTCCCGTAACCGTACATATTTTACCTAACTTAAGAAGTTGTCTTGTATCTAGGGCTGAATGAACACGAAATTCTGGGGTCAAGGCCGGCTTATTACTACTCGCTTGCGGGAGACGAACAAAGCAGATCGTGTACAGAACCTAAATGCCACAGGTGAAATGCGTGTGCATCAGTAAGACGCTTTGTGTTTAGCGGACGCGTAGCTCAGGCATGGGGCATGAGCGTACGACATCCCCTTGCCTCGTTTGCCTGCCCGTAAACGGTTGCCTGCCCACATAATGCAACCATACTGCTGACGTCGTCAAAGAACAGTTTATTAAACTACAGTGTTAGGATTCGGTTGCGCTTTATGCACCGTATTCTAGTTGTGTTTTTGCAGCGCATATCCCATGTCGAACGTTTTGTGAAGACTAACACTTCATTACATAGGCCCTGCAAATGCTAAGCCCATTACGGCGGCTTCTGCCGGCTGGCTATAAGGGGTTTGCCTACCGCAGCCAATCGACCGCAGCGACAGCATCTATATCCAAAGAACGATGGTTCATCACCCTAACGCGACGTCTGGCGATCGGAGGGGTGTTGGCGTATGCCTATTTTGATCCTAGTCCAGAGGATCTGACGACAGCGTACCTGACTCCCATCCGATTGGCCCGTGACGTGTACACAGCGGCGGCCATTGTTGCAGGCACGTAGATATATCTCCCCGGGAAGCCGCCTCGGGGAAGTTGGAGGCGATAGTCGTGTCCAGTGTGCAACGTGAAGTCCTTTAGGCAAGGCAACCCCTGCACAGCCTCCCTTAAACACTAACATCCCTCCACTCACCAACACGAACTCATCTCACTCTCCTGAACAAAGCCTTCCACGCCCTCCCCTCCTCCTCCTCGCTCCTTTCCCCTTGCATCGCTCTGCACCTTCCACCGTATTCCACCTTCCTGTTCCCGTCTCCCTACCTCTCGTCGCCAACGCAGATTGCCCTTCTTTCCTCCCCACCTTCCTCCCCCTCCCTTCGTCCCCCCCCTTCCCCCTCCCAATCAGACTACAAGTACTCGCTGTCCTCGGTGAGCGGGGAGGCGCGTGAGGCGGCGCTGCACGGCTGCCACCAGCGCGGCGCGGAGCGGCTGCTGGCGCTGTGCTTCGCCAACGGGGGCGTGTACACCAAGCTGGGGCAGCACATCGGGCAGCTGGTGGGGCGGGGGCGGGGGCGGCGGCAATCAGGGGGTGGCTAGGAAGGTGGCTGGGTAGTTGGGGAACTGCTAAGGGGGGAGCTGATAGGGAGAGGGGGCTGGGGCTCTGTCTGGCGTGGGGGTAGCCGGGGTCTGAGGCGTCCCAAGGGGTGGAAGCCTCATGGCCGTGTGAAGCATCTGCTGGGAGGGCTCAGACGGCGATGAAGTTGGCAGCCGGCCAGGGCGGTCTGCTGTTCCCTTTCCCCCCTCCTCCTCTAACCCATCCCCACCCCCTCCCCCTCAGGACCACCTGCTCCCCGAGGAGTATGTGGAGACGATGCGCACGAACCTGCTGGACCGCTGCCCCGTGTCGCCTCCCGAGGAGGTGCGCCGCACCTTCATGCACGACCTGGGGGCGCCGCCGGAGCGGCTGTTCGCCTACTTCAATGAGACGCCCATCGCTAGCGCGTCGTTGGCGCAGGTGGGCTGGCGGGCGAGGGAAGGAGGCGTGGGCAGCGAGGGAGGAAGGCAGGCAGGCGACGGCCTGGGGAGGGGGTTTGGTTCGTTTCGTGGAGCTCGGGGCCGGGGTCGGGGTCCTGCGCTCCTAAGTGCCTACTGGTCCTTTCGTATGCCGTGCCTATCCAAACCAATCCTACCATCCCCTCCTCTCACTGCTGTCGCCCCCACCCCCCGCTTCCGCTTCCGCCGCCGCCCCTGCGTCCTCAGGTCCACGAGGCGCGCGACCACTCGGGTCGGCGGCTGGCGGTGAAGGTGCAGCACGCGGGGCTGCGGGAGAGCTGCGCCGCGGACGTGGCCACGGTGGCGGCGCTGGTGGCGGCGGCGCGGCTGGTGTTCCCCGACTTTGACTACACTTGGCTGGTGGACGAGATGCGGGAGAACCTGCCAAAGGTGGGCGGGGGGTTGCGGGGAGTTGCGGGCGGGGAGGCGGGGCGGGGGAGGGCAAGAAAGGGAGGAGACTGACGATGACGAGCGGGCTGGATGTGGGGCGCTGGGTGGGGGCGGATGAGTGTGCGCCAGGCGGTGTGTGCTGGGGGCGGTGCGGCTTGCGGAGGGCTGTGGCTATTGCTGCGTCAAGCTGGCTGCTTGGGGCGGGTTACTGGTACCATCACATGAAACGTGCGCACGGTGCGTAACCCGCCTCACCACTTGCTGCCCTCCTGCTCCTCCTTCCCCCCCGCCTGCTGCTGCTGCTGCCCCGAACCCGCAGGAGCTGGACTTTTGTCACGAGGCGGCGAATGCGGAGAGGTGTCGAGCCAACCTGAAGCTCTCGGCACAGCGGGGCGCATGGTTCGCTAGCAGGTGAGGCACCTGAGTGTCTCTCGCCAGGGGGTCAGCAGCGCGCTGGAAGATGGCACACACACGCACGCCATAAACTCTCCGCCTTTGCCTCTGCCTCTGCCTCCTCCTCCCATATCCTCCACCCCCCTCACCAATCTCCTCCACCTCCTCCTCTCTCCTCACCCAATCCACATGCTTGCCTTGCTGCCCCACCCGCCACCCGCCCATTGCCCTGCCGCCCCCACCCGCCCAGGGTCCACATCCCCGAGGTGGACTACCGGCTCACCTCCGAGCGCATCCTCACCATGGAGTTCGTGGAGGGCATGGGCGTGACGGACGTGGCGGCGCTGCGGGCGGCGGGTCTGGACCCGCGGCAGGTGTCGCTGCTGGTGGCGGAGACCTTCTCAGACATGATCTTCACACACGGCTATGTGCACTGCGACCCGCATGCGGCCAACATGATGGTGCGGAAAGTGGTGAGTGCAGGGGGCGGCGGAGGGTGCTGGAGGGGTGAAATAAGTGGAGGAGGGTTGTAAAGGGGGGGGATGAAGCGGGGCCATGAAGCAAAGACTGTGAAGAAGAGGGCATCCGCATGAATGCATGCAACACGACGCACAGCCGCACACACGCGCGCCCGCTCGTCCCCATCCCACTCTCCCCTTCCGCAGAACGGCTCCGCCCAGCTCGTCCTGCTCGACCACGGGCTCTACAAGTCCATCACCGACTCCTTCCGCCTCGAGTACGCCGCCCTCTGGCGCTCCCTCATCTTCGCAGACCACGAGGGCATCCGGCGGCACTCGGCAGCCATGAACGCCGGTGACGCCTACCCCATCTTCGCTTGCATGCTCACCCAAAAGTCCTGGGACCAGATCCTGGAAGCCCGCTCCGACCACCTGCACATCCAGCGAAGCCCGCAGCAGCGCGAAACGGCGCAGCACTACATGGCGCTGTACGGCAGGGAGATCTCGGAGCTGCTGTCGCGCATGCCTCGGCCGCTGCTGCTGCTGCTCAAGACGAACGACTGCTTGAGGAGTGTGGACCATGCGCTGGGGTCGGAGGTGAACACCTTTGTGATCACGGCTCGGGAGTGCTCTGCGGCGCTGGCGAGGGAGAGGCTGAAGGGCGCACCCGGGCCGTTGGTGCGGCTGGCGGTGGCGTGGGAGCGGCTGCAGGTGGGGCTTAGTGGGGAGGAGGGCGGCGGGCGAGGAGGGAGGAAGGGTGGACGTGGGAATGGGCGAGGATGGGAAGGGAGCGGGCTGCCGCAATTGAGGCTATGGGGCATGTTCCGGCATGCTTGGCATGAGCCCTAATTGTTTTTTTCGGGATGTGGATTGTTAGCTCGTGCACTTCTTCCGCTGCTCTACCCCGTCTTCAGGTGGAGGCCCGCATGCTGGCGTTTGAGGCCATCGTATGGTACAGCGGCGTGAAGGCGCGGGTACGGCGGATACGCAAGCGCAGCGCGGAGCAGGATGAGGAGGGCGGCGCCGCGACTCCGCAGGCTGCGTAGTGGAGCGCCGTGCGAGGTGTTGTGCGAACAGAGCCGCGGATTTGAGGCTGAGGGTGTGCTGTGTAGCAAGCTGCATGTCATTGTTGTGGTGTCAGCTTGCGAGGGCTGTTGCTTGCGTGCATGTGCGTCCATGCGAACGATGCAAACCGGCGCTGGACAGCTAGATACACGCATCGCATTGCGGCCAGTATTCTTAACAAACGGATATGCGGTGCAATGAACGTCTTCCTTTGTCTACTGATTGTCGAGTGCTTAATGAACGATGCTAGCGGATCACCCGAGAGGCCACGAATGGGTGGTGAGCTGGGAGGTGATGGTAACTCGAGTATGTCGAGCCAACTGCGGGCTCGGCGTGAGAGTTCCTGAGCGGAAAGCCTGAGCAGGATGAGAGAGTGTAGTGTGCTTCGTGCTTCATTCTTTTCATCGCTAGCCGTGATTGGCAGGTACTGGTGACGGCGTATTTTGCGGCGGGACGTGGGAGATGCGAGTAGGCAGGTGGCAGAGATGGGAGCGAAGGTTAACAAGTTGGCCCCTTCGTGTGCACTGACTTGACGTGTATGGACTAGGGCAGCAACTGGGGAAAGCCGGATGCTCGCATGGACCATGGAGCATGTCTTGGTTCTGTCAATTTTCATACACACGGCTTGGCAAGCAAGCATCAAACCCTTTAGTCATGCGTGTCATGCTGTCGCTGATGCACCTGGAACGTACACACCCACTTCTGGCTGGTGTCCAGGATGTGTACTCCACTGGGCCACGCGCAGCCGGAGCCGGACAGCTGCTGGCCCCTTGTAACACCCGAGTTCAGGAATGTCCCTGCACGTCCCTGCTTCGCCAAACGTCGTGCCGCTTCCGGCACACGACACGAGCTACTGTAATCAGCCCTCGCTTCCGCCCGCCCCGCATCTGCTGGCTGAACCCACTTCACTTGGTGGGTTCGGCTGCCGCTGCTGGTGCTGTGGGGCGGCCCCCCAGCCGCCGAGGGATGCCCAGCCGCTCCTCCGCCACCCGCAGCACATCCGCCATGCAGGCGTTGGTGCGGAAGGCGCGAGCCTGCAAGGAGGGCGTGTCCCAGGTCGTGTGTGCATTGCGCGTACGGTAGACAGAAGGAAGACCCAGTAGGGCCTTCCTCCGTCGCACCGAGCCTACTGGGGAAGGCCCTACTGAGGAAGACCCAGTAGGGCCTTCCTCCGTCGCACGAGAGGATACCCTGACATGGATAGAACACATGAGGCACCCAACTCTCCTCCTTCCATCGCCACTCCCGCCCCTTTTCCCCGGCCCCCAGGCCGTGCGGAATATGTATATCCCTATTTACACCCCGGCCGTCCGCCTTACCTCCAGGTGGCACCTCGCCGCCGCGAAACCCTCCGCCCGCAGCGCCGCGATGAGCGGGTCGCGTGGAGGCGGCCGCTGCAGGCGCCGCGACACGGAGAGGTCGATGGAGAAGAAGCCGGGCGGCAGGCGCGGGTCCGCCTCCTCCAGCAACACCTCCAGCAGCTGCTCCAGTGGGCGAGTGGTACGGCTGGGGGAGGTTGGGCGCAGAGGGAATGGAAAATCGGATGGAAAGGATGGAGAGCGGACGGGAGGGAGGGAGAGGACATGTGGTCAAGCAGGCGAGGAGTAGGCAAAGCTGGGAAGGACGCTCCCCTGTTAACCCGCGCCGAGCTGCATAGTCGTACCGCAGCCCCTTCCCTGCGCGCGGCGGCCCCGGCACACACCTGCTCTTGACCCGGTTGCGCAGGTGCGGTGTGCCGTGCTCGTCCAGCCCAAACCCTGCCCAGCCGCGTGCCGTCGCCTCCCCCGCAATGGCCTTCAGCTCCGCGGCGTCATGCAGCGGACCCGTCCACATGGGCCCGGACAACGTCAGCGGCAACGGCGGCGATGCCGGCGGCGGTGGCGTGTAGTTGGTATCGTCAGTGTGAGCTGCACAGGGATGCTGCCGCTTGCCGCGGATCTCACACCTGCACAGCGGCAAGCAAGGGAGGCTTGCAGGTGGGGCAGGCAATCCTAACCAGCTAAACAGCTGGCATCACGGCAAAAATCCATTCATCACCCGACTCCGTACGCGGTCCCCGCCGGCAACCGCCTTCCTTAGGGGTTGGTCACAAGCTGGATCTCGCCTTCCTGCAAACACGCACACCTGCACACAGCGCCGCCCAGGTCCCGCCAGCCGACTGTGTAGTTGTCCCCATGCGTGAAGCAGTGCCCCACGAAGCCGTAGTGCTCCGCCGGCCACTCGGCGGTGCGGGTGGCCCGCAGCATAACGCGGAAGACAGGGCCGTGGTAGGAGTACAGCGAGAAGACGGGGCGCAGACAGACGCCGCGCGAGGCGGCCTCACGCACCGCTCCGCCGATCACCATGCGCAGGCCCTGCGGGAACGGCAGGCAGATGTACGGGTTAGGGGCGCAAGCGGCCGAGCAGATGCAATGCAGTAAATGTGGAGAGCAGCTCCGACAGTACTGAAACCTGTACCCGTTGAGCGTCGTCAGAACCAAAGCAAGCCCCCGCGGCCCACCTGCTCATTAGCCCAGGGCATGGCTCGCAGGTAGCTGCCGTACGCAGCCAGGCTCCGCTCCGGCCGCTTGCCGGCGCTGGTGAAACCGTCTGTGCTGGTGAGGTACAGCAGCCCGCCGTACCGTACGGCATCAATGGCAGCGGGAAAGTGCATGGTTTCGGAGCCAAAGCTGTCCACGTCGATGAGGTCGTAGTACGCCTCGCGCATGTAGCAGTTGGTCAAGAGCCTTGGGAGTAAGGAGGGCAGTTAGGGATAGCATAAGATGGGCTAAGGTTACGGCACTGACGAGTGTGCAGCGGTCTATTCGCTGCATAGAAACTGAGTATGCTGTATCTGCATGGGACCCCTCAGCGCATGTGCGTGCGCCCCTATGATGTCAGAGGTGCGTGGCTCACCTGTTGGCATCTGCATGGGACACCCGGATGCGCTGAACACCTGCTGCCGGCGAGTCGTCGTCATCGCTGCTGTCGCCCAAGCCTTGGCTGCTGTCATCAGTGCCTATCCGATGGGCGCCCCCAGTACCAGGTGCTGCGCTGCGGAGGTTGCCCCTGATGCTGTTGCCGCTGCCTGCATCCTGGTCGATGGTAGCACCTGCGCCGCCGCGGCTGCTGTTTCTTTTTCCTCCAAGCGGCCTCAACATTGCGCTGCCTCGTCCTCGGTCGACTCTTCTTTCTTTCCGCGGCAGTTCCCACTGCCACACGTCCTTGGACAGTCCCTCCAGCTTCAGCTGCTGCGCCCGGCCCTCCGCCGCCATCGCATACCGCCGTACATCCGCCTCCGCATCCGCCGCTGCGCCTGCCTCAGCCCCCTCCCCCGGGGGTGCAGCGGGCTCCTGCACCTGCGCCGCACCGCTTGCTGGGCGTAGCAGCTTGCGACCTGCGGGTGCTGCCGGAGCCTGCGTCTGCGCTGCCAGAGAGGGTTTAGTCCGAGCCCCATGCTGAAGGCCAGCTTGCTGAGGAGCAGCAGCCTCGGGCTCCGGCGCGGCGAGTCCCGCCACGCTTTTCCGCCGGGCCTGCTGTGTTGGGGCCTGCTGGGGCAAGATGACGGCGCTGTCCCTGCTGCCGGTGCTGCTGCTGCCCTCCGGTGTGTCGTGCAGCGGCAACCCCGCTGCCGTACACATGTTGAACACCAGGGCGTCATGTAGCTGCGGGCTGAAGTCGTTGACCCACACCTCATCCGCGTCCGCCTGCGGCGTGAATCACCCAGCTCCGGTACGTTGCGCAGCGCATGATACCATGTCGCATCGTGAGGTCAGGGAAGTGGTTCATGCGGCTCACGCCACATAAAAACGAGTCAAGTATGGCTTTGCAACCCCGCGAGATGCAAGGGGCCATCCGCATTCGATAGCGTTTAAACGTTAAATCTTTCCATCCCGGCTTCTCTTCACCCACCTGCGTTAGGTACCTGGCTCCCCGCATGCCGCTTCCCGCCATGACGTCCAGCACGCGGAGCCGACCAGTGCGCCGCCGCTGCAGCGCCGCTGCTAGCACCGCCAGGTCCCGACCCGCGCAGCTCTCAGCGCGGTAGAAAGCATTGCCTGAGGCCCAACGGTAATCAGCAAGGGTGTCACGGAATTCTTAAAGGTGACAGCGTGGTGGCGGCGTCGAGGATGGCTTGTGTATGGGAGGGTGAACGTGGGCGGGCGGGTGGGCGTAGTAAAGGCCGGCGGCACCGGTGTAAGCGCTTGTGGCTGGCAGGATACCTGTTACGAAGCGCACGCCTCGCTCCTCCTGCAGCTCCCATGAGCCAGATGAAGGAGGTGCCGTATCGCTGGGTGCATTCTGGTCGGCGTTGACTTTAGTAGTCGACGCGGACGGCGGACGACAACTCCTTGGCGCAACATGGCTGCGTTCTATGCCACGACGCTTTGCATAATACGGACTAGACCTGGGTTTACAGGATGTACTCCAGAGCTGCAACATCATGTTGAATTTGTGAATACATGGCTCGGGAGTGGCTTTGTGTTGCGATGTAGTACAGTACTGGATGGGCGCGAACGGCAAAAACACAAAAACAGCTGACATCGCTGCCTTCTCACCAAGTCTTATCTTAAATTGTGCCGAACATATTTCCGTTTGGTGGACCGCAGCGTGATCTTGACAGCAGGAGTGCTAGGATAGAAGGAAGAGGCAAAATGTTGACACCTATACGGAATCCCAATAGCGTCACAGAGAGGATGAGGTATGACTCGCGATAAATTTGTGGCGCCACTTGGTAGCGCGTTGCTCACTTTGGCGGCTCAAACTTGCTCTGCGCAGGGCGCAGGGCTTCCTAAGCCCAAGCGTTTCTCAGGCGCAGCTCAGCGGCGAATTGCTGCGCGAAAATCAAGATCTTAAAGCTCAGGTAAAACGAGCTGCAAGTATTTTTGCAATTCCAAACCCCCTGACAGCCATCGCTACACCCTGCGACAGGTCCTTGACCTCAGTCATCGTGTGACTGAGTATGATCTATTTCGAAAGGTAAGCTGCCGCGTTGCTCGTTTGCACTCAACCTATGGTTGCTGATGGTTGTTCATTGAACCTGCAGCGCGTTGCCGAAGAGGCGGAGGTTGCTGACGCACACGCGACCAGGGTGATGGCGGAGAAGGAACGGGAGCTGCGGGAGGCCATGGTCCAATCATTCGAACATAAGTACGAAAGGTAAGTGCAGCAAAGACCGAGCGTTAAAGGAGCTAGTCCGAGGGGTTGGCGTACGTGTAGAGGAAGGCCAGGAAGGCTGCCGCGGTGGCGTATGGTGGCCGTGCATTAACCTCAACTGATAGAGGGGTGACAAGAGGGATGCCACGTGGTGGAATGATGGCAGTGTGAAACTGCAGCGGCAACGTGCCTTTCGGCACGGCTAGGGACCGTTGACGAGGGTGAAGATACTTGCTGCCGCTCCGTCGAAACCAATGGGGCGCCCACTTTACTTTCCATAACCTGGACCCTGAATTCCTGCGCAGGGAGCGGCTTGAGAAGCTCAACTCCGTCCTAGCCGAGGAGAAGAAGACGGCGGAGGACCGCATCGCCGAGCTCAGCCGCGCGCTGGAGGAGGCCAGGAATGAGGAGCAGCGGCGGCTAGCGCACGCAGCATCCCTTGATACGGAGCTCAGCGAGATGAAGGAGGCGCTGGAACGGGCCATGCATGATGTGCAGGTGCAGCGGCACGACCTGGCAGCCAAGGAGCTCTCCGTGTCTGGTGCGTAAGGAGTCAAGGGGTTAGGGAGCTAAGGGTGGGGCACTGTGTTGCGGCGTAAGGAAGTCACCACCGTAAGTGTGCCTTGGTGCTGAGGCGCGGCTGGCCTGTAGCAGCATGCCAAGCGTTCGGACCAGGTTGCCTGGTACTGTTCATCGGCAAGATGGTAAGGCGCTCACGCAGTTTCCACCCCGCCGACCCGGTTTACTGCTTCCAGAGGAGCTGGAGCGCATCAAGACGCTGAAGTGCGAGCTGTTGGACCGGGAGGCTCAGCTCAACGCGGCTGCGCAGCACTCGGCGGCCCAGACGGCGGAGCTTGATGAGCGTAGCGCGGCGCTTGCGGCACGCGATGCAGAGGCGCTTGTGCGGGAGGAGGCCTTGGCGGCGCGCGAAGCAGCCGTAGCGGCTCGTGAGGCGGCTATTGAGGAGAGGGAGACAGCGGTAAGTTTTACAGGCGGTATTCGCTGTTGGGAAAGGGTACAGCGTGGGCATACGTGCACCGCCTTGCCTTAGGTTGCGGGTCCACGAAGCCTGTATAGTCATCTCATTAGCGCCCTACCTCTTTGGTCCCTGCAGCTGGCCGAGGGTCAGGCAGCCCTAGAGGCCGCACAGAAGGAGCACGCTGCGGCTGCGCGCAAGCTCAAGTCGGAGCAGGAGGACGCCGCCCTGATAACCAAGGCCAACAAGCAGCAGACCACCCTTCTGGAGGAGCGCTTCATGGACTACAACAAGGTGCTCGCGGAACAGCGGGCGGAGGCCGAGCGGGTGAGTCCCGTTCTGCCCTGAGTTTTGCACGCTTGGCCCCTGCGGCCGGGGCCTTCGATAGGCGTGGGCTAGTCGGCTTGTTGTCCCATAGTTGCATCTTGCATGGCTTCATAACCTATATATCTGTCTGCAGCTGATCAAGGAGGCGGAGCAGCTGGCGGCGCAACGAGAGCAGCTGGCGACCTCAGAGAGGAAGCTGGAAGTCCGGGGCGACGAGTTGGCACGCCGGGAAATTGACATGGATGCGGCGGCGGCGCGGCTAGCGGAGGTGGAGGCCAGGGTGTTGTCTGAGCAGGTGGGACAGTCGCCGCATTGCAGCTGGCACACTGTTCGCCCTTGCTGCTTGGCTTCCTACGGTTTGGGGAATTTAGGCCGTACGGTTTGAGGGATATGTAATGTGAGGTAGCAGTGCAGCTTCTTGCCCTTCGCCGCCATCGTTTCAGCCGCTCAAGACGGCCAGCGGCATCCTTGTCCTAACAGGCGTCTTTCGCTGCTTCTCGGGAGGCCTTTGATAGCGAAGCCGGCGCCGTCCGTGCTGAGGCCAGCCGGCTCGAGGCAGCGCAACGTGAGCTGGACCAGCAGCGGAGCGCCCTCGTGGCGGAGCGCAATGAGCTTGAGGCCTTGAGGGCCCGGGTGCAGGAGGAGCAGCTGCAGCTCAAGGTAAGGCTGAGGATCTGAGCTGACGGAACCGGTTGAACAATTGGGAATGTGCTGGCGTGGGCGGCCGTTATCCTCCTTTTTGCTCCCCCCCGGTGAACATGTCTGGTCCCAACGGTTCCTCCTTGTAGGGCCAGAAGGAGGCGGCCAGCTCCGTGCTTGCACAGTCTACCTCGATTAGCCTTATGCTTGACGATCGGGAGGCCAAGGTGGCCAAGGCGCAAGAGGAGGTGGAGGCAGCGAAGGCGGCGGCCGCAGCCGCTGCCCAGGAGGCGGATGAAGTCAAGAAGGCAGCACAGAAGGTAAGAGTACGACGCGCTCCCCTTCAGCCAGGGGTTTGTATCTATTATCTTAGCTGTGGATTCCTTGTAACGCACCCATGACAATGGCTTGACAAGCCTGACCTGTTTCGCCCCTGTCCTTGGCCGTGTCTGTAGCACGAAGCGCAGCTTGCCGAGGCGGAGGCTGCCTTGCAAGCCAAGCAGCAGGCGCTTGAGGCGCGATTGGAGGAGGTTGCGTCGATGGAGAAGACGTGCGTCACTCGCAAGCACGAGCTAGACGAGCGGGAAGCGGCTCTTAGTGAGCGACAGCAGAAGGTGCGGCACTGCGTCACTAGTTGTTACCCGTTTGTTGTGGCGCGTGCTGACATGCCTGCTAGGGCTGTCACGTAATAATCTTGGCCAAGTGCTTGCTGATAGTAGTGTTTCCTTTGACTGCAACGCCCTCGTTACCGGTATACAGCTCTCGGAGGATTCGGAGGCCCTGGAGAGCCGTGCTGCTGCTGTTGCGCGCGAGAAGGAGGACTTGGCGCTTCGCAGCACGCGCATCAAGCCTAAGGACACCGAGATCCAAGCGCGTCTAGTTACGCTACAAACGCGGGAGGCGGACGCGGACAGCAAGACCAAGGAGGCGGCGAAGAAGTTGAAGGTTGTGGAGGTGAGATGCATCATATGGATTGTTGGTATGATGGGTTTTCATCCTAATTATGGAGCGGCAAAAGGGAAACATGCAAATCTTTGCAACGCCGCAGGCCAAGGAGGAGGCGCTTCACAAGCGTGAGGAGATGCTTCGCAAGCGTGAGGAGGCAGCAAAGGCAGCCGAGGCGCGGGTCGAGGAGCGTGAGAAGGCAGTGAAGGAGACCGACGCTGCCAGCGGCAAGGTATGGACATGTGTATGGGAGTAGGCTGGTTGTTAAGCCCCTCAAAAAGGGTACCATGCCGACGTGGACGTAGTGGTTAAGGTTATAGACTGCTTGCTGCGGTGGGCAGGCGCCCTTGGACTCCGGCAACACTGAGAGGGACCCGCTGCACAAGGAGGCCCGACCTTATCCGGCTGCACCAACCCATGGTACCCCTTTTTGCGCTGCTGCAGGGCGTCCTCAAACGCGAGTCCGAGCTGAAGGAACGCGAAGTGGCCGTCACCAAGCAGACCGAGGAGTTGGAGGCCAAGGCGTCGACGCTGCAGTCGCAACTGGAGGAGCTGCAGCAGCGGGAGACCAAGGTGTCGGAGGCGGAGCGGGCCGCGGCGGAGGCACGGGAGGCAGCTGAGAAGGAGGCAGCCGCCAAGGAGGCGCTCGCGGCCGAAGCTGCCAAGCGGGTGGAGGAGCTCGAGGCCCTTCATGGCAAGGCGCAAGCTGAGCTGCAGGTAAGGCTGGTGGCAGTTGCTTTAGGAGGAAAACTCACAAATCCTCCACTGACAGTTCCTCACGGTACTACAGGCTTGCCAGGAGCGGGTAGCATCCATCACAGCGGAGCTGTCGCGTATGGAGGAGCAGGCGGCGGCGGCCAAGGCGCAGCTCACTGAGATTGAGCAGCAGGTGGCGCAGCGGCAGGCGGACCGGGAGAGCCTGGACGCTACCCTGCAGGACGTCCGCAAGCAGCTGCAGCAAGAGCAGGAGCTGCTGCAGGAGGCGCGCCAGAAGGCCCAAGCAGCTGCCAATGGAGCTCACGATGTGGGCAGCGCCAGTCCCGCGGTAAGGTCCGCGGCGGCCTCACCCGAGGTCGCCAGGCTGGAGTCGGCGGAGAAGCAGGTGGCCAGGCTGCATAAGGTAGCTGTAGTGCCGTGTTGTCGGGGATGACAACCGATGGAATGCGAGCGTGAGCGCGCACGTATGTCGCCCACACGCACGATACACATGTTGCAATAACACTTAAATTAGCTAAATGAAGAGTTTCGTCCGCGGATCCCTGCTATGTAGGAGCTTGATGCCCTTCGGCGGCACGTTGCCCATTTGGAGGGCGAGCACAACTCCAGTGCGGAGCGCATGCGCTTGTTGGAGAAGCGCTTGGCGGAGGCGCAGGCTGCAGCGGAGAAGGCCGCGGGGTCGAGGTGCGTGTGCCGGGCTATGTTGACGTGTTGCGATCATGCCCCTTTTGTGGCTGTCGGCCATTATGCAACCCTACGTGAAGCTAGGTTCTGTGGAATGCACGATGGTAACAGTGTAGCCTTCATAATTTGTGCATTCCATTGCAGGCGTGAGGAAGCTGCGCCAGTTGCCGATGGGCATGCTTCACAACAGGAGGCGCCGGCGGCCTCACCAGCGCAGGAGGCGTCACAGCCGGCACAAGAAGCTCCTGCGCAGGCAGCAGAAGAACCGGCCTCGGGCGGCGCTGACGCGGACGCCATCAGCAACGAGGTTGTCGAGGAGTCCCGGGGCACCCCTGTCAGGAGCGGCAGGCAGACTAGCGGGCGGCGTACTGTGGCCACAGCTGCGGCGGCCGCCAGGAGCGCCCCAGTCGCCAGGGCCGCCAGTGTCAGGGGTCGTGGACGAGGCCGCGGAGCTAGCCGTGGTGACACTCCAGTGGCTGGAGCCCGCGACGCCTCTGCAGCGGGTCGCACGACCGCAGCGGATGCGGCGTCCCTGGAGCCTATCAAGGAGACTGCGGAGGAGCACCATGGCCTGCCACCGGCCACTGCAGAGACCCCGGCCGTGCCGCAGACCACAGGGCGTGCGACCCGCAGCCGCAACAGCAAGGACTCACGGTAGGGTGTCGTCTTGGATGTGAAGGCGTGCAAGCTATCATTACTATACCACCCTTTCCTACCACGTGCACCCTTTCTAAACCCTGGACATCTGGATTCTCTTGTAGGGCCGAGCAGGCTGCTGGCACGACTGCTGAAGCCTCAAGCCGACCTGCTCGCGCGACGAGGTCTTCCAGCCGAGCAGCTGGGGCGCAGGGTGTGGCGGCGGCTGCAGCGGTCCCGCTGCCCTCGGACAGCGAGCCCCGCGCGACACGTGGGCGTGCCTCAGCAGCTCGCACCACTCGCAGTACCGCGGCGACGGCAGATGCCGAGGGTAAGTAGTGTTTCCTTGTATGCCTGCGTGTATGTCTGTTCATGTTTTCTAACCATTTCCTCTTCTTCCTGCTCTGTAGTGGACCAAAAGACGGCGAAGGAGAGGTAAGGAATGCTGTCGAGGGGTGGTTATCCCATGGTTGCTCTGTACTTACCAAGGCTACCGACTCTGGTAATAGGTTATGTTTACGTCTGCCGTTGCCCCATTTGACGCTCACGCCCTGATCCTTTATGACAGTGCAAAGCGCCGGCGTGACGCGGAGGACGAGGCCAACAAGGCTAAGCGGCGCAAGTCGGGCAGCAGCAAGCATCTGGGCATGCTTGATGACTAGTGCGGCTTGGAATGGCGAGAAGTTCCTCACAAGGCTAAGCGGCCCCTGCATATACTACAACTAAAGACATATATGATAATCGACTGGTTGACAAGCAGGACTACCATACATGACATCGAGCGCTCGCTAGGCAGGGGCCATAGCCTGTAGCATCTTGTTACGTGGAGCAGGCAAGGCTAGTACGGATTGCGGCCCATGTTAGTGGGTTTCTGTAGCGCTTTACGTGCAACGCAACGGTTTACAATGTCACGTGTCTCTATGCTATTTGTCCTGGTTACTGTGTAGGTAAAACAAAACATGCTACAGACTGTGATGCGCGTAGATACATGTCCTTTTATTACACAAACGCCGCGTGGAACTTGGACGTTGACCCTTAAGGGCACTTGAGAGCGTAGGCTGTGGTACTGGGTTACGGGAAGCAGGGGTGCGCAGTTTGGAGAGGGGCTAGCGATGAAGGCTAGCGTAGACGTCACTGACTGGACATATGGCCCCAGGACTGCAGCGGGCTGCCTTCGGAGTTACTTGACGGTCGATTGAGCGCACACTAGCATGTGCGGTTTGTTCTCTTTGGAGTCGGCCCCACGGCAGCGGTTAGCCGATGGGTTGTCCTGTGGCTTCATCACCTTGGCAGCCAATGGGTCATCCTAGCGAGTGTACAGGCTTTGTGGGTGACACCGCAGCTTGATCTCCATCCATTGTAAGAGTGGTAACTCAGGGCGGTCTACGTTTGCAAGCGGTTTGGGGGAAGCAATGTGCCTAAACGGGAACGCAAACACGTGGTTCGGTACCATTTCAAGGATTAGAGTTCGTACCATTAAATTGGCAAATGGCGGCTAGTTCAAATGCTTCCGCAATTTTCCAGGGATTATATCATGAGCTGTCGCTCGGTACTTTAGAGCGCAACGCTACCGGTACGCCTTCAGTTTCAACCGTCGCAAGGATTCCCTTAAATAATCGCAACGAAACGCATAGTTGTTTTACGTTTCCAGCAGGTGCGGCCTTATAACCCTACACAACACCAGCAAAAAAAGGGAATAACTGCAGCACGTTGATGCGTGTCCGTGCATAATACGACGGGGTCGGGCATATCACGGAACGCGTTCATTGCCGCAAAGACAATCATTACACGCAAGTCGTAGATTGCCAATGCCCTATACTTCTGAAGGCGCGTCAAGTCGTCACCTCGTGTCAGCTAGCTTTCGCCTTGCCAGGCTCTGAGCCTCGCTGGCCCCCCAATACGCTTATCTCTTGTGGACTCTAATATGATTGCGACTAATGTGTGCTGTATACATACCTCTTGAGCACCTGTCCTTCGGAAAGAACGACGAGCATGCGGTGTATAGTCTTACGTCTTACGTACCTCGCATTATGGACACTTCTGGCTAGTTGCTATGCGAAGCAAAGGGATACGTCCATCCGTTTTCTCCAAGAAACAGCACCTAGCCCTTGCGCGACGGAGTTATGGGTAGCCATGCAGTAAGTGCAGATTGCTGTGGGCCAAACGAAGCACTGGGTTTCCATTTATTAAATGTTACACTGTAGGGGACGCTTGGGCAACGCATCTTCGCAGAACGACTGGGGCCCTATCTTGGATGACATCCTTCAAGGTCCAGCTTGCAGGGACATCGCTGCGGTATGTTGTGTAGTGCCTTTGGCTGCCCCTTTACTCGCTCACATTACAAACATCATTCATGTTTGTAACCTTTTATTGCAATACCCTGAGAAGTGACGCTTGCCTGATACGAGCACTGCACCTTGTCGTCAGTCCACGATACCTCTACAGCATTGCACTCGGGGTGAAGCCACAGGGCCAGGTGCTTCTTCCCGTCACAAAGCCCTCCAATCAACACTTCATCTCCTTCCTGTCGCTGACACACTCCATCCCCAGAACAACACCATCGTCATCAGTTGGCTCCGTTACCCAGCTTGGTTCAACGGTCTGACATGGAGGTGGATCTCAGACATGCGGGAAGACCCAGCCACGGCTCTTGTCCTCGAAAACACCGTTTTCGACCAGCCGGACGGTCTGCCCCAGCTGGGGGCCTTCACTAGCGGCATCAGCATGCGGGATTACATGGTGGTGCAAGACGGAGCCTACTCTGTCACCACACACGATCTTTCTGGAGTGGCAGAAGCCACCACATGGAACTACATGAAGAGCAACAGTGCCATGTTCAGCTCACCCGAGAACGTGTGTGTGAACAGCTCGAACCCCAGGGGTCTACTGCATCCCAGGTCCTTCCTCCTCATGTTCTATCGGGCGGATGCCCTAGCCCAGCTGCAGGCATCCGGATACATCACGTCGAGCACCCCTCCGAGCGATTGGGAAGGGCTCCTGCGCCTGCTAGCGGTGCATCAAGCTGCGGTGAGCGCATCTCCAGCTAGTAAAGCCACCATCCCCAGCAGCAGCAGCAGTAGCTCCAGTGCTACCACCAACAACTCGACAGGTGTTGGGACGCTTCCATCGTACGGGCTCTGCATCACCACGCATCCCGACTGCGGACGGTTAGGTGACGTACTTGCAGCCGTGGCAGCTAGCATCGTACAAACGCAGGGTACGACACAGGGAGTATACTGGGATTTGTCCCATGCACCGCCTTCAGCAATGCCTCTTGTGAATTCAAGTGGCTGGCAGTACGCAGCTAGCATTATCAGGCGATTGCTGCCGTACAACGCACCAGATGCGTACGACAGCGTCAATGCCAGTACTTCTGCAACCAAGAGCGATGCCAATCGGGAGTGCACCGATGTAAGCAAGCACTTTCTTGCTGCGGATTGCATGATCACGCTCGAGTGGGACGCTGTGTTTTCTTCGATAGCGAGCCTCATGAGGCGCCCGGGTGTGGAGCTTGGCGTGGCACCGCTGCCTGGAAGTCGGATCGTCATGGACCGAAGATCTGGCAGCACAACGAATGGCAATCTAATAACGTGCACATGGGAACTATGCGCTGCGGGCGCCAACCACGACCTCCTATACCTTGGTTCGGCTGATGTTAGCAGCAGTGTCGATGCGGGCAGAGAGGTCAGCGCAATCGCGCAGGGCATGAATCCAGTAGCGCCGGTGGAATTGGTTACCGTTAACGGTCAACCGAGTTACAGCTGCGACGTACAGGCTGTTATGCAGTTGGAGGCTGCCGCGGCTGCCGAAGTTCTGACCAGCCAAGCGGCACAGCAGCAGCGAACCGCAGCTCCCGTCAACCGGGCACCATACTCGGTCATCCTGCAGAGTGTAGCACGATACAGCACGCAATCACCCATAGGTGAGCGGGGTGTATCACCCTCGAGGAGCAGTTACACGCCCGGGAATCATGCTGGTTACACGTAGAAGACACGAAAAAGCTAGACATGTTTGTGTGGTGCGCGTCCGATGGACTACCAAAGTTCGTGGATGGGTGCTGTCAACGACGTGCGCACCTAACACTGACATCACCTCACCCGCGTCCGCTCCGCATTTGTGTATTTCAGATTTTTAGTCAAAGAGGGTGCTGCGTTGGTAAATTGGGCTTCTAGAGCCCTACAGAGGGGGCACAGGAATGTGAGGGATCTGTTAATGCCACCGAGGCCTGCTCCTTCACCCGACCCCCCCCCCGTAGACGGTGTGCCAGACGCCTCCAAGGTCCTGCAGGCCGTCAGCGCAGCCCTGGGCGCACGAGTGGTGGAACAGTACCATCTTAAAAGCGGTGCAGCAACTGCTGCACGCCAGCGGCTGGGCTACCCTACTGCACCCGCTGCTGCCGCCTCCGCCGACGCCGCTGCTGCCTCCTCCGCCTCCTCCTCCAGCGGCACCCCGATTGGCGACCCGCTACTGTTCGTGCGCACTCGGTGGTGGGTGGCGCTGTCGGAGCCGTTCAATGTGAGCGCGTTCACCGCTGCTAACATCAGCGAGAACTCGGCGCAGGTGGGGTCACCCGTGTGGAGGGTGATGGCGATGGCGGGGGTAAGGGACCGCAGGGAGGCAGAGTAAGGTGGACGCGACTCATGGGACTAACATTTGTCAAGGCGCGCCGCAGCAAGTTATTGATCAGCATCCTGACCAGGCTAACATTAAGAGGGCCCTGCTTTGCATGTTTGTTATTACCGATACAATCTCCGACACCACAACCCCACCTCGACTCCATCAGAAGTCTTCCAGTGGTTAACATTTTTGCCTTGTCTTGCCTGGGCCCATGCGACGGCGGCCCAGGCTTACATGCGAGCCGTGTGGCATGCGCTGCACTCGCCCAACGCTGCCACCGACGCTCCCTCACCCAGCTACGTGAACTTTGCCAAGTGGGGCCTGGGACACACCGCGCTACTGCTCGAGCCGCCGAATGCTCTGCCAGCATCCAATGCAACAGGAGTATTGGAGGGGACCTTCCTAATGATTAACGAAGCTTTCGGGTCTGCCCTTGTGCGGGATTACTATGCTACTGCCATCAACAATGTGTGGACCTCCCAAGCAGCACAAACCAAGAAAGGTGCGCAGGATACAGCCCCGTGAACTGGGGAGAGGGCTGTGGGCTTTGTGACAGGCACACGCGACCATTATACAGGCTGCATGCAAGACTGAAGCCTGCTGGAACCGTAGATATGCGCCCAGTCCAACGTCCGCCACAAACATTCAGCGTCTGGCTATATCACCTTGCCATGTCTCATCCGCTCATCCCTAATCACCCTCTCTTTCGACCGCAACCGTACCGCCTCACCGCGACCACGTCCTGCCTGTTGCAGCCAGCGGCTTCAGCACCCAGGACCTAGCCGCGCTGCTGGTCTGCCTGCTTGTGGCGGCGGCTGCGCTGCTGGTGGCGTTGCTGCTGCTGGTGCTGCGCATGCGGAGGCACCACCGGGACCTGCTGGGGCGGGTGCGCGCGCCGCGGGCAGGGCCGGACACCACCCTGCTAATCAGCGGTGAGCGGCGCGCGACACGCACCCGTGCTTGTGCGGCTATAGCCTTGTGGCAATATGCGTGCATGCATGCATGCGTGTAGGTCTTGCTCCAGGCGGTAGCCTTCCCGTTCCGAAGTTACCTCACCTCCTCATTTAGGTTGCCCTTGGTGCATTCCTGGTTGCGGCTTGTGCCTCTGCTTGCCTGTACTTGTGTACATGTGTATCATTATTTTATCAGTAAACGTTTTTATCCTGTCGGTCTTTCCTCCGGATGCCGCCCCCGCGACGCGCAGACGTCCAGAACAGCACTCGTCTGTGGGAGGAGCTGCCGGTAACTGCCATGGACAGCGCCCTCAAGATCCACCACGCCACCTTTCGCCGCGTGATGGCCGAGCACGATGGCTATGAGTCCGCGACAGGCAAGTTGGTTTTTCGATTCCTCCTCCCGCCTAGTGCCCTCTGGCCTGTCGGCGTTAGCATGGCTGTCATCTGCTTTTTTGTTTTTTTCCATGATCTGCTGCCTTGATCCCGTTGGTGTGGTGCCCTGCGAATGGTGGGAGGGGAAGAAGTGAGTGCTTTCTTGCCCTTGGATGTGTTCCCTGCTGCGCTTGCAGAGGGCGACTCCTTCCTAATTGCCTTTCCGAACCCTGCAAGGTACGTCATGAGCGGACTGCGTACATGACGTTGGGACGAGGACTTAGGCCCGTCTTCTAGGCCTGCATGCGCGCATGAGGCCTAACCGCTGTCACGCTCCTCTCGAACCTCCCCATGCACATCCCATGATTGGACATGCGTACAAGGCACTGGTACGCTCAACATGCTGTGTTGCTGCGGTACCTCGCATTCCTGCCACCTCCCCGCTTACCTGCGCCCCTTCTGCTTACTTCCCCGCAGCGCCGTGGCCTTCTCCGCCGCCTGCCAGCTGGCCCTCCTGCAGCAGGACTGGCCGGCCGAGCTGCTGTCCCACCCGGACGGCGCAGTGGTGGTTGTTGACCCACGGGACAGCGCAGCGCAGGTGGTGGGCGCGGCGGCACGGCCGCAACGCGCCGCCGGGGTGGTCGATCCGCGCTTTTGCCTGGCCAGCTTCATCCGCATCCGCATCCTCGGGGTGTTGCTAGGCAGGGAGGTCTGCAGCCGGGGCCCCTTGGATAAGGCGGCAGCAGTAGCCACCAACCCCGCGGCGGCAGCTCCGCATTCTGAGCGAGCCAGCCGCGCTTCCCACCACTCAGAGGACAACAACCCCAACTACATGCAAGACAGCCATGATTTTCGCAACAGCAGCAACTTAACCACCAGCCAGCGAGACATGACTGCCTCCACGGTTGCCATTGACGTGGGCGCGCACGCCGACAGCACCAGCACGCAGGCACAGGACCCCGTGACCTGGTCAGCCTCTGGGGACAATGACCGGAACAGCCCGCACAGCGGGACAGGCGGTGCTGCAGGGCAGGGCGGGGGGACCGGTATCTGGTGGCCGGGTGCTAGCGGCACCTGGCGTAAGATTCTGTCGGCTGCGTTTCCAGTGGAGGCGGCGGCTGTGACAGCAGCCTCGCCACCGCTATTGCGGCCTTGCAAGGTAGGCATGCAGTGATGCATGCGTAGTTTGTGACCCATGGGTCGTGTTCCTTGTAAGTCGCCTTACTGCATTCGTAGCTAGCATGCCTGTGGCACATGTGTTTGGCACGTGCTTTGCCTGTTTGTCTAAGTTGGCCCGGCTTGCTGGCGATTTGCCCGTGCAGGCGACTGTGGACAAGAGAGTGATCGCATATCGCGGCCTTTGTGTGCGAATGGGTAAGCCGAGGGCTCAGGTGTATCAGACAAACCGAAGTGTAGGGCGCAAATAGGGCGCGCTAGCATGAAGTACAGATACGTTGCACCAGAGGAGATTTGTGGGATGTAATTTACTGACGCTTCAAACATACACCGTACGTTCCAACTCGCGGCCAGTTTTCTCCATACACACTAACGCTTCATCCTCTGCTGTGCATGTTGCCCCCTCCCCTCCTACGCAGGCATCCACACGGGCCTCGACGACCAACGCTACATGGTGTTCAACAGGGTCGGCTCCTCCTACAAGTACTATGGCCCCTTTGCGGAGACCGCCAAGCTCGGTGAGGCGTGTGGGGTCGGGTCAGGGCAAGTTCACGTATAAGAAGATACCGTCCTAGCGTTGATCCATTCTCAACTCTCGTTGCATTGTCAATCAAAGGCAATGGGAATTCAGAGCACTGTCAATGCTGCAGCCACCCGCCCCATAACGACTAGGTGCGCATGACCACCAACGGTTCAGTCGTTTAAGTCAATAATACCCTCTCACGCTCACCATCCGTGCCTCGTCTTCCAATTCCCCCAATCCGCCGGGAGCAGTCAGCGACACGGCTCCCGGTGGGCTGGTCACCCTCTCCCTCCGCGCCTTCGCCCGCTTGCGCCACGGCGAGGCCGCACACGGCGCCCGCAACCGCCCCAGCAGCAGCGTAGTTGTGATCTACGCGGGGCATCACGTGTTGATTGACGAGCGGGCAGCCGCCTCGGCCATACCCTCACCCGCGCCGTCCCTCCCGCAACCAGGGACGGCGGCAGCCGTGGCGTCACCGTTCTCCGCCGCCGCTGCTGCTGCTGCCGCTGCCGCTGCAGCAGTAGCAGCCGCTGCGTCCTCCTCTTCAGCCACAGCCACGCCGACCACCTCCTCGACGCTCACGGCAGCACTAGCCGGCAAGGAGGTACGGCTAGAAATGCCTTCCCTGGCGCCGCCCAAGCTGCAGCCACAGCAGCAGCCTACGGACAAGGCCCAGAGCCAGCAGGCACAGGCTATGACGCTGGCACGGAGTTTAACCCGTGCGGGTTCGACACAGCCCCCGGGTTCCGCCGCCGCTCCTCCATGCGGCTGCCCGGGTCCCGGAGAGGAGGTGGCGTTGTTTGTGGCGCTGCCGACGGCGCTGCTATGTCGTCTGGCGCTGTCTGCACCGCTGCGCAGTGTGCGGGAGACGCAGCTGGGCAGCTTGACCGCACCTACCGGCACCGTGGCGATTGCCTTCATGGTGAGAGGTGACGGAGCGTGCATGTGGGGGGCACGGCTGGGTACCGGTGCTCAACCCTCCCACTCAGCTCTCTGGGCCAAAGGGCGCTGAACCAAGAAACGTTTTTTGTATACCCTACGCTATTCGCATGTGTGGGAAAGGTGTGACGACAACTTAGAGGCGAAGGTCGCCTGCGCGCACACCCCTCACACGCATTCACCTCCCACCTCCTCCCCCTTCACTCTCCTAACCCCCCTCCCGCACCGCCCTTCGCCCCTGCAGAAGGTGGTGGGTGCCTCCACCCTGCTGGCCGACCTGCCCGGCCCTGCCGCCCGCGCGCTGGAGCAGTTCCAGCGGCTGGCGTGCCGGCTGCTGGGGGCTGCGGGGGGGTACCTGGTGGAGGGGGGGGACGGGCTGCTGCTGGCGGCCTTCAGGGCTCCGCTGGCGGGGGTGGAGTGGGCGCTGGACTGCGTGGATGCGCTTAAGGAGCTGGTGGGAGGAGGGGGGAAAGGAGGGGAAGAAGAGGGAGGAAGGGAATGAGGGATTGGGGGCCTTCCTGGGGTGGTGGGGCTTTGGGGTGTAAGGAGTGGTGCGTGGGGCTAGTGTGCTGGTGAGGAGGAGGAGGGCCAAGGCGCGGAGAGTCATGTGGCCGGCGTCATTGACTGAGGGGGACAATGTGGTGCCTGCTGATAACGCGACGCCTAACTTCGCCGTGCCCCATGCGCGCTTGTGTGTACCGGTCGCCTACCTGTGAGCAGGAGTGGGAGGACGAGCTGCTGTCACACGAGCTGTGTGAGGAGGTGGTCACGGCAGCTGGCGCCCCGGCGCCGGCGCCGCCACCGCCACCGCCCGCACAGCCGCCCTCGCATCCCGCCCAGCCCGCCCCCGCTGCTGTTGCTCACACCGCTTCCACGTCCTCCTTGGGCCGCTTGCCGCACTCCCCGTCCCCGCTGGGTCCGCTGGCCGCCTCCCCCAAGAGCTCCTTCAGCTTCCTGTCCGCCCTGCACGAGGCAAGCAGCCGCGCGCACGGGCACTGGAGCAGGGAGTCCTCCCCGCCCGCCGGCAGGAGCCTCAGCCAGGGGAGGAGCCAGGGGACATGCAAGAGCCTGCGGCCGACGTCACTGTCGGGGGAGGCGTCGCCGGCGGTGACGGCACCGCAGCTGGAGTTAACGGTGGTGGCGGCCAGGGGGGCTGCTGCTGCTACTGCGGGAACCGCAGCGGCGGCAGCAGCGGTGACCCATGGGTCAGGTGGCGGCCTGGGGAAGGTCAGCAACCTTCGTATAATTGCGGCCTCTAAGCGCTCTCATGAGCGGGGTCTGCGAGTCAAGGTATGCGCGTGGAGGGTTAGGGCCGTAAGGATCGTCGCGTACCAACCGCCTGCGTCCATCGATTTCCCCTGCCCATCAACGCATCTACGTTCCTTACCCCCTCACATCCCTCCACTCTTACTAAGGCCCCCACCCGCGGCTCAGTTTATCTAACCCCCGGTAATAGTCAATAGTTTCTCGCTATTCAACTGGTTGTTCCCTCGTCCGCTACCCCAGGTGGGTCTAGACGTGGGCCCTGTCACCTACAGCCTAACCGCCTCCTCCGGCCGCCTCAGCTACCGGGGACGGGTCATGAACCGCGCAGCACGCATCGCAGGCAAGGCCGCAGCGGGTCAGGTGCTGTGCAGCGGTGCGGTGTGGCAAGCCTGTGAGACGGCCATGGCACTCGGTTGCAGCGGCGGCAGCCGCCCCAGCGGCGACTGTAGCGGCGATATGGGTGGCAGCCGTGAGGACAGTGAGGGGGAGCTGTGTCGTGGCATTGTGGGTGTCAGTTTGGGCAAGGTGGCGCTGAAGGGTATTAGTGCACCAGTTGAGGTGGTGCAATGCACTCGGGGCACGTGAGGGAGGGGGGAAATGTACGGCAGTACGACATGCGTGGGGGCTACGGGGCTGGGAAGCAGGGAAGGCAGCGAGGCAGTCCGGGCCGCCTTTTGGTTGTGCCAATCCTGCTATAGTTTTGCGAGAGGTATAGCATGTGCGGAGGAAGAGTGTTGGCCGCATTGCTGACTGGAGGGTGGCCTGGATTGGGTCGTAGCGCGCTAGGAAGGAGAGCTGAGTGTTGGGACTGTTAGTCATAGAGAATTTTGGGCTTGGCATTTTGGGGGGATCCGACGCCCACTGTCCATTTGCCTGCCTGAGAGGAGCACCTGATGGGGTATTGGAGCCTGACACGGCTTGAGAGGTAGCGTGGCCCTTAACTTACAAAGAGCACAGTAGGTCTGCACATGAGGGTGCGAGTTGTTGGCTGCAGGCTTTGGGAGTGGCATGAGCCTTTGCCTAGGGCTCTGCAAGCAGTTGGGTAACGTGTGGTGCAGCATGTCTGTCAGAACCGGGGAACTGGATCTGGGGAGAGGTAGAAGACGTCTACAACACAGCACTAACACAGCACTGCCAAATTGACACTGCGGCTTTGCATCATTGAGCGGAAGACCCCTTAGAGACCCCTTAGAGCAGTGGGTGGTTGGAGCATAGTGCCTTCCTGCAATCGAGGAACCCTGGCTGCAATTTGGCGCCAAGCATTCGGGAGCTTTCGGCATCTGTCGTCGCCTGTTGGCACCCCCCTGTTGTTGTTGTTGTTGTTGTTGTTGTTGTCGGGCTCGACTGTCCTGCCCTGCGTCCTGGCGTTGCCATGGTTGCAATCGGGGAAGTTGTTCGTGCCGTCCTGCTGTGTTGATAGCTTTGCCGCCCTGTGTTGATAGCATTGCCGTCCTGCTGTGTTGATAGCATTGCCGTCCTGCTGTGTTGATAGCATTGCCGTCCTGCTGTGTTGATAGCCATTGCCGTCCTGCTGTGTTGATAGCTTTGCGTCTACATGCCCTGTTGTGTCAGGTTGTGACATGGAAATAGAGTTTTGTCAAGGTCAGGCTGTGGCAGGCGGGGGAGGCGCAATGCCACAGTGCCGCCCTATCCGCGGCCCCGCTGTGAGCAGGCTGTGTTAGGGTGCGCGGGTAGAATGCGCCATATCGTGGGGGCCGGGAAGGGGTCGATTTGGCTGGCAAGATGCTGGGCTTACACATAAACTTTGGTACCATGTGTGCTGTAAGTAGCTTTGTGTATACTAAAAGTATAAAATTGTGCAGCGTTTTCTGTTACTGGCACTGTTGTGGCCAGCCTTTCCTACATAGTAAGTTGCGAACAGGGCTCTGCCGTTCGTGCAGCCCGGGTGCTGCATGTGATTGCTGGCTGGGGTTAGAAGACGAGGTTCATGAGATCAAGACGGAGGGGACCCTTGGCCCCTCCGTGCAGTGTTTGCAGCTTGGGTTGTCGTATATCGAGCGTGGACTGAAGCGGGTCCGTGGCTGTGTTCTGTCTTCTGTGGCTTGTGCTCTCACTGCCGGTACTTGGAGGTGCTTAGGCAAGCTGGGAATCGCCGGTAGTGCACCCATGCGTATGTAAGCAGGTCCCATTGTAAAACGCATGTTACACACTTCTTAAGCTACCACGAAACGAAAGGCAGTCCTGAGTAGTTGTCCTGAATACCGGTGTCCTAGGGTCTGAACAGAGGGCGGGGGTAATAAGCCTATGGGGTACATTCCGAAGGTCGAGCAACTGGCCCGAAACTAGGCATTGTGGGCGGGGCTTGTCTCGTTGTATGCCGTGCATGCGGTACCATGTCTTAAAGACACGCCGTACCATGTCCCCTTAGGCCAACGGCGCACAGAGGAGCTACAGCTACAACCTGTTATGCCCTTTACAACCCAGTCTCTCTTCCATGTTGCGCCCTCCATAACCACGGACACGCATTCCAACGTGACGCACCACTTGCCGGCAGGATGCAGGTGTTGGTAACGGGGTGCGACAAAGGCTTAATCTACTTGTACCAGTCAACGCTTCCAGGAATGCTAGCGGCCCTGCACACGTCTGTTCCTCGTTTGCATCGTCCAGTTCAGGACCGTACGGACGATGAACTCAGGCGATCAGAACGGCTTTCGCTTTGGGACAGTACACGACAGCAGCGTTTTTATGAAAGACGCAGGACTTCAATTGTTGGCAAGCTTTCAGGGTTTTATTTGCATGGGCTCTAAAGTAGCTATAGTGCACTTTAATAGAATCTGAGTACCGGTATAGCGCTGTATCGCTATGCAAGGAAGTTATGCTTGCCGACAATACTGCAACATCTAAAAGTTAGAAGTACAGGCGCTCGGCCATAACACCGTACTTAGACATCATGAAGCAGCTAGCTGTCACTAGCGCAGTACCCAGCAGAAGGTTACAGCATCTGATTTGTCTAACCGGCCTTATCTTTGAACGCCCCAAACTCTATCATGCTTGCGCGCGCTTGCAACGACGATAAAGTCAATTTTTTTTTCATTAACAAGTATTCATTAATAGTTACATACGCGATCTAGGTTGGAATGAAACGCAGACACGTGTTAGGAAATAGGAGAAGCCCGGCCGCATAGCCGAAGTCGCGACGCTGCCAATCTAATGCCAGAGAGCGTTAGCAGGAGTCAGAGCGGCCATTCGGTCAGCAGCTTTAGTTCTGCTCCTAGCAGGGAAAGCGTCGTCAGCAGGTGAGAGAAGCGTCGCTTACGAGCTTCTTGTCCACTTTGCTTTATCATTAATGACGCCACAATCAACTATTAAGCGCCGACTTATATATGTGCAATCAGTGAAAGCGAGTCGTAGGTTATACTTGCCTGGCTCAGATAGCGCTACCACTGCACGCGACGTGTGAAATTTAATAGCAGCTCACAGGCGTGCATTGCCTGTATTTAATATTCATTGCACATCGCCGTCACCGGCTCGCCGGTTTGCCGGTGACGCGACGCAGGCTTGAGGATGGGGCCACATCGGAGTTGCTCGAATTGGGCGAGGTAAGTCCGCCGAAGCGTAAGTGTGCGCCCACATAACACCATTTAAGGTGAAAGTCTAAGTGTTTCTTAAGCTTGGTCCACCGTCTGCTGTTGACTGCTGCCGTGCCGTCCGTCGACGGTTGCAGACATGCGCGGCTTCCCTGCGCAAGCGCCAGCTGCGCACACAGCCACAATTCGCCGCTACCATGCCCACATCCTGGTATGCCGTGTAACACGACTCGGCCTGGTTTCGTGCTGTGCAGGGCTTCGTGGTTGGCATCTTTGGTGTCTTATTCACCATTGTCAAGGAGCGCTACAACACAGGCGTGCGCTTCCTTCTCGTCAAGTGAGCTGCTTGCGGGGTCCTACGAGGGGAGATTGTGGGGGAGGCTTGCCGAGCGAAAGGGGATATCCGGTACGGGGTCTAGCTCTCGTTATACCCCGCCGCCCGCGGTTGCTGCCGCCACAGCTGTGTGCTGCGGCTGGGGCCGTTGCGACCGTCTGCCGCTGACCCGCCGGTGCTGCACGTCTGGGTTTACTCCTGGGGCGTGGTGGAGCGAAAGCGGCATGGTAGCAGCAACTCATTGCGGTGATTCTTCCACCGCGTGCACGAGGCATGTGCACGAGAGAGGCTGCCGCGCAGAATCCATCCGGCGGCGCTTGGCTATTAATTCCCTGCCGCTGAGATTCTTTGCTCTCCCTTCCCGCTACCCTCCTGCCGCCCTCTTGCTATGGCGCCCATGCGACAATGCCGACACAGGCTTGCCCTGGACTTTGCACAGCTTTTTACGGTGGTGTTCAAACCCTCAGACGGCTGGATTGTGGATCAGAACCTCTGGTGAGTGATGTGCCATACAGCGGGCCACACGAGAGGTAGGGAGGGCTGTGACATGATGTGATGTTGCGTCCCTGTCGCGTTGCGCTTCCCTGTGCTACGGGGCGGCTGGTGGGGCATGTGGACAGTGCGGGCGCGGGGAGCATGGCCAGCTGCAGCACTAGCTGAAGCTGCAGGCCGAGCAGGCCGCGAGCCGGGATCTGCTGCTAGGTAGCGCAGGAGCATTGGAAGCGGTACTTCCATGGTGACAGCGTAGGTGGGGCTCGACAGCTGCTGCTGCTGCAGCAGTCGCCGGGGGCGACAATGGCGTGTGACGTGCTCTGCAAGCGGTTTCAGCACGGCAGGGAGGCAGAGTGGAGCTGCAGTCAGGGACGCAGCCAGGCAATGGCGCCAGCTTGGCCGCAGGCGGCAGAGCAGCTCAGAGCGGACGCGGGATCCGCTAGCCGTCCACTGTCCGCAGCTAGCCGCAGGGGGGCTGGGGCTGCGGGCCCACCCGGCTGTACGGCGCGGCAGTGTGCGGGTGCGGGGGCGCCGGGCGGTGAGCGCCACTCGAGGAGGCGCTTCCAAGGGACCTGGCGCCGGTGATAGGCGCGAGGAACGACAAACGATGGGAGCAGGACTAGCCGGTCCGCCTGCTGCCGCCTGCCGCAGGGGGGCGGTACGCCCTGCCAGCCCCATCCGCCTTGTGTGGGGGAGGAATGGGGTATGATGCAGCGGAGTTGGGGAGCACCCGGGAGGGAACCACCCGGGAGGGAGCTGACCATTGGGGCAGGGCTCCACCATGCAGCAGGCAGTAGGCAGCATGTGTGTGCCGCATTATGGTCCCGCACCCGCCGACCCGGCGAGGCTAATGGTGGTGGGCAGCATGGGGGCGTCAGGCGGGCAGCCACCCGGGCTCGCTGTTGCCTGGGCCCGAGCGCCCCACACGAGCTGGTGAAGCCGGCTGGGGCACAGGGTCTGTGAGGGCAGCCGCGTGTTGGAGGAGGGCTGGCAGACGCAGCGAGGGACGCGGGGGCCGCAGGCAGACGGGGTTGCAGCCGCAGGCCAGCAGGCGGTTCCGAGTCCCCTTGGCCTTGACCAGGACCAGCTACTCTCCCCGCAACCCTGGGCCCGTGCACCCTCGTGAGGTGCCCATTGAGTTCCGCTCCTACTCCTCTCCATTTCGCCCTCCCTTTCCCTCCTCCCTGCAGGCTGTGGAAGGTGCTTCAGATGCTGCAGTTCGAGGACTTTATCCGACCCAGGGTGCGTCTCGTGTGGGGCGTGGGTGGTGGTGGGGGTGGTGGGTGGGAACAGGAACGTCCGGCCGGCAGTTCATACCGTACTGCTCACTGCTGTCCCTCCGCCCCTCCTGCTGCCCCTCCTCCGCTTTTACCCTGCCCGCTCGCTCCCTTTCCGTATCCCCATGCATATCTCCCCTGCTCTCTCCATCCCCTCTCCTTCTTCCCTCTCCCTCTTCCCTCTCTCCACCAGGGCTACAGCTTCCTGCTTGCGGCGCTGTACTTGGTGATTGCGCTGCTGCTGGTGGCGGTGGCTCTGTCCTCCTGGGTGGCGTGGTGCTTCCAACACCGCAACTTCCCATTCGTGTGGTGGGTAAGGGGTCGGGCGGTGGGAGCCGGGGAGGTGGCTAAGGGGTCTGGGGGATGAGGGTGGGAGGCGCAGGCATCATGGGAATGGGAGGATAGGGCGGCATGCGCATGATGCGTCGAGCAAACACGCAGCCCTGTTAGCAAGCCCCTATTACGGTAACGCCCTCGGTACCCCGCTCAAGCTCGCCACCCCTCCACCTGCCCCCACCCGTCAGGCCCATCAAGCTGCTCCGCGTGTATGCCAACATCTTCTTCCACGTGCTGGATGTGGCCACCCTCACGCTGCTGCAACTGCCCTTCGACTGTGAGCGGGCGAGGGAGGGAGGGAGGGGGCGAGGGAGGGAGGGAGGGGGCGAGGGAAGAGGGAGGTGGTAAGGGGCGGTGATGGGGGTGCCGCTGGTGCACAGGAGGTGCTTGGGGGCGTTACTCGGGCTCGGGCTGAGCACACCGTGAAGTGGAGCTACCGTTCTTTCGGCACAGGTGCACACATATGCGGCGTGCCCTGCCTTTCCATCCGCTGTCTCTCTCCTCCACGACCGTTGGCACCCTTCGCTGGGGCCGCTGCGGTGCAGCCTCGCCGCTGCCAGCGCGCAGCAGCAACAGCAGCCATACGCACCTTCTCCAACGCCACCCTTTGCGGCTCCCTCCCTGCCTTGCCCTGCCCTTCTCTTACCCTGCCCTGCCCTCCCCTGCCCTGCCGTGCTCTCTGCTCCCCAGGCCGCTGGCTGGGTTACTCCAAGGATCTGCGCAACCATCTCTCCATCTTCCCCAGCATGGGTGGGTGCGCTGCAGGGGCAGGCGGGGAGCGGATGTGGAAGGAGGGCATAGGAGCCGGGGACGCGAGGGAGGGGAGTAGGGGTGCGGGGTCAGCCAAGGGACCGACGGTTCCAGCACCCTGGCTGTTCCTGGAGCCCCGCCCAGCTCTCTTCCTTACCGGCACTCACCTGCCACTACTCCTCACTACATCTTCACACCTCCTTGGCTTTGTTGGTCTGTGTCGCATCTCCACGCTTTCTCCCCCTCGCCTCCCTCCCTTCTCCCTCTCTCCCCCGCCTCCCTCACTCTCTCCCCGCCTTCCTCACTCCCCCCCCAGTCTGCACCGCCATGCCCCACGTGGCCCACATGACGGCTGCCGGGGTGGCACTCACCGCCTACCTGTCCATGGCAGCGCTCAATCTCATGGCGGTGGGTGGGGAGGCAAACTCGTAACTACGTTATGCGAAAGGACTCTGCCGCGGGTTGCGCCTTGCGTGTAATGGTTCCCGAGACCACCGACCCGACCTCATGGGGTTGGGGAGCGGCGGAAGGGGCTGAGGGCTGAGGACGAGAGGGTCAATATGATACACACCTGACGCACCCACGGGGCCAAGGAATGGGTATTTTGGGCACTGGGAGGGCACAAGCACGGCGAGACCACCCCGGTTGTAGTAAGAGCTGTACTATACCTGACCTGTGCTGTCCTTGCCACCATGGGGTTATCCTATCCTGTACCACCCCCGCTTTAACCCTCCTCTCGCTTTATCCCTCCCCTTGCTCTTTCCTCCCCCGCTTCAGGACTTTGAGCTGAACCCCACCACCCGCAACCTGTACGCCACCGCCAACAGCGCAGTGGAGGTACGGCAGGGAGGGAGCCCCGGGGGCGGATGGGAGGATAACGTGCGCGCGGGTTACGGGCTGCTTGCGGTAGGGGTTGCGTGAGCCGGGGTTTGGACAGGTACAGTTGACCCTTGCGGTGTGGTTGTCTGCCAGCCTGCTACGCGCCCGCCCCGCCTTTACATCGCCCCGCCCCCCGCATCCCGCCCCTGTCAGGTCCGTGCGTTCTTCATCAAGTCGCTCATGACCATGACAACCTACGCGATCGGCTGGCCGCGCATCCAGAACCTGTTGCTTCTGGGCTTCACCGCTTACCTCACCTGGATGTACCTCAAATGGGTGAGTGCCGTATGTGGGACTGCATGCGGGGGGGGGGCGCCCGGGACAGAGAGCCGAACCTGCCGAGAGAGCCGAACGGGGTGGGGGTCGCGGGAACCACAAGTTAGGGCAAGGCGATAGGAAGAGGAGGCGGTGCAGTGCCATGAGCTAAGGGAGGGGTAGAGGCTCCTACCCCTGGCGGGTGACCAGCACCTGCTAGCAATCCGCAGCACCAGCACCCATCCTCCCAACTACGTCCAACCTCCTCCTCCCTTCCCTCCCCGCCCCTTCAGCAACCCCACCTGTTCGGCTGGGTGAACCACCTGCGAGTGGGCCTCAACGCAGCCATCACCGTAGTCAGCCTGGGCGCGGTGGTGCTGTCCTTCCACAAGCAGGTGAGCTGGCGGCAGCGGCAGCGGCAAGAGCTGCAGCAGCTGCTGCGGATGATCGCCCTTGCATGGCCCCTTTCCTCATGCCACCTCCTCCCGGCCCCGGCCCCGGCATGCATGTACGGCATGCATGTACGGCGTGTTAACGCGGCCTCCTAAACTCGAAGTAGACACCCCGAATGCATGGCCCCTTTCCCCTACCCCACCACCCTTTCTCCTTTCCCTCTTCCTTCACTACTCTCTGGTATCCCGTATTCCCTGTCCCAAACAGCCAACTCGGGAATTCCGTGTGCACGTGACCAACACCTTCTTCGCTATGACTGGTCCGGTCATGATTGCTGGATCCGCACTGTCGTACGTACGACTCACCTGGTGGACCAAGTACGTGCTCATGCGCTACCGTACGGCACCCGCCCGACAGAAGGCGCGACGGATCTACAAATTCAAGGACGCGCGGGAGGTGCGGAGTGGGGTTGAGGGGCTTGTGAATCCCCTCTCCCCAAACTTCCCCTCTCCTCTGACGTTTAGGATTTCGTGTGGTACATGTCTCTTCGTAAAGCTCCTTCTCCCTTGCCTCCCCTGCCCTTCCCTGCCTGGCAGGTTGAGATTGTGGCTCGCGTGTGCCGCCGCTGGACGGATGCGCACTTCGAGGTGTTAGACCGGGGTGCAGCCAAGGAGGCGGAAATTGTGATTAAGGGAGGCATGCAGCTCTTCCCAAACAGGTAGGGCTTAGGGGCGGCCTGCCGGATGCCTTGTCCTCGCTTTTTCCGTTGCTTTCCCACTCTTCCCCCACTCTACTCCCCCCATCCCTTGACATGCCTTTTACCCCTTACCAACGTGATCGCCCCCCTCGCCCCTCTCAGTGCCACCATGATTCTCACCTACGTCAACTTCCTAGTGGACGTCCTGGAGAGCACCCAGACGGGCTACAGCCAGCTGCAGGCCGCGAAGAAGTGCACCCCCAACCTCATGGAGCGGTTCGCCATCTTCGCTCGGGAGCAGGTATGGAGACAGCGGGGTAGCGGGGGTAAGAGGAGGGGCAGGTAGGGAGGTAGGCAAGAGGATGTCGTGCACAAATGTACGGTGGGGTGGGGGTCAGGGCGGGGCTGAAGGGTAGGAGGAGGAGCAGAGGAGAGGTGGAGGAGGCTCGGTGTGTAGGTTGGGTTGTGCGCAGGGATTAGCTATAGAATTACCGGTACTATGGACACCAAGCACGGAGGAGCTGTAGAATTACTACGGGTACCATCACATAAGCTATAACCGATTTAATGAGCCATTCGCAATTTCTCGGTATAAGCACTTAGTGCTTAAGACATGCGTGGGAAATACATGGAGAAGAAGATCTGACCACTGGCGGGTTTAACCAAGTAACTGCCTTGTATTGAACTGCCCTGCCGAAGTGCTGGACTGGTGGAGCCCTTGGCAGGATGTGCTGGAAAGTGACTTACCCCGCCCCACCCCCTCCTACCCTGGCTGGCTCACATGTTGCAACCCATGTTTTAACCAGTCAGACTGGGTCTGACTAACTGACCCAGTCAGTTAGTTGTTTTCTCTTTACCCTCCTACCCTTCGCCGTCCGCACCCATACCCTTTCCCTTTCTCGTCTCGATCCCCCTCGCCCCCCCAGGAGCACATGCAGCGCGCCACGGGTGCCAAGTCGGGTGAGAGCAGTGTGGACCTGGTGAGCTACGTGGAGTACCAGCGCAACCACAGGTGGGGGGAAAGGGGGAGGGAGTAGCGGAAGAAGCCAGCTGTAATTTACAGCTTGGCAAAAGGCTCCACCTAAGGATGGACGAGAATGCCGAACAATGAGGTGTAATAGTGAGTTGCTTCACAAGTGTGCTGTTGGCTGGACGCGTAATGCATTACGGCATCCCTGCTCCCCTCCCCCTCCTCCAGGATCGTCATCATGTTTGCCATTCTCATGCAACGCATTGGGTATTCTTCTTTTTCTCCCTCCCCCTCCCGCTCCCCCCATGCAGGATGGTCATGCGCGCCCACCGAGCCGCCCTGGTGGCCATACGCAACTTCTGGCAGCTGCTGCTGCACAACTCCGTGTCCTTCACCTCGCTGGCAAAGGCGCTGCACAGGATTGAGAAATGCGTCAATGTGGTGGGTGGGGGGCGGGTGGCGGTGTGGGACAGCCGGGAAGCGTACCGGTATTCTTTGGCTGTTGGTGGGCTTCGATGGACGGGGCACAGTATATACGAGTGGTCCTTCCTATCTAGGTGACGTCGTCCTCCACCCACGCCTTCCTTGCAGCGCTCATGCGCTCCCCCCATCCACCCCCACCCCCTCGACCCCCTATGGTTCGGTAATCGGTATGGTTTTTGACCTCCCTCTACCCCCTCTACCCCCGCCAGGCCGAGGGCTTCTACCGCACCGCCCTAGCTCGCTACCCCGCCAGCCCCAAGCTGCTGCGGGGGTACGGCAAGTTTCTGGAGGCCGTCAAGAACAACCCTTGGAAGGCGGCGAAGTACTTCAGGTGGGGGTTAATAGGGATACATATTCCGCATAGGCTGGACTGTAGGATTGCGTATAGGCGCGGGGTGTAGGAGGAAACTGACGAGCTGTACTGACGACAATTTACCTTGGGTTGCTGCATTGGGCCTGGGGAAAAAGGAGTAACTAGAAGGCGAACTGTAATGACTGGTGAGGTGGGTGAGGGGAAGGGCAGGGTGCTGGGGGGCTGTTGGAGTGGGTAGGGCTCTAAGCCATCCAGCGGTGAGGTAGAAATGGATGAGCTTGGTGGGTTGGGCCAAGGCCTCTGCCTCTGCCCTGCGAATGCTCGCATGCGCATTGCCCCTCCACCCCTTTGGATGCATAGGGGCATTGGGATCTCAGACATCTTCTTCCCTGCCGCTGCCCCTCCCCTGATCCCCTCACAGCGCTTTGCCCCAACTTATAGTTTCCCATGGTTTGGCCTATCCGCTATCTTCATCCCCCTTCACCCTCCCTGCAGCGAGGCTGAGAAGCTGCAGGAGCTGCAGCAGCAGGACGAGGCCACCCTGGCCGTGATGGGCCCCGAGGAGGGCGGGGTGGGCGGTCTGGGCGGCGGCGCGCACCTGCTGCACAGGGTGGACGAGCGGGTCAACATCGTGTTCCTCATCAACAGCGCGGGCATCATCCAGCTGGCGAATAAGGTACAAGAAGAAGGGGGCAGCCGGGGATAGGATGCATGGGGGCGGCACAGTCAGGAAGAGGGAGGGAGAATTGAGACCTGCTGACGACCTACCATACCGCGCCGGGGCTGCCTTGCCTTCACACAACCCTGCTTATTGCTTCCCCCCCACCCCTTACCTCCTCCTTACCCGCCCCCAGAACGCCTGCTCGCTGCTGGGCTACGGCAAGGGCGAGCTGGACGGCAAGAACATTAACACCATCATGCCTCCGCCCTTCAGCCAGCGCCACAACCGCTACATCAGGCAGTACATCCAGACCGGCCGCGAGCGCGTCATCTCCTCCGTCAACACCGTGGTGGCGCTGCACAAGGCGCGCTACGTGCTGCCCGTGAAGCTGGCAGTGTCCAAGGTGTCGGGAGCCACGGAAGGTGAGTGTTATGTGTGGTGCGAGGTGGGGTGAGGGGGGGAAGCTGCTGCTACCGGTGTATCAGTTGAATTGCGCTCGTGTGGTATGCCTTGAGACTCTTGATGCCACCGCTTCTCTGCTTGCTTCTCCTTGCTCTGTGCGGTCGCTACCGTACGGTCGCTTGGAAGCGTGCACTCGACCACACCATCCAGCTATGTATGGTGTCTTGCTTTTCTTGGACCCTTCCTTCTTGATTACCGCCGGTCCCACTCTTCCTCCTTTCCTCGCCCCTGCTGCCGCCAGACTCCATCTTCATGGGCGTGCTGGAGGTAAGCGGGAGTGCAGAGGGGCGGGCGGGATGGCGGGAGAGGAAAGGAGCGGGAGGGAGCAGAAGGAGCATAAGGATGGCGGGAGGGAGAGGCTTTGCTGCCTGCACTTGCTCCATGCGCTCGAGCCCTCTTGATGCATGCATACGCCCCTCCACTCACGACGCCTAAAATATAAGGCGCTCACTCCCTCTGCTCTGCCCCTACCGTCGCGCCCCTACCTGCCGCTCCTCTTCATGTCCTCTTGGTCAACTACCGTAAATCTTGTCCTCCTCTCCCCTCCCGTCCCTCCTCCCAGACTGTCCCGGTGGACCCAGCCGAGGCGCACCTCTACCTACTGCCCAGCGGCGTGGTCACCGCCATGGACCAGGCCTTCGCGGAGTGGCTGGGCTTCGAGCTGGGAGACATCATCGGCAAGGACATCGGCACGCTGGTCACGGACGCGGAGCAGATCAAAAAGTGGGAGGAGTGCAGGAGGGGCAGGGGTGCTGCATGGGGGGTGGGTGGGAGGGATGCACGGGGGGGTGGGAGGGATGCGTGGGAGAGGGCGAGGTGCGTGGTGGGGTGGGCCGCTTACGGGCTGGTGGGTGTGCGGGAATGCGCTGTTTGCGTGGGTCGCGTAACTTACCTCGCTCCCACCTCCGACCTCCTCCTCCTTCTCTCCTAACCGGGACCTCGCCTTCCCACCGCCGCCCCTCCCCCTCCTCCTTCCCCCTCCCCCAGCCTCCTCCCCAAGTTCGACCCCCTCACCTGGGCCAAGCTGCAGCGCGTTAGCACCCTGGCGCCCGGCCTCGCCGCCGCCACCGCCGCCACCCTCACCCCCGGCACCACCACCTCCGGAACCCTGCACACCGGCCTCACCACCGGCCTCACCACCGTACCCGCCTCACCACCGCTCCCCAGCACCGGCCTCGGCGGAACTACCACCACCACCACCCACGTCCCCGGCGGCATGTTCCACGGCCTACACATGGGCGGCCTGCACATGCCCGCCCTCTCCATGCACCTCCCCTCGCCCAACAACAACTACAACACCCTGGCACCCGGCGCCTCGCCCTCCATGACTGCCGTACAGTCGCTTGCCACCCCCGAGCACCTGACCTCCGTACACTTCCTGCACAAGTACACTCGGCCGGTGGAGTGCAGCGTGACCATGCAGCGGCTGGGGGTGGGCCCGGTGGAGTGCATGGTGGAGCTCACGCTGCGGCGCAACGGCCCCGCGCACCTGCTGGCGCTCACAGGGCCCAGCGGCAGGGTTAGGTGGGGCGGGTTGTGGGGGTTTGGGAGGGTTTGGAAGGGTTTCGGAGGGGTGTGGAGACCAGGTGGTTACCCGGGCAGTATGGTGGAGGAGTTGGATGGTCCTGATGGTGGCGTGGAGTAAGGCCGCCTCCGCCTCTTCCGCCTTCTCCTCCTAGCCATATTCCTCCCTGCTGTCGCCCCTTGCTGCTGCTGTTACCGCTTGCTGCCCCCCGCTGCCCTCCGACCTGCCGCCTCCTATCCCCTTTGCCTTTACTTACTTATTACTACTATTACTACTATCATCATTAGTAGTATCGCAATTATTGCCCTCACTTCTGTTTTCTGTGCTTCTTTGGCTCCCCCCCCCCAGGTACATTGCCAGCGAGCTAGCTCGCGCGCTGGGCACCTCCCCCTCCGCGCTCTACCGGCAGCCGCTGGGAGACATCATGCCGCAGCCCTGGGGCACCCTGCACGCCGCGTGGATCAAGACCATGGGCGGCGCCAGCGCCGCCGCGCCCGGAGTCATTGTGCCCGGCAGCTGCCGCAGCGGCATCACCACGGTGCTGGGCTCCTCGCTGCGAATGCAGGGCTACTACCGGCTGGCCATCAGCAGCAACGACGACTCGGGTGGGGCCGGGGCGGTGGGGTTTCGGAGGACAGTGGAGTGCAAGGTTGAGGTGGGGAGCAGGGATTTGGGAGTTTGGGAAAGACGCATGTGCTCGGGTTTTGGGGGTAGACACAGGACTCCGCTCCACCCCACACCTATACCTCCATGCCTCACCCCCACTGCCCACTCCACGCCCCCCAGGCGAGATGCGGCACGTGATCGAGGCTGAGCCCAGCTCCCGGGAGGCTGCCATGGCTGAGCGGCGGCTGGTGCTCACGGTGGACGCGGACGGCATGGTGACGGAGGTGGACGATGGACCCACCTGGCTGTACGGCTTCCCGCCGGCGCAACTGCTGGGACGCAGCCTGGCGGATGTGGTGACGACGCTGAGGCCGCAGCCGGGCAGGAGGAAGAAGGGCGCGGAGTCGGGAGAAGGAGGGGGCGCGGGGAAGGAGGAGGAGCAGCAGCAGGCAGGGGAGCAGGAGGAGGAGGAGGACGATGTGTCGGTGACGGACCTGCTGTCCATGCTGATATCCAAGTGAGAGAGAGGAGGGAGAATGGACATGCCGTAAAGGGAGAATGGACATGCCGTGGGAATGGAGAAAGGGGAGGGAGGGGCAGCGGGGGAGGAGGGAGGGACTGGAACAGGGGCTGATGGGTGTGGTGCTTGGGGAGTGCTGGGTAATGAGAAGAGAGATGGATTCACGAATCTAAGGTTGGGACCGGGATATCCTATTAAGGACAAGCACCACCTTGGGGTACGCTTTTCGTGTCTTGAAAGCCTCTCGCCTCTACTGTATGCGCTGCTGTTGCTGCCCTTGGCGCTCTCCTAGTCCTTACCCCTCCTGCCCTCTTCCCCACCATCCCTCTCACCATCCTCCTCCCTCCACACTTTCCCGCCACACCCTCCGCCCCTCTCAGGGCCATGATGCAGAACGGCGTGTCCTGGCGGGTTGGCGTTACAGTCCCCACGGACGAGGAGGAGCTGCGAGCGCTGGGGCCCATGCGCCAAGCCGTCATGGCCAAACGCACCACCCCCGCTGTCATGGAGATTGAGGTGTCGCTCGACACGACGGCGTTGGGTCGCGGAGCACCCACGGGAACCGGCATGTGCAGCTGCGGCGAGGAGGGCACCGAAGATGGCGAGAAAGGGGGCCTCGGCTGGGGCGCGGGTTCGGCGGGCCAGCATGGGAGTACGGGTGGAAGCGGTATCTCTACCACGGCGGCTCCTCAGGGGGCCGGGGATGGCGGCGGAGGCTGCGGCGGAGGCGGTGGCGGAGGCGACGCGGGGTACAATCCTGAGCTGCTGAATTCAGCGACGTCGGCCACGCCGGGGGGTGCGGCGACAGGCAGCTCCTCCTCGCTCTTCTGGCGCACCGGGCGGCTATCGTCAGCCAACGGCGCGCCGCCGCTATCGCCGGGTTCCGCCGCTGCCATGACGGCGGCGCTGATGAGCAGCGGTGGCGGCGGCGGAGGCGGCGGAGGCACGGAGGCGCGCTTGCTCCGACGCTCGGGGAGCGTACCGACCATACCGGCTCGCAAATCAAGCGGGCTCGCTGGGTTATCGTCTGACCCCACTGGAAGCCCCACGGCGGTGGCGGCAGCGGAGGCGGCGGCGGCCCTTGGCGGCGGGTTGCCGCCACCGAATCCGCCGGCGGCGCGGCGGTCGTCGTTACCGCGTGTACGGCGGAAGAGCTGGATCGCGATGGAGGGCCCCGGCGGCGGCATCGTGGTGGTTAGCGGCGCGGCGGTGGAGGACGCGGCGAATGGCGGCGTCGGCGGCAGTCGACGTACCCGTCGGCGGAGTTCGATGCCGGCGGTGCTGGGTCGAGCCAGCTTGGCGGCGGCCACGGCCTGCGCAAATGTGGAGGTGGAGACGGGGGAGAGTCGGAGCGAGGCGACGCTAGCGGGCGGGATGGCGGAGGAGGGCGGCGGCGCAGCGCCAGCGGCGGGATGTCTGTCAACAGCGTTGCCTCAACGTCCCTCCGGTAGTAAGACGCGCATATCGTTCGATGTGAAGGAGAAACACTGCGACGATGATGACGGGGACCGCGAAGAGCACTTGCGGCGCATGCACCAGATCCGTACACCGTCCCCATTGAGCAGCGGCTCCCGAGGCAACACCTGGACGATGCCGACAGAGGACGGTACAGCGGCGCCTTGCGGGGCTGTTGATACCACCACCGACGACGACGACGGAGGTGAGGTTGGTACGGCAGCGGACTGCGCAGCCGATGAGCCGCAGCTCATTCCCGGACATCCAGTCGGCGACGGCGATGACGGGGCCGACAGCGATGGAGCTATCGGCCACTCCGCTGCTGGCGACGCTGCCACCGCCGCGGTATCGCGCCAGTCAAGCTCATCCCTGTACGGCTTCCAAACTGACGGCGGCGGCTGCAGCGAGGACCCCAGCAAGATGCTGCTGACCAAGCTGCTCTCCGCTCGCTTCACGCGCGTGGCCGCCGGCGGTCCGCTGGACACCGGCCTGTCCACCGGGCAGGAGGACTTGCTGGGGCCCCTGCTGCCGCTGCTCATGACGTCCAACAACTCCGTCCTTGACGACCTCCCCAAAACCTCCCAATCTGGCATGATCTCGCCGGCGCGCAAGGGAGCAACAGCAGCAACCGCCTCTCCAGTGTCCCCCGGGCCTGATACCCGAGACATCGCCGCCGCCGCGGCCATGGGGACCGGGGAAACGGGGGTTGGCGAAGATATCGGCGGTGATGAGGTTGGCGATGATGATAGTGTGGAGCTGCCGCTGTCTATCGCGGATGATGCACGCGTGGTGGTCATCCGCGTGAGTCTGTGGCGAGCGGACTTCCTGTCGCCGGTGGTGGAGGTGGACAGCAGTGGAACCATTGCGGCGATGGTGGGAGACGACCTGTCACCGCCGGGTGAGTGGCGGGCGGTGGCTGGCGAGGAAGCCAGCCATGCCAGTTGATAGAGTGCTGTGAGAAAACCAGCCATGCCAGTGGATAGAGTGCTGGGAGGTGTTTATGAGGGCGGGAGAACAACGCTGCGATGAGAAGGGGCGGCAGCTGTGATTGTAGGGCAAGGAAGGCAGGGATACAAAACCTGCGCTCTGAGTCTATTTTTGTTAACCTACTGTTTTACCTTTTAGTTTCTTCCTCTTATCTTGTCGTTCCCACAAGACTTGAAACAAATGAAACAAAAAGTGAAAAAAAACCTCTGAGCTTGCGAGGCTCTGCTTTTCCTGCCCACCCATTTGTCTGCCTGTCTCCTCCTCCACGCTCCCGCATCTACCCCACCTCCCTTCCTCCCTGCCTTCTCCCTCCAGGCCTGCTCTTCGGCGTTCCCACCCCCAGCATGCTGTCCCAGTCGCTTCACAGCTTCCTGCAGCTTCCCGACCGCTCCGTGTCGGGGCTGTTCCACGACCCCGGCACCGCGCGGCGCGGCGGGCTGAAGACCACCGCCAAGGAGGCCAACAAGGTCGGCAGCCTGCGGGAGGTGAGTGGGGCATGACGGAGAGGGAGGGTCTGTACGTCTTGTCCCTTACACCGCAGCCCAGCATCCTCAGATTCCTCACTACATGTATCCCTTACACGTCGCTCACACCCATTCTTTCCCTAACCTCCCAACCACCCTATGCGAAATCACCATCTCCTCTAACCCCCTCCTCCACACCCCACTCCCACCCCATCCCCCAGATCACTGCTCGCCACTTCGACGGCCAGCCGCTGGACCTCACGCTGCAGGCGGTGGTCAAGGACTCCTCCCCCACTCGTACATATGTCGTACTGAAGCCCCGGAAGCCCTCCAAGGGCAGCCGCGCAGCCCTGCTTAGCAGCGTCGCTGACGTGGGGTTGCGACCCGTACTGGCCCAGGCGCAGGCGCAAGCGCAAGCGGGACTGCCGCTCAGCTCCGTTCCCTCCTCCCTGTCGCAACCGCCCTCTGATCCGGAGCAGTTGCAAGTGCAGCAGCTGCAGCGGCAGTGGGGTTCGAACCCGCAGCTGCAACTGCAGCTTCCGCAGCCCGAGCAGGGCCAGCAGGTGCCGCAGGGGCAGCGACAATCGTCTGGCAGTGGCTACATGGCTATTTATCGGATAAGCAACTTCTTAGGTAATGAGCCGTACCATCTTACAGGCGCGCTGTCGGGTGTTCCGGCGTTGCAAGGCGACCTTGCCGGCTTGGGCGCTGCTGCTACTGCCGGCATTAGCGGCGGCCGAGTCAGTGGCAGTGGCAGCATTGGCGGCCACCTACGGCCGAGTACGGCACCTGCCTCCGTTGTACGGAACCGCGCTGCGCTGCGCTATAGCATGGAGTCAGGCGCCTCCGTTGCCGCCCCTGTTGTCGCCCCAGTCCTACAACAGGAACAGGAGCAGCAGCCGTACAGGCCATATACGGCGCCTTCTGCTCCTTCTCCCCGTATGAATAACGAAGGGGACGCGGATGACCCACGGGTCGCTCAGCAGGCGTTGCTGTCACTTCGGCATCCCTCCGTCTCCATGCAGCACTTTGGGCGTCAACATACGCACGGGCAGCCGGGGCCAGGGACGGGTATGGAGACGGCGGCTGTTAGGCCAGGACCGCTGCTAGCATTCCAACCCCAGTCAGGAAATGGGGATGCCGAGACGAGCCATCGGGGCGAAGAACACCCCTTTGGTGTGAGCTACCGGCCTGTGGAAAGCGGCCCCACAGCCCCTGGAGCACGCCTCTCAGCTTCAGGCGCCGCCGCCGGCGGTGGTGTTGTCGGCGGTGGAGACGCCAATAGCTTATGGGTTCGCACCACCGCGGGACCCTCAGCGGGCCGGGGATCCATCCTTTCCGTACGAGCTGGATCCAGAACAGCATCAGTCACGCCGGCGGCGCCGCCGCCACTGCCGCTGCCGCCGCAGTCGACACACGGCGACGGCGGCGCCGCCGACATCGCGTCCAGGGTAGATGCCGCCGCCACCGACGTAGACTCTTCGCCGCTGGCGTCAGCCATGTTGCCGTACGACGGCGACTCGACCGACCGAGTGACGCCGCCCATTTCGCCGACGGAGGTGAGTGCCGGCTCCGGCAGCAGCGGCGCCACCTCCCGCACTGGCGCCGCGTCGGAGGTCCGCCGCCGCCGCAGGCGAGGACTGCACTCCGGCAGTGGCAGCGACAGCGACGGCGGCGGCGGAGCCAGGAGCGAGGTTGACGGGGACGCAGTCCCCGGACATCACGAGGGTCGTGACCGCCGCGCCGGCGGCGGCTTCGGCCTGGGCCGCGTGCCCAGTCCCAGCCGGAAGGGCCGTGGCGCGGAGGGTGCCGCCGGACGAGTGAGACCCGGCTCTGCCGGCAAGCAGCATGCGGCGGCGGGGGGAGGTGAGGAGGCGGCGGAGGACGAGGGCGGACTGGACCTGGCCGATGACGCCAGCGATAACGCCAGCGGCTCAGTGGTGTCAGAGGTGCTGGACGCCTCCGGACCCACCGCGGACTACCGGCGGGGCAAGCGGTACCGCAAACTGCTCAAGGTGCCGTACAGGCAATACACTGATGCAGTACAGCAGTGCGTGACACTGCGTTGGTGTTGTTCACTGGGATTCCTGAGTTTGTTGTTATTGCAATGGACGGGCCCCCGCGACGCGACGCATCCGGTGCTTGAGCTTAGTGAAAGCCGCGGGGAACGAGGGGCCTCTCCTAGTGCCATATCCTACCGCATGCGGGGAATACCCTCCTCCGCACTTCCCTGCTTCCTGCTCCCACCTTCTCCACAACCCCCTCTTCCTCCTCCGATTCGCTCCAGGTGCTTGAATCCCCCGTGGTGCAGCGAGCCGCCCACGACTTCCAGTGGCAGGCGCTGCTGGCTAATGTTGCTCAGCTGCTGACCAACCTGACTGCCTTTGTGCTGCTGACGGTGCTGCTGAAGCAGCAGAGCGGCCACGTGCAGCGACTGCATGCGGCCACCGGGGTCAACCGACTCATGCACGAGGCCTTCATTATCATGCAGGTAGCCAGCGGGGCGGGGCGGGGGTTGGGGTTAGTGCTGGGAGTGCTAGGGGATGGAAATTCCGCAGCTGGCTGGAATATAGGATTGTGTAGGGGATGCTGTGGGGGAAAAGACGGATGCCATGCCATGCCCTAAACTAAACCGGTAGAGCCAACTCTTGATGGACGCCCCTATTGAATGGATGCTGTGAGGGAGGGACCGGGCTCATCTTTGCTGCCGTGCCTTTCTGCACAACCTATCCATATCCGACCCCCGCTCCCTCCCGCACCCTCACATGCTGTCCTCATCCACCCCATACCGGTTCCTCCCCTCCTCAGAAGCTGAACAACCATTACGAGGGGCTGTACCCGGCTGCCGGCTACTACAGCGCCGCCTCGGTGCCGCCCCTGACCGAGGACCTGAAGCTGCACCTTGATGTGTTCGCGGAGCTCAACACGCAGATCTACTCGGGTGCGCGTTGCTGGGGAAGGAGTGATGAGACGGGAGCCGGTTTGCTTGGCATGAATAAATGATGAATAGTTGTGCCGCGCGCTGATTTTCACCCTTGCCGTTGCCACAGCAACCATAGCGCCCCATCGCTTACCGGTACTCGCCCAACCGCTGCAGATGTCGGCAACGAACGACCCGACCCCAACACGCCGTACGACCCGCGCAATGCCCAGGTATGGTTGCGTGTGGCCTCAGGGGACATTGCATGTTGAACAGCGCAACTGAGCAGCAACCTTATGAGATGTGCCGGCTCTAGCGCACGTGGTGTGCGACCGAGGGGCTGCAATGTCCCGCTGTGTTTTGTTGCGCTTTCGCTTCATTGCGCGTAGCCACTGTAGCCAGAATGTTTGAAGGTAGAGCGCCGCATGTGCTGCTGTCTTCATGGCTGCTGCCCCTTTCTCATCTTTTCCTTCCTTTTCCCCTCCCCTCTCCTCAACCCCACTGCGCCGCCACCTCTACCAACCCCGCCACTTCCACCGTCTCTCAACCACCACCACCACCACCAACAACAACAACAACACCTCCCAGGACATTTGGAACAAGCCCGTCCACAACGAAACCCTCTTCTACAGCACCACCCCCTACCGCATTGAATATCGAAACACCTCCCTCTGGGACCTCTCCAGCTCCTTCATTGAACGCGCCTCCGAAGTACAGCACATGCACGCCACCTGGGGCCCCGCGCACGCCACCCTCGCCGACTTTGACGCCTACCGCTGGGTCATGACCAACGGCCTGGGTCCGCTGCATGAGGGCTACAGCGATGCGCTGCTGCAGCTGATGAACAAGGCCATCAGCCAGGCGCACAGCGTGAACCGGCTGCAGCTGGTGCTGCTGGTCATCCAGGGCTGTGTGGTGTGCTCGCTGCTGGTGGGCTACATGTGGTGGCTACAGCGGCGGGTGTCGCAGCAGCGCTACCGGCTGTACTCGCTGTTCATGTGGGTGAAGAGGGTGGAGAGGGTGAAGAGGGTGAAGAGGGTAAAGAGGGTAAAGAGGGTAAAGAGGGTGAAGAGGGTGAAGAGGGTGAAGAAAGAAGGCCCAGTATGATGAGTGTTCGGCAGCCCTGCACTGTGCAGTGCTTTTCCTAACCCAGCCACCTCCCTGCTCCCCTATCCGGCGGGCCCCTTTCCTTTCAACCCCGAACGCCCCTCCCTCCCTTTCCTGCCCTCAGGTTGGTTCCCGTCGGCCTGCTTCGCGCGCTGGCGTCCAAGTCTGTAGCCGTCACCGACAACTCGGATGGCGAGGTGAGTGTCGCCGTCTGCCGGCCGCCGCCCTGCTTGCGAACCCCTGTCCTCATGCCCTGCGTCGCGCCCTGCTCGCACCTCCTTTGGCCACCCATCCACTCCACACACCCCACCCGGCTCCCGCAGGCTTCCTCGGACGATGAGCACCACGATGCACATGTGGGCGGACCCACGGGTCACCAGGGGGACGCGCAGGGTGGGCGCTCGCACTCCTCCTCCGTCATCAACCTGGCGATGAAGTCTTCGCTGTGGGGCGGCGGGGCGGGGCGGAGCAGCGAGGCGGAGGGTAGGCGTGCTTGAAGGGGGGAGACGAGGGGATTGGAGGCCGGGGGATGGGCAAGGGGCAGAGACACTGGGGCAGGTTGGCAGGGGTACTGGCAGCCAGCCGCAGCAGCTGGAATGCACTTAGCTAGCGTAGCGCTCTCCAGACGTCCTTGCCAAGCGCTTTCTGAAGGCTTTTCCTCTCCGCCTCGTCCGCTGTCCTTCATTGAAGGGCCTATTGGATGCCGGCCTTTCGTTAGCCCAACCGCAACCCTCACCCCAATCCCTGCTCTCCTGTTACCCCCCTTGCTCCTCCCCCTTCACATATCCATCTCCCCTCCCTCCCCTCCCTCCCCTCCCTCACCTCCCTCACCTCCCTCACCTCCCTCACCTCCCTCACCTCCCTCACCTCCCTCACCTCCCTCACCTCCCTCACCTCCCTCACCTCCCTCACCTCCCTCACCTCCCTCACCTCCCTCACCTCCCTCACCTCCCTCACCTCCCTCACCTCCCTCACCTCCCTCACCTCCCTCACCTCCCTCACCTCCCTCACCTCCCTCACCTCCCTCACCTCCCTCACCTCCCTCACCTCCCTCACCTCCCTCACCTCCCTCACCTCCCTCACCTCCCTCACCTCCCTCACCCGCCCCCCGCAGGCACCGGCTCACTGGGCAAGTGGCTCGGCTGGATCGGCCGTCGCGACCCAGCCAACCCCGCCCTCGCGCCCAACCCCTCCTCCGGCTCCGCCTCCCGCCTGCTGCGCCCTCCGAGCGCTAACGGCGGCCACAACCCCAACGGCGGCCCCGGCGCCGGCAGCAGCGGCGGGCACCACAAGCGCCGGCAGCTGGTGCCCTCCAACTACGATTCGGTGTCGCTTCTGGCGCCCTTTGTGGTGTGGGGCGCACTCATATGCGTGCTGTACGCCGTAGGTGCGTGGGGAGGGAAGGCGGGTAGGGGGTTGGGGTGTGGTAGGCGAAGGGGGTGTCTGGGGACGCCATGGCCCGTCCCCTGCATCTCCACTTCAGCGATATGCAATCAGCAGCCGACCGAAGCACAATAAGTAATATATGTTTTTATATATGTGAGGGTATGTGTGGGTGCACGGCGCAAGGCCAGATGATGTCGCCTTACTAGCTTGTCGTTCGCTCTCGGCACCTCCCCCCCCCTTGCCGGCTCGGGTGCGCATTGCTTTGACTGACCCCTGGATTGCCCTGACCGACCCGTGGGTTGCCCCCGCTGACCCGTGGGTCGCAGGGTTCGTGTTGCTTCAGAACACCGCAGGTCCGCTGGCGCTGCTGAGTACCCACAACGTGGCCGTCGTGCGCATGGTGGATGGGGTTACAGGGATTTACGGTTCGGGGGTGGAGGCCATGAGCAGGGAACCCGCTTGCTGGGGTGGGTGGGAGGGGATAGGGTATTCCGGACTGGAGCAAGTAAATTGCTTATACATACCGGTTAGTTGCATCGTGTATGGTGTGTGCGCTCGGTCTCATGTGGGCGCTCGGTCTTATGTGGGTGCCAGATGTGACGGATCAGCATGCATGCTTTGCGTGCTTGTGCTGTGTTCTCCCGCAACGGCCGCTCTGCTGCTGTCCTTGCCCGCCTCCGTCCACATCTGCTGTGCCCGCTAACCTGCACCCTCCCGTCCTCCCTCCTGTGTCCCTCCTTCGACTCCCCTCCACCTCCTCCCTCCTCCCCCCCCAGCACCGGCTGATGCTGTACAGCCTGCAGGTGGGCAGCCAGGCGGATGAGGCGGGCAGGCGGCTGCTGCAACCCGTGCTGGCGCAGGAGCTCAGGGATTTCGAGGTGGGGCGGAAGGGAGGAGGGGCAGGGGTCAGGCAGTGGTGGGGGTGGCTGGGAGAGGCGGCGGATGGTGGTGCAGAGGGCGGCCGGCGGATGCCGACTGAGGAGCCACTACCCTGCCAGCAGCACAGCACTGCATGCGTCATTAATGCCATCCGCCCTGCGCCTGTCGGCCTTCTGCGTGCACAACTGTCCTTGCTGCATCCCTGTCCTGTGCGGATGCACATGGTGCCCTCTGCTTCCTCGCTTCCTTTCGATCATTCCTCTCCCAACCTTCCCCAACCTTCTTACCCTCCATGCAGCGCGAGTGGGATGTGCTAATGTACGGCGCTAACACCACTCTGCGCCAGGAGCGGCATTTTGAAATGTGTACGACAAACACCGCGTTCAGTGACGGCCATCTGTCGTACGAAGCGTTTAGGATAGACGGCTGTCTGACAGAGCAGCTATCAGAAGGTGGGTTGTGTATTCCAGGTTCTGGGTTGTGGGTACGGTAGCCTTGTGGAGGCGGGGGGTCATGCGTCTAGAAAGCGGAGGAGAACGGCCGCTTCGTAAAAGAGCATCTTGCGACTCCGACCCTTCCAGGAAGGGCACGTGTCTGATGCACAACACTTGCCGGCTGCTGCCTTCCTGCGCAAATTTGCAGGTCACCGACCGCAAAGTGCTGCCGCTTGCTGCTACCTGTCGCAGTCGCTTCCGCTGCCTGCTGTGTCTGTTTCCGTCGCCGCCTAAGTCGCCGCTGCTACTGCCGTTGCAATCGCTGTTGCTGCCTGTCTGCTACTGCTACTGCTGCTGCAGGCGACTTATCCGTGTGTCGCAACCAGAGCGATAAGGACTATGCGGTGAGGGCGCGGGGTTGGAATTGGGGGTCTCCGGTCAGGTTCCCCACCCCGGGCCCCTCCGGTTCGTTCGCATGTATCGCAACTCTCCATTGCATGCGCCCAACACGGCCGCCCTCCCTTACTAGGACCTCTCGCTACTGCCCCCAGCCTTCCCAACACCTTCCACGTCCTACCACGCACCCCACCCACCTCTCCTCCCACCTCCCCCTCCTCCTCCCCGCGTCACCCTCCCCTAGGCCACCGTCCATGGGGTGAGCATGATGATCGAGCGGTTCAAGGAGGACGTGTCGTACCTAGTCCGCCTGCCGCCCGCCCTGATCAGCCTCAACAGCTCCCATTTGGACTACATCATGCGAGAGGGGGAGAGTGAGCAGGGGGTGGGGAGGCGGAGGGGTTGGGCTTAGGGGGCGAGGAGTCGTGTGTTAGGTCAACTAGCTGCATTAAGGCTCCCCATGATGGCCGCACTGGCTTGTGTTTTTTTAATCAACATAACCGCTCGACATTACGGGGCGCTGAACTGCTAATGGGACGCGTGCCTCCCACCATTCTCTTCCCTAACCCGATTCTACCTCCCCTCCCTCACTGGGATTGGTATTCTAGCGCTTCACCTCTAACTTTTCTGCCCCTCTCCTCCCCCCGCTATCCTTCCTTTCCCTTCACTCCTCCGTACGCACAGCCAACGTTGAGAACGGCATTAACACCGTCGCCGGCAGCCTCATCAGCAACATCGACTCCCTCTACCACCACGTCAGCCTGCTGCAGATCTTCAGCCTCGTCATCTCCTGGTTGCTGGCGGTGGCTTTCATCTTCGTGCAGCTGCGTCCCTTCCTGCGCAGCAACCACGCGGAAACACAACGCATTGCGCGCATGCTCAGTGAGCTGCCGCCGGATGTGGATATCGAGGGTATCGTGGCACGGGTGCTGCTGCGGCCGGAGGCAGCGTCGGGAGGAGGTGGGGGCGGCGGAGGAGCGCCGGTGCAGCGTAGCAGTGGGAGCGCTGGGGCGGGCGGTGAGGGAGGGACGAGTGGGCGGCTGTCTGCGGCGTTGAGGGAGATGGTGAGCGCGGGGAGTAAGCGGTGGGCGCATGGGCCCAGGCTGTCTGGCTAGGTGGCGGTAGTGATGGTAGCGGCATGGTGGGGAAGGGATGGCGCGGAACGGTGTGTGAAGTGTGCGGGTAAGCTGAGAGAGAGTTGGAGGCTTAACGGTTGTTTGGTTGGTTTGTAGAATTGTTGACTTGGAAGCTAAGCATTTTAGAGCTGGTGTGGGATGCCCACGCTGCCGCTGTTTATTGAGCTTAAACCTTGTTACTCGAACCCTTGTACTAAGGACTGCTGTTGGTGTTGCCAGCTGTTTAGGGTTTTCGGTTAGCTCAGTTTCCGGGGCCGTACGACATGTCAGTTGGTGTCGGTTGGCGGACCCGACGCTAGTATGAGAGGGTGCATGTGTGTTTTGCACCTGCACACGCTGTGCGGCGTCCCCTGCGGCTATGGTTCTCTTTGGCTGGTTTGGCCGTGTTGTCATCGTGCTTCCCTATTTCAACAGGTTACTGTTTGCCACAGGAGACTTGGATCACTGGCGTATCAGAACTGCGGACATCTTTTTTGAACAGTGATGGCGAGAGACAGCTATGGTGCTTTGGAGAGCTAACGAGTCTTGCGTGTGGAGACGTGGCAGCTAGTGTGTTAACAAGAAGCGTGTGTGTTGTGTTTTGCGTTGTGCGGCATTAAAGGGCTGCAGACTGCTGTGTGTTACACGTATGCTTGAAGAAGATTGACGGCGAAGCGGCACGTGTGACGGTGCTGTGCAGTGCGAATGAGGTGATTGAGAGTGAAGTACGGTACTTCAAGTGTTTCGGAGCGTGTCACATCATAGAGCATGTATGTGTAGTTGAGCGGAAACAAGAGCAAGCAGTTGGGATGGGTTCAGATGGTGGGAGCATGTATGTGTCTGAAGACGACCCACATTAGGCGGAAGGAATGCGAGGGTGAGCAGTGTCGTACGGAATGTGGTCTGAGCCATCCAGGGACATTGCCTGGGTGCAGAGAGGGTGCCAAAGAGAAACCAAAACAGATGAAACCACAAGTTAGGGCAACGTAATGAAGATGGAGGTGGGGTTGAATGCTGCGGTTGGAACAGAAGGCGGCTAGGCCGCTCAGTCGGGGGCGGCGGCTAGCGGTCTTGGTGTTGGCTTTTTGGTGACTCGGCTTGGGTGCGGCGATTGCCAGGGTAGCCTCATGCGGCGGAAACCGGGATTAACATGTGTTTGTACCCTGCAGGCCCGCCTGCCTCTTGGCTTTGTCGTGTTTTGTTCTTTGGAAATGGGCGAGGCCGTATTGTAACGTCGTAACCGAGAGCATTGGCAGGATTGTCAGTCGCTGACAGGACCCGGGACAAAGCCACTTGCCGTTTGGTCTTTCTAACGGATTTCACTTTGGAATAAGCGGCGTGATGTAACATACACGCGGTGCGAGTAGGATGTAGGGCTGCCGGTGTGATGCCGCATCATCTGGGTGCACCATGCGTCTGCAAGACCCGGCCATGCATGAAGAGCCGGGATGAATATGTGCTTTGCAGCACAACGCCCGTTGCTTTTGCCCTAATCGACACTCCTGGTTATCGGTAACAAACCGTCTGTAACGAGCATTTGTTTCCTACCTGGCTGGTGTGACACACCCACCATGAAAGGAAATCCCCCACACCCCATGTCTTGTTCCTTTGTGGCGTTAGTGACGACACACTTCCGTACTCAGGTGATGCGATGCACACCACATGGGATGAGGTTCTGCCAATGTGCCGGTGCCAAAGGAAGCGAGCTGTGCGGAGGGCGGATGGGGAGCTGCTTCTAAAGCCATTCAAGGGCGTTACGGGGGTGTGTCGCGGCGATGGTTGCGGCAGGTGAGCAGCCCAGCCGGGAGCTGCCTTCGAGCTGCTGCTCCACGGGCACAAGCAGTAGCTCATCAGCCTCATAAGTCATAACACTCTTCCTCCTCACCACTCCGCATACGGTAACTCCCCGCTACCCGTACCCCACACAAGACCCGGCCCAGCCCCCTACGCCACCCCCCGCACCCCACATCCCGGGGGGCTCATCAAGCACCCCTACCGCGCTCCACCCAGCCCCGCCCCGAACGCCGCTGCCGCCCGGGTTTTCTTCACGCTGCCGGGCCGGTGCGCCGCCCCGCTGGTCTTCTGCAGCAGCACCTGCTGCGCGCTGTAGTAGGCGAGCGCCTCGGGACTCGCCAGCTCCTCACTCGGGGGCGCAACCAGGCTGCTCAGCGGCACCTTGCCGCCGCCACCACTGCCACCGCCAGCAGCCCCCGCACGGGGCTTGGATCCCGCGGGGGAGGAGGAGGAGGCGCCAGCGGCAGCGGCGACAGGTCTCCGCCCGGCGCCGCTGGTAGCTGACGTGGCGGAGCCGCTTGGGGAGGGTGGGGTCACCATGGAGGGGGCTGCTGCTGCTGCTGTTGCCCCCCGAGACGGTGCGGCCGTGCCCGGGAAGCGAGGCCGGCCGGAAGCGCCCATAGGGCTGCCACCGGCGGCCGGACCCACCCCTAAGCGCACGGGCGAGGCGGTGGCGGTGGCAGTGGCTGCGGTGGCGGCGCTGCCGGAGGAGGTGGGTCGCCGGCTGTCCTCTGCGTCCGCGTAGCCAGTAGCCACACCGTAGTAGTCCAGCTGGCTGGCTACGTCATCCGCTGCGGGCGGCCTGCCGTACGTCGCCTCGTACCACTCGGCGAACTCCAGCAGCAGCTCCTTGTTGCACTGCTCCACCAGCCCCTGCGTGTAGTCCACCTCGCTGCGCACCACCTGCAGCTCGCTGAAGGCCTCGCGGTAGGCCACCTTGAGCTCGCGGATGCGCATGAGCGCGTCGTACTCCTCCGCGTCTAGCACCTGGTGAGGCAGGGGGAAAGGGGAGAGGGGTGGTGGGGTGGCAACGGGGAGGATTAGAGGCATGGCAGGGGGCAAACGGCTGGGTTGCGCCGGGGGGAGCACAGGCAGCATGCGTCCTGTCCGCTTTTTCATACCGGTATAAGCTCGGTTGCAAGCGTGCAACGCCTGCCCTGGTTGCATACCGAGCCAACCTCAACCACGCCCCCTCACCCAAGCCCCCCCCCGTCCACCTGCGCCCCCTCCCCCTGCTGCTGCACCCGCTGCTTCTTCAGCTCCTCCTCCCGCGCCTTGAGCGCATCTAGCTCCCGCTTGGCGCCGTTCACAGCCAGCGCCAGCTCCTTGGCGCGAGTGCGACCCGCCTTCAGACGCGCGCGGTTGTCAGCCAGCAGCCGGGCCTTGAGCGCCCCCGGACCCGCCTTGTAGTCCTCCAGGGCGGCCAGTCTGACAGGGCCGGAGGTGAGTGGGTTAAAAAAAAGATATTCCAGTGTGTAGTGTGATAGTGGCGAGTGGGTGGGGTAAAGGAAGAGAAACACAGCTGCCTCCTGGCAGCTCAGGTCAGCGCAGAGAGTGGGTAAGTAAAAAGAAGAAGAAGAAGACGCGAAGCACCCGAATCCCAACGCCCACTGCTGGACTGATGACGGGTGGGGGAGTGAGGGGATGGCGTGTGCATCTGCGCACACCGGTACGTGCGTTTAGTTCAGTTACGTGTCGTCGTACATCTGTGTGTACAGCGCGGCCGTACGTGCCTTTATTCTCCTAGTTGTTCTACTTGCCACAGTACGCCAGTGCGCGGTCCACACCTGTCGGGCGGAACCACCCCCTGCATGCCAGCCGTCGCCATGCCGCCACCGCCTCCCCTCCCGCTGGTGCCGCTGCCCTGCTGACTCAGCAACCGCTCCGCCAAGCTGCCCGCCCCGCCGGCCTCCATGCTGTCGGGCCGAGCATCCTCCGGCGCCGCACCAGCCGCACCGCCCTGCCACCCCTCCGCCCTGCCACCTCCGCCGTCCCCTGGCGGCTCCGATCCGTCCCCGGTGTACTCGGACCAGTGACTGTCGCGAAGTGGTGGCGGAGCTGCCCCCGTGCCGCTGGCTCGGCCCCCGGAGGAGCCTGGCGGTGGTGGGGGTTGAGACGCAGCGTCGGAGGCAGGCCGGGCGTCCAGGGGTGCGGAGGAGAGGCTGTTGGGGGCGCTGGAGCCGGGTCCTGGCCCCGCTCGCAGCCCTCCTTGCAGGGCCTCTCGGTACAAGTGCTGCAGGAGGGAGGGAGCGGAGAGCAGTAAGGAGAAAGGGACAGAGGAGGGCCAGTTGATATGATACCGGTACTCCTTGGCAGCGTGTAACAGGGCCGTTGCTATGCACTGGCATCCGGAATGACGCCCTTGCAATACACCCGGCATGACGAAGCCCGGGCTCCTCCTGTGTTCAACCCCACCACCACACGTGCACCTGCCCCTTCCCTCTCTCCGGCCTCTCCCTCACACGCCTGCCCCCAGCCCCAGCCCTACCCGACATGCAAACAGGATTTCCTTCATGTGTCGCAGGCTGTGCAGCTCCAGCGGCTCCAAGCTGTCCACCCCACCCCCTGTCCCCCCTGCCCCTGCCGCCCCTGCCGCGTCCGGCGGCCCCATCAGGAAGTCCAGCACGCGGGTGCGCAGCTCCGCTCGCTGCGCCTCGCTGTACGGCGTGTACTGCACGGCAGCGCGCATGGCCATGGCGTCGTGCATGGCGAGCTCCTGCTGCAGGTCCGCCACCTGCCTGGAAGGAGGAGGAGGAGGAGGAGGAGGAGGAGGAGGGGGAGGAGGAGGAGGAGGAGGGGGGCAGGCATGGGGGTTAAGGAAGACCACACACCATCAGCACATCAACATCACAGTACGTTCCTACTCGCGGCCAGTTTCCCCTCCCCACACACCACCTCTGTGCCCCTCCGTCCTCCCGCTCGCCCCGTCGCACCTCTCCAGCTGCCGCACCCGCGCGCTGCTGTCCTGCACCACGTTGGCGGTTACCTCGCACGTCACCCGCATCATGCGCTGCGCGAAGCGACACGTGCTCAGCGTCTCGTCCGTCTGGGCGCCGTCCGACCACACGTTGGCTACCAGCACGGTACGGCAGTTGCCGCCCAGGCTGTTCTTCAGCACGTGGGTCAGCTTGGAGGACCTTTGGGGGCGGGGGGGAGAAGGGGGGAGGGAGGTGGTGTGAGGGGGCGGGAGGCAAAGGAGCAGAGCACAGAAGCCCAGCCGTCGTAAGGTGACCCAGAAGCAGACTCGCAGCAAACACTGTAAAGAAAGCGTCGCCGCAAAGGGCTCAACTCGAGCCACACCTTCCAGCTCTCACGCACGTGCTGACACCCTGCCTCCCTGTTCGACAGCCATGATGCATCCCCCCTCCATGGTGAAGCCTTGCCATACGGTTACTTAACTTCGTCCTCCTTACCCACCCACCCCCTTCCCAACCCTCCCCTGCTTCAACCCAACCCCAACCCCAACCCCCCTGCGGTCAGTTAGTTGATTCCTCTTTACCCCCACCCCCCTCCCTCACCTGAACGGCACATGCTCCCTGTTCTTGTCGCCCAGGCCCAGTATGACCTGCTCCAGGATGCTGAGGCTCTTGTTGATGTGCCCCGCCTCCCGCAGCACCAGCCCCTCGCTGCGCGTCTTGCTCACCCGCTCGCTACCCGCCAGGTCCACCAGCGCCACCTTGGACACCAGCACGTCGCCGCAGGACTGGGGGGGACAAGGGGAGGGGAGCGGGGTGGGGTGGGGGTAAAAACTAAAGAGACACTGACGATGCAACTGACGAGCTGTATGACATGTAGGCTTCACCATGCGGGGGGGGGGTAAAGAGGAAACAACGAACTGACCGACTGCGGGGAGGGGGTCAAAGACCGCACCAAGCCTTAGGAAAGCTCAGGTAAGGGCAAGGCCATGGGGATAGGAAGTAGCAGGATTGAGGGGTGGCCCTGCTTCTCCTGAGCTCGCTCTCGCCCCCGGTGCGGCCCCACGTCCCACCCCCTCCCCCGCACTACCTCCGCAGTGGGCTTCAGCTCCAATGTGACCGTGAAGATGGAGTGCGAGCGGGAGGACTCGCGGTTGAGCTGGTGCTCGCCGATCACCCGGTTGGTCTCACCCTGCGCATGGAGGCGGGGTAGGGAGTAATGAAGGCGCGGAGGGCGCAGAGGGGCGCAGGTAGCAGCGCGCGGGGGGCGCGCGAGTTGGTGGAGATGTTAGAGAGTGGGAGACAGTCCGCAAAGGCAATGCAGCACCACCCATAGAATCAAGGAAACGCTCTCAACCAGTCAATCCTTCCCGTGTCTGGACCTGGTAAGCCTCTGTTTACCCTCCCCCCCCCCGGGCCCCCTACCTCGAACAGCACTCCCCGGGCCCCCGCCCCCCCCCCCACCTCGAACAGCAGCGCCAGCGCCTCCGCCTCACTGGCCACCTGCGCCGTCCGCAGCCCCGCCACTGTCACCTGCCCGCGGCTGCTCTCGTAGATGCTGATCTCGTGCGGCTGGGTGGTGATGTCCAGCAGGTCGTACAGCGCCTCATTGTAGATCTGGAGGGGGGAGTCGGGGAGGGGAGATGGGGAGGAGGGCGAGAGAGGCGCAGGGAAACACACTACATATGGAAATAGAGTGCCCCACGCTCCCAGGCTCCTCCAACGCCCTGGAGCAAACCCTGGCCCCACCTCCCTTACCTCGCCCTGCGCTCACTGCATGGAGTCGGGATTTGGGATTGGTACTCCGTTGCTGCACTCATCATTTTTTCCCACCTCCTCTACCCTGCCCTGCCCTGCCCCCACCACCCCACCTCCAGGTACTGTATGCTGACGCGCGCCTCCCGGTCCGGCATGGCCTTCGCCTCAGCGAACAGGTGGCCCAGCGCGCGTGGGATGAGGCCGCGCTGCTTGTAGCTCTGCTTGCCGCCGCTCATGGTGAAGGTCTTGCCGGCGCCTAAAGCAGGGCGGCAAGGCGGGGGGAAGAAGCGGCGGCAGGGGGGCGCCAGAGGTGGGAGCGTGGAGCGAGGAAAGCACGCTGGGCAGCATGGGTCGTGACTCGTGTACGCTTCTGGGATCAACAGTGAGGATGCGGCTGTCGTACTCGGGTGGCAGCACCGGGGTGCGGAGCGCAGTGAGCGGCGCGTAGTCGCTGCTCCAGGGAGCCCCGCGGTGCAGGGTGCGTGCAGGGCGCTGAGTATGGGCGAGCGATGTGGGCGGTGGGTGTGTGGGTGTGCAAGCAGGGGGTATGGGTAAGGTCAGTGTTACTGGTCTGCTATGGCCCCGCGGCCCTGCACGCACCTGTTTGCCCGTAGCACATGATGGTGCCGTTGAAGCCCTCCAGCGCCCCGCGAACCACCTCCGCGGCAGCCGCCTGGGGGGGGGGGTTTGAGGAGGGGAGGGTTGGGGGTCCAGGGGGTAAGGGCAGGGTTAGGCGCAGAGGTCGCATTATGGGGCAGGGACGCTGATGGTGGTCGCCTATATGGTGAGCAGCTGCAGGCAGGGAGGACGGCAGCCTGTGCAGGCGGCAGTGCTATTGCTGCTGTTGTGTTGAAGCCCTAGCAGCGTGGTAAGATGGCCGCGGCCCTCACCTCGTAGACCTCCTCCTGGCTTGCTGACGCCAGCACATTGTCGAATTTGAACTGCAAGGGCGCGACCCGAATGGTGTGTAGCGCAGATGTGGCCCAGGAAGGGGTCCTTCTTCACGTCATGAGGCGAGAGCAGTTGAAAGGCTCTTCAGGTACAAGAGGTCCCATCCATTACCGTAAGAACACAGCAGCCCGGCGCAACACCTCCCTGATGGGATCCCAAAGTGCTAACCCCGACGTGACCCATCACATGTGTGTGGCTTATCCTCCGAGCCAACTGTCCAGCATGCCCTCAGCTTCAAACCTGGTAGTTTTGTGGCGCTTGCTGCCCCCCGCCGGGCCTTCCCTCGAGCACTTTGGTTTGCAGGATGGACACACTCTGTTGGGAGTCAATGGGCAATACATGTCAAAACACACCTGGCTTCAATGTGCCCGCGGCCCCTGGGCCGTTGGCGTTTCCATTGTATCGTTAAGGCTACATTTCTTCCGCACCTTTTTGTCTGGATGAAAAGTAATGGGGCTTCCACCTTCGGATGGGCGTGCACGCAGCACAACGCGAACTGCTGACGACGTCATTTGATGGTGACCTTTATGATAAACACTGACAACGTGATGATGTGGTAGCAGCTAAGAACGAGTCTAGAGGACACGCTGTGGGGATTCTCTCAAGGATTGGTCAACTAAACAGTTATCTATGCCGTCTCCGTCTACACATATATACCATTTTGCTTTTAATATTTTAACGTCTGTATATGGCACATATAAGGATGTCTACAAGACTGGAGTGCTTAGCTGCCCGCCTGTGGCACCGGCACAGCACCCTTGCCAACTGTCGATGATTGGTAGCAACCATGTAAGGATTTAGTGTGGCCTTCGGGAACGTGCAAGAAGGTCGCTTAGCTAAAGAGTGATCAGCCTTGCAGAACCATGGGACCATCGTACATTCCTTGGTGCAGACGAATATCGGAAAGCAGGTGCAGACCCATCCTGCATACCAGCCAGTGCATATCCCCGTTAAGTATGAAATTCACATGCACTGACTTTGCATAAGCGTGAGCTGACAATTCCCAGGAGGGTACTGCCGCCTACGTTCCACACTGGAAGCTTTCAAGCATAATGTCAAACGGATGCCTCCAGTTACATACTTACATAAAGCTACGGACTCGTAAACACCAGACCGCATGGGAGATTTAGCATCCAGGTTCAGCATCCCCAAGACAAGACAAGCAGGGCACATGCCAGCCCGCCTTGTGAACAAGTAAAATCACCAACCGTTGTTCTACCATAAACACTAGGGAAAAGCACCACCTTGTCTCGTAGCGAGAGATGGGTTATGCCTGTTCATGTACTCTATACAATTACGGAGAGCAACAAGTACTTCGCACTTTACTCAGCCCCGGGAGAATTCAGCCAGGGCACACAGCTACAAGAGAGATCCATATCATGCCATCGCCGGAAACAAAAACAGACTGCCCAATGTGACAGCCATCAGCAGCGCCACAACACCTAGTATAGTTGCAAGTCTCACCTCATCCATAAACACCTGTAAGATAACCAACGGTATGCACACTTGTACGCGCCAGGTTGTAAAGATCACTTGACCTGGATACGACAAATTCCTGTTGTTCTTCGTGTCCGGATTCCATGCCGTCATGGTATTAAGTTCCGCACACGTTACATGCTTCCATGCGCTATGCCGTTAACCAAGACAATAACGTCCGGTGACCATTATAACCGTCAGCTTACTCGCGACCGCCGCGTTGAGTGGGGGACAGCAGGGCCTGCTTTTCCACATCGAGGGGGCGCGCAGGTGCAGGCTGCTGACGGGCGCCCTGCAGCCAGGTACATAACAATTATAGTTTGTAGTGTTGCAACAGACTCCGGGTGAACAAGCGCTATAAACTGAAGCTCACAGATGTCATTGATGAGGGCACTGGGGCAGCCCTGGGCGCAAGTATGTTGAGCATTGGATCAACATGGTTAACCCCAGGCTCAAGCCCCCCTTAGCCTTTGCTCGATCCCTTACCTGCAGCTTCTGGTAGTTGTACCAGCAGACACCCAGGAAGGCAACACCGTAGCCGCACAGCTGGAGCGAGGTCACAGGCGACCTGCGAGGCGAGTGAAACATGGCAGATAAGGCAACGTTTCAGTGGTGGTTTGGATCAGCAGCGTGTCCTACATCGCTGATGTGACTGCGGTGTTGCCAACGACAACAGGCATGTTCAAGGCGTCTGGCTTATCAATACCCGTCGGTACTAGCATCACCTTCTGGCTCCGGGCCGTCAAAAGTGGCGCGTCTACCAAAGAACCCAAGCCACGTTCATCTACTGCTGCCGTGAAAGGCCTACGCAACGCGACTGCTAGCCACAGTCCCAGCCGGGTTCTCGTCCCAAGCCAACCCAAGCGCAACTCAAGCCCCACGCACCCGTAGAGGGTCACGGACAGCAGGATGAGCAGCCAGTCTTTGATGACGCCGGCGATGTTCATGGTGAGGGCCGAGCTCCGCCCAATGAGCAGGAACACCGACATGTTCAGAGCTGTAGCAGGTCAAGAAGGAACAAGCGGACATATGTTCCATAGTTTAGTATGACGGTCGCACCAGCAACGAACTGCGCATGCTACTGCCAAAGCAACCAGGCGTGACGCCCCGGGTGAGGTGTATGCGAGCAGGCAGCAGGTGACAGCAACGCCCTTTGGCGTAGCAAGGCGATCGCGGTTCATTCGGTAAGAAGGGGAGCCACGTAGCAAGGCGATCGCGGTTCATTCGGTAAGAAGGGGAGCCACCTAACCTATCCTAACCAAACTCCGAGTGTATAGTGTGTTCTGGTGACCCGAACCGGCCACATTACCCACCGAATGCGCTCACGGCGCTGAGCAGCAGCCAGCCGCTGGGAACCTGCCAGGCCTCCTGCGTTTTCAGCATCTTGGGCAGCTCCACGACCGAGAAGGGGAGGCACAGGAATGCAAAGCACGCGGGCGCGATGTAGTAGAGCGTCGTCACGGGGTTAAGCTTGATGCCGCGAGCCTGCAGGGAGTTGCAACAAAGATGCAGGGACAGTTGTTACGGCTGCCGTCGTAAAGCCCACATAACGGCTACGGGAGCACCTCTTGCGGCTCATACCCCCCCCCAAGTTAGCCGGAGCGCGTGCGAACCCATTGAACGAAGCACCCACCTGCAGCAGCAGCTGCACCAGGCACAGGCGGAAAGACTCGGTCACGATGGACCCGGCCTGGAAGAGAACACCCAGCACGTTGAAGTTGAGCTCCCCTGCAAGGCGTTGGAGAAAAGGTGGGGCATTTGGGGAAGACAGATCCTCACAATCTCAGCCCTCACCGTCCAGAGGAGCAAGGCGTGGGGCACAAGTTCTCTAGATAAGAGTAAAGCACATCCAGGTATAGGATTCTAGCTAAACAACGTATGAGCGACTTTCCACAGCAACAGCCACCAGCTGTAACCCACCATAAGATGCCGCCGCCACACCCACAGCGACCACAACCATGTTGGCTGCATAGAGGGCCGAGTACTTTTCCGTGCCTAGCAAAACACCCACTAGGAAGACGGTGACAGGCATCGTTGCCTGCGAATTGGGTTGCAGGCAGTTAGTGCGCAACACGCAGGTGACACGCACTAGGCAAGAGGCAGTAAACAGTTGTACTGACAGTTAAGCTTCGCAAGTCGCACCTTCAACATCTGGATAAAGGCGACGGACAGATAGAGGTACGCTGCATTACCCAGCCACAGCGTGCCTGAGAAGAGCGCCGCGATGGGGACAACGTTCCTGTAGAGTTGTTGGGTAGAGGGTGTTGAAGGGTTACAACAGCTCACCCTTTCATAAGGAGAAAGTGAACATACCTCACGTAGGTCGATCGGTCCATATGGGCTGTTTCAACAACGCCCGCTTTGATAAGGACGAACGCTAGGGTAGAGCAGAACGCCATGTGAGTAAGTGTGAGAGAAATTGGGAAAGGAAACCCAGCGTAAGTCAGCACGTATTTGTTGACCATAATCACCATCGCCGACAGGAAGATCCAGAGGAAGATATAGCTGCATAGATGAACGGGAGCCGTGGTTAGGCCGATACATCAGCCTGATCGGGCCTTTGAACGCCGCGTACCCATAGGTTATAGCCGCCTGCATCCAAAACTCCCGCGAGGACGCCCTTTCCTGTTCATTAGTCGCCATTGTTTTCGCTGCCTGCTCAAAGACGGACAACTAGGCAATTATTGAGCAAGTCAAAGCTCCAAGGCGCTGATAGTATAAAGGTCTTACTATGTAAGACAAGATTTTTATCGCAACCGCTAAGCAAAGGACCTTGAGCTGAAAGTGGCATGGGAAACTTATACGGGCCCGTACATGCCCGCTCGAGGTCAATCCTCATATTCCTCAATCCGGTGCTCTTGCATCACTAATGCAATATTGGGAAAGGGAATATCGCTTGTTGGATTGATCATGTGGTTATTTTCTTCAAGGGTTGAGAAGGCCTCTGTCATACTGGGACGTCCAAGTGCGCATCCGCTGTAATTGTTACTGTTTGGCCAGCAAGGAATGAGGGTCTACTACTTACAGGATGCTTGTCTGGATACCCGATACCGTAAGCGCTACTACGTTTAGTCCCGCTGCGAGCTGCCGCGTTGCAAAGTCCAGGGGATCCCAAACACAGGGGATCCCTCGACGCGTTGCCGACCTACTGACATGGTTCGTTAAGGCTCTACTTGATACCCAAAATAATTTGCGCGCGTCTCCCGCGATTGCTCTAACCAATAACCCTAAGGTGCGCAGCACGACAGACTGCTGCACCAGACAGGAGCAACCCCCACTTAGACTCTCCTCCTGTATGAATAAGTAACAGTCTGCAATTGCATTTCCACCACCCAGTCTCCCATCATTTTATTCCCTGACACCTTTGCGCGCGACTACCGGTAAATCTACAAGCAGTCCGACCGCCGACCCCTGATAGTGCCCATGCAGTAACGTGTGTCTAGCCGAACACAACAGCTGTTACCTTATAACCCAAAACAAACCCATTCCACCAAGATCGCTGCATTTGCGTCCACACTACCTTGCGCTCTTTCAATGCTTCCATGGCTGCCTACATACCTCTACAAACCCCCGTCTCCCCCCAACAAACGCACCGACCGCCCCCTAACCCCGCATCCCAGCCTTTACGCCGTGCTCAGTTCAAACCACTGCCGCAGCAGATCCGCCAGCGTGGCCGGCAGCGATGCAATGTCACGCAGCACAATGTAGTACGGGAAGGGGAAGTTGTCCAGGTACTTGGTGAACACCGGCTTGCCTGCCGCGAAGCTGACGCTCTGCATGTCCAGCAGGCTGTTGGAGGCATTGTCCAGCACGATGAAGGCCAGGCACACGCCGCGCTTGGCGGCCGCCTCGCGCACTGCCGCATGCAGCGACTCCTTCTCGTGGAAGCGCCCGTCAGCCAGGATGAGAACCAGCTGGGCCAGGTCTTGCGTACCTGGAAGCAAGGAGTGAGGAAGGGGCGGAAAGGAACCTCAATACCGGTAAAAGAGCTAAGGAAAGGGGTGATTTGGGGCATAATTCACAACAGCAACAGCAGCAACAGCCGATGCATCATCTACCCGCATCTCCCCCCGCCGCCCCCCTGCTCACCCGCTCCAATGCCGCCCGCGCCGCTGCTGTGCCGCGCCGCCGCCAGCATGTGGTCTAGCGAGGCCATCAGCTGCAGCATGGGTCGGTCGGCGATGGTGTTGTCCTGCCGGAAGGTGAGGCGGGCAGCCAGGGAGGGGCCCACGCTGTCGCTGAAGGGCGTGTCCAGCGGGTGGAGCGGCACCACACCCTCGCCGCCGCCGAACTTGAGCACGCCCACCTGACCCACCTCCAGCCTGGCGGGGGGTACAGAGACGTCAAGAGAGGGATAAGGTAAACTGAGCCACATGGAGTACTGACCAGAGAACAGAGAGGGAAGGGGGAAGGACAGCGGGGAGGTCTGGCGGATGCTATACATGACATCCACAGCCCCTATATCTTTTCACTTGCGTCCCCAGGGATCCTCCGCGCCTTCCCACACCTGCTCATGGCCTTGCAGATGAGCGCAAGCGCCTCCAGCGCAAAGCCGCCGCAGCCGTTCTCCGCCATGGACCGCGAGTCGTCGCAGGCCAGCAGCACCTGGTAGCGCCGCTTGTCGGGCCGGTTGCGTCGCAGCCAGATCTTGTCGCGGCGGAAGTGGCTGGCGATGTAGCCAATCACCTTCTTCATGTTGATGCGCTTGCCTGCATTACAGCCATTCGGCAGCGTTGTTAGGCATGCATGGTGGCAGTAAGAGACGTTCGGTAAGCCAAAAGCCGCTTACGATCAACTCCCAAAGCAGCAATCTCTAACGACTCCCGGCTACCCAACATCAGCCATCCCACGCGAATCCGTGCCATCCTCACCCGTTCGGTAGTCTCCCGCCAGCTTGCTCGCAAGCGTGGGCTCCAGGATCAGCCGCAGCTGCTCCGTCAGCTCACCAGCCAGCCCCGAAACCAGCGCCTCGCACTGAGACCAAACCTCGCTGCCATATGACACGTCCGTCTCAGCCGCCGCCATGGCAGCGCCGCGCAGCCGCTCGTCCATCTGCTGTCGTAGAGCCTCGACCTGCTCCGGGGTAAGGCCTCGCGGCGGCGGCGGCAACGCCAGCGCTGCGGCATCTCCGCTGTCGGCATCCCGGAGTGTGGTGTTGGCAAGTCGTGCGACGACGCGGCTGGGCTCCAGGTCGTCAGCGCCCTCTTCATCCTCGCCATCAGCCTGCATGGTTAGGGTAAGGCATTTGGTAATTTTGGTAACTGTTTTATACCATGTAAGCACGCCAATGAAAAGAACAGAAATGATGTCTGCTAACACGGTAGGTAAAGCAAGCAACTCTCCAATAAGAGTCCTGGCCCCATAAAACTGCAAAGGAGCCCCCACCCACCTGCTGCCGCAGCAGCTCCTCCACACTCGGGCGCTCCTGCTGCTCCTCGCCGTCCTCCTCCTCGCCCTCGCCCTCCGCTCCCAGCTTGGCCTGCCGCTGCCGGCCACCCCAGGTGCGTGGCAGCGGCCCGCTTACCACCGCCGCCCGCTGCTGCTGCTGCCCCTCCTCGCCGCCCTCCTCACCCGCCCCCGGCAGGTCCTCCTCCATGGCCACCGCACCGTCCTCACCAGCACCCTCCTGCAGCGCGCGTTGGAACCCCAGGTGTACGACAGTTACATCGGCAGTCCAACAAGCACAAGCACAAGCACATCATCTGGCACGGCCGAGGCCTCTATGGCTTCACAGTGCTCAGACTCTGGTAGTACGGCGGACACAGGACACGCGTCTATCGACACCGGGCACGGCTTGAGCAGCCCAACCTCCCGCCTTAACAAGCACACACCGCCCCCAACCCTTCACCCACCTGCTGCTGCTGTTGTTCCTCACGGCGCTGCTGCAGCAGGTCCGGCTCCTCCAGCTGCTCCGCCTGCTGCGCCGCCTGCTCCTCCGTGGCAGGAGCCAGCGCCTGCGTGTCACCCGCCCGCGTGCGCTCCTCCGCGCCCAGGAACTGGAACTCAGCACCCGCGGGCGGCTCGCCGTCGCCGCCGTTGCCGTCAGCAGCCGCGTCCTCGTCTGCACTCGGAAGCGGTGGGTGCGGAAGCAGGGACCTCGTCGTAAGAGAAAGGTCTGGGTTTGTACGAGGAAAAGAAATCGGAAGACGTGACATACAGCCGAGGCCATCCCCACTTCAGCAGCAGCAGCGCACACTACCCCTCTCCTATCATGCGGCATACCGTACCTACCCACCCCGCATGCCCCCACACACCCCATCCCAGCTCCCCACCCACCTTGCTGCTGCTCTGGCGCCGCCTCATGCTGCACCGCCAGGTTCGCCCGCCAGCGCTCCAACGCATCCCCCAGGTTGCGAAGCGGGTTGGGCTCCTGCTGCCGCCGCGGCCCCTGCCGCTGCGGCTGCTGCTGCTGCTCCGCCTGCGTCCCCGACTCCCGCTCGCCGCCCGTGATGGGCGCGGGTGCACCCCTCTGCGCGCTGGAGGCCAGCCCCGCGTCCGCCTGGCGCGCCTCCGGAGCCGATTCGGGTGCTCGAGAGGTGTCCTGCTGCTCCGCCTGCTCGCCCGGAGGCTGCACAGCGGCCTGGGGCTGCCGACCCGCCGCGTCGCCGTCGCGCGGCCGCACCGGCTGCTGCTCCTCGGGGGCGCCGTGAGCGGCTCCCGCGCTCTCGGGCTGCTGGGTGGGCGCGCCGGAGGGGACGCCCTGCGGCCCGGCCTGCTGCTGCTGTTGCTGCTCCTCCTCCGCTTGCGGATCGGGTTGCTGCTGCTCGCCCTCCGCTTCCTCCTTGCGGTCCACTGCCATCACGTCCGGCGGCTGCTGCTCCTCCGGCGGTAGATCGGGCTGCGGCTGCGGCTCCTCCGCCTCACCAATGCCGCCTGCCGCCTGCTCCTCCATCTCCGCGTCTCCGTCGCCACCGTCACCGCCCGGCTTCTCCTCATCCTCACCACCATCCTCGCCTCCTTCCTGCCCCTGCTCCTGCTCCTTCTTCTCCTCCTCGCCACCCATCGCCGCATCCTCCTTGCCCTGCGCCTTCTCCTCCTCCCCGCCGGCCGCCTCCTGCTCCTCCTCCTGCCCCTGCCCCTGCTCCTGCTCGTCCTGTTCCCCGCCGTCCAGGTTCATATCCTCGGGCAGCTCAAGCTCCTCCTCGGCCGCCTGGGGCGCGGCATGGTGGCGATCCTCGTACTTGTCGTCCGTGTCCTCGTTCACCGGGCCCTCCTCATCCTCGCCCTCATCGCCGCCCTCAGGCTGCTTGTCCTCGGCAGCCTGGCAGCATGCATGCAGGCAGGCGCAAACGGCAAGAGGCATGTGAGCAGGAGGATGAGCAGCAGGTGGGGGTGTCATCGCACTAGGGAGCACCCACACCAGGAGGGCAACACTGAGGTACGGACCGCTACTAGCCAGCTAGCTGCTTGCTACGGCAACCCAAAAGGGTCACGGCAGCAGTAGTTATCCAAACTTCCTAACCCTCCTCCGCTTACCGGGTCGTCCTTCTTCTTCTTCTGCTGTTCCTTCTTGGGCGGCTCCTTGGCGGCTCCGTCCTGCTCCTCCTCCTGCTGCCCGGCGGCGTACTCCAGGTCGGTCTTGTCATCAACCTGCAGGGGGACGAACAACAACGAATAAACGAAAAGTGCAGCAACTGGAGTCCCAATACCGTATCCCGACTGCTGCAGCGCGCGCATACGGAGGCACTATTCTAGGAACAGGCAACTGCAGGGGGACGGGCAGAAGAGGCGAAGTAGGTGGGGCGCAGCCGCAAGTGTTAGCCACGATGCCGGGTGGCCGTGGAGCAATACCGGTGGCAAGGAGGACGGGACGGACATGTCGGGGGTCGCACAAGGAGGTGACAGGGCGCCCCACCTGGATGGGCGCATCCTTCTCGTACTTCTCCTCCTTCTTCTTCTTCTGGTCCTCCTTGTCACCCTTGCCATCCTCCTCCTCGTCATTCCACAGCCGCTCGTCCACCACCTCCTCATTGTCCCCCACGTCGCCCATCTGCTGATCGATCCGCTCGTCGTCGCCATCCTCATCCTCACTGTCACGGTTCTTGTCCCGCTCATCCGTTGGCACGTCATGCAGCTCGCCCTCAAAGTCGTCGTCCATCTCAATGCCCTTGTTCTCCTCCTCCGGCCCGCCGCCCTGCTTGTCCTGCTCCGGCTGCGGCTCCGGCTGCTGCCCGCGCTGCTGTGCACCCAGCAGCTGGTCTTGGTTCTCCAGCTGGTCGGAGATGTCCTTGGCGCCGCTGCCCTCGCCCAGCCCGGTGCCCTCCGCTTCCTTGAACTCACCCGGCCCGTCGCCGCCTGCGAAGGTGGTGGGGGAACACATGGGTGCGTTGCTAAACACACTGTGCATGAACGAAGCCGGAAAGCGTGAAGATTCAAACAACACTGCGAGCACGAGCAACTGCCACGTTTCCTTATCGACGTAGTTACGCCGATCCCTTCGCACCAACTAGCGCCACGCCCCATGCCATGCCCCCAGACCCCACCCCTGCGCAGCCCCACTCACCCTCCACCTCCTTGGTCTCCTCCGGCACGCAGTACCCCTCCTCAACCAGCGTCGCCAGCACAGCAGAGCAAATGTACGACAGCTTGGCCGTCGAGCGGTGCAGCGCCAGCAGCTGCAGCGCACGCAGCCGCAGCGCCTCCGCCGCCATACTCAGCAACGGCGCCACGCCACGCATGAGCCCGCCGACCTGAGGCCGTACAGCTTCGGATAGCGCAGGCGCCGCCTCCGCCAGCCCGCGCAACACCGCCATGGCGGCGAGGGCGAGTTCCCGCGCGCGAGGGAGCTTGAGAGCCGCCTCCAGATCCGCCGTTGCCTGAACAAGCCCCAGACCGGCTGCCGCTGCTGCTGCTCCGCTGCCGCTCGCACCGGCGGCGGCAGGAGTTGCGGCAGTTGGCTGCGGCTGAGCCCATAGCAGCACGCTGCGAACCAGGCCCTCTACGGAGGATACCAACGTCGCCGGCAGGGTGCTAGTGTCCGCCTGTGCCTCTTCCGTCACGGCTGTGTCTGCAGCGGGCCGCAGTGCCGCCAGCCATGCCGATGCCTCGGCGGATGCCGCGGCGACTGCTGCATGCAGCTCTCCCAGAGCGGGTACTTGCGCGGCGCCTGGCGCAGACTCCGTAGCCTTCGTCGCGGCCGACACTGCCGCCGCCAGGTCGCCTTCCAGCTTGACCAGCGTACGGCAGTTCTCCACCGCGGCCGACACAGACCCATGGGTCGCCCATACCAAGCCATCGCTGGAACAACCGCCAACCGTAACGGAGCAACCCGCCAAGGCCGCGTCCAGATGGCTCTTGCAGCCCGCCAGCGCTGTTGTCGCGGCCCGAGCCGCCGCCGTAGCTGCCGATAGTCGCGCGGCAGCGACCGGTAGCGCACCTGCTGCCACGCAAGCCTCCAGCAGCTGGCATGTCTCGGGCCCCAGCAGCGCAAGCTCGTCCAGCCGCTCCTTCTGCCGCTGCAACGCCGCGATGCACTTGCTCTGATCCACACCTGCTCGCACCACCACCCCCTCCTCCCCGGCGCCCTTGGCAGCACCTGCATCCTGGGCAGCACCCGCGCCCTTGCCCTCCTCCGCCATCCATGCCGCCAGCTTGCTCAAAGACGCGAATGCCACCGCCGCCTCACCCAACGCGCCGCGCTGCCGCCGCGCCACATACAGCACGTGCTCGGACAGCCGGCGAGCCGAGGACACCTCCTGCATCGAGAGGTCGCGGTGCGGCTGCTGGCTGCCGCGCCAGAGCTTCTGCAGCCGGGCCATGGAGCGGAAGTAGTAGTCATCCGCACGAGTCCAGGCCGCCTCCGCCGACAAGGCATCCGCCTCCGCCGCCTCCGCCGTACCGCCGGTGACCACCGCCGCGTGCCACAGGGGCGCGACGGCGGGCTCCGGGTGCTTGAACCAGGCAGCCACGTCGCGGTCATGCGGCGGCACACCCGTGCGACGGCGTGACAGGCCCTGCTGCTCCAGGGCCTCGTACAGGTCCGCCAGCGCCTGCCGCTTGCGCATGCGCGCGCCCTTGCTCACGTCGGTCCGCAGCTCGTGCGAGCGCATGATGGCTGCGGCCGCGAGTTCGTCCGGGCTCATGAGCTCGGGAGGAGCGTTTGCGGGATCTGCACCATCCGCATCGGCTTGAGGTGCCGGCGCTCCGTCGGCGGCAGGGCTGCTGCTGTTGTTGGCAGGGGGTTGCAGCGAGTCGCCCACCACGCGCGCTAGACGTGCCGCGAGCTGCGGCAGACGAGGCAGGTAGGCAGCGGCCGAACCGCTGCTGCTGCTGCTCTGTGACGACAACGTGGCTGAGGCTGCCGTCAACGCCTGCTGCAAGCCCGCGTCCTGCGCCAGGCTCTGCTGCACTCCCGCGCAGAACTGAGACCAACGCTTCGCCAAGCCATCGCCTGGTGCAACCGCACCAGCAGCCGCTTCAACAGCCGATGCCTCCGCCGCCCCCGTGCCAGCCAGGTCCATGGCCTCGGCCTCCGCCGCCGCCTGCTCAGGAGTCAGCTTCTTCACCCTCGGCGCCCTCTTAACGCCCGCCTTCGCCGCACCCTCCTTCGCAGCCCCATCCGCGGCCGTCGCAGCAGCCTCGTCCACGGTGCCGTACGCCTTCTCCGCAGCCGCAGCAGCTGCCGCGAGCTCGCCCACTCCCATGGCCTTGTCCGCTGTGGCCAGTGCGGTGGCTGCCGGCTGCCGCAGTACCTCCTCCGCTCGGCGGCTGAGGCGGTGCAGGTAGCGCTGCGCCTTCTCCGTGGAGGCCCGCATGGCGTAGTAGCCGCGGTCGTCCCAGCGCGCCAGCTGCACAAAGTCCTGTAGTGGGGGAAAAGGAGGGAAAGGGGGATAAGGTGTGGGGAACGTGAAACCCAAACGCAGGATCAACAAGGAATCAGGGAAGGAACACCAAGACCGCCAAGACCCGACCCGTCCCCCGCCGCTGCTGCAGCTCACCTGCAGGTCCTTCTCCAGAGGCGCCATCCCCTGCGTCAGCGCCGCCTCAACCGCGCCCACGAACTGCCCGTAGTAGCGCACCAGGTTGTCCAGAGCAGCAGCCAGCGGCGCCGCCAGCGGGCCCGCGCCGCCGCCGCCCGGCTGCTGCCGCCGCACATGCAGGTGGCAGGCGAAGGCGTGCAGCATCCCCAGTCGCGACCTGAACTCCCCCAGGGTACTGGTCTGCACGAAGCTCTCAAGTGTGGAGGCGACACGGCGGTAGGTGACCTCCTGATCCGCCGTCAGCAGCGCCGTACCGCCTGCGCAGCCCGCAGCAGCAGCCGCGGAGGAAGAGGCTGCTGCGGTTGTGGTATCCGCGCTGGTGTCGATGAGGGTTGGCACGCTGGCCATACCAATCAGGATGGGAACGCCGCTGGCGGCCAGCGCAGCAGCCGCGTCGTCGGAGCCGTCGTTCTCGGAACCAATCGACGGGTTGAGTGCGGTGGAGGCGAGCAGGCGGTGCAGATGGAACCAGGAGCGGTGAGCGCCGGCGGCGTGGCGTGCCGCCACCCGACGCAACAGCCCCTTCCAGCTGCTCAGCTCCAGACGGCGCCAGCGCGCGGCCAGCGCAGCTAGCGGACCCAGCTGGGCCTTGAGGGACACGAACTGTGCAGCCGTCTCCTCCCACACCTGCGCACGTGACAGCAGCAGCTCCAGGCCCGTCAGTGCGGTCTTGAGCGGCGACTGCAGGGGCATGGCCAGCACCCGCAGCGCGATGGCTCGCAGCTGCACCAGCAGCGGGTGCTCCGGGTAGTCCGCCAGCAGGCCCCGCAGCCGGCTCTCCATGGCGGACACCGGCTCGTGCAGCAGGCTGATCTCCTCCACGCAGGCCTTCTGGATGTCCACGCCGCTGCCCTCCTCGCCAAAAATGACCTCGCCGCGACGCGGCTTGGAGCTGGCAGAGGCGGAGGAGGCGAGTGAGCGCTTGGCCGGGCGGGCGACTGCGTCGCCGGCGGCGGCCTCGGCGGCGGTGGCGGCGGCGGCTCGGTTGAGCGTGTTGTGCTCGATACAGAGCCGGAAGAGGTGTCCTGTGGCTACGGTGCCGTCGATGCTGGCTTCCAGGCGGTATCCAACTGCCGTCAGCAGCTCTGAGCCCAGCTCATAGCTGCGAATGAAGGATTCTTGCAGCAACGTTGCATCCAGCGGTGCGCTTAGGGTGGACACAGCGGCGCCGCCGCGCTGCGTCCAGGTCAAGGGCTGCACCCTTGCCACAGCAGTGCACTCTCCGCCGTCTGGCGTCGCTGCCGCCGCTGCGGCCGCGGCAGCCGCCGCCTTGTACTGCGCCGCCAATGCGCCGTACACCGCCGAATGCAACTGTACGACATCGCTCAACAACTCCCCGTCCAGCAGCTGCCTCGCGGCGCTGCTACGCGCCTGCGCCGCCGTCGCCGCAGCCTCCTCCTCCTCCTTCTCCCCGCCCGTCCGGCTCCGCTGCTCCTCCTCCTCTTCCTCCCGCTGCCGCTCCTCTTCAGGATCCAGCGGCGCCACGTCACGGAAGGCGGCGTAGTGGTCGGGGAAGGCGAGGCGGTAGGTTGACTCCTCCTCCGCGTCCTCATTCATGAAGGTAGCGGTGGAGGCCTTGGTCTTGAACTGCTGCGCCTCCTCCGCCGCGGCTGCCTCCTCGTATGCCTTGAGCGCCGCCCACTGCTCCACCAGAGCACCCATCAGCCGCTCCAGGGAAGGAAGCACCCCCTCGCCTCCCTCCTCCTTCTCATCCTCAGCGACATGGCTGCTGCTGTCCACAGCAGCAGCAGCAGCGGTGGCCTGTCGGCCGCGTGCCAGCGCCTCCCTGGCAAGCGCATGCAGCGCCACCCGTGTGGCGCGCAGCTGCACCTCGTAACCAGCCAGGTCGGCTGCCTGGGTGGCCTTGGCGGGGTCCAGCGGGGCAGCAGCAGCAGCGACCGCCGCCTGCGACCCCTGCAGCACCGCCGCACGTGCCACCTCCTGCACCAGCTGCAGCGCCTGCGGCTCAGCCAGCAGCCGCGGGGAGAAGGAGCAGGCGTGCGGTGCAGCGGCGGGGAAGCGCATGAGGCCCATGGCGACCGCTCCCAGCGGGCCCAGCTGCTGCTGGGGCACCAGCGGGGCAGCTGGGGCGGCAGCGGCGTGGTAGGTGTGCGCTGCGGGTGAGGAGGCGGGTGCGGCGGCGGCTAGGAGCGCCACGCCACGGATCATCTCGTAGACCGCGAGCTGCACTGGTTGGGAGAGGTCCGGGTACCTGTTGGAGGGAAGGGCAGCAGCAGGCGGAGGTGCGCTTCTGTGTTAGCGACTACTGCGGAGCAGCTTGGTCAGGTGGACAGTCCCCTTCCGCATACATGCCCATTACAGTACCGGTACACATGCAGGTGTTTGCAGCGGGCATCCAGTGCACCCACGCACCCAACTTACCATGCATACTGCTGTCCAAATCGCTCGCACCAAGCCCGTGCGTTCGCCTGCCACACCGTCGCCTCGTGCAGCGCTGCAGCCGCAGCTGCCGAATCGCACAGCGCACCCAGCAGCGCCAGCACGCGCCGCGGTGCCGCCAGGCTGGCCGCCAACTCTGCCGCCTCCCGCTGCAGGGCGGGGTATTGACTCGGCTGGGGCCGGGGCACGCAGCGCGCCGCGGCGGCCTCCGCCTGCACCGCCGCCCGCGCCCTGAGCTGCTTCAGCTCGACCAGGTGAGCGGCCTCGCTAGGGCCGCCGGGCAGCTGCTGCAGCGCCGTACGCACCAGGATCTCCGGCTGCAGCTCGTGCACCAGCAGCCCCTCAACGTGCCGCCGCTTCAGCCCGTACTTGCCCGCCGGGTCAATGCCCGGCGGCGGCACCACCAGATGCAACCGCAGCAGTCCAACCAGCAGCCAGGCGCGCCCACGCAACGTCACCTCGGCATCCCGCGCGGCACGCCTCTGCACGGCGTCGTACAACACGAGCTGCGCTGCCGTGCTGTTCGGCTGCTGCCGCTGCTGCTGCGAGGGGGAAGGCCGCGCCACGGTGGCGGAGCACAGGGTGAGGCCCTCAGCTACAGCCGCCGCCGCGGGCAGCAGTACCGGCTGCAGGAGCTCAGACAGGATGCGGTGATCCGAGTGTTGAAGCAGGGAGGCAAGCTGGGAGCAGAACTCCGAGGGGGTGAACGAAGGCGCCGTGCCCTCGGCCACAGCGGCCAGCAAGCCGCCGCACAACGCCTGCAGCCCAGACCTCATGTCCTGTTGCGGCAGTGAGCCCACATGGGCAAGCAGCAGCTGACTAAACAGGCAGGCGAGGCTGTTCCACTCGAGGACTGACTGCGAGGTTGGAGTCTGGGAGACGGTGGCGGCGGCGGAGGGTTGAGCGGCCGGCGCTGGCAAAGCGCGCAGGGAGGAGGTACGAGCGGGAGTCGAGCAGGAGGAGTCGTTGCTGCTGCCGCCCTGTAGCAGCAGCGTAGCCACGGCGGAGCGCAGCTGGCGCAGCCGCATGGCCTTGCTCTGCACCTGAGACGCGGAGCTCCGCAGCACACGCAGCACGCAGGCGCTCAGCAGCGGAGCATCCAGCGCAGCGGATCCAGAGGGCAGACCCGCGGCCGCCACGCCGCTACTGAAGCAGTTGCGCCAGTTGGCCGCATGCCAGCACAGCCACATGTCATGAACCAGCGCCGGAAGCACTACCTGGCACAGCTGCTGCATGTCCAGGCCCTCAGCCGCGGCCGCGGCCGCAAGCGCCTTGGACGCAACCCCGCTGCCCTTCTTGCCCGAGGCCCTGCCCGCAGGTCCTGTCTGCTGCTGCTGCTGCGTCCGCCGCACCTGCTGCTGAAGCTCCTCCAGAACCCAGGTCAGCTGCTGACAGGCCGCAACATCAGCCACGGAGCGACTCGAACTGGACAGCGCCGCATCCACAGCATCACGTGCCTGCTGCACCAGGTGTGAGGCGGCCGCTGCAGCCATGCCTGCGTCCATCTGCTTGCGCTGACCCGACACCTCAGCCGACCAGCGAGCGGCAGTCTGCACAGCCGCAGCCAGCAGCGGCAGCTCCGCCCGCAGGCTGCAGCCGTCCTGCAGTGCCAGCAGAGCCAGCTGCAGCTGGCGGCAGGTGCGTGACGTCATCCAAGCGCTGGGCAGCAGCAGCGGCAGCTGCGCCTCCCGCGCACCTGCAGCGGGTGCAGCAGCACCAGCCTGCACCTCCTTCACGCCCTGACGCATCATCCACTCGTCCTCCGAGGGGCACGCCAGCACCTGTGCAACCGTCTCCTGCACACGCCCGCGAAGAGAGCCCCGCAGCGCGGAAACCACGCTAGCGCCCTGCGCCGCCAAGGACTGCCGGTGCTGCTCCTCCCCTGCAGCAACCGCGGCACCCGCCCCAGCCGCACCTGGCCTCAGCGCCTCCAGCAGCGGCATGGCACCCAGCATGGCCACGCCCTGCCCCACCGCGCGGCGCAGCGCCGGGTCCACGCACAGCACGAGCGCCACTGCCTCCGCCACGTGTTGCCGTACCGCCGGCGCCTCCTCTCCCAAGAGCTCCTCCACAGAGCCCGCACGGCCACTGACGGCGCCGACCATGGCTGACGCATCCTCAGTGCTGCCTGCGCTCGCGGCCGCCTCTGCGGCGGCGGCGAGGATGAGGGCGTCAAGGTCCACACCCGCGGCCTGCAGACCCATGGGTCGGCCCTGTGGATCCACCGCTGCAGCTGCCGACGCCGACGCCAAGGCTCGACCCTCCACCATGGCTCCCAGCAGTGACAGGGTGCTGGGGAGCACGGGCTTGCCGCACAACCGCCATGCTAGCGGCTTGGCGGGGCGGCTGCTCAGGCCCAGCGCGTCACGTGTTTGCGCGCGGAGGTACTCTAGCCGCGCTGCAACACCCCCGCTCGCAGCATCCGAGGACAGCGCCTCCGCCACAACAGCGTGCGAGAGCAGCGCCGTCAGGGCCTTATCCGCACGCATCCATGTCCACGTCAGCTGCGGCACGTCCAGCTGATGGACTTGTTGCACCACACACGCCACCGCAGCTGCTCCTGCTGCTGCTACGCCTCCTTCCTGCTGTTGAGGCTGCACTGACAGCGGCAGGTGCAGCAGCCCATGTGAGGTGCGCCACAGCGCCCCCCGCCACTGCTGCACCGCCGCCAGCAGCGGCTCCAACTCCGCATCCTGCCATGCGGTGTCCGGCAGCAGGGAGGGCTGCAGCAGCTGCTCCTCCAGCTCGGCCAGGGCTGCCAGCAGCGGGTAGCAGCAGTCCACAACCGGGTGCTCCGCATCCGTAGCGGCCCTGAGCACAAGGATTGTATGACATAATGAGGGAGCAGGCATGACAGTGTAAGGGGCTGCTACAAAGGGTGAGGCAAAAGGTTATAATCAGGGCGACGGGTTAACCTCCTAGCAATACTTCACACAGCCCATGCTGCCATGCGTACCTTTCTTCAGGCCGCAGGAAGCGCCAGTACGACACCTGCATCGGCGACGCCATCCCTGTCGCCACCGCGGCATCCGCTCCTGCAGTCACATGCTGCATCAGCAGCCTGGCGCCCAAAGCCGCCACTGCACACCTCAGCCGCGCCGCACGCGCCTCCACCGCCGCCCACTCCGTAGCTTGCACACCGGGGAGGTATGGCTGCAACAGGTGGCTGTAGCGCACATCCAGCGGCTGCAACTGCTGCAGCTCGCCGGGCATGCCGGCTGCTGCAGCTGTGGCGCAGGTCGCCTGTGACAGCTGCTCCGACAGAGGGTGAGCCACGACGCCGCGCAGCAGGGCTGCGGCCAGCGCCGTCAGCTGTGCTGCAGCACCCGTGTCAGCCGCGTTGCCAGCGCCTGCTAGCAGGGCCGCTATGCGGGCCTGGCTGCTGGCAGCCGCGTCCACCATGAGTGGCCGCAGCCGGGCATCTAGCGGGCTGGCTCGCAGCGCCAGGCAGCGAGCAGCGGCCCACACCAGCTGCTGCAGGTGAACACCCACGGCGGGAATAGGCAGCGGCCCGCAGTGGGACGCACCCGCATCCACCGCAGCGGCGCCGCCGTGTAGAACCGGCGCTACTACCTCCGGCGGCATGGCGCACAGCAGCTGCACCGCCGCGCCGCGTACATCCCTGTCACCCGCTCGCAGCGCCTCCCTCAGCTGCGCCAGCACATGCGGCTGCTGGCCTGCTGCCGGCAGCACCAGCGCCGCGCAGCATGCACCCAACAGGTACTCCAGCAGCCCCACGTCGCGCTCCGCACCCGCCATGGCAGACGCGCCCGCCAGCCGCTGCGCCGTGGCCTCCACGGGCCATGCCGCCGGTGCAGCCAGCATGGCTGCCTCCAGGCTCCTAGGCACCAGCGGCTGGGCCTCCAGCTGGCGAGAGGCCTGCTCCCCGCTGAGTAAGCCATCCGGCTGGCCCAGTGCGAGAACCACGTCGCCTGCTTGGTCACTCCAACCAGCGGCTTCCTCAACCTGTTGCTGCTGCTGGACCGGCTCCGCGGCCCCAGCGCCCTCCCATTCCATGTCAGCAGCAGCCTCCTCACCCGCGACGCCTCCCTTCCGCGGCGGCCCCCGCACACCCTCACGCAGCAGCTGCTCCAGCAGCCGCAGCACCTCTGCGGTCTCAGTCGCTGAGAAGCCCTGCCCCCGCAGGTACACCTGCGTCCAGCCGGTGCGCACCGCCGCCTCCAGGCCCCAGCCGCGAGCCAGCAGCGCTGCTGCCAGGCCCGCCGCCGTGGCAGCCTCGCGCAGCCCCGGTGCCTTTTTGTGCCCTCGAGCACACAGACGGCACACCGCGCCGTGCGCGCGAGCCAGCGCCCGCAGCAGCCGCTTGCCTGCTACCCCCTGCGACCGGATCACCGCCTCCACATCCGCATCCACCACACCGCCCGCCGCCTCTTCCAGCGGCGCCGCAGGTGACGACACCGGCGGCGGCGGGGGAGGTAGCAGGAAGATCTCAATGCCGCGGTTGCGCATGGCACGGGAGACCTCTCCATGCCGCGGGTCCAACGCCAGGATCAGCCGGAAGTCAGGGTGCGGCCGGATGACTCGGGGCCCCTCGGCGGTGTGTCCGCACTCATTGAGGTACAGCACACCGCCCGGCTCCAGCAGCGGGTTCAGGCGATCCAACACGGTGGGGTTACACAGGTTGGCGCCCTCCAGCAGCACCCAGCCGCCGCGCTCAATGGCGCGAGTGAGCGCTCCGTCAACCCACTCGAAGCGACCGCCCACCGCCGCCGCCGCCTCGTCCGCCAGCAGCGCCGCCAGCGACGCCAGCTCGGAATCCGCTGCGTCGGCTGCCGAAACCAGCTCCGAAACCATGCCGTCGGATTCGAGGAAAGACGGAGCCAGCGCGGCAATGCCAGCGCGGCAGGCGGTCACGACGGAGCGCAGGCCACCGACACGTTGGGCGGCTGCCGCGATGGGCGAGGCCGCGTCGGCTTGCCGCTCGGCTGCCGCCAGCGCCGCCATGTGGGCTGCCCAGGCGGCTTGTAGGTCCTGAGCGGCTGCTAGCAGCGCAGGCGCCACACCGGGGGTGGCTGCGCCCGAGGAGCTGGTCAGCAGGCGCTGAGACATGCAGTGCGCCAGCTGCTGCACCCGGTCTGAGGCCTGCAAAGGAGCGTGGACGAAGAGGAGGGCGGATGATTGAAACGAAAATCGACGCTCCTGACATGTGTTTGCGTGTTTGCATCACGGGGATACAACGCTTGACATCGGTAACAAAACAAGACAGCACGAAGCCAAGCAACCAATGCCCTCATTCAGTCAAGTGCTCAAGTCCCCCCCCAGACCGGCCCTTACCTCCTGCACCCGCCGCTCCGGCTCCAGCTGCTCAAAGCTGCCCAGCAGGTCGCTGGTATCCGTACCGCTGGTCAACGAGATCTCCAGCAGCCGTACACCGCTCAGCGCCGCAGCGCAGCGAGCAAGCGCCGTCTTGCCGCCGCCCGCGCCGCCCACCAGCAGCGCCATCCAGCTGCGGGACAGCGTCTGCATGAGGCTCTCCAGCAGCGGCAGCGACCCAGGCAGCAGGTGGAGCTCGGCGGTGGATGAGGCCATGGAGGCGCCGGCTGTTGCTGCAGCCGCGGCGGCAGCGGTGGCGCCGGAGGCATGTGGCGCGGGGTCAGCTGCGCGCGGTACCACTGCCCGGCCGACAACGGCGCCGCGAGGGGAAAGAAGCACTGCGGGCTGCTCCTGCCATCCAGCGGGAGGGCACCCCCAGACGGATGAAAACAGTCGCAGCAGCTTGGCTCGGTCCTCATGAGTCCGCAGACGGTGGCTGAACAGCATGCGCGCAAAGTGCTGCGCCGCGGCATCCAAAGCTGCCGTCTCCTCTGCTGCCGTACCTGCTACCGCACCGTCCGCATTGTCATCCGTATCCATCGCGGCGGCTGTAGGCGGAGGCGGCGGCACCGCCCCCTCCACCAGGTCGCACCAGCGCAGCAGGTCACGCAGGTTGAACTCCCACGGCCCGCCCGCAGCAGCAAAATCCCGCACGCCCGCCGCTGCCGCTGCCGAGGCGCCTGCCGCCGCCGCCACCTCTCCTGCACTTGCACCCGTGTCCGCCGACGCCGACGCCGGCGGCGGCGCCGCCGCCGCCTGCATGGCATCCAGCAAGTCCACCATGCGCCTCAGCAACTGCGTCGGCACCCTGGGGTGCAGCGCGCCCGCAATGAACAACAGGTCATCCCGTCGCAGCAGCTCCACCATCACACGCGTGAAGCGGTTCAGGAACGACCGCGGCAGGCCCTTGCGCCCACCGCCCTCGCCAATGGGGTTCTGCGCCGCAAACAGCCGGAAGCCCGGGTGACACCGAAAGGTGGCGTTCAGCTCGGGAATGAAGACCTCGGAGCGGTGGTCCAGCAGCGCGTTTAGACCCTCCAGCACCGACTGCCCGGCCAGGTTCAGCTCGTCCAGCAGTACCCAGTGGCCCGCACGCAGCGCACCCAGCAGCGGCCCGTCGCACCATGCAAACTGCCCGGGTGCGCCGCCCGGAGCAGGCAGGTCAGCTCCCAACAGGTCCATCATGTCCGTCTGCTCCGAAAGGTTGATGCGGACCAGCGTCTGCCCCACGGACTTGGCAAGCGCGGCAACCAAGCTGGTTTTCCCAACGCCAGGACTGCCCTCCAGCAGCACCGCCTTGCGCAGCTGCATGGCACGAAGCAGGCGGAAGGCGTTGCGGGCGGTGGTGGGGGCGCGCAGCGCAAAGCCACCGGCGCCGGGGCTGGCGCCGTTGGCGGTCTGTGCGAGCGGTACGAAGAAGGGCGGGATGCCCCAATGCCCCTCGGGTGCGGCAGCGGGCAGCAGCCCCTCCGAAGACATGGACTCGATGGCCTGCAGGCGGCCCTCCGCTAGGTGCGCGTGTGCCGCCAGCTCGGCAGGCAGCTGAGTGTTGAGGAAGGCGCACAGGGCGGCGCGCAAGCTGGCGGCTGTTGCAGCCGGCAGACCCACACCCAGGCCGATACCTACGAAAAGGCACAGTGTTCACGTGACGACATAAGTGAGGCTCGGTTGCAGCGTAGTAAGTGCAATGTAAAGGCAAGAGAAGTCCGCATTAGCCACTGAAAAGCCACCCTTAGATTCCTTACCCGCTGTGCTCCCCAAACCACTCGCCAACCCGCAAACCACCCACCATCCAGCAGGGTCAGGTGCGCGCCGTGCACGTACGCGGGCAGCGCGCCCAGCTGCTGGCCCGTGGCGTTCACGAAGCCCACCCACGCCAGCAGGTCGCGCACGCTGAGCGGCTGGCGCCCGCCGCCCGGTTGCAGGCGCACGTACTCCTGCCAGAAGCGCAGCAGCCGCTCCGCGATGGCGGCGCGGTTCACCGAGTCTGATGGGAGGAGGAGGAGAAGATCAACAATCATTCATAGGAGAAGAACAATCACCCGTAGCAGAAAGCCAAGCATCTCCTCGCGAGGACTGCCTGAGAACCGACGCCTACAACCCCTAGTAACCGTAACCCGCTCAGCTCCGTCTGTCCCCTCCGACACCCGAACGACCGCAGCCCTCACGCCCCCCCCCCCACCTGCCAGCCGCGCCTCCAGGATTGCCCGCATCTCCTGCATGTCCTCCATGGCCGGCACCCAGATGGTGGTGAAGCGGTTGGCCAGCGCGGGCGACAGCTCCTTCTTGCCAAAGTCACCGCCGGGGTTCATGGTGGCCAGCAAGCGGAAGCCCTCCGCGCCCACCACCACCTCGGCGCCCTCGCCACCGCGCTCCGCCAGCGTGAGGGTGCGGCCGGGCTCCAACACGCTGTGGGGGGGAGCGGGGCCGGGGGGGGGATAGCGGTACGGTGGTTGAGATTTGGGTAGCGGGGTTTCAAGGGTGTTGCGCTTTGTGGAGCACAGCTAGGGTGGGGTTGCAATACACATCACACTACACAAGCCTACAATAATACATAAATCCAAAAGACCACAGATCATTCAAAGCTCCTATGGACCGATGTCACTAGGGGATATACTGGGTTCCCAGCGTCATAGGAAATGCCCAGCGCCACGATACCGGGGCTGTTACTGAAAACCGCTCCTGCTGCGCACACTACCTGCACACCTTCACCTCTCACCTGTTCAGCCGCTCCAGTACGGCATCCTCCGCCAAGTTGATTTCATCCACCAGGATCATGTCACCCCGCCGCATCGCTGTCACCAGCGGACCGTCCGCCCACGCAAACGGCGCACGCGCCTCCGTCGCCGCAGCACTCGCCGCCGCGCCGTCAGCCTGCAGCACCTTCAGCTGCTCGTCCAAGTCAGCGGGTCCAGCTTCCCCGGCTCCTCCACCGCCGCCGTTAGCCTTTGCGGCGGCCTTGATCGCAGCCTTGAGGGCCTTCTTAGCTTCCCGCCGGCCCCGAGCGTCCATCTCAGCAAGCGCCTTGCTCGCCGCTGCCACCGCCTCCGTCACAGTCGCCAGCAGCGGTGTAATGGCCTGCGGCCCAATCTCCTCAGGAACCAGCGGCGCCGCCACGCCTAGCACCTGCAGCAGCGGGCTGGCCGCCACACGTAGCGCCGCGGCCCGGAACTGCCCCAGCGCGCGCTCGCGGCCGCGGGTGGGTCGGAAGCCGCCCAGGAAGTCGGACGTCTCGGTGTGCTGGTTGCAGTTGAGGATGTGCAGGTGCTGCTTGCGCATGAGCGCCAGCAGCTGGCACACGGTGGTCTTGCCGGTGCCCGTCTCGCCCACCAGCAGCACCGGCTCACCGTGGCGAAGGCACCTGGGGTGGGGGCGGTGAGGTGGAGGGTGTTGTGGAGGGTGTTTGCAATGCTAAGGAACACAAGAGCCTTACGTCGGGTATCTATAAAGCTGCCAATGTCCCACCCTTACAACGCTGCATAGTGTAGGAAGTGGACCATGCACTTTACCGAAGCTGGAAACGCCCCTGGCATGCGGATATATGCCCTGCGTCGCCCCCTCTCCCCGCACGCACCTCTCTACGAGCGTGTACATGCGCCGCATGCTGCGGGTCCAAACCACGCCCCGCAGAGCCGCCTGCAGCGCCCCGGCCGCCTCCGAGTCCGGGGCTCCAGCAGCCGCAGCAGCCGCAGCAGCCGCAGCGGGGTCCTGACGCTCCTCCAGGGCGGCCTGCAGCGCCCGCACAGGCGCATCGCCCTCCGAGGAGTAGACTGCCTCCAGGTCCACCTGTGTGGCCCAGCAACAGCACCAGCAGCGGCACAGCAGCGGCAAGCTCAGAGGCTAGCAATTCTACACTGCCGTACAATTGATACCGGTAAGCAGCCCTGTGCTGAAGGCTCCTCGAGCCGAACATACACACGCGTCCAGCACTCACAGGCTCCATCCCAACCCCTGTTGGTCCTCTACCCAACCCCACAAAACCACCACCACCACCACCCCCGCCCGCAGAGCCCCTGCCTACCTTGACATTCATGATCTTCTCCACCACGCCCACCACCTCCGCCCGCTCCGCCGGCGACCTCAGCCTCTCCCCCAGCAGCAGCGCCCCGTCCGCCGCTAGCGCCTCATACCCCACCGCGCCCCGCTCCGCCCAACGGAACAAGTCACGCGGCGTGATGAAACCATGCTTTCCCGCAAACACGCTGTGCGCGTTACGCCGGCGCTGCAACTCCCGCTGCACGGCTACCAGCTTGGCCGCGTAGCTGGGTGCGATGGCGCAGCGCTTCTCCAGGATTTCCGCCAGCTCGCTGTCGGGGATGTCGTCGATGTGGAGCTCCAGGAAGCGGCTGCGGAAGGCGCGGCTGAGCACCTTGCGGCCCGCGTAGGCGCCGCCGGGCGGGTTCTGGGTGGCGAAGAGCATGAAGTGCGGGTGCGGGCGCACCACCTCGCCCAGCTCCGGAACCAGCAGCTCGCGGTTATCATCCAGCAGCCTGAGCAGGGTGCGGGTGCAGCAGCAGCAGCAGGTGGGGAGGTGAACGAGGTGAGGTAGTGAAGAGGTGGGGTAAGGGAAAGGGCGCTTTCCGCACACCCGGCAACTACTCTCTCCTCGACCCGGTCTCCCATTCCCCTTTCCCTCAACCTCGCCAAATCCCGCATCCGTCCCTGCTCGCGCTTCCCTGCGCGCCTTCCTCCCGCCGCACCTGTTCAGCGCCTCCAGCACCTCCGTGGGCGCCAGGTTGAGCTCATCCAGCACCACCCACCAGCCGCGCCGCACCGCCTGCACCAGCGGGCCCTCGCGGAACACCAGCCGCCCCGCCGCGTCGCTGACGTAGGAGCCCAGGTACTCCTGCAGGTCGGTGTGTTCGTGGTTGTTGATGCGCAGGAAGGTGTGGCCGGTCTGGGCGGCCAGGTAGGCGACCAGACTGGTCTTGCCGGCGCTGGTGGGGCCCTGCAGCAGGATGGGGTGCTTCCTGCGAGGAGGTGGGAGGGAGGCGGGAAGAGGAGCGGGAATCAGTGGGAGGGATGGGGAAGGGCGGCGGAAGCGTACGCGCCTGTGCATGCCTGCAATCGGCTCCACAACGGTTGCCAGAGGGGGGACGCATGCGGTATCAAATCCACGCATACGGCATGCCGTACCTAATGAGCACCGCCCTAGCCAGGTTGGTAAGGTGCTGCCGCACGCTGGGAGTCATCACGAAGCGCCGGCCCGAGCCGTCCTCCTCGCGCCCCCCTCCCGGCAGCTCCAGCGGACCCCGCTCCAGCCAGAACGCTTCGAACAGCACGTGGGTGCTGCCCTGGGGCTCCGGAGGCGCACGCAGTAGGGACTGCGGACGAGAAGAAAAAGAGGGGGATTAGATAAACTGAGCCGCGGAAACACGGGGAGTCCCATGTAACCGATAGACCAACACGGAGCCGTATTGGCAAGTATAGCAGGATGGCCCCGGAGAGTTGAAACTTGTAAGAGAAGCGACTCCCGGTACGCGCGAGGCCGCAAGGCAGCGTGGAAGGTAGAATCCGCTCGCGCCTAAGCTACCACAATGCATGCGCATGCCCTGTAATGGTGCGTGTAGACGCATACGGCATACCTTGACGTTCTTCACGCCGGGCAGCAAGTGCTTGGCGATGAGCGCCTCCATGCGCGGTGCAGCCGCAGGCGCCAGCTGCGTCAGGAAGGCCATGGCAGCTCCGTCGTACAGCGCCCGCTGCAGGCCGTACGACGGAGTGGCAGCGCGCGCGTAGTCCAGCGCGCGTGAGAGGGTGCGCAGGTTGTAAGCGGGCTTCTGGCCGGCACCGTCGACCAGCCGGGCGTCCTGACGGAGGGGGGGGTGTTGCGGGGAGGATCCAAAACTACCCGTCAGGAGGCCATATCCGGGTCTACCACGCACCCTCAGTCCCATATTCGTGTGGCTACCGCCACAACCGGGACCACCCTCTACCGGCACCTAACCGAAACCACAGGGAACACCCCAACCAAGCCCGCTTACCGCCTCCGCCTTTGCCGCCAGGTAAAACTCCACCGCAGCATCCACCGGCGGCGCCGGCCCCACTCCCGCCAGGTACGCCGCCACCAGCGCCGCCAAGTCCTCCCGCGCCGCCGGCTCCGGAACCCACATCTCTGTGAAGCGGTTCCGAAGCGCCGCCGGCAGCTCATGCTTGCCTGCATCCGTGGCGGGGTTCATCGCGGCCACCAACCGGAAGTTGGGGTGGCGCGGGACAGCGACCGTGTCGCCGCGCTCAAGCAGCGTGACGCTGCCGCCGGTGGCGGCGGCGGAGTCCCCGCCTGCGGTTTCCAGAAGCCCCGCCAGCCGCTCCAGCACCTCTGCGGGCGCCAGGTTGATCTCGTCGAGCAGCAGCCACCAGCCGTTACGCAGCGCCTGCACCAGCACGCCCTCCACGAAGGCGAAGGCGAAGCCGCCCTCCGCCACTGCGGCAGCCCGCTCCGCAGCGGCCAGGTCCTGGGGGAGCGGAAAACATGGAAAAGGGGCGGATAAGAACGGACTGCCAACAAGATGTACAGAAGCACATGGTGTTTTACAGAGGATTGAGGGAACAAAAAGCAGCCTCCGAGGTGCAGTCCTTGGTCCCTAGGGGTGAGAGCGTCGTTCGTGACAGCACCCCCAACTTCATCCAAACATGCCCCGTCCACACCGCTGAGAACACCCGCCACTCATGCCGCAGCGACTCGCTAAGCGGCTGCTGCTGTGATCCGGCCACGCGCCGCTTCTTCGCCGGCTTGCCGCCCTTCTCAGCGGCAGCCTCCGCCGCCTCCGCCGCGGCGGCGTCACCGGCGCCAGCTGGTGTGGCGGCGCCCGAAGTCGCGGTACCGCTGGTGGTGGTGGTCACCAGCCCTGCGTCATGTAGCTTTGACAGCGCCCCGCGGAAGGCGGCCAGCAGCTGCGACCACTTACGCCGCTCCGCCAGCTTCGCCACCCGAGACAGGTACTCATCGTTGTTGCCGCTGCAGGCGAGGGGTTGCGGGCACATGTTAGCAACACGTGTTCACCACGACCTGCTTCATGACATGCACAACGGGTACTGGCATACGGACGCACCGCGCAGTCACAGCACATGAACCCTAAATCCTGGCCCACGCAAGACCTCGCTGAGCAAAGCGATGCCGCGCCCCTCTTCACATCCTCGCCAGCACCCTGGCCTCGCCCCATCCCAACTCTGTCCAACTCGCACCCCCCTCCCCAGCACCCCCTCCTCACCGGGTCCAAGTCCGCCGGATGAGCGAGGTGAAGGTGGGCAGCAGCGGCGCCAGCGCGTCCCGCGGCTCCACCGGCTTGAAGCCGCCCAGCAGGTCCGAACTGTCGGTCTGCTGGCTCAGGTTGAACGACACCAGGTTCGCGCCCACAAGGCCAGCCATGCGAGACAACATGGTCGTCTTGCCCGTGCCTGGCGGGCGGTAACACACAGGGCGTAAAGCGGCATAAGGCAGGCGGTGTATGCAAGGTGAACGGGGAGAGGGGCGAAAACAGCTCCATCGTCATCCATCCTAGCTGAACGAAGCTGCAAGCATACCCTTGGGTACTCCGCCAATATCCGGTACTCCATAGCATGCCCTATACCGGTAGTCCACCCCATCTGAATCCCCTCCCTACCTGTTTCGCCCACCAGCAGCACGGGCTCGTTGCACGACAGCGCCGCCGCGATGCGCTCCATCACCCGCATCGCGTGGCCCGTGCGCGCAAAGGTGCTGCCAAAGCTGCCAGCTGCCGCAGCCGCACCGCCACCCGCGCCCGCCGAGCTCGCACCCTACAGCACAGAAGTTGGAGAGTTCGGGACATTACTGCTTAGCTGCCGTACCGGTCACGCTGTCGCACACAACATTTTCGTTCGCATCGCCACGCGCCACCATGTACATTCCTGTACTTATCCTTGCTGCTGCAAACCGGTATCTGTGGTGCCGTGGTATACAACTCGTTACCACAACACCAGACGTCTCGATTACAGCGTACCTTGGAGGCCGCCGCCACGTCCTGCTGCTGCTGATGGTCCTCTGCAATGGGCAGCGTGACGCGCCCCACCAGCAGCTGCCGCTCGCCGCCCGCCTCCACCGCCGTCAGCTGCGGCTTGGCCAGCTGCTCCCACTGCTCCGCCGAACCCGCGGGGGCACACCAAACAGCAGCTACGGCCTGTGTGGGGGCGTGGCATGTGTTTTTCGCATCAACACGTCAGCCAAAGCAGTGCTAAAGCCTCCCATACGGCCCGGCTAGACACCGGAAGAGACCCAAGCTCCCCATGCAAGCCACCCCAGCACAGCGCTCACCCCACCTTCAGCAGCTTCAAGCGCGCATCCTGCTTTGCCACCAGCGCCGCGAAGCAGTCGGCAGCCTCCGCAAACGCCGCCTCGCGAACGCGCGCATCCAACATAGACAGGTCCGGAGCGGGTTGCTCCGCCGCCGTCGCCGGAGAGGGTTCTGAGGCCCTCCGCTGCGCGCGTAGGAGCTGCATGTAGCTCCGGGCCCGGAGGAGGCCGCCGTGCAGGTGCTGCGGAGGGGGTGGGGACGCCGGCAGGGGAGGGCAAGGTAAGCATCCAATCGCACCTTCACGACATTCCGGAATGGGTGTTTTACAACGAAAGCGTATGCTCCCTGCACGCCCGGACTCCTCCGCGCTTCCGGACACGCTGAAACCTTGATAACGTATTCCTACTACCGAACTACCGGGACTGAGGTCGCACACCCGTCAAGCCGCCTCTCCGCCCCTGCACTCACCAGCATCCTGCCGCACCACTTGAACACATCCCGAAGCGAGAAGTGCCGACCCAGGTGCAGCGCCAGGTCCCCCCGCCGCACCCCCGCCGCCTCCAGGCCCGCCTCCGCCAGCGCATGCCACGACGCGCGCCGCCGCCGCTGCCCCGCCTGCGGCTGGTTGCTGACAGCGCCCGCTGCCGTGAGTTGAAAGCCGGGCGTGCCTGGACCAGCCGCCGCCGCTGCAGCAGCCTCCTCGCCTGCGTCTCTAGCAGCCGCAGAGCTGCTCCCGCTGTCATGCCCGCCCGCCGCCTGGATGAGGCACAGCGTGGCGACTGCTGCGGGCAGCAGCGGCAGCAGCGAGGGGTAGGCGGTGGCCAGCATGGTCATCTGCTCCGAGTCCGTGGGCGCGTCCACGCGAACAGTGCGCCACAAGCCGCCCAGCAGCTCCTGCAGGGCGAGGTGAGGGCACGGACGCACGTTCGGGTGCGGCTTGGCAGGTGCTGGTAGGCTAGGGTAGACTAGGTTGGAACTCGGCAAGCCGCAGGCAGCAGAGCCCTTAGCGACTGCGAATCTGCTATGCAGTAATAAACCACTTTATCACCCACGCCACCCAGCCCATTTCCCGCCCGGCCCCTCACCTTGACCATATTCGACATGCCGTACGCGCCATGTCCCCCGCCCGCACCACTCGCCGGCGCACTCGTCACCGTGGCAATAATCTGAAACCCCGGCGCCGCCGGCACCACCATGCCCCTGCTGGACACATGCAGCACGCGCGACTCAAGCAGCGGCACCAGCGCCGCCAACACATCGCCCGGCGCCATGTTGATATCTTCCACCAGCACCCACCGCCCCTCCGAAACCGCCTGCGTCAGCGGCCCCGGCTGCCATGCAAACTCCCCCGGCACTGCCGTACACACGTAGGCGCCCAGCAGGCTCTTGGCATCCATCTGGTCATCCAGGTGCACCCGCACCATGCTGGCTGCGTTGCCGGTGCGAGCCGCAAGCTCCTCCACCAGCCGAGTCTTGCCCGCGCCCGGCGGCCCCTCCAGCAGCAGCGGCAGGCCCTGGCACAGCACCAGCGCCGCTGCCTCCAGGTTGCGCCGAACCGTGGTCGTGGCCACGAAGCGATGTCCCGGTGCAGCGGTGGAGGCTGCGGACGTGTCCGCTGCTGCGGATGGGGACTTGGGCGGTGCTGTGACAGCGGGCGTGGCAGCTGTGTCACCGTCCTCGCCGCCAACGTCACGGCGAGCCAACTCGATTCCACATACCTCCACAAAGCCCCGAGCCGGCGGCAGACCCAGCGGGTCAGCCGCGGACGCTGCCCTACCAGCAGTCCAGGCGTCTTCACCCGCTAGGCTGGCTTCGTTCCCCTCCGCTGGGGCAGCATCAGCGGCGCTGCTGGCATCTGCTGCCGCCTCCTTGCAGTGCTCGCAAGCCGCCGGCACGTGCAGCCACATAGCCGCCTGCTCTAGGGCCGCTGCGTTGCGTCGCGCTTGCCAGGACGCCAGCGCCGCCACCTGCTCCTCACTGCTCAGCAGCTGGCCGGCAAGCGTTGAGCGGCTGGCATCGCTCTGGAGGGGCAGACATGTGGGAAGAGGCGAAGAGGTGGGAGGAGGACCTCAGCCATGAGCTACATAGGCAACTACCAGCCTACCGTGCTGCACCCATATTGTGCTGCACCCAGTATGCCCGGATGAGGAGCGTGCACCATGCTTGCTGTCACGGAGAAAGGAAGGGCCGCTATGCGCTGGACTCACCATGTTCAGCAGCAGCGCCACAGCTTGCGTCGCTGCCCAGCGCACCTCAGGCGACTGCAGTGGGCAGGGGAAGCGGGGGGGTGTGCGTGCTCACATGGCGGCGCCCAAGAATGCTCTTGCAACAAGGGCTGGCACGGCAATTCCTAGCAAAGTACCGGTATCCAAACGAATCGCATTGCAGCCGAGGTGCGCAGCTCCTCCCCACCATGTCCCCACCTGGTGCTGCAGGAGGCGCATGAAGGACCCGGCGGTCCACCCGGGGTGTTGCCGCAGACCCGGCAGCAGCTGCAGCGCGCGCAGGGCCGTGGCTACCAGGTCCGCATCCGCTGCAGCGGGGCCGGGCGCCTGCGTGCTTGCGGGCTGCGAGCGCCAAGCTAGCTCCTGCGGCGGCGTGCTACACTCGAGGTACCGCTGCACGACCCTGTACGCGGATGGTTCCAATGCGACGAGGGTGAGGGTGATTGCGCAGCATGACGTTGTGCACCGGATAACGTTGTGCGGGGACATGGGCTAGAGTGCATGCGCCTGGAGGACATCCAGCGGCAGCCAGCCACGCACCTGCCGCATTGCGGTGCGAGTTCCAGCACCGTGACAAGCATGGTTGCGAACCCGCCATCCTCGCGGACTGGTGTGAAGGCGAGCCGGCGCTCCACTAAGTAGCTGAGCAGCCGCAGCAGCGAGCCGCAGCCACGTAGTGCACCCCCTAGGGCAAGCGTGTAGACGGGCTGGGTGAGGAGGGCCTCCAGAGCTGACGCAATCTCGTCCAGCGTCGCCTGCCGGAGCGGGAGAGAGGTGTCACAAGCGCCGCCGCCAGCAAAGAAGGGAGTTCCGAGGTGTGCAACTGTTGCAGGCGCGAAACAGCCGCCGCCGCCGCCGATAGGCTAAGCAGCAAGCTTACCTGGTGAGCAAGCGCCTTTGCAAAGCTTGTGTCATGTTTAACGTCAGGAAAACGCTCTAGAAAACCTCTTAACGCGCGTTCCATAGCTAGGGTTGATAGCGTACGCAAGCAATTTGTATTAAGTCATCCAAGAAAGCTACGCCAAAAAGATCAGCAACACTCTCTGTATATATTGCTTGGAAAATCGTATTCTCTACAGCCACGAGCAATAAGCAGGGCGTCCATATAAAGCCGTACGTAAGCAAGCCGCAATGAATGAAGCCAACGTTGCTCGTTCACTTATTACACTATGGAGTGTTTTTCATTGCGTGCAATATGACACCGAAGAGTAGTAACATGGGTGTGCTGCCTAGGTTAGGACACAAAAGTGGCATATGGCAACAACTATATTGCTCGTAAAAGCATACACCTTAGCATACCCAATTCAATCTCTTTCCTTTTATAGTATACTGCGGGTAATCTTGCGCCCCGTGCTTGCCTAGTATCTAGAATGGGAGGACTTCTGTCGCGTGCTGGCACCGACACCTACTATGCCAATTATGAGAAAGCATTTGAGCGGCTGGAAAAGGATAGCAGCAAGGTCCTGGTAAGCAAAGCACCCAACCCAACGTGTCTGGCGGGAAAGCTGGGGACTCGACCGCATATGGGCTGTTCAAGGATATTCGTTGGAATGGTTTTGATGTGATCGGGGTGGATCCCGACTTTGATTAGGGTGTTTCGGAATGACACGCAGGACCGTCGCGTCAAACGCCGCAAGAGAATGGACGCCTGCAGCAATCTCGGCTTTTGGACAACCGCCGTTGCTTTCTGTGTTGCTCTTCTCTTGACAGCATATGTAAGTCCGCTCCCTATGGTGTTTCCTGGAACGGAGGGGCCTGATCATCGACCATCCTGTCCTGCAGTTGCAGCAAGTCAGTACCCAGAAATGGTACCAGAAGGCAGTCACCATTCTTGGCGCGTTCGCTGCTCCACTTGTGTCAGCGCTGCTCTTTAAGGGTATTCTTTGGTTGTTCCGCTTTGGGGAGGCCCGAGACGAGCGGTTCCTACGCAAGCTAATGGAGGCAAAGCGTAAAATGATTAAGGACTTGAAGGTGTGGCGTCTGGATTTGCTTGCGAAAGCCTGGTAGAAACATGGATGTTCAGGCGGGAGGGTTTGCAGGGGAGTACGGCAAGCTCTCTGTACTGAGCGGCGGAGTTGGGGGTGCCTCAGGTACATGTGCTTGCTCCCTGTTGACTCGTAGCGTGCCCATTCTTCGCACTTGTCGCAAACACGAACGCAGGACTCAACACGGTTTGAGCGGACAGCTGCGCTCATAAAAAAGTACGACCCGGACGAGCAGCATGCTGGCAGCCCCCGCCCCCGTGGACCTGTCCAACTTGGCGCGGGTAATTTAGGGAGGGGCGGGTGTAGGTCTCTCATTCTGGGCGACCCCTTGGATTGGAGCCTACTTCACATACCCCTTGCATGTGTTCATTGGCTTGCAGAGAGCCTCCGGCGGCGTCAAGTGGCCACTGCCGCTGGAGCCGCCAGCAACAGCCAAGCTCCGAGCGCCTCGGTGACGCCACGGACCGGCGCACTGACGCCTGTGGGCGCAGGAGGTGCCCTGATACGCCCGGCAGCGGCAGCAGCATCGGCGGCAGTTTCTGTAGCGACCGGAACAGGGAAGGCCCTAATGCCAGTTTTCGAGAGCTTGGCGAACAACCTGGTGGGTCAACTGGGCTCGCCTAGCCCCGCTTGTCTGTTGGAAAGGATCCGGGCGAATACAGGGGTACACTGTATGTGCCCTAACTAGTTGCACGCCACAAACTCACTATACGCATGAGGAGAAAGGGGGTCAGCTTTACCTCATTACCTGCCTTCCTCAGTAAGAACTGTTACTTGACTTTTGCTTCCTGTAGCCTATGTAGCGTGATAGTGGGGTGTTCGGTTCGGGCACAACATCTGAATGTCGACACCACGCTTCTCTTCGCAGATGGGTGACAACCCCGTGCTGGTCCAGGAGGCGCATCACCTCCGGGAGGAGAACAACGTCCTTAAAGCGAAGCTGGCGGAGATAGAGGCGCGCCTCGCGAAAGTGGGAGGTGATGAGGCCCCAGCCTCCCCACCTGCCAAGGTAGTGGACAAAGCTTCCTCTGGGTAGGCATAGGGTAGCCATGGATACCGAATAGGTAGCAAAGGTTTGCAGTGACCGGCATGGTATTGGCTTCTTGACCTTGATAGCGTAGCTTGTAGATCTATGCTGAGGTACTGAAATATGCACGTGGTTGAGAAGTGACGCATGAGTGGCAGTGTGGCGTGAGGTGTACAAGTGAGAGGATGCTTTCAATACAGGATAACAGGCCCGTGACTTAGCAATGTGCTGAGGTCTGCACGCGCTTAATGGGTTAGGTGTGTGTGTAGAGTTTATTGTGCGTTGTATGCTGGCTTTGGCAAAGTTACGAAATGCCGGGCCATAAGGATTGCTTTGGGCGGCAGGCATAACGGCTGCAGCAGTGTTGGTGGGCGTGGTTACACGTAGTCACCGATGTAATGGCCAACGGCAGATGAGTTGGGTAGGGTTACGTCTACATACATTGCCAGATAGACTGTTGAATAAGGTGTTCCGTTTCTGTCTATTATACACTGCAGCAAGTAAACACACCAGCTCAAGAAGGCCCCACAAGTTATGCAAGTTTCCTCTAGGCACGTTTACACGCAGGGCATATATAGGCACGTTCTGAGGCGTTGCTGTTACTGCGGCATCCAGCAACGGCTTTCTCGCTCCATCCAGCGACTAGCGCTCCTTCCAAAGGAGTTCCTCAATGCCATACATGTCCAGCTCCTGTCAGGAAGGGGGCAGGCGAACATGAATTAATACGTGCTTCTTCCATACCTGTGAACCCGAAAGAGGTATTGCAAGAGCAACGTGCCTGGAAAGACTGATGGATGTCGGCGAAATCCTGCAGCGTTGCGGGCTTGCCCATTCTGGATGACCACAGCTCCGCCAGCTCAAGCGATACCTAGCAGAGTATGTAACTATGAGCGCACACTACACCGGTAATAGCACAGGCCTTGGCACATTGGTTACCTGCGGATGTATGCCGGCTAGCGCCGCGCGACCCCACATGCACGCTAGCCATGAAACGCAGAAGGCAACTTCTCCTACCGCAGAAGCCGGCATCTCTGCCGATTCGGCAAAAGGCGTTCCTGGATCATCCAAGCTGTCCAGCTGCATAAGTCGAACACGGATAGTTAATCTGTCAGTTGGGTTCCAACTTTGCAACGCCGAAAAGCGCACCCACCAAATCCACGCCTCGGGGGCGAGAAGCTGCAACCGCATCATGTGCTGCAAGCGCCAAGGAAGAGCGACATGAGCTAACGACGCCGAGCGCGTCGGCTCGGCGTAGCGCTCGCTCACATTCAACGATGTCCGCGACACAGGCCCGCACTCGCGGCTGTAAAGACAAATCCCTGCATTAAGTAAATGGGTAGAAAACCCTGCAATTGGCGCTTGCAGATGTTGCAGCGCTTGCAGGGACGTGGGTGCTGCAGTAATGTGTACGACAGTGGCTGTCGCAAGCACTTCCCTTTGTAAGCCTTTCCATCGCATGTCTTGTCACATCTAAGAAACAATTACCGTCATTACGGCGGGCAACCCTAGACGTACTTTACAGCCTCTAGCACCTCCGATAAATCGCGAACCCTCTCTGCCTAAAATCGCTTCCGTCATCATCTGGGTTAACTTGTAGTCACTACTCGTAAAAATGGAGTTGGGATCGCCGCGTTCGCCAACTGTTCAGTTCCCCGTATCTGGACCGACGACAAACTGCGTCTGCCCGAACGCCCCTCGCAAGCCAGCTTTCCGGTGAGCGGCAGCTTTCGCATAACCTTATTTAGTTACTATCTGCACTAGTCGATTATTATAACGAATTGCCATTATGACAACACGTTTGCTGATAAAGCCAGAACCCTTTTGCCATTTCCAGGAGAGAACAGCAAACTGGAAACTTTGATACGGCCTTGACATGCGCTAGGTGAGTTGGTGATAGCGCATATGTGTAGACGCTATATGCGCTATAGCGTCTGAAACTCTTAAGCATGCCAGATTCGATGGCTCGTCCTTGGGCCCTGTCTCGCATAACCCTTATTCCTAAACCACGTTCGGTCATTTCATGGACGCAGGGAGTCGCTAGAGGTCATGTCGGAAGAGGAGCGCCAAGCCGCCCTCAAACACCTGCCGAGGCACACACTTGAAGGTGCGCAGCAAACACTGACGTAGCATGGGGTGCCACACACCCCTGGCCCATTGCTTCGCAGCTGCCAAGATGTGCACATGTTTGGCACAAAGCTCATTGTCGCAGCCTGGTGTATAGCTATCTGCACTTCCTTCGGTCATCCGTAACCTAAAGCCTTCATGGCCCCACTGCAGGCGTCTTCCTTGCCTTTTGCCATTGGCAAGCCGGCTCCCAACTGGGTCTGGACTTCCAAAACCTTCTCGCGCTTGCACCATGCCTGGAGCAGCAATTGCTGGACCATGTACAGCAATGCTGCCCCAACTTGACATGGGAGGACTGGGCGGCTCAGGTCCAGCAGGCGGCGTCTGATCCCTATCTGGGCCAGGAGCTTGCAGAGCGAATCATGTCGGAAGGGCTTCCGACGCGGAGAGTACTATTCTAAGCTGGCTTTCGGCTCACAGTATAGTTGGCTATGGCGAAGAACGGATACATGACATGACCTGTAGCGTATCACGTCTGTTCTGCTGCCGTATGCTCAGTGTTCATGTAGATAGGCTGACGGTGTCTTGGCTATCCATGTGTTGCCGCACCGAAAGACTGCGGGATGTTTGCTGCTGCTCGGTTAGTGCTGCATGAGCCCCGACCGACCTATTGTTATTCCACCTGACCAACATCGCATGTTGAGGTTGCATACCGTATAGCCCTGCACGACAGGGGCCATTGATTCTTTCCCCGCCCTTTTGGTTTTTGTTTTTTCGTATGACTTGTAGACGAATGCTAGTGAGTGTTCTGGTCTGCGGACTTGCTTATGCGCGCCTTACCTGGTGCTGCTTGCCGCTGTGGACGTTGCTGTGGCAGCTGCTGTTTGACTTGAGCTCGAGCCCTACAGAGCATGGACCCAGTTACGCTGTTTCCTGAAAGACATCAACATCACTCGCACTTGCAACACTGCATATGTGTTGCCATCATGTAAGACAGCGAGTCGCATGGATATTGAGGCCCGTCCTTAATCACTGCTAATGCATCGGCACTACATGTTTGCCGTACATGCTTGTCGGCTCCGCATGCTTTGTAAGTCTAGTCTATACCCTGGCATAAAGCGGCAACGCTATAACATGGCTAGGCAACCACCTAAGGGGACCAACCCATGCCAGGTCGTGCCGTTATGCTGCCTTTATGCATGCTTCCCATACCGGTAGGTCCGGCAACCACGCCGCAGGGCCCACCTGGGTTTGCTCGCGCACACGCCGTGCAACATCCGCTGCGGCTGTGTATAGCACTTCCACGGGTGGTGCCGCTCGGCTCCAACGCTCCGCCTGCGCCGTCGCTAGCTCCGGTAGGATGCCTAGGTCCCGCGCAAGTCCCTGGGGGCAGAGTGTGGTTGGGAAGGCCAAGGGGGTCCGTGGGAAGCAACTTAAGGAGCAAATGGCAGACGTATGATCCGCGCAAGAAGTTAGATGCACACAGGGGGGTAGAAGCGCGCAAAGTGGGAAGGTAGGGGCGGGGCTCTTACCAAAGTAACATACGTTGGCAAGTTGCGCATCACTCTTAATGAATAGATTCAGGCGGGCCCCTAACCTAAGCGGCATCTGGGAAGGCCGGCAGCACGTCATGCATACGGTGGCAGGGTGGAGCTGCTCACCCAGTAGTGTGCCAGCCAGATTGCTCGCAAGGCTGCTTCCTGCACCTCCTCGCCAGAGAGCAACACGTCCTCCGCAGTCACCGACGTTGACTCTCCAGTGATCAGCCTACAAGCGACAACAAGACACCCTGAGATAGCTGTGGATTGCTTGGTCATGTTCGATGCCAAGCAGAACACCGTATAGGCAAAGCTACACGAGCCAACTGCGACTCAGTGGCGTCGTACCGGCTGGACAGCGCCCACAGCCCTACAGTCGGAGACATACCTTCCCAAGAGCCCGCAACGCTGCGTTACCACGCCCAGCTCATGCGTTAGCGATGTCACTTGGGACCTAAGCTGCGCAATTTCTTGGGCCGAAGCCGCTGCCTGCAAGGCGAGTCCCATAGGCCGGATAAGGCGAGGTGGGCTGAGGGTCCTTTCCCCCGCTTTCGTCACGTGCGTTGAAATATATACCTTAACTGGACTTGGTTTAAGCGCTGCCATACGCTCAAATGGCTCTTGAGCGTAGCCAAAGACAGCTCCTTCGCCACAGCAGTTGATTTACAAACTTGCTGCTGCCGAGCGTCGCCCCTTTTTTAGGGTTAAAGTGTGCGTGCGATACACGACAGACATATTGCTACTATGCACTTTGTCTATCTGCTTTAAGCACACTTCTATGGAAGGGTACGGTAAGCGTCGTAACTTCGACGTTATTTTCAAGTAAGCGTTCTTGCCTAGCTCCTAACATTGCATAACACACATGTAGTCAAAATGAGCGACTTCCTCAAGGTTTCAACGGTGCAGGTAGTGCAGGCAATAGATTTAGCTGAATTAGACAAGACGTTAAAGTGGCTGGTCTCAAAGGTGCAGGAGTTGCCGACGGCTGAGCAGGTAGCCTATCGACGAGTCGCAATGTGTTGCCTTAGAGAAACTTGGCACTCATGCTATTCCGGCTCCTGCCTTTTCGATTGCCCAGAGCAACCAGAAGACAATTGCTGATTCCTTGCTCCAAGATCAAATTGACGCTTTGCGGAGGGAGAACAACCACCTAAAGGATGCGCTGGCTCAACTCCAGTCGAAGCAGGTAAGGCATGCGACGTTGGGACAGGCGTGCAGGTAGGACCCCTTGCCCTCTGCGGGTACCATGATTGATATTTGCCTATACCATACTGAAGGACGGGATTCTGGCACCTGTTGCTTGGCCGCCGGCTTCGAAGCTGCTTCAGGCGATGGCGAAATCCTAGCCGACGCCTCCCGGTCTAGCTTTACTCCCTTACAGCAAGTCTGTGTCCCTTTGTATTTTACATACATCATAGTTGCATCGGATGTCATGTTTTGAGAATTCATAGTTATGCCCGGTTCCCGCTTACAAGTAGCGAAACGTTCGACGGAAGCCGAAGCATGTGAAATGATGCTGTTCTTTCTTCATGTATGGTGAACACAGCGCTGTCGCTGCGCACAGCATATACCGTGCTGTACCATACCCACCTACCCGCCGAGCATCCCGCTTCTTCCCTTTTTCGAGCAGAGCGACATGGAGGTTCGCCTGGACACCAAGCAGGACCGCGACCAGGCGGACCCGGTTGACCCAAATGAGGCGAACCTCGAACTGGAACGGCGCGTAGCGGCCCTGGAACAGCAAGTCGAGCAGATGGGGCCCACAACATCCGGCAGCACGGATGCTGAGGAGGTCGCGGCTGAACCACGCAACGACGGGCCGGACCTGAACACGCAGTTCCAAGAGCTACTTGCTGGCCACCGTGCCCTCGCAGCGACGGTATCCGGGCTGCAGCACGAGCTGGACTCCAAACCAAACCGTGGCGAGCTCGACCTAAAGGCCAATAGGTCTGAGCTCGATGCGCTGCTGCGCGCCGGTGTTAGCGCAGCGCCGGTCGGGGATGTGGCGCCAGCGCAGCTGGCAGTTGGGGCGGATGGCAGCGTGGACAACTCAGCTCTTGTGGAGGCGGTCAACAAGGCAGCGGCGGAGGTTGCGGCCATGCGGGGCCAGGTGGCGGTGATCCAGGACCGGATACAGAACAAGGTAGGAGAAACGGGAAAGGCGGCGGAAGCACAGCTGTTTGGCTGGAGACAAGCTATCTGGCCGGGAAGGTTGTAAACCTAGCGGAAGAGTGCGTGGGCATGCCGTGGGGCGGCGGTGCTCAGGGAACACACGCATATCGGGCGCTAGGGTTCCAAGCACTCAGGCGGCCTTCGGGGTCCTGTCCACAAGAGCGCTCTGACACACCGGGGCTGCACAAGGGCAAGTGGCATGCTGGATGCAAATGAGCTGTCCTGGCGTCTTGCCGCTACCGATGTTATGGTTGCTTATGCCTTTTCATCCTGCTACAGGCCGAGCAGGGCGGCGTAGACGATTTGGCGGCTCAGCTGGCGGCCATCAAGTCCCGGGGCCCCGTTGCCGCGCCCTCCATCGTAAGCCGTGCATCGATGGGGCCAGCAGACGCGGCAGCAGCTGCTGCTGCAGCGCAGGCAACTGGTCAGGCCCTCGACAATGTGGTCAAGTAAGTTAATGGGCTCCGGCGGCCGCCTCGCACCGATCCTCCGCTATGGAGGATTTGCCAAGATGGCCAGCGGGAGATGCGTTCCCGCTCCATTGTAGGCATGGTTACTGCAATCCTAGTAGGACTGTAGGAACCATGCCATGGGCGGCTACAAAGTTAGGCTAACATCCCGGTCTACGGTACCTGCTGCAGACGCCTCGAGGAGCTGGAAGTCCGAGTTGCCGCCGGTGCCGCCGCGTCGACGCCAGGGTCTAGCACGGGCAACGACGACAAGGCGGTGGACGCAATTGGCTCCCTTACGGATGTCCAGCCCTTGCTGAAGGACATCTACGCACGCGTTGACAGCAAGGCCGACAGGTGCGGAACGACGTGGGACACCGAGAGCGAAGACCCATTTTGCGCCCTGTGCCTTGCCTCTGCTTCGTTAGCTCGCCTCTGATATTACCACCCCGTCGTGCTCTTGGCTGGCTAATGCGCGACTGAACGCAGGACTGCCCTGGAGGAGACCCTGCGGCGGCTGCAGGACCTCACGGCGGCGCTGGACTCCAAGGCCGACGTCTCGTCGCTGCAGGACATGGCAAATCGCATGGCCAAGCTGTCAGCCCTCGACAAGCGGTCATCGCTCTCGCAGTCGCAGCAGCAGCAGCCACACCCGGCGCCGCCCCCGGCGCCACAGCTGCCGCAGTGGCTTGTTTCGCACGAGGTTTCCGAGAACCCGCTGGCAGACCTTGCGGAGCTGCGAGCGCAGGTTTCGGAGCTGGCGGCACGGGTTACAGACCTCGCCAACGCGCCGCCACCACCACCAGCCCCAGTTCCACCGCTTCCGCTACCGCTGCCACCTGTGCCCCCGCCGCCCCCAATCATTGTCACTCGCAACTCAAACATGAGCGGGGATGGCGGCGGCTTGGACGTTGTTGCCTTGCAGGCCGCCCTGGCGACGCTACAGGGCCAACTGGGAGAGCTGGGCACGCGACTGGCGGGCAAGGCGGACGCTGGGGAGGTGACTCGGCTGGAGCTGTCGCTGAACAGCAAGGCGGATTTGGACGAGCTTGCAGAGCTGCAGCTGGCACTGGGCGGCAAAGCGGACGCAGCAGCAGTGGGCGACCTGCAGGTGGGCTTGCGCAAGGGAGGGTAGATGCCATGGGTGTTGAAGCATTGAGTTACTACAATAGAAAACCTCCTGTTGGTTACTAAGTCGTTTGGATAGCTGAGAGGGTTTCTCTTGGACGCATGGACCCATGCATGACGTACCGCAACTCTACGAAGATGTGAGTCTTCGAATCGCCGCTCAAGAGGGAGACCACAAAGGGACAACCCCCAGACCCAGATGGCCTCCTTTCATGGCCCATGCCTCCCTCTCACTACCTTCAGATGGCGGTCGCTGCCAAGGCAGACCAGGCAGCACTTGAGGAGGTCAAGCTGACGGCAGCCCTGGCGGCCGACCTCGCATCTGGCTCCACAGGCGACGCGGATGCAAAAGGAGGCACCTCTGGCGGCTACCAGAACCTCCTGGGCGCCATTCAGGGCATGGTTGCGGACAAGGCTGGCAAGAACGAGTTGGTGGTGCTGCAGAGCCAGGTGTCATCCAAGGCTGCGGCTGACGACGTTGCCATGCTCCGCGCCGCGCTAGACAGCAAGGCCTCGGCTGCGGAGCTGGCGGCCCTGTCGTCGCAGCAGTCCTTGCGGGCGGCCAACTCGGAGGAGATTGCCTCCCTGGACCAGCGCATGGGCGATGTATTTGCGGAGCTGGCGAAGATTCGCGCGGACATGGCGGCGCTGCCCGTGGATGCGCTGGCCGCAGCCGCTGCGCAGGGTTCTGCACGCAGCGATGGTTGCGACTCGGCTGGCCTGGAGCGCGTGGTCTCGGCGCTGAGCCGGGAGGTTGGCACCCTGCGTGAGGGGCTGGACACAGTGGCGCATGCGGCGAACGTGCTGGCGGTGGGGCTCGACAGCAGCATGTACACGAGCAGCTCGGGGATAAGCAACAGCGGCTTGGAGACTCGCTACAGCGATGCAGGCGGTGAGTGCAGTACCGTCTCCATCTGCTTGGCGTCCGATTTACATGGGCGCTACAGCCATGTTGGCTTGTGGGTCCTTCATGGTTGAATGGTGACTGTTAAGGGTTGGAAGGCTTGAACCTGGCCCTGAACCTTCTATATATCCTCCTTGGCGTGCTTTGCACTCCCCGCAACTAGGTGCTGGGGGTAAGGAGAACCGGTCTCCACGCGGCGGCTACGAACGGCTTCTCAAGCTGCTTGGCAGTGGCGAGTACCGGCACAAGATGGACGCCTTCGACCCCACGGCGCTTCAGCAAATGGTGGGTTAGGCGTCGAATCATGTTAGGCCACGCATGCGCCTACATGGTGCTTCGGCTGGGGCCATGCAGTACCTGTGTCCTCGTAACCCACATTGACATAGGTTAGCTAGAGGACTGTAGACTGCGGCAATGATGCGAAATGGTTGTCTCTCCTTGTCTGCAGGCGCAAAAGCTCGCGTACCTGGAGGCAACCGTCAAATCGCCGGCTATGGGACGCATCGGCGCGGGCGGCGTGGGTGGCGTCGATTATGGCATCAAAGAGCTGGAGCGGCAAGTCAAGCGCCTGGCTACGGACGTTCGCCTCATGAAGGTGAGGCACGTTTGGTTTTCAGGTGCTTTGGGTTCAGGCCGTCCATGCCACGCGCCGGCGGCACCACTGTGCTCTGAACGTTCCCTCAAAGCCTGTTGCGTTGCTTAAACGTCTTTGCCCAACCGCAGGACAAGGTAATCGACCCGGTTGCTGTACTACCGAACCCGCGGATGAACCCTGGCGATCATGCCATGCTCGCTGCCCGCCCCATCACGGGCTATCGCTGCATGGCATGCGATCGGCCCCTCGACCAGCTGGACGTACTGCCTGGGCCGCACATTCCTACGCAGCAGCTACCGATACGCGTACCTGCGGCTTCCGACACGGCGACGCGCACGCAAGTGCGCAGCGGCCGCGGTGATCCGCTTAGCCCGCAGTCGTCGTCGCAGCGGCTTCCGTACAACAACGACCTCAATGTGCGGAACGTTCAAAACTGGTAAGTGTCTTGCTGAAGACGACAGATGAGAAAGGGCGTCCTGGTTAAGGAGTGCCGTACAAGCATGCTGCATGACCCAAACGCATGGAAACCCAAGCGGTCCATGAGCCTCCTGGCTCGTCTGGGCCTTACGAGCATTTAGCTTGTAATCATCATCATCATGGAAACTTGGCACCATCATCACGGCCCCCCTTTGGCGATTGACAGGTACAAGGACACAACAGTGGTTGCAGCTGAGGCACTTCCGCGCGAGCACGTGGGACCGCACCTGCCCCCGGGTGGTTGGCGCCCAAGCAACCCTGGGTCCGTGAGCAAGCCGCCGCCCATGGCGCAGGGCAGCTTGCCCGCACTCAGCGGCCAGAGGCGAGGATCACCGGTAAGCTGCCTCTGGGGACTTGCGAGGCATGTTTGCATGCAAGTAGTTACCTCGAGCAATGCACATAGCGCACGGTCTGCCCTTCATGGTAACCGGATACCTAACTTGCCCAACCTTCTTGCACTGCAGACCGAGTTTGAACAGAAGCAACCATCAATGATTGCACCGTCAATGGACGGCGTTGGGGCCAACGTAACGCTGCCGCAGATATCGTAACTTTGTGCTATGTCACGCACTTCCAGGCTGCCGGGCTTGGTTATGACGTGCTAGTACTTGCCTTCGGTGTGTTTGTACGGTAGCAGGGCAGTGTAATGGCCAGGGTGCATATCTTTTACAACTGCATAGATGCTGGAGGAGCAAAGTCGCAGTCACCAAGAATTGCATGGAGGGCACCCGTGCTTGCCGATGTCATTTGGCAGGGGTTACATAAGTAATATGACCAGCACTTTAACGGCAGGCGGTTGGCCATGTCATGTTAACTCCCGCATTTGCAGCGGGTGTAGAGTTATTAGCAATATTATTTAGATGTGTCGCTCGTGAATATCATGTCACGATACGCGCTGTCCAAATCACGGTAAATAGCGCTCTTGTAGCCTTAGGCACGTGGTCACAAACAGTCATTTAATGACCCATTATAGGACATGTACTAGAACCAGTCTTCCTCATTTGTGCTGCCCTCTCGTTATATTGAGAACAAGTCGTTGCGCATAGAGCCGTTCCGGCCAGTCCCCATGCTATTGTGCGCCGGCGGCATGCCTAGCATCTTGCGCAGTGCGTTGTCCTGGCTGCCTGCGCCCATACCCGCGCCTCCTGGTTGCAAGATGCCGCCAGCAGCGCCGGAAGAGGTGCCGCTGTTAGTGCGTCTGAGTCCTTGGCCTGCCGACGCCATAAAGCCGCCGGGGCTGTTGGGGTCGAGGGAGCCCCCCAGAAACCTGGATGTTTAAATGGAACGTGTAATAAGTTCGTGTGCTACAGTAAAGCCTCGGACGCTTATGCCTGCATACCCTACAACAGTGGACGTGCGGATTTGCAATACACAAGCTTACCCGCCGCCACCTGATCCGTTGTGGCCTCCTTGCGGCATTCGGTATCCGCCGGTAATGCCTTGTACTCTGCCGCTTGTAGGAAGGAGTGCCTGCTGTAGTGCGTTGCCGTAGCCGTTGTTGGGTGGGCTCTGCAAGTTAGCGAACACTTGTGTCCGCTGCACTGTGGTCACCTGCAACCAAGGGACGACGGTCATTTGCGCCAAGAGTGCAAATACCGGCAAATACTGCAGTTGCCGACGTTTGTAACTTACCATCTGGCCCGGTTGCGGTGCAAGAGGTGACATGCTGCGGCCGCTACCTCCGCCCATGCCCATGTCAACGGCCTTGCCGCCGTTCTGCCGTAGGAGCTCAATCTCCTGCTGTGCCTTCTTCAGCATTTCCTGCAGCTTCCGCGCTTGCCTGCTCGGACATACATTGTATAAAGCAAGGAGCGATGGGGGTGTTGCCTTAGCACAGTGACATAAAGACAACCATATGCCAGGTCTGCCGGAGCAGCTTACATGGACTTCTGCGCGTACTTGGTTTGGAGCTCCTGGTTGTCTTGTTGCAGCTGCTGGTTGGAGCGCATGGCCTCGTCGTACTTCCGCTTAGCCTGTGCGCAAGTAAAGCCGTTTACTACGCATGCCACGCGTATGCAACGCTACAACAGTGCACTGCAGGCACGCCAAGGCAGCGGTCGAGCGGACGCACCTGAACATAGCCGTTATGCACCTCCTCCTGTTCGGGAAGGACCAGTACAACGTACGATCTTCAGGATACAGAACAATTCATACGGCGAACTTGGGTATTGCGAGAGCCGAATCCCATGTCCTAATCCTAACTGGTACCCACTTGTTTATTGCCAAGCGGAACCATGCGGCTTACGGTCTCAGCGTGGGCTCTTAGCCGGATCGAAACACGTGTACCCTCACCAGCTTCTTGCGGCAAGCCTCCTGCACTTTGGTGACTTTCTTCGTCAGTTGCGCCTCTTTAAGGTCGGCCTGCAAATGAGAAACGGTGATTGGTACCCAGCGGAATGCAGACAGCTCACGACTTAAGCAGCTGTGTGTGGTACAGTTGGCTTTTGCGTATAGGGTTAATAATTCTATTGAAGCTCGACTTACCTGCAACTGCTGCTGTGCCACATAGAATTGCACCGAGGTGAGCGCGGCTGCGAAAGTTGTCTCTGGGGCTTGGCCGCAGAGCAAGAGCTGCGCATGGCGACGGAAAGCAAGCATATTAGCATCCACAACTTGGCAGGTATCAAGTGTTTAGGTACTTACTTGGCATGATTTCGCGTCTTGCAAGGATTGTATGACCTTCACAGTACTGTAGGAGGGACATAAGGAATGCATGAGATGGAAAAATTTGCCATAGACGGCCAAGACCCAAGACCCAAGCTCTCAGCTACAACAGCTCCATAGAGTTCCTGATCGCTATCCAAGTTCCGCAACTCCACGGTGATACCTCTTTGTAATGGCCGACTCGCAAATTGGGCAACCGGAACCGCTCTCCACAATCTGCTGCGCGCACTTTAGGCCTGTAAACATGGTAGTATATAATCATGACCTGGGTCCGCCTGTTGGCATTTGCACAGGCGCTCTATGCGGGCGTCTAGCCAAAACATCAAATGTAACCGGCTTACAGAAGAGATGCTGGCAGGCTGTAACCACCGATTTGCCATCCAGGTCTGACCAGCATGAATTACACCTCAACATAATAGCTATCCTGCATACGCTGAAATCCTTGCGTGGAAAGGAAGTTGTCGCAAAATGAACTTGTAGCCAGAACACCGGTCACAGCGTAGTTGAAGTATGCAATATATATATTAAGTAGTATGCTTGCTTGTTAGGCTTAGGTTACGGGATGTGCGCAGCAGTCTAAGTTTCTGGGAACCTGTGCAGCTGTCAGTGATTTGCAAAGCACGCCGAGCATGCCGTACAGCCCAGTTACTTTTCACTAGGCTGCGATGATCAGCAAACTTTCCATAGCAAGCATACCTTATGTGTACATAGCAATGATTCACCTGGCACGACACCGAGCACGCTGCTACAAGTAGGCTAGCATTAACGTAGCCTGGGACAAGGCCTTGGGCCTCAGCGCGAACCTCGAGAAGCAAGGGCCTTTCTTATAAGCTAGTAGTTAATTTCACAGCTGTGGCGTTATTAACTGAGTCGGCAGGGTCATTGTCCCAACTACCAAACCTCACACCCGCCGGCTCATGGCTTAGTTCACTCTTCACCATTCATTGACCCATCATTTATAAATTCTGGCTTGTTACCTCATATATTGAGAAGAACAAAACTGATTCAGTGTGAGGGCACTGACGATCGCCATACGTGCGGATGAAGATGGTAACAGGCAGGGCCCACAGGTCATTTCCTTCTGTTGCTGATACCGTACTGTAAGAGAAAAGGACATCAAAGGGCCGTCAGGAATCTGCGCTTGATTGGCGTAAACAACTGCAAACTGCATCGATTTGGGCAGCTGAACCGTGGTTCCGAATGCGCGTGGGTGGCGCATGCATTCTCAAAGGTGGTGTTGATCTCCAAGCCGATGTTCAGGAGCTTCAACGATTAGGTTTCAAGCTGCGAAGTGGCGCAAAAATTGAACCGGTACAGGGCGGCCGTTCGGATACATGGCACGGTGACATTACGCCCGAATTTACAGGTGCATTTCCTGCAGGATATACTTGTTACAGTCCAGGGGCGTCCACACGCATTCCTGCTGCTGGATGAGCGGCGCGCTGGTATGCCTCGAGCGGTGATAGAACTCTCTAGCCGGTGAGGTTGACTTCCCTGTGTCCTCAGGGCCCTTGCAAGCCCTGAAGGGGATCGCACACTGCAACCGCATTTTGGTCTTGGAATGCTCCCATGTTACCATGCAACTGCGAGTTCACGGCGCTGTGACCTGCATGTCGTCCGTGAGCTTGTTTCCGCATGACAGGTACGGTGCCGTGCATGTCGGACGTTGAGCTTATCGCACATGTGGGCAATGCAGGCTTGAGAACATGCAGAAAAGCTTTCGACAAGTATACATGCTTGCACCAGCCAGCTATGGACATGCCCTGACTGCAGAAATGGCATCCAGGTAAGATACTGCTCTCCGGTAGGACTTATACTCAGCGTGCCCCCGTCCCCAGCAGCAAGGTCCTTTTCCCCCAGCAACATGGTCCGGGCTCGCTGGGTTTGGCGGGTTGGATTGCCCACTCATCATAGTTGGACTTCCCTTAGCGGCCCCCAGCAAAATAGAGGCCGTGCACCTCCAAAGCGAACACAACGCTTCCAGTCACAGGCGGCCTTCTGCCGTTGTGCAGGCACCCCACCGTGCCTGTGATGACGTTCAGCGACAATGAGGACGCGGTAGGAGCCAGCGTGCGGCTGGTGGATGCGCTGGCGGGGGGAGGCGAGGGAGAGATGAGCACGGCGGAGGTTGATGAGCAGGTAGAGAGAGCCTTGCAGCGTCCCGACGGCCTGCCTTCACGTGTGAGTGACGCATCACCCATCATCTTGCCCTCCCTCTCGCATGCTTGTGGTGTACCGCCAGCGGCTAGCTGCAGTTGTGGGCGACGCAGCCATCGTCGCCACCATGCAGGCAGCTGAGATGGCAACTGGCGATGTGATGGCTGGCTTCGGTGACGTTGGTAACGAGGGGTAGCGTGTGTGGTATGTCTCACATGGATATCCGGGGGTGCACCCCGGTACGACCCATGTGTATCGCAAATTCAAGGCCGTGTGCATGGTCTCGTCGTTCACATGCTGCATGGGTTTAATGTAGTTGGGTTTGCCGACCGTGACGATTGACTGCTCGGGGCTTTAACAGCAGCTTGGGCAGCTTCATTAGGGCAGCTTCCCAAGCGATGGGACCGGTCCAGGCAGGGTCCAGGTGTAGAGTCGGCGTCTCTACTGGCCAGGATTATTGGTGTTAGACTTCCTCCTCTAAAGCCTGAATGCGGGAGGCCAATGCATAACGGGGATAGAGAGACCGACGCAGGCTACGAAATAGGACGTGCTAGGCTCCATGCGTGTACGAGCACGTACCACTTGTTGCAGTACGGGAAGGATGGCGGGAAGTACGTAGACTTTGTCATATCCATATGTCTTTCTGTAGGGCTTACATTCAACCAAACTCCTCTTGGTTGAATAGGTTTCATAAATGAACGTCACAGCTCCTCGTGTCGATGCCTGTGGCCGGGCACAAGGCCTTAGCCGCAGCGGTCGCGTAGCACCTCTTGCTATTCGCAGTCGTAGCCGGAGATGCACTGTCAGTATCGCAGCAGTTGCGGCGCCAGAGAAGACTGCGTCTGATTACCAGCGCCCCGATGCAACCGGTCGCTTTGGGAAGTTTGGTGGCAAGTATGTGCCGGAGACGCTAATTCCAGCTCTGGAGCAACTGGAGATTGATTACAAGGCTGCTATCGCGGACCCAGCGTTCAAGGCAAGACCTGGCAAAGTGGATTGTTGGCTCGTCGCTCGTGGCTTGTTGGCGGCCACCCGTTAGCACGACCCAGTGGCCAATAGCTCTTTTAGATTTGCGTTTTTCCTAACTTTTTATTGTTGGTCGCGGGGTTCGCAGGCTGAGATGGACGCTATCCTCAAGGACTACGTTGGTCGTGAGACGCCCTTATACCATGCAGTGCGTCTATCGGAGCAGTACACAACGTGAGGCCGCTCTTTATGTATCTGGTTCCCTGGCCCTTAACTCCCGACCGGCCTTGGGTCTTAACGCTTTCCACCTGCATTGTGCAGTGCGGACGGCGGCAAAGCGGAAATCTACCTAAAGCGGGAGGATCTGAACCACACGGGCGCCCACAAAATTAACAATTCGCTGGGACAGGCGCTGCTATGCAAGCGGTTGGGAAAGAAGCGTATCATTGCGGAGACGGGCGCTGGACAGCACGGCGTGGCGACGGTAGGAAACGGAGTATGCCCACATGCCGGATGCCATTGACATCCTGGGAGAGCACAGCCGTGTGGGGGGAACGAGTACAGGGCACCATCGTACGCACCGGATGATGTAATTACCCCGCACTCCCATCCGTTTGCCTAGGGGTCCGACTCCCCGCCGTGGTCCCCTCCTCCTCACCGATAATGTAGGCAACCGTCTGCGCCCGCCTGGGCCTCAAGTGCATTGTGTACATGGGTGCTAAGGACATGGAGCGCCAGGCCCTGAACGTGTTCCGCATGCGTCTGTGCGGTGCTGAGGTGCGCCCTGTGCACAGCGGCACAGCGACGCTGAAGGATGCTACTAGCGAGGCCATTCGCGACTGGGTCACCAATGTGGAGACGACGCACTACATCCTGGGCTCAGCCGCTGGGCCGCATCCGTACCCCATGATGGTGAGGAAGGCATGCTGGGCTGCTAGCAGGTTGGGTGGACTGTTTGGGCATTAAGTGGGCGTTGCGAGGGCATAGGCACGCCATGCGTAGGTGGCAGGGTACAGGATGGCCACCCCTGGGGTCGCAGTGCTAACAGGCGGCATGGAGAGGCTATGGATGCGCATCAGGCGGCTTGCATGTCACGTAACGGAGACGCACGGAGACGTCTGTGCTGAGAGCTTGCTGATTAACGAGGGTGGGAACAACTAGAGAACCATCGTTGCGCAAGCGTGGTGAAGCCATGCAAAATGTCATCCTGGGCACGCTTGAAGCCGTGCAAATACCTCTTAGCGATTTGGGTCGGTGGAAGAATGCACGGGTCTGTGTTGGGGAGTTCGATTCGAGTACGCCGTTTGCCTGCGGTGCTGTCAGCGCTCGGCAGGATGTTAGGCTCGCCGTGACGGGGCTCATCCGCGCCCTGCCATGAGTGAATGGCCATTACAAGGGTTCCCATGTCCCCCTGTCCGCAGGTGCGCGAGTTCCAGTCGGTCATCGGGCGCGAGACGCGGCAGCAATGCATGGAGAAGTGGGGCGGGCTGCCGGACGTTGTAATGGCGTGCGTGGGCGGCGGCTCCAACGCCATCGGCATCTTTCACGAGTTCATTGATGAGCCCACCGTGAGTGGGCGGGAGCGGAGGGGCTGGCGGTGGCGGTGGTGCTGGCGGGAAAAGAGCTTGCGGAGTTGCAGGGGCGAGTGGTGAACATGCATGCTTGTCTACTGTCCCTTGGTTCTGGTCTTAGCTCTTAGTGCTCTCCTCGCACTTGGCTCTTCTGTTGCTGCGCCCTGCAGGTGCGGCTGGTGGGTGTGGAGGCGGGTGGCGAGGGCGTGGACACCAACAAGCACGCCGCCACGCTGACCAAGGGCTCCCCCGGCGTGCTGCACGGCAGCTACAGCTACCTACTGCAGGATGATGATGGCCAGATCATTGACCCACACTCCGTCAGTGCGGGGTGAGCACAGCAACTGGAGGAGTCGCTGTGGTTCACTAGTTTGAGAGGGCATTTGCCATCTGGGTCACGGCGGCATCGGGCCCTTTTCGTGGCATGCATATGTGTGGCAGAAGGAAGCCTTCGCGGTTCCTTGCAGCGGGTGCCAAAGATGATCCGGGGGTTGCTTGTGGAGCTTGTTTTGGAGGTGGTTGTTTGACGGCAACCGCGCAGGCGCTCCCCGCTGTTCCTGAAACGCAAGCAAATACGCGACCAGCACCCATGCCAGGCTTACCCAGCAATGCGTTGCTCGCCCCTGATCCCTGATGCCTTCGCGCCGCCCGTCTCCCCCACAGCCTGGACTACCCAGGCATTGGCCCCGAGCACTCCTTCCTGAAGGACGTGGGCCGTGCCGAGTACCACGCCATCACGGACTCGGAGGCGCTGGAGGGCTTCCAGCTGCTAAGCAGGTGGGCGGGAAACAGGGGGCACTGCGCATCGGGGGGTAAAAAATATATAATGAGACACTGACGATGCAACTGATGAGCTCATCGGGGGGGGGGCGCATGGTAGGGAAAGTACGGTACCCGGGCGGGGGCTTTGGGTGAGGGACAGGGTACAAGCATCTTACGCAGCTGTTTGGGATAGGACCAGAGCCCCGTGTCGCACGTGGTTTCTGTGCAGGTTGGAAGGCATCATCCCGGCGCTGGAGACCAGCCACGCCATCGCCTACCTGCCCAAGCTGGTGTCCACGCTCAAGAACGGCACGCGTGTGGTGATCAACTGCTCAGGCCGTGGCGACAAGGACGTCAACAACGCCATGAAGTACCTGGATATGTAAGGGTGGCATGTAGTTGAATGATGGTTGTGGGGTTGTGGGTGGTTGAGGAGTGGGGGACGAGGAGTACAGTGAAGCGCAGTAGCGGAGGGGGCTTCGTAGAGAAGGGTTGGGCGGTATTAACGGATGAGGTGTGGGGCCTGCGTGCGGGCGAGCGCGCAAATTGGCAAGAGTGTGGACGGCCGTTGGCTGCAAAGCTTAAGGCCGTCCTGCGATGGGTGGGCGCTTAGACTTGCTAAGCTGTGTCATGCCAACAACGGCAACAGGTGACCAGATTTCCTTTGGCTAGTACCAAGAGTGGAGAGCGAGAGTGGCCCTCACGGACCCTAGCTTAGTGTTTCGGAGGCTCCAAGGAAGAACGGTTGCTTTCAATAAAATTGCATATTGACATATGCCTTTATTCAAAAAGCTGTGTTACGCACTTAGACGTCGTCTCCTATTTTTGTAAAAAGACGAGGCGCGCATGCAATTTCCCAAGGCGACATAAGCGAGCGACTAACATTTGTTCAGCCCTTCTCTGTATGCTTTTGGCATATGTAATACGCAGCACTGGATTGGTATCCCTCGTTTCTGGTCGGAAAAGGGATAGCCGCCAGCGGTTAACCAGCCCAAGCCCCGAATGCTGCCGTCTTCGCCAATTTAAAGCAGCTACTAGCCCAATTTTACCAACTGGTTACAACTGTCGACGCAGCCAGACAGTTGGCGCTTTTGCGCCAGACGGCATTGGCGAACATGGCGGTGCGTTGACTTTACAGAGAGCATGCTTATGGATACGTGGGGGGAAACATATAAGCTGGTGACTATGCAGGAGGATGGGATGCTGACGAGCTTGGAAGAGCCTTACAAGTACCTCCGCCAGCTGCACGGGCTTTGGCCAGAGCTTTGCAGGAGGTTGGCCGGTTGCCCCAAGGGGTTACAGCACAGGATGTTGGAAAGCGATGTCGCATCCTTCAGCAGGACCTTGGGCTTAACTCAACACAGGTACGGCTAGGACAGGGACTAGTGTAACGAACAGCTTAGTGTCCCTGCACCATAGGGGTGCTTGGGCGGCTCCGGAGGGAGGGGATACAGGCAGAAAGTGGAATCCTTCGAAGGGATGTGTTCAGAACGGGTCCTGTGCGTTATCCTGCCGAGCCCAAAGCTGCAGGAAAGACCTCATGTTTGCCCCTTTTTGGCCTTGCAGGTCGCCCGTATGCTTTCCCTCCAGCCCAAGCTGCTTTCCTGCCCCACAGCAACCCTCCGCGCCTGCGCCGTGCAGCTCGCTGCCGGGCTCAGCAGCAACGCCGCAGTGCCAGCTGCGGCGGCTCGAAGCGGGAGGGCCTCCTCGGCGCCTGCCATGCAGCCGAGGCCCCAGAGCTACGGACCGGCAGGGGGAGGCAGCCAAAGCAGCCGAACTAACCAACCAACAGCGGCGGCTGAGATGCCGTCTCCTAGAGTCCGCAGTCCTGATCCGCGGCTTTTGCAGCCGGTGCCCAGGAGGGTACGGCAGGAGGACCTCCAGGAGACGACCATGGCGGGGCCGACTGCAGGGGACAACATGGACGCAGCACCTCAGGCACGGCACGCTCCTGCCCAGCGGCGGGCAGGCAGCGACGGCGGCGGCGGCAGCAGCAAGGTCCCTGGCTCGGACACCTCTGCCGCCGTCTCAGCGGCGGAGGCCATAGCCATCATCGCCCGGCAGCCAGCGCTGCTGGGGCTCTCACTGGAGCGGCTGTGCGCCCTGTGTCACGAGATGGCCCGGCTGCTGGGTACGACACCGTACGAAGCCTGCATGTGCCTCACGCGCCTGCGGCCTCACGAGCTGGAGCAGGTGCTGCAGGCTCCGCTGCCCAAGATGCGCAACGTGTGGCGGGGGCTGGTGGCGGCGCTGGCCTCCCTGGAGCAGCTGCAGAACGGGCCCGGGCAGCAGATGCAGCACTCACCCGTGGTTGCTACCTCGGCCACCGGAATGCCTTCTGACGATGGGGATGACGGTGGTGGTCCTGGGGAGCGGCAGGAGCAGGTACAGCAGCAGCAGAGGCAGGGGCAGCAGCAGCAACATGTGGGGCAGTTTGGCCAGGTGGCACGACCGCAGCCGGCCTTCCGGCCCAATCTCTCGCCCATCTCCACACGTGGCCCCGAATGCGCCGTACAGCGCATGGTGCTACTGTGCCCTCAGTTACTGTTCATGCCGCCCGATGGGGTGCGCGCATCCGCACGTCACCTTGGCGCCTTGCTGCGCCTTCCCTTCCCCCGCCTGCGCCACCTCCTGGTGCGCAGTCCCCGGCTGCTGCTGCTGCCTCCGCGCCACCGCATCCAAACCATGCGCGCGCTCACAGCGGAGCTGGGACTGCGTGACCCACATCACGCAGCGCGGCTGGTGACCCAGCAGCCCAACCTGCTCAAGTGGACGCCGGAGGCGCTGTACGACAAGCTGGCGGAGACGGCGGCGGCGCTGGAGCTGCCGTACAGCGGCGTGGCGCGGCTGTGCCGCAATCAGCCCGCGCTGCTGGCCATGTCGGCGAGCTCCCTGGCGGCCAAGTTGCGGCACCTGCAGGCTGCGTTGCACCTGCCGGACGCCGCGGCGGTACGACAACTGGTGCTCCGACAGCCCGCAGCGCTGTCCATGTCCAGCAGCGCGGTGGACCGGAAGCTTCGGGAGCTGGCGCATGGGCTGGGCCTGGGAAAGCGGCCCATGCATGATGGTACGGCAGCCAGTGCGGATGCGAATGGCGGCGGACTGGTGGCAAAGGGCGTCAGCATCGCACAGGTGCGGCAGCTGGTGGTGGCTGAACCCACGCTGCTGACATTGAACACGGCTGCCATGCCGCAGCGTTTTGTGATGCTGGCAGAGCTGCTGGCTGCACCCACGCTGTTCGCGGTTCGGGATGCGGCGCTGGGCTGCCCGCGGCTGCTGGTGGTGCAGCGGGAGGCGCTGCTGCATCGGCTGCAGGAGCTGACATGGGGCCTGGAGGCCCCGGCGGCTGCCGTACGGAGCCTGGTGCTGGCTCGTCCTGAGCTGCTGTTCTTGCCGCTTGAGCGGATCCGGGCCGCAGTCGATGAGGCGGTAGCTGCGGGCGTGGGTAAGGGGTTGCGTGGGCGGATGCGGGCGGCTGCGTTGTTGGAGAATTTGGCACGAGAGCCGTGCGGGCTGCTGCCGGATGGACTGCAGGATGTGTTGTATTTGGACTGAACACTGAAGCTGGCTGGGTGCGATTGGAGTGTATGCTGTGTTTCCTTGTGCATGTCATTGAAGTGGGAATGGGCTGAGTGCTAGCTGTGATCAGAGCCTTTAGCTAAACAACGAACGAACAAGATCCAAGAGCACACAGTGCTTGTTTTCCCTAACGTATGACTTGCAAGTAACCATTGCAATGGATTCCATTGGCCTACCCCCCGGGTCTCTTCACGGGCGCCAAGGCCCCTTGTTGCCCCTTGCCAGGCATGCAACACTGCCTTGAATCACTGGCTTTAGCCAGGAAAGTGCACGTATACCAACTGCTACTGCTATACATTCTCACATGCCGTCCTCGTCTTCGTCTTCCTCCTCACCCGCCTCCTCATAATCCTCCCCATAGTACGTATCCACCAGCTCCTCCGCCCACGCCTGCAGCTCCGGAACCCTGCAGCCCCCAGTGCCGTACTGCACCGCCTCCAACGCATCAATCCCGTCCAGACTCTCCACCAGCTGCGCCCCGCGCTTCAGCCCGCTCAACACGAGGCTCACAAACCGCAACCCCGCATGCACCGCATCCGCATCCGGACTTCGCAACAACGCCAAGAAGCAAGCCAACACACCCTGCTCGTCCCGACCGCGCACACCCACACCCAACAAACGCAGCATCTCCAAGCTTCCCGGTCCCGGACCACTACCGCCGCTTCCATCATCACCACCACCGCAACCACCACCACCAGCTGCTGCTCCTCCGCCTCCTGCTGCTCCTCCACCCGCTCCCTGGCAGAGTGACGTGATCGCAGCCGCCGCTTCCTTTCGGATGTCCAAGGCGGCGCCCCGCAGTAGCCCCGTCAGCGCCGCCAGCACCCCCGCCTGCCGTACAGCCGCTCGCAACGCATCCACCGCCACGGCACCCGCGCGACATGCGCCCCACGCTAGCCCCGCCGCCAGCCCCGCCGCCGCCCGCACCACCCCTCGGTGCGTCACACGCCCCTCCAGACATGCCAACAGCGCCTGCATGCCACTTGCAGTCGTGCTGCCATCCGTACTGCCAAAGGCAGCAACACCAACATGAGCGGCTGCAGCTGCACCCCGATCATCCTCCATGGCCGCTGCGGCTGCGAGCGGGGCCGGGGCATCCATGTTGCTGCCAACGCCAGTGGACGCGGGCAGCGGCGGTGGCAGCAGCGGCAGCGGTCTGGCTGCCTGCAGCTCCGCCAGCACCAGCAGCGCCTGCGCGGGCTCCGCAGCGATGTTGGTGAGGACCAGCAGCAGCGGCAGCAGCGCCTGGTGCAGCGGCTGGGCGGCCTCGTGGCTGGCGGGGTCCTCGCCGCTCAGCGCGGACTGCGGGAAGGGTCAGAAGGGTGAGTGAAAACGTGGGGCAGAGGCGCGCTGCTAGCTAAGCAGGTGAAGGTGCTGTAGTACTGTCGCACTCAGGAAGGCGACGTACAGCTGTCACAAGTGCTTTGGAACTGACACAAGGGGCTCGGGAGGCCGCTTTTCGGATGACGTCAGCCGTCACGCAAGACCCACCGTGTCCCCAAACGACCCACAGCAAGCCCCTGCTTGCAAGAGCACTCACCGCCTGATGCACGCAGCGCAGGGTGCAGGTGAGCAGCCCCGGCAGCAGTCCGCCCCCCTCCACAAGCGCCCCCACCGCCCGCGTCCCGCCCGCTGCGCTGCAGAAGGCGAGCAGCCAGGCTGCCTCCCGCAGCAGCAGCAGCGGCGGGTGCGGTAGCAGCAGCAGGCGGCGCAGACCCGCCTGCAGGTCGGGTTGCGAGGCTAGCTGCGAGGTCTGCGGGCTCAGGGAGAGCAGCAGCAAGGGGGTGGTGCCGTCAACACCAAAGTACACATTTTCTCGTTCGTACCTAGATGCATGCCGGAGGTTGGGGAAAGCAGCGAGGGTAAAAGGGTTCACCAGTGAAGAACCATTGACCATGACCTCGTGCGTGTAGGGTTATTCGGTAAGGGTTCTGGGAACTTCTAGCGCGCAGCTCAGCGCACAGATCCGCTACAAGCGCAGAACTCCAGTCGACATCCGTGCATTCACGGTGCCTCACTCATCCCACCTCGCCTCATCGCCTCACCTCCTCGGTCCTTCCGCGCACCATCATGCCAAGGGCCCACAGTGCCGTGCCGCAGCACCGCACCACGCCCGCCTCCGCCACGCCGGCCGCCAGCGCTCCCGGCGCCGCCGCCACCTCCGCCGCACCGCCCAGGGCTGCCAGCAGCAGCTGCAGCAGCGGCGCCGCCGCCCCCTGCCCCAGCAGCAGCCCCTGCAGCTCCGGATTCCACCCTGTCGTGTGCAAAAACAAGCCGGGTACCACGTATCGGTTCGCGACAAAGGTAAGTCAAGCAGGGTGAGGCTGCGGAGTGGGCAGTCCTGTGTAGCGGCAAGCGGCTGCAGGTAATCGCAGGCTTGAGAGCAGTGCAGGTGATTGCGCCGGAATAGGCAAGAAGGCAAGCTCGAGGTGCGCAGTGTGAAAGCATGCCCAGGATGCGGGGCCGGGGCCTGGAACCGATCCCTGCGTGCAGTACCTGCGATGGCACCCATCACGGCCGCTAGCTGGTCAGCCGCCAGCCAAGTCTCCTCCTTCACACCGCCGCTGGCGCCGCCAAGTCCCCCGGCTGTTGCCGCTGGCGCCGCTGCTGCTGCTGCCGCTGCTGCTGCCGAGAGGCGGCTCATCAGCACTGGCGCCGCCGCCAGCACCCCTCGCGCGTTGTCCGGGCTGCTGCCTGCGATGAGCTCCAGCGCCCACACGGCACGGCGAGCCGCGTCTGCATGCGCGTGGGTTGCATGCGGAGTTCGGTAGGAGTGAGGAGAGGTGTCCGGTAGGGGGCCACAGTCATCAGCGCCTTGCTCACCCTTTGACCACAGCACTGTCATGCCATCAGCACCGCTTTGACAAACCCATCACGGCTTCGCTTCCCACTACTTCCCACTATTTCCATCTCATCAGCAGCTCCCATGCATGACGCCCATGCAGGGTAACTAGCCCTGCAGCCCACAGGTCCGCCCCCTCCACAACGCACCCGGCGGCAGTTGCTGCGGCCCCAGCTGCAGCAGCTGACCCAGCGAGGCTACCGCGCCTCCCGCCACCGCCGCATGCACCGCCTGGTGACTGCCTGCGTGGGGCACAAGAGGAGGTGGATGGTGCCGTTGGAAGCTGAAGTGCAGGCGTGAAAGGGGTATAGCCACCACGGTGCAGTAGGGATGGTGAGCAGGGGAGCCCCAACGGTTGCGACCAAGGAAGTAAGGACACCACCTCGTGGCTTTCCTGCCCTCGCCCTCGCCCTTACCCGTGGACAGCAGTGTTGCCAGCTGCTGCAGCGCGACCTGCCACTCATCGGGCGCCACCTCACCCCACCGCCGCAGCGTGCCGCTCACCACCCGCACACGCTCCGCCAGCACATCACCGCCCAGGGAAGCCAGGCCCGCCTCGGAGGCCTCCCCCGAACAGCCGCCACCAGCTGCGGCACCGCCCGCCAGCTCCGCCAGCAGCCGACGGCTGCGCAGCGCGACATCCCGCTGGCGGCTGGACTGCTCGTGGACCTAGGGGTGAGGGGTGCGGATGAAGGGAGCGGGGAAAGAAGAAGACCCAATGTGGTGAGCGGGAGCGAGATGGTGTGCGACATTGTGTTCGTGCTGCTTAGCCGGATCGTACTGGTGGAAGCCAGGTCATCTGGTTCGCATAACTCGTTCGCCCACCTGTGCCCTGCGCCTGCCAGTCGCGGCGGCCTCGTTGAGCTGGTTCCTAGCCTTTGGGTCGGTTCTCCTGCATGGGCGAAATGGTTACCGGCATACCGAATGTAGGTAGGAATCGCGTCGAGCCAGGTAATTCGTGTAATTTTCACTTGTATCATGCTGAATGAGTTCATCACTCAGCATAAGGAGAGTGCTGCGATCCGCTATACCTGCTCATCCTCAGCCGTTGGTCCCAACAATCATAGTGACAGACAAGCAATGCCTTACACAAGTGCGCTACTCAAGCGGTCGCTTCATACAGAGTTGAAGGTCTGCTATTTTCGCCCTCCGATGCTGGTTTCGGGGAGCTATGTACAGCAGTTTTTTCGCGGGAGGTCTCACTAACATGCTTTGGCAGCTTCCAATCCTAGAGCCAGCATACTAGGTCCACAGTCCACGAAGGTTTACAGTAAAACATTTTGTTCGTTTGCTGTGAGGTGTTACATCGTAGAGCACCGAAGTTGAGATGTCCGAGCTTGGAAGGCGTGCACGTGACCTTCTGAAGGAGCTCAAGAGCTATGGCCCCCAAACACTATCACCTTACAACGTACGTTTCATAGATGTTAAGAAACAACCCTCCTTACCTTCGCCGGGTATCAGGACTGACACCAGGCACCGGCCCTTTAATTCATGCAGGAGGAGCTAATTCGGCTTATATTCAGCGAAGTGGACGAGCACAACGCGCAAACGGAGGCCATAGTCAGGTGCGGTTGAGGGATGGTAAGGTGATGCACAGCCATTGGCTGGCCATGGACACGTTTTGCAGTCCTTTTCTGAGGGGATTCCCCGCTGCCTCCTTGCAGTGAGCTACGACGACGACAGCAGGAGGGCGAGGAGAACCAGGAGGTCGATGAAGTGACCGCTACCACCATGTGCCTCCACTACGAGTGCATAAAGCGCAACAAGCGCCTGCTCCTCATCTACATGTAAGTCACTGCATGGCTCGTGACGCATGGCACACCAGAGCGCCGCACCCAATGCTGCTATGGCGCCTCTGCAAGCTGGCACCTCGTGTGTCTACCTGTCCAAACACTAGCATGCCAGGGGCTTTACGGCAGGGCACACGCGGAGAAGTGCACCTATCCACGCTGGTACACGCAGCAGCCACCTCACAGTGTCCCTCCCCGTATTAAGACATTTAAGGGCCCCCCTGCACTGCGCTGCCCCGCCCCCCGCCTCCCCGTGCCGCAGGAACGAGCGCATGCAGCGGCTGCGGGATATGCGGTGGACGCAGCGCACCTTGCCGGAGGCGCAGAAGGCGCGCTGCTGCCAGAGCGAGATACAGGTGGGCGGTGTGACCTGGACTGGGGCAGGCCGTGACCTGTTGGAAGACTGGAGCCTGTTGGGAATGCGGCCTTGGAATGCAACCCTTCTCAAACATGCATCGTCCCTAGAGCCGTCCCTAGAGCCAGCCATAGCTAGAGCCGCAGGCGTGGACTTGCGCCTGGGGACACGAGCCTGAGGACCGCACCCTTCGCCCGTTCTTGGCCCATTTCATTACACCGCCTGCCACCCTTTGGCCAATATGTCTCCTGGCCACGTCCATACGCGCAGTTCTACAACGACTACTCCCGGGTGCTGTCGACCTACATGTCCCGGTCCGAGGGGGTGGGCATGGACTTGACGCTGGTGGGTGGGTGAGTGAGCGGCAGGGAGACCAGGGTGAACTGGGGATCTAAGACTAAGCATGTGGTGAGGCTCCACCATGACGGCAATGGATGAGGAAGATTGAGAAGGTCGTGGTGAACGGAGGGAGGAGAAAGATGGGGAAGGTTGGAAGACAGAGCTGTATCGCGGCCCAAGGCTGGGTTGTACACTTGTACTGCCTCGTACACCTGGGTGCTCGGCGGCTGGCAGGGTAGCGTTGTGCGTCTCAATGGCTCCGGTCGGTGCTCTTTGGGCCCTCAACGTTTTCTACTCACTCGTTATTCACACCTCATCGCCCTATATCCCTTCCTGACCCCTCCCTTCCACGTCTCCTCCCCTTCCAACCTGTGGCTTCCTATGGTTCGGTATGGTCTTTGACCCCTTCCACTCGGTCCCTCAGGACACCAAGCCACCCAAGGACACCTTTGTCAACGTGCGCGGTCTCAAGGACGCAGGGGAGGTCATTCTGTCGTACGGCCGCGCAACCATTCTGTACGGCACCACGGTCAGCCTGCCCGCGGAGGAGGCGGAGCCGCTCATCCGTGATGGCACGGTGGAGCTGGTGGAGTGGGACGACGGCTTTGGGCGCAACAAGCAGTAGAAGTAGTAGCAGCATGGGCAGGAAGGGGAGGGTGAAGTGGCTGGAGCGTCTGGGAAGAGGAGGGGAAAGGGTAGGGTTAGGTAGCAGTATGGGTGGGAAGAAGAGGGATAAGGGGAGGGTTAGTGGGTGGCTTGTGAAGTGGCGGCATGCAGGGGAGGTGCTGGGGCCGAGGGAGGTAGGAAATGGAGGGAGGGCGAGTGTGGTATGGGACTTGCATGAAGCCCCTGGGGCCGCTAGGCAGGGTCCCGGTGCCTCCTGGTTTTCGCTGGAGCGATAGGTACGCGCTGTATGCGAGGGGCCACTGGGGGAATATTGTTGGCTGGTGTAGGGCCCAGCGGGATGTGGGATAATGGAAGGACTGCTCTTTCCGTAGGAATTACGGTATGGACGGCGGTAGAGGGGCTCTGGGGTGTGAATCTCTAAGCAGATCTAAGGCTGCTGAATGTGCTATTTGCATGCCCTGGCGTGCGCCGAATGCGTGTGGAGTGTCGGGTGGTCGACGCTTTCACAGATCCCTTTTACAGAACCCAAATCAAGCTCCGCTCCTCACCCCCTGGCCGACGCCAAGTGGACGTCCCAAGTCACCACCTTCACTCCCTCCCGCTCTAAATCTTCCTAAGGATCGACCTAAGCCGCCCATCGGAAGAACATCACCCCCTGTACACGCTTCTCTGGGACCTGGATAGCGGCATTGACATTGCATTCTAGGAGCTAGGACACCACAGTACGATACATCACTTCTGCCGTACAATTGCTCCCTCTCAGATGCAGGCCGCCAGCGCTCGCTCAACCACGTCCCGCAACCGCTGCTTCTCCTCTTCGCTCGCAAACGTGTACTCGACGCTCTTCCGTACTAGCTGGTGTAAGGCCGCAACTACATGATGGGGTGTACGGCATTGGGGCGGGGGGACGGGCTCACGCGGTAGGTGGGATACGTGGGGATTGTAGGGTGAGTGCACTGGATTGCAAAGATCCCGTACTCCCGTGCCATCGGAGCACAGCGCCGGCTCATGATCCGGTCTCCCGAACCCTGACATCTCGAGCGCGAGAGAGAGTGTGTGTGGTATGCGTTCCCGCGGAGCAGGGACCTGGCACCCCGTCGCACCTGGCAGGTTGAACGCGGCTGCTGCGATGGCATACTCCCGGGAGAGGGTGGTGCCGAACACGCCCGAGTCGTCCTGGGGGTGCGGCAGAAGGGCGGCGTCACGGGCGGGTGCAGCATGCAGGCCCCATGTAGAGTTACACAACCCCACCCCGGTCACGGTCAGTGTTTCCTCGCGGCTCAGTTACCTAGTGACCCCGCCCCGCCCCACTTCGCCCCCCCCCGCTCAGCTCCGCCCCACCGTGCACACGGTCAGTGGTCAGTGGTTCCCTCTTTACCCCACCGTGCACAGCACCACGGGGTGTCCCGCCGCATGCAGCTCGGCGAAGTGGTGCTCCGGATAGGAGGGCACCGACTCGGTCAGCAGGTTGCTGGTCAGACACAGCTCCAAGGGGATGGCGGAGGCCTGCGGGCGTTGGGCAGGGAGTTGCAACTTGAGATGGGATGGCGGAGGGGGGCCATGACAGACCGATGGGTCAGCACAACCGGTGGCAAGCCCTTTCCGGTGCTTTGAGGAGCCATCACGGGACAATTCCACCATGTGCGGTATCACAGCCCTGCAGACATCAGACAGTTCAGCAGGAAATGACTGTATGCATGCAGCCCCGCATCTCCGTCGCTCCCCCCTCACCCGCAACTGCTCCCCGAGCTCCGAGTCCAAGCAGCAGCAGTGCCCCAGCCGGTCAGGACGGAAGGCCAGCATGGCCGCAGTCTCCCGCGGCGCCACCACCTCCCCCGCGTGCAACGTGATGCTCAGCCCCGCGGCCCGTGCGGCGGCGAGGGGCGGCTGCCAGACCTCCCAGCTACCCACGCTGGGGTTACCCGACAGGTCGATTCCCACCACACCTCGGTGCCGGTAGCGAGTCGCCAGCTCCACCTGACGGCCGCGGGAGTAGCGGGCGGCAGCCAGGGAGTGTGATGAAGCAACTGTGAGCCGCAAAACTGAAATTGGACCATGGATGGCGATGGTCTGGGCGTGTATAGGACTAAGCCGCGAGACGACACCAGCCGCCATGTGAACAAACAGCTCTCGTACGCCCCCTATTAACAACAGACCTGTGCCCAATAGCACACACACGACAACAACCGTACATCACCACGACTCCCGCCACCACCGTCACAACCGCAGCACAGAGTGTGTTCGCTCACCGTCTCCATGGCTGACCGCGAGTCCTCCCGTCGGTCAATGCTGAGCAACAGCTTCACCAGGATACCCGCACCGCCGCCCAGCTGCCCCTCACTCACGTCCGGCAGGCAGCCGCCAGGGCCACCTTCTCCTCCGGAGCCGTTGAGGCCTTCCTCGATGCTTGCGGCTGAAGGGCAGCAGCAGGCGGAGGTGTAGGAGGAGGCAGCGGCAGCAGCGGCGGCAGCGGCTGAGGTCCCCGGAACGCTCGCAGCCTCCGCAGGTGATGCTGTTGCCAGTGCGCCTTTCTGGGCGGAGGGCATCGCGGCTTCTTGTTTTTCCATCGACTCCTGCTCCTGCTGCTGTTGTTGCGGTTGCGGTGGTGGTTGTGTAGAGCGCTGCTGTCTCAGCTGCTCCAGCGCCTGCTCCACGCCTTGCAGTACGGCCTCAATGTACGACTCCTTGGTCATGCCGTACTCGGGACGCGACTGTAAAAGCGTCAGCCAGCATGCGCAAAGTGCATGCATGTAGTGATTGGCACGAACAACGATAAGCTTGGCGCCCGGGCGCAGAGTCCTTAACACAGCCCATGACAATTCCTCATTTCAAGTGATCTTAGCCATGTAGCTATCGTCCTGCAGGAGACAAGCTTGGGGCCGGTTGGGACCTCCCACTTCAATCCCTTCCATTGAACATCTCATGCGGTTCGCCTAGCCTCGAGGGCGCTCAACCTTGCCCCACAACTTGCCAATGAAGACTGCTGCTAAGGGCCCCAGTCGATCCCACCTTTGGTGTCGTTCGCAGCTCCAAATACACCGTCCGGTCCGCCGCAAAGTCCCGAACCACCTCGCATGCGATCCGCGAGATGGCGGCGTGAGTGGTTGTGATGGCGTGGATGATGTCGAAGAGGCGGAAGCACTTGCCCAGGGAGCGGTCGCTCGCGGTCACTGTGAGGGGCAAGGAAGCGGCGGAAGGGCCAGAGGAAAGGGAAGGTAAGGAGGAAGACCAAGGGGCAGCGAACGGGCGGGGGTTCAAAAAAGCCAGGCAGTGCGGATACGCTCCTGAGCATGGCTGGGTAAATGCTGGCATATGCGGCAGCGTAGGTTGGGTATGTGGGCTTCATAGGAAGCAGGAAGCAGCACCGCATGGAGTGGGAGAAAGCAAAAGAGACTGAGCAGCAGCCGCCACGCGGGTCGCATGCTGACCTGTCACCTCCTTGAGTTGCTGCTCTGTCACGGCAAGCGCCTCACCCGCCCGGAAGCGCTCTTCCAGGATTTCCCTGGGCGCGCAGCAGGCGGCATCCAGTAGGCGGGCCAGGACAGGGGCATCGTTTTAAGGTAAGAGACGCGCCGGGAGCCAGCATCAGCATCAGCATCAGCAGCAGCAGCAGCGCTGCACGCATGCGCAACCCACGACATCCACCGGTACTCTAGCTCACTATCTCGCCAGCCATGCAAGTCCGGGAACCGCAAAGCTGTATAGTCACTGTATGATGATATGGGGCCGTAGCTGATGTCGCCCCATGGGCCCCTGCCCTTGTCCTACCTGGACAGGCAATCGAGACATGCTTGTGTGTACCCTATCTAGGCCCATTCTGCATCCCTGTCCCTATCATCCGCCCGCAGTGCACACACCCACGCCCCTTGCCACATGCCCCATCGTCCCTCCTCTCGGTCCTTCCCCTCGTGCGCACAGTTCGCCCCTCCCTCATAGCGTCATAGGGTGCACATGCGAGCACGGGTGGCCTCTCACTTGATGGTCTGGGGTCGCACGCAGCCGTTCAGGTGCGCATGCAGCTCCACCTTGGGTAGCAGCTGGCAGGCCCGCAGCAACTCGGCAGAGTACAGCTGCTGCGGCTGGGCGCAATTTAGCTGCCGTTGTGCAGCCTGGTTGCGATCCTGTCTTTCGCTGCTGCTTGATTCGTTGGCTGTCATTGCGGGTTCGCAATTGTGCGGCCTTCGAGCGCAGCGCGAGGGCTGGTGGGAGGAGGAGCCCTTGAAGCCCGAAAATCGCACGTCCGAGAAATCGTGAAGTCACTGGCTTATATATTAGGAAACAATCACGAAGGATTATCAGGCAGTTACATGCGAAATCGATGTGCGTGTGGTGTGCAAGTGCCGCTGCTGCTCATTCGCTTAGACCATCGCTCGACCCTTTAAACAACAGGAAGTAGCCAAACTTTTCATGGAAATGAATGTGTATCAACTGAGCCTAGCGTGGTTGGTCTTCGGGCCCATGGTCACGTGCGGCGCGCTGTGCCTGTGCTGTGAGCCAGCATGCCCAGGCGAGCGTACAAAGTGTCAGTCCCCAGCACGGTTCACGGTGTAACCCCACGCAATGCAACTAGCATCCCTCTACACGTCCTTGAGGTGCTTTGGATGGGGACACGCAAGTCGCCCACTCCTTGCCTCGCTCCGCGCAACCAACCGCTTAGACCCCGCTCTGGGCATCAACCCCCCGAGGAGTATCAGGGCTGCCATGTCCTCCCTCCCCAATGTTTTGTTTAAGGCACGAGCTTCGTTAGTGTCATGTCCTGCTGGCATTGCGTGCGGCGTTTTGGTGTACGGCACGGCTTTGGCAGTTGGCGACACGTCTTCCTTAGCAGAGCATGCTGAGAGTTGGCCCTTGGGACGCGACACACACCATGTGTACAATTCACCTAGCGCCAGCAAACCCGTTGCTCATGACCCATCGCGTTATGGTCAGTACCCCTATATGAACCGTACCCCCGGACTTCTTGCGCTGCTTCACCAGGCAACATGCAGTGCGATGGCAGCAGCAGTGTCAGCCCTTACTTACAGGGGTGTGTACCCATAAAAACACCAGTTACCGGTAGCGCTTGCTTCATTTCCGTACAGGCAATCCGTACACCCAACCACTGGTAACCGTAGTCTCAACCGCGTGGGGCCGCTAGCCCGTTACACGAACAAACGAGCACATGTAACCCCACAACAACGCCCATGGCCCAGGCCAAACCCAACTAAACCGCCACACATGCAACTCACACGGCCTCAAACGTAAGCCGCCATTGCTCCGGTCTGCATCAACCCATGCCCGTCATCTAAGGCTAAGGAAACACTTTGAGAAACCGTGCACCACTATGGTTCACCATTTGTACGACAGTGTTCCTCATCATCATCAGGCTCAGGGGGATGCCCTCACACGTTAGGTAATTCGGCTACTGTGACTGTATGATAAAACCCAAATGATTTTGCGAACGTTTGCCAAAGATGATTTCCTGCCAACAACAGCCGAATAGACATAGCCCCAGCAAACACGTGCAACCACAACTGTATAGCTGCTTCACACCACACGGGCTCACGGGGGGCAATTATTCATAACACACAGAAAGTTCCTCAAGACAGAACACAACAGACCACAAAGGGTGGCTTGATATGTGTGTTGCTCGCTCCGAAGCCCTGACACTACCGTAACATACACAGTATGACACGCGGCTTACAAGGGCGCTTAGCGCTTCTACACAGCAGAGCTCCTCCATAGTACACGAGTTATTGAATCCCTTGAGCCTTCCATCATGCCAAGATGGCAAGCACATGAAGTCACACAAAACAGCACACCACCGCCGCTAAACGGCCGCAACAGCATGCCAGCTAACGGATGACACACCGAACACATATACCGAGTTACTATGGGAATGGGCAATGTTCAGGATTTGGGTTTGCCCTTTTCCACCGAAAGCACATATTATAGTATCGGCACCGCATTGGCCGGCAGTTCCGGGCGCTTTCACGCGCATGAGGAAGGAAGCAGTACGGCATACACACCCGGGCTTACTATCCATTTCACCCCTCAGATAACTTTACGGCGATTACGGTTCAAGAAGCGCCTCGCTGCTCAATCTCTCTGCACATCTGGAATACATCCTAGCCATAGCACGACGGAATGTTAATATCCCATCGCCGCGGGAAGTCAATGGTGATGACATGCCGGCTAGCTCCCTCACATTAGGAAAGGGCTCAGAATGACACGTCAGCGCGGCAAAAAGTGGTTGTACGGAAAATGTATGGTGGCGAGGTTACGGCAACAACGACGGCCGAACCGCAAGCAGTACCATACTAGAGAGACGAACGCCGGGCAGGAGCGCGGATATTGCTGTATCACAATGCTATAGACATGGCAACACAGGGAGCGGTAGCTCTCTTGACAGTAACCAGGGCGCAGGTAGGACAACACAAACATACTCAGCTTCCGCTTGCGCACCGCGTATTATAACATATTGTAGAGACCGAGACAATACAGCAGCGCTTAATATTCAACGTGTTAGCCAACAACCTCCTATGTGGATTTGTGGCCGTACGAAGTAGCAGTGTCGCCCCCGTGTATCATGAGAGATCATGAGAGCTGGTGAGGGGGCCCCGCCTCGCAGCACCGCACACGCCGCGTTGCAGCCGGCCAATCAAGCCAGTCCACACAATGCATGATGCTAGGTGCTCCAGCAAGTAATAAAGTAATTCGGGTATTCTTTGATATTTTTGAAGTGCTTAAGCGTTATAAGCACATAATTAGAGACTTTAGATAGCAGCTCAACGTAGCTAGGGGAGTGGTTTGCGCACTTACCCCTCAATGCCGACTAAGTGCACAGTGCTGTTCCTCCGAAGACGCATGCATGCAAGCGTTGTGTGCCGAAACCAACAAAGCCTCTAATCACCTCAGTTCTATTTCACAAACCCTCCACCCAGCACCCTCATATTGCCATACTATCTCAAGAGAAAAAAGTAACCCCTAATGTTTCCAAGCCGCCTCGGGGCCCTGCGGCTTCAGATGCTCTTCACAACTACCATGCCCGAAATGGGTGCCGGCAACATCGCCGCAGTCGCTGCATTCGTGGCCACCTGCGTAGCACGGGGCAAGGTGTCATAGGGGCACGGAAGCGGTATACACACACTGGGCAGTAGACACGCCCCACCATGCCCCCCCTAACCCATGGTGGCGGCCGGGGGCTGGCCGCCGCATTCCAATGGCTTTCAAAGAAAACACATGGCCACGGGTCCTTGCAGGCGCAGCCAGGAAACACAAGATACGCACGTTACGGCCTAGAAAACAGCCTACGGGGCCCAAAGCTGCGGCCTACGGTGCTGTGCTCGCCCGCTCACCCGGCCTGCACACCCTTCTCAAGCCATGCCTACTGTACCCCCATGCACGTGTCCTCACCTCTCCTGCCTTGCTCTTAGCAGCCACCTTGCCCAGCGCCGACCAGGCCTTCCCTCGGTACACCACGTGCCCCGACGCGCCCATGCCCGCCGGCAGCTCCCCGACCAGCTCGCCGCACACCAGCGCGCACCGCACCCGCAGACCGCGGAACACCACTCCCTCGCGAGGCGGCGTCGGTGAACGCCACACCAGGCTGCCGCTGCTGCCGTCGCCGGCGACTCCTGCCGCCATCGCGCCGCCAGCAGCAGCTGCAGCTACAGCTGCAGCTGCATCCGGCGGTCTTGGTTGGCTTGCCGCTGCTGCTGCTGCTGCCGTCGTAATTGGGGCTGCACCAGCTGCTGTCGCTGTTGCCGGGGCTTTGACGTTGACAGCGGCGGCGAGATCCTCCTTGCCGATGGCCGAGGACTCTCCCTCCTCGCCGCTGCTCCTCAACGACTGCGGTGGCAGCTGCTGTTGCTGTTGCTGCTGTTGCACCCCCTGCTGCGCAGCCCACACTACGCTGCGGCGCTGCAGCCGCTGCCGCGCCAGGCCTGCGTCCGTGTCCAGCGCCCCGAGCACCGCCGGCAGCTCGAACGCCACCTCCTCACACAGCGCGTTGTGGAGCAGCTCGGAGGGCCTGACGGCGGGGGCAGGCCGCCGCGGGAAAAGCGTGAGAGGGTGCGAGGGTGCGAGTGTGATGGATGCATAAAACAAACTCTTCTTACACCCCAACCCAACCCACAACCCAACCCAAGCGCCCCGCCTACCAGTCCAAGCATGGTAGCAGGTCCACCACCCTCAGCAGCCAGGAGGCGCCCACATGCGGCGAGTCCAGCACCGCCGTCATGACGCCCGGCGCGCCGCCGCGACCCCCCTCAGCAGCCGACAGCCAGGAAGCAGCCGCACTGCCCAGCGACGACATCCGAAACGCCGGCCGTACAAAGCCTCCGCCACCACCACTGCTGCCACCGATGCCTCCACCACCGCGCCTGGACCCCGAGGTGGAGCGATCTGTCATTGAAGACTGCAGCCGCGGCGAGTGCGGGGGTCGCCTCGCCGGCGGCTCCGGGGTCAGCGGGGACTGCCCTGCCGCCGCAGCTGGGGCGTGCGCGTCCTCACACCCGGATGCCGGCGAGGCACTCGACGGCTGTAGCGGCGGTGGCTGCTGCGGCGACAGGGAGGAACAGGTGGCTGAGCGTTTGCAGTTGAAGGTTGAGTGGGTGCAGGCCCTCACGCCGCCGCCGCGGCTCCCTCCTCCGCCTCCGGCGCCTCCGGTAGAGGCGCATGAGAACTGAGGGACCAGGCCGGCGCTGAGAGGACCCGTGCAAGCGCGTTCCAGCTGTCCTGACGTCTGGGACGGGGTCAGGCCGGCAGCCGCCGCAGCATACGCCTCGCTCCTCCGCCCCGTCCCGGCAGCCTTGGGGCATTCGGTGTACAGCCCAAACGCGCCTTCCACGATGTACGGCTGCGCCGATCCCGCCGGAACGGCCGTCCGCAACTCCTCCGTCACCGCTTCGTACAACAGATCCAAAGCGTACGACGCCACGCTACGGTTCCATGCAAGCAGCGCGCCCGCCCCCACTACCGTCAGCCTAGCTAACACGCCGTGCTGCATGGGCGCGCAGAGGGCCCCGTGGAAGGGCGGCAGCAGCGCATGGGTGCGCAGGGGGCGCTGAAGGGCAAGGCGTGCGGTGAGGCTGCGCGCGAGGGCTTGGAAGAGGTGCATGTCATGCAGGCCGGCACCCAGGTGGTGTTGACCCATCCACAGCAGGAGCACGTTTTGCAGGGCCTTGGGTGCTGAGGGGTCCAGCAGAAGTTGCTGCAGGGCGGTTTCGGAGAGGAGAATCATGCCGCCGTTGGCTGCGTCGGATACCGCCTGGGAGGGATACCCCGTGTGAGGGAAGGGATTGAGGAAGGGGCAGGCAGGTGGGCTAAGGAGTCCGGTAGGCGAGGCGAGGGGATGAAATAGCAGGCATGAGGAAACCACAAGTAGCGCAAACAGGGGCACCTCATGACAACGACAGCAGCCATCTCATTCATCTTGTCCCACTCCCAAAAGCTCACCTTGGCAAGCCTCAGAGGGTTTCCCGAGTACGCGATACGCCCGCTCGCCTCATTGCACCCAACATCCGCCACGGAAGGCACACCGCTGTGCAGCCCCATGCGAACACGAAGGCCCCGGAACGCGACCACCTGCGCCTCGCGACCCCTGCCGTCAGAGCTGACGTCAGCCGCACCCAGGGCCGCCGCCGCTGATGCCGCCGCAGCAAAGGTGGACCCGTGGGCGCCCACGGCAGCAGCAAGGGAGGCGGCAGCAGCTGCTGCGGCAGGCGAGGATTCCGAGGCTGCCCAGCGGGCATCCCAGACGGCTGCCTGTGGAGGTGCGGTCAGCGACGTGCTGGAGCACGCCTGTTGCAGCACAGTGTATTGCGAGCGAAGGCACTCAGCCAGCGTGGGGCATGCAGAGCTGCCTGCTGCAGCCCTCAGCGGCTCATGTCGAAGAAGAAGCCCAGCACCGACCTCCGTGCCGCATGGCGGCGGGTTGCGAGGCCCCAAGCTGCTTTCCAGGCAGAGCAGACTGTCCTGAAGCGACATCACCGCACTGATCTGTTCGTAGGGGCTGAAGGAGGAGGATTGCAGCGGCGGCGCCAGCAGAGGCCGGGGCTGCTGTCCGGTAGCGGGAGCTGCTGCTGCCGCTGCTGCCGCTGCTGCAGTCACGGCAGTGCTGCTGGTGCTGAAGGGGGAGGCTTGGGAGGCAGCGTTGGCCTGCATGGGCGCGGCTGCGGCTTCAGGCGGTGCAGCGACCTGGCTGCCCTCGAGGGGAAGCATGTTTGGCGATGATATGGCGTTCGAAGCAGGAGGGAGCTGCGGGGTTGAGGCGGTCAGCCCTGCGCCGGCAGCTGTGCAGCTACGCGGCCCTGCTGCTGCTGCTGCGCGCGGCGGGTCGCAGCAGCTGCTGCTGCTGCCGATAAGCGACCCGGAGTGGCAGTCCGAGCAGCGTACGACACACGCCTTACACTCCCTGGTAGTGACCGCCCCACCCGAGTCAGCAGGTAGTGACTGGTGATGATAGGCGGGCGGGGTGCGGACGGGGGCTCCCAGTTGCTGCTGCTGGGGCTGCTGCTGCTGAGGCTGGGGCTGCTGCTGCTGCGGTCTCGCATTGTGGCTGCATTTACGGAAGGGAACGGTCACAACGGCCGCGTCTGCCGCCAGCGTGTGTGACTCGCCGCCGCCACCACCGCCGCCGCCACCTTCCGCGCTGCCGCAGGAGCTGCTGCGCTCCTCCGCCGCAATGCTGCTATGCGTTGCAAGGCTGAGCGGCGTTGCAGCCGCGGAGGAGGCGAGGGGCCCGTCCAGGGAGTGCGGAAACACAGCCGCGGCCGCGGCCGCAGCTGCTGCCACCGGTGCAACAGGCGCCATGTGGGATAGCGACCGCATCAGTCGCGCTCCGGCCTTGCGGGCGGTTGCTGCTGCCGGATGGGATCTAGGTAGGATGCTGCCAGGCGGGAACACGGGGCCTTGGAACGGGGGGAACGGGATGCTTCGGGGCATGTCCTGCGGTAGTACTGGGCTGTCGCTCATTTCACTGGAGGGTCGGGTGGCGTCAGACTGGCGAAGCTCCTGGTGGCTACGTGAGGCGAAGCCGCGTGGGCTTGGGTTGGGGGCGGTAGTGGTGGCGTTCAAGGGGGGCCTGGCCTGGAACGTCGCTCGTTTGGGTGCGGAGGTGGTGGGGTTGGGGGTGGCGGGGGCGGTGATGGCGGGGGCGGGGGAGTTCCTCCTCGAGGGGTGGGCGGACTTGGGCACGTGGACCGGCGGTCTGTGGCAGCGGAATCATGCATACCGGTATACCGGTAGTGCTTGCAACTGTATACGGTCTGAAGGTACGGATACGCACTCTGGTTTGCGAGGTGCAGTTGCTCCGATAACGCCCGAGGGCTGCGACTTTGCCTGCTTGCTTGCCGCAAGCGCTGTCCAAGCCAGGTGGCCACATCCGCGAATGCCCCCCCATCATCCGAGCCCTTCCCAGCCCCATTCTCCCCCTCCAGCCACCGCCCCCGCACGCCCCCTCCGCGCACCTGTGCAGCATCACCAGCAGCCCCGCGGGGTCCTCCTGCGGCTCCACGCCCGGCAGCGGTGCATGCTGCAGCAGATCCGGAGGCCAGGGGGCGGCCAGCAGCGCCTGCGGAGGGAGCGGGAAGGGAGGTAACGGTTGTGGCACTCTCGGGAGGTAATGGTGACGGTACGGCGGCTGGAAGGACCTGGTACGGCGGCGGGCACATGCATTGGATGCATACTGCATGTCAGGCTGCAACATACCGGTAGCAGCTGCCACATACCGGCAGCAGCTGCCACGAGAGGCGGCCGCTAGGCGGAAAGCCCGTGATTCGCGCCCTCAACGGGCGTCACATGGCATGGCAATAAAGCTATGCAGCTCCAAGGCGGTCATGTGCTGGTGGCGCAGACCAGCCCCCGGCTGCTCCCGGATGCTGCTTGCCCCCACCTGCGCCCTCAACTCCCGGTTTGGCGTTTCCTCTCACATACACCTCACCTGCTGCGCCTCCAGTGCGAACCTGAGCGCTGCCAGCGGCGTGTGGAAGGCGGCGATGAAGGAGTCCCCCTCCGTGGCGCTCTCGTAGCCGCTGTGGGCAAGCAGCGCAGCGCGAACCACGCGGTGGTGCACGCGGAGGGCGGCTGCGGCAGAAGGGCGGGGCCGGAGGCAGGCGGGGAGGAAGGCAGGCGGGGTGGGTTGGGAGGCAGGCGGGGTGGGTTGGGAGGCGGGGTGGGTTGGGAGGCAGGTAAGAGGCGGGCGTTAAGACCATGGGCAGGGCGAGAAACCAGGAGCGTGGGATAAAGAGGACGGGAAGCATAGGCGGGAATGGTCATAGGCATCACAGCAAGTTGCTACCAGTGTGCATCAAATATTCCCCAATTCCCCTTCCACTCCTCGTCCTCAACTGCCTCACCATCCATGACCTGCTCCGGCAGCGCCTCCCACAGCATTGTAGAGTCCTGTACGGCAACGTCACGACAACAAGTACGTCAGCACGTACGCTGCCGTACCTGCATTTCAGTAGGCTACAGTCCACCTGATGCTAACACCTAGCAGCTGTAAAACGCCGCGCCCCGCGCCCTGCGTCCCGCTGCCGCCGTTCCGTCACACCACCACGCAAGCCCCTCTCGCACCTGTATGTCTGTCACGCAAAGCGTCGTGGCGTCGCCCGCACCAGGCGCACTCGCGGGCCGCTCCGTCCGCCGTCGCCGCCGCCGTACCGCCACCACCCCCGCCGCCAGCACCAGCAGCGCCGCCAGACCGCATGGGATGCCCACCGCCAGGCCCTGCTTGCAGCTGAGCTGGGCGTTGCTGGGCGGGGACACCAGCGGGCCGGGGGGCGGCTGCGGCTGCGGCACGGGAGGCTGCCAGTTGATGGACCTGCGCACGTTAGGGCATTAGTACCGGGTACAGTGTGCCGGGTGCCGTACCGGGTACATGCAGTAGAGCTGCGGATGGAGCAGGTGGGCCATTAGGCGTTCCTTAAGCTCACCCAGGTGGTTCCCCGGCCCCCAGGAGGCAGTTGTACCGGTAGTAAGGTGTTCATGCTGCCTGGGGCCGTATGCCCGGTGCCGCTCATTAGAATGGCCGGGCTGGGCTCGGACCTCTTTCCAGTTGTCCATGCATGCTGCCGTCCCTTCCCCCTACCTTACCTGCGGTACTGCGGCGCGAAGGCGTCCTTGCCGCCCTCCGCAGCCACAATGGCGTTCAGAATCGCCTCCAAGCCCGCCATCACATCATGCACGTCCGCACCAAGGCTGACGTCGTTGTACCTGAGCGCTGCCGACAGCATGGCGAGGCTGGGGGGGGGGGTCGGTCACAACAAGGGCGGGTAGAAGCAGGAGGGCGCAGGAAATCAGGGGGTTGGAGAGAAAAGATGTGGAGGATACGCCCAGGGGAGGGCGGCGCTCGCTTGAAGGGAAGGGCTCTGCCTAGAACGCTAGAAGCCTCAAGACAGGAAAGGCAGGAACCCCAAGGACGCACAGAGCAGTACCCTGGGACGTCCCTCCCCATGGCACCTTGCGCAGCATGCGCAGCATGGCTTACGTGATGTTGGTGGTCAGGCGAATCTTGAGGTCGGTGTTGATGTTCGCAATCGTCCACATCTCGTTGTAGACCTGCAGGAATCGCACCACGTCCGACTCCTCGTACCCCGCCGCCACCCACAGCGGCACATTCGTGAGGCTCAGGTCCGGCGCGCGAACGGGTAGTACCTCTGCGAGGGGCAATACCGGATGCAATACCGGGCGAGTGAAGGCGGGGGGGCCTTCAGCCAGCAAGGCGAGACGAGACGAGCACAGGAAGCGTTTTTGGGGGGCAACAACCGCATCATCCACACCGTAAACAGGGATGGATCATGGACGACGCGGGTTGTGGGCACCGTAGTTGTACCCAAGCACCTAACCCGAAAACCGCGTACCGTTAGCACCCAGCAGCAGGCCATGACTCCCCACGATTGCGGGGCTGAACAGGTAGCTGAACACGTTGTAGGCGTAGAACTGGTAGGCGGGTGGCGAGAGGCCGTTCAGGAGGACGGTGTTGACGCTGGTGGCTATGGGCCGGTTGACGGGCAGGGTGACGCCATCCTGCGGGTCGTGAGCGGAGCAGGTGGGAAGAGGAGGGGTACAAGCGGTGGGGAGGGAGGGGTACAAGCGGTGGTACATGGCAATGCCCCATGTGGTTACGGTACTGCAGCAGTAACGTGCCAGTAACCCCTTGCAGCATACTTAGAGACGTGTGCGATGCGCTGTTGTGCCCCAATCGATGACACGGAGGGACTCTGCTCGGGACACCCGACAACTGAGTACTGTACTGCGCCGCGACCCCCCTGTGCTCACCACCACCGCGGTCCCATACGCCAGCGGACACCGCTCCATGTTGCACGGCTCCAGCCGCCCAGTGTCCCGGTTCAGCACGTGCGTGGAGCCGGGCAGCAGCGCCATGCCCATGCGACCGCGCATGGCCTTCAGCCCGTCCGTTAGCTGCCCCAGCTGCCGGGGGGAAAGCAGGGTTGTTGGTGTTGTTGTCAGCGCGCGCCGAAAGGAAGGAAGGATGCACGAGGGTCTTAGGGAAGCGTTAGAGAGGTATGGCGTGCAGGCGAGGGAGTGGGAGACAACATGGCAAGCTACTGCCTGCCTGCATGCATGCATCCATGTCTGCATGGCGACCCAGCAGCAGTTTCCTTGCCGTACAAACCCAGCCGGGACTCGCCTTGAACTCCGTGCCCGAGTTGATGCTGATGAGGCAGCTGCCGTTCACGTACTCGTACCGCAAGCAGCTGTTCGACGCCGTACCATTGGGGCCCACAGCCCGCAGACGACGGAAGATCTGCGTGGGGGGGGGGGTCCGGAGAACCTCTCGCCGCCTAACAGACTAACACAATTACTGGCAGCAAATGCAATTACAGAGCCTAATTGAAGTCACAGTGTTTCTTGGGCAATGATAGAAAACGTTGATAGTTGCAGACAGCTGTCGTACATTCGTACCTTCAGCGCAGCTTCCATGGCGGGCGAGTTGACAAGCGGCTTCAAGGTTTCGGCGTCCCAGTACATGCCCTGCGCCTGCCCTTTGGTCTGGACGTAGCTACCGAATATCATCCGCAGCACGTAGCTCTCGGACCGGCATCCTGAACGGCCACATGGAAGTACTCAATGCGAAGCAGAACAAGCAAGACGTACGGCATGCAATGCACCTACACGCAGGCACCTCTTAGCTGCCAGGATGACCCATGGGTCATTCACACCGTGGATCGCCCATCCCGCGCAGGCCCTCGTATAGTACTCATAAGTGCCCACCCACTGGACTCCAAGCTACTCGGGCTTACCTTCAACAGCAGTTCAGCTACCCGCAATTCTCCCCCACTCGAGTCGGCACGTCGATCGCACCACCTCTCCCAACCCAACCCCTCCTCCCCGGCAGCACCCACCTGCTCCCATGACGCACGCGCCCAGCAGCCCCTCCCGCCCGTGATACCGCTCCGCCAGCTCCGCCACCTGGTCCCACGTCTGCGGCACCGCCAGCCCGTCCCGCTGGAACACCCCCGCATGGAAGTACAGCAGCTGCGGCGCGGGGATGAGCGGCAGCGCCACCACCGCGCCGTCGTACATGACCGCCGCCTTGACCTGCTCCGGCACGTCGGCCCACTGCAGCAGCCGGTCCCCCGCCACCAGGTAGCTCAGGTCCAGCAGCTTGCCGGGCACCTGCGGGGCGGTGGGGCGGCAGGGGGGAGGCGGTAGGCGAGTAGGCGGGAAGGAGCTCGAGCGGGTTGAGGGAGTGAACAGAGGCATCGGAATTTGAGGCCATTCGAAATGGCTTAGGGTAATGATGAGTAAGAAGTGGGGCGAGAGAGGGTTCGTGTCCCTACTTGACCGCCTTCTGTCTCTCTCTGCACCTGTGCGCATGCCTGCCGAACGGCTGCCAGAGCAACGGCGCCGAGCGGCAGCCCCAGCGGTGGCGGTGGCTTCCCACTCACCTGAGCCGCATCTCCGAACGCGGTGGGTGAGGCAAAAATGGCGTCGTACCCCGAGTCCGCGGAGGGCGGTTGGGGGTCCAGCAGTAGCCGCTGCCGCTGCTCGGAAAAGGTGACCTTGGGGAGGGGCAGGAGGCGGGGCGCGGAGCGGCGGTGTTAGGAGCAGGGGCTAAGCGCCATGCAAGCCATGGTTTGCGAGCATGCATGCTGGGTCGTCGTACCTGGGGTATTAACGTGAAGTTGATGGGTATGCCTGTGGTCTTGGCGTATGTGGTCTGGCCCAGCTGCCGCATCTGCCGGTACAGTGCCACATCAGGTCCCAGGATGCGCAGGGGCTGCGGGGGGAGTACGGCAGGGCAGCAGCCGGGGAGCGGCGGGTGCTCGCGCCTCATGCATTGAAGGATGGGAGCGAAGCTAGTCGCCAAACTTGCTGGAGTGGTGGCACGTTGGATGTGCAACTACGTGGCTTAAGAGCAGGTGCAGGGGTAGGAGTGGCTAACCGTTTGGCACTGTTGAAGGACTTGGCCGCACCGTATGAAGTAGGGGCTAATAACACGCTGTCGTATCTAAGGGTTACAACAGATATAAATTACAGTATGGAGCAGTGAGGCGTTCCTAGCGCCCAATGTACACGCTCGGGGGCCTTACTCGGGCCACCGCAAGGGTGGTGTTGGACGTTGGGCTAACATCCACGCACGCCTGCAAAAGAGCTGATGCTGCGATACGAATTGGCAGTAGCGCACTAACATTGCTGGCGCTGGTGCCGCTCGCTCCTGTTGTGCATCTAAGCGTACGGTGCGTAGAGGGTTAAAGGTAAACAGCTTGCGGCATACGGGATGGTCGTTGGGCTGTACACGTCCCTACCTGTTCAAGACGCTTTCAAATAATTCCAAGGCGCATGTCTCTTCAAGTTGTAAATCACTGGCGCGTGCTGTGTAAGCATTGAGTAGGAGGGTGCTCCCCACAACGACAGCTACAAGAAGGTCGAGTCTCGACCTCATCAGTGTGTTGTGTCTGCCGGACAGTAACTATGTAGTAAAACTAGTCTTAAATATTAATACTTTGCAAGCCGCGGAGAGAGACATTGCAGCAATGCAAGCCTATAGTCCAGACCTAATACCGAAAGCACTGGTCCCATTCCTCATCTTTACATTGCTGTGTACTTTTCGTCAACTCATCAGATGGTCGCCTAACACGGGGCGCCGCTAACATGAGTACGACGATATCGGCACATGACCGCATATGATCTTCCTGCCCCCGCACGCTTTTCCTCCCCACTGGAGTGGCTTTGCGCTTTAGGACTGAATCAACCTCATGCATAATTCAATTTGATTAAATTCTACCTGTTGTAGAAGTTCCACCTTTGCCTGAAACGGGAGACAGACAGGTACGGAATCAGTCCACCTATCCATTTGCTGCTGACTACGCTAAGAGTGCAGACGGATGCAATGGCACGGGCTGCAAGTTAAGGTGTAGGCACGCGTCCAGAAAGGAAGTCAAGAAAGACTCAGGGACTGGGCACGACTGCATAAACCAGAGCAAACTTGTGCTGCAATAGGGTTAGGAGGAGGGCCGAGGTCATGGCCAGGGTGGTACAGAAGCGGTGAAGAGCCGTAAAGGGCCAAGGCAGGCGTAGATGGGGCGGGGTGCCGCGCGGAGATGCAGCCAAAAAAACGAAAATGGGGTGCCCGGGAAAATCGTGTTGGGGGGTAGGATGGACTGTTTGGGCGGCACCGGCGCCCAGAGCGGCACGGCTACGTGCTTCAATGCTTCGATGGCGCATGGCAGCGTGAGCGTTACACGGGTGTCCAAAGGCTGTGACAGGGCCCTGCTTGTTCGGGAGGTGGGGATGGCACTGCTGGCACATGGACGACCTTTCGTAGTTCCCTCTGTGCAGCACTGTTGCGTGGCTGTTGAGGAGTTGGGGCAGAGTAGTGAGAGTGCCTCGAATGGGAGGGCCAGGGCGGTGATAGTATTGTGCTCGCTCATAGTTGGGGGCCAGGACAGCCAGGTCAGGCCTGACGGGCTCAGGTGGAATGGATATGTGCCTGTTCTGAGGACCGTTTAAAAGGATGAGGCCCAGATGGCGTCACGGAAACAGGGCGGTAAAGGCTATGTAACGAAGCATGCACTGTACATTGCATGTTACGGTATCGTGTCACGCTTATATTGATATATGCCCATACCGCCATTTATAAGAAGCTGGCCGCGAGTAGGAACGTACTGATATGTGTTTGGCTATACACACTAGAATTCCTAATGCATTAACGGGGTTGTTCAGGCCATTCGCAAACAAAGATACTTGGCAGGGAACTGAGCACAAGTTTAAGTGCCAACGCATGTACCGGTAAGTCCGGTATGCTGCCATGCCGAACAGAATCACACACTCCACAGCTGCAACTCGCGAGCTGCAACTTTGGTAGGGGTTATATACAAAACACCTATTTGCTATTAAGTATTTATTGTACAGCGGACCTGGAAGGAAATACACATCACTCAGCTGTTGTTTGATTCTCAGCAGCCCTTTTGCAGTGTCCGTTTCACAAGGCTTTGCACAATACGTTAATGCACAATACGTTATTCGCTAATACCGTGAAGTAGCTTGCCGATGTAGGCATGGATAACCCGGCAGCACGAACCTGGCTGCCTTCGTGCAAGGTGCGCGACCGTGCGTGACTAAAGATATAGGCATACAGCCCAGATCCCACCGACAACGTGGTTCGCCTACTGATTAAAGTCCCATTAAGAGCCATCTTTTCTTATAAGAACGGCATCGGAGGAAAACTTGCCACCTGTCGCCAGCCACCTGGCCTCCCGTGGCTGCGGTTGATGGCCCGTATCTACACTACCTGCATGATGCTCTTCAGGGTAAAAGCCGTGAAGCTAATTCCGGGCTAGAATACATCGCGTATGACCGGGTGGAGGTGCGTAAGACGTCAGCCCATGACGTCTAACGGTTGGGCACCCTTACGCCGGAGTAAGACAAGAGGTCAAATTGCGGCAAATTCAATGTGCACTCAGAATACTTTTTTCCTATTATCGCCAAGAGGCTAAGACATTTCCGTAAATCTTAGGACACACACCGTCGTACGACCCGGGGCACGTGGCCTTCTTCCATCTCTCCTACGCGTCTGAGCTACAAACGTCTGGCATACGGGGTCTTATTGCTACCATAGAAGCTTGTATATAATTGTCGGGCGTTTAGATTGCCTTCTCTGGGGTTCGCTGTATGCCAGGATAATACTATTAGGAAAGCTCTTATACAGGTGCGTTAGCTCATGTCAGGACTGGGTTTCAAAATACCTTGGGGCTGGCACACTGGAGGGCACAGTTGAGCCCCCTAGACGTATGCTTTTTGCCCCTGTTGCTTTACAACCAAGCTAACCTAGCTCCTGCATGCTGGAAGATTTTATAGACGCTTACGCAAACCAGCGGTGTGGACTATGAGCAATTCCGCCCCGCTCACCCCCAAAATGGTCCTCGCAGGACCTCTGCCCAATGCAGGCGTCATTGCACGCAGCGTTCCAAGACAGCTTGGTCTTAGAGGTGAGGGCCCGGTTTCTGTGATGAAGTTCGCTGGCATGGCTGGCAACGGCTGAGTATAGCTTTCTGGCGCACCCCTCCCCTGTCTAGCTCGCTAGCGCTGTTGTTACCATATTGTTTTGACTTCTCTTGGCGTCTGCTGGCCTGGACCCTACAGGAGCAGCTTCCACTCGACCAAGCAATTGGGCAGAGCCGAACTTTGCTGGATGACCCCACTAATCAGGTGAAGCATACTAGCGCTTCAAATGGGCCTCTAGTCTAGACGTTTGGGAGGCACTGTTGTCTGCCCTTCTTCTACACGTGTCGTTGCGTTTGAGTGCCACATCAGCGCCGATTTTGCACATACCTATCTTTGCAAGCGGTACTTATGGAATGTTATCACTGCCACGCGCCAATGGCGTCTCACCGCAAGCTATGACTTTTTTCCGCGACAACTGAACCATCCGTGAACACTAGCGGCTACTTTCTTCTCGCCTACAGGACAACCGCCAGCTGTTCTTTGCTAAAGTGCTGCGGTCAGCGACTGAGGATGAGGTCCGGCGACTCTTCGGGCAGTTTGGGAAAGGTAGGGCGCTGGAAGCCTTACGTAAGGCTGCTGAGCGGTGGAGCGAAGGGGGCTGTCATGAGGCTTCACTAATGGTTATGCGCGAGATGACCCTAGGGTAAACCCCATAGCTGGCCAGGGACCAATCACTCGTGCCTACTTGTGGTTGGCGTGCGTTGGTGTCTTGCGTAAGGCATCATGTGTTTCCATTAATTGCTCAAATCCGGTCTAGGGACACTGGAGGGGTGATGTGAGGAGTGAACCCCGTCACAAACCCGCATACAATGTCCTGCACCTGCCGCTCATGTCTTGTGGCCCATTTCAACGCCTTTCCTCCTCTGCAGTTACGGACGTCAACTTGTTCCGTGCCTTCCAAGGCGCACCCACAACCAAGGTACGACACGGGCTTCACCCTGCTAGCATGCGAAGTCTCCCCCTTCCTTTCTTCACCGCTGCCGACAAGGGCTGCCGCCTTGGCACTTTGTCACCGTGAAAATTGACGGCCGTAAATAACAACACGCGTAGAAAACTGAGCGCCACGTTTGGCTTACTCCCCCTGCAGGGCTGCGGTCTGGTAACCATGGGCAGTCATGCGGAGGCGGTGGCGGCCATTGCCGCCCTGGACAGCCAGTATGTGTGGGAGGGCATGGAGACGCCCATGGTGGTCAAGTGGATGGACACGGCGCTGCAGCGGCGCAGGAGGGAGCAGCACCTGGCCAACATGCGGCAGGCCATGACGCCAGGGGCTGGCATGAACTTTGGTAGGCCTTGCGAACGACAGTAGGCGAGCAGCAGCACCTGGGCATGGAGACCTGCTGTTAGCTGTCCTGTATACCGTCAGTCCTTTTAGGTTTATCGCATGTCCTGGGTCACTGGCTTCTGCTGCTTACCTAACCGACACATTTTCGCTCGCTTTAATTTGCTTCCGCACGCAGTTCCCAGCGGCCTGGCGCTAGCCACCTCGCTTCCGGTGGCCTCCAACCTGAACCTGGTGCAGAACTCCTTCCTGGACGCGCTCGAGCCCATGGAGACGCCCCCGCCCGGCTGCGCGCCGGATGCCATCAAGCTGTTTGTGGGCAACGTGCCCAAGAGCTGCACCGAGGAGCAGCTGCTGCCGTTGTTCCAGTCCGTGGGCAAGGTGTGCAGGGGGCGTTCAGTGCGGGTTCGGTGAGGTGCAGTGCGGCCCTAATGGGGTGCGGAGGGCTGGCAACGTGTCATGAACGGGTGATGTTCACTTTGCATGTCAGCATGTGGGATACTCACACTTCGCACCTTGGGATCTCCAAAGCCACTAACCCGGTTTCCCTCCCCGCCTTGCGTTCTCGACCCGCAGGTCGTGGAGCTGGTTATTGTGCACGACAAGGTGACGCACGAGTCCAAGGGCTCAGCGTTCGTGTGGTACGCCACCCGCGTGGATGCCGAGCGCGCCGTGCTGCAGTTCAACTTCCGCCACGTGCTGCCCGACCCCTCGGGCGACCAGGACCGCCCGCTGGTGGTGCGCCGCGCCAAGACGCGTGCCAAGCCGCTCAAGCACACGCCGCTGCTGGGCTCGCTGGCGCAGGTTCAGCCCTCCCAGCTGGCTGCCACGGTTGCGGCCGGCACGCAGCCCTTTTACAAGGTGCAGTCCAACCTGGTGGGGTTGGCGGGGCTGGAGGCGCTGCAGCTGGGTGACAGCGCCAACCTCGCGCAGCAGCTCGCCTCTGCCGGCTCGTTGTCGGGGCAGAGCGGTGTGTCGGGCCTGGGCCTCGGCAGCATCCCCGCCTACCGGCCGCTACCCAACCTGGCGGGGCAGCTGGTCGGCACGCAGACGTCGATGTACGACGCCTATACAGCTGGTGGGTTTGGGTGTCTGGATTTTGGGATTTGGGGTTGCATGTGGCTGCACGGGGTCTGTTGCGGCTTTACCGCAAGGGTCAAAGAACAACAATGAACATGCATTACCTAACGTACGTACGTGCCCCGTGGTTTGCTGCGCGCGTCGCTTCTTTCTTTTTCCTCAGGTGACCAGCTGCTCAACGACTTTGCGGTGAGCCAGTCGCTGCAGCAGAGCGCTGCGGCGGCGGCCGCACAGCTGGATGTGCTGGGCGCCGCGGCGCAGCAACAGCAGCAGATTGCACAGTCCATGACGCTGAACCAGACGCAGCTCACCTCGCTCAACTCGCACCTCTTCACCGTGCAGACCGTTAGCGGTGCACAGCTGCACATTTCGCCTGGCGCCCCGGGGCTCTTCAATCTGGTGGTGTCGGGCACCAAGACGCAAGTGGAGGCGGCCAAAGGCTACATCACAACCGTGCTTAGCCACGCGTAACTGCTCAGCTGAGCTCGGGCTCATTAACAAAAGATTCTTATAAAAACGCGCTATAAATGCTTCATTTCTTAATGTCGTCAAGGGCTGGGTGAGCGTAGTGCAAGCACCATGTTACTCGCAATACCGTGGCTTCTGTCTGGGTAACGAAAGAGCACAAGAGCATTAGCGATGTACACACACCACTGTCTCGCGGCCACACTCGTTGGATGTGGCTTGTTTGGAACTGTCAGCGGCAAAGTGATGCTCTTGATGTAGGGGGAGAGGGCGATGTGTGTAAAATTGAAGGAAGAATGTTGTTTTCACGATTGTACTCACCTCTAAGAAGTGCACGTGCGTCGATTGGTTGCGGTGCTGGCCGAACGGGGCCCTATGCTTAGTAAGCTTCCTGGCCTGTTCCTTGTGTGTGGGTATAAAGCTTTCATGCTGAAGGGTTATAAACGTTGCTCATGCATGATGCGCTTTTACGTGAGGCTTGGCATTCTTCCTCATCAACATGCCTCGCTTGACGGCTTAGGCCTGTGTCAGTGCCTGCCGTAGGCCAATGCTGCCACATGTAGTCGGAGCGGGGATAAGGTGGCGATGCGTGCCAGCGTGGGTTATGTTTTGGGGGTCTTTCATGCTTGGGTAAGAAAGTGAGGATTAGTAGCGACCCCTGTGTCATGTATCGACAACTTTTTTTAAAGAGACGTGTTTATGAGGTGCTGTCATGGCATAAGTGTTTATCATGGAAGACTGGCCTGAAAAGCACAAGCGGTGCTGTGTTTGGTACTTGTTATCTGGAGGTAACTCCCTCTTGATGCTATCCCAACGCACTGATTGAAAGATGTGTTATCGAGCGCGCCGTGCTTTTGAATATGTGAGTTGACGGGAAATTTCGTCCTCATGAGCCCGTCTTGGCTTTTACGTACATGCCGGAAGGGTGGGCTTGCGTTGGTACTAAAGCCTTTGCCAGTGAGGTGCATTCGTGAGCTTCGCTCTCGCCATGATAATTGAGCGAAGCATTTGCGGGCTGTACAAGTGCTTCATGCGAACTGGAGGCAGGTAATGGAAGGTGGTAATGGTGGAAAGTACATCTTCTTTGGGGTGAAGGCTGGGGTTCAAGCGGGTGTGCTAGGGAAGCCTCTTGTGGCAGGGATGATCAGCCCTACAGCCACGGTGGTGTGAGGGCGTAAACTATACTAATGTGGCGGTACCGTATTTGAAATATGTTTGGGCGCTTTTTGTTGCCAGACAAGCAGGTTGGAGTGAAAGTCGTGACAATAGAAGCCTTACATGTTGCTTCCCACAGTGCCTCTCGAGGGGGTTGCTTCGAGGGCACGTTAACAGAGGTATGTTGGCCTCCTTTTGGCCCATTCCTTGTCGAACTCAGTTGGTGGTTGGCCGGGTAACCGACACGGTTGCCACAAGAGCCGTAACGCCGCGTTGCGGAGACCTTTTGCAGCCGCCATGCTCGGGCTGATATTAGGTTGCGCCATCCGCAATAGGTCGTATAGCGGGAAGTTTCGGGCGACGTGGGTCCGGAGCCGCCACTCATATTTGCTGCTGCTGCTGTTACTTTGCCAACACCGGCGTTGCCTGTCTGCCGGGAGTCTCGAATAAGTGATGTCGAATGCAGTGTACTGAGGTGTTTTCTGGTGTGATCATATTGGCAAAGGTGCTTGAATTTGGTGACCTCGACTGTGCATCTGAACTGAAATTGTAAGGCCTACTCGTGGGACAAACGCGTCTAGTTGGGAAAAGGTCTCCCGCGGGGTGTTGTCTAGCACATGCCGCTTGCACCCAGCGGCACTCATTTTGCAAAGTATCTTCCAGCTGCCAGGAATCAACCTCTCCTCGAAAGGTAGACATGATCTCCCTCAGGGTAAGTGCGAAAGACTGGGAGACGCTCGCCGACTCGCCGTGGGCGGTGTTTCAGAAGTTTCGGAGCACGCGGGAGCCATCGGCTGTTCGGCTCATCGCCAAAGGCGCTGTCAAACCTTTAAGCCAAATGTTCATGCATATATCGTTCGATGTTGGAACAAGTTAAGTATGGCGGACGATGATAGACAAGGTGCCGATGATAAGGTCGTTTTGGGTATATCCAATGTCCGCAGCTTCGCTGCAGCTCTGCATTGCATCCGCGCTGGGAACAAGCAGGTTAGGTGAAAGATGGTTGCCAATCCACAAACGAAATCCCTAGTTGGGGGGCCGCAGCAGTTCCAGCGTTAAAACATGGCTTTCCGCTTCAGATCTGCACTATTTCAATATCATCAAGCGGCGTAAGCGTTGTGTGGGAAGATGAATCGAAAGCCATGCAAGGTTCCGTGTTTTTTAAGCCGGAGGTACGTATGTTCATCATTTTCCGGCAGGCTGCAAAAGGCTCATCCGTCACGTCTTGATAGAACAATGAGCTTCCTATTGAGTAATAGATACTGAATAACTTCGAAAAATGTCCATGTGCACATGACATGCCCGCGGGTCGCTGTCCACACCATTCCATCGCGCCTTACGCCCTCCTCCCTGCATGCGTCTCCTCCGCCGTACCCTTCTCACGCAGCTCTTTGCACGCTTCCACTGCTCGGCGGATGTACGGCATGAATTCGGGATCCAGTTGCAGCTGCTGCTCGACACGCTGGCCGTGTTCGCAAGCGCGGCTGCCCCCATGACCGCACACTATCCGGGGCCGCAGGGGGAGCTGGTGTGCGAGTGCGTACCGTACAGGGCAACCGACACTAACGGATGTTGGCTACAAACTGGCAGCAAACCCTGGGTTAGCAAGCAACACTGAGGCTTGAACGCAACCTGGCTAGTGCCGCAATGCGAGAGGAAGGGCGGAGCGTGGCCAACAAAGCACGCCAGGAACCTTCCCCACGTCTGCCAACAGTCCGTAACCCTAAACTTCGTGCTCTGCCATGCCATGCAGAATGACCGACGCAGCCGCCGGCGGCGGCGGCAACGGCGGTCCCAGTCAGCGGCTGGGGTCGTTAGCGGTTGGCGGCGGCGGCGGCCCGGGATCCGTGTGCACTTGGGCCCGCATTGTGTGTCTGCAGGCGGAGACGGTGGTAGATCTGGCGGAGTACTGGAGCGAGCCGGCGTCGTCGTTCCTGTGCTCGGGTGGGGCTTGGGGGGCTTGGGGGTTTGGGGTTGGGGAGGGAGGAGTTGAAAGGGGGAGGAGGCTAAGAGCTCGCCGCACCCCAGTGGCTGGTATTTGGGATAGGGTTGAGGGTGAGGACTTATGGGGCCGCCCCTTCCCCGCTCAGGCCTGGTTCTGAAGGAGGCGGTTGACGACCTGGAGTGGCCGGGAGGTCCCGTGGAGCTGCTCATGCAGCGCGACCCTCAGCGGCTGGCGCTCAGTGCGACTGGACACGGTGCGCTGGAGGTGAGGGGCGAGGGGCGAGGTGGGGGGAGCGGGTGATGAAGGGGGGGTATAAGGGTTTGGACAGGAGCAGCAAAAGCCGTGGTTGGAAGGAACAGAGAGCCGAGTGGGGTGAGGTGGTTTCGGAGGTGCACCCAGTACTGCACGGTTCACTTTAGGCACATCCAGTTCACATGCAGTGGGCGCACCCACCATGCAATTGCATGCACCCCTTCCTGACATGCGCCCCTTCCTGATGGTGCCCTGCTTTGCTTTGCTTTGCTGTGCTGTGCTGTGCTGTGCTGTGCATGCTTTGCGGGTGGTCTGGGCGGTGCTGTCGGCGGCCGCAGGTGGAGCTGCCCGGGAGCCGCATCTCGGGCTTCGCTTGCCAGCAGCCAGAGGTAAGGGCGGCGGGAGGCGGCCGGGGCTCCTCCAGCCCTCCGGGTTGGGGCCGTCCGTTCGCAGCCCTAGCAGTGCTGCCCTGTTTGACGCCCTTTAGCTTTTGACTTGCCTGCGCCGTACTACTTCGGTGGCTTACCTGCCCTCCGGCTTGCTTGCTGGCTTGCTGGTGGCGCAGGTGCGCTTCAGCTACAAGTACCGGCACTGCAAGGCCGCCTTTTGCAGCCTGCCGCATCCCAAGGACTGCGCAACACTATCCACAAAGGTGGGGATCCCCCGGTGCAGTGCATAGTGCAGTACAGTGCACATGCAGCCCAGGCCGCTCCAGGCCGCACGCATTACACCACCACAGCGTCGTCTCACCCTCACCGGCTCACCGCCGCTCCGGGCCAGGCTACCATCACCCCCGCTCCACAAGCAACATTCTTGTGTTGCATGTATAGCACGCGTTGGTTGCGACTTATGGCTTGGCAAGATTGCAACCGCCTGCCTGCCTGCCTGCCCTCCTGCCTGCGGTCGGCGGCCGCAGGTGAGCATCGACCCCCACGGACTACTCAAGGTGACGCACATGCTAGCGCTGGAGCCCGCCGCGGGGGGCCGGGGCGGGGGCGCAGCGGGGGAGCCGCCCTCGGCCCTCTTGGAGTCGCAGGTGTGTGTGGGGGGGGGCTGGAGGGGTGTGCGGGTTGTGGTTCGTGGGGAGGGCCGCGGGGCGGGAGGCGTGGTTATGTTCGCAGCATGCATGGGGACTGCATGGGGCGGGGGTGTAGACGTGTAGCGTGCATTGGGGGTTCTAAGCGCCGAGGACAAGGGAGCAAGAGAGGGGAAGCGCATGCGTGGTTTCAGGCGTACCGTAGCGAGTTGCAGCGGTGCATGAGTGTCAGGGTACTGGTATTTAACACCAGACTGAAGCAGGTTGCAGCTGTTTGTTGACTCAACATGGCTGTTTCGTTGCTGCTGCTTCTGCTGCTGCTGCTGCTGCCTGCCGGCCCTGCAGCGCCTGCAAGACAGTGGCAAGATTGCTGTCGTACAGTTCATGATACAGCCCACCGAGGAGGATGGGGCTGCATGAGGCGGTGGCTTGGGCGAGGCATGTAATGGGTGGTGGTGGTGGTGGTGGTGGTGGTGGTGGTGGTGGTGATGATGGTGGTGGGCTAAGGAGGAGACGGAAATCAGGTAGGGGAGCAACATGGGGAGCAAACTAGGTTGGGTCAACGTGTAGGTATGGGCGGCGGTTCTGTGCACGATTCGGGATGGGGGCTGGTCTGCGGGTTAGAGGAGGCTTGTGCAGTGCTCTTGCAGTGTTGGTTGGGCGACATGGGGGCGAGGCAGGTCTGTTACCGGTAATGTTGCATGTGCGTTTTAATGGGTGGGAGAGCTGCGGCTCTTGGTACTTGTGAAAATCACATTTAATGTTTCGTGTTGAGCTGTGATCGGGTTTAGCGCATACCTGCAACAGGGGACATAAACCGCATAACGCAGGAGTCCATGTCAGTCACGTGGAGCTGCGGCATATGAACGTTTAAGGGGCAGGACCCGCAGGAGCGGTATTCATGCAATGGCTACGGAGTGAGTCCTAGTTGGGCCGTGCAGCAGCACAGAGCAGGCAGTCGCTGAATGCGCCGCCGTGCCACATCGTAAGCTGTGGCTCTCAATGTCTTACCACCTAAAGGATGCCCTGGCACTTTGCAAAGATGGAACTCAGCACGCTGTGAGGGTATGCTGCCTGGCAACATGCTGCCTTGAAGATGACTACAAACTTGTGTACGCCGCCACAGACCCGCAGCCGTGCAGGTTGAGGTTCTCCACCTGAATCTGAATCCAACATACCTGTCCCTGGGTCGTCGTACGAAGCTACGGGCACACTGTTCGCGCGTCCAGACTGGCCCTGCATCTGTCTGGGTCTTCCTATGTGCGACCAGCTTTGTCCGCATCGAACTAAACCACATGCCGACGTTGCTGACCCATGGGTCAGAAGCGCAACTCGCCTGGTGCCTCTGTAGCCAAGCCTTGTTTCCGCAACAACCTCCAGCAGACATCTCCAACTGCATTCAACCAGGTGCACCTCAACACCACCCACAACGAAGAGCAATCCTCCATTCCCCGTAACCCCTCCTCCTGTCGTCTTCCCAGCATCACCTCCCATCACATTCCACATCGGAGCAGGCAGTAAAGCCGCTCCTTCCACTCCCATACACGTACGACAGCCGCTTCAGCCCGCGCATCCCGCCCTACACCGCTGCAAAGGCCCTTGCTCCCGAAGGCCCTTCCATCCCCTCCATAACCCTAAGGCGGGGATACAAGGCCCCACTAGGCCCCAAGGCAACATGCATGCATGCGACCCCTAGCGCGCTGCTGCCTTGGGCGGCACGTGCTGCGGCCGATGCCCCAGCTCGCCCAGCAGCTCCGTGGTGGCGTCGAACACTCGCTCGCGCAGCTCGGGACCGCCCACTCGCCACAGCCGGTTGCCTGGGAGGCGGAGGCGGGGAGCAAAGGAGGCGGAAAGTAGGGCAAGTTTGGGTTCGCTTGGGGGCGTCGATGCTAGTGCGGAGGCGTGTCGCACATCTGCCGCTGCAAGCACATGGCAGGCACTGTTGCGTCACGCACCCACTCACGCACCCACCCTCCGCACCCACCCGGCGCTCGGGTGCCCAGCATGTTGAGGTTGAACCAGTTGGGCCCCATGTATTGGAAGCCCCTGCCGGTCAGCCGCGGCTCTGTGAGTGCGTAGAGGGCGGGCAGGCTGCCGCGCCAGGCGGGCATGCCCAGCAGCATGTCCTTGGGGGAGGGAGTGGGGTGGGGCGGGGTGGGGGGTGGGGGTTGGGGGGTGGTGGAGGGAGGCGAGCAGGGTAAGGGGCGAGCAGAGTGAGAGTGCGGCGCGGGGAATAGCAAAGGAGAAAGGCAACCAGACAGGTACCGGTGGGCCGTTACGCCCGTTAGGCGGTGTGCATCGGCTGCTCCGCCCCGCACCCCCAGTAGTGCCAGCTGGTCGCGCCCCCCCCCCCCACGGCCCGCCCCACGGCCCCGCCCCACCCCCCGCCACCCACACCTGCAGCACGATGAAGGCCGCGTTGCGGTGGCGCTGCTTGTCACGGCCCCGCAGCGGCGTGTCAACCAGACCCGGGTGCACTCCGAACACGTCGACCTGCGCCGGCATGACACACACAGTGACGACACACAGTACGGGGACACGGGATGATTCTCGGGTAGTTTTCTTAACACATGGGATAAATCGGGATGAAACAGGACGGGGTTTGGCTGCTTAAACGCACACCCAACACGCGTCAATCTGAACACAAAACACTGAACACGGAACTGGATGACTCAGGAGAAGGGTTCGCTGGGTTGCTTCTCATCGCCCGGTTCCGCTGTTGTGTCCCGTTATTTCATGATCAGGGAATCAGCCGTCCACAACCAGAGAAAGGGCGCCGTAGGGAATCCAATTACCGTATACGCAGTACGACGCCACAACCGCAGATTTGCTACATGCTCTCCCTCACCCAACCCACCGTACGGCCCATTCCTCCGTACCAGTACCGTGACCACCACATACACATACACATACACCTACACCTCCGTCGCCCCCATGCATGCGCCCTCCCCCCGCTCCACGCACCTGCGCCGCCTTGCCCCCCTGCGCCCGCAGCCGCCGCTGCAGCTCCTCCCCAAACATCAGCAGCAGCAGCTTGGAGGTGCCGTACGCCGCCATCCCGCTGTCCAGGAACTTGTCACCCTGGAGAAGAGTGTGGCGGGGCGTGTGTGTGTGCGGGAGGCCGGCTGGCCGTTGGTAAAACGTTGGGTTACCGTTTGGAGGCCACGTTTGCAGGGTCACGGGGAACTGGATGCACCTGGTGTACTGATAGCATGCCTGCCTGCTTGCCTGGAATGGGCTAGGACTTTAACCACAGGAAAGTGCATGGAAGCATCTCATCTCATCTCTCTCTATCTCTCCTGCACCTAAGGAAGCACCCGTCTAGCTTCCAACCAACCAACCGACCTTGAGGTTGTTAAAGTCCAGGCTCCCGAACTGCTCCGCCTGGGAGGACTGCAGCACCACCCGCGCGGGCGACCCACGGGTCAGCTCGTCCAGCAGCCCCAGCACCAGCTCCACATGCGCGTAGTAGTCGATGGCCAGCGTTTGCTCCAGCCCCTCGGGGCTGGCCTTGAAGCCGCCGGGCTGGAAGACGGCTGGATGGGGCGGGCGCGGTGAGTGCGAGGGCGGGGTTGGGGGATGTGATGCGATGGGACGCGAACAGGGACCGGGTGCGAATGAGAAGGGACCCCAAACGGAGGGCGACACACGTGTGTGTG